CGCTCATCTGCGGAATAAACAATCGCGGACCCTGTGGAACGGACGGATGCGAAAGACGATCATAACGCATACGACGATGAGGATTATTGCGATGAAAATGGCGGAAGGAATTACGATGGTGGCGGAATCTTCACCAGTGGAAGCAAGGGCACGGGAGCCAAGGAGTGCACTTTTATCATGACCACATGGACAGTCACATGCGGACCCCTTTTTACATGCTTTTCTACAGCTCTCAGGGTTACATTGTAAAAGTTCCATGCTCCTATCAACGTACGCAGATGAACATTTGGTGCAACTTTCGTCACTGTCACCGCTACATACCTCACAACAGATGAGACAACATATACACTCGTTATTACATTCAGATTTTGTTGCACATTTACACCCCGCTTCCGACATTTTCCACTGTCTCCCTTGTTATTAACCTGAAAAGCGATGAAACAGATGCCTTGATAACCAGACGGAAGAACGACCACGCCGTCTCCGATTAGCGTCACGGTACCCACCGCCAGGGATACCATAATGTACATGCTGGGCACCACAGAGATACCATTCCCAGCGTGGCCATATAAACTACTTAGCTCTTCCCAAACATCGCTGGGCATGCTCCTTCAATATTTTTGAACTAGCCATTGAGTAATGCCTCGTATTAGTTCTAGTCTATACGACATATTGCCTTCGTCGCAAGGCTCTTGCATCTTTGAGAGGGTTACATTTAGCTCACCTCCCACCTGCTAGTATCCCTGTGCCATCCACCCCAAAATACATACCAATTCAGCCGAGTACCTAAATCTCTCAATCCCTCCAAACAATCCTTTTTACGAAATCGATTTCTGGCGACATCATGAAATAAATGCCAAAATATCTTATCTGATCTCAGGTATCGCATCCCAACCCTTGTAATGTTGCACTCCTTATTAAGCTAAGTGTTGTCGAACGCAGTAGGCCCACTTCTCGGATCATTATACTGACCAGACATTAATCGTCTTCCTGGGTCTAGATTTCTTAATATAAGGCATTCAATTAGCTTATGTCGACCGTCCCATCAAGCTGTAAGCTCAGTAGCTGAGTCCGGCAATGCCCCTAAAGTGAACTTCGCTATTGACGACATGACTTAATCCAACACTACGGAACACGTGACGTAACGCGGTCGGAACAATTAATGATTATGTGAAGCCGTCCCTGTACGCCCCCCAACGGTGGGCTCAGGCGGCTAGGCAGTGACATGGTAGAGTTGCATATAAAGATTAGTGGAGTGGTCGAAGTTCCCCACTAAACACCAAGCATCATCCATGGTTAAGTGTAAAGGGCATTGCCGAATGCTTAACTTCTGAGCGTAGATACAAAAGGCGAAATGACACATGTCGCATTCCACCATTACGTGGTACCCACCAAAGGTGTTCTGAGACGGAATTCCACGCCACATCATTAATTTGGGTCATTACCACCTACACAAGCTGTACACAACTATTATACCACTGGACTAAGCTGCTGAGTTTTCCCATCGCATTTACGAAGTTCTAACCGAAACCGATACTGCCACTAGAACAGACAAACCAACATAAACAATGAAAGCAAATTAACATCCGCAATATACCTACGGGCCATCACCTCTCAGCTATTCACTACTTTGCGTAGTAATTCTCTATCTGTATGGTGGAGAGAACGATACCCTTAACGGTGACGCAACGACACTCCAGTGGCGGCGTATGGCGCAGGGTCTCCCCGAGTCCTACGAGTGAATTGTAAAAGCTCAAGATGACAAAATGATTGGATTGCCATGATACCAACGACTTGCTGATGTCGTCCGTGTTCTTGACGGTACCTTCGACCGCGACCTGGCTGAAGCAGTTGGGTGGGTCCAGGAGGTACGGTGGAGGGCAGTAGAACGCCGCCTCGCCCGTAACCCGAATGTCGATCTTGCAGCCCAACTCTATTTGCCCATCAGCGTCGTAAAGTTGGGGCGTCTCAGGTTTGAACAACTCAGTGGATGCGTACGTAACTCCGCATCCCGGCATGTACGGGTCGGTGGCCTCAACGTTAACTTTGACTAGATGCCACTTATATCCTATAGACAATCCCATAAGATTGGAAATGAGCTGGGGAGAGCTGTTTGAAGTGGGTGCACTACTAGTGAGTTTATACAAATCCGATATCTCGGGAGTCTTACCGCATACAAATGCCATGGGTACATATTTCTTGTGATGTGGGTCTTTGGATACCAAAACAGCACCTCTACGCAATTTCATCCTCAATTCATAGATGCCGTCAGAGGACATCACCGGTAAGATTTCGAAGTCACCGGGATTCGTCGCAATGGAATCGCTGTAAGCGACGCTAACGATCTCACGTCCATGTGGTGTATGCTGGATGGTATAATAAAACAAATTAGGCTGCTTGGGTAGCCACGACGTTTTTATGTCGCTATGATTCCCCATGCTTTCTACCTCTTCTAAGGTTAGATCGTCATTCTCATCACTACAATGCATGAACAAAGCCGTTCCAACATGTAGTGTAACAGAGTCCGATGTTATGTTGTATAGCATAAGCGATTCAGGTGATACGAACCCTTCGCTAGATAATCCTACCTCCCACCACGGCAGCAACATGTAAGGAAGCCGCACGTTATATGCCTCCTCAGTATATACCCTGTAATAATAATCCTTTTCATGGTAGGAGTCCAATATAAGCCTGGCTCTTTCGTACCCACGTCGGTCGACACATATGCAGGCATAGCTTGCAGGGTTGTTATATAAATCAAGATCGAACACCTGAAATCCTCGAATAGGAAAGGGCATAGCACCATATATGGAATCGGGAAACAGAGTAACGTCATTGGTATAGAGATCGTATCCCGTGAACTCACAATTACCTGGCAATAACTCTTCATTGGGCCCGCAGCGAATTCCAGCATGCCATTCCTCCCATGTGCTACGGTATACGCATTCGTAGGTTTGCCCAATACGATTTCTCATATATTTCACTGAGCAATACCCGCGGCCCATCTCTGGATCAAATAGAGCCGGTATCTCTCGGTCGCAACCGATCATCTTGTAGCTATGGGTAAATGCAAAGGACACATTGACGATAGCGCTTATCGGAGCGAAGGCATATTTGCCTTTAGGCCTCAATGTCCAATGAAATAAGAATGAGTTTGTTCCGTGTCGTAATGCAAAAGGTTTGTCGATGCGGTACTTCAGTTTCACGACTCCCTGGTGTATCTGGGAAACATCCAACTCGAGGGCATCGCCAACAAGCGCTTTGTAATACAATATTTCGTTGTAAACATAAAGGTGATATTTGTTTCTATTTTGCCGCAGCATCTTCAAGTTCTTCGGCTGAAATTCGGTTTTGAATATGTATCTAGGTGGCGTCTGCGAGGGCATACCAGATGGAGAATCCTCGTCGACATACTCTATTGGGAACTGTATGGTCAACGTACTGCCAGGATGTAACATAACCGAACACCAATAGCCACGTATGGGACGAACCTTATTGCGAAATATTTTGCTGGTAATGTCGCAAACGTAGTCGTTTTTCGGACGGATCTCTATCGTGGCTTTCACCTGACCTGTGTCCGAATCTAGGCATCGGCATTGACCATTAAATGGGGGCAACGCTAAGTTATCAACATATTGTGTTACAACCCAAGGCTTACTGTTATCGAATTTCATATATGAATGTGGTTTAGGCGCATTGACAATGTTACCGTCCTTGCCCAATAACGATCTCATGCAATTTTCAGGTTCAAGACGACCTTCGCAAACAAATCCGATACGGGAGTGTGACATGGGATCCACCACACATGAACGGACGCCAGTGATGGGATTCACAGTTACCTCATTACCCGGATCGAAGAGTGGTGAAGGGCGAGTTCCACAGCCCTGAAGCGGAAGATGCCCTCGGTTTCTGTACATGTACACCGCTCCCAATCCTTTCCCCATCTTTCTTATTTCATTCGTCAATGCAGCATCTAAATTCCATAGGAATGCTTTCTTTTGGCCAAAATCATTGAGGAGGTCAAGGTGGCGTTGCAGCGTATCAGTCAAAACCAAATCTCGCGGGCCACAGATGAAGATCAAACGGTATTCGGTGATAGCAAACAATTGTTGAATTGGTAAGTCGAAATGCAATTCCGTATGCGACGGGTACGACTCTAACCTGAAGAGTTTAGTATCGGATTCGGAGCGCACTACGTCGTGAAGAGTAACCGAACGCAATGCACCATTGTAACCCACGTAAGTGGTGATGTGAGCATGCTCATCCGAAGTTGGACGAGGATGCCATATATACTCGGTGTCGTTTACCTGATTCGGACATATAATGGGTGCATTGACGAAGTCATCGAAATCCATAGAACAGGTGGCGAGAGCATAGTCATTGAGCAATCCTTCCGGATCTCCGAAATCACACTCAATTGCAACAATAGCCCTAATACAATACTGAAATATTGCACAAAATGTCCATAGAGACATCATGATGCTAAATTTGGCCATGATTATGCGTCATACGATGGGTGGCAACTGTACCAAATATAAAACGCTATCAGCAAACATACATTTTATGGGCACATGAAAACAAAACATTTTGACAATTTATTCTTTGGGGTAAAACAGTGCACCCGAACCCCATAGCAGCAGCTAGCTGTGGAAATAGCAGGGAAATTTCCCCAAGAAATTTGGAAGGGAGAAACAAAGAATGTAATGGATATATTCGACATGGGGTTTGAAATGTAAGTTCCCATGGATAATTTCGAATTACAAGAGGTCCTTTGTGCTGCATTTATATATGGATATTGGGTAGACACTGAATACGTGTCTCCTTAATGGGTTTTCGCTCATCGGGGAGAAGCATTTGCGTACGCTTCAAAGGATTTCGGCTCTCATACGATGAACTTAGATGCCTGCGAATGATATGAACTCTTGGCATGTTACTTCGCATTCACGTCTCTACATAATATCTGGTCCATGGACAACATATAATTGAAATAGCTATAGGCGTCACCAATAAGGTTCGTGCAATATACTAACCTTGTTCACCAACTGCTCAAGCCGGTTGATATCGCAATTGTAGTTTATGGTCGCCAGCCGACTAAGTTCGCAGTAGGGAGGCACAGCAGCTCCGTGTTCTGTGCGGTGTTGCTTGAGCTGCTCCTCCGTAAAGCCGAATGTGGGAGAGAATGACGCATCTCGCGACGAAGATGTGCTTCTGCTTTTTGCCGGAGACTCGCTATGCTCCGATGTTGTAGAGCTACGAGTGCTCTTCACGTTTGACGTCGCGCGTATTATGGAGGTTACGTTGGATGCAGCGCATCGCTGGCAACGATACCACCATGATCCTTTGCGCGCGCTTTCACGAGATACAGTATTATCTGTGACTGTTCCCTTCGGGTCGAACTCCAGCTCCGTACCTTTAACATATTTTGCAATGTATCGCAGGTTTGCCGTGGATGCGGATCGACGCAATCCAGATTGGTAGGACTTCACCCGTATGTTATCCATGAATTGTGCTCTGACGAAAGCGGGGTCGATGACGTCTCCACACTGTTTACATAATACCTGTCCGCGGACATAATCAAGGTTGAACCTCGAAATATGCCTCCTGTATTTGTGCTTCTGAGAACGCGCATTGCTGGCCAAGATGCCGTAGTTTTGCCCGAAACCATCTCTGGCGCCTGGGCTGACGAGAATCTCGACGCGATAGTCTGGCACACCGTTTTTTCCGTGGCTCCACCATACTCGCAGCACCACGTGAGAGAGGTAGTGCAAATCCCTTGTGTTGTAGTGCACCAGTGGCTCCGAATTGTCGGCATCATCGTCAAGATAGTGCGCATACTTTAGAAAATTCAGCAAGGAGAACAGGATGGAAGCCGACGTAACGTAGTACCTCGAGCGCACCATGCGGTGCGAGCGGTCCGAACTCATTTTCCTTGCCTCGCTCACCTCCTGCCTCACAATATCGCTGTCGTCGGAACTTGAGGTGTTATCCATATCGTCGCTAGAATGTTCCCGGCTTTTTGTCCGGCTCAGCGTCAACGTGCCACCAGAATTAATCTCCACGGGTTCTGCGAGTTTCTGGCCACTAGATATAAGATCCCATATTTCCTCCATATTCGTACGACAGGAAAACTTCATTTCGTTTGGTTTAACACCACCAATGAACGTCATTTTCGGACGATCGGGCGTATACTTCATGCCGTCTGAACCTAATGCGATGCTGCTGGCAGCTACGGAGGCCGCGCTCGCGGACGTGGAAGCGATGAGTGATATTTTCTTCGACGGATCCGCTGTGGCGGTGCGTACCATGTTCTGTATATCCAAACTTTCTGCCTTGGGAACGAAATCGGTTGGTTCAGAAGATGTCCGCTCATGCGGCATTCTGTTCCTGTAATATTCGTCGAATCCTTCATGGATGGAGTTGCGCCGTTCATGGCAGATGACATTTTGCTCCACCAGCTTCGCATAAAGCTGGTCACGATTGCGCTGCTGGTAAACGGCCTTATTGGTCACGACACGGGAGTTCTTGTGCAGCGTAACGTCGTGAACGATCTTCTGCAGCAACCTCCCTGCGACCTTCATTCCTATAGTTAGACGCTCCCTTGGAGTTACCCCATACTCGCACGGCGACAATATCGCTGACAACGGTCCAACCAGGTTGTATATTTCGAAAGCGGTGTCAAGTCCTCCGCCGAGGTACGTGTGGTGGTGTATAAGGTCGTACCGCAGGTTGTCGACAATATCCGCGATCATGGTATATTGAAACTTGCATTCCGGTCCCTTATAAAGTTTGGTTGTCAGATTCTTCCAGCGCAGCGCCATGTCCTGCAGGATCTCCAGGACGCTGGTCGCATATTCATCAACGGAATAGAGGTACATCCACTTGGTTATCTCGTGGTCCAGTGCATTCATGAACTCGTTCAGCAGCTTAGTAAGCCGGTTCATGTCCTCAGTTTGAAAGTTCATTTTCTCCAGAGCCTTCCGATAGTACTTAGCCTCGTCGGCATCCATGTTCATCAGAAGCCTTTCCACCTCAGCTTGGTTTCCCCAGTTCTCCATGAGGCTGCTTAGTCGGTCCTTGCACTGGTTGCGTTCTGGCACCTCGACGTTATCATCGAGCAGCATTTGCGCTCGCTTATCACGGATCGTCATGGCGACCAGAATGGGTGTCAGCTCACCCTCAAGGTCCAGGATGCCCTTGGTGAAGGCTGCGCTTGTGAGCTGGCATCTACCTTCATTCGACGTAAAGATCTTGAAATCGTGGCGGTAGGTACTGTGCAACCTGACAAGCCCCGTGCAGTCCGTTGGATAAAGCGATTGCCTGAATCGCCGCCCAAGGTCTTCGGACTGGCACTGGCCAACCGATGTTAATTCACCGCCCCACTTAGCAACCACGAGGACCTGTTGCACCTTACCTTCGTCATCAAATTTGCCCTTCAACTGTATTTTCCTATTAATACCGGCGAATCCTTCGGAAGAGTGCAACATGTTCTCCAGCTCCTTGTGCAACGTTAACCGTTCATTCAGTGCAACTAATGCAGGGTTATCTGCCTCGTTGGCTTCGTCAGAATGTTTTGGAGGATTGCACAGAACCAGTTCTGCCTCCAGTTCGTCCAAAATGGTTTTGTTTACAGCGGTAAAACGCTTCATATCCTCCGGCGCTTTCAGGTTTATCTGCTTGTCCGTGGTGCCATCGAAGTACCCGACGATCAATGGGTGCGACGTCATGATCTTCACCTTCTGCTTGGGTTTGCGGTCCGCATGACGCATGATGACTACAACGGAACACAGTTCCTCCTGCGACTCAGACCTGTCGATGGTTTGGTCAATATCGACGAAGGTCTTCTTCAGAGCCTCCACGGTCTCGTTGGTCACTATGCGAGCGGGTATAACTTTGTCAAGTGTTATGTTGTATTTCATCTGCAGCTTCAGCAGGAACATGATGCGGATGATCTGGCTCAGGTCCATGTGGTGGCGGCTGTGTTTCACGAACGACCAGCCGTTGATGTCGCAGACATAAGGACCGTTTATGGTACGCAGAATGTCGAAGCCGCAGACCACCTGACGGAAGTGCTCAACGATCCTGTAAGCGATGACCTTCTCCTTTGCCGTCAAAATAACCGGATAACGCATCTCCTTGCCATCCGTGTTCCGATTAACCTTGCCGTCGAGCGTCGGTGATTTGCGCGCCTCTGCATGGGCGAACATACAACCAACCGTGTACACCTTTATGTCCGTACCAAAGGTGGACATGAACTCCTCGTATATGTAGGTACCGTCGCGTCGCACGGTGTTGACATCTGCACAGTACCGCGAACTCCTGTCGTGCACTTTGCGGAACAGCTTCTTGCAGCCGCCACCGGTGTTGGTCGGGTAGTAAATCCAGTTGTTGTGGTTATCGGCATCAATGGGCTTTTCTATGAAGGGCTTCTTTAGCTTAACGTTGTTGTAGACTATGTAATCCTCGTTTTCTTCGAAGGTCGCCTTGCCCCTCCTGACGGCCTCGTGGTCCACCACAACGTAGTTGGGGTGGGGGATGCGGCATGCCTGCAGCTCGCGATAGACATCGAGCCTGGATTTAAAGACCCGTTGTCGTTCGACGTCATTGAGAACTATGGGCCTGTAACGCCTCACGTAATCGATGGCCTGCATACATTGTGATCGAATGCTCATAATTCGAACAAACCTTCTCAAGCGGAAAATTTGTCGAGTAGAACGCAATCAAACACTCCACGATAGGCCATTCGGTGACGGGTAGATGTAGGATTGTCTGCAGCGGGTTTGAGTCACGCAGCTATGGGCGAACCTCCTCGGGAAAGATGATGATCTCGAAATCACCGGTAGTACGCAGGTGATGCAGAATCGATCGCATAGGTGCACTCTCGACCTTGTTGGCCATGGCACATATGCCGAGGGTGAAAATTCGGTTCATCGTCGCCAGTGGATCGGCAGCCAGTTCCACCCTATTTTACCTCCCTGTTACACCGCAAGGTGTAATACTACCATCCAATCCAAACTACCGTTTCGACGAATCAGTCATCCACATGTGCCCTGGCGGCGTGAAATGGCGGTGATACTTAGCGGCGAGCGTTACAGTGCAATGTGTAACAGGAAAATCGTTACACATTAGAATGAGCCACTATCATATAGCAGCAAAATCCGTTATGAAGTTGCTTTAGCGTAGAAACAGCTTCTTTATTGCCCAGAATACTGCACTGTCTCTAAGATCCATGCCGAACCCGCGTCAGGTAGGTGACGTCATTTTTGTACATGTCCAGCAATCCAGAGTTAATCCTCGACCATGTGCATGACGTGCAGATGCCATGCAACATTGGCGAGGCGATTTCTAGGGGCATCCCTCTGACTTTCTGCGACGACTTTTTTACGACGGTCGCCAAACCTACCTTTTTAATGTACTCGATGGTCTGCAGAAAGATGTACTTGTCTTCCTCTGGAAGTTTGAATCCGTGCAAAATGACCTGAAGGGCAATACAAGGGACGGGTATCCGTTGCATACCTCGCTCGGCTTGATGGTCTCGTTCGACGCTAGCTGGGCGGAACCTAGCACAAAAGGCAGAAACTGATAGTGGTCAATGCCCCATGCTCCTTTGCTTCCAGCAGGCTCAAGCCTGTACCTGTCAATCAGGTGCTGGATAAGCCGGAAATATCTGCGGCAATTTCTTTGCCAGACATGCGACATACCTGGACATCACCCTAAGGGCGACACCACTTAAATCCTCATTACTTATCAAACCAACATCGCGCAGTCGCTTCAGAAACATCACAAATTGCAATTCATGACCTGTGAATGGCATAACGATTACAGTGATTGGTGCAAACCCCGTTAACCTGGGGAGTGTCCCAGTCCGGTCACAACCTCTCACGAAAATCACCAGTCAACGAGAAACGCAGATAGGCACACATTCCCGTAGGAACATCCCAAGCAGTATCACCTACCAGTTCCGTAATCTATGCGCACTTGGTTTCCAAATGAGTGGATAAAATTGCCACGGATCATAAGGCGCATGCTTTGGCTAGGGCACGCCTCAACGAGCCCGAGCGCATCTGCGATTTCGTCCCACATCTGTAAAAGCATACATAAATCGAAATGCATAGTTACATACTTCTTGAACTGCATGTAGCCAATGGGGATGTGCCTTGTTACCGAAACGGCAGTCGCTGTAGTCCTCGGGTTTGTGATCTTCAGTCATGTCGTGAAGCTTCTGGAGTATAGATTCCAGCTTCGAGACTACATTGTTGCCCACTGCATTCGAATCACCGCTGTCAACGTCCGCCACGTCGGGAATGGGCTTGTTTGAAGCTGCGTCATTGAGCTTAAGTATGAACTTCATAACTTCATCGGCCTCCTGCTGGTTGGGCGTGAAGGCCGGGGGAGGCATATCAGCCTCCATTTGATGCTGATATCCGTTACTTACACCTGCAGTAGCGTTACAATGAGTCAGTAACGTGACTACGTGTAGAGAGCATGTTACACATTACACAGTATACACATCCATAGCAATAGGCATGTAAGCTAATACTACATAAAGCAATTACGCTGACAGACACACCGTCTGGTAAAACGGTGACTACAGAATGACTCATACAGCGTATTTGTAAGTAATCCATCAAATGTTATTAACGAGCACATATATACGTAATATGGGCTACAAACTAACCTCCTGCTAATGTAAAAATTATGCAATGCGTTGAGAATAATATCCGCAGTGCATAGGTGGAATTATAGCCAGGAGGAGCCGGACTCATCCGTCAGCAGCAAGCCTTCCACTAGGCTGATTGGATGTTGCTCCTGCAATCGACCAATCAGGAATAGTAGCGAACGATACCATGGGCGTTAGACACGCTGCGAAATCTGCTTTCAGCTATAATTTCAGACTCATGTGGGCTAGATAAAATGTTTTAGAGACCGCGACATCAACAACAGACGCACAACGACTTTGCAGAGCCTACTGCATACCAAAGCAAAAGTAGACGACACATGGCGTTGCTTAAAACAAATAGATCAATTACAGACGAAAGTGGAGCGTAGGTAGAATATTGGCGACGTGAATCAAAACTACTCTTGTCTTCACATATCAGAGCGTATTTTACATGCCATGATGCAAAGTACAAGGGTGTGTACAACAGCGAAGTACAGATGTAGGATTCCAGCACTGCTGTACCCGTGCATAATATGACTGATACGGTAATTGATGTCCACACAACCGATGTTGTACAACGGCTGGCTCCCTCAAACTGCATCACTGCATTGAAATTTACTTAGATGTAGTGACAACCAGGTATATGTAGTATCTGTATACCGTAGAAAACAGGTACCTTAAGGATTGCTGTTGCACGTTTTATGTGATATATAAACGCATAAATAGGCCCCTTTCACGTGGGCGTATAGCTCAGTGGTAGAGCGGCTGACTGCAGATCAGCAGGTCCATGGTTCAAATCCGTGTGCGCCCTTGTTTTTAACCTCGTTCTGGTGTTTCGCATGGTACGATAATGGTTTATTCAGCTTATGTGAGCGGTACAAGCACATGAAGCGGTCCGGTTTCCGTGTTCTGACTTCTATTGTATGAACCGCTGGCTGCTTCGATGCATTTTGCATTCACTGTTGTCCAACTGATGTAAGAACAATGCCGTCATATTCACCAATCTAAACATCATTGAACGCGTTTGAAGTTGCAATTCAGTGAAATTTTAGGTTTAATATCCTCGCTTCAGTGTCATTAGCCCATATACGTCACGCTGCTTCATATAAGGTTGGCACCCTTTACCGCATGGGCAGATACGATTCGATGGCAACACATATAGCCGCATAGAATGATAATGTAACAACGTGGTCAACGGTAATATGGGTCCTTCCGTTGGGGATATATAGTGGTCCGCCTGCAGCCTAGAAATAACACGAAACAAGGCAGAACAGCGCACATCTTCACCGTTTTGAAACTACGTAGACTATTAAAAAACATGTGATGTACATTAACGGACATGTTAGCCTTTAACATGCCTAAACTTGGAGACAGCATTTGGGTCTCCAAGGTTGGCTACAGGTGTATCACTCTCTGTTGCGGTGTGGATCTGAACGATCAAGGTTCAGTTTACGGTGGACATGCACCACGGACATTTGTTGCTGTGCGCCAGCCACGCATCTATGCAGCCGACATGGTAACTGTGCTTACAGCGGAGCATACGCAACCGGTCCTCAGGCTGGAGGTCCTCCAGGCAGATCCTGCAGACGGTCGCGTTGTCCTCCTTCATATCCCGGTAGAGAATGACGGGCAGCTTATCAACTTCCGCCTTGCTGGCAGGCTTGCGTGTGTTCCTGGTTGGGGTGGGGGGGAAGCAGTGGTAGAAGATTGCGAAGGTGAACGCCACGCGCATCGTAATGATGGAGAAGACGTATACCATTATGCCGTTCAATAACGCATGGTTTTGCACGCCGGGGTGTCTGGATGCAAGAAAAGCAAGGGCGTACGAGGCGTAGGTGAGATTGCTCATCCGCCTGCCCCAGTTCCACAACCGCGAGCTTGTAAGAACGGACATGCAGTACATAATCTCCTGATTGCTACGCCCCCATATACGGGACATAAGGTACAGCATCAATGCCCTGCAGGGGATCTGCGCCAGCTGCAGCACCTTGTTGAACTTCAGCCACCTGCGCCATCGCATGTCTGGATTAAGCAATAGAACCTACCACCACACGGTCGCATCGCCAACTTCGCTGTTGGTCTCAACTAGTCCCAACCCTGCTTCGTCGGGGAAGTACAGGAGCATGTTCATAAGGACGCCGCAGATGAGGGAGCCCTTGAGGAAGGTGAGGGCCTTCATCGGGTGTAGGACAACGAAGTCCATCACCAACTCGGCGTCGTTAGGCCTCCTACTCGCACGCCGCTGGCGGTAAGTGTCCACACCTATTAAATACTCCATAAGGCGGTTGAACAGAGGGCTTCGGAACCGCAGCCCCTCGGCAAGGTCGCGACCATCGTGCTCCTGCGGCTCAGCTGACGCCATGTTGACTGAGTAAAAGGCTCAGTAACTATAGCGGAGCTGGCTCCACCATGCCAGCGAAGCGTCGCTTGAGTTGCAACGCGTTCGGGCTATCCGGAGCAACAGAAGCCAGATCGCTACGCCACCGCGTTTACAAAGTTATATGGCATCAGCCATTAAACATAGCGAACATCCCTCCGCTTTGGGCGCGATGCCGCGTATTAATAGTAAAATGTGTGACATGTATCGCGCCGCGCTACGCCTGGGCTGCGCCGTACACTGTCTTCCCTGATGCTCCCGAAAGCCCGTTCCACGGCCTGATGATCCACGTATCCTACGCGCATTACGTTGCAGAATTCGTGCACCAAGAAATTTGGATCTTTCTGTTTGGCGGCGAAAAACGATGCCCGGCTGCTCACGCGGGACCTCCGTAACGCCAGCAGGAGGGCCGCCAGGGGCCCGTTAGCCTTTGTTGGTGCCAGAAAATCAGCCTCACTCACAATCAGCCCCCCAGCAAACTGCTGCAGCACAGGAAACACGTTCCCGAGGCAGAGTTGCTGGGCAAAGGTCCGCGTTGCCAACGGGTGGTCAGGGTTCAATGCCGACTTTGCAATTCCTAGCGAAAACTCCAGTGGCGCATATATCTTGGTCACGAACGCCTCGACGCAATCCTGCTCGGTATTGTACCTTGGCGGCAGTCCCTTATGAATGCTATTAGCAACAATCATCGGCGACCGCAAGGTAGAGATCGTAGCAGCATCGGTGGGCAGCACGTCTTGCATCTTGATCTTCTCGTCGCCAACCAGTCCGACGTAAACAACGCATTCGGGCTTGTGGCGGGAGTATGGTCGCGGAAGAAAGACATCCCTACGCAGCGCCGTTAGAGCTCCTGTGCGGTACGCGTTGGTAGCAGCCGTATGAGCGTCATTGGACAATCGACTCGCCTGCACTGCCACCTTGTCTACGAGACACTCAACGATGGCGGCTTCTATAATCTGCTTCGTGTTGCGGTTGGGCGTTGACAATCGACTTTTCCAATCAGCGCCGAGGTGCTGCGCTAAGTTGCCCAACGACGCCCGCACGGCACGGTACAGCTGCTCTGCTTGCTGGAACACTTCGCGCAAAAGGCGCTCGTTTATACCGTATTGACTACAGAATGACGATGCAGCGTTGCCGGTTGACTGGGAGTACCTGCAGCAAATCCACATGAATAACTCAACATCGCTTCTCAGTGATGGTATCGCCTTCCGGTTGTCTTCCCCTCCGGGGATATTTGGGTTTACCAAATTGGCGGCCCCGAAAGATAGCGCAGAAATCACGCAACAGGCCGTTCGCAAATCATCGGCATTTGCGCCTCTCGACACAACTGAATACAGCATCTTGCCGAAGCGCGGGTGGAGCGGCAACAGGGCTAAATATCGACCCAATTGCGTTATACGCGCAGCACGTATCCGTTCCAAAGCCTCGTAGGACGTCTTGTATGGGTATGATGGCGGTATTTTGAACGGGTTGGCCGTAACCTCGTTCTGCGCGCTGTGTCGGTTCTCCGCCAATTGGCTCGGCGTCTCGATTGCTCCCAGTGCGGCAAGCGCCTGTAGCGCCGACCTGATATTATCCAGGGGTGGAGGAGTCAGGAACGGGAAATCGTACGGATTCTCTATTCCAATTGATGATAATAACAGGATAGTCGATTCGAGGTTGCAATTGGCTATCTCTACGGGGGAATAGTCGTCGAACAGCGTCTCGTACGTGCTGCTTGTGTATTGGCGGTAGCAATGACCGCTACCCACCCTGCCGGCACGCCCGGAACGTTGATCGGCGGATGCCTTGCTGATGTCACAAATAACGAAGCGAGATACACCTCTAGAAATGTCGTCCACCCGGCGCTTCTCCTTCCCGCAATCGACGACGTACCTGATATTGGGCAGTGTTATAGCCGTTTCTGCCACGTTTGTAGACAGTATAACGACGCGTTCGTTGTCAGACGGTAATGTGAACGCCGCCATCTGCGCATCCATGGTCTGTGAAGCATGCATCACCACGACGCGCAAGGCTCCTGTTCCAGATCCGGAACCGTGCCACTTGATATCGGACAGACGTTTGTAGTTCCTACTCAAAACCTCCAGTTCAACGTGGTATGCGTTTTCTGAGGCATCCTCCGGCTCCGTGTCGGACTCACCTGTTATTACCGTCCCCAATGACTCCACATCCACAGAAGCCTCATCTTCGGTTACCTTACCAATAGCTTTATTGTCACTAATTTCAGCCACATTGGATTCGTTATCTGTATTTTCGCTCTTTTCGAGATCAGTTTCTGCATTTGATGACTTAACGGCATGTGACCTGTCGCCTGATGACTTGCTGTCTGACGCATTTGTCGATTCATCCATTTCACTTAATACAACTGCATTGTGATCGCACCTTTCTGCCTTAATAGCAGGTATCGGTGTCGGGATATCCGATCCACTCCCCATTCCTGATCCGGAATCCGCCGTTTGGGTTTCGTTGTTCGTTGCGGATGCTCCGTCAGCAGCAACGTTTCCCAGCAAATCACTCGTTTTACTACTGTCATCCGCATATGGTTCCGTATTTTTATTCCCATCATCACCGTCGTAATCATCAATGGCATTAGTGCTATTTCCTTCATCACTTTCCGCATCACTATCGCTCTCAAGTTCAAATATTGCGTCGTCATCTTCGGGCTCTTCTTGCTGTTGCGGTGTGGAGGTGGGGGCTACAGCTGCACGCTGTTCGTACGGTGATAGCAGACGTTTTAGCCTATGCAGTTCATCCTTGCCCGTGAGGAACACAAGGACGCTGCCCGGCGGTAACCGCTGATGGATTTTAAGCACCTTGTCCTGTGCGTCAGCGACATAATCACGGACAGTCCTGCGAGAGAAATGAATGGTATTTCGCTTAAATTCCGTTGCTATATGCAGGTGTGCTACTTTGCCGTTAAATATTTTTGCATCCAGGAAATCTTCTGCACGGATGGTCGCCGACATTATAACCAGTTTCAGGGGCTGGACACCAGGGACACCAGCTTCGAACTGTTCGCGCCTAACCTGCGCCACACGCGAGAGAACACCTATTAAAATGTCACAGTTTAGATTCCGCTCGTGCGCCTCGTCGATGATGATCACGCTGTAGCGGGAGCACAACAAGTCCTCCTTGATCTCCTGCAGCAGAATGCCATCCGTCATGAACTTTATTTTGCAAAGCTTTTGGTTAAACCCCCTGTTGAAGCGATACTGATATCCAACGAGCGTTTTCGAATTGAGCTCCAGTGACACCTGCTGGTATAGCGCCAGGCAGGCAACACGCCTAACCTGCGTCACTCCGATAATCCCATTGCCTGTGCAGAGCCCATTTTCGTACAGGAACTGCGGCACTTGCGTCGACTTGCCGCAGCCAGTGTCACCTGTTATGACAACGATGTCATTGTGCTTCACTGCATCGACTATCTCCTGCTCCATCATGCAGGCTGGTAGTTTGATGCGCCGCCGTTCTACCTCTAACAAGCGGTCTACGTGAACTACGCTATATTCAGGCTCTCTACTCGTTTGAGAGCTGGCGGATTGCGCCGTTTTGGCCCTCTTGGCACTTTTTGACGGCTTCGACATTCTCGATACTCCAATATGCTGACTACTGCGCACACATCCAACGGAAGGTCGATAAGATACAATCCTAGCAGTATCCTAACGTCACATGTATGGTATTATCAGACCAATGCCATCTCAAGCAAATAGTACCAATGCGATTCCGACCATAGGTTAATCCACTCCAAACAAGTTAGCTAGCCTCATGCTCACTAACATACTAAATTAATATCCATAATCCTAAGAATCTCGCTGTAATCTATATAGTCCATTTGATGGTAACCAGAGGAGTGAAGCGTTACCTGATGTCAACGGGCAGCAGCATAGCCTCAGAGTGCCAGAGAATAATCACTTTTGATTGACACCCTCTAATTCTGTGACGTTGATGATATAGTATACGTCAGAGTCAAACAACACATCAGTTGGAAGCTAATGTACAAGGCATAAACCTCGAAGGGACCTCAACCAAAACTGATACGCGCTAGCGCTACACACCGATGTACAACTGCGATATATATTAACAATTTTATGTTACACTATAGAACCAGTATGAGAATCAGGATAATCGTGAGCACGACGATGTAGAACGTCAGACGTCCCTTGCTGCTACGCTCGATCATCAGCGATAGAGCCGCCCTGTTCCGCGACACCAAGCTATGCGAAGTGTCCATCGCAGACTCGAGGTCACCCAGCAGGTCGGAATGGTAGTCCACCTCATCCCTGATGTGGGTGCTGATGCTGTGTATTGCGCCTGCGGTCGAATCCAGCATGTCTAACTCGTTCTCCTGCGCCCGCATCATCGAATTCCGATAGTTGTACAGCTCTTCGGGTGACATATGGTCGAGTTGGCGTTTGGGTGTTATCTGTTCAGCTTGATGAAAAGCGAGTACATGCACTAACCGGTTGCGCAACTGGCAGCGATGAATGGTTTCCTGTCGGACTCAGCACCCCTTCTAACTCTTGGTACGAACGCCTAATGTCCTCAAGCTGCTTTTTACGCGATGCGAGATCTGCAGGAGCCCCCGTTCCGCTTGACATGTCACGCAGCGTCAGCTCGAGGTTTGCTACGGTCTACTACATGATAGAGATGGTCGACTTCCACACACCTTTCGCAAAGAGTCCAGTTTCGCACGCATTATGGTGCCATAAGTGTGTCGGTCACCTGGGTCCGTTTTGCGCGAGAACTGCTCAGCGCAGTCGCCAGCCGCTGTGATGAGCGACAGGGCGTTCCTGACGTCAAGCTCCCAAAGACTATCCATTGTGATGTGAGGCACTAATTGCTGTCCCGGCACCCGAATGGCGCCATATACGCGGCACCAGTGCAATAGTACCGCTCTGTCACCTGTGTCGGGGCGTAACAGGAGTTTCACGATGTCTCAAGGTGTAAGCCTCGCAGACCACTTTTATTGCACAACGCCAAAATTTGCGGGTACAAATAATTATATCCGAGCGTTATTTAAATAATTGTGACTCAATTACCACGAGTAATCGAGCATTTGGTGTTTGGTCACGATGCAACGCAAACGAGGCAGCTCCAAGAAGTACACTGCGAAGGGAAGGTCGCGCTACGTCGCTACTGAGGAGGAGATCATCGCAAGAAACGCTAAAGTTGAGGAGAGCGGGTCGGGTGAAGAGTTAACCGACGAGGAACCTGAGGAATCGCAGCCTCAGGCGCTGAGGCCACCCAGGGGTAATGAGGTATGGCTGCAGATTTTTGTTTTGACACATTATCAGCGCGATAAGGATGACGAGGACTCCTCGGAGGAGGATTCGGGCGAGGATGTGAGTGTGACGCACCAATGCTAGCATATGACTCTGCAGAGCAGTTCGAGTGGATTCGAGATATGCAACCCCAACCGAAATGCGCGACCCATTGAGAAGACCGGCGTTGTTGAACTGAGCCGGCGCGAACGTGAGGAGCTGCAGCGCCAGAATTTCGAGAGGCAGAAGATGGTAGGTGCAAAGCGCTATTATCACATTGCCGCAGACTCTTATGGCGCAGGGGAAACTGAAATCAGCTCAAGCCGACCTCGCACGGTAATTCTAATGGCCATGTTAATCATACGTTGTGCAGCTTGGCGGAAATTCGCAAGCAGCGAGAGGCAGCAATGGCCCGAAAAATGGAGCAAATGTCGTTGAAAGGAAAGGAATAGAAAAGTAAAGGCGGAATCAACTTGTACAACATAATTACATGTTGCCAGTGTGTCTACTTCAATTGGTACAAGCACCTTGATCACGCCACGTTGTTGTCTACTGTATGCCGGAATGGTGTAAAGGCGAATTGCATTCAACAATACTTTTACGCCTAAATGTCATTACACATCAATTCCCATACCTACATTTCCGTTTTATGTGTCGAGCTTGGTCATGCGCGTTGACAATGGAGATTACGCAACTTGCTAACGTACACATTGTAGAGTATTGCTGGAAGAGTACGCATCTGTCATTTCACACATTAAGCATTTCTCTAATGATGGAAACGTCACATTTAAATAATTGCCAGGTTACGGAGCCGCAATTTAGGCTGCATGAAGACAGGCGCATTGGGTGGTGTGTAAAACGGGAGGCGTCACATGCGAATCGCCGCAGTCCGTATTTCACGTGGGAGCGAATATAGTAGGCTTTGACGATTCGTTTATATCGTGCGAAATTAGTTTAGTGTAAAAGGTGTCTATTTTATGTGCATCGTTGTTACTTCTCTATAACGACGCAACACTTTATCTCTGTTGCAGCGTCTAAAATAAACGCCATCGCAGGCAATGTTTGATGTTTTGCAATAAAGGTGCAGTCGTGTTCTTTGTTTGGCGCTAAAAAATGTCTGAATGCCTCGATCATCGCACTGTTCTGCACCGAGGTGTCTATGTTTTACTAGACAATGGCTGATGAATCTCGGCGGCAGTTCTCCGGGCCTATACACTTACACATATAGATTATAATCACGATTTTCGTGTATATTTGTCCTGTGAAGTGGATTGTATCCGCACACTGGCCCAGGCAACAATAGACACGAATTGATTCACCATGAAGGTGCATCAGTCGCTGGCGTTTTGCGCGAGCGCCTTGTTCATGGGCGCCGTGTCGTTCGTGGAACAAGCAGTTGCCGTGCGTCATGATATGCGTAGTCGGTCACCGGTCTCTGCGATGTTCTCTGTATTAATGCACAAAATCAGTCCAGGAGTCGGCAACGCAGACCACTCCCAGGTAATAAAGGAGCGTCTGGTGGAAATCGCAAAAGCCGAGAATGGCATAGAAGGTCGTATATGCGAACGCTTCGCTGATCAGGATGCCTGCAATGCATCTGTTAAGCAGTATCTTTCTCGCTGCCGAGCGGGCAACTGTCTGAAGGTGGACCACGAATTACACCCATTTAAAGACAAAGAACCGACTATCCACCTCCCTGATACGTATCAACTGGAGGCCGCATTCCGCATATTCGCATTGGTGGTTGCTGACTACCGTGCAGAGAACGGAATTGAGCGCATTAAGGTCAAGAAGAAAATGAAGAGCAACTTGTATCGCATATTCATGAAGTCGCTGGTGCACGCCAACTCGTCGTACAAGAAACTGAGCGCAACGGACACCTTCCTGAGTCGATACCTATCCACGGCCACATTGTATTACAAGACTTACACGACGCTTGAGCCTCTGCGTACTGCGCTGCAGAACTTTACGTCAATAGCCCGGTATCTATGCGGGAAGCGCATTCGCATCACTCTCGAGGAAATCGTGAGGCACACCGCCAATGGATCGGTCAAGAAGACGTCCGCTAGTTACGTTGTGATGAAGACGGTAGACTTCTCGGACTACATAGAGCAGCAGACGGATGGATATGAATACTTTTCTCACCACTACGCCAACATGGCGCTGGATACACTTCTCAAGACGATGTCTGACATTGTCATAGAATCGCAAAAGCCTTGGTATGTGCGTGCTATGCGTTGGTCGATGAAAAATGTGGCCATAAGGTTGGCTAAAAATCCCTCGTCTGGCGGCCTTTTGACAGACATGTGGCATGAATGGGAGTTGTTCAAAGTACGTACAAAGGCTCACCGCTTCGAGAACTTCGTTGGTCCAGTGGCATAGAGTGTCTAACGGTTACGCGCTGCCGACTCTGTGAGTTGCAGTTATTGTACGATCCTGGGGACAAACTGAGATGAGTTTTGGGTTCGATATAAGCATACACGAACTTAAGCTTAGATATGGTGGATAGTATGTGCTCTGAGACATATACACATGGAGCTTTGGCGAAGTATGTAAAGTCTCTCAGCAGAGTGAGTCAACTGCGTTGACCGATGTTCCCTCGCATCTACAAGTAAGAATCGAAGCGACAAATCTGGCGCACTACGTTTACGATCTCGAATATCAAGGCTGCATGGTAGGGACCGAGATTATGACGGCTGTCATTGGTTGCCACCAGAGGTGGCACGAAGAACCGTTCTTGTAAGGGCATTCCATCCGTCATGGAGCCACGATGTATTTCGTGAACAATTTGTACATATAACGTGACAAAAGGGAGCCTCAACGCCAGGCAAACTGTCACCTCACGTTGCAAACAAGCGAATTAAAAACAGAGTGCATTAATGAATGGAGGTTCACTACCACGCCATTATGAACTAAGGCACCGCCCGCTGACTGATATACTTGCGTGTAACGTATGACCCCAGGTGATAAACAAGTTTTCGTCGAAATATATTAACTCGCCATTTGATGTACATGTTCTTTTGGAGCACAATTTGGCTGACCTTGCGGCTTTAAGACGCCGCTTCCGCCGGAACTTCAGTGGTTTCCACATACTGATTTGCCGACTCAAGCAGCTCATTGAGCTTGTCGTGTTTCGCTATGAACGCTTCAAAATCCATCTCCTTGAGCTGCTCTTTGAAGAAGCTCTCGATGTTGCGACCGATCTGCGCCACCCAGGTGTCAGGCTTGTTATATTGAAAGCAGTTGTCGAACACTAGCTGGCAGTCTTCGATGAACTCCTTAGGACTCGTGTACATGTTCTTTTTGATCTTGCTCCTGATGCACGAGTATGATATTGGCTTCTTGACGATGTCGAAATAGTCAGGACAGTTCTGCTTCTTGGGGTCTACCGGCCTCTCGAAAACGTAGCCACCCTCCTGCTTGCCCATCATCGATAGAATGTTGAGCCCCATCTGATGCCACTGCTTGACCAATGGGTTCCTCAGAGTCGAGAGTGGTGCGAACGGCGCATTTTTGTCCCAAGTGGCAAGTTCGGGGAATCGCAATTCAAATTCGCGAATCTTTACTAGCGGTGCATCAACCCATAGAGTAGGATCGTCTTCGAAGGGTCTGAACTGAAGTCTATACTTCTTCGGCTTGCCAGGGTCCTTCAAAACCACTGGCACCCCAGCCTTAATCTCATCTGCGGTGGAGGCGCTCTGCAACAATCCCTGGACATCTGCAGGGTCCGTGAGCGGCCTCTTGGCTTGTTGTGCGTCCGATTTAGACATGCTCTTCAACAGGTTGACGATTTCTGTTTGGTTCTTGATTTTGGCGAACGTAATGGCTTGTCGCCGCTGCGCGTCCTTCAAGTTGTAGTTAATTCCGTGTTTGATGAGGACCTTAACCGCCTCAAGGCGGCCGTCTCTTGCGGCGTAAAAGAGGCAGTTTTGTTTGTTTGTGTCAACAAGGTTTACGTCGGCGTTGCATGCGATAAGTGCCTCTAGCGTCTCGTGATGCCCCTCCCTGGAGGCATAGAAGAGGCAAGTTTGGCCGAGTCTGTCCTGGTGGTTGGGGTCGCAACCATTCTGTGCAAGGAAATCGCAAAACTTGCTCCAGCCATCTCTAGCTGCGTAGAAAAGCGCCGTTTGTCCCATGAGGTCGACGTGGTTGGCGTCGACAAGTTTGTATTCGATAATGAGCATCTTTGCGATTTCGTAGGCCTCATCTTCCGTTTTCCTGGAGAGTTGGCACAGAGGTGTTATGCGCGTATTTGGCTCTATGAGGGAATTCCTTTTCTTCATATACTCCTCTGACACAAGCACCTCCGGGTTGTTTTCGAGGTGTTCTGCGCTGCAGTCTGAAAAGTCTCGTTCCAGCACCTCACGCACTGCTTCTACACCCTCAGCGCCTATCGCTTGGACCAGCGGGCTCTTGATGTACGATTCCGCGTAAACCGTTGCCATTTTCGTTTATTGCGCGTCGACAGCGTCCGGCCCAGTGCCGACTCCAACGAAATAGCTAAGTTACCAAATGGCAGCCTTTTTACCAATGCTATACAGATGCAATCCGGTCATGCGCAGTTTGTGGAACGTTCTAGAACTGGTCGATGCTTCCGTCTCGCTGTGGCGCACTGTGTAACGATTCACCAGGAAAGCTGGCATCTACCGTGAGCACGTTGTGTTCGATCAAAAGTCGATAAATATGCTTAGCGGCCCGTAACAACAATTTAACGGATCTGCTTTAATTGGCTCCTCAACAGACGCGGCACAAGTGGTGAGTCGGCTGCATAATCTTCGACGTTGTTAGCAAGCCGTGGCACGCGCCATTCACTCGCCACCTTGTTTTTTGCGCGCTTCCTAATTTTTATAGTCCAATCCACCCCTATACCCGTCGTTATACGCGCGCTATGCCGCGAAGATAGCCCCCGCGTCGTGGGTGGCGTTTAACATCTATACTTCCGCGGAACACCTGTTGTATGTTGACGCCAATAATGCACCAATTAGTGTTTACAAGAGAATTCGTTGTTGATATTAGTAATATTACATAAGATTCTCCATTTTGAGCCACTACTCTTTTTTACGGGATAGATTTAGATTTTTCTATTACCCGCGCGCATTACGAGTTGCGTCGTTAGTGGCAGAGACTGACTTTGTTTTATCGTGAGTGAAAAATTGGAGATGTAAGCTGAAGTTGTAGAAGTTGTTCTCATTCACCATATCGTGTCTACTTCCAGGTGGACATGGTTAAGATTAGCGTCTCATTGTGTATGCGACAGTTGCAATATAAAACATTTTCGTTTATTCCAGCAGGCGGCGCGTGTAGTACGGCTGTCTTCGCTTCTGAGAAGAAACAAGGACGAGTTGCATAAAACGGCTATGGCCGTGTAAATTGCCGGCGTGCAGCGAAAAGGGTGCATAGCACATTATAGCCGGCTACAAAATTGCAACGCCCTGATCATTTTTGTGTAGTTCCAGCAGTATAACACACAAATAACAGTCGGAAGTAGCAGGGTTGTGCACGCTCCCTCGTTTATGTTGACGGCCCGAATGCCGCATGAGAGTACAAAAAGCGAAGCGGGACGTTGCCCACCGCCATTAGATGAATTGTTTTAGCGCAGGATAGATTCAAAAACTTTACCAAGCTATGCATACAATATCACTAACAGATTAAGACAAGGCGTTAATGGAGGGCAACAAAGTATATTAGACCTCTTTGCCATATTGACAACATTCTCACATGAGCGTATAACGCGCTGGGCCCCGGGTGAGAGTATTAGTGCCTATTGGAGACATAGGCGGGAACATGCTTTGGCACATAAAGTCGCACTTCGACAACTTTTCCGGCTTGCTCATGTCGACTTGTGGTTGCGGCGATGTGGGCTCAGCGGTCTCATTAGAGTTGTCGGGGAGGACACCTGCAAATGTGTTGTACGGCCCATTAAATTTTTTACCTTCTTGGGGAGTTGACTGATCCCATGTAACGTCACTGGGAACAGCTGGTGCTCTAAGGAATCCCGATTTGCGACAGAAGTACCCGCGGGCTTTCGCCAATGACATTGAGCGTCCACTAGCCTGAACATGTAGGACGATAGAGAGAAGGAGGAAGACGAGGGTGCGAAAAACGGAGGCTACGTTTGCCTTCATTTTTTCACAGTTCACTAGACAACCCTGAACAGCGACGAACAAAGCGCCAAAAGGTGGTAGCGTTTGGGGAAAAAAATACCCTAGTTAACGCAGCAGAGATGTATTTTATTGAATTTGTCACGTGACTTCGTGCAGAATCCAAGTAGCTTGTCAGGAGCCTGTGTTGAAGCTGCATGGCAAATTGGGTAACTGAAGACCGACAGCACACTGTACCGTCTCCAACTCAAGATGGTTATTTAGTTCACAATGTTTCTAGTGCCATATTTGGTTCTATAAAGGCCCTAAACCTTGGAATCTAAATCACGACGTCGTACCCTGCAAGCGAGGTCTGGAAGCCACCATTTGTGTGATTCGCGCGTCACACAGCATTAGCGTATTAATTGATGCACTAAAAGGCGTATGAATTTGTGTCGCATTCAAACCGTTTCGTTGTGATTGCGTCTGACGGTGTCTAATGCTCCTTCCTTGATCTGGGTACAGCTTGTCGCACAGGGAGTTTACATACATTGGCATATGCGACTTTTAATTACCCCGATACCACATTGTTATCGTTCTACAGCTTATGATTTAACATTCTCCCATGGTCTCATCCTTATTATCTGGGTTCAAGTTGGTTACTGATTCCCCATCCAAATCATTTCGCCTGGCAGTGTTAAAAGGCACTTGTTGTCTTAGTCAAAATTAGCCATTGTACTTGCTTGTCACTAAGTGCTGATCTACTGAGCATTGTTAAGGTACAAAATTTTTTTAGCATTTCTCTTCTCATTTTTCCATCGACCCATCTTGTGATGCGACGGTCGCCGCTGAAAAGCTGTTATTACGATCTTACAAAAGTACAATCAGTGCCCATCATGGAAGGCATTATCCATCATAAACTTCTTTGCCTTCAACCGTTTAATAGTACCGTAACAGCCCATAATTAGGGTTTGAAGACAACTGTAACGGCAGCAAAAATATAATTAGCAGTCACATAATATCACATTGAAGATTATCAACGCAATCCTCACTTGCCACATAATAACAGATTATCTGATAGATGTGAACTGATATAGTATGTATCACTGTTTAATCGCCCATTGATGGGTAGGTACCGTTGCGATGATGTGCTCGACACAACTGGCATGCTACTTTAATACACTTATAACGTTTTACTTAGACGTGCTCTTACACAAGCTGTATTTTAATTTAGTATTGTAACTAGATAAGAATATTATCTCCGATCATCCACCCACAATAGAGCTTGACCCCAAGCAGTCCGCTACCATCTATATGGCTGCAAGCATGGAGTCGAATTTGGCAAACAATTAATGTGGCTGCAACATTATGTTTGTAAATGTCGATACTATGGTGACCAATGCTGTGTAGAGTTGAAACACATCCAAAAAGGACAATTGATACGTTTTCGATGGGTGATTAGGCGCAGATATTTGTGGTGCTACGTGAAACATGGTTTAACATTGAACGAAGCGTTCAATTCCACGCAATCACTTGGCGTGACTAATACGATTATGACGGCGTCACACTTTGCGCAGAATAGGGCATACTAGCTGCTATTTGATGTGCCATTATAAACTGAGGTAGGGCAGAGTGGGTCGAATTGGGAAAGCGAGTAGCACTTGTATAACATCGATGAAGCAACTTGCGAATACTTAATAAAACATCGATAATACGTAAAACGTAGTGAACGCGCTGGTGTTTTGACCTAACGCAGCCTGACATTTACATGGATGAAACTGGACGGATTGGCATATAGTCGGTATGCGTTTTAGAGAGATTGATGTAAGCTATACGGTAGCGGATAATTTTGTAGATGAGTAATGGTATAGCTAAGTGAGGTTTTATTGTGTTATGATTAAGTGTTGGATGCTGCGTTGATAGGTCAGAACAGCACGGAAAGATCCATAAGGATGTTTTAAACCTCCGATATATTTGCGTAGCAGACGTCCGGAGATTAAGCAGGAGTTCTATAAATTTAGGTGAAATGATATGGAATGGTTTATGCATGTGACTCGGTACCGTGTATACTCGGCATCACATGCAGATGCGTGGTATCCTGCTGCAGCGGAGTTGAGGGGTTTACACGTGGATGCTAATTAACAATGGCAACGTCAACAATGTTTCGCAGATAATACCATGGCCGCCATATATTTCTAATTTCTCGAGGGCTTAAGGGTTCTTACCCCAGGTGATTCTACATAGGTGGGTTGTTCATTTCTGTGCATGGGTCATAAAATGGGTGACAAGGGGGACGTACAGCATTATTGTAACGGTGATATGACTGGAACTGACGGATTGATATGTCAAAGAACATGTAAGAAATGCAGGCACGTTTTCGTCTGTACGTGCCGATGCTGTCAAGAACGAAAGAAGGACGTACTCTTACTCTTTTTTTACTACGTCGCGGGCATTTTACTTCTTTTGTTCGTTTGCATTGCCGTGTGCTGGATGATCGAGAAAAGAAAATGGCCATTCCACAAAATCCACGATTACCTCTATAGCCTCCCAGACCTTTATGACCCCTACGAGCGCTATCCACCGCCAGGCACGTACTAGCTCCACCCACTGGATGCATATTTTAAGTATCGCAACAACAATGTGACATCCATATATTGGCATTTTGATGTCCGGACATGTTCAATGCAATTCCTGGCTACGCCCAACACGCTAACAACCAGGAAACCTATCATAATGTGTAGAGAAGGTATTACCATTAATTACTAACATGCACTCACCTAGTATAATGCTAGAATATTGACGCGAGGTTGAGGTTTTACCGTAAACGGCGGGAAACCGTTTGGTTATTGTTACGATGAGTGACCCATAGACTCCACCGTAGTAGCTTGCAAGCCTTTATTTACTCACTGCCTCACCTTTACCTTCGCTTTTACTAAAAACTTCAATGCCTTTATATTGTCTCGCTTGTGTTTCTCGGATGTCTTTGCCTTGTTCAGCTTTATGTAGGCATATAGTTGCACATCTGCCCTTTTCTTCAATTTCTGGCGCATATTCTTCTGACGCTTTCGTCCAATTTCCTGCATAAGTTCGGATTCAACACGGCCGGATTCATCGTTCCCTCAAAATTCATTGCAAGAGTCCCTCATCGCCGGTTTTGAACATCCTATCTATGAACATCTCATCGTCCTTTTCCTCATAGTCATCCGGATGCAGACCTTATCTTGTTTCCCGCTGGAGGTGACTCTTTCTCAAGCTTGGTCTATCGCAATCGTCAGCCTCGCCCACACAATGCTATACTGCCTAGTAGTTATGTTCATACGCTCTTATATAATACGCTCCAAGGCGTCTCACTTCACCAATGTCAAGGCGCTACTCAGTCACATGTAAAAACGGCTTTCACTGTACCGTGACGTTGACTACTTCGACGATGACACCGTCGTTCAACTTGGTGTCACTCGGTAATTATCGCAATCACGTTGTAACTTGTTACCTGGTGATGGGTTACGCTTCAGTAGTTATTAGTTGTAGTAGCAGCAAAAGTCAAGTAATGCGGTGTCCAAAACTCACAACGCCGAGATAACTCAGTCGAAAAGTCAGTAGTTGTCTAAGATGCCATAAGTGTCCGCCTGTAGATTTATATGCGCTAGTCCTCGGAGAGTTCTACTACATTAACGTTACATAGTTACTGCGATATTAAAATACCACGTGAAGTATGTGAAGCTACATTATGTTCCTAGACGGAAATGTGGAGTATCGATCAATGTCCATCCCCTCGGGAATTAGCATGATGCCAACTCATTGGAGACCAAGGTGCAATGTTGCCTTCGAGATGACATATCAGCACCTGCAATGCCCACTCAATAGAAAGCCCAGAAACCAGCGAAGTAGTACACTATGTCCCATATCCCGTAGCCCACATTGCTCAATGCCTTGCGGACCTTATAATAACCCAGACTATTGCGGGACTCCGGCTCTACGTAACCAACGGCTTTTAATACCTTTCTCAACCGTTCAGCCACCCCAGAGGCTCTACATTTAAAGATTGGAGGGTTGCTCGCATCCCACAAGGACAGTATGCCTGTGAACAACATGGGCGCTATTCCCACTAGGACTACTGCACAAGCTTCCGGGTTTTCCGCGCATGACGCATCCCACGTAGCTTCTGGACTGTAAGCAGACTTATACTGGTCAGGCACCTTCATATGATTTAGGAACCTCTCACAACCATACACAAGTAGGATCACGTCGTCTTTTACTCTTTCAGCAGCAGCATCCGTGGCTTCCACGACGTTCTTATAATCGCTGTCGTTTATACGAGTAAATATCTTACGGAGCATGTAATAATCTTTATCCATAGGCTTATTAAACCTCCCCAGCAGCTCGCTTGCGGGCCACATGCCCTTAAGCTCCGGTTTCTCCAGGAACTTCTTAGTAATAACTTTAACATCTTCTAGGGCTGGTACCTTCATCTTGCCAACAGGCTTGTCTGCTAGGAATTTGTGAAGTGCAGCACCCATGGCCGCCAAGTTTTTGTCAGCGTCCCTTCCCTTCAGGGCGATCAACCAGTCAATAGCCTCCTTGAGGTTGTGAGGAGCCTCGGTCAGCGAATTGTACACCATTTTGCAATGATGTGTTATATCAGATGGATGCTGTATATGTATTGGTTTTGGCTTTACACAAACGGATCTGCAAAAAGCCGCGTTGTAATCTAGTGTATACGAAACACACGTGCTGTTGTCTGCTAGTGCGCACGCACCTTATCAAATATACAACCACGTCAATGCACCGAATAAGTAAACGGTTAACGAGCGATGACGACCAAGAGGGCATATCACTTCCAGATCCATACCATTGACATGGCATGCCGTGCGCTCAACGCATGTGATTAGAGCTAGCAATAACGGCACACATTGAAGCTGATGATTTTATTACATTTGCAGGGACATGTCATAAGGTTGAAGAGTAACCGTGGTTTGCGGGCAGTATATTAGAGAGTCCACGCCTACTAGTGGCTACCACGTCGATGTACCGGCATCACCCAGTTTTTCACCCATAATCTCACCGCAAAAAGCGTCCTACCCATCCACTTAGTCATTAACACAGCAACGATTCATTTACCTAACAGATTTCCCTCCCTCCTAGCGTGATATGGGACTCCTCTGCTGACGGCCTGGATTGCCACCGGCATTTCCCAAATTGTATCACGAGATGAGACCAACGACTTGCAAAATTAACTTATACGATGCCTTGCCGGTTGATCTAGTACATTGACTAATCAGTCGCTGGTTAGGTGGGAAATTTGCGACTGCTATCACCTTCTGGGTTATCTGTTCATCACTCTGCAGGGTTTGTTGAGTCAGCTGAGGGGGATGCTGACGGCGGAGTTGTGGGCTCCGGTCGCTTTCGCTGCCCTAGTTTTCATATTGCTATTCGCATTTGGTGTTTACCTCTACAAGGCGAAGTCACCCGCTTACACAATAGACCAACTGTTCTCCTAATGGGGAGGATCTTCGTCCACCTACTCCGGCCCTGGAAGGAAGCATTTCTCTTAATTAGCCCATTCCTGGAGAAGCCCTGACAATGTTATATCATAATGTACATATACTATCGCAAAAGTTTAACGATTGACTTGTTTTACCTTTGCCCTGCAGAAGCATCTATTTCCAATAATGCATGATACAGATGGAATTCCACTTATCAACTTACTAAATGCAAATTCGTTACCACTAGACACCGGAACACAAGCTGAATATCACTAGGAAGACCTAATGTTGAATTTCATCAAATCCGCATGACGAATGTTACGCTTCAAACCACCATGGAACCTGCTTCACACCACATGAATATTAATGATGAAAAATGAGGTGTTATACAATACGTCTCCACAATTAAAAGCTCGAATTATCGTATGATGTATTTGTGAGGTCTAGGCCCACTGCCAGACACTGACAAACGTGACCCATCCAGCATCATTTGCTCCTATCCCTCCAGAACAAACGAGTTCACCCCCAACGACGAGATGCGGATATTTGGTAATCAAATGCACTGGAAAGTGAGCGCGACACGGAGTCAGCACAATCCCGCAAGTCGATCCTCGGGAGCACCTTGCGCAACCCACCGCCAAGCATAATCAAGCGCCCAGCGATGATTGACCACGTCGGAGTCCCGCCGTTATCGTAGCCGCCGCGCCCACAAACATCCATGATAGACTCCAGCGTTGAATTGAAAGAGGTCTGTAGATAACCCGATCTTGTATAAGTGTACGTTGCACTTACTGGCATCTATTGTCAATACTGTGGGAAGCCTTGAAGTCGTAACCCCGGACTGTACCCCAGCAGTCACTTTGCGGGGAGCCCCGCAAACTTAGTTACCCAGATGTCTATAACCCCGAATACCCTGCACCGCGCGCGAGCAGTGGCAGTATGAACATTCTTTTAGGATCAAACGAAGGTGAGAGTAACATGATTCAGTATGAGCTGACACACTAGCATATCAATGCACGTGTTAGCCGTGTATATCCACGGTGTGTAAAACGTGAAACCTTCGGAATCACGCTCACAAGAGCACACGTGGACGCCAGTCTGAATGTGTATCTCTACTTGAAGCATTATCCAGCTAACTTGCGTTACTGATTACTTCGCGAGATGGGTTCTCAAAAGCACAGCCGCCAGATGAACTCGTCGCCTAGAAAGGGACGGCCAACCAATATGTCCAGTTCTACTTCTACCGGTGCGAACAAGGATATACAGAAGTCGCAGAAGCCACCGGACAAGTTGTCGATATGGGATTGCGTGCTTATACTTATCAGTTTTTTCATTCCAGTGATTTTCAAGCACGTGGATTGGAATAGTCTAATAAACAAATTACTGTCAGGTGAGGGCAGGAGAGTTCGTTTGATTGCTGAGATCGTTGGCGAGGCGATATTAACTGTAATCGCTACCGTCCTCATGGTCATACCCGTGTCTGTCGTAGTTGGTGTACTCAAGCGTATCTGTGGTATCGAAGCGCATTATTATTTCGGCGAATACTATGGTAGAGACCATTTTGCGCCTCAAGAAGCGAATGACTCCAAGGATGATTGACCGCTCTACGGAGCTTTGTCACTGAGGGAATCGTTGCGTCAAGGTGGTGGCATAATCTGACGGCATCACGCTGCGTTACAATCCAATTTAGCGTACATTGGAGCAAACAAATGCTGTATGGGAATCCGGGCAATTGTAGTTTAGGAATCCCGGCGTTCGGCCCGACGGCCAAAATACGAAAACTGCTCGTGCTGTCTGACACGCAGAGTCGGGGGCCGCAAAGTGCGGTACGAAACATCTGGAAATTGAAGTTGTACTACAACATACACGCCAGAGAATGGGCCCCCAAAGCCTATGCATCTTACGGACATGCATACACACACGGAAACCCCCCATACACACAGCAGTACCGAAGATGATTGTGCGCTGGCCTATCAGACAAACCGTCATCGCAACCGGGAAAGTAAGTGTTTTTGGCAAAAAGTGAATTAATATATTGCGCATTGAAGCCGTTTATTGTACGGAACCGCGGGAAAGAGCGCAGTCTCCAAGCGGCTACCGCAGCATAAGTAATCAACGGCAGCCCACACATAGTCGCCAGGCAGAAATCGCATCGTCCAGTTTGAGTAAAGGACAATTATGCCAATTGAGGAAGACGGTGTCATGAGGGCATGCATTCCCCGCCCTACCTACGGAGAACATAACTAGCAAATCCCTGGAGGCGCCGTGGGTCTTGTCAGACACTACTCGCAACGCTTCACAACATTACAAGCATGGACGCGCCGATGCAAATATATTAACACCTCATGCGTCTATGTGTGTCAGCGTTGCACACGCCAATGACATGCGTTTTTGGTACTGCATGCAACATTATTGGGTAGACATGTCTACAATAGGGCATCTTGGCCGTCACGTTACATCTATCGTACGCATATTAGAAGTGCCCACGGGTTTCTATATCTCACTCAAACGCTTATTTATCGGCGTCGACGGCAGTGTTGTCATTATCCGCCATTAAGATACGTCTGTTTGCACACCGGGTTGTAGATAGACAAACACCTCACACATTTATATCAGTAGCCTAATCTAACCAATCTTTATAAAATGGTGTACAATTCGTTGACTGACACCCCTCACAACCTCAAGGAAGGTCTTGACTGGTTGATGGCGCTGAAGGGGGTTGATGCTACGAACAACTTGAAGGCTGTAGGCGAGGCAATTTACAACTTGCTTCAGAGCCGTGCTGTTGACACAACGGCGTTTGAAGCTGTAAAAGAAGGGGAGATTGAGGACCAGAAATCCGTCCAGAACATGCGGGGCACGTTCATTGGTAATAAGAATGCAGGCTCCAGCGGCCTTGCCACTTCCAAGCGTCTCACTGCTGGAGCCATCGCAGAGAGATTAGGTAAACTTGTGGATGGTTGTGAGCAGTTCCTGGATAGTACAACCGCCCATGAACGGTACGTGTCTGCCTACAGCTCGGAAGCTACGTGGGAGTCGTCATGCGCACAGGACCCGGAAGCGTGCGCAGCTACCCTTTTGGGAATTGCACCTATGTTATACACAGGGCTGCAGGGCTTGCGGTGGGTGTCTCAATGTGCGTCGTATGGAGGGTCGAATTCTCAGGCGGCTATGCGTATGCCAGGGATGTTGGAGGCATTGGGTTACAACAAGGAGGAAGGTAGATCTTACCTGACTGGTTCGTATGTCGCCTGGTCGTTGAGAGGTGTTGATAGAGACACGCTGTCCATACTGTATGACCTCGCTGGATTCTAGGACTTTGACTGAATCGGGATCAGTCTAGCCGTACAAACAGTTGAAAACAACGGAAGCAGAGTACAATACCCCGGTCGGTGTTCTCCATAGACATAACCACGAAACCATAGAAAATTTCACGCGTGTAGTTATCGCCAGTGGGATGCACACACGCTTCTTCCACAGCAATGCAACCGCCAGTCGGGAACAATTACAGCTCTGAACTTCTATTTAATCTCGTCCATGGCGCCGTTTGGTGTGTTGCTCTTCGTTACACGCTTCAACGTCATTATACTAGACAACTATTTTGTGTACTCCCCCCAGCCTACATCACCAGCGTGCGGCACCGCTCTGGTAAACGCAGATACCGGGCCAAGACACACATAGCCACATAGCACACCATACAAGGCAAAACCAAGATACTACTGGGCGGTAACCATAACGTCGGCTCCATGCGTGGAAGAGTTTAGATTCCGGTAGTCCATATGGCGTACGTTTAGACAATGAAATCAGGCTTCTATTGCGCGCCTTCGTTGACGCATCGTGCGTTGTGGCGCCTTCGGCGCGGCGTAAACCGATGATAAAGCGATGGTTAATGAGCCATCAAAACTTGTTATTCAGTCGTCTGACCTTGGCGACCTCGAGGTATTGTGCCAAATTGGTATAGCACGTGGTGCAAATTATCTTCAGACCTGCATAACAGTTAAACGTTGATGAACGTTGCTCATATTCAAGGATGATAGAGTGATGTATTGCGCGCCACGTCGTGTTAACACAAAACGGAAACATCCGGCAACAATACTAACCTTCTTTGGACTCCCATTTAACCTTTGTCATGGTTTGTTTTATCTTGTCACATCGCCAACATCTGCACGTCGTGTTATATCGTCACTGATCCAGAACCGGATTAAACAACACGTAAAAGACACGACAATCCAAACGCGAATGCCATACGTATTGTTATTGTAATAAAATCACTTACAAAAATGACTGTAGTGAAGGGTACTTGGCGACAGTGGCCTGACTCGTCTGGAAAGAGGAGTCAAGATGCTTCTTGGGGTTCGGATCGAACTTCTTAAGCAGTTTCACTGCCCGATTCTTATCCTTCAGTGTGGCCGTCGATGAAGCGAGGATTTGGAGAAGCTCACTTTTTTTATATTCGGTCTTCTTCGCCATATCGTGTAAAGCTCGTTTCGACAATGCGCATCAAAAGTGCCTTAGCATCGCACAATACTTTACCGTACAATGCGATAACAAAAATACGCAGAAGGTATTCTAGTTTGACAACGTATCTTGTCGCTGCGCGCCTTCTACAATTTAGGGACGATGATTAGACCTCTCGGCACATAATGCGATACACATACACACGTGCGATAAATATTTTAGAGTACTCAATTTTTAAAAGCAACGATCCGCTTCAACCTTTCCTTTTAACCGGTGTCTAGGCTCCGCACGCTACACGCGCCGACCTTCCATTCAATTTAAAAAGAGATGCCAATGCTTAAGTCGTGGCACACCTTAAAGTGCACCTGTAATATACCTACTATGATGATTAATTAGTTTATTGTATGATCGGAATGTGCGTCGCCAACTGCCTTTGTGCAGCATCAGCAGCGACTTAATGGTCTCACAAAATCTTGTAGCGCTTCTCCGCAATGAATGAGCTCATGCGTATGCTATACGGGACGGAGGAGTACCCAAAACTGCTCAATGTTCGTATCCACCAGCATTACGTCAGAGTTCGTAAGGATAACTTGACAATTGAGTTCAACGGCAAGGGGCGCTACTGCGATCCAGGCGTGAGTTTGAGTTCATGCAATGCTGTTTGCGTAGTTACATACTTTATTTACTGTGTTTGTGGTCTGTAATGTCGTTGGAATATAATTCCCTGGGAATGGAAAATGATACTTCAACGTATGTTCGCCATTGTTGTTCCAGACCTTCCATTTCCTTAAGTAACCTCTATGGGCATCTATCTAATTGCGTTGCAGTCTGTACAATCGGAATTACCGGCTCCTAAGGATTGCGTTTTATATTATTTCGAGGTCAATATTGTGAGTAGCGAGAACCCAGCCAAAGTTGTGGTGGGATTCTCGGATGGCAGCTACCACTTGAACCGATACCCAGGCAGCGAGGTTTCTTCCGTGGGATATCGTGGCGAGAATGGTCACGTCTCCCTTGGTAGCGGCAAGTGGGAGTCGTATGGTCCAGCCTACGAAAAAGGCGACACTGTGGGCTGCGGAATAAACTACCTGAAACAATGCTACTTTTTCACCCGCAACGGTAAATACCAGGGTAGGTGAATGCCCGAGAGTAATACTCTACCACCTATAATGCTTGTTCTTAACATCATTCAGGTGACGCCGGTAAGATCCACCATTGCGACAACTTCCCTACGGTTGGATTGGGTCAATTTGGGGACCACGTTACATGCAACTTCGTCGGCCCCTTCAAGTTCGATATCGCAAATGAATACCGTCGCGCGCTGGCTTCTGAGCAGAAGGAAATAAATGCGAGGCGCATCAACACGGATTCACTGGATGTTTTGGTATACACGTATTTGCTTTATAGTGGCCACCAGAGAACTCTAGAGGCGTTTAAGAGGGAACGAGGCGCTGTTTTAGTTAATAACGGAACTACGGCAAGCATCGAGGATTGCTCGATCACCGCCACAGATGCATTGCATGGTGATGCAAAACCTAAGGAGGAAGGCACCGACCACGCCTCAAACGTCAACGTTTGCGCCAAATCTCTGCACATCACAGAAGACGTTTTTCGGCGTTTTGAGTCATCGCTGAGTGTGCGTCACCAGTTGTCGAATCTTGTGATATCAGGCTGCTCCTTCGAAGCATTAAGTCTGCTGCATTCGGCCTATGTCGACGTAGACAGGCGGTCATTTTATTACTGCCGACTCCTGACCCAGCACTTCTTGGAACTGGTGATGAGCGGCCGGGTTGAGGAGGCCATCAGGTGGTTCAGGGGCGTCTACGATTTCAGCGTTAATCAGTCTCCCCGTTTCAAAAAACTGTTAGAGGTGAGTTCAAGTATCTATGCATCAACAACATTCGTTTTAGGAAACCATGGAAATTTTGTGTTACAAGGATATGGACGTTCACTCAGTTCGTGATTATTACGGCACTCGAAGGCGGTTATGCGTGGCGCGTGAGATAAATGACCTAGCACACGGTAGGTTACCACCTAATTGGCTATACACTCCTGCAGGCGACGATATTCAGAAGAACAGCCTGAGGGTTTTGGTGCAGTTTCTGACGATTGGTCGCCGAGATCTTCGTGCGAAACGAGGCCACAGTGGGCCGAAGTATTCTCCTTCCTACATTTGTCAGCCGCTGAAAACATCGTGACTATTTCTTAATGGCCGTTTGCAGCTTAGCTTTGTATTCGTCAATTATTTTCTGCGATACATCTTGCCCTTCAGTTTGTATCTTGGGCGCAAGAGACAGTGATTCCATGGCAAGGCGTCTTCCGTCCTCACTTTCCTCGAAGCGTTTCTATAACGATTATGACGCATTGCCAGAAAAATGTATGCATATAAGGCAATGATCACGGTGCGGCGCATCGTGTATGTAAATGGCGTCAATACACGCTATGACGCACGTTAACAGCAAAATGGCATTGGACAAGACATTGAACGCACATATGATACATGTAATGTGTTATGAGATGTCACAATTGGACGTTCGAACACCTTCCTCGTCGAACCTTCCATAACTACCAAGCATACCATCGCCATTTAAAATTAAGTCACTACAGGCACGCGAACAGCTACACATCCACATCATACATAGCTATAAGTATCCACAGCACATGAATCCATAACCTTTTGATCATATAACTCACCAGCGCCTCGCGTCTTGTGAGCTTCAACCTGTAGGTCACGAAGGCGTATCCGAGAAATGCCGACGATCCCAGGAAGATCATGAACTTTTTGCAGGACATTGGTAAGTGTTACGAAGGTTGCTGTATATTTATACAACTACTGCCATGGTGTGTTGTCACTCTTGGCACGATAGCCTAGGACGGACGCCCGTCATTCGCTGCGATCAGTCGTAAAGAAGATGTCTTTACTGACACATCGTTCTGATTAGAGTCAAGATGGAGTCTAATAGCTCCGACGCGGGCCCTGGTGACTTGGAGAAGCGGTTCAAACCGCTCGGTAAGCACCTTGGCGAAGGTACCTATGGTACCGTATCGATGTTCCTGGATACTCTAACTGGGAAGTAAGTTGGTTGTTGAGTGATTTGAAGGTGATGTGTCTACCTGTGCTCACTGAAATATGATATAACAAGTCTTTCTCATGCTACCACGTACAACGCTCTGTGCCCATGAAAAATTTTGTTATTTTCTTCTTGATGCTGAAACTACGTTGCATATACTCTGACATCAGGAGATGTATTGTATGTGCTTGTCCGTTTTGAAATTTTGACGACACCAAATGGCGTGCATGCGATGCTCCGCTTTATGGTCGTACAACATTCTCGTATTGCATTTTCTGTACATATCGTCAGTTTCATCTGTCTCTTAGGAATGTTGCCATCAAGAAGGTTAAGAACATCGAATGGAAGGGAGAACGGCAGGTGGTGGGTATGGTGGGCATCCACTTTACCACGCTCCGTGAGCTTAAGGTGATGCGGGAGCTCAATCACCCTAACTTGATGGACGTGGTTGCCGTATTCGTATCGCAGGGGTTCATCAACATCGTGATGAATTTGATGGCAGGTGACCTGAAGAAGGTTATCGATTCCAGGGTACGGTTGACCGTGCCGCAGCAGAAGTGCATCATGTGGCAATTGCTTAAGGGCCTGGAAGAGTTGCACGGAAACTGTTTCGCGCACCGTGACCTGTCTCCAGCAAATGTGTTTATCACAGATGGTGGTGTTTTGAAGATTGCGGATTTTGGCCTTGCACGGAGGTGCGTGTACAGCCCGATGGTCCCTCCCACCACCAAGCGTATCAACCCGGCAGAGCTGGATAAGTACTGCGTTAGAGAGAAGATGACGTATCGCGTTGTGACACTGTGGTACCGCAGCCCCGAGCTGCTGCTCGGCGCTGAAGCCTACCACTTCGCCTGCGACTTGTGGTCTGTGGGTTGCATCTTCGCCGAGGTGTTGGATCATAAACCTTTGTTTCCGGGAACAAATGAGATCGATCAGATCGGTCGCATATACAAGTTGCTTGGCACGCCATCAGAAACCAACTGGCCCAATGCCATGAAATTGAAGCTGTACACGCCTTTCAGCGTCGAGCAGCCTAAGCAACTTGACAGTGTTTTAAAGGGGCAGTCACCTGAAGCTCTTGATCTCCTACAACGATTGCTAAAGCTCGATCCGAACGAGCGCATCACTGCTAAAGAGGTAGGCTGTGTGACCGGTTTGTTAGCATGTTCAGGCCTTGGCCCACGAGTACTTCACCACTCCCCCGATGATGTGTAAACCCGAGCAACTACCATTTGACTTCATGGAGGGGTACGTATCAGCTTGTCGCGTTAATTAATGGTTTGTAGGAAGAAATCGCTTTCGAGCGCAAAGGCGGGGCCGGGGATCAAGACCGAATAGAGGTTGTAGCGGTGCAGCCAATCGCGTATATACGTTAAACAGCGAATAACTTACATTAAAAATAGTTAATACAAGAGTTTTATGAAAGTGTGGTGACGTTGTGTAGTGTTATCACAAACGTTCTCCCGAGTTGTAGTTCAAATGGGTGAATTCCGTTCCTCCTCCACAATCAGTGCCACGGCCATGCCCCGCTTGAAAGTGTTTGCCATTGTGTGTGCAAGTTCGGGTCCGTAGCAGACGTGGGCGAACGATTTGTACTTCTTGCGCTTGCCTTGCTTCCACGTGACAACGGATCGCTGCTTCGACGTGTATGAGCTCACCGGTTGTTTGCGTAATGGTCCAATGCGATCCATGCTAAATGCATCCATGTAGTAGGTCAGTATTTCAAATAACTTCGCATCTAAAACGGGATCCATAGTGGGCTGACGATGTTCGTCTTTGTTAACGACGCCCAGGGCATATCCGAGTTTGAGGGTTAATGCGCGTATTTGCTCGAAACTGAGACATTGCGCAAGTTCACCCTTATCATCGTACCTAGGAACCTGAATCCACGCCTTTTCATTGAATTCCTCGCTGCTTTCGGATGCTACCCGTGTAGGAAACCCATTGTCAGTATCGCTCTCACCCAACATGTTGGTAAGGTACGACGCAACATCCTCAAAGGTTTTATGCGTTTCAATCTCTTTATGTGTCGATATTGTCTTACCATGATCGTCAGACAAAGGGGTAAACTTCCACAGCGTGTCGTCAACAGAATCTCTACCGCCCATCACGTTGCCGAGAAACCGTATTTCGGGTGCGAAATTCAGACTTGTCTTCTCGTTGTTCCTGTTTAGGTCACCTAGGCCATTTGACAAATTATTACTCGAAACTTCTGCCTCTGCAACGTCATAATTTTCGCGAAAATCGTACTTCATGGGTTCATCTCGATTTTTAATGTCGGAAGAATCCATATTTCGCAGCATGTGTTTCAAAAACGTGAGGGTTAAAAACTTTGAATTTAACATGACCCCGTATTTGTCTCGTACCCGCTGCACAACTAGCATAAACATGTTGCTGCAGTTTTTGTAGAAGGACGTGCGTACCACCTTCCAGGTATTCAGTAAAAATTTCTGATGCACTTGGATCCTCTCCATCAGCAATGTCACGTGAAGAGCTGAGGCTAGAAACGTTTTTCTGCAATGAAGCTTTGTTCGGGAGCGCGCATTAAGCATATTAAAATTCGGCTTTAGACCGCATTTTTCGGTCCACTCCACCAGCCTTAAGGCGGTATCGCGTACAAGATCATACTTTTCTTCGATCATAGCAGCCATGCGACTGCGACGTGCTGCAGGGAATTTCACAACATCATCTTCGTGTGTTTGACGTTGTCTCGGCGAATCCTGTCCATGTGACAATTCATCGTCTTCGCCTTTATTAGATGGCGTATTGAGATATTCTTCCAGACCGCTTAAACAGGGGTCTTGAAATAATCGAGCTACCTCTGGTGATATATTTATTTCCTTGGCTGCAGGCAGCACTTCGTTGCTTGTGTCCGATTGCCTCAGCGCAAGGATAAGGTCGTCCAACATCTGGCGAATGATGTTGGCATTTGGTACCACGGGCAACCATTGTATGTTCGCTTCAGCGCATAATTTAGAAACATATTTTACAAACCGCCTCAAATTCAAACTTCCGCTGCGCTTTCGCAGTTTGTGGAGCGCGTCTCTTACGCTAATTGTCCTTTGGCATGACATGCTCTGAATGTAATGTAGTGCCTCCACCAGGATCTCCAGGTTCTTGTGACTGCTCTCGAGTTTTTTTCGAGTATCTAACCGCTTTAGAAACAACGTGTATATGCCATCCTTGTCGACTATGCCTAAATTTTCGCATATTGAATCGAAGCGTTTTTTGACCTCCCCATCGCGGTACTGTGTCATCCCATTAGTGCCAAAATTGTAAAATTGTGCTCGCAACCGTGCGTGGCGCATCGGTCTCCGTCGCCAGTTAATCTTTGGCCTAACGACGGGCACGCTGTCGTTGCCATGGTTTCCTCCATTTACTTCGTCTTCTTGGGCATTGTTAATGATGAATCCCTCCAGACCAATGACGCCTTCATTTTCAGCGTCTTCGACATCCATCTTTACCTATTTGTAGACGATAGTGCGTTCGAATAAATATGGCGCATTGAGAACGGATCTCGATGCGCGCCCATCAATAAAATACTGCTGGAGAAACATGTATCTATCATGGTGCTTGGTATCTTGGATATGTGATGTTGACGAATGAAAACGAGTCTTGAATCACAATCTAGGCGCTTTTGACTCATCAATGAACGTGCGGCGAATTTATTTGTGGAAAAATATAAAGCGTGTAATCGAAGCCTGTATTACTAACGTAAAAATGAGGATTATATGCTCTGACACGTCCTACAAAATTAAAACGTCTTCAGCACATCAAAGAAACCAATTTGAGCCGATATACGGCCTTCCACCGAGCAGAAACGACGCGGCGTGGGGAATATGTTGAAAGATCCAGATCATAACGGCCATAATATATCAGATTCTAATGATTACCTGACAGGGATTGCACACGATAAACGCAACAACAAATTTGACACGTATGCTGTGTCTAGAAAACAGACGTGTGACATTGCGGGAGTCACCTGTTACAAACGCGTCGATGCGTTTTCTCGTACAAACATGCCACTAAATAAAGAAAATCCACGTGCAATTTTCGGGTGACGTTACACACCATTCAACGTTCTGTAGGAAGGCTGAATGTGTCTACTGAGCTAGAATCACCTGGCAGTGTGTAGGCCGCAGAGTCACCAGAACGATGTGCGCAGCCTGCGAAATGCGAAACCGCAGTCATTACAAATCTAGCTTTAGATTGTGTTACATGCAGCCGAATGTTCTCCGTTGAAAGAATCTAATTTCTAGCTGTTGTCGTTGGAGATGTTTTTTATCCGGTATTGATGACACATCTAAACCATTGGCACGGATGCATTCATTCACCAACTTTATAGAGTTTTAGTTGACAATCTACTATGTGCATTTAGTGGAATTACGCCGAGAAGCTGTCGTCAATATACCGTATATTCCGTCATGTCGCGTTGAAGGTGCCACCTGCAAATGCCGTCATACCTCCATGAATATACTGGATTCCAATCATATTTGTCAAGAAAATAGTTATGAATGTTTTTGAAAACCGGTTTTATTTGCACAATGGTATTCGCAGGATCCCTTTGATGATGTCTATCTCCCGTAGGCTATGAGCATTGGCAGCTATGCTAGGTAGATTACTGCCTCTGATGTGTATATGGACACTAACTGCTGCAGTAGAGGACGTGAAATGGTACTCTAAAAGGTTAGCTGAGGAGACTTATCGTGAAGTGAACAACCGCTTCATTGCGGTTCGACCTTGGGATAGAGTCATACAAGTTGATGAATGGTCCTATCGGCATTGGATTCTATCGAGGAACCCTCACTTTAACTCCGCGGTGTTGCTGATCGACTCGTTTAACCCTGTTCACGGAGACATTCTAGACGTATTTAGGTCAGTAGCCCATCACTCTTACAGGACTCCAACTGAAAAAGGATTTGGAGGCGAGGGAGGTGGCGATGCAACTACATATTTCTTCTACGTAGATGTCAGAACGCCGGGGTGTGATTGGATTGTAAATCTCCATCAACTGAAACATATTCCGGATTTGCTATTTTTCCGCGCTGGGAAAATCGGCCAGACGAATGGTATATTTGGAGTGGACAGCTTCAATGAGTGGGTGTCTACAAACGCAGCTTCAAAATGGAAATTCAACGAAAGAGAGTTATTCGAGCAAATGTCTCGTTTCTGTGAGGTGAATGCGAAATCTGCTAGTAAACGGGTCCTCGCCACCAGCAACCTTCGATATATTCTGCGTCATGACATTGCATTAATGAAATCGGTGCTATGGATGCTCCCAGTAATCATCATTTTTGTAGCTCTACTCATTTACACAACAGTGTATCGACAGTGCTTGCTGTTAAGATTGGGTTCCGTTGCACTGTATACCGTAAACGTAACTTGCTTCATATCAGCCATTGCAAACTACACACCCGCCGTTGGTTTGATTGAAGGATTTCAGTGGCCTCCATTAGGTATACTGCAGAAGTTTTACTTCGAGTTGGGGATGTCGCACTACTTCAACGAGAATGTGATCGTATCGCTGATGTTTTGTATATTGTCTGCGACTCTACTGACACTTCGTAAATGCGTTGCGTTTGATCGTGGCGTGTTCACGGTTCTGCTATTTACGTTGGGGCTGATAGTGACAGCGTGGTATACTATTTCGCTGTTGTATCGGAAGGGCGTGCCGTTCTGCGTCGATTGGATAGCTGAATCATCGATCCCTCGCGGATCGATTGACATGGAGTGCTACCATCTCTTCTAAAGGCGCATGCAACTTCCTGGCCGCCATCTGCCTTTAATTCGCAAACATATCGCGTGGCACTTCCACTGATCTAATTGCAGTCATCTCTTTATACGGAACACAGACGATCTGCATCGTTTCATGCGATACATGTTCCTGAAATAGGACCTATGATTGCACCAGTTGACCGACAGTTACTAACGTTACATTAAATACAAACAACTTCCACTACCATAATTAATATCGGAATTGCCAAGGCAGCGTGGTGCAAACTTATGCTTAAGAGAGAGCGGGGCATGACTACCTGGAGGAGGATCCGAAAGGGAGTTCTATAGGACAGGACGATACGTTAAAGGCGATGCGCTAGTTGATTATGGGTATTAAACCCGGGTACGACTACGATTGCGTCAAATACCATAGCTTCCGGACAGGATGGATGCCATAATGGATGACACAAAATACGCTCGGTAACAAGAAGGCGCGTAACCCGCATTCGTCACCGCCAGAATATGGTATTGGCTGCGTAAACATGAAAATCGGCCCAAACTAAACACAACTAAAAAGCGCACAACAGTATTTGAAACACAGCGTTGAAACATCTTGCGAAGGCTGTCGAAGGCAAGTAAGAAGCGTCAAATGGAACGTCTCTTAGGCCGAAATCCACATATTTGTTACACATAGCTGATTTGATTTTACACATTCACTACGGATGCCTCTTTTCCTGTAGTTGTGTCATTTTGTGGTAAATAACCACCTGCATTACTCTTGGGTAGAAACTAATGTGTATATAACTTTTACGACGTACATAACGTTCGCATTATCGTTCACATGAGATGCATATTGCGAAGCTTCATTGAACGTGAATCCACCTCAATGAATGATATGGCAGGTGGCACTGTATAAGACGGCTAGCCTGGATCGCTCTCTACCGATCCAATATTAGGAGCTACCGTTAACTATTGATTCAAGTCATTTGAATAAGATAACTAGTAGAGAAATACAACAAAAATGGTGGGCACTGATTCAACAACGACTAAAAACAAAGTTGAGTATGATGCGTTGGCACAGGCGCTTTACTACCTTGTGTCTTTTATCGAAGGATACGACCATCAGATGTTGTCCATGTGTATGAGGGCTTTCGAGTTGACTTTAGGCTTTTCTCAGTCTCAGTTGTCTACGTTGGCAACCGTGTCTGCTATGTCCCGTGTGGGTTGCTGTCTAATTTGGGGATTGCTTGCAGACAACTACGAATCGAGGCACGTACTTGGCGCTGGTCTGTTGGTTATGGGCATGGCTTCGATTGTTCTAAGTTCTGCGTCGCGGTATAGATCAGTAGGTTGCCATTCTTGCACCGATAATGCAGTTGCAGATTCTGTTCTTGCGTTTTTTGCACGGCTTTGGATTCGCCTGCGTCTACCCCGTACAACAGAAGATCGTTTCCGATACAACGAGCTCAATGAACGACAAGAAAAAAGAGGAATCAGCGGCTAGTGGAATATTTACAAGTTTTCAGACTCTAAATTGTATTGGACGATTTTTGTGCGCGGTCATAACCACGTTGATTGCGCGAAAAGTATTATTGGGGTATTATGGCTGGCGTACGTCCTATGTTGTGATAGGTTACGTGTGGGTTTTGTTTGGTGTTTGTATCGTATTTGGAATGATAAATAAAGGCGGTAAAAACGCTTCGAAACAAGGATTTGATAATATTCTATCGGGACAGTTTCCCGAAGTTTTTAAGAGATCAACTACATGGCTGCTAATATTTACAATATTCATAGCAGAAGCTCCAATGTCGGCGTTTAATTATATTACCATTTATCTGCAATATTTGGGAGTATCTGACACAATGGCTGGCGTTGCGATTGCTATTACATTGATTGGCGGAGCAGCGGGAAGTGGGGCAGGAGGATTAATAATAAAGAAAATTGCAGAAAACTATAACAGACAGGGCGAACTTAGTTCTGGAATGGTAGTAATGATCATAAGATTAGTTGTCTGTCTAATTTTCTTCTTAGGAACGGCGCCAGACGGACGTTTGCTTTGGTATCATTACGTAGAGTTGGCAACGCTTGGGGGGACATTAGTAACGGTTGGTGGTGTAGATAGGTCCCTTTTGAAGAAGTCAATCGAAGATGAACACCAGGGCACAGCGTCTGCCGTGGTCAGAACGATATCCGGTATCGCAAGTAGTGTAATTCTCTTTCAATTTTCTGCATATTTGACCGAGAAGGTGTTCGGCTACGTCCCCTCGAGGGAGTCATTTGAAACCATGGATGCAGCTGTTAAAGAAAGAAATGCCGAAGCACTGAGAAAATCAATGATGTATATTATTTTGGCGGGAGCAATACTAAACATTGTTTGCTATATTGGATTGTGTATTACGTATCCCCAAACTAGGACCCATGTTAAAAACGCAAATACGAGCGCCAAACAGAAAGCACAATGTCAAACGCAAGTACAAGAAAAAGTGGCTCAGTTCACCAGGAATTGAGGTAACGCTCAAAGGAAAGGCAACTACAAATGAGTAATCGTCCTACTTGCGTCCGTTCTGAGAAATGAAGTAAATGCGTACTCTAGCTTTTTAGTAACGTTAAGAGTATCAGTACTAAGGCTATTATATATTGCCTCGTCCTCCGGTATGGTTGATGTTTTGAATCGTGCATCTCTGCAAACTAAGCCACCGCCAGTAGATCATTCATGCATTTTAGAAGGATGTTACTTCGTAATTGCTGAGAGCGCTAATCACGCACGAAGCCTATGCTCTACAGCCCATCGTTACATGCCCATTTGTCGTCGGTGCCCGCCGTGGTACTGAAGCGGAGCCTTTACCCGTGCTCATTTATTGCCATAAGTCGGTGGTGGAGTAATGTTGGTAAGTTGTAGGTTAACTTGATTTTTAGTTGAAGACGACAGGGCATCGACAACTAAGGAATCTATATATTACTTTATGACCGACGCCAACTATTCCAGGCACAAATGAGGCCTTTCGAACACAAAGCATTTATACTAGTATATAAATAACGTTGGCGCATGTCAAACGTTGGTTGTCAGTGATTTTTGTTTCGTTAATGAATCCGCATTACATCCGCGCTGTATTTGTTGGATGCAGAATGATGTGTTATGGATTCGAAGGCCAATTCCACAACGGAATTCGTAATACATGGTTTCAATAACGCCGTGTGTTGGGTTGGTGTAGGGAAGGTTATAATAGGTGACAGCATTTTGCTGTATGCATTACATACGATATTTCCCGAGTCTTGAAATTGTGGCACGAGAAAATTATCTGATACTACATTGCAATTGAAATTGTTATTGCGATATTAACATCCTGCGTGCGTTATGTGAAGCTACGTTAGTCCCTTGTATTGGAAGGCGGAGTGGCGATCAATGTCCATCTCCTCGTGAATCCTCCCACCGGCGAGATTAGTGGATGCGCCGGATGATTTAGGCGAATTAGAAAATGCAGCACGTATTGTAGACTTCATCCTATGGAATTTTTCGGGAAACATGGCCCAGAAAATAAAGATGATTACCAGAAGTATAGCGAAGGCAACAGCTACTGAACCGTAGCGCCAATATAGACCTTGAAAACAAGTTGTGCCGCAGGTCTTGCAGTAGGCGATGCAATCGCCGTCTCTATAATCTTCGGCGAAGGTGCAATGGTAGGACACGCCTGTGTGACCATTGCAATGACCTTTTATGCACTTTCCTTGGTATTTGCCATGACCGTTGCATGCGCCTTTTATGCATCCCTTGTTTTCTCCAGGCTTGTTGAGCACGAAGCCGTCACAATTTAGCTTGCATGAGCTGCGCGGACACCATTCACAACAGTTGCAAAGTCCATAACCACACCCACAGCTGCAATTACGACATATACATATGTCACCTGCTCTTCGATTTATGCATTTTGTCCTGCATCTTTTACATTGGCTCTTTGAGCACGGCGTTTCGTTAACTTGTCTACCGCATTTTTTATTACATCCACAGTTACAAATAACAGCATCACATTCACATTTACCTGGCGTGGTGCATTTCTCCTTGCAGTTCATACATCCCTGCATACATGTCTGCTTGTTGCACTCCTCACAATCCGGTTCACAACACACTCCCTGCTCTCCCTTTTTACACTCTTTGAGATAGCATTTACAAGGATTGTCGACTCTCTCCACCTCTGCTTCCATTTTCCCATCATCCATGATATCAGTGAGCCCTCCACAGAATGCAACATCCTAGTGCAACCGGCAGATAGCAGCCGCAAGCGTCCCAGCTAAATGAGCCTACTAAAGAAATCACTGCGCAACCATGAACAACGTGCCCACATGGCGGCATCAGTTGGGAGATTCCTCAGCTTCCCACCAGGACCATAGATGTGTACTAACGTCTTACATGCCAGTGTTTGCTATCTAATAGCATACAGAGAACAAAACGCTTCTCAGGGTCTTGTGTTACAGACGCATAGCACACCCTGCGGTCATGGGCCCAGAACAGAGACGTCTGCATCCAATACAGTTGAGTTCCTTGTTTCACAGAGTAGATAATATTATGTTGAGCCTTAATGATACTTAGAAATCACACCTGCCGTTACGCAACGTCTCAAGCTGGACGCGGGGTGTGGACGGTACAATCTGCATGACTGAAATACCGACGGAGTCACTCAATTGAAACCTGTAATTATAGCAGCATAAGATCGGGGAGTATTCTTACTTATATGATGTTGCTGCGTTGGGCGATGTGCGACTAACTTCCCGGGAAACAGAACACAAGCTTTCTTGATGCACTCTGCTCTCACCAGTCTTGGCAAATCCTCACGGGAAAACCACACCGTCATCATCAGCTGCGTCATTATTCAATGCTTGTATGCCATAATGCTTCTTTAAATGCCAATTTTTAATCTTTTTAATGCAAACGCAATTAGTTCACTTCACCAACTGCTTCTCTCTGTTGCAATAACCACAGAGCAGACGGTCAATGTAACCAGAAGGAGCTGCCTAATATCAACCGATCGGGCATCGGTAGTATTATAAATGGTTTAAGCGTTGCCCTTCAATGCTGTGTAATGAATTTCCTTGTTGGAGGTCCTCCCGTAGCGGATGGCACATTGTTACAAGACCCTTGCAGAAGCATCACCGTCTGCCATTCCGTACTATCCGGAGTCATATAAGTTATATTGTCGTTATCAGTTCAATTCGCCAGCACCATATCTCAAATTGCGTTTCGTAACAGGGTAGAGGCGGTAATAATTGGATTGGTGTTCTGTAGAGGATGTCGCATAGACGAAGCACACTCCGCAGTTGGAGCATTATAACTGTCAGGCCGTTATATTTCGACTGCCAAACTGTGCCTTATGTGGCCGAATTGCAGATCGCTGAGGTTGGCGTCACTGTCCAGACTTGCTCAGTTAACTTGATTGGAAAGATTGCTGCCGTTATAGACTGATTGTTAGAAGTACAAGAATTTGAATTATACATGTTCTGATTATAATAGTGCCTTTAGCACTCGTTGTAAAAATAATCGGACCACACTAGAGGCTGATGTAGAGACAGGCCACGAACACTCACCAAAATCACTGTCGATGTTAACTTAGCATGGTCAGCAACTGTGACATCTGGCGGCAACGTAAGGGATGGGAATATCAAACATAAATGTGGAAAGAGTCGTGAATTTTGGTACACGAAACAATAATGCATGATATGGTCCCTTGTTCAGCGCCCCCATAGTACATTAATTGTGAGGCATTTACCCAATTACTCGTTACATGGGGAGCACGGATTGACGTCATGAAGTGCAATGTCAAAGACGACTATGATTACATTTGCCGGCTAATGGTGCGTATCAACCGCTGTCTGATGTTACTGCATAAACAGGTGCGGGGTCAGGCCAAGTTGAGGTGGGGAAACTGACACCCCTTCATAAAATCAACGATTCAACTTCGGGCATGACTAGAGATTACTTAGACTAGTAATGTTCTTATACTGTATGTGTGATTTTTAGCGTGAATTACGAAAAATCAGATCGGTGATTGGGCCATAGCTGAATGGCTGAAGTTCAGGTGAATAAAGGTGTACAACGCGCTATATATCCTAGTGCGATGAGGATTAAAGAAGCGATGAATCAAGCCTTGGATGTAGTTACGCAGCAGTTACAAGGAATAATCAATCCCGCTTGAAGTTACAGGTGACACGTTGACGAGTTGGAATACCACTTGTCAATCACGAAAATTTTAGAATGTTTCAGCAGCAAAATCCCTACTTTATGAACATCAATGTTGCATGATGTAGCAATTGGTTGTACACGTGAGTAGTTACGCATATGTCGCTCCCCGCATGTAGTGATGTAGTATCCCTTGACGACGGATTGAAGGGTGGATCCATATTCGCCAACGACTATAACAGTTTTAACAACTCCTTTATTTCAACTTACCTATCTAAAAAGTTCCAATTAATAAAGGTGACTAAACGTGCGTTGATCAACTGACACCCACACTTCAGTTACGTGGTGCATATCTGTGCAGGATGGGCGGATCACCTCCAGAACCCGCAGTGAAAATTGGCGTGCCTTTAATCATCATAGCTGTTTTCCTATTCGCTACCATGCTAATATCCGCCATGATTATGGAGAGGAAATGGCCTTTTGAAGACATACACGACTGGCTCTATAACGATAGAGACCTTTACGACCCATATGAGCGTTACTCGCCGAAGGACCGCTATTAGTTTTTCTTAGTCCACGTAACATTTTAATATCGCAATGAATATGCCATTTTAATGTCGCACCAGCTATCTTCATTGCGTTCTGCGTAGTTCGGTATTTTGTGGTTACCGTAGTGTTTTCTCGAACATTCTTATGGCACCTCCAAGCCTTTAGTCTAGTAATTAACTATAAATGAGCCTAGTCTACAAAACGTTCCTGCGACCGTAAAGCCTAGGATGTGAATCTATTGGTGTCCATCATTACCTGATTGCGCTCCGGTTTTTTGGAATACAACGAATATCTGTGTTCTCCCACTACGCCATCCATTTTTAATTATCCATATCCATCATTTCTTTAACATGAGAATCTGTCTCCACAAATACGCCCAGTGTTATGCGCACAAAATTGCCTAATATTCAACTATCTTACCTCCAACATCCGTCTTAGAGGGACGTTTTACATTGTTCACTATGGTATTATGCGCCGAAAGTATATAATGAACGAACAATATTGTATATTCAAAACAAATGTGAAACCCTGTAAGGATTCATGCTCACAGTGAGGATAACTGTAAAAATGGAAAGCAATGTTTACGGTAAGCGAAGCTAAGGATGAATCGCATTCACAATTAGGTTTATATTGGGTCTCATATTTTTACCAGCATTCTCGCTCTTATTATTATAGAAGATATGATAATTTCGCCAGGCCATTGAATATGTTGCCAATTATCCACACCTTTACCACCATTTAGCACAAACCCGACGTAGCAGGCATGTTGACCATTGCATAGTTCATACGGTCTTTTGGTTTACACATGTTCGATTGGACGGAGTAAAATGCGATACCGATGTTGGCCCAAATTACTGTTGACCACTAACAAAACGATAAGACATCGGCGCCACATTTTATTAATAACATTAACGCTGCAATTGTCAGGCTCTACACCTGCCACGGAGCGGACTATTATCAATTGTTATTATTCGCGCGGCAACGGGGCAGATTCCAGAAGTCCCTAAATCGGGGGAAACAAAAGGAGTTCGTTATCGTAAAAGTATGTGTTACACACCATTAGGCAACACAATTTCGACATTTATAGCTGCCTTAAACATCAGCAACTTATTCTATTCCAAACGTTTGAACACCTCCGAGGAAATGAATACGCTTTAGCCTGGGCGTCTAAAAAAACGCCGCTTTAAGCGCTTTAGGGATGTGCTAAACGACAGCTCAACCGCTTACAGAATAATTCAAACTACACACTTAAAATATGTGTCACCCATTGTTCTCTAATTGCTTAGTTTAAGAGCGCGCAAGACGTCGAGGCACATCGGAAGTGATGTCCTATCAATCGCAGGTACCGACTGATTCCACACCCTCACAAATGTTGTACACAGTGAAAGGTAGTATATATTAAAATATTTTTTGGCTTATAGGAAACGGATTTTCCCATCTGTCGCCTCTGAGACCCCGGACGCGGCCTCAGGCGGTGACCCCACCAAGCGGGTAACGTCCGGCTGTGGTTTCAGCGCAAAGTCGGAGTCACATCCACTGTTATTCTGTGGAAAATTTAGTCGACGCTCCACTAGGTCCGTGGTGCGTACTCTTTTTATCGGGGTCCTTTCAATTGGTAAGTTGGCAGGGCCATTGGACGTGCCACACGTTTCACTACGAGCGACTCACATATCGTTCAGGTACAAAATGGCGGTTAAGGAGAAGAAGTCGAAGGAGGCCGTGATGCGTGCGGCCATGGCCTCGCGCGGCAAAAGGAAGGTAGGTGTCGGCGCCTTCTGAGCGCGCCGATGTGTGTCGTGGCTACATATCCGCACAGAAGTGGGTGAAGGTCAAGACCAAGGACAAGGTCAACAACGCCGTTTTCTTCGAGAAGGCCACCGTGGACAGGTTGATGACCGAAATCCCGAAGGCTAAGCTGATCACGATCTCGACGATCGTGGACAAGCTCAAGGTGAACGGCAGCCTGGCCCGTCAGGCTCTTGCCCACCTGGAAGAGCAGAAGCTGATCAAGCCCGTGTGCGGCCAGCACCACGCGCAGCGTCTGTACACCCGTGTCTAAGCGGGAAGCCTTTGATGATGAAAGCTTACCTTGAGTGCTTTGCACGATGAAGGATTGTCATAGTTACACTGATAAAAGGCAACACTACGCTAATATGGCATGATACTCTACTTCATTATTTGATTACTACATTAAACATGTTTCTGGATCACCCTGCGATTTTGTTATATGGTGTAGCGGTGTCTACAGCTTAGAAGGCATTGCGGTTTGAGTGGGCTCGAGGTGGGCATCAATTTCTATTCACCGCTAGGCACCAGTGCTGAGGCCACTCCTACACTATTAGCCCTGTGTCGAAGATTATGGGCGTTGACATGCTCTGACCCTGGCGGGCCAGCCCAAATGCCCCGCCGACAATGAACTGATTGTCAGCCCTGTGTGTCGCTCCGAAGGTAGAAAATGCATCTTCTAGGATACTGTTCATGGTTTTGCGAACAGGCGGCCACTGAAACTCGCTCGTGCTAGTCTTCGCAGTTGCTGGCGGCCGCTGCTTCATGACTTCGATAATGAAATGCTTCGCGTTGTCTACGACGATCTGCGGCGTAGCACCACCCTGAGCAATGGGCACCTCTAGAGCAGCGACGTTATCAACCTCGAAATCCAGTCTCTTCTGCGGCGACACCATCGCCTGTATCGTGTCGAATTCGGCGTCGTCGATGGGTGTGGCCCTGAACTGGAGGGCATTGGAGCTGCTAAGCCGACGCACGGCTTCCAGCAGGTTGCTGCAAAGCGTGCCCTCTTTCATATTGGGCATAAGCTTCTTTGGTCCTAATATCCTCGCAACCTTGACAAGCTTGGGCATATGGACAGTCGTTGTCACGCATGTGTCGAAATTGGTCCAGCCGCCAGCTATGCGCTCCAGTATGGAATCGAGTCCGGCATACGCCGCTCCACACTCGAGCGCCAACGCTGCCTCTTCCTCTTCACATATCGCCACCACGCGCGGTTTGGGTCCCACTGGGTGTGGAAGCACTGCCATGCCACGCAACGCCGTCCTCTTCACATCAACCCTTGTCCATAGGCGGAAACGATACTGCTCCGCGGAAACGTCCGTATTGACTGCCGCGCACCTCAAACTTCGTAATACATCCAACGCTTCGTCTGGGGTGGCCAATCGGCTTACTAGGTCGTTCTTAGCGTGTTCGACGTCTGAGCTGGTAGCAAAGCTGTCGTTCAGCTGCTCCTGCTTTGGCTTCTTCCCCTTCTTTGCCTGGTTCTTACGGCTGCTGGCGTAGAATGGTAGGTACTTCTTCGTCCGGGTTTGAGTTAGAATGCATTGGCATCGTTCCGCAAGGGCGCGGCTGAGGATAGTAGTGTGTAGCATCATCCCGAGCCAACAGCGCTAATCCAGACACCGGTGCCACATCTCCATTTTACGCTTTCTAGCAACCACAAATTGACAGACGAACCGTTGTTACGTGAATAAGGGTGATATGCGGGGTAGACGCGTCGTTACGTTGGCGATGGTACGAGCGTCCCACACATGGGCACCGCTGTGATCATTAAAAAAAAATCAAAACACGACACATCTGCAGACTAATTGACGAACAAATGTATATTCATGGCATACTGATGCCGTGCTAATTTCTGTTAACACACCGTGCTTCGCCTTGAGGTTGCGTCGCGAAAACCCCGGAGATCGGGGCAGGTGGACTTAGGGATATTTGCCACAGCCGCGATATGGAGCTTCATTAAGGAGTGTGTTTGTGGTGATCGGATGTGTTGACGCAATGACGGAGGCGAGGGAGGATATGTGGGAGCGCTACGTGGTAGTGAGCCATCTGCTGATGGCTTGCTCCATAGGCCACGCATCGCTCCAAACCAGCGGGTTCTACGAGATTGTGACGTACTACGTGAACAACAAGACCTGCCTGGCTATCCTCTACAACTATGTGTTCATGATGTTCACGTTTTTTTGCCACCTGCCTGTGTATGCATTCCTTGGTCGCCTGACGATGATGGAGTTTGAGCAGCTGCAGGAGATGGCGCGCAACTACCTAATGGACGCAGTGCTGTTCTTGCTCTTGTCCAAACCGCGTCTTAACGGCCGTGAACTTCCGGTTACGATGCTGACCAAGTACCTCATCCTGCTGGTTGCGCTCAAGTGTTTTCACATCCTGCTGTATGTGCGGCTGTCTAACGTCTTCCAGATGGACATCCCGAGCTACTTTTCGATGATCAGGCTCGCTGCGTATATATACGTGCTGTCGATGCTGGACTGCCGTCTGCTGTGGGTGCTTTGTCGGGACTTGAACTGGAAGAACACTTTTACCATATGGGTGGTATTCGAGCTTATTGCGATGTTGCTGGTGTGCACGTTCTCGTTCATCCGTTACGTAGTGAACATGCTGGACTTCTTCTACGAGAACGGTTTGAAGAACAAGACTACGTTGCTTTTCTATCTCGAGCTGATGCACGACGTGATGAGCCTGGTGTGCTTCACGATTTTTGTGATGGTCTTTTACGTCCATAACCCGAACCATATGCCCGCGTACATGTTGATAGACATCCTCAACGTGCTGAAAAACCTCTCCGATCGCGTTAACATGCTGATGCACTACCGCAAAGTTGTGAAATCGCTGGAGTCGCGTTACCCCAAGCCTACGGAGGAAGAGAAGGAACGTGACGGCAGCTGTATCATCTGCCGTGACGAATTTGACGATGACTCGAGGAAGATAGAGTGTGGCCACGTGTTCCACATGTCGTGTCTCAAGTCGTGGCTGTTCCAGCACTCCACCTGCCCCACGTGCCGTGCGCCCATCGAGGAGTATGAGGCTCCACGCGCCGACGACTTCAACATCTGGCGCCAGGTTTCATTTATCGAGAACCGCATTGTTCGTGTCGGGCGCCGGCTCTGGAGAGGTGCAATGCACCTTTTGGGGCGCGATCCGCCGCAGGAAGCTCCTGAATATGACCCAGCATCCGTGAAGGATTATATCGAGAACTGCGCCAAAAACCTTAAAGAGCCGATATTGGCCAAATTGAACGAGGAGCGTGTCGTATGCGAGTTTGCCTTGCAGGAAGCGGACGAGGATGAGGATGGTGGCGATATCAGCACCCCGACGGGAGAGCATGAGGATAACAATGCGGACGCCGACAATCCGAACAGTAACGGAATTGACGCTAGCAATGCGGCCACGGCGCAAGGCGGAGGCTCTGTAAGTAGTGGTGAAGCGGCCAGAAACTCTGCAAACAATGGCGATGTGATGCAAGTACTTACCGATTTGACCAAGATGGCTAAAGTTCTTGCTGATATCAAAGAGTTGACCAAAACCCCTGGTAATGCAACCGAAGCGCCTAAAACCACCACCGCAAGCGAAGAAGCGCCTGCCGTTGTAAGCGAGGTGGCTGACGCCGCTGTCAACGACAATGAGCCAGTAGAGATACCGACTGACGCAAATGAGGTGGCTGAAGAGCCTAGAACCGCAGCTGAATCAACAGAAACGCCTGGCGATTCAACCGAAGTGGCTGAAGCGTCAATAACTGCCAGCGAATCAGTCGATGCGTCTGAAACTACCAAGGAATCATCAGGATCGCCTGCCAATGTGACGGAAGTACCTGGAGCATCTGCCACTGTCAACGAATCGGCAGAAGCAATCGCCACCATCAGTGAAGTGACCCAAACACCTGCCGACAGCACCGAGTCAGCAGAAATACCCGCGGAGGCCAGTGGACTTCAATCAAACGACGCAATTACTGCGAAACCGGAAACCGAGCCAATAGTTGCTGAGCAAAACGTGGCTGAGGCTGCACAATCGGACGTAAAGGTTGCTGTCGATGAAGAGGGTGTACACGCCGATGCTTGCGATGATGCGGGAGAACGAGGGGGAGAGGACCTCAACCAGCAGTTTGATGGATCTATTGATAGCAATGCTGATAATAACGGCACCGTGGCTGTTGAGTGCACGCCTGAGGCTGATGCAGAAAGAGATGTTGCGAACATTAAGGAGAGCCAAAGCGTTGCTGATGCGAAGGATATAGCGGAGAACATCACTGAAAGTAGCAAATCTGATCCAGATGGCGGACTTTTAGATTCCTCCGCAAAGAACGACAACGCGGATGGCAGTGATGTTTTGGATCACCCGGACGTGAGCAACGCGTCTGACAACAACGAAACTTTACAAGTTGCGCAGGACAATGTGATCACCACCAACAACGATGACGATGATTTTGTGGATGCTTGCGAAGAGTTTGTCGAATCACCAAGGGAGCCAGTGAAGCCTTCTGCGGAAGAAGTCAAACGGCTTGAGACAGAACGCGATATGGCAAAGTATATCAACGAGTGCTATCAGGCATTCAGTGGCGAGATTGCAGGGGAAACGAACAACCGTCAAGAAGGGGCTGAGGTCACGGAAAACAGCCTTGCGAACGACGATAAGCAAGGTGATGAAAAAACTGATGCTGATGTGGCTACGTCTAACACCGAGCGTGTCGTGGTTCGCGGAGGTAATGCAGCTCAACCGGCATCAAGAACAGTTTCGAGGCAAATAAATACGAGGTGCGGCTCAATAACTAATATCTTCCAACGCAAATCGACTTCTCAATCCATAGACGAAGCAAAAAACGAGGATGATGGGGAATTTGACCCCTTTTGGACTAATACTGTTTATCAGCGACAATCCCAATCCGGGGCATCAAAAGGTAAAAAGAACTTTTTCACTTCGTTGTTTCGCAAAAAGGGATCTAAAGCACCTGAGGATGCAACGCGTGGTGAACAAAGACGTTCTGACACTGGGGGACCGACTAAATCGAATGCATTCTCCTGGAATAAGGATGTGAAATGGCCGAAACCTATTGCGTCTTATTTCAAACGTCTTAAACTTCCTGATGTTATATCTGAGACCGTGAGTGGAGCTCGCAGCTCGGGAAAAAAGAAGTCAGCTTCTTCCGATAGTAAGGGTAAGGCTACCGCAGCACCGGAAACAAAGGCTTCTCCCACGCCGGATCCTGCCACAGAACCAAAGCCCTTTTCGCGCTTTGAACGTTTCAGACATAGGTATTCGCTTAGTGACCATAGCAGCAGCAATGGCTCCGACGACAGCGACTCTGATGACGATAAAAGGGGTCGTGATGGTGGGTACGGCGGCCGTCGTTACTCCAACGATAGTGACGCGTACGAACCTAGGAGGAGCTATGATGATGACTACGAAAACCGCCGATACTCCGATGATAGTGATACCTACGAGCCCAGAAGGAACTACGAGGATGAGCATATGAGTCGCCAGAATTCCAGCGACGGCGAGTCTTATGTAGTCCGAAGGAGCGAGGATGAGCATGAAAGTAGACAACAATCCAACGATAGCGAGCCCCAAGAGGTTACGAGGCACTCTGACAGTGAACATGGCAGCCCTAAAAGCTCAAGTGATTCTGACTCCTACGCAGAAAGTAAAAAGAATTCTGATGATGAAGGCGACGGTGACGAAAACCACAGTGATCACGAATCTGACGTGGTTACTAGAAAGGATTCTGTTACTGAAAACAACAGCGAGCAAAACTCCAAATACGATAGCTACGCACCGTTGATCAAACTGAGTTCTGCAAGTGCTTCCAGTGCCGTAGACTCCGACGGCCACAGTGAATCTGAGACGGCGAACAGGAGGGGTTCAGGTCTTGATGGTTACAGTTTGTTAGGTTCCGATAGTGAAAATGAGTGGGATCCATTTGTTGAAAGAGTCGTTACTACTCCTCAACCTGTGAACGACTGGCAACCCGAGGAGGAACCCATTCCAGTTGTAGACGCGAAGTTAATCGACCTGGTTGATAGTAGCCCCGAGTCGATGGTTGATAGTGAGCACGCGTCAGAGGAGGAGAGCTCTGATGAAAGTCCAGTGACACAGTCACCAGAGCCTGATGTCGATGAAACGATGCCTGCAGCTGAGGAAAGTGATTTGGACTCTGAGAGATCAGCAGACATTCCAGCAACGGAATCAGCAGAGCCTATTTCCGATGAAACGGTTATTACACCTGCGGAGAGCGAGTCGGAAACCGAGAGGTTGGATGAGGACCCAGTGACGCATTCACCAGAACGCACTCCCACCGCAGACGTGACTGCGCCTGCAGAGAGCGATTTGGAAAACGAGGTATCAGCTGAGAGTCCAACGATACCTTCTCCAGAGCTTACTGTCACCGCAGATGTGATTCCTGCTGTCGATGCTGATTCAGAAGGCGAAAGAGTAACTGAAACTCCCGTTGACGCTTCACCAGAACCCGCCACAAACGAAACATCGATCGTGGCTGCGGGGAGTGCGTCGGAAGATGAGAGGTCTGATGAAAGCCCCATGACACAGCCATCAGACCCTGTCATCAACGAAACAGCAAGTGCACGTGCAGAAAGCGCTTCGGAAGATGAAAGGCCCGTGGCAGAATCGTCAGAACCGGCTGTCAATGAATCAGTGACTGCACCCACAGAAAGCGATACGGAAGCTGATAGAACGATCGAAACTCCTGTGGATGAATCACCTGACAGTACTGCCACCGCAGACGTTAATCCTGCCACGACTAATGAACCAGAATCGGAGATGGTGACTGATACTCCTGTTGAGCCTGCACCAGAAACCACTGGAAATGACGAAGTGATTACCGAAACGACTAGTAATCAGGAAGCTGATGGGGCGATTGAGACACCTGCATCACCTTCACCGGAAACTGTCACATTTGGGGAATTGGTTCCTGCCTCAAGTAGTGGGTCGGGATATGGGACGTTGGCAGTGGTTCCAGCTCATCCTCCGCCAGCACCTGTCGGCAATCCGCAAGCTATTGCAGTAGTAGAGAGAGACTTGGAAGTTGCCATGTCCGGCGTAGAGCATATAGTGGATGGCACGGTGTTAAACGTTCAAAGGATTGTGGAAGAAACTGTTTATAACATGAGGGCAATCGTTGAGAACACCGTCGTGAACGTGCAAAATACTGTAGACAGCGCCGCCATGGAGGTTGGGGACAGGGTAGAAAGGAATGAGGATCCAAGAATAGATGAGGTGGAAATGCGCGTCGAAAGGACTGTGAACGCAGCAGTTGCTGATGCAGAGTCGTTGGTCGAGTTAACAGTAGATGTTGCTGTGGCGAACGTGAGAAGAACTGTAGATGCGGCAGTTTTTAATGTCGAAAACCTGGTCAGTCGTACTGTTGATGCAGCGATTGCAAGTGCGCTTGGGTTACATCCTCTTCCACTAGCAGCAGCAGCAGCTGCTGCTGCTATTAGTCGGATTATAATCCTTCGTCGTTCTGACAGTGAGGATTCGGCGGATACGCGCGTTCCACCAAATGACGACAGCATTGGCAGCGATTTGTCAGATTATCCTATGGAGGAATTGTCATATGAGGACATGTCCGATTTTCATTTTGATGCGACCACAATGGAGGTGACCCAGCTGCCTGTAATTGATGAAGTCGCTGGTGCTGAGCCTCTCGACCAAATTACCGACCTATCTCCTGTTACAGACACACCTGCTCCAGTAGACGATGAAACCATTCCCGCAGTTTCTGCAGAACACGTGGTTCGTGAAACTAATGTGATAGACGGGCGCATTGAAACTATCGACGATGCTTTTGTGGAAGATCTCGTAGAACCACTTGATGACGTTGTTGCTACAGGAGCATACAGCCCAATCACTCGAGAAGCTGCTGATGCTACCTCCACGGAGGCGGTCGTCGATGACGCTATCATTACGGACTTAGTTGATGAGACAAATGATGAAGCCATTGGAGCGGAGTCCGAAGAACAAAATGTTGATGAAGTTACTGCTGTCGACATTGCTGCTGATACGGTAGAGGAACCTGATAGTGTGGACCTTATAGGACTAGCCGGTGATGAAGTTACCGCTCTGGACGCCGCCGCCCCACCAGCTGAGGAATCTGCTGTAGAATATTCTGTAAACCCCTTCATGGAGGAAACCACTGTTACAGAGACCGATAATGTATCAATCGAGAGGACTGTTGATGCGTACACAGATGACCTCATCATCCTGGACGAAACTTCTGTTGCGGACGTGTATGATAAAACAACCGAGGAAGCCCCTGGAGAGACTCCCGAGGAGCCACTTGCGAATGAAATTGCTGCTACTGAAGAAGCTACGGGCACTGTCGACGAAGCTCTTGACGAATATCCTGCTGAAATAGCCGTCGAGGATACTGCAGGTGATGATGCGGATAATGAAATAGTTGCCGAAACTATGAATACGTCTATAGGTGTAACTACCGACCTTGTCGATGAATCTGCTAATGCAGATCTGGCTGAAGTGGTCGTAGATGAAGTTACTGACATAGTAGAGGAACCTGTTGTACAATCTGATGCAGAGAACGTCGTCGATGAAATTAATGAAACCATTGACGAACGTGATGTATCAGCTGATGTAGAGAATGCCGTCGATGAAATTAATGAGACCACTGACGAACGTGATGTATCAGCTGATGTAGAGAATGCCGTCGATGAAATTAATGAGACCACTGACGAACGTGATGTATCAGCTGATGTAGAGAATGCCGTCGATGAACCTATTTATGCGGAAAGGGTTACTGATACAGTCGATGAGTCTGCTATACCATCTGATGCCGAGAATGTCGTCGACGAAACTGCTGTTACAGAGGTAGCTACCGAGGCTGTCGAGGAGCTTCTGATATCAGATTCTCAAAAACCCGTTGGGGATGAAGGCTCGGATATCGAGGGCGATAGTCCAACCGCTCAGGAATCTATTGACGTAGATTCTGCTGAAGCGGAAGCCGCGGAGGCAGCTATCGCAGAAACAGCTACGGAGATAGGTGCTGATCTTGCTGTAGAAGATTCTGCGGAACCGGTTGCCGATGAAGTTACTCTTAGGGACGCAGATATTCTAACAGAGGATGAAGCTATTGGTGCAGACCAGGAACGGGGCGATGAAGCCATTGATACGGCTACAAACGTAACTCATGTAATAACGCATGACCTGATTGATCTTAGCTCAATAGAACCGACCTTTGATGAAACTGCAGCCACAGAAACGGACAGCCCAACCGTTCGGGAAGATATTGATGAGGCTCCCGAGGAAACAGTCACTGAGGAAACTACTTTTGAGGACACGCACGTTCCAATCATTGAGGATGCTGTTGTTGAGGTCTCCTCAGACATAGTTGTTGAAAATACTGCTGCGGATACGGATAATGAATCAGTTGTCGAACCTCTGGATACTACCACAGACCTTGATCCAGAGATGGCCGAGGCACCTGTTGATGTGGTTGCTGTAGAGACATCTGCTGAAGAAGCTGATACTGTTGAGGCAACAACCGAGACCATTGAGGAGGATGCGGATACAGCTTCATGTGAACATGCTGTTGAACCATCTGCTAGTACGGAAGTAATCGCTGAGGCAATTGAGGAAGATATTGATATGACTACCTCGGAACCGGTGGTTCCTGAAGCTGCTGACACACAACCAGACAATGAAATGACCGACAATGGTACTGCGGATGATTCTGCAGAGGTATCTGTTGAAGCCGATACTACTGCAGACATAGCAACTGAGACAACTGATGAGATCGTTAGTACCAACTCCTCGGAACCGGTGACTCAAGACACTGTTGTTACGGAAGTAAATACCGAGACGGTTGAGGAACCTGTTGTAGCCGATTGTGTTGAGCCAGCTGATGATATGGTTGTTACCGCTTCCGATGAACAGATAGTTGACGAACCTGCTGTTATGGAAGTAGATAATGAAACGATCGATGAATGCGTTGTAGAAGATTCTGTAGAACAAGCTGACGACGCTGATACAGTCGAGGTAGCTGCCGATATGCCTTCCGCCGAAGAAGCCGTGGAGGCATCTACTATTACTGACGCGGTTCCTGAAACAACTGATGAAGTTGCTGATATGGTTTCCGAAGAACCGTTTGATGGTGAAGCTACTGTTGCTGATGTCGATACTACAGTCACTGAGAAACCTGCTGATGCAGATCCAGCTGAAGAAGCTGTTAGTGAGCTTTTAACTAATGGAACAAGTGAGGAGGCTGTGGATACGGCTACGGGTGCAGTTGACGTAACGACCGAGGGAATGATTGACGAGACTGCCGCAGAGCCGGCGGTTTCTGAAGGTGCTGTAACGTGCGTAGCTGATGCAACGGCAGAGGAAGCTATCGACAACATCTCTGCAGAACCAGAGACTAATGCATGTGCTGCTACGGATGCAACAGAGGTCCCAACTGATGCGGACACTGTAACATTAGCTGTTGATGAAGCTACCGCTATGGAGGTGCCTAAGGAGACTACTGAGGCGGCTGCTGGTGCTGAGGGATCCGTAGAACCAGGTACCGAAGAAGCAAGTACTACGGAAGTAACTACGGACACAGCTGAGGTGGCTACTAATGCAGACTCCGTGGTACTACCTGCAGCTGAGGGCGCGGCTACGGAAGATGACAGTCCAACCATCCAGGAATCTGCTGATGCAGATACTGCAGAATCTGCAGTTGAGGGTGCAGGCATAGAAGGTAACAGCTCAACCATCCAAGAACCTGTTGATGATGCCGCCGAAGAACCGGTGGCTGATGAGTCTACAGGCGCAGAAGGTGATACTGCAACTGTTCAGGATGCTACGGCAGAGGCCTCAGAAGAGCCTATTGTCGACGAGACTGCTGGAGAGGAGGAAAATAGTCCAACCACAGACGGAGCTAGAGACCCGGAAGATAATGATGACAAGCCTGAGGAACCCCAACCAGATGTGCCAACATATTGTCGCCGGTTCTTGTTACCGTCGTGGTTGAGGGAGAGTCGTAGCCGTGGAAGTGATCCAGATGTTAAGGCCAAGTCCGGCATGCTAAAATTGTTGCGGAAACTGAAATACATCAAGGAGAAATTGACACAATTAACGAACCCCGAGCGCAACGAGACGTCAACTGACAGAGCGGAGGATGAAGCTGCTGGAAACACCGAGGATACCAATGGCGATGCTATTGTGCCCCCAACTTCCGAGAGTGCGTCTGCGGCGGAAGAGTCCGGCAGTGTCACCAATGACGACCCTGAGGTCCCCCCAATCTCGGAGAGTATGCTAGCGGCAGAAGAGCTCAGAGATGTCGGTAATGACGATGCTGAGGTTATCGCACGTTCCGAAAGTGCGCCTGAGGCAGAACTGTCCAGCGTTGCTACAAATGATGGGGACAACTTGCCCAAGGATAATGCTGTATCCCCTGTGATTGCGGTCTCAGATCAAGACGAGGTTAAAAAACCATCGGCGGAAGAATTGGCCCGTATAAGGCGCATACGGTTGGCTAGGTTTTCGAAGGACTTCGGCGACGATGCTAGTTCAGCAACTGCCGCTGGTGAAGCGGATAGGGATGCCGCAGCCACTCAGGAGTCCAAGCCCTCGGAAGTGCCCAGTGTTAGCAACGATGAGGATGGTACTCGTATGCGTGATGGTGATGCCGTAGAATCTCCAGATCTGGCTGTTAAGGACGGTCCATCTACCAGCGATGATGGAGAACTAGGTCCCAGCGAGATATCCGAACAGGAGCCAGCCCCGATTAGCGATGACGCAGTAGAAGAATCCGGCGTGGAGGAACAGTCAGAGCCTGTTGAATCTGGGGCGGGATCAATTGTGCCACTGGATGCCACGCAATCGACGGACATCGTTGTGGCCAATGCCGACAGCTCGGATTCCGGTACACCAAACGCTATCGTGAGCCTTGCGTCCACTTTGGCTAACATGACTCCAAACGACATGTGGAATCTGAGCCACATTGCCGCTACCTATCGACGTCGCATGGCATCGAGTGCACGCGGTGGGCGTCGTGGAGCACGGCCAAGGAGCAACATGGAGGCAGTCAACAGCCTGCTCAGCGAGTTCCAGTACCTCGAGGAGCACAGCGACTGCGACATTCTGTTCCCCGATGACAACGCAATGAACGAACGTTTGCTTTCGCAGCTATCGTCATCGAACTTGCCGAACTACAAGCGCGACTTTTCCTGGCCTACTGCAAGATGATTCGCATGTGGCATCTTACTGCCCACGGCCTATCTAGAGCTGATGATGTGTACAAGACCGTTTTCGAGACGGCAAACGCCTCACGTGCATCTGGCGTCACCAACCAACGCCAGCGCGGCCTCCTGTCTGACATTTGGAACAGCCTCAACTGCTACAGCGTCTCGCCGGATAGGATCAAACAGTTGCACAGCCAATACATCAAGCGTTCCTTCAACTACCAGGACGGCGTCTGGCGTATGCATGCCTCACCTGTTCCAGTCGATCTTATCGAGGACATGGTGAGCTCGATGGCTCTTATGGATGCGATAATCAAATCCGAGATGGAAAAGGTGGAAACTTAGTGGGCGTCTGTTGTAACGCATTAAGGTGACTGAATTATTTGGTGCCATTTCGCTACATTCTGGCGCCCAGTGCAAGGGGCGTAGGCGCAATTTTTAATATACTCATTTCATTATCAAATCGAGGCTAGAATGTCGATGTAACAGCTCAATGTTATATAGTACAACGTTTGGCGCTTTCGGTGTAGTGAAGCATGGCTGCCAGGCTATACTAAATGTGTAAGCAGGATATCTGGCAACCAGGCAGCGTATAACGCCATTTTCTGTACACATCTGCTTTATGTAGAATCTAGATTCAATAGACGCATTGCATAGCAATATAAATAGAGACAGAGCCAAGACTCAGCGTCCGTCACTTGTGGCAGGGCACGCAGTGCACCTAACAACGCTAAGAGTTGCCGGCGAAATGTTTGGCGGTTTATGCCAGCGTTGCAAGGTGTAATTCACCTGTTTTTATATTTCTACTAAAGGAGCGCAGAGATGGCGGACTACAATCAGCAGTTGGCCGATGCACATCTCGGTGTAGGTACGTCAGCTCGTTATAAAACGCGGATGTGTGACGTCAGAACGTCGCCGTCCGAGTTGGAAAAGCAATCGCTATGCAATTATCTCACTCTTTTGCAGATCGCCGCACTCCCACCGAGGTCAACCTGAGAAAGGTGGCCATGCTTTACGAGATATTCCAGCGCGTGGGGGCCATAGATGTCTACTTTGGATTGCATAAGGAAAGGAGGGCTAACACCTGCAACCCTTCCAGTAGGCCATCATCGTACCGCAGTAGCGACCCGCGCATGCTGCGTCAGCTCTCTGGGGAAAGCCACGAAACCGCAACGACGATCAGCGAACCCAAGGGAGTACAGAAGATATTCACCGTCGACGAGCTGTACCGATCGAGGTTGATGGACAGGTATGACGGCAATTCCTTTACTCCGCAGCCCACCAACACTGTGACGATTTCCGAGGAAGTGGCCGATGGAGGCGCACCGAATGCGCCAAATGCTGAAGCTTCGGGAGAAGTTTCTCACACAACAGACATAGAAAATCGTATAGATTTGGCAGACTCCGTGAGTGCCAGGGCGGCGGAAAATGAAGCTCAAGCGCAGGATAGTGCTAGGAATTCAGATTCGTACTCCATCTACACCAACAGATCAGCAACGCAGGCGCAGGCAAATAATCTGGCAAAGAGCCTGTCCAATCATGGCACCACACAGGGCACAGGATTGTCGTTGGAACGTTCAGCGGCAGAGCGCTCGAGGTCAAGCAACGGCAGGCAGGGTGAGGCCAAAGGCAGCGAACCTGCGGCGTGGAAGGACGAAAATGGAACGTTGCTATTTGCGGAGTCTCTGGACATAAGCCGCATCTACAAGTCTAAGAACAGCATGCCTCCCAAAACTCCGGCTGACAATGCCACATGCAACCTCTCATTGCCGTATTGCTCCGAAGCTACTATCGAACCGCCGTCATGCGGGTATAGCCCAGACAGATTGCGCATTTTCTCCTGGGTGAAGGACTGGTTTGTGCCCAATCTCCTGTCAGCCATGAGCTGCATGGGCTCTGCCGCCGTGTTTTGCGGCGACCGGCTGAGGCAATACTTCACACCCCTTGAAATCAGCAAGACATCACGAAAGTTCGATGAGGTATATCTGTCGAGCCTGGAATTCGCCATCCTCAAGGACGAAATGACGCGCTGCTACTTCAACATAACGGATGAGCGCAAGGAGCACCTGATGATGCGCGAGGTCGACGACTTCCGCCGGTTGTACATGCGGAAGCGCATAAGCTTCGAGGAGTTTTGCCAGCACTTCTCGCCGTACCTTTCGCGGAGGCCGGAGGACTACACGCGCAACAAGAACACCGACGACACGGACGAGCTGATGCAGCGCCGCGCACTTAAGCGGGTTCTGGAGAAGAGCCTTTACGGCCTCTCCGTCGAGCGGCCGAATGAGTTCGTGAACAGGCAATGTATGCTCAAGCCGTACCAGATGATCGAACCCATCCCACCGAAAACGTAATGACACTGTGCTTTATGGCATGAATTAAGGGATGGTGAAGTCATGTCTGTTTGTATTGCGAATATTTTCACCCGATGTCGGTCGTACACATCGGGCCGCTGTCCAGCGCACGATTTGCAACGGATGCTTGTCTCGCTGATAGTCACAATGTCTAAGTTTATATTACTGCCCATGGCAGTTTAATGTAGCGCTTGGTTGTTAGTGTAGCCACCGAACGGAATCTGGCTAACCATAACCTGCCGAAGTTTAGACCATGTGATTCTGCGCTAATTGCCGCGTCTTCCTTCTTGCTTACACAATTTAGGGTGCCTGAGAATATTTTTAGAAGCCGAAATGGCGGAGAAGAAAAGACCGCGTAAGCGGAAGGCCGCTGGTGGTCACCGTAATCACCTTGTTGGTGATAGGCACCTGCCGCTCGAGCAAGCTCTGGATTCCGGGATCATATACGGGGCTTCACTGCCCATATCTCGTATCAACAGGCTGATCGATAGGGAATGTGTGGAGATTGACGCTAAATGTTACGGTACTCGAGTATTGCCACTGGGTAGACTTCTGAGAAACTTCAGAAACTTCGTATCAACGGTGCCGAAAGAGCTGTTAACTCGTGAATTTATCGAAAAGCCGGAGTATCAACGTTGTTTCCGAACGGAATTTAATGCCTGCTGGTCCAACTTCGAATACGGCGTCCCAGACAGCGTTGATGTGGTCGGTAGGGGAGCGCTTGGATTCCTCAGCCGACAACACCCTACGCTGGATGTGTCCTTAATGTTGCCTCAGTCAATATTTAACCCTAAGGATTACATTAATTATCGCTATCTTAACAAACGAAATGCCTGGTTATGTCGATTATACGAGGATATACGTGTGGCATTTGAGGCAGGTGAATCTAACCCGCTGCTGAAGGGATTGGAGCAATGTCATCTGGTCGCCGAACTACATTTCCGCAGACCGAAAGTGTACATTGATTTTCTCCTGGTTGTGAGTAATGTCACCTATCGCCTTCGTGTATCGGCTCACGTTGACGAGGGCACGTTCAAGCACGCGGCTATGGCGCCGGCTAGAAATAATGTAAGGTCGCCAACCACGCTATTTAAGTCTTCTGGGATGTCTGAAGCTCCTGCCGAATCGGATATGCGCCCAACGCCCACTTACAACGCTGCAATATTGGAGGATCTGATCAAATCCCGTCTCAACCTTAAACTCAGAGATGCATTCGTACGCCATGCTAAAATGCGGGGAGCTTTAACGTTGCTAACGGTATGGATGCGAACGCAAGGTCTAATGGCTACTCATTTGGGGTGCAAATCCGACACATTGCATAACGTGGCATCGACAAGCTGTTCGAAGGGCTTTGACCCTGAATACAAGCGTCGACGCCTACAAAAGATCAAAGACAGCGCAGATGGTCACGTATCTAACAGTGATTCGGCGGAAGATGATATCAACAGTGACGCAACGCCGAGTTCTTCAGTTACCGCAGGTTCCAGCGGTTCGAGTGCAACGAGTGGAGTAGGCGATGAAACGTCCAAATCCCCGATACAAAATGGTGTATCATTTGATAATGGACTTACAGGGTGTGTCATGGCACTAATTCTATGCCACGTGGTGTCGATCAACCGTTTCCCCCCTGAGATAGAAGCCTTTCCGCTTTTTCTGGCCGCGCTCAAATTCATGGCATCGATGGATCTGAAAGAACGATACTATGTAATTGGACGAGACAAGCCATTCAGTCGTGACGGTGCTGACATCTCTGGCAAGGTAGACTCCACCACGGCAGTTCCAACCCCCGAGGAAGCTAGCGACGAGGATGGCGCCACACTACTAGAGGCGCAACAGAAGGCCGTTCACAACATCTCGATTCCGGAGTTGTATCTGGATGGTACATTGTCATTTAACGTACTTCACAAAGTGGTGGTCACTTTTCAGGAGGTCGTTTCCAAAGGCAAGGCTACACTCGCTACTGCCAAGGATCTCTCTAGCCCCTTCTTGTATTCCCAGCTGTTTGATATATGGCATGACGCTCGATGTTACACTGATGTGAGGTTGATATTAAATTCATGCCCTATGTTGTCAGGCTTCGATATCTGGGAGTTGGGTGAGTCCGAGTACATGGCCGCAAGGATGAGGTCCATCTTGGAGTACGGATTAAAAGACAGACTCGCTCATCTGTACTTTAGGATGTCGGAAAATAATGCCCTAATGGTGCTGATTGGCTTCGATGAATCCGTGCAGCGATCAACTGATGTGGGACCTGCGACGAATTCGCCTGAAAGCATATATTTCCGTCACTTTTGGAAACGCCTTACCGAAACTCGCAGCTTTGCGGATGGATCCATTTGCGAATGCATCCTGTGGAACAAGGTACTTCCGGATATTGAGGAGGATCCATCTGCTAGTTCCAGCCTTGAACGCCTTGCCGGCCGCAATTTGAACGTGCAGATTCTCTCCACCATCCTCCAGTTACACTTTGAACAGTTAAAGCCAGTGATATTGGATAGTAATACGTCAGTTTCACTTGAGAAGCCGAAGATTAAAGGCGATGACAAGCGTCACCCGATGTACGTGGAGTTGCCCATAGTCGTGTCTGACAATCGACTGGCTACGGATCACCGGACGAAACTCATGAACGCTTACAACGAACTCAACGGATTGCTGCGCTCACTTGATAACGTTCCTTTGAAGGTCTCAAATGTGTACGTTTGCAGCCCTGAATTCGGTTACGCAGATGTTGGACCGTCGAAACTGCGCCACCGATTGCTGGTCGAGTTAGAAACCTCCACCAAATGGCCAAAGGATCCTGCCGCAATTTTGAGTGTCAAGATTGCGCTGGGCATTGCGATGTTGAAGGAACTATTCAAGAACCATGAGATTAAATCGCGTATGTCCGAAAATGGTGACATGGAGCTTCAGTTGCAGGGGATAAAATTCTGCATCAAAATCCTATGCCAAAGGGAAACTCAACCGTTGATCGAGTCCATCAGAAATTTCGAACCTGCTGTGAACAAGTTGCCAACCAATAACTCGTTAGAGATGGTGCGGGAATACTTCCGATCTGTCCAGGTTGAACGGTGCAAGGTGGGCGCCTTAAAATCCCCAAGCTTCAGTGCCAGCGTCCGCCTTAGCAAGGCTTTTACGGCCAGTTGCATCGTGCCCAATGGCGACTTTCTGTGTGAAATGGTGAACTGGTTCATATTCACATCCCATGATTTCCTTCTGTCGCCCCCGATGTCTGGGTATACCGGCTTTATGCGGTTCCTGTACCTGGTGGCCCACTACAATTGGGAAAATCGACCGATGCTAATTTATGACGAAAATCCAAAATACGACATGCTGGAGTCGAAAAGGCCATCATGGGCGCCTTATTTCTGGATATCCACCCCAGAGGACCCCTACTGCCTAGTGCCGAATATGCCTTCTACCATGATATCAAAACGGTTCGTCGGGCAGTGCCAGCGGTTCATCGCCAAGTTGGACGAGCATTCCATGAAGCCGCTCAACGTGTCGTCATTTTTCGGGGCAGAAAGCAGGGCGTACAACATGACGTTGGAACTGGAGAACCTGTACCGTAAGCTTAAGTACTCAGCAGATGGCGAATCTTACAAGCTCTCACAGCAAGAGGCGCACTTCATCCTGAACACCTTCGTAGTCAGCCTGAAGAAGTCATTCGCAGGAATTCTGGAACTGGCGTACAACGATCTGGAGTTGCAAGGCGTCCACACTCCCGCTGGCAACATCACGATCTACGTCAAGATTAACCCCATGGCCTGCATACCTACAGGCAGCCCCAAATGGTCATGGCCGCTTCACATGATAACTCGGGATGGTCGCACCATATTCGTCCCAAACATGCCGGCCATATTGATCCACATTCATTCAATGGGGGAGGGGCTGTTACGAGATATAAAGTTTACTTAACGTGAACCCAACTAGTGTCAATCTTAAATTTGAATTAGAACAACACTAATAATATATTGGCTGCTGCTTGAGGTCTGTTTTAGCAAAAAAAAATTTGGCCAGCGGAAGCATTATTCATTTATGATTAATCTACTGTTTTTCATTATACAAGTTTCAAATGTTCTAAATATTTGGTGTGTTTGTCATCCGACGTGAGCGTTGCAACCGCCCTCAACAGGAGGACTCATCCAAATCGTCTATGATTCTCTTCCTAGGCATATTGTATGCAAGCCGCACGGCGCTGTTGTGTCTGACCTGGCGCTTCAACAATTTTATCTTCCTGCGGCAAAGTACCAAAGCACACTTCAGCTGATCGTTCTTGTGTAGCATCAACGCGATCATCTCGTTGTTTTCGACATCATCGCTATCAACGTTAGGTATGCAACTTGATGTCTGTCGCGCAATATCCGAATGTCCTGTACCAACGGAGGCATCTAATTGTCTCCGATGCTTCGAATAAAGATGTTTTCTCCTGGCTCTGCATTCACCACGACCTCCCTCGTACTGTTCAGTACGATCAACTGAGGAGGCGAAATTCAGAAGGCCATCTGGCGAGATGGGCAACATCATTTCTTGTCTCATTATTCTCCGCATCTGGCGCGTGGGACGACGCTGTAGTTGCAAAAATAGTTTGCTGAGCACGATGATAAAAGACAACCCGAAACAACCCTTCGACTGCAGAGCTGGGTCAACTCGTCTTTTGATTTTCCGCAGCTGTCCGAATCTAATCGACGATGATGCCGAAGACACTACCGAATCACTACCTTCGTCTTCATCATCGGCATTGTCATCACCGCTCGTATCGTCACTGAGGTAAGTCACCTCTGTCATACCATCATCTGTGCATGAATAATCAATACTTTCTGATGATACTTCTTCAACCAAGTAATCCTCAGGCGGAGCATCTTCTTCACCTTTTATCTCCGCAGACGGGGGTAGATGCTTGTCCGCATTGTCTTCACCGCCAGCTAACGTACCATCTTCGTCGAAGCTCGTTTCCTCATCTGTAGTGATTTTGTTGGCTTTCGAGAACTCGGCCAGTTCAATATGTTCCGTTCCCTCTTCCGGCAACGTTTCGTTCAGAGCCTTGACATCCACACCAAGATCGCAATCACCATCAGCACTACTTTCCACATCTGTGTTTGGGGGAATAGCAGTACCCTGATGTTCGGAATTGTTTACTTCACCAATGATTTCTTCGTCTGCAGCTGTCAGAATGGGTATGCCCTCCACCTCCCGGTATGGATAATCCAAGTCCTCTACGAAACACGACTTTGATCTACGGAGAAAAAAGCGCTTCCAGTTTGCTGCAAGCAGTCGAAATCCCACTGGCTTCTCGTCACGGTGCACCGACGGCACACCCATTATTCCATGTATGGTTTTTAAAGCTGAGTAATGAGTGAGTCACGCTGCCCGTATGTAGCAGTACATTTAGCTATGATGCGTGAAGCAACCATTGAATGTGCTTGTTAAGTGGTGCGACGGCATATGTAGTTGCAAGTGTGCCAATAATGACACGGGAAGAGCCACGTGGCATCGGCAGTTGAACTTCACGTTGATGCATCTCATGGCAAAAACTAGACACGCATGGACAGTGAATTCCACATGCCATCGACAAGACGGCAATGCGGCGAACGCCGATTAAGGAACGCTACTTGTGCCGCTACATAGTTCTTTTACTTCTTAATACGCTTTCGTGCGCCCTCGACGAATGCCGTTGCATCAGGAACTCAACAGTAACCTGTGCAAAACCAAATATGTACAGTTCATATCACACATTATATCGTACCGAAATACTGTAAGCGACGGCAACACTGGAATCAATTTATACAGCAAAAGTTTAGCGGAGATGTTGTACACATTCGCACTCCATGTCTTCCACGAGAGGCGCCGCCAGCACGCGCCATAAACCACCTAATCACTACTAGTTAATGCATAAGGGTTCCGTCATCGTTACTGGCTGCGATAGCGGGCTTGGGTTGGCGCTGTGCAGCCTCCTCCCGCGGCACGGCTACTATGTCTTTGCGACGTGTCTGACGGATGAGGGGAGGAAAGTCGCCGCCGCTGCCATAAATGGTGAACAGGATGCTCCCAGCCACACCTTAGGAGCCCAAAGTGGCTATATAGAATGTAACGACGGCAGCTGTTACCTCATTGACGTCACGTCTTCTTCTGCCGTTGAGAGCTTCTGCGACGATGTGACTAGACGCGTAACCGCAACCAGGATTCCTCCTTTATATGCAATTGTAAACAACGCTGGAATCTGGAGATTCGGATTGTTGCAGGTAAGGAAAGTGGCGTGTATCTGTTTGTTCGTCGTAGTTTTTCGCGATGGAATCATCGGAGTCCATTTATATTTGACCAATGCCGCTGACATGTTACGCGCAACATTACCTTTGCATGATTCTTACTACTTATCTATTTCATAGAACCATTCATTAGATTACATAGGACGCATTCAAATCACCTGAAAATCGCTTGGCGGAGGTAGACAGATGGAAGGAGGTGGTAGACACGAACCTGCTGGGAGCCCTGCGCGTAACGCTCGCCTTTGTCAACCAGCTCCAGGAGTCATCAGAAGGATGCGACCCAAGGGTCGTATTCATTTCCAGCGTGCTTGATCGGCATGCCCTGCCGGGCCAGGGAGCATATGTGGCATCCAAATTCGCACTAAACGGCTTTTACGAAACGCTATGTCACGAGCTGGTGGGCACGAACATTCGACCCGTGATCATCAGGCCAGGCGCATTGAAGAACACCAGGCTCTTCAATCGAGATCTGTGTCAACATAATGCAGGTAAGCTTATCCCATCGCCAGTGCTATACCTGTGGCAATGAACGATGCCAAAGGACTTGGCATCAATGCCGTTATTGTGTTGATGTGGATTTTTGCTTTTGATGCACCTATATAATTAGAAAAGGTATTCATACCACGTTGGTGCTGCGCACTTGCGCGTTGCGATTATTGGTGTATATTCGGCGAGGACGTGAGCATCCTCACTCAACATGGGACATAACCTTGCAGCGGAACGCCAACCATTGATGCATGACGCTGACCTGCTGAAGGCATCATACAGTAGGTTGCGGTGGATGGTGACTCAGTGTACGCAGGGCTGCTCCTTAACGTCGCCGGTGATTGCAATCAAGTGGCACTCACTGTCCTGGAAGCGCTCCAGTCAAAGGAGCCCAACTCCGAGTTTTCCAACGTAACCGGTGCTTTCCCGTTCAGGGTGGCGGAGTACCTACCTCGTCGCCTGTTCGTGCAAATCGTCGGGCTTGTGCTTCGGAATCTAGGATGGCTATATCACCATGCACTGTCTATTTTTCGACATCGTTGGAGTGATTGAGCTGCTCGGGAAAACATATTCGCGTCATTTCGAGGCGGGCATGTCGCGTCTTGGGGGCAGGAGGTTTTGCTCGCGTGCCTCTTTGATCATCTTAATGTACTCCGCCCTTTCCACCTGCGCCAATGTTTGCAAATACAACGCATATACCCACCTCCAAACGTGCATGATGGTAGCGCAACAGCTGCATAGTCTGTCGCCAGTTGTAGACGAAGGAGAAACCTGAAGATGTTGTCGACGACAGCTGGAAGCTTACCAAGGTAGACGGAGGTTCCTATCAAGGACGTGCACACAACGAACGAAATGTAGTCGTATATCTTGTTCTTCCTCACGTGGAAGCCGTAGTAGTTGATTCCTAGCGCCCGAAACACCTCGAAACGCGCGCCTCCCTTCATGGTCGTGCGCGGTCCCCGTCGGAGGACGGCGCCTCGGAGACCAAGTGACAGTAGACAATCCCTATCAGATGCAATCTGTTAGGTCGATTCGCTGTAGCTTCGGTCATGGAAGCCAAACGGGCGTTTGGCAGCGCGACCACTGAAGGACGGTGTATGGGGGAGAGGTGCGCCGGCCGCGGCTGACGACCGCGAGCAGTGTCCAAGGCGCATTGCACATCGACTTGGAATTGTTTATATTAGTACTTGCGCGCTTTGTGTGGTCTGCAACGGTTACACATGTTGCCCGGATAGGCGCTTTTGTGTGTGGACACACATCTCCCGATTCTTCGCCTTTAAACTCTAAATATGGCGGTCTCTAAAAAGCTTGTGCTCGAGGAGATGTCGGCGATACCGGCAGACTCCGTCGCGAGAGCGCAGGAGTACCTGAAGCTCATCCAGGGGACCCAGGACCCTAACCTCATCTTTCTGCACTGCTACCACATCATGAAGCTCGGAGGACTCGACGCAGAGGTCCCTAGGCTCGTTGTGTTCGGGCAGCAGTCGATGGGGAAGACGACGGTGCTGGATTTCATCATGGGGGGGCCTATCGGATACTCGAGCACTGACACCGGCACCAAGCAGCCCGTGGTCATCATAATGCGTCCTCTGGAGGTTATAATGGAGGTTGCCGCCGCGCTAAAGGTGCAAATCGACCCCGCGAACTTGAAGGGAGGCACCATATGGTGTCTGTTCGACGGGAAGCTGATGGACATTCGCAGTGTGCAGGACGCCATGCGCTCGCACATGCAATCCATCGGGGATCGCATCCTGGCTGACGAGTTGGAAGTCGAAGTGTTCGTGCCCAACGGCGTCAACGCCATTTTCGTGGACCTTCCAGGTATCAAGGACGACTCGAAAACAGGCGCGGAATTCACCAGGAACGTCGTCCGCAACTATGTGAAAAACAACCCCAATGACCTGTACCTCTTGGTCAAGAAGAGCTCCGACGATCCCGCAAACTGGCCATGGTCGCTCAAGGAGTTCATTACGACGGCGCCTCCAACAGGTCTGGGTCTTTCTCCGCACCAGACCATCGTCGTCGGCACCCGTGCCCGCGAGTTCCTCATCAACGAGAAGACCGACATCAGGACGGTGGAACAGCTCATGGACCGCGTTCTGAAACGAACCATCACGGATTCTAAGGGTAACATCCTGCCGCTGCACCTGCTCGAGTTGTTCTCGCTGAGCATTGAGGCCAAGGAGTCGGGCGACTTCCTTGCCAACAAGCGTGAGATGAAGCGCCAAATTGCCAAAGGCCATGAGGAGGTGGAAAACATGATCCGAACGTCGTTCGAAGTTACAAATGACGCCGTTGGAAGGGATGGTATGACCGTAGTTGATCGGCTTTTGCAAATGTTTAGCATCAATGGGTTCCTCACCACACTTGATACCAGGTACCAGGCGCTCGTGGCGACGACGTTCCGGAACCTCGAACGCAGACTGGTGCGCAAAAAGATGGAACTAGAACGCAGCATGCAGTCCCTAGAGCAACGCATGAACCGTCTCAGCCCTCAAAGCATCCGGGAATCCGTCTCGCTTTTCATCCGACAGTTCGTCGAGGTCGTGCAAAAGATGATAACTGGTAATTACACCATTATGAAGCTGCCAGTGGCGCCGGAAGAGTTCCTGAAGTACTACGGAGGTAGTCTCAGGGACAACCTGGAGGACGGTAACGAGCTCGCGCTCAACCTGTTCCCGCAGCGTGACCTCTACGAACCCGACTTCTACGAGAAGATATCGAAGCGCACAGAAACGCTTTTCAACAAGAAACTGACTATGATGGACAGCGTAAAACCGGGTAGGTACGTGAGGTACTTCACCAGCAAGATCAACGCCCACATGTTCGGACTGATAGAGCCCCCGAGGAGAAATAAATCAAACTCCTCCGACGGCATCGAAAACTACATCTCGAATGAATACAAGTCCGACGAAATGATCAATGTGGAGTTCATCCAAATCAACAACGGTCAGGAGAACTCGCTACACAAAAATATAGACCGGAGCAGGATCAGTCTGCTGACGCCGTTGCCATCGGTGTCGGTCGACCAGATGCAGGTCCCGCTTTACGCCTGGCACAAGACGCTGTCGAGCACTGGGTGGGTCCTGGTGAGGCCCATCGTCATAGACCGTCTTCCACCTGAGATAATCGTACAGAAGTCCAACTACCGAGAAATCGAGATCGCCAGCAAACAGATCGCCTTCAGGTACCTGGACGTGGCGGATAATAATTATTCCGACGACGTCGATGTGGATACCGTGACTGAAAAGGTAGCTAACGCCAGCATCAAGGGCGCGGCTGCTAAGGAAAACGAAAAGAACACCAAGGCTGAAGCTGACAAGAACTCGCGTGACGGTGATAAATCCGCCCGTGCGAACGAGAAGGGAGGTAAGGAGGCCGATAAGGCCTCAACAGCCAGTGCTGCCGGTGAGAAGGATGCGAAGAACAATCGCTACGTGTACTTCACGACGTGTAGCGAGATCTTCCTCGAGGATCCGAAGGTGGTACCTTACTACAACAGCGCCCTGGAGATGGTCAGCGGTGAGCACGCTGAGGCCCAGCTGCTCAATCAACTGGCGATCACCAACATCTGCCACTGGCTCAAGTTCCAGATCAAGCACATGGAGCCCGACAGGCACTTCACCAGCGAGGTCATATACCAGATGCTCAGAAGCGTGCACCACGTGGTGGACCGCGCCGACTGGGAGCCCCTGATCGCCGACCTCGTGCAGTCGAACGTGCGCGGGGCTCTGTTACACGCAGCAAGACTGTCGGCTTGCGCTGCTGCCGCTGCGCTTCGTAGGGTGCTTAAAGCAGCACTGGCGGAAGTGTTCCGCTGCATCCAGCAATCGGAGTGCGGACAGACGCTGTACTGCCTCAGCGAAAGCCTGCACTTCCAGGAACAGATCGACCAGCTGTCTGAGGAGTATTGCCGCCAGAAGGCCACCGACTGCGCCGGAGCCATGATGAACCTGATTCTGGAGCAGACCTACTCCATTCAGTTCGACGTTGCAGTGGACATCTTCGACTACTGCTACCAGTTCGAGAAGTACATCGTAGGCCGCGCCGGCCACCGAAGCCTGATGGGCGAAGCGCTGTACCGCGTGCGTGAGAATTTCGCGATGAGGAAGCGCAGACTTGCTATGACCGATATTTTCGAGAAGTCCGACGCGAAGACATCGCTGGAGCTCATTTACGAGGAGGTCAAGGTGCAGTTCTGGGCCACGAAAATGTTGCTCGCGTCGCCCCTCGCTACTAAGATATACACCCACTTCATCAAGGACGTTGTGGACCGCATGGGCAACGAAATTCACGACCCCTCCGCCAGCAACGAGGCGGAGCTCGAGGCCTTCCTGCAGAAGAACATTCTCTACGAGTCCGTCGACGGCAACTGGGTGCCGAGGTCGAACAACCGCATGTCGCAGGACTACGACGTGAACTCCAAGTACGACCGTTTCGCGCAACACTTCCAAGAAACCAAGAACTCGCTGGAGTACATCACTATAGCCTTGGAGGCCATAGCTGCCATGAAACGCGCCGAAGGCGGGCCCGAGTTCGTCACCAACCTGGACAAGGACCTCCTGGGGGCGTGATGAAGCGGCAGCGCTACGCATATTGATTCACGTGATCGTGTGTTGGCGCCACGGCACGGGTCAGTGACGGCGTGCGTGGCTGCCCTGTGAAATCGCCTGTTACATTCAGGGCGGAAAACGTTAAAAGCGCTCTCCGGTTCCACTCATTCCCAGGTCTGGAGCAGTATACCCTGCAGGCGAATGCCATCTTATTTTTAAACGCAGTAACCGCAATGTAGCCGCCACAAGCACGTTACATCTACCATAATCTATAGACCTAACTATGTATATGGCATCCTAGATCCACAGTTAAGTGGTGTATCTGCTGTCGCCATTATTGGCGTCTCAGGCACGACAACAAACTATATCCCCAGTACAGATGGGGTGCAATCGTTTGTCACCGATCGCACCCTAGATAACTGATACGCCAGGACAGAATACGGCAACAAGGATTACATGTTACATATTATTGACTTAAGTGTTACAACTGCACTGTGATCCATATTGGGAAGTCGGACGAAAGCGCTAACGTTTGGTGCGCCATTAGTTTTTGGAACCGGAAGTTTTGTCAATTATCTGGAGGGCGACTTCTACGTCGTTAGGGCAGATGGCGTCCACGCCGGCCTCGACATGGAGTTTGAGATCCTCAGCGTCATCAGGCTGTGACTCCAGGAAGTAAGTCATTATCTTAAGGCCATTGCGGCGCACTTCGCTGATCAGGTGGTGGAGCGTGTCGATGCCGGTCTTCGCGCAGCCAACGATGGGCAGCTTAGACTTCCAGATGTCGTGCGCAACAATGATCCACTGGGCTCCGAAGACCTTCGCGCACTCTAAAATGCGGCCTATGCTGGGCAGGTCAGAGCGCTCGTTGTTGAACAGAAGCCCGATGGGCAAACCAAGCCTGTTGTTGATCAAGGGTCGCAAGAGGTCGACCGGGACTTTGCCGTTTGGCAGCCTCTCGATGTCGTACTCTCCGTACGGCGAGTCGGGGCTCAGATCCGGGGGAAGCCAGTTCAGGGAGGAAATGATCACCTTTATCTGCGGGTAGCGCTCCACCAAGTTGAGCACGTGTTCGCCAATCTCGGGCCTGGTGCCCTTGAGCTCGATGTTGTATATCAGTTTGTCCCCGAACTCCTGGAAGACCTGTTCCAACGTCGGCACGCATTCGTCTTCGCACACGTCCAGCTTCTCCATGTACGACCGGAAGGAGGCGTGGACGTCGCTGCGGTGCTTCTCCAGCACGCTCTGGAGGCTCTCATGCTGGTTCAGAACACGCCATGGCTTCCTCAGCAACAGGTCAGACGCTCTGATGTCGTACTTTTCCACGAGGTCCTCGTAACCAAAGCGCTGCACGCCTGAGGAAGCATCGCGTCTAAGGGCCGTGAGACACAGGCTGGCATCCGAATGGTGGCCGTGAATGACCAGAAGCTCGTTGTTGCGCGACAGAAATACGTCGAGCTCGACGCCCTCAACGCCGAGGCGCACAGCCTCGCGGAAGGAACTCAGCGCGTTCTCGGGGTACAGCGCCAGCGTACCGGGGATGCTGCAGCCCATGCCGCGGTGGCCCATAGTCAGTACTCTCGCCATTGTTAAATTGTTAATTCATTAAAAGTGACACAGCAAGTCGTGTGCTTTACGTGAGTTAAGGGACTGTGGGCTCTTCATGCGGTGTCTCTGCCGCGACTGCGCCTGCACACGTACCGCCGTACGCCGCATAACGTGTTATTGCAGCGCTGCTCCTGAGTCGTCGACCGGAAATACGCTAGTAATCGCAAGGTGCCAACGTTAAGGCGCTTCGGCAATTTATAGCGTGTGTCAGATGCGACTGAGGGTTAACCTTCCACCGCTATAGCGCAACGGGCCGGCGCGGAAACCGCGCACCGGTGAAGCCGTTTTGCAGTCGCACAGTGCCGGGCGGCACCTCGATTCTGACTGATGAAGTATGATATCGGCTGTCTTTATCAGTAACTGTCATGGAAGCCTGCTGTTCTACAGAGCCTTCCGCGGCGGAGGCAGCCGGCAGGACGCCGTCATGTACGCCAGGAACATGATTCAGCGGAACCTGAAGCCGTACAAGCCGATTCAGCAGTTCGGATTCGCTACGTATTTCAGGATCAGGCTCGATGGGTTGCACCTGGTGGCGTCGTGCGACGGCGACGTTAACGCCGCGCACGTCATGCAGTGCCTCGTCGACATACGCGACACCATCGTCACGCTGCTGGAAGCAAGGGTTACCGAGGCGGCGGTTGTCAAATATGCGACAACGCTCCAGGAGCTTATGGACCTCGCAATCGACGGGGGCTACCCGCAGGACTTTTACATGCACTACCTCGGGCCCTGGGCTGTCAAGGAGATGACGACGAGCCTGTTCAAGAAGAACCAGCCGAGAGTCATGCACTACCTGGAAGGCTACGGTGTGGACTATCACAGGTACATAAAGTCGCAAAAGCCGGTCTTCCACTCGGAGAAGGACCTCGTGGCAACGTCCGACCCGGAGATACAAATGCAGAATATCGCAGTGCCCTGGCGGGTCGCGTCGTCCACGTCGCGCAAAAACGAACTAACGCTACTCGTATCGGAGTGCATCAACTGCTGCTATTCACACGTCGGCGAGTTGTTGACGAGAGAGGTCGCGGGGAGCATCACCATGGACTGCCTCATGTCTGGGACGCCGAAGGTTACCATCAAGCTGAACACCGACTTCACGAACACACACACGCAAAACGCGTTCAAGAGTGTGGAAAACAAACACGACTCCAATTTCGCACTCCCAGCCGGGGCCAAGTTGGCGACCAACATGCTCGACTTCAAGGTACACAAAACGGTCGACATAGGCTGGATAATGAAAACGAGGCAGCTGACGGTGGTGCCGCAGCAGGGAATGACGGCGCTCATGCTCTATAGATGCGACATCAGCGGGGAACTGCCGTTCGAAGTGACGCCGGTAATCACCAAGGCCACCAAGCAGCTGGTGTATTACCACGTCACCATACGTACCAAGTTCTCCAAGAACGTCAGCGCTAACAATCTGTTGCTCAAGATACCTCTGCCACCCACGACGTCTAATGTGGAGATCATCAACCACTTCGGTCACTGCCAGTTCAACCTCGCGCTGAGCTCGATGCACTGGCATCTGGGCAAGGCTTGCGGCGGCATCAAGTACACACTCGAGTTCCAGTGCAAGCTGGCGAGGTCTCTGAACGACCAGGACCCAGCAATCGGACCAATCGAGGTGGAATTCGTGATGCCAAACTACTCCTTCAGCGGCCTCTTCGTGCGCGACATCGAAGTTACTAACACCACCCACAAGACACACAAAGCTGTGCAATACAACGCCTCCAGCGGGAATTACCACTACAAACTGAGGTTTCCCAAATAATCTTTTAGATTTTGTCATTTACCGCTCCCTGAGTCAGGATTCCGTCTAGACACCGGTGGGGTGTAGAATGGCGTATACGGGCCCCTAAATTTTGCCAAATTGCCGGCAAATACACTTTAGACACATTATCAATACACGTTGTTAAATAAGGAGGGTGTCGCTCGCGGGAAAGGAGCAATGACGGAGGGATCGGCCTCCCCGAAGGAGCGCCACGATCAAGTACCGCCGCCTCGTGGCATCTTCAGCATTCGAGCGGACTCACTGACGCCGGGTGTGCTATACTTGGCGTCGGGAGCGGACGAGGAAGGCCGAGTGTCTTCAGCCTTCCTGCACGTCATTGAGAAGCATCTTAGTTATGTTAACCCGGCAAGTAAGGAGGTTACGCCGGAAGGAGACGATGCATGGGAAGATATATGCCGGAACGCCATATTCTGGCGACAATCGGACGATCTGCAGTACGACGAGGATGCCTACATGGACGCTTCCTGGGCTGCGGAGGCCTTTGAGGTATCAAGGGAGATCAAGGCACTGCTGAACACCGAGAAGCCGGCGGAGGGCACATCGGACGCCAATATCGTCAAGGCTAATGGCGACCATGTAGAGTCGTCACGCGTGCGAATCTTGGATCTCGCGGTGGGCATCGGGGGGAACATCGTCCACTTCGGACAGGACTGCGATTTCGTAGTAGGGGTGGAAATGAATCCCCAACGGGTAGAGATATGTCGAAATAATTTACGCGTCTATGGCATCAGCAATTCCTATGTAGTGGAGGGCGACCTCTTCGATTTCATCGAACAGTTTGCAGAGGACCCTTTGAAAAAGGCTCATGAATTGGGGATGCAGGACTACTTCACCGAATCGCAACAATTTGACTGTGTCCATGCGTCTCCGCCCTGGGGCGGGAAGAACTACGCGGGGTCCACCAACGACAAGGTGTACACGCTGCAGCCGAATTTCGACATCGAGCGCGTAATGACAAGCGTGGCTAAATTCACTGATATCGTCAGTATCTACCTGCCGCGGTCGCAATGCGTTTATGAGCTGGTGAAACTCGCCGAAATGGGAGGGTTCCCGCTGGTGATTATCTCCGCCTACCAGGTCCCGAAGAAAACCAGGGTGAGTTGCACGATCCAACGTCACATTTTTGCACAGTGTATACACGCGCATTTCGTCAAAAGGGTCGAATATTTCAAGTATCTGAAGGTGGTAAATGTTGAGGTCAGTGAAGCTCCAATCCGACGCGTCCACCCTTTGCAGAGAACCCATGTGCCCTATAAAAAGGCGCCTCACGGCCTCAACCTCCTCGTCCACTCCACGCCGTACGTCTCAAGCAAATTCAACATCAAGTCGGACCTGCATATGAGCCACGTTGTCCACGCAATCATGAAAATGCTGGACGAAAAAACCTCAATCGTCGCAGCTAAGCTGCACAACCTCTTGCGCCTCCTTCCGCTGACTGATGTCTTGGCAATCGCCAACCAGGCGCGTGAAATACAAAACGACGGAGGTAGGTCGTTATCCAATGTCGCTAAGTGTAATCAGGCATGAGCAAGACGGACTCCGACGAAAAACGGACCACAGGGGGAATATTCTTCCACCTGCTGAAGACGCAGGACAGAGAGGTATATAAACAAATGGAGAAGCTCGTATAAGCCTCTGGCCAGACCATAACCACAGATAATGCAACGGTACACATTACCAGCAGTTGAATGCTACTGTGGAATTAAGTTTTAAAATATCGCACAGTAAGGCTACAAGGCTTACTTCCAGCCGGAGAGCAGACTGGTGTAGATGCCCAGAAATAGCACACATATACACATCAACGAACGAACACCGTTGTTGATGGCCTCACTCTTGCGCGGCGAGACAGGAGCCAGTTCTTTACCTGTCGCTACAAGCTGGGTGGGGGCTTGGTCCCCAGCCATCAGCACCAGCCTGGCCGAGTTGGCCAGGCGGTCGTAGGCCTCTGCGCTTATCACGGAGGCAAACATCGTGCTTTTGACAAATTTCACGTCGTACTCCGCCTTGACGATGATGGTAGAGGGCGACGTAGTAGTTGCCGTGATCCGGAACAGCGTGTAGAAGTACTTCGAGTACGGGATGTCGGACGTGTACGTGGCGCTCTCGTAAATGAGCTGTGTCTTGTTCACGAGCGCGTACTTCAACTCTTCCCGTACCTTTCCACACGAATTTCGCACCAGCAGGGCGGTGTACTTGGTATCCTTCAGCTTAAAGCTGTAGCAAACGCGGCGCTCACGGAACTGCACTCCGCCAGCATGCCAGTCGAAATCCACTGGTTCCAACGTGCCGCTGAAATCAAACGCATTCTGTGACAAACGCGTATCCGCGATTATGCTGCCTGGAGTCACGTTGTCCTTCATCGTCCGCACGAAGAAGTCCTGCAGACTCATTCCCAGCTGCGTAGGCGGGGCGCTTTTGGAGAGCGGTGCGAGGCCTCCAAACATGTTCTTCAACGATTCCGAGTAACCGTCAGAGTCCGCAGCAGATTGAGCAGCCTGCTCTTCCGGGTCTTTCGCCTGGTTCGCCTCCAGAATGGCGTCACGAATGCGGCGTGCATTGATGACGGAGTGGAACATGTGGCTGTCGCCGTTGCGTAGCAGGATGCGAACGTAAAAGGCGATCGGTTTCGGCGAATTCAAATCACACTCCAAGATGTCGCTTAAAGGCACTGTGAGCGTCGTCTGCGTGCCGAATAGCGTCGCATCGTTGAAGTTCGAAATGAAACCCAGATGAGTCTTCGTCAGGTAGAGCGTGCCACTAAGCACTATCTTCCGACACAACGAACACTTGAACTCGTGTAAAACCTTGCCCTCCAGTCCCAACTTGGAAAGCATCATCGCCTGTTTCAGCGTCGATTTCGATGTCAGAGTTATGCCTGTGTCCTGACGGGCAACGGAGTGGCTATCGTCCTCTCCAGGGTAGACGCGATACATATCCAAGTGGGTCTCACACTCCAGATCAGCGCGCCGAAACAACGGCACATCGCGCTCCCACAGCACTTGCACGAATTTAGCTGGGAACCACCTGTTGACGCCGGAAGCGGTGTGGCCATACCACAACGGAGTATTGCCGGCAATCCGTACGTGTATCGCATCACCGCATTTGAAGCTAAAATTGTGGTTTGGCTCCTCGTAATCCACCAGTGCCTCCGCAAGCATCTCATTCACCGATAACAGCTTGCTGGTGGCGGTGCTGCTCTCGCAAGGCGCAATTTCGCCCTGCAACTCAAGCAGTGTTCCGCTGCTCTCCTTGCTTCTTGATGGCGCCTTTTCGGCAGTTTTATCCGGCTCCGACCCCGAGTCACTCTGATCGACCTCATCGACACTGCAGGCGTCGGGCTGCAGGTGTTCTATCGCCGCCTGTAGCTGATCTGGCTCCATGTTGCCGCTTGCAGCCAACGCTTCGACGACGCGGTGCCACTCCAGTGACGATCCGCAGACGACTGTGGCGTCAGAGCAAACCTTCAATGTATGCTCGCTGGCTGTATCACAAATCACACCAAACTGGCTCAGAATGTCGCTAAGGAGGCTCAAAGGCATTTTCACCTCGAGGAATTCGCCAAGCACAGGCTGCGAGTTGTCCTTAGATCTCCTGAAATTGGATCCATTCCTCGGAAATACCGCACCTACGGTCGAATAGAACGACAACCATAGGGTGCTCATTTGCTTGTGATACCTGTAATACGACTTGAACATTGCGACAAGGTCGGCGCCGCACAACTTCAACGGATAGCGCGAAGTGAAGCGGGAAAAACGTTCCATTTGGAATCTGTGAAGCTGCGATAACTTCTTCGACAGGGTGCGCATGCAGTCGAAGGCATCCACCACCACCGAGTGAAGGGCGTCCTTCATGCTAGTAGACTCTACGTTCACACTGAACCTCAAATCCACCGTGCCATCAGAAGGGACCTTGCCGAAAGAGTCCGTGCAAAGGTTTAAAATGCGCGATTTCGAAAACGCCCCTGCCAAAAGGCGTGACGACACGCCAGTAATCCTCTCCGTACAGAGCGCCTCTACCGCAAAAATATCCCTGGGGTAATGGTTTGCGAACATTGACAGGACGCTGGTGAGACCGTGCACGTAGGTCTCGCGGCCCTTTATCAGGTTGTCGCGCAAGCTGTGGGTCAAGCACATCTGCTCGACGTAATTGGTGTAGCGCACGAAGTCCTTGCGGGAGCTCAGCAAGTCGCGTACAGTGCCCCAATGCGCTTGCCTGGTTTCCAAAAAGGACGGCTCGCGGCTCGGGCAACCTTCGAAAGTGCAGTAGAAGGGTGCTGCAGGGTCAGGAACGCCCGTGAAAGAGCGGCCTGAGCAACTACTTTCCAGCGCCTTTTCCAATTTTTGGAACTTAGCTACGGCCTTGTCGTAGCTGGCCAGCGTCGAAATGTATTCTGCATTGTATTCCCGTAACTTATTCTTCATATTCTTCGACATGCCTGCGCTGTCAGAGACAACCTTGTCAAGTACCGTCACAATGTCAGTCACAACAACATCGAAGGAACGTAGCCACTGCAGCTCATGGTTTGCCGAATCGACCACAAACAGCAGCATACAACGCAACGCTCTACATAGTGGAGAAAAGAGCGCTCGGTCTTCGTCGCTCAGGTCATCGTTCAACGACGCCGTCGTGGTGGCAGGGTCGTTGGAGAACTCGTCATCCAGGTAGCGGCCAACAAACGCAGCCCCTTCCCTTACCCCGCAGCCCTTCACAAATAGGTCCGGCGTGCATAGTTGCCCCAGTATTTCGATACCTGAAGCTGCCGAACGTGCCGAACCCAGGCTTTTGGACGCCGGCGTGTCGTGCGTGCTACAATTCACAACATCGCCGCCCTCAAACGACCCGTATTTGGGGAGGAAATTAGCAGCAAACTCGCCACTGGAATCGTTGTCAGAAGCGAATCTGTTCGCCCCCCTGTAATTCCGCAGCAGCACCGGGTTCAGCTGCTCGATTAGAAACTCGCTTTGAAAACGACTCAGTGCACGACGGGAGACAACGCCTGGCTCCACAATGACAGCTCTGTCCACATGGTGTTCCAAGGCAGGGGTAATGAAATCCTCAGAGTCCTCGGACAAAACAGAATGCAAAGTAAGCATTTCATCCTCGCCGGTGAGGTTGACGTCAGAGGTTCCGCCATCGTCAACTGAAGTCCACGAACCGTCAGACGCGTCCTCAGGCGGAATGCCAGTATCAGTCAACCATGTAACATTTACGATCGAATCCCTGTGCGATTTTTGAGAGTTATTAATCCTGGACTGCAGCCCCTTCAGAGTGCTATCGATAACATAGGGGCCAAAGTAGTCCAGAAGTCCCTCAAGCGCCGTTGCATCCTTGCACGGCGTTAAAATACTCCTCAAGCGCGACGCAAGCACCTTCGAGGAGGACGACTTCTCGCTGTAGGCGGACGCCAGAAAGGAGAGGTCCCCGCTACCACTAACGGAGAGTGGCATTTTAACCGATGGCCATTGAGGCCCTTGACATCTGTATCAACACGCAAGCCGTCGGTGGTCACCATTTAACACACCGAGACAGCACATGGCAAGTATTCTTGAAGGAAAATCTCAAGAAAATCTGTCTACATAAATCCATATGGATGGTAACCGCCAAATTTTTGCGTCCGAGAATTACCGCCTACGCTTGTGAGGCAACAACGACTGACGCAAAAGAGCACGAACAACGGCTAGCCATATGTGTCGAGCGCAGCACCTGACCAGCAATGTAATCCCGCAACGCAGGGTGTGTCACGTCAAGTCTTCACGTCACACTACATTAAAATGCCGAAAGGTGGCACAGCAGCCCAGATGGACGCTTCATTGTGGATATTTTAATGTTACGATGCAATGTGTACCGCTCAACAACGGGCGCGTCGTGCGCCGGTATGTCGTGAAACGGCACACTCCGATAAACAGAAGAATCTCACCTGAAAATCATCAGCACGCTCATAACCAATTATTGGTGGTTCCTATCGTCACTTGACACGCGAGGCACAAACAATGTATGTGACGAGGCATCACGAGCCACCGACACCCTTGTTGAGAAGTTCGGGGTCTACGCATTCGTTTACAAGCTGAATCACGGCATTAATTATCTAAGGTGTATACAACGCCAATAGTCTAATTTGCCAACGCACATAGTCTTTTCATGCTTCAAGGCGTGACCCCCCGCACGGCCGTAACAGTTGGCTAATTGGACGACACATGTCATCTTCTTACCGCTAACTAGCAACCTAACACTTGCAACGATTTATAAATGTGTTTATAAGAACAAACCAGGCCGGGTGTGCCCGGAGATGACCGCTCTCCTTTTCCGAGGCCAAACGCTGAGACGTTAAAGCAATCGTCAGAAAATGATGGTTTTATCGGAATTTAGACCTTATATTACGCTTATTCGAAGATTTTACGCCACACCGGCGCGAATAGGCTCTACACAGCCGTCGAAAAACCCGTCGACCTCGGATATGAGCTTCGAGGAAATCTTCGGCAAGGCCAAACCCACGCAGCAACACAAGGTAAACGATTCCATAGCGTAAAGTCACTGTCTACAGATCAGTGAGGAGGGTTCGTACGACGCGCTCTACCAGGAGTGCATGTCGGACATATATCGCAGAAGAGCTGAGGCCGATGGCTACACCGAAGAGACGCGAGACTCGCCAGAAATCCTGGAATTCACACGCAAAGAGCGTGAAATCACTAGGGCGATATTCAAGAGGACGAATCCGTCCCAACACGTTAGTGTAAGGCTGATGGCATAACATGTTGTGACAGCTGATGCCCAAGCTCGACCAAAGGGACGACTACATCGATCCATACTGGGACCCGTTCAAACGCCTGGATGGGCTAAAGTTACAGGTGGCAGCGGAGTTCAACGACCTGGCCAGGTGAGCAGACAACGGTGTAACAACGAAAACCTGATGCAGGCTCATCAGCGCTGCGGAGGTGCGCAAACAACGGAAAATGATAAGAGACGCGGCTGAAACTTTCGACAAGTTCGGGGATCCCTACGCTAACGATAATGAGCCTAAGGAGGTATGTGTTGTGCAACATGCAGACGGCCTTAATACCGAGCTGTGGCGGAGTTAATATGAGCACAAAGCAATTCAGGCATCGGAACCGTTATCTAGCAATATGAACGATCGCTTTTGGGATCCTGACGTTGATCGTCGCCTTGTTCTACAGAACAACAGAAGACCCTTCTCGTTCAGAGGTAGGGCCGCTACTAAACGTCGTCATGATTCGACAGATTTGCACGTGCTGCACAACTTCGTCGCAGAAAACGGACAAATACTGCCGAGAAGATTGACATTTGCGACGAGACAACAGCAGAGACAAATCTTCAAGGCCATACGAGTGGCGCGCCAAATGGCGCTGTTTCCATACGAATGGAAACCACGATACCGCGACAGGATACCACTTATGGACCCACAACAGGTAGGCGCTGCTGCGGTTTGCATTAAAAGGCGCGCAGTACCTGGCTGACGAACTGTTCCACCGGTACACATCGCTGGGAGATCTCCGAGCAAAGGCAATGCTTCACGTTATCATGCGAAAATACCCACACGTGAACTGCTTCAGGTAGGGCCCACACATGTGTAAGCAATGGTTGCAGGTTTCTCAAGCACGAAGCGCAAAGGTTCAGGGACGGAGCCAGCTTCAAGGAGACCCTGGACGAGCACAGAAATATCTAGCACCTTTAACACCTATAAAGGCCATAGAGCGCTGAATAACTCAGCCAAACAAATTCGCAAATGTGTGTGCCGTGAACTTGCAAACAGCTCCCTACCCCTACTTCCACTGCATCCCGGGACGCGCCGCAGCATTGGATGGAGAGTCGGTATTTTAGCCGTTCTTGTGGCCTCTGTGTCAACTGCTAATGCAGTGGATGTGTTGCCAATGGCGGGGCATAGACGTAGGTTGGTGAGAGTGTAACGGTGACCGGACGGAATTTCGAGGATGCCCAGCCGAACTAATGCGACCTTACGTGCTAATAGGCCGAACGTTTATATCGCTTAGTTAATATCTTTGCAACACAAGGAAACGCTGGTTGACGAGCCACGATGGCGAAAGATCTCATGTGCTCGCTCCTCGAAATCGAGCGCTTCCTCCTGGATCACAGGGCCGACGACTCCGTTACGAGCGCATTTAAGGAAGTGAAACGTGCGTTGTACGAACATAAGATCAAGAAAGGCGGCTTGGAAGCTGCGTGGAGCCCCTCGCAAGAGTCCAACAAGGTCTCCAAATCGAATGGCAAAAGTTTGGCCACCAACTTCTTTCACACGCTGTTCTGCAGCTGTGTGCATCGTGACACGGCGTACGAGGATGACGCAATGACATCGTCCTACGCTGACAGCGGACACAAAGACACCGCCGTAGTCCAGGAACTTGTTCAGTCGCCGAGACCGCGAAAAGGCTGGGTCATTGGAGACAGCAGGCGAAACGTTAAGGTGAACTACGATAGCCCAGAGGAGTACGAAAAGCTACTCGCCCAACTTGGAAATAACTGGAATGTGGATATTTTGGCCCTATCAAATTTCAAACCTGTTACGCAAAGGGGACCCATTGTGTGTGTTGGACACGCCCTCATTAACCCGGTGGGAGACCGGATACACCCCGATTTCAATCGGTTGCTGGCCCCGGTGCTCACTATGATTCAAGATGTTTACCTGCCAAACCCCTACCACAACGCACTGCATGGAGCATGCGTTGCTCACATGACGGCCGTTCTCACCAAGGCTTTGGGGTTGAAGGAATGCCTTACACCCATTGAGGAGTTTGCATACCTTATCGCCGCGATTGGACACGATGCAGGTCATCCGGGTAAGCGAAGCTTTAGCGTGCTTCATGAACTTGCAGGCAAAACCAATGCTTTCCTGCGGTCGACACAAAACCCGTTGGCGCTCATCTACAATGACGCAAGCATTCTGGAGAACTACCACGCGTCGCTGGTGTGCCACATCATTAGGTCGCAGGAAGGGTTTTTTGATCTCTTCTCGCAGCAGGACTGGGAATCGATCAGGAAGAGGATCATCCAGCTTGTGTTGGCCACCGACATGATGTCGCATTTCACCCATGTCAACAACGTCAGAGATAGAAGGCTCAGCGGCGCGTTTGACCACAAGAATAACCCGGATGACCTCTGGCTGCTCATGGTACTATGTATCAAGACGGCGGATATCGGCCACAACTTCCTGCCCTGGTGCGAACACCTACCGTGGACCAAGTCTCTGTTTGACGAGTTCCACATGCAAGGTGACGAAGAAAGATTGTTGTCGATTCCCCTGCTGCTATTCTTCGACAGGACGAGGTCGGCTGACATCCCCGACTCGCAACTGGGATTCTTCCAGGGATTCACCACCCCCCTGATCAACGAACTCGTATTTGTAGACACAAAGAATAACTACCTTACTCGCTTCCTACAAAAGAATTCCCAAGACAACCTGGATCACTGGAAGAAGAACAGTAAGAGACAATTAGTTGACATATTGAGTGATTTGGACAAATCCACTGAAATTCAAGACGTAGAAGACGCCAGCATCACATAAATGCGTTAAACGTGTATGACAGAACACTTTCAAACGTAATGCCTTATCCGGTAGATCGATGAAAATGCAACGTTCTCGAACTACTCACGAACACCGGACTATGGAGCATTGTCCGCCATTAGGTCTGTAATATTCGATTCCACAATGTATCTGGAAATGGGGTGGCATCAAAAATAATGTCATGAATACAGAACTATGTGCTAAATCACAGGCTCGAGAAATTTGCGATTGAGTTGCGTGCTTTATTTGCTCACTGTGGAGATCTGCGCTCCACAGCATGGGGGTTGGACTTAAAACGTCCTACGTACGGTATGCCCTGGTCCCGTGGGTGGCCCAGCTCACCACCGTAGGGGCTGCCACCTTTTGAGCTGCTAACATCGCTTCGGGTTCTGGTCAACCGTATTGATTCACCGCGTTTTTCGTCTCCGCTATTCGGCGCGCGTCTGTATTGTGCAATAGGTTACATTATGTTATCACTGATAGTTTCGATTGTGGGCTACGCTGAGAGGTGCTGTGGCGCGTGTATCGGAAGCATTACAATGCTTACTCTTCTTCCTCAGCGGCCAGTACGGTGTCGGGTTTTACCACGTTAGTAGATTGATCCATCCAGGATGACGCAGCCATCGCTCATCGGCCCACTTATAGTGAGGCCATTCCAACCCATTCTTGGTCGTTGGTCCAAAATTTATTGCTGCGGATGTTGCGTGTAGTCCTCCGGGTATCCCAGGATGCTGCTTTATTCTTCTTGCCAGCGCTGCTGGGCTTATGCGTCGGCGGCTTCGTGTCGTCAACCGCCTGATCCGTCGTTTTAGATGTCAGTGTAGGCCTCGCCACACCGGTGGCACAGCAAGCTCCGAAATGATACCCGGGATTGCAGTATGAGCGCCTTCAACGCATCTTCCCATTTAAAAGTTGCAAAATGTAGATTGTGTGTCATTCGTCGGTGAACTATGTCTCATATTGTTGAAAACTTCGTCGCTGAGCTGGTGCCGATGCCCCGGTGTTCTCAGTGCTGTTGGCACGCAGCATATCATTTCGATATCTTAGTTCATAGGCAATATTGTGTGAGATCTATTAAGCATATTGGTAAAACAACTTTTCCATCATCTGCGAACCAATTTTGTCACATCAGGGTTTTTCTTGATGCCAGTCTGGTCGCCACCTACTGCCATTGATGTCGTGTTAAACATGGTGGCAATTTTGGCAAAAAACTCTACCTATAACGTTAAATTCGTGTGCCTGCGTGGTGTAGTGAGAAATTACGCACAAAGGTGAGATGTACTTTAATTATGCCGGCCTTGGATTTTGTAAGTGACGCAGAGGGGAAATGGAGAGTGTGGCAAATGAACGAAACTAAGGTTAGGCGGGATATCAACTTAATGCTATGATTAAACAATGCAGATGCAGCAACCATGGCATCACACGTTCTTATAAACTATGTAGATAAATTTCTACTGAATACCTTCAACTGATGTATGGTCAAGTCGAGGTGGTGGATCACCTCATAGGCCAGTGAAGGATGTTACTGAGTATGTGGGTTGGCAGTGAATGCCGCCGAGAGTATCCGACGTGATGGCCAGTGTGCGGGTTAGTTAGATGAGAATTATTGCCAATATTGTGGTAGGCCTTGAAGTCGTACCCCCGGCCTAGGCCCCGCAGCCACTTTGCGGGGCGCCCCGCAAAAATTATTAGGCCTTATTTGTCCCTCCATAACATTGCAGCGCGCTTGCACACACTTGTAATCTGTGTGGAATCAAGGCATTTTTCTCGCTTCGAATATAGGTGAGAGTAACTTGATTCAAATGTTGGCAACTAACTCATAAACACGTGTTAACGGTGGATATCAACGGCGTGTCAGCGTTGCAAGATCTGAAAAAAGCGCTTACGAAAGCAGACGTGGATAGCAGTCCGGGGGTGTCTTTCTATTTGAAGAGGCATAATCAAGCTACACGTACATTCGTCATTTTTGAGAGAGCTTTCTCCCCAAAGAGTTGTCTGCAAGATGCAGCTTGTAATAATAACTGTATGCGTCCTTTGGTGGACTCATGCAATCCTTCAATCGTATTTTTCATATAAACTAATTTCACAATATTTGCGCACTATGCGGCAAAAACGAAGGCTTTTCTGGATTCCTCGGAAGCCCACTAAGAAGTCACTTAAACTTCAAGTTAACGGAAAGCAGTCGACTAAAACTAAGGATAATGTGGAACAGTTGGCTGCAATTCAGGACGAGGGATTGCGGTCGACTAAATCTCAGGATATTGGAGACCAGTTGCGTAAACCTCAAGACGATGGGAAACAGTCGATGAATCTAACCAATCATCACAAAGGGGTGTACAATTCGTTGACCGAGCCTCCCCGAAACGTCAAGGAGTGCATGGACTGGCTGATAGCCCTGAAGGGAACTGATGCGGAAAAGAACTTCAAAGCTTTGGGTGCCGCGCTTCACACATTTCTAGTGGACAAGGCTGTTGAATTTACCGATGTGCCACTTCTTGAAGAAGTTAGACGCATATCTAAGGAGTTCCTGGAGCAAAATGAACTTAAGGACCGGCGGCACGTAAAAGAGATTCTGGAGATGATCAATAGGTTCGTGAATGAAACACCTGAAGACTTCGCTAAAACCATGGGTAGCAATGCTGTTGCCGTCAAACAGAACATAGGTCATGTTGTGGATGGTTGTGAGAAATTCTTGGAAAAAATTAAAACCCCTAAGCAGTATAAGTCTGCCTACAGTTCCGAAGCTACGTGGGATGCAACATGCGCAAAGGACTCAGAAGCTTGCGCGGCAATATTCTTGGGTATTGCTTTAATGTTGTACGTAGGCATAGGTTCCTTGCAGGATGCGTGGTTAGATGCACACTTTAGACGACCGCCGTTTATTGCGTATAAGCGTATGCAAGGGGTGTTGAAAGCCTTGGGTTTCGTAGAGCCAGAATTCCGCGCTAACATGAGTGTTTCAGATGTCGAGAAGGCATTGGAAGGTGTAAATAAAAGGGTATTGTTCATAACAAACGAGTTCGCTCGATTTTGGGGTTTGTCTTGAATAGGAATATCTTGAGCTGTGAAATCAAATTGACAAACAACGGTTTGCTCTTGGGTCTCCACTGAACAGCCGTCCTACGAATTCCCGAGGAGTTAAACATTGACAGATACTCTGCCTTCCCGTCTGAGGACGTACGGTAGCTTTACGTATAGCACGTAGAATTTCAATATGGCAGCATCAATATAGCATGAATGTGTTTCATATGGTCAATGATTAGTGTTTTAGTGCTTACTCACGGGTCTTGTTTACGTCATCCCATAGTGTCAGTGTACCATGAAGCTCGTTGATTACCCATCAGCGAAAAGAGCTGAAACGTTACGTGCTAGATGGGCTGCTAGGTCGTCTGCTAGGTGGGTGATATGTTAGTTACAATGTTACTATATCGGCACTGTGGAAATACCGCACAAAACGTTGTCCAACTCCCTACCGATCCCCCCAAACCTTTGCTGTAAAGGCTCTCGTAGCGTCTTTTAGTCTATGTTGCATTCCTGTAGTCAAGCACAACGCATTGGTCCCCCGTACACAACACATGCACAAAGCGTTTAAATATGTAAAATTGAGCTTGTACAGGTTTGTAATCAAAGAGCCGTCATAATAAACAGCAGAGCTACAGCCTGCATACCCTTGATCCCTATTGTGACATCCGCTGATGACGCTTTACGACGCCGCAGTGCGGACGTGGGTGCGAAGACGTATGTAGATTGTGAATCAACTTCGTTACTCGATGCATTGTCTTCATATGTTGCTTCGTTCTGTTCTGTCGGCTCTCGTGTGGGAGTGGGCACATTCGGTGTTGTTCCAACAGAAGTTTTTGGTGACAAGTGAGATGTATTGTCGGAATCCACGGTGGAGTTATGAGATTTTATAGGTTTCTCATACTTCTCACCATCTGATGCATCGGAGCTTTTACTACTAAATCCCGATGACTGCTGATCATGAGATTGGGATGGGGTTGTTGGTTGAACGTTATGTCTTCGGACGAACTCTCTCGCCTCCAGCATTTTGATTGTATACTCCCCTACAATGTCGCTTTCTAGCACGTTGCATACTGCATAAAATGGCGTTGTATGATGGTGGAGCCACAGTAGTGTGTTTCTTCGATGTCAGGCACCACTACGGCGACTGCTCAACTCTGACATTCGATCAATCATATATTCACTGCATGAAATTGTTGGTCGCAGCAATCGGTTGCGCATATGTGCGCAAAATGCCTCGCCTATTATCTAAGTTTATCATGGTTGAGATGTTCTGTTTGCTACAATCAAGGGGCAGATGTCAGGAAGTTACAATTGTTGCAGAGACACCAGAAGTGGAAGGAATTGTAATAAATATAAAACTGAATTTCATCTCTGTTGCCGATCATGCCCACTAATATAAAAGCTGTTTGATTCTTTGTTTGGTGTTTTGCATTCATTTCATATTGATGCACATCTTAAGTTTGATCATAAATCTAATGGCCATTTCAGCACCTTCCTGCCTGTTTCATCAGTTGCTCAGACATTTACTATCCGTATATCACCTATGCATTGCACTACACACATTACCCGAACTTATTCCATTCGGCATGATGCTACAGTAACAGATATGTTATGTCGGAATACAGGTCATCAACCCTCAGCCCAAGTCACACACACGTCGCCACTTGCCGCAGAATGCAGTAGAAGAGATATTATTGTAAGACACAACCCGTGCCCTGAGGCCTGAAAAGGAGCAATACTGCTTACAGGAGCGTCTCATGCAGCTGACAATTAGAGAACAATACATCGGTGCCTTGTGAAGTTGACAGGGAACTTGGTGAGTGAAGTTCTAATGTCTTAGTTCAGTTCCACATAAACACAACTATAAACAGCCATTCTATTGTTACGTTCGCCATGTCTATGATGTAATGACGCTTGGATGTGCCTGTTGTTCACAATTTCCGCATGAAATAGTATGGTAGATAATTTTTTTGCTAATATCGTGGATGATGATCACTTGGGGTTTATACAAAATCTGTGTAGCGATTCCAGGTTGTTAGTTAGGATCATTACATTACCATAGACCTGTATACCGTTAAAAATGGCGAAAGATTGAACATTTTATATTTATCAGCAACACAAGCAGAATGGCAACCTCAACATCGATTAGTCTTCTGACATTGATTTGCCTCATTATGGCCGTTAGTTTCTTATTCAATGGAGATGCTGCACCGTTAAATGCCAAGCGACCTGGCACCACATTGAATGACGACGTAGAGATATACGTAAATGGGCAAAAAATGACGTACGAAGCGTTAAAAAGAGCGGATCCATGTCAGGATATTAAATACGTGATCAGTAAGGAGCGCATGAAAACACATATAAATTATTTGAAGGACATCGTTTTACATTACGAAAGTGCACATCCTTTTATTCCATATCTGGAGAACATTCTTCGATATTCCCAACGTAAGCTCGATGAGGCGGACGGAGCGCCGTACGTGACATTCGACCGTACAGAATTCCGCACAGAATACGCAAAAATATTTAACGGCATCACTAGGACACCGGTGCAACCACCATTATTTGATCCTAGCTATCGGCAAGTATTGACGGCTCTGCACCGATTTCGCAGTGCACCTTTCCAAATACAGGAACTCATAATGCGCACTTGGATGTTTCTGTGTCAGCGTATATATTTGGCATGCTTTAATGAATTGCGAACAGCGGGGGTAGAAAATACGGCAGATGGTTCCCAGGAAGGTAGCAGCAATACCACTTCAGCAAATCTCCGAGACAGTGGTCGCGCCAGCGGTAGTAATGTGGCAACGGTTAGTGGTGGTACCAGATCTCATATCGATGGATCGCCTTCTTCAAGCTCGGGAGGAACTATATCCGTCTTACCATATGTTCTAGGGTCGTTGGGTGCCTGGAAGCCCGAACCAGATCGGCCATTGGATGATTCAAATGAGTCGGGCGAGGTGGCCGGATCTTCCAAGGATGACGAACATCGGCATCAAAATTCGGGTGCGACTGAATTGGAACCTGGATTCCAGGACGAAGACCTGTCTGATTTCTATATCCCACCTGAGATAGCTGAAGAGGAGGATCCAGATTGGGAAGATTACTTCGCATCGTTTTTAAAACGCCTGAAAAAATCGCCGCAGGACGATCGTGGTGGTACTACTTCAACATAGTTGTTGCAAGGATGGGAAGGTAAATGAACATTATGCTGCGATGGCAGCGCTCGCTGATGTGGGCAATGGTTCGCGAAATCCACTCATCTGTATCAATCGCTCTTGGACGTCGCATCTACACCGATAGATTCATGAGCAGTTCATCAATCTTGCGTGACGATCGTTTGGGTGTCCCATGGACGCCGGGAATATACCTATTGGAGTTGCGTATAATAATCCAACATAGGTGTTTCATAGAACCAGCAGTGATGTATTATATCAGAGTTCAGTAATTGAATCACGCACGAAATAGTTGTCTACTTAGTTTACGGGGGACAGGCGCCAACACCAAAGGCTCAACGATAAAAGTCAAGACCAATAGCGCCCGGGGAATAAGCTTAAAGGAAACGCTAAGGAAGACAAACGCCATCAGCAGCCAAGCAGAAACAAAACGAGGCTGACGTACGGAGGATAGGCGAAGAATAGAAACCAGTAACAACGACCCTATTATAGCGTACAATAGAAGGTATATCGATAAATCAGAGGACTCTTATCAGAGCATTCGCATAGCGAATTTGTCAGAGCAATGCGTACACAATGACTGACATGTCACAGCGTACAACTTAAACAGCATCATGATGGCCAGTTCCGCGCCGGACCCTCATATTCAGTTGCGCCCGCTCCTGTTGCGTGGTCTTCGGTTTGTGGATGTGCTCCGCGGTGGTATAACCTCAGTGGAATACTTCCGTGTAATGGTCCCATCCCTAGTATGGGTCTCCTCTGTTCTACTTATCTTAACACTACCGTCAGGTAGGGTACTCTTCGTCGTGACAACGACTGACCCGTCGGCATATGGCCCGGAACGGCGACGGGCGTTGGTGCCATGTCGGCGCTGTGGCCCGTGTCCTCCAGACGAAGACGTCATGCCTGTTCGCGGCTCGTCAAAATCGTCGTCGTACATGCCTGTTCTAGATACAACTTATAAAGAAACCGCCTACCACTTTTTCTACCAAAGCTAACCGAAACGCTGGGACACGTGAATCTGCGGAACATGACACTTATGGATGCACAAACTCTTACTCAAAAATGCCATCGGACCCCCATATAATGTCAACGGAAGAGCTTGCACATTGCATCACTTCGGTTTCCATATCTGGGGAACTGTCGGAATCTGGCTCCGGAGGAGGTATGCTGGAAGCTGCGATCTCGTTTAGAATCACCTCACACATCAACAAACCATCATATTCCCGTCGTTTCCTTGAATCCGATAGGGTTTCGTAGGCTGTTGAAATCTTTTGGAACATTTCGGTGGCCTTCGCTGCGTTTCTAGGGTTTTTGTCTACAGATCATGTGAGCAGGAATTAAACATTTAACGACTTAAGGAAATAGGCACCTGTAACCCACTGTGCACTGCATAAAATCACTAGGACAGTTTACCAGTAATTCACGGTCTCACAACGATACTAATTAATACAAATGGCTGCGGTGGAACAGTTCATAACATATACTGAAGCCCATACAAGTTTACTACATACCTGGATGCCATTTAATGGCTAAAGCCTTGTACTTCCTCTTAATTTCGTTAATACTAGCGTTCGGCTCGACGCCAAGAACTTTGTAAAACCCCTCAGGGTCCCGATGCCTTCCTGCTCCTAATTATAACTAGAACACAACTGATGAAAACAAAACGCCACTGATACACATTTCAATAGCCTCATTCCATCATAACTCGGCCCGGAATGTCTGCTTCAAACGGCTAGCGTCCGGAAGGATACTATGACCATCCAACTAGAAAGAGTTCGCCAGGTCACGTAGACCGCAAATGAGGAACGATATACCACATACACACCACCCACCTGACGACATTATCAGTGTTTGTAGTTGCGATGTAACATCACGGGATAATTTTTGAGAACGACCGATTCCAACAGTCCTGCGTTTAGCTTCTCTTGCGCGCCGGTTGATGCGATGAAGTTACAATTGGGCTTAGAGATCGACAAAAAATTGCCCTTTTGTATCTACTCCGCTGCGTGCCTTTGGTGGTTTGGGGATCGACGAGCCACCGCGCGTCACACGCAGCGGACAGCTTCTGAAGATCCATGACCTAGACAGTGTGTATCGTCCTAGATGGAGCTCTCCGCGGAGGTGTTGCAACATCTGGGCTATCTGTACTTCACGGGTGACCAGACAAAAGGTATGCATTTCTTCAAGTCATTACTTCGTGGCGTGATGCAATGCTCCTCGCTAACGCTACTTCAGATAAAGATCCCGTCATCAAGGGGGTGACGCAGTGGACGGAGTACTTCGATTTCAACTGGCAAATCATTTTGGGGAAAGTAGGTGGCAGGCATTAACCTTTTGGAGACCGTCTGCATCGGTATTTCTTGACCGAGCTGATAATGGCTCAGGGGGAAGAAGCATTCCGCGAAACCTATGTCGTACATATTGATTACGTGGACCTGATTAGTACTGATGTACCCGAGGGAGTGGAGGTTTTCAAGCACAATATATGCTCCAAGCCCGCGTTCGTGCTCAGTTGCATGTCTGCGGGGCTCCATGTAGCTGCATGCAAGAGATTTGGCCGCAACAGCTTGCTTGACAAGTACCTCAATAGCCAAAACACAGGAGATGGCGCTGACGATACCTTTGCTTCACCGGGTATGTTTATATACCATAATCGGAACGACTTGCAGTTTCCGTTGACGCCGGCGGCGCCACGGATATGCAATGCCAGCGCAGCGATATCGCAACAACACTGTTGGGCAACGGTTTATGCAAACACGTATTCTTCATGGATGTGTTGCCGCAATATGTTACCATTCGTCTGAAAAACTTCTTTCCGCGGTCGCCCTTCAGCGTGCTGCGCAGCCACGCCATTGGGTGCTTGGTCAGCATTGCCGGACAGGTCATCAGAATCAGCACCACGACCCCTATGATCATCTCTGGAATGTTCACATGCGCGAGATGCGGGTGCCACTTCTTCAAAAAGTTCAAGGATGGGCTGTTCGAGTATCCGTCTCGGTGTTTCACCGAGGGATGCACATGGCGCGCGTCGCATTTCCAGCGTCACTGCGTACAAACGACAAGCTCGCAGGTTGTGAGGATTCAGGAGGATTCGCGCATGGAGACAAATGCGAGCGCCCGCTACGGCGACTCAGCTGTCGGTACATACGTAGACGTCGAGCTGACTGGCGACCTTGTGGACCAGTGCAGCCCAGGCAACCTCGTCGATATTGTAGGGATTGTTGATGCGACTCCGTGCTTAGTTAATGAAGACCTGACTGGTCACAACTCCACGTATAACATCCTTGTGAAGGCCGTGTCGATGAACGTGCTGAACAAGCGCATGACACGCTTTTCACAGGACGGATATGGTGCCCGCGGATTCCGATGGGGGATAACCAACGGCATCCCAGACTATCAAATGGACTCACGTAACACTTGGAAGGTTTGTTCAGTGCGATTACAGCCCTGTTTCATCCGCACTCAGGTGTTCGCGAATCCAGCTGACAACCCGTCGCAGGGCCTGCCCACTTCGGCGCAGACACAGGACTCCAACAGCGTAGCTTCGCAGGACGAGAACTCGACTGGGGATTCTAGCCTTTATAATTTCATTCGTGAAATCTATTACAGTGAGCCAAACAGGTTCTATCTGGCTGCAGCGTCGCTATGTCGGTCGGCCGTGGGACGGCCCTATATCAAAGGTGAGCTTTTATTGGTATAAAGGCTGCATGTATACAACAGTCGGACTGCTTCTTTCGCTTTTAGGCGGAGTGCCCGTTTACAAGAACAGCGTGCTGCAGCGTCGTGGAAACATCCACTGCCTGCTGGTGGGCGACTCTGGAGTGGGGAAAAGCTTTATTCTACGTAACTTGTGTAACATGATGGACAATGCGTTATTCTTCTCGGGAGGATCTGTGACTGCTAGCGGGTTGACGGCGGCGGCGGTGCGCGAGAAAGGGTGCTCAGAGTACACGCTGGAGGCTGGCGCCCTCGTGCTTGCGTCGGGGGGTACGTGCTGCATTGATGAGCTGGACAAAACGACGACTGCACAGCAAAATTCGCTGTTGGAGGCCATGGAATCGCAGTCGGTATCTTTGGCGAAAGGAGGCATTGTATGCACCCTTACGGCACAATGCACTGTGATCTGCGCGGCAAATCCATCCGGCGGTCGCTTCAACTCCAGCATGTCTGTCACGAAGAATATCAAGCTTCTCGCGCCGCTCGTAAGCAGATTCGACCTGATATTCTTCATCGCGTAAGGCCGTATTGACGTTCCATCTCATGTGATGTAGCGACAAGCGGTCGGAGGAAGCGGATGACTACATCGCATCGCACATCCTTAAGAAGGCAGGAAATAAACGTGCCTCTTGACATTCTCACAGGACCAAAAACGTCAATATAGCACTCGAGATGTGAGGCCCGAGCCCGTATCTCTGAAGGATCACGTAACTTACTACCGGGTTTGTGCAGCACACCTACTAGATAGCATGCACAGGAAAACGAGTACCTCGATGAGGGCCTTCTACGGAGCTACATCGAGTACGCCAAGGCTTATATAAACCCAGTTTTCACACGGCCTGCGCGCAAACTGCTGAGGAAGTTTTACTCCGAGTTGCGCCAGCTTTCCAAAATGCACAACGGCTTGGTGATAACCACCAGGCAACTGGAGGGAATAATTCGGCTGTGCCAGGTTTGCTGCCGTTACGATGATAAAGGAGCTGTAGGCACGTGCTCGAGGTGACTTGTGCGACCGCGTCACAGAGGAGCACGTTAACGATGTGTGTGAGCTCTTCAAGCAAACAGGGTACTACCCAGGCTACCTCGATACTTTGACGCGTCCTTCCGAAGTGGTAAGCGCCAGATACAAAGTCTGAAACGGTTCAAGGTGGATCCGTCAAAGAAGGCGCGGCCGAAGGCCGCCGTATCGATAATGGCGGCATTTATTTCCAGGCTGCCTGCCGACCGCACCGTTACGATAACCCAAAAGGTTGGTGTAATCGCGGTGTTTTCAACACCTACAGGAAATGATGGAGTTCGCAAAACAGGCTCTGAACGCCTGCCAGTCTGAAAGGGATCCGCAGGATTTGATCGAACGTGGTATGTGTAGAACGCCCCGGGTCACATGTTTGCAGCAAATATGACCGGCCATATATTGAAGAAAGGCAGTAACTGGACCGTTAATATTTAGAAGATTGCCCCTAGGTGGTGGCATACAGTGAGGCGGCGGCGTCCCCTCCGGTCTCCGAAAGCTCGTGCCGCAGGCTGCACTGGAGGTGTGGACTTTTAACCATGTATCTACACACATCATATTGGATGATTGTCGGCACTCATTACGGCGACAGTTCCGCGCACGTGCCACTTGTTAACTGCACTGCGCTATCGGTTTTGTCGCCTTTCATTGCGTGTCCTTTCGCGTATACGAAGCAGTGATGGTCAGCGAAGGGCGTGCAATAGCTATTGTAGCCTACGCACCTCTGCAGCGTATGATACGGTGCTCATTGAAAAGCTGCCGATGAGTTCCTTTGATGTACTCCGTCCCTGATGTGGGCGACAGGGCCCAGGGGATGTGCGAACTCGTCAAGGCGATGCCTTGCGGTTGGATTCTGGATCGATTTGAGCAATCACGCATCGTTTCATGATGGAGGAGGATGAGTTCCTTAAGAAGAGGGAGAAGATCGGCGTCCTCCGCTGGATGTACCTCTACCATTTGTTGACGGAGGGACAGCAGATGGAGATGCTTAGGTCGATTGGGAATTATAGACAGCCCAAATATTCGGATGACGCAAACTTCGTACTAGCGGTGGACCGCGGGTTGTATATTCATTACTACAACATCGCTATGGCCATGAGGGAACGGCTCTTATGCAAATACACGCATCTCGTGTGGGAAGTCTTCGGGTTCGATCTGTGTCTCGCGTTCGTCATCACAGAGGGCATGATTAGTGCCAACCAACCGCAGCTGGTTGCTAAAAAAATCTTGCGTATGTTCCGGTCGTTGCCTCGTTATAGGCCGCAGACTGGGAAGCACATGAAGAGTATACACTTCAAACCTGGAAATATTAACGCGGTCTTCGCGAAAATGCTCGATTACAGGCACAACTTCTTCGTAAGGCTAGGGCTTACTCCTCCCACCGATATCGCAATCTTATTTATGTCGCAAGATATCCCTGTGACAAAGCGCAACTTCCAACATTTCGATTTCATGGAGATGGCGGAGCGTATTTTTGGCACCAACGCAGAAGAGGCGTTAATCGCTGATGGTTGGAGACCTAAAACCCAACTCCGGCGGTGGGCGATGCCTGAGGACGTGTCCTCCGTGTGGGCGAACGACAGGGCAACATCTAACGAGACAGGAATGCACGAGCCCCCCGGGCTTGATACGACTTGGAACATGCATAAGATACATATGGTGCTACGGACCGTTCCCTCGCCCTCCCCAGTGAACAAAAAGTTCCAAAACGATTTCAATAACCTGGTGCCGAAGGAAACGGATGTGGTTGTTGTCGGCGCCGGTATCGCAGGTCTGGTTGCCGCAAACTACCTGAAGTCGTGTGGTGTTGATGTGGTTGTTCTGGAAGGCAGAGACAGGGTTGGGGGGCGTGCGTGCACCACCTCATTTCCGTCTAGGGTATATCACGGGGACGTCATTCCTGAGGTCAACATTGACCTGGGCGCGAATTACCTTCACTGCTGCAATCCCACCGATCCCGGAGAGGGTGCGTCTAATCCGGGCGCCGTGAAAGATGTGCGCGCACGGCGAGTGCCCATCAAATCGCTTACGGGCTTAGCCTCCGTCGTCCAGCCAATCGTCGCTGACGTCGCTGGTGGTGCGAACTGGGAGTCGACTGTCTACGCTCGCTGGTGCGACTTCGAAGGAAAGGAGATCAATATTGAAAGCGTGATAAAGGTCAACATGATTGCTGAGAAAATACGCTTGCGCGCATCCCGCAAGGTTACGTGTATGAAGAAATTCATGAAGACCCCATCCGGGAACCCGAACACTACCAACAGTTCGAAGCACCTCTGGTACGTCCGTGAAGGTCTATATCGTGAAATCTTCAACCAGCCACCATCTGCCACCGATTCACTGAGGTCTGAGGCATTCGATTTTTCGTCGCGTTCCTCTGCATTTTCATCCCCTTCTACCCGCGTGGGATATGCTCCATTGGTTGAAGACCATAAGTCAACCGTTATACCCCCCGTGCGATATGCACAACTATATCCCGACATGTGTGTAAACGGCAGTGATAATACGGTGTTGCACGGCTATGTCCCAATACCCAACTATGGGGCCGTGCACAATCAAGCCGGCGCCAAACAGGAGGGCGTCGATGATAAAACCGTCAGGACACCTTCTACCAAATCGGAATGCTCGAACACCGGTAGTGCATCGGGCGGAGTTTATGTCGAGAAGCCGTACAAGAACGGGAACCCACCCCCTGGCTGTTCAAAACCGACAAACCCGCGGAACACGGTCAAATCCGACTGCTCGAAGAATTGGGATGCCTATGACATTATGGAGAAACTCTTGAAGAATTCGCCTCTCGGAGTTCCACGCCACATCAACGTCAAGGCACCGTGTGACTCGAACGCTTGCCTTTTCGACGAGCAGGGCAATCGCAAATCGCTCTGGGATGTATACATCGAGTCAATCACTGAGATTTTCAGGGAGAACCAGTTGTCGCCAGAGAATATTACCGACACGGAGTGGAGCATGATTTTTGTTATCTTACAGTCGCGAACAGGATACAACAGCGACCTGCGTGAGACGTGCATTTCGATGTGCCGCCTGCCTAACGTCGACGAGGCGCTTGACGACTCCCTGTACTACCTGTCGAAGGAGAATTATATTCTGAACAACCGGCACGTGTACGATCATTACGTACAACATACTGCCGTGGATAAGAAGCCTTTCGTTTGCCTAAATGACAGCGACAAGCTGGTAGTCAACGGCTGGGACTGGCTCCTCGAGGTCATCAGCGAAGGTGTGGAGCGCGCCGTGTACTTGAAATCAACGGTCACCGATATCGGTGTGCGTGTCGGTGACATGGAGTACCCGGTGAGTGTGCGAGTTTGTGGGTCAACGGAGACGGGACAACCCCCCAAGATTATTCGCGCCAAGTATGCTATCGTAGCCGTCCCTAGCAGCATGATCTCGCCGTTTCCGAACGGCAGGCATTACCCGAACCAGATAGTTTTCAACCCCCCCTTGGACTCATTGAAGAGTATGGCGTTGCTGCGCTACAAGATGGGCCACCACAACAAGGTGATTCTGAGGTTCAAGAAATCTGACGTCTTCTGGGGTGCGAGAACGCCGCAGCTGAACACGCTCGACCCACGCTTCCAGTTCATCAATCTGCACATGTATGGTAAAGAGGGGTGCATTTTGGCGCACTGCTTCCCCCCCTTCAGCACCACATGGGGAGTGGTAGTCAGCGACGAGGAGATCGTCAGGCAGTGCCTGGAGGTGCTACGAACGTCCTTTGGCATTTCCATGGCCAAGATGCCGTACCCCATTGATGCCATGGTGACTAGTTGGTTCCGTGATCCCTTCGCGATGGGTTCGTACTCATACCCCGATGTGAACGCTGCCGACGACGACATCATCCACCTCAAAAGCCCGCACCCAATCGAGTTTCCGCGGGTGTTATTCGCAGGCGAGTACCTCTCCAGCAGTTACTATCAGTGTGTTGACGGAGCGTACGACACCGGGATGCGGGCGGCGGAAGACATAGCCCACGTGGGGCTGCGGAAGCCGTATCCCTTTCCGCTGACGCTCAGCACCCCGTCGTTAGACGGTATGTACGACCCTCTGATGAAAGAGAAGTACCTCGGGATCCCCGTGCCCATGCCTGAACCAAACCTTGTAGGCTACTACCTCACCGATGGCACCGACGACCGAATCACGGACGACGACGTGGACCACAACGTCGTAGGGAACGCAGGATTGTTGGGCGACGAACTGCTGGTGCTAGAGAGCGCGAGGCGCCTGCTCTCTGACGACACCCCGCGCGTCATGAGCTTCCAGAGGGACATCAAAGCCTTGCTGGGCCGCATGGAGGTGCTTCGCTGTAGAAAGCATTGGAATAGCTCGCTAGAATCGCTGCTCAAAATCCTCACGGCTGTGATGGAAGTTGCGCAGATGACCGGGAAACACGTCTCTGCCGGCGTCTTGCACATGAGAACCCAATGTACAGCCAATCTGATCCTCCAGAAGTTCCTCGAGCTGGAGGAGGTGTACCACGATTACGTATGCCACTCGTGCCTTGCAGGTGGCGAGGTTATGATGTGCGATGCGTCGGACTGCAACAAGGTCTGGCACGAGGAGTGCCTGCCAGCGCAGTGCAGAGACCCGGCCAAAGAGCCGAATGCGAAGTGGGTGTGCCCGTGCTGCCTTGGGATGGACATACAGCGCGGGCAGAACAGAGTTCCGCAGGCGGTGGCGCAGTACTGGCGGCGCCGCGGTGTGTGGTGTTGTGTGAAGACACTGCTGCGGCACTGCCACACTGTTGGCAGCAGGTTGAGGTTCGTGCGCGATCGCGTTTTTCCTTTATAATAGAGGACCTTAACTATGCGGTCATATACTTAATTTTTTGTTTTGTCTAGCGCTCGCCGCGCAGCTCTCCGTGGGTGACGTGATGGTCTTCGCCGCACCACCTTGATTTATGCCAGCCTTCTATGCTCCGTATGCGCTAAAAGCGACTGTAAAATTTTTATAAAATGTTGGGACTGCAGGAAGGCACAGTCTACAGCTCCCACGCGGCGCAGGGCGTCAGCGAGGAGGTGCTGAATATGCCAGCCAGCCTTCCAAGCCTGGACAACGTGTATCAGTACTTCAGCCTCTTCCTGAACACGTACTCGGCGGATTCGTTGCAGCAGGGCAAGTTGAAGCGGATTCTGCTAGAGAACGTCAAGAACAACAACTACCTTCTTGAGGTGAAACTCGACGACCTCTTCCAGTTTCAGAACATCGCCGAGCGAAACCCAAACCGCGAAGACGACTCCATTGCTAATCGGTTGAAGAATCTGCAGATGAATCGCCCGGACGGCGGCGATGTCAACATGGAAACCGATCGCGTCCTGCCGGCTACCTACGCCGGAGAGCTGGTTAGGGTAAGTGACCTGCAGTGGCACCCGCATTTATAACCGTTTAGGTGCTGACGGAACGCCCCCTAATATATCTTTCTACCATAGAAAGAGCTTGCTATGACGTTTGTAAGCTCCACCAGAAGTTGGATGATGAGGACGAAGACTTCCACTTCATTCAGATCAACCTGCTGAACTCTTTCTGCAAGCCTACGCCAATCAGGTATGTGGTTTGAATTTGCCATAATTCTCAAATGTCCCAGGGCGTTGCTTGCCTCTAAACAGGAACGTTTCGTGGTTGTGCCCGGGATCATCGTCCAGGCTTATCGGCCGCAGCACAAGATGAAGACCATGACCATACAGTGCCGGTACTGCGATCACAAGATGAAACTGGATGTGCCTCTCTGGATATCCAAGCCGCAGGTGCCACGTACCTGCCGATATGCAGCAACTATCAAGGCAACTGGAGGAGAAGCCGCAAACATGGAAAACCAGCTGGGTTGCTTCAACGCACAAAACCCTTACGTGATATTGCCCAACGAGTGCCATTTTGTGGACGTTCAGACTCTAAAACTACAGGAATTATCGGAAGACGTGCCTACGGGTGACATGCCGCGCCACTTGCAGCTGAACGTGACGCGCTACCTGTGCGACAAAATGATCCCCGGTGACAGAGTGATGGTGCACGGCGTTCTGACGAACTACAACGTTTCCACCCGTGGCACCGAGACAACAACAATCGGCAGCTCGTACCTGCACGTTTTGGGCATCGAAAAATTGACCGAGGGCAAAGGCGAGTCCATTGCCTTCGACCTCGAGGAGACCAACGACCTGGTGTTGCTTGCAACGCAGCCGGACATTCACGAGAAGATATTCAAGTCGATCGCACCGGCACTTTACGGGCTAGAAAATGTTAAAAAGGCTGTTGCGTGCGCTTTGTTCGGCGGTAGTCGCAAGGAGGTCGGCAGTGACAACCGCGTGCGCGGTGACATAAACATTCTGATGCTTGGGGATCCGTCTGTTGCCAAATCGCAGATCCTCAAGTTCGTGGACCATGTGGCTCCCATTTCGGTATACACGTCCGGTAAGGGCAGCAGTGCAGCCGGTTTGACCGCTGCAGTCGTGCGTGACAGGATGGGCGTTTTTTCCCTGGAGGGGGGTGCCATGGTGCTGGCCGACGGCGGTGTGGTCTGCATCGACGAGTTCGACAAGATGCGAGAGGAGGACGCGGTAGCGATTCATGAAGCCATGGAGCAGCAAACAATATCGATTTCCAAGGCTGGCATAACGACCATGCTCAACACGAGGTGCGCTGTGATTGCCGCCGCCAACCCAACCTTTGGGTCATATTCGGACGACACTGACACCACGGAACAACACGAGTTCAAAACAACCATCCTGTCCAGGTTTGACCTTATATTTATGCTGCGCGACAAGGAGAATGTGAGACGCGACACGACCCTCTGCAAGCACATCCTTTCGCTGCACGCCAAACAGGCGCAGGCCACCAGCTGCCCGATCCCCATGCAGAAGCTGCGCAGGCTGATACAGTACGCGAAACAGGCGGTGTCGCCGATGCTGAGCAGCGATGCCAAAGATTCGTTGCGGAATTTCTACGTTCAGAAACGCAGGGAATATCGGGAAGACAAGCGCAGCGCCACCAAGAAAATACCGATCACGCTCCGTCAGCTGGAGTCGCTGGTGCGAATTGCGGAGAGCTTCGCGCGCATGGAACTATCGCCAATCTCAACGGAGAAGCACATACACATGGCAATTGAGCTTTTCATGGTCGCCACCGGCGAAACCATGAAGCAGTCGCTCGCCATGGAGTCCATGAGCCAGCACGAGCAATTGATGGTGAAGCAGGTGGAGGACTACATTTTGCACCGCCTCCCCAAGGGCCACCGGCTCTCGCGCAGATACCTAATCCGAGACGTCGAGAGCAAGGGTTTCGCCATTCAGCACATATCTAAGTAGGTTACAGTGAACTCGTTGTCACAATGCCGCAGGGCGCTGGCGATACTAATCAAGCGAGGCACAATCCAGGAGCGGGGAGACCTCTCGCTTCGGCGTGTAATGGCATGAATCGGAGAAATCGTGAATATCGCAACTGTACACACGGCCGCAGCACTATGTGTCACCGGCAACCATGCGGGGTCCTTAATGAAGTAGTACACTGTGGTAGCCGCAGAACCTATGCGTTACAGTAGCTCTTTAGCGAAGTAGGCAAGTGATTCGTCATGTGGAATCGGCCGGCAACGCGCGTACCGCAGCGCACATGGAGGTCAGACGGGTACCAACTTTTTAAATGACGGCGCTCCGAAAAACAACAGCGCTATAAACGTGGCATTACGACGAGGTGCCCTCTGTCACGGTGTGTGTCACCGTTGGTGGTATGTAGCTGTAGACGGCTGGCGTACCACACCTGAGCCACACAGCGCGCCGCGCGGCGTTGAATCTCGGCTCACCGACCAGGCAGTGCCATCACATCACTTGCATTCATTTAGAACATTAATTAGACACAGAAACGTGCGCAAAAACGACAGTATTGTCAGCCTATGGTGCATGGCAGGCCCCATTAGCCAGTGCCACCTTGGCCGTTGGTGTCACCAGTACTTTGCGACCACACAAAGAATTGCACGGGAAAAGGAGGTTATTTGTATATAAGTTTAACCGTAGGGCAAGTCACTTGTCTCCTACGATTATCGCGTTGGTGACGCAGCTTGCCAGCACGTCCCAAGCTCTATCTGCGACCACATCTCTGTGTGATCGTTTCTCAAGCTTCGGATCCAAGCTAACTATATTATACACGATGCAGATTTTTGTCAAGACTCTCACGGGTGGGTTTAGTACACGCCGATCGGATATTGCGCTTTAGGCAAGACCATCACGCTCGAGGTCGAGCCCAGCGACACTATTGAGAATGTCAAGGCCAAGATCCAGGACAAGGAGGGCATTCCCCCGGACCAGCAGCGTCTGATCTTCGCCGGCAAGCAACTGGAGGACGGACGCACACTCTCCGACTACAACATCCAGAAAGAGAGCACTCTCCACCTCGTTCTCCGTTTGAGGGGAGGTATGCAGATTTTCGTCAAGACGCTCACCGGTAGGTGCTATATGTGAGGAGCTGACGTGAGTTTTAGGCAAAACCATTACGTTGGAAGTCGAGCCCAGTGACACTATCGAAAATGTTAAGGCCAAGATCCAGGACAAGGAGGGCATTCCCCCGGACCAGCAACGTCTGATCTTCGCCGGCAAACAACTGGAGGACGGACGCACACTCTCCGACTACAACATCCAGAAGGAGAGCACCCTCCATCTGGTACTCCGCCTGCGTGGTGGCGAGATATTCTAAGCCGCCAATGTGCAACGGTGTAAACAGAATTAATGTTAAATTTACTTCTTCGCAAAGCGTTTGTACAAAACTTTCGCAACACACTCGTCGAGCACCAGCGTCACCATGGCAAACCCCACGGCGAGGAGGTACTGCCACCACGGCAACGAGACAAGGTGCATGATCTCGTTGAACTTGGGGATCACCGTAGCGACGAAGGTTACAGTGGCTGAGATACCGCAGGCGATGTGCATCACGGGGTTACGGTTGAACACGCGGTAGAAGAAGTCCCAGCTGCGCACCGTGTAAGCGCGGAGCATTTCGCACCACACAGCTGTGATGAACGAGATAGTGCGCGCTTGCGTGGATTTGCGCGCGGTGATGTCGAAGAAGCCGCGATGCGCAGCCCCGAAGGGTTTGTCATCGCGACCGCTGACTGTGATGGTGCTCTTTGGGCGGAACCATCCATGTTCGTCACGCTCCAGCTTGTCCTTGTATTGCACCGGGACCTCGCCGGGGTTAATGCCCTCGAAACTCTTGGCTATTTCTCCCCAGAGCCCCTCGCTATACGGTGTCAGTATTTCGGGTTTGCCCTTGATAGCACCCAACGCGGTCTTGATCATGCCGTGCTTAACGTCGAAGTAGTTTATGTTTGTGACCCAGCCTACGTAGCCCGGCTCGACACGGTACTCGTACGACTTGCAGAAATACATAAACTCGTGGCCAACGCCGCTGGAGTCCCTGAGGGTCACAGAACGGCACTGCTTGTGTATGTCGTCCATGAAGATGACACCAGTGCACACGTACAAGGCGCATAGGATGCTGCAAATAACCATTGCCGCTTCGAAGATCGTGTGCGGCAAGTTACCGTACAGCCACCAGTCACGGGTCATGATCGGCTGCTTTGGCGGGCGCGGCTTCTTAGTCATGACGTCGGCATCCGAGGGCTCACGGGACAGCGCCACGGCGGGACACCCGTCGGTGACGAAGTTGAGGAAGAGGATCTGCAGCGCTTCCACGGGAGGTAGCGTCCTCATAAGGATGGACACGGTCAAGTACATGATTTCTCCAATGTTGGTACCAAGCAAAAAGGACACGAATTTCTGGATGTTTGCGTAGATGGTACGCCCGGACTCGATAGAGCTGACGATGGTGCAGAAGTTGTCATCCAACAGAACCATGTCAGAGGCACCCTTTGCAACATCCGTGCCGTTTATTCCCATGGCGACACCAATGTCCGCCGTCTTAAGCGCCGGGGCGTCGTTCACACCGTCGCCGGTCATGGCGGTCAGGTATCCCTGGCGTTTTAAAGACTCCACAATGGCCACCTTATCTTCAGGTTGCGCTCTACAAAACACCGAAACTTTGGCGGTGTATGCATCAATGGCCTCTTCAGGAAGGTACTCGGCGGAGTGGTCGTTGTTGATGTGCATATTGCTGCACTCGAGAACACCAGTCTCCTCGTCGCCCAGGTGGTCGAACTGGTTAAACAACCCGATCTCCTTTCCAATGGCAGCCGCAGTACGCTTCTGGTCACCGGTGATCATAACCACACGCACGCCGGCCTTGACGCAAGTTTCAATTGCATTCTTGACACCGAAGCGGGGCGGGTCAAGGCTTCCGACGCACCCTAGAAGCACCAAGGGCGATCCGCCGTTGTTGCCTCCGCCAAGCAGCCACTTCAACCTTTCATCTGAATCTTGGCACTGGCGCAGAGACTCCAAATCATTGTCGGTCAGCGGGAAGATGCCCACCAGCAGTACCCGAAGAGCCCTGCTGCTAAGCTCGCTGTTCGCCGCGTGCACCGAGGCCATCTGCGACTCTAGGTTACCGTTACCAAGTGACTCCCAGTCTACTTTACATAAGTTGGCATCTCGTTTCACCGTTAGTCTACATGTGTCGAAAAGCATGTCCGGCGCTCCCTTCAGTGTGGCCACGTGAGTGAACACGTCGCCGCCTCGCGAAAGGTTGATGTCGCCAAAGAAGTTGTCCCTCTTCAGCTTGTGTACCGTGCACATCATTTTGCGGCTGGAGTTGAAGGGGACCTCAAGCTTCTGTAGGACGGGGTAATCCGCGTAGGTGGAGTCGTTCTGGTTCACAGCGGACCCAATGCCACACTTGGCGGCAGCCACAATCAGCGGGCATTCGGTCATGTTACCCACAGCCTTCCACCTGTTGTTCTTCTCGTCCTTCTCTATACGAGTGGCATTGGAGTTCAGGCACGCGGCAAGCATGCAAGCCTTCACCTGCTGCGACGTCGTGGTGTTGACGTCCCTGCCACAGACGTTGAACTCAGCAGTCTCGCAAGAGCGCTCCTCATTGGCGCATTGCAGAAGCTCCGCCTTAACCTCCTCCGTGAGGTGCTCACTTTGGAAAACACCGCCGTACGGATTGAACCCCATCGTGGGATAGAAGCTTAGCTCCTCGCTCGCCCATTTTTCATCGCGGCTGTGGAACACAACAAGCGTCGTAGTGGTCATCTTACCCTCGGTTAAAGTGCCCGTCTTGTCACTGCAGATAACGGAGCAGCATCCCAGCGTTTCCACAGCGGGGAGCTTCCTGATGTTCGCGTTCCTCTTGGCCATGTCGCTGGCACCGATGGAAAGCGAAATCGTCACAACCATAGGCAGTCCCTCTGGGATCGACGACACCGCAAATCCTACAGCGAGCAGAACAATCGACAAGACGCGGTTAGTGTCCGGCCTGGTGGGGTCTTCGTACCCGGTGACAATGGCCACAATGATAATTGAGATAAGAACACCAATAGATATGAGACCAATAATACCACCCAAGCTGTTGAGACTCGACTGAAGAGGTGTCATGTCATTGCCTTGCGTCGCCTTTTTTAGCTGCTTCGCGATGTGGCCCACCTGTGTTTCCATACCAGTGCTTATCACCACTCCACGCGCAGAACCGGAGACGACGGAAGTTGATGCAAAACACAGGTTTGTGGCAAAAGGCGAGTTCATATCCCTCGCTATCAGCTCCTTCTTGACAGCTTCGGATTCACCCGTCAGCAAAGCCTCGTTTACCCGGATTTCGTTCACCTCGAAAAGACGCATGTCGGCGGGGACAGTGTCACCCATTTTAAGGATGACGACATCTCCGGGAACCACATCCTTCGAATCGATAATCGTTTCTTTACCGTCACGCACCACAGTGGTGGTGGGCGAAGATATCTCAGCCAACTTCTCCAACGCATTGGCCGCTGATTTCTCCATGTAGGTGGCCATGGCCGCGTTGATGTTTGTGATGATGAGGATGAACACACCTTCCACAATGTTACCAAGTGCAATGCTAACTATGGCAGCAACCAGCAGCATGATAACGACAAAGTTGAAGAACTGGCTGATGTACAAATACCACAGCGGAACCTTCTTCGACCCCTCCAAAATATTCCTGCCGTAAAAATCACGGTTCAAGTTGCTCTGAACCGTTGAAAGTCCAAACGTCAGATCCTGCAGACCGAACTGTTCCACAATGTCTTCCACTGGAGCCGCTGAGAACCTGGATTTGTGTCCAGATGGGTGCAACTGCTGCACCTGCTCCGTAACCTTCTCGACTACGGACTCATCTTTCATGCGAGCCAGCTCAATCACGCTGTCCGCCGTCATCAAACCGTACGACAGCTTCTTAGCGATCGCACCCTCGACGCCATCGGCGAAGTTGGTGATGGATGTGCCAATCATGGATTTGGAGAAGGCGGTAGCGATAGACTCCATGATATTCGACGAGCCGACCCGTTCCACACCATTTGGCTGTGTGTAAATGTCAGCGGCAATCGGCTGCATCTCAATCGACACGCTGGCAGCCAATTTTTGGCCATCGGCAGCATCGCCGTTTGTCTGCTCCATGTTGCTTCTCGTGTTATCCGCGGCACATATGATGCCCGGTGTCACCAGGACGTAGAATATACCTCTATATATTACAAATATGTAGTTAAACCACTGCTTACACCTAATTTGACCTGGGCTTTCGTTAACTTCGTGCCTGGCGTGGCGAACACACACCTCACTAAACGGATCAAAGTAGACAAAATTGACAAGTTAAAAAATGCAGCTCCCAAGCCAAATACAATATTAAGGACTTCCTACTAATTGCGCATCGTGTTTCACCGTCTACACGAATTTGTAGGGTCCATATTCTTCTGCCGTTTCATGCATCGCGTCCGCCAACTGTCATACACACGGCGCAACGATACACATTGGACAGCGCATGGATGCAGTGCTTTAAATCGCAAAAAGGCGCCGCGGACGATTGGCGAGTGCTTGTAGCGCAGCTGTTGACGGCGCGTTTGATATTCGTTTCTTAAATCGCTTCGACCGTTGTAGCACCCTCTGTCGATAACACGTACTATATTCTACAATGTGTTACAGTGGAGTTAGTTCGTGTCTCAAAGAGTAGAACGGCCCTTGGAAGGCACGCTGTGAGATGCTTATTGACGCTGCTATCAGTGCCGTGGCTGTGGAAAATGGCAAACACTGCCTGGCTGTGTATAATTGCATTAATGCAGCTCCATTATATGAGTTTGCTTCCATTACCGGCATCTGCATTGGCCCTATCGCAACACCCTGCCAACTCAAACTTCCGGACATCATCGCACAACCGCGGTATGCGTGATTCCTACCCGGAATCGACTTTTCGTCCACCAGTTCTCGGTGGTGTGCAGTCCAGATACGCTGCTCTAGCGGCCATTCCTTCCCCGCAAGCCGAGCAGACGCACATTGGAAAGAGCGACGCTCCCAAGGTCAAGATTGGTGCCGGAGGCGATGAATCTGGACGAAAGTATTTTCATGACCTCCTCAGCAGAAGCATCGAAGATTTACCGGCCCATGAATACTCCAGCTATGCGCAGAAGTGCGAAAGGGTGCACGGGCTGGTCTTAAAGGCCTTTGAAAGGGTAATTTGCCAATATGTGGAGTTGGTTTTAGGCAGGGCTTCGGGCGGCGTATCACCGTCGGAGCCTTCCAACGCCTCGAATGTAGTTGAGCCTACAAACAATAACGGACGAGTTTTCGATAATGCAGTAGTTGGGGTGATTAAGTGTTACATCTCAATGACCAAAGATGGAATGCCGGGAAAACCCGGATGGTTCACTGCCAGCGCTCCGATGCCACTCACAGCAGAAGACCAGGCGGCGAGACTAAACCAGGCAATACAGCTCATGTTAGCGATAGAATCGCGTATATATGACATATTTCGAGAGTATATCGCAGCGTACAAGATGCGGTTCATATCGAAGATGTTCAGTGTTGGCAACGATGCCATGCTCAGGTTGACTGACCAGCGGTTTATTAAAGGTCTGCAGCGTGACTTTGTTGCAGCCGTCAACGAGTTGGTGCCACAGTGCTTCAAGGTGCAATCTGATGATGACAAAATAATAGCCGTAATGCTGCGCTACGCCGCCAGAACTGACGCTTCCTTGGCGGACGCAGTAAAAGAACTGCTCGTGCCAAAACCCAATCCGTCGTTAGTAGCAAAGGTAAAGCAACGTATCAATAACTGGAACACGCTGAAAGATGTTGAAGAGTTCTCCGCTTTGCTGAGTAGGCTTAACACCAGCGCACGAGCAAGCCTGAAGCGCCACTTAGACGACAGCGCCAAGCAGAGCAAGATCACGCAGGCGCTGGCGTCACAGCAGCAGCAGATCGAACTGTACCAGAAGCAACTAAGTGCAAATTCTCAGGGTCAATCGCCGCTGAGCTGCGGATTCTCCTACAGAATGCCCAATACCAACCTCAACATCATGGGTTCCATGCAGCGGTACGTTTCAGTCGCCTCACTTTAACGATTTGCAGGGGTAAGGGAAACATACAAATAAGCTGTGTTCCTGACGAGAGTGCGCGATTGCTTGGGCCTTACGGATTCACGAGCGGGGTATTCCCAGGTAACTTGGGGCTCAGCGTCAATATTGACTTGTGATGTCAAAGCTCATCACCCGAATCGTCACGTGGCGCTTCTTGGCCTTTGATTCCAGCCGATGGGCTTAAAGCGCTAAGAATTCCCTGGAATAGTATAATAACACAACGCTAACACACATACCGATATCATTTCCATCTTGCTTACGATGCCCTTCTCACGGCCCTGCTCACCCGCCTCGCCGTTGGCGGTATTGGCGACGCCCTTCGGTATTCCCAGGGATTCCATAATGTCGCCAGTCATGAAAGACTTGGCCAGAAGTCCAATGAGCCCGGACAAATTGTCGGTGGGTATTTTGCTGGATTTCTTCTTTTTATTCTTGCCCTGAGGCTTGTTGCTTTTCTTGGACGAAGACGCTCGCTTGGCCACGGGCCTGATGCGGTCTCCAAACTGCTTGGCGAACCTCTTCAAGTACTCCGCGGCATACAAAGGATCACTGTATGCGACCTCATTTCTGAACAGGTAGACGTATGCGCCATCCTTTACCTCCAGCTGCTGGAATACAGCATCATTTTGCTCACATGCGGCCACAGGCAACGACACGCCATCTATGTATATCGCCCAATGGTCTGGAACCATTGAAATGGAGCTGAAAGGAAAGCTGCTTTTCACGATTGCAGAATCCGCTGCATCCACAACGCTACACAAGTCTTCGAAAGCATTTTCCTGATATACTTGACCATCTAGCACAATGTTAAGCTGTAGCGCCTGAATGGGGTGATGATAAAGTCAAGATGTCGCATACGAAGACCGTCGTTGCCAGCATAGACAAACAATTGCACATCAACACACCTGTACATTGGTAGCTGACCATAGAAGACTAGCTAATGTGAGAATGTGTACCAAAATAGTAGACATTTTATTTAAATTATTCGCTGTCGCTATTTTGTTAGTGAAGCGACAGTGTGCAGACGGCGACGACGCTACACGCGATCATTCAAGCAAACGTCCCTGTATGGGTCTAAAAATTGTTAAACATATTGTGAATGGCTAAACTGTCTATGGCTGTATAGAAGGTGCGATTTATTCGTCTGACTGTGTCTGAATTTTTCGCATAGTCGAAAGTTATATATTTAAATCCGCACTGCCGAATCGAAATACTAAAAGCGACAAATATACGGTATGCGGGGCAATTACTGCAATGTATTCGGATTATGAGAACGATAGCGGCGACAACGATGTTGTCGGTGGAGGATTCCACGACAACCTAGGTGCCGCTGGTGGACGGCGCTCGGGTGCTTCCAGTTTCTTTGTAAAAGGAGGCACCCTGAACATTGATGAAGATGAGACTATCCAACGAGGTAATAAAGGGCAATCTACAGAAACTGCCCATGCAGAGGGTTCAGACGACGACTTATCTGACACTGAGGATACCACAATGGTCTACACTGCCGACACCATTGATCGCTTACTGGCTGATGGCGCAGGAGGATACGCAAAAGAAGGAGACACATCGTATGATGACTCGTCAGATGACGACGGTGACTATAAAGTGCATCCAGCATCTGCGAAAACGAAACGGATCGATACAAGACGGCAAAATAGGTATGACAACACAAAGCGAGAGAAGGGAATCACCTATGACGCCGATGACGTCCTGCAACCGCGACAAATGGACAAAATGTATGGCAAGGGGATGAAGATGCTGAAGAAGATGGGTTACACGGGTGGTGGTCTGGGTCGTGACGGCACGGGAGTCGTGGCACCCATAGAGCTCAAAGCCACATTCGATCATCGTGGAATGCACAAAGATCGCGACACGTCAAACAGAGATGGCGATTACATGGGGAGAGTTAAGCAGCCAACCGTACGCGTGGTGCCTATTGGCGTGTCTTACTCCAATGCGTGGCGGAAGAAAAAGGTGTTCAGATCCAAACAAGAGAGGCAATCAACGACCAGCACCGTACAGATCCCCGAACTTGATCAACTGATTAAAGCATTGGCAGACAAAGTGCAGTGGTTCAGCGAGAAGGGTCGTCAAACCTACGATGCGGTGGAAAAAGCGAAAGATGCCTTGCGTAAAGCGGAACGCGAGCTGCAAGAGAAAGAGGGGGAACTAGCAGAGCAGGTAGACATAATTGAAGTTTCGGAAAAGGCGCTGCCTCGTTTTATAAAATTCTTCGAAAATGTTGACAACGCTCTCAGCAACCTAAATGAGACGACCGACAAAGAGGCTATAATATCTACATTCCGGAATCTTGTGCATAAATTATTAAGAGAATGTGACGCTGATTCGACGTCTTACTGTTATTTAGGTGTCCAACTAGTCTGTGATAAGTATTATATTCGTGGACTCCATGCACTCTACGCGGACTGGGATATCGCAAAGCAACCTGACATGGGAGCTGAGCTGATCCAAAGCTGTTTAGCAGGTGTGGACCCGTATGGATCATCGTCAAAAACATACGTATATTTCGAAAAGATGATATACCCCAAAATACAAAAGTTTTTCTCAGAGGACTGGGATGTCGCCGATACTGACGTGGGTTGGCGATGCTTTAGAGGTTGGGCGTCAGTTATGCGATTGTTGGATGACTCAAACTACAATCGAACCATTAGATTTAACAGCCTTGTGGGGGATAGACTCAGGGAAGTCATCGATAACGAGAAAACACTACACCTTTCTCACATCGTCGTACATCCTTTTTTGAGATCCATCGGTATAGGGCTTTCCGATATTACATATATTGAATATTTTGTCTCTGCAATTTTGCGTATGATATCTAAATGCGTGGTCAGCGATGTAGATAAGTGTCTACAGCCCATCAAATCATGGAGGTGCCTATTACGCAGGCGTGATGAGGACCAAATCATCCAACATGTCGTCAAGTGCATCAAAACTGAGCTCGAGCGCGTTGCTATAAATCCCCAAAATCAGGACACGAGCGTGTTACAAAATGTATTTTTGTGGATGAGCTTTATAGGAAAGGATCGCCTCTCCGAAGCCCTGTGCTGTAATTTCATGCGCAGGTGGTTGAAGGTTTTGAAGGATTGGATCACGCTTCCAACGGCTAATTTCGATGAAATAATCATATGGTACCAAGGCTGGAAATCATTCTTCCCGGAAGACGTTATTAAAACCCCTGCGATGGAGTCGTATTTCAAAGATGCGCTGAGAGAAATGGACCGTGCATCGCGAAATGTGCTTAACACCCCAACACCACAGAGCACCCGCCAAATTACGCCGAAAAAGAGCACTTCGGAATCCATATTCACCAGCGTTCAGAAGCTGGGTGCAATGAAGGGCGTTGTACCGATAAAACGCCGTGGCAAAATGTATGACGGGAAACAAATCTATGCATTTGGATCTGTAAGCCTGGTTTTTGGTGACTGCATTATGCTGGTAAACGGCAACGAAGCAACACCCATATCGTTGGATGAGCTTGCAAAAATGATATAATCATTTACTCCAATCTATATTGAAATGTCTATATGGTATTGTTGCCAGGTATACATTTACGCACGTTTTTCGCAAAAACAACCGATAGTACCGTACTTTTCACTCCTAAAATCGTTTAATGTAATACGTGCCGCATATTCATTGTTGCACTGCCTGTGAGGTTGCAGAAGAATCCAATGTATCACGGCAACAGTCTCGCAACACATACGTCTATCAAACCGCTGTGGCGGTAGATCAGCGGGTGCGATTCACTAACATAAGTCAACAGTGTAATACACACTTCGGCTTGTACAGTATAAGAAGCACGTCGCAATATTTGTCTACTTGTTGCGTGGATTTTGTGGTGACGAATGTGTAGCCTTTTGATACGATTGTTCCCTCCACGACCAAATTCTTAACCTTGAGGCATCATTATACAATGTTAGCCTCTGCAATTAAGTTACGATGAATGTATGAGGAATGGTTCGGCGCTTGTTCTTGCCGTACTATTCAAGGTCACGCGGGCCTCCGCGGTTGAGATTCCAGGTTATGGGCATCCGAGGTACGTTGTTGTTATAGCAACACATCATATACCTGATTTCAATGCGGTTAATATTCGCTTAGGCCGAAGGTTCTTGAAGTTGGTCGTTGCTAATCAGCGTGATCCTCGGGATGGCAAACACATGGAAGTTTTGGGCAGTTTGCAGCGCCGTCCATTGAACCCGATTCCATCAGCCATAGACGAGACACATGACAGTCTTTGCGAGATCCGACTACGCTTCAGTCGCGTGAAGTTTTGGCTGGGTGTGGGCTGCGAGATGGGAATCCCAGTGCAGAATGCACTCGCTCACGCTAACTTGATTCCTCCTCCTCCACCCAGGTATGGCTTACGCACTAAAGGCCACTATCATCTGTTATCGCAAATAGTAGAGCGCCGTGCTCAGATGCATGCCGAACAGGTCAAAGCATTCCTTAACCTTGACGACCCATTCATTGTCGACGAAGCAGCACGTCCGCAACCGCCAGAGCCAGAGGAATCCCCCGCACGAACTGTAGCTGCGGCCTTGTATCCACCTGAAATGCGAGCCCAAATGAGGACTCCCGTGGAATCGGATCCACTAGAGGTGGGACATGCCTCACCAGGTACTGGCGTCATACGCCGTATCGTCAGGTAGTCATTACCATATGGTAATGGAGGCTTTCCAACTATATTTTAAACGCGCATGTGGTAATCTGAGGATCAGTTCGGTACACGTATACATAGATGTAGCGCTATGTGCTGCTTTCATCTTTTGACACATCTAAGTGCTATTAACCGCTGTAGTCATTAGTTTTGTTCTGTCTAGATAGCGTGGTAGGTATTGGCCATTTCCCCCACTTCAGAACCTCGTTTTCGCATGCTAATCATGCAGAGTACGTAGAATGCGTAGGCTGGGCCTCGAAATGCGTGTATATCCCCCGTGGGAGGCGTGATTCTTCGGCTCGTTTGCGGCATTGATTTTTCCACTCATCGCCTTACCTAAATGTATGATATGTCGGTTAATTATTGCGATCTACACCATGTTTGTGGTTTTTTGGCGGTGGACGACGATTGTCTTGTTGACCTGTGCTCAGTGACCAAGCCCATATTCGTGTTTAGGTGAAATTACGATGCCTCAATATACGATTGCAATAATATGATACGTGTCCATGTTTTAAATAGTAATGGCATGCTGTCTTTTGTTACAGCAGCTCGATTTATTTATTGGCTACTCCAGTCGGAGCAGCGCATGAAAATTCCTCGGTAACTGGACAGCTAGCTGCAGCTATGGTGATTTCGATGACACTCATTTTCACAACAAAACATATAACAAAAATTATAAATTTACGGTCAATTTCACATATCCGTGAAATTCATTTTGGCTGAAGGCATATTCTGTTTGGAGTTGTTCTCAACAATCCCATGATGTGAGTTTCGAAACCATCACCCAATTTAATATAATGAAATACCTGCTTGGGTTTATCGCAATACTGCTACCTTCGATCATATGTCGTGATTTGCGGTGCGATTTCGAAGATCCAAATGACTTATTAAGCAGCAATGCTCTGGTTGGGTGCCAAATCCGCCATGCCGATAACAGGTACTCAACTGTCACATGTCCAAATCAAGTAAACGACATCGAGTATATATGGCACCCTCGTCCAAATTCGGACAAAGACGCTCCAATCAAGACGTACTTCAGTGAGAATGGCAAGCTGCGTTCCGCTGCTATTTCGGATGTCTTGCGCTCTGAAGCCTTGAAACCACTCATGAAGCTGGAATCTAGACCGTTGAAGCGTAGTTTGCACTTCTATTTACCTAGACATGAATTGTTTGTCATTACCAAAGCCCGCCTGATCTTCATCTGTGGACCGCGAGATTTGGTTCTGACTGATGAAGTGCAGCGTCAACTGAGCCGCCTCGATGACTTTGTTGGGATTCAAAAATTCCCGTGGAGTGCAACAACACCATTGACTGAGGAATTATCGAAAATAGGGCAGGGCTTGGGAGTGGTTTTCTTGAACAGAGAACTTGAGCATTTACCACCCCAGGGTTGTGGCACCCGCCCTTCGCCACTGTTCTCTCCGGATCATGAGGTGAATTTGGATCCTGTCACAGGCATAAGGTCATGTGTGGTAGATCCCATGTCGGAGTCACGAATTGGTTTCCTTTGCGAAGGCAGGATTGAACCTGAGGATTGCATGACGTCTCTCTATGATAAGGATGGTGGAGTTGTGAAACCTCCTCGACCACGTTTTTATTGGAAATTCGAACACCATAGGCCTTGGGTGGTAGCGCAATATTTTGACAAATTAGCCTTACTTCCCTTCCATGGCGAATGCAGGTGTATAGATCCCCAAACGGGCCATGTGAAAGCCACGATAGAGGTCCGCTCAAAAACCGAGTACATTTGTGACATTTCTAGCTTGATATTACGTAACCGTTTTCGCCCCATCCGCGGCCCTTGGTGTTCGGTTATGTTACATCCAGGCAATACGTTGACCATAAGGTTTCCCTCAAAGCCCATAAATTCGGCTTCTACAAAGGAGCCTTCTGACGAAAATTCTTACGGAGATATCGATGAGCATCTTTCGAATATACCATTCTCTCAACTGCCATCTATCTACGAATACGAGACAGAATTTTTGCCGCAGGACATGACGACGCTGCGGCAGCAGGCGTATTACTATGACCTTGAAACTTATGGCGAAATCTCCTACAACAAAGCACTTGCTGGCGATGCTCTTGAGTTAGATGTTTCCCAAATTGCCCGAGGAGAGGTGAAGCTTAAGTATCATATAGACAAACCTCTATCGTCGCTAGGAGGTCACAACGTTTTCTTGTATCACTGGACGTTGATATCTAAAAACGAAAATGTACTCGAGAAAATACGCTCCACCGTCAACGTCTCCTTTGCATTTAACCATGACTACACGAAGGTTGGTTGTGATAGGGGGCAAAGGCATGTATTCGATCAACACTCGAGCAAGAACTATTGCACAAACAAACTAATGAGTAACGATACAGGGAGTACTTACGAATGCGCATTGCATTTTTGGAGGGCCGAATGGAAAACCGGCATTTACTGCAGTCCCGACGAAGAGCTGTTGCCAAAAAATTGTGACTCTACAGCATATGACCTCTACTCAAACAGCATCATTCCATTACCTATATCGGTGCGTAGCGTAACACCATATCCAATTCAGGGGTTCCAGGTATTAAACGTGGCCGTACAAAATACGCCCATCAGTTATGCTTGTATATGTGTTGACCAACGTGGACACGAAACGTCAAGGCTTATTCTCGAGTCATACGATAAATTAAGCCGCAACTTCGTGGTAAGCCGTATAACGAATTTTAACAGGTTACTCCCAAACCTATGGCTGCCTTGGCACACGTTCGTATTGTTATGTGAAGGAACCACACCAGAAAGGTTTATTAATATGCAGCGACCATCCGAACAGTCCATCAAACTACGGGTGGGCACAACGTTGTCCATGACTTGTGAACTTGCTCTCGGGCTCCAAAATGTTGGCAATAGTGGAGCAATGAAAACTACATGGCTCCCTACACAATCTGATGAGTTTCATTATACCGTCAAACATACATTGCATGGACGGGAGCTCATTAGGACTTCACACAAAGATATAATGACTAGCACAAAAGGTGGATTGGAAGTAGTTTTCCATGAAGACTTGATAAGATCTGGATATCAAACATTAAAGATAAAATCGCATAAAGGCGCTGTGCTCATATCCAAAGATCCATTTTACAATCAACATGTACCCATGAGATTTGTCTGCGGTAAGGCACCTCACCTATCTATTTTGTCGATCGCGAATGATAACAGACCTGCGTCGGACACATCTGAACACCACATTCCACAGATTACAGAATCGTCGGAGCAATACAATTGGCATGTCGTGGAAGTTGCCGTCGAGACCACCGACCCGTACATGCAGGGCTGCGGCGTTACCTACGCATCGGATGAGTTATTCAAGCCTGAGACACCCAAGCTCTACGACGCTAATGGGCAGTCTCTGTATGGTTGCAGGATAGACCTGCAGACTGCACGTGAGGCTGCATTCTACTGCCCGGCTCCGTACGTCATGGACCCACCCAAATGTTTTAGGCAAGTCTCCGTGGACGGCATTACCAAGAAAATAACTGCAGTCAGCAAGTCGTTGGTAACTTCAGAATCCAACCATTTTGCCATCCTGCGTTTCGAACGTTGGCGAGTAGGCTCAGGAGAGACGCTTCGCCATACACCGCCCTTGCAATGCCGCTGCGTGACCACCAAGGGTATCGTTCTCTCAACCATCCAGATCGAGAACTACTATGCCAAGTAATGGGTTACTAAGATGTGGTAACTCGTCAATGAATTGTGCGAATTAATTTGCTTTCGTTGTTCATGTTGATTGATGTTTCACGGTAGCAGCATCGCTTTAGGTTGTCAAGGGTTTTTTGCGGCTGCCAATTTAACAATGGGTTTGTGTGTTATAATGGGTGTCTCCTATGTGTATAAGAGGTTATAAGTCTGGTTGCTAGGGTGGAGTGGAATTGCGTTGCACTACACCGTTTTTATGCATATGGTACTGCCGGAGTGGGTAAGATACGATCACTCCATTTGCAGAAATGTTCACACGATAAAATATTGGCAACGCCTTTAACACGCAACAATCGACAACATTTAGCACCTCTACCTTAGTCCAGTTACCCCACTAATGTTCATAAACAATCGCAGTGTCCGTGCCTGAGCATGATAGGTCACCAGTTGGAATTAATGCAAGGATGATTTCGTCTACCACTTATACGATTACAGAACACATTATGAGATGATCTACAAGGCTGCAGGGAATGACATTGAGGATTCCCGAATGACCATTTCCGGTGCTCATCGCACTCAGCTTGGTATACCACAACACGATGCGGTGGGTAAAGTGGAAAGAAACCGATGCCTCATAGTAGGATGTCTAGCATCTGGGATGTGAATACGATGTTGTAACCATAGTTAGTGCCTGAAATAAGTGGATGAAGTTGGGCAACCGTCAGCCCAATAATGAGTCCAACCTCATCGGGGTTGGTGTGACGCATTGCGGCAAAATGCGCAGTTCAATGTTAGCGTAACGCTTTTACATGATATATGACCCATAGAAGCCGCTTCGCGTGTAATTTCACCAAACGCCGTAATAATGCTGAGGTGAGAAGTCGTCGGCTAGAGCACCCAAGATGGCACATCGTTCTGTCCGAGAACGTTGCGTGGCCTCACGGACTAGAGATAACCTGCAACTTATTGTGCAATCTAGTTGCGTATGTTAATCTTTTATTGCAATTGCTGAGTTGTAATAGTCACCGGTGTCGTCCGATAGTAGCACAGTACCCAGACCGACTCAGCGGCGTGGGAGAGGTGTTGGGTCATCCGCGGGGTGAGTGGGTGGCTGTAGAATGTGAAATTATCTGCATATGTGCGAAATTCTGTGAATATACGGCCTTGTCTAAGTGCACGCCGCAGTTCACTTGCATCCATGGTCTACATTGTTGTAAGGCTTGAAGTCGTCACCCCGGCCTAGGCCCCGCAGCCACTTTGCGGGGCGCCCCGCAAAAATTATTAGGCCTCATTTTTCCCCTCAAGATCATTGCACCGCGCGCGAGCAGTGGCAGTATGAACATTCTTTTAGGATCAAACGAAGGTGAGAGTAACTTGATTCAGTATGAGCTGGCACACTAGCATATCAATGCACGTGTAAGCTGTCTATATTAATGGTGTGTCAGAATTGCAAGATCTCGAACCACTCCTACTATAGCACACCTGGACGGTAGTCTGGGCGTGTTGCTCTATTTTAAAAGGTCTGTTTGCTCTTAACACACGCTGCTAAGCATTTTCCACAACGACTGGCCGCAGAGTTGTGCGCGATATGGATGGGTTTGCGAAGGAGAAACGGCCAACCAATCTGGGAAGGCGTGTTTCTACGAGCGGGGAACAGAATAGGCAACAGGACACGTTAAGGGAGATACAGGAGTATCAAAGGCCTTTGGGAGGCCTTGCGTTACACGATCAATCGTCCCGTAATGATATCCCTGCCGACCGCCAGTTACACGGGACCTCGGATTTGGATAGCCGTCCAGGAAATTTGCCTTTAGGTAACGGAGCAGATGGTAATCCAGGAGCTTACGACGGTACGGATCAGCCTCAAAAGCGGCGGGAGGAGTTGATGATGCAAACCCACGCGTTACTGAATGATATACTTGCCAATTACCGGCTATACAATACCTCGGATTTGGACACTCTTCCAGGGAATTCTCTGTCCGGTAATGACCATTACTATAATTCCGGTCCCTTTGGTCTTTTGGGTCTCCTTGGCCTTCTCGGTCATACTGGTCGTATCGCTAAAATAAGCCGTGGTTTCGCTGAATTCTTCCGTCGTACGGGTTATGGGCCTCGTAACTAAGCATATAGCAACGTTGACCCAGATTGTAAAAGCGATAACAATTTTAGAAAAACAGACGGTAATCCAGACGCTCGCCATGGTAAGGATCAGCTTCCGCCTCAAGATTCATATGACGCCAACGAAGAGTGACCGTCTTACTGGTCCTTCGTACCGCGAGAATCATTAGATAACGGCGGTGACATAAGATTGCGGCATTACGTTTCGTTGAAATTCAACTAAGTTTACATTAGAATGAATAAATGTTGTATGGGAATTCGAGCGATTGTACTTCAGGAGTCTCGACGTTCTTCCCTAAGGCAAAATTCCGGTTTCGCTTTGCCTGTTTGAGACGGGGCTTAGGAGTCTCAAGGTATAAAACGAAACAACTGCCGAGCAAAGCTGTATAACAAATACACACATCGATGTTTTTGTCCGAAAACCTTATCACAGTGACACAAATACACACGTCTTCCGCGTACGTAGTACTCGCAAACACGGTCGCACGATGGATTCCGCGGAAAGTGATGATCACAGCTAAGAGCTAGAGTGTTTTATGTATCAAGTGATTCAATGTGTCGTGATGTGCAGTTTTAATGAGCCGAGAAGCGCTCGAAAAAGCGCAACCTCCGACAAATCACCATGGCACAAACGTTACCAAAACCCATCCGCTCAAAGGAGCGAAGCGAAAATTGCGGCATCCACTGAGGGCGAAAACCACTATACTTATAGCAGAAGACACTACGTCTGCTGTTCGCATTCTATATTATGTAACAGCCATGTTCAAAACGAGCAGGCCCGCGACACGCAACACGTTCCGTAAAACGCTTTTGGCAAGCCATCGTAACATTTTAGGCTTCTATGCATCGCCTAAAATTATACTAACATATACAGGCCCATTATGCGCAGTTTACACCCGAAGATTATGTACGCCGCCGACTCGCTCCTCAAATATTGCATGCCACGTTAATTGTCTAGAACTGTCGGCGATACGGCATCTCAGTCGCCGTCGCACCTTAGAAGCCCACCTGTTTGGTGTATAGGTGGTTTCAATATTTCTTTAAGGCGCTTGTGTGTTGGAAGGAAACGACAATTGCGTAGCACTTACGCTTCAGTAACACTTGGCTGGTGTTAACCTTGCGAATTACATACGCGCCTGTTTGCAAACTGCCCTGTAAGTAGACGAAACCTCCACACATTTATAGAACTCGCGTATCTTAACGAATCTATACACAATGATTTACGGTTCGTTGACTGACGTTCCTACTGACCTCAAAGAGTGCATTGACTGGTTGATAGCCGCGAAGGGAAGTGATGATGGAAACGGTTTCAAGGCTATGGCTTTCGAAGTTTATCGATTTCTCGCAACACAGCGTGTTGGATTGAAGCGACCGATAGCTCTCGAGAGAATAAAAGATGTTTCTAAGAAGTTCATTGGGCAAGAGGTGCTTAAAAAGAGGACGTACGCGGACATGTTGCTGAAGAGATACAAAACCCCTATAGATAGAGAAGTCGGCAAGTTCCGTAAGATGCTTAATGGTATGAAGGAAAGCGATTTTGAAAACGTCATAAGGGCGAAGGGTGTCACTGCTGAAACTTTCGCAGAGAAATTGGGTAAGGTTGTGGATGGTTGTGAGACCTTCCTGGAAAGTATCAAGACCGCGGACGAATATGAGTCGTCTTACCATCCAGATGTGACGTGGGATAGATCATGTGGGAAAAACCCGGAAGCTTGCGCAATGGTCCTCGTGGGGGTTGCACCGATGTTGTACGTGGGCTTGCATTCTTTGATGGATGCGAGCGCACCTGGAGTCCTAGGATTGAAAAAATCTAATGACGATAAAAATTTGGAGAAGGTATTGTTTGCCTTGGGTTACGTAGAGCCGTTATGCCGCCCTAATTTGGGTTGCTCCGACATACGCAAGGCGTTGAAAGGCGTAAATTCGACAGTATTATCTACAATCTACGACCTTGCCGGATTCTGGGCTTTCTATTGAAAGGGAAGCATAGGCGATGTCAAAGAGACGCTCCACAAACAAGGGTTCGGTTTCCGTCTTCTCAGTGAGTGGCGTATGAACTCTCATCCATTTTAATTTTTCAATGTAGTTGTCGCAAGTGGGATGCATACACTCGTCATCCACAATACCGTTGCCGTTGAATGAGGGACACCACGGTTATGAACTTTTATTTAATGTAATCCCTGATGCAATCAGGCGTGTTCTTGTGCCGACGTCACTCGCGTTCGTCGTAGTATGCGACAGACATCGTATGGACGTACTACATTGATAAAGCATGCTGTACATACTTTAAAGACTTCTCTTTTGTATGATACGACGGTGCCGATTGGTGTAGCTTGGTATCAGACGTTGCAGGGATGCGGAGTGCCTATCGGATGCCATGTGTATTATTGCCCGATCGTCTCACTTGGAAACGCGATGTTTCGTCGTAGGAACTCTCCTGCACTTGCATGATGTTAGTCAGCCCAGAAAGCTCAAATATGGTGTTGATGGACGTCGGAGTGTGTTCTGCACTTGTGGGACTCATGAATCCTCTAATTGTGCCCCCCAAGGTGGCGCTACAAGACAGCCCACGGGGTCAGTAGGAGTGATGAGAAATACCCTAGGAGGCTAACGCCAATGGCTTGAGGCGCTATCCCGGTAAATGCGAAAATTGGCCGAGGCCAAGCGTATCCGCATACAACAGTATAAAACGCTAATACAAGGAAGGATTAATGCATTCCGCTTCAAGCTCCGATGCCAACTGGGAGAGTAGGTGGTTTGGAGCAATGCCAGATTTAAATGTCGTGATGTGCAACTGTTAAGGGTGGATAAGCGCTGAAAGGAGCGCCATCTCCAAGAGATTACCGCGGCGCAAAGCTTACCGACTGCGGCCCACACGGAGCCAGTAAGAGAAGGCTGCTGCATTTGCTTAGGGCAAAAACGATTAGGTTAGTAGCTCACAACGGTACAAGGAGAGTTTGCTTTCATTGTCATCGGACTGGCGTGTTTATCGCAAGCAGGCCCCGAGAGAGACCACAGGCTCTGCAACATAGTATCGGCAATCCATGATAGCCCTTCAAATCTTTATGCATCGTTACAAATTTGACTAACATCTTTAGCTACAATATGCGCCATTACGGTCTGAAACATACGTAGACAACGACTCGCGCTGTGCGTATTGCATGTCACGTTACTTGTGCGGATCTGGCTGTTACACGGCGCCCTGGTCGTCATTGCACCTACCAAGTCTGCTTGTTTGGTGTGTAAACGAATTTGCAAATTGTAATAAGACACGTCTTTATCAAGGTTTAACAACACTTGTGCTTTTCTAGGTTTGAGACAGCCGCTTAAGGACTCGGCCTGTGATTAGAGCCCCAATATATATAAACATATAGCAATTGAACAGTTTAACGAATCTACACAAAATGGTATACACTTCGTTGACTGAGGCTCCCCGCAACCTCAAGGAATGCATTGACTAGCTGATGGCCCTGAGGGGGAAAGATGCTGGAAAGAACTTGGCGGCTATGGGTGACGCGCTTCACAAATTTCTCGCAGACAAGCCTGTTGGTAAGATGGAGCTGCCAGCCCTCGAGAATGTAAAACGTATTTCTAAGGAGTTCCTGGAGCAAAAGGAGTTTAGACGCTATCCCTTCGTACAAAAAATGCTAGGGATGTTCAATGGGACTATGAATAAAAAATGCTACAAGTACTTGAGGTTCGTCATTCCTACCTGCACAAGCGATTATAAGAATATCATAACGGCCAGGGGTGCGACATCTGAAACCGTCGTAGAGGAATTAGGTAAAATTGTGCATGGTTCTGAGCACTTCTTGGATATTATTAAAATCCCAGACCAGTACAAATCTGCTTACAGCTCGAAGGCGACATGGGAAGCATCATGTTCGAAAAAGCCGGAAGCTTGCGCAGCGGTCCTAGCGGGAATTGCGCCTATGTTATTCGGAGGCCTGCGTACTTTGCGGAGGGCGAGCACTGAAGCACTCGCGTCATGGGTGAATATAAACGCGAAAGAGCGCTTGAGAGATGTATTGAAAGCCGTAGGTTACGAGGAGCCAGGGTGCCGCGCTGGCATGAGTGGCTCAGATATCCGCAAGGCGTTGAGTGCGGTGGATATACGAATATTGGACACAATTTACGACCTAGCTGGCTTCTGGGCATTCTATTGAGTAGGGATTGGAGAAGTTTACAAGCAACTCAAAACACACGATTTTGCGCACTGTCCCATATTGTAACCGTCGTACGAATTCTCACGAGGCGTTTCTAATTCACGAAATGCAGTTTTTATCACCTTCGTCGTTACGATCTTCATCAGCTACATTGGTATCGTCAGATAAGGCAAAACATATTTCTTGGCGTTTCCCGAATTGTATTCAGGAGCCAAGATGGCGAGTTGCTCGTCAGCTTGATAGGCTTCGATGTCAGTATACCCGACAGACATTGTAGATATCTGCACTATATAAGTCACGTTCTACAATAACCCTTTTTGGATAAGTATGCAATCAGTATCGTATTGGCAATGTTCGGCGCTATAGCCTTTGCGAAGGCGCACCGCGTGTTAACTCCTGGAGATGTCACCTTTTACAACGCAATAATTTATTGTAGCCATGCATTTAATAGTACGTGCTCTTATTCTGCCCCTAAGATGCGAACGTGGTGGTGTTATTCATTGGTGCGGTTTGTGCATTTATGGAGGTTTTGAATCGTTTGCTTGTGACCCATGAAGCGGGATTATTTGGCCATTACCAGACACAGAGGAGTCTAAGCCGCCGCCACCAGCCTCATCTAGGCACTCACCACAGAAAACAAAAAGTGAGACACGTATTAAATAGTGACATTCCATTACATATTGTAACCAACAGTTATTCCAAACCGGTTTATCCCATATAGTGCTTGCTGAGTGAGTACAGCATTGCTCCGGTAATTGCCGTAGCTGAACCGTAGAGGCCCATGTTTGTGATTTTGGTTTTGAAGAGGATGGAGCTGGTGATGATGAGAAAAATGCGTTTCAGGGTGTTTGCAACGGCGTGGCTTACTGGTGTAAGCTGCGATAGTGCGACGAAGGACACCTCGTTATAGAGAGTGTAGAAGAATCCGGATAATGCGATGTGCCTTGCAAGCTGTAAAAGCCCCTTATTGCCGAACTTGTAGAGGACACTTTTGTACATGCTAGCCCACTGTGGCGCCTCCAGAAGAGCGAGCGGAGCTAGAATTAGTGAGCTGACGATGGTCACCAACGACGAGACATTCGTTGCGTCAAGGTTCCTTCCAATCTTGCTCAGATCCTGCTTGAAGAATTTCTTCGCCTCTATGCGCCTAATGGACGCACATACGTTCGACGCCAATGAAGTAGCGAATGCGACTGGGTTGAAATTAACGTCCTTGACCGATGCCATCGCCACGCCACCCAGAATTGGTAACAGGGTGAGGAATGTGATGGGCGACATTGACCCTGTTCCGCTTAACAATGAAATTGCAGACACGAACAGCGGCTCACTGGCCTTGACAATGTGCACGAAACTAATAGCTCCAGCACCCAGTGCCGTTACCGACAGCAGGTGGAGCATGGAAAACACGGCGCTCTGTTTGAGAACAGATGAATACGCTTGAACAGTGTTCCTGACGCGCATCAGGGCGTTTTTAGCCTTGCGCTTTATTGTTTGAAGAACCCCCTCATTTGTGTCCACCTTTTCGATGCCCTCATTTGAAACAGTGATGGACGGTACAGCCTTGATGCCTGTCAACCATCTGGTGAGGAAGTAGGGTATACCGATGAGCATCTGCATGGCCGCTATTGATTTTGGCAGCGGGCACATGTTAAGAGCCTTTTTATTCTCTATGTTGTACATCACCGTACCAGCGTACCACAATGAGAGCATTGATATGCTCTTGAGCGCATCTTTGGCGGTCACCATGGCATTGTTCGAATTTCCGTCTGAGATCCTTCCCACATTGACGGGGGGCGCAACGGAGTTCTTCACGTTTGTCGTGCTTATACTACCGCTTTCGTGCCCCCCGATGGTCTTCTCGTTAGTGTTAGTTACTGCATTTTTCGGTGGTAGTGCGAAGGTACGGGTCGCCCTTATGGTCTTGATCCCGGCGCCATCGCTTGAGAATTTGGGTCCATCAGCGTTAGTTAGACGACTGGCAACGCTGTTCGCTAACCCACTGTCGCCAACAGGATGCCTAACGAAGGCTTGCGATCCATGTGCTGCACCGTAATTACTACCGGGATGAATTATGCAAAATATAAAGCCAAACGGATGGAAGACAGTTCACAGCCCGAACATACCTTTCAAACGTATTCCGTTATCTAGCGTATTGCTACAAATGACAGCTTGAGGGCTGAAGAATCCATTTCCCCTGACCCTCGCCTCCAACAGCAAGGCATGAGAGATCAGTAGACAGGTGGACAAATTAACAATTATACCCGTCCTTCTTCTCTGGGTTATAGTCATGTTGACTTTTTGGTACTTGTAGCGTTATGTTAGAGCCATATGGACGGCCATTTTCGTCGCGGTTTTCCGCTAGGTGTGGGGAAATTGTTAGCGTCTACACACTAGCTAGATATCTACACTGTTCACCAGTTTGGCGTTCTAACATAAATATGTGATCCATAATGAACCGGTGTGTATTTATGAGGACGTGCAAATGTATATGGTTTAGGGGTTTACATTGTAATCTTCATTAGAGCCTTCCATAAGGCATATGACTTTTTCCACAACACCCGCTGCAATCCTCTGAGATTCTACATCGTCCGCTTCAAAAGTATTCTTAAGCTCCTTGATTTTCGGAATGCAGTGCCGCAATACGTCCTGCAACTGTTTTTGTTGTTGTTAGCAGGTGGTCTAACCTCAGCTATTTCATTCTGCAGCAATAGTTCGCGTTTTTCGCATATTCGGTCAACAATAGTATCGTAAGCTGCCAGAAGGTCGTGCTTGATGGTTCCGTCATCCAGTCTGTGGGAATTCGATTCCGCACTTAAAATGTCTAGGAAGAGCAGGTAGTCTCTATTATGAGCCCTCTTGTTCACATTTGACACTGCGGACCTTGTTAACAAAACATCAATACCATTTGTAAACATTTGAACATCCCCGTTGTCCGGGTATGTATGACCATCATTAACTTTCAAAGGCACGGATTGTTTAACGCACATGATCACTCTCACGTGTGTTGAACAATATAACTATTAAGTTACGCACGAAAAACGTAATGTAACGTAAAATTCGAATAGTATATACAACGTACCGTATTGACAAAGACGTAACAACAACGCATCCGTGATGCCGTTGAGCTCTTTAAGGGACTGGAGCGAACTAGACAGGAGTTGAGGAGAAAACTGCATCACGTATGTCGCGTATGGTGCATATTCCCAACCGTTTTCATCTTGGTCTCCAGATAACTGGACAGCTCCGATAGTAACGGTTCATCATGTACGTTACGTGTCGCCATTACCCTCAGAAGGTTGGCAACATGCATGGGCTCGTAATATTTCGCTGGTATGTCGTGCAGGAGCTCTGCAAAAACATGTGTTGCATATTGCTTCTGTCTACCCAAAAGTGTATTGCAATATTTGTCAAATGTGTCTCCGCCCGTTCTAGAGAGTGCATAGAACAATATGACCGCATGCTGGGCGTTTTTTATGGTATCATCCTTGTCGTAGGTGGCAATATATCTTTCCACGAATTCGCTTAAATGCGCGTAGTTGGCGTCCAACTTCGTGATATATGCCACAGAGTTTGCTAATTCCTGTTTGGCGATTATTTTATAAATGCAAGTGCAAACTAACAAGGTTGCTCAGCTCATTACGAAGATCCAGCAGGCGATTCACAAAAAATGCTTTACAGGTGTCTTCCGCCGGTTTAACCTTTGATGCATTAATAGTCTCCAAAAAATTCAAACCTTGGTCATAATTTGCAGCATTGTCAAGCAATGTTTTGCGTTTATGTCGCCGTCGAAAGCATTTTGAATAACAGCCTCGAACATTTGGGTGAAAAATTCTGCATGTTTCCATATTTTCCACTGTAATCTCATACCCCTATTATTATCACGAGGGAGGCATATGCCGTGTAAAAACACTGTTATCATGTCCATTGTGTATCCTGATTTATTTGCGATGACTTTTTTGCACAAGAGTTCTATGATGCTCTTGTTCTACAACATGATATAAATGCCGCATCCAACCTACATGAAGCTTTGATTTCCCCATTGAATTAGCAATCATGACAATCTCCAGCGGTTTTAACTTATTCCTTAGGATCTCCTGCGTATCTTGGCGGACGGATGTAGGCACTTACCATCTGTCTGAATAAGAGATCGAATAGCTTTTTGTCGTAAAACGCGAATTGTGAATAAGCTCGGTGGATCAACACCAACTGTTGCGTGCTTATTCGGGTGGAAGTTACGGATCCGTCGTCTTCTTGTGTTGCCTTGTTTTGCGATACGTGTGATGCTGTAGTGTCAGTGTCCTGCTCAAACATTGCCTTATCGGATGTGTTTTGTACCTCAGACATGTATTCATGGGTTCGTATACGATATGACACGTCGGAGGAGTTGGTTGCTGCAATATGTGCTTCATTGTGCCGTGATACACCTTCTCCCTTGGGATGCGTAAGGACGTTTTTGAGCCTCTCGGCGAGGCATGCCAAAACTTTTCTATTGCGATGCCTTAAGTTATACAACCTAAATTAAAGATGGCGATCAGAGTGGGGTTATTTTACCCATCGAGAAGTATTGCGATCGAGACTACCGACATCTGTGAAGCCTCCAAGTTCAGCTGTTCCAATAGGGAGTCCACAAGTGTGGTGTCTCTGTAACCCGCCCTGCACTCTATTAAAAATATCATATTAGCTTACACAGCCATGGAGTTGACCAATACGGCGATGTACCTTGGAGGCACGGTTGTGCCAGCATCCTGCAGAAGCTAAGACCTGACCGTTGTACCCTTACTTTTATTCTGTGGACTATATTCTGGAACACTTCATGTTCGACACATTTCACCTTAGCCAAGGCATTGGCCATAAGTACCATATCCTTAACGTCATACTCCTGTACATTTGGATTAAATGCTTCATAGTAACGTACCTTCTGCAACTGGTAGTGTCGTTTTACAATTGAATTCCAGGTTTCTGGGTCGGCAACTCGTGCCTTCGCCAATCCATTTGCTATATAGGATAGTTGTTTAGTACTGATTGTATCGATGATGTATATAAGTCGCCTTGTAACTTGGTTCCAGAAGTGATCGTCTTCACTGCCTTTCTGCATTAGCCGTTAGTATTCGAAAAATGTAGATCCGTTATTAACAGAAACGTTGGAATCCAGATTAAAACCTACCCTGGAAACAACTCTAACCAGATGAGCGAGCTGCGATGCATTTTTTGAGAATATCTCAGTATCCCTTCCGCCCCTGCGGCTGCGGGGTCCCATGAACCCGAAGAACCGTTTAGTGAGCATTTTCAACTACATTTTGTGTACAGTATACCAGTAATGTGGTTAAGGTGTTTGGAGTTTGTTCATTTTTCTGAGCAATGACCAGATGACCATTGTCCAGTGTGTAGACAATCGTGGAAGCACTTCGCTTCTCATCGCGGGCAGAATTCCACACATACGTGTTTAGTGGCCACAAATACCACTATTACGGTGAAAAGCATGTAGAAGGTTACACATCACACCGCATTGCCACATTTGAACAGCACTGCTACACAATGACTTAGAGGGAATCGCCACAGTTTTAGCAAATCGTATCACGACATGCGTATCTGGTAATCGCCATTTTGGGTGATGTACCTGACCCACGGAAGCGCCTGGTATCCGCAGCTCTCTGTGATTCTTAGGTGTTTGATCGATATCCCCGATACGGTGAAGTACGGTATTTCGAACGAGACCTTGACCGGGTTCTTCGCGAAGGCGTCCCTGTTATCGTCAGACACCGACGGAAGTCCGAATGACGCGGACAGGACGAACTCCTTCTCACCCTGGAACTCCTTGATGGTCCAAATGATGGCATCAAGATCCGGCACGTACTTGCCAGATCCGATGGTAGCTTTGAAGGTGGGGTTCTTGACATCCGGGGGCACCGGCACGTGGAATTCAACGTTGTTAGCGATTGATTTCGACTTGAACTGCGACACCGCTCGTACTGTAAAATCGATGCGCGTCGCAGACTTGTTGTTCACCATGACATCGCACCAGAAAAGCGGCTTCACATGGCAGTTTAGGCGATAAGTCATTAGCTCAAATTCTCCGTCCGGGGGGATGAAGCTAATGGTACGGTCGGACTCAAACCGTTCGAGCTGCACGCACTGATGGAACTTCACATCTTCCATTTCTACGGTTTTCATGTTCGGGTTTCGGTTGTAACCAGCGTTGCCAAAGGCAGCCAAATCCCTGCCTGACGACATTTCGAACACCGTCTTATCGTTGAACCCTAAGTAGAGCTGCGGCATGCCCGAAAGATACGATTTCATTTTAAGACATCCGCGGATCTCCGAGCGCAGCACAGCGCCTGAGGCGGATACAACAATGTCCAAACTCTCTACTACGTCGAGGAAGATTTCGTTCTTCTTGTGCTTGATCCCCTCGCGTCTCCACGAAACAGCGTTCGTCATCGCCGTCGGCGGCTTGACGGCATCTATGGTCATTTGGTGGTAACGGTTGCGGATGCATTCTCTGAGAATGCTAACCTCCGTAGCCTGCGGATAGCCGTTGTCAAGCATCTCGTCCAGCAGTTCGTATATAATAACAAAATTCTCCCGGATGCGCTCCTCCACCAGGTTTTTGAAGTATCCCTCGAGCACCTTGACAAATCGGTAGAGGAACGACAGAACCATGGTGACGTTGTAGTTGGCTGAAGCTGCCGCGAGGAAGTAGATATCGCTGTGCAGTATCCAGCAGAACGTGCTTCCGTCGCAGTGGTACACAGGCCTAACGGCGTTCGGCTCCTGTAGGAGCACATTGTTGTAGAAGGAGTCCGTAATGTTGGTGAGCACATCGTCCTTATACGTGCGGTTGATCATCATCCTCCCCTTGCTGTCGAGGATGTATATCCCGCTGATTCCTCCCATCTTCCCGCGAGGTGATCTCCTACGGTGTACACAGCAGAGGTTGTTTTAAACGTTCGGCATTCGCCGTTATTAGAAACAGGAGCCTTTCGGCTGCATATTTACTTCCTACTGCGTGTATTCGACGGTGTCGACACGATGTGTAACCCAACGAGTCTCAGCTCGCCCGCCGTGCCGGCGGGTCTCAAACGGCCCATGTGTAACTTAAGGGTGACATTGTATACTTTAAAACCATGTTTGTTTAGTTGTATACCATGTAACGGCTCGTCGCCGAGAATTTTTTGTACCCGTGTATAACCTTGGTGATGGCGTCGATGAAGTCCTTCTCCGAGATGCTCTTCCTGCGTGCCCTAATGGCGAACATGCCCGCCTCAGTGCACACGCTGCGAAGATCGGCGCCGGTACTGCTCGGGCATAGCCTTGCGAGCAGTTCGTATCTGATGTTTTTCTCGACGCTCATCGTCTTGGCGTGAATTTTGAAGATGTGTTTCCGTCCCTGCACACCGGTGATCCTGTTAGCACGCGAGCAAATCTCTTACCTCCAGATCGGGCAATCCAAATTCTATTTTACGGTCGATACGCCCCGGCCTCAACAGCGCCGGGTCCAGGGTGTCTGGCCTGTTGGTAGCCATGAGCACCTTGATATTCCCTCTGGCGTCGAAACCATCAAGTTGGTTGACTATTTCAAGCATAGTACGCTGCACTTCGTGATCGCCGTTCGCCGACTCGTCGCCCCTGGAGCCACCGATGGCGTCTACCTCGTCTATGAACAGGATGCATGCCTTCTTCGAGCGCGCCATCTGGAACAGCTCACGCACCAGCCTTGCGCCCTCTCCAACGTACTTCTGCACCAGTTCTGACCCGATGACACATATGAAACACGCGTCCGTCCTGTTGGCTACGGCCCTAGCGGTCAGAGTTTTCCCGGTGCCTGCACCATTGTCACAATAGTCAACAAACGACACATACCAGGCGGCCCGTAGAGTAGCACACCTTTGGGAGGGTCTATGCCGAGCGCAACAAAACGCTCAGGGTACAAAAGTGGCATCTCAACCACCTCCCTCAGCTTCTCCAGCTGCTCCTTGCAGCCACCAACGTCATTGTAGGTCACGTCCGGCTTGTCCTCAACCGTCATCATAGTGACCGAAGGGTCAATTCTCGGTGGCAACGATATTTGGATCTTGTATTTGTTACGGTCCACGCTGCGCAAGTGATGGAAAAACCTGTGTTTGTACTTACCCGACCCTCATGCCCTCCTCAATGTCCGTTGCAGCGGCCTTTTCCCCCAGACCCTAGTTAAAAATGAGACAGAATAGTCAAATAATTGTATATGGACACTGAATTACAGGCCACAGGATGGAACATAACTTACCACAACAAACTTGGCGATTTGTTTGACGTTTATAACGTATTTCGCCTGCGGCGTGCCAGGGTTTATAATGCTTGTGCACCGCGCAACTTGGAGCGGCATCCCCTCCTGGAGCGTCTGCTGGTCGTACATCAGATCCCACATATGAGGAGGGTTGAGTCCGGTATCGCTTTCCTTGATGCCTGAGGGGAGTGTTAAGTGCTTCCATCAGGGCAGTGGTGTCACAAAATGCACATTGATACTTACCGGAAAGCTTGTTTACGCGCTGTACGACATCCTTGATGTCCTTATCTGCGTTTTTGATCGACTCCGTGTACGGACCGACTCCCTGTGAGAATATGAGCGCGGATGCCAGGAGACATGAGCATTAGGCAAGCAGCAACATGTATGGGATCACCGTTTTCAATACGCTAGGTTAACACGTACACAGCACATAAAATCGCGTATGTGTAGCATTTTCATCGGCAATTTGCGCCATTTTCACGTAAACTCACATAGCTCTTGAGGATGTTGATTTCGGCATCGTTCAAGGGATTGGAGGTGGTCTTGGCCTCGCCTTCTTCTTCAGGCGCCGTCATAATTTAAAACTACAGTACAGGTCGCGACATACGCCACAGATATGGCGTTATTAAGTGAAAAATGTGTTTTGTTTTCCCCACAGACGTACCTCGCAGCATCTTGCGCGATATCCTTACCTTAAAGGGCACACATCCCAAGTGCTGGCACAGCCCGTAAAGTTTGGAACCTCTGTGAGGTTATTTGGGGGTGTTTCATCCGGGTATCATAAGTCGATGATGTCTGTCTCGCCTCTCAACATCCGCTGCGCCGGTCAGCTTTAGGGAGCATTTACGCGACGAAGATGCTAGACGAGCAGGACTTGGAGACACTGTGCGGAGGCGACCAGGGTCTGAACAGGCTGCTGAACCGCCATTGTCTTTACACCAGCAGCCCGGAGGGTGCAACTGCTGACACAGTGACCAGTGTACGTTCACCTGAAACGGGCGGACCATACGCTTCATCTGGCAATCTTGACTCTAGGAACATCGGAAACAAATCTCAAGCTTACGTGGATAGCTACGGAGCTCAGAGTGCGTCGCATGTGAGTCATCGGCAAGATGCTGGTTACGCCGCGGATAGCGCACGGCAGGACGCCGCACCCTCCCTTGACGACCTGTTACAGCGTCTGGACAACCTCAATACCGCACTGGGGCGGCAGGCTGACTCATTGCAACGCGATGCGAATGGAAAGCTCGAGAAATTAACAGAGGTCGTACGGTCGTCCAACACCGTTGGAGGCCCTTTGGACGTAAACGACCTTGCCAGCTCATTACATCAGTGCGAGGATGTGGTAAATTCCATCTCTCACAAACACCTTAAGCTTCAAGACCTCCATACGCTTGACTACCTGGAGAAGATCCTTACCTTGAACATGAATGCGGTTTCGCTGATCCACAACTGGGAAGAAACCTTGAGAACAATTCAGGGCTCACTGCAGTCATTCGAGCGTTTCCGGGAGAAGGGAGGTGTTCTTACGAAAATGCTTATGTCGGATGATGCTGTCGACGGCTTCACCTACGAAAATGCAACGACGCTGCGGGACATTTTCCTGCGTTTGCACTCTACCGTTGAGCAATGCTTCGTCAACGACCCCAATTTCGGTCATATGTCGGGCACGTTGGGAAACCTTCGCCTGAAATACTCGGAAGTGGTGAGCGACATCTGCTACGACGTCTGCACCCGCTTCTTCTCTCCGTTTGAAACCACCTACACTCCTTCACCGGAGGCTTCGGCTGAGGCCTTTCGCCGCCTTGTGGACCTGGCGGCAGACGTTTTCAAGCCCTCCTATGCTGAAACATTATTGGTGCAATGTTTCCGTCGAGTTATGGATGGGCTGCTGAACACTCAGTTCTTTACCATCTGGGAAGAGAACGTTAGCAAACTTCCCAATGGTGACGACCTTTCGTTGCTTCCGGACGACATCGGCGTAATAGTATCGTCTTGCGCTGCCACGATGAACGCCTTTTACGACTTCCTGGTAAAATTGGTCACGGATCGCATGGATTTGTTCAAGGGATTCTTCGCCGCCATGGGTGCGCGCAGTATATGCGCCAGCCCTGACGCAGCGCTGAACACCTGTATCCGCGATGTTGTGCAGAATGGGATGCTATACTTCGAAGTTTTCGACAAAACTCTCGCTCGTCTGCCGCGCGCCGTTTTCTTAACTGTCGCCACGGAGGTCATGAGGTCGGCGCAGCCTATTGCCGACAAGCTGGTGGAGGCGTTTTCAGCGTTACCTTTCCATGAAGAAATTACCCAGATGCCAATACTGCCCAAGGGCATGCTGGTTCGCTACATCAACGCACTGGACGACCTTAGTGCGGAAAATTGCTGGCGCAGTGCACCAGCCTCAGATTCGGTGGACGACCACATCTCACGCCTCGAGCAGTTAGTGACATATACGACGGGCCTGAAATGCACGAGCAATGGCACTCTATCGCATGGCGACGGTCTCGACATTTACCAACCTCTAGCCTGGATTTACAACCGACTGTTGCTCTGGCATTTGAGGGAGTGCTACAAGGCGGTCATGTCCGGCTGCGGCAACGCTCTGACCGGTTACTTCATGGCCCTGAGCCAACAGGAAATGAGCCGCGATATGAACACGGAGAACGAGTCCGACTGTCGGCGCGTGCTGTTGGCGCTTACGAGTGGCAGTCGCAGCATGGCCGACGCCATGGAGAAATCGCTGGCACCCGCAGCAACAGCTGGCGAACAACAATCCGTGTTGTCCAAGGCCATCACACATTGGTATGTTGCTAGTGGAAACGTGACATCGTTGGATGGAGTGAACGCATCGGTGCGTCAGTGCTTCTCGGAGCCTTTCCCTACGGAGGGCGGGTCATTTTTCCACGATGAATCAGGCGCCGTTTCCGCGGCCGTCACCAACATTGTGCGTTTCATAGCTCGCAAGGCGTCCAACATAATGCGGAACTACGCGAACGCCGCTGCCGAGCCGGAGTCCGACACCGACGTCTCCAGTTCCGTGCTGCTGCTCAGCGGGTACTTCACGGCACTGTTACCGCTGTTCGCGGACGACGACATGCTGCCGAATAGAATCCTGGCACAGGCGTTTACGGTGTTCGTCGACGAGGAGCTGGAGAGGCTGGCCGGTGCCCGCCCCTCCGACCCCGCCCTCCTGCAGCGCTACCGCGCTGACATTTCGCAACTGATCGTGATAAGCAACTACTGCGGCTCCGACGTCAACGAATCGCTTGAGATGCTACTTTCAGCATGAAAACACCCGCTTAATGTTATATTATCATGTAGTGGAGCTGCATTGCGAGACGTTACGTGTAGCGCTGCTTTATTTTGACGGCTTTTCAGGGTGACTTAGTACACCGTGCTTCGGATACAGTGATGCGTCATTTAGCGAGCGGTAGAGACACATGAAATTCGTAATGTCGTCACGCTCCGTTACCGGACAACAACGAGATATGTATTTACAATAATACAGACGAGACTACATTACACCATGTTTGGTTCCTTGTCCACCGCGTCAGTCCATCGTTACATTGTCATTCTTTTCGACGATGACAATACCCTCGAGGACGGTGGTGCACGGTACGTATTCCTCGGTCGCCAGCTCGGCGCGCTCGGAGGCTCCGACGAGCACCGGAGTCTGGTGCGTCTGGAATCCTGAGATACGTCGCTGCTTGCCCACGGTACCGGTGGTCTCGACCATGTTCCCGACGCGGCACGGAACCTGCACGTGCTCGAGGTTAGGCAGGAGCGTAAGCATCCACCTCGGCCTGATGGCGAGCGCCACGAAGAGCAGCGTGAACGGCATGGATTGCGTAAAAGTGTTCTTCATGTCGAGCGCCGCCGTCATCGTGACCAGGAGCCCTGCCAGTGCCGTCTTGCGAAGCAGCAGGCCTTCGGAGTGTAGCGGTGATATGGTGGTGGTGCCCTTCCCCATGTGGAGGAGTCCGGCTGCGATTCTGATGATAAATATGATGCTCGTGTCTCGCGTGTGGCTCTTGGCGAGATTCTGCAGCTTAATGGCGATGCGAGCGTTGTTCGTTCCGGCTCCCACAATACCGAGTGCAAATATGGCGTGCATGCTGACGAAGTAGTCGACGTCGTGCGTGAGCTTGGAGAGCGCGTCGATAACCTGCGGGCTGGGGTTGGAGGCATATGCCAGAGCTAGTGCCAGCGGGGCTGCGCGGCGCTCACATGGGCTACCAAACGATAGCGGGTGCTCGAACAGCCTGAGCAGCATGGCACAGCCCACCGAGTCGCCCAGCGCCGTCAGTGCGATGCCCAGTATGGCCACAGAAGACTGGTTCACTACGCTGCGTTTGGAGCTCGAAGTATCTTCATCGAGTTTGAATCCCACTCTTCCTGGTTTGCCATCCTTCTTTGTGTCATGTCCAGCGGCTTCTGAAGCGTTCTGCAGTGCAGATAACGCCGCATCTATCGCAGGTTGCTTCGGTGACTTTGGTGGCATATCGACCTCCATGGCGTCATCTGCGTCTTGCTTGCCCTCCTTCGGTTTGGGTTCATTCTCTGCCGAAGCGCAGCATTTGAGGAACTGCTGGATCCGTATCACATCGCCGGAGCCTGCGTAAGCACAAGCTTCAACCATCAACTCTGCGATGCGCCCGTGCTCGCCGTCCACTGCCTTGAGGGCTTCGATGACAACCTCGGATGCATCCATCCTACCCATTTGCAGGATGCCGAGCGCACAGGCGAATTGACATTTAGCAGCCATGTCCATGGAGTTATCTGGTATGTCGAGCAGCTTCTGCACGATGGCCTCGGAGACCTCCTGCCTACCCGAGCCGACGAATATGAGCCCCAAGGCAACCGCAGCCATGGCGCTGCACACGATTGGGTATTGCGTTTCGTCGGATACGACAATCGGCACCAGGGATTCCAGCAGGCTCTCCTGCTGTGTGCCGGCGTATCCGAATGCGATGCCGAGAACCGCACCCAAACATTCCGTTTTCTCGGGTCCATCCAGCTTGTCGAGCAACAGTCCGGATAGCGGGTCAGCATCCGGGACAACACCGCAGCTCGAAAGCCCGTAAGCCGCGTACGACCCCGCCTTGACGTATGTGTTGGCGCTGTACTCGTATTTGTCGACCTTTGAAAGCCCCTCTTCGACGTTCCAGAGGCTGATCAGCCCTACCGATGCCGCGGCGCACAGCAGCCCGTATTCGTGGTGATGGAACACCCAATCGGAATCTGGCACATTGATGAGCATGTCGGTTCCGAATCCGCAGTTGACGAACGCATTCACGAAAGTGTGGGAAAGGTTCCCGAGTGCGGAGTCAAACGCCAGGTTCTTCGACAGCCTGCCGTCAGTGATGTTGAAGTTGGTGTTGAGCTTGGTGACTGGGTACGACCTGAAAATGTCCTGTGGAGTTTTGGGCTCAATGACATCCAGCTCAGTAGCCAAGATCAGGAAGAACCCGCTCAAGTGCTCCCCTGAGGATATGACCCTGATTTCTTCGATATCATCAGACGTGAGCACGGACTCAGCGCCGCCGTTTTCAGCGAGGTTGAGATACTTCCCGTGGCTGGCGCATATGTACGCCAGCTGCCGGCGGGTGGCGGCATTGGTGCAGCCGAATATGACCTCTCTCACCTTCTCCTGGTCGTCCAGCTTCAGCGCTATGCGCAGCGCCTCAGCCGATCGACCCGCTTCCAACAGTATTTCGTACACCACAACCAGCATACGCCTAGTTTCAACGTAGGTCGCGCCGAACGCCGATATGGAGATGATGTACGAGGTGACCCTGGTGATGAGGTCGTGGTCATTTCCGCACTTTCGGCGGATGGACTCTATCAAGTCGACCTCTAGCAAAAGGTCAATGGCGTCGTACTCGAAACCGTTTTTGAAAAAATAATCCGTGATATCCTCGGCAAATTTCAGCGCCTCAGGTATGAGCAACGCGGTGTCGAACTTTTGCAACACCGACTGCTTTTCAGCAGTTACAACATCCATCTGGTCCGATGAGCGAGGCAAAGAGTCGTAAACGTCCCTAGTCTCCGGCATGTTGAAGAATGTGACGATATGAGTGGACAACGATGTCAGGTACTCGTTTCCCCAATCCTGTATTTTGCGGTTGGTAAGTTTTTCGCGCACCTCGGCAGGGGTCGCGGGATTAGCCAGCAGGCGCCTGGCCACCATAACGGCCTCTATTTTGTATAGCATGAGCTTGAACTTGTCGGAATCCTTCTTGTGCGTCTTCTGCGCCTCCTTGGCATTGTCCGACGTGCCGATGGCGTCGAGGAAGCTCATAAGCTCCAACAGGAGAAACACGGAATACGTGTCATCTCCAGATTCGCCCATGTACGCTTGATATAGGTCGTAGAGAGCGGTCTTGTGCTCGATGAGGAACTGCAGCGCCTTCGGCACCGACGTGATGTTCCCGCCATTCGTGGTAGCGTGTTGGACCAGTTGCAGGAGAATCGGCTGCGCAGCAGAATCTTCAAGGCGCGACTCGACCAGTTCGCGAACGAGGGCGTCTAACTCCTCCTTGTACGCGAGATCCGCGTCGCTGAGGTTGTCTTTTCTCTTGCTCTTCATGTTGCTCTGCGGTGTGTCCGGGTGGTTGTGGCTGCGCTATACCGCAGACTCCCGATGGATATACTGGCGCTTAATTTGCTCCGAGATCCCGGCGGATAACTTGTCAAGGACCAGCGGAGTTAGTTCGCGGGGCTTCGCGCCGGCGGGGGACGAGCGGAAGGCGAACCGTCAATGTGACCGTTTACATCAATGAGCTGATGTAAACAATGTGTTCTGCCGCTCCTGATAAGTATAAATCAAGCAAATGTGTGACATTTCGGGGCGTTGACCGCGAGACGGCGAGGGATGTGTGGGGAGTTCCCCCGTGACTTCCGGGCGCATATGCTATCGCCTTCACATCGGCGAGGCTTCATTTGGCTCCGCTATATAGCGCCACGCCTTGGTGTGGTCAGCCGCCTGCATTGCTACGTTGCCAGCAACGCCTCCGCCACTTCCTGTGTACCACCTCAGGGTTTAATCACCGTTGTCTAGACTCCGGTTCGTATTTGCCTCACCAGCGGCGTGACGTATCGAATCGACAAGACTACCGTGGCGGTGGCATCTGTAGCAGTCCTTTAGGTCACGCTAATCGCTGTCTAATACGTATTGCATGTTTTAGGGCTCTCTAAACTCGAAAGCTGAGCAGTGAAACGCTGCCACCTTCATCCTTCAATTATAGGAGTACACAAGGCAGGGGTGGTTGATGCAGGATCTAGGCTTATATAGCAGTTCGTGCATGGTGTCTGTTGTGTGGGTTGAATAGTTTGCATAATGTCGGAAGCACTCAATCAACCCGATGGCCTTACTTCCGTTTCGGAACAGGACTCCATCGCATTGCAGACAACAGTGGACGTAGTTCTGGACTCGCAAGATTCGGATATCGAGAGGCAGGAATCGCTGCAGCTGCCTGAAGGCGGGCTCGCAGCAGTGGTGCGGAAGCGGCGCTGGGAACATCGTACGCCAAGGCGTCGTCACCACCAGCACAAATCACAACGTGTGTCATCCGGGATGCTGGATTCGCTGAACCTGGCGTCGCTGAGGCGGAACACCTCGACTTCCTTCTGCAGCGTATCCAGCACCGATCATGGAACCCATTTTTGCTCGATTTCAGAGAGTGCCCGTTCGATATCAACGTCGGAGGGCACGATCCCCAACGAAAGCGAAGCTGAAATGTCGAGGAACGCATCGGCACTCGCCGGTTACAACAGTGTTGATGAAGGTGCTGTAGGTGTTACCGACGTCACGTCACCGCTTGCCACAGCGGTTGAGGGTGACTCCGCACCGGTCGCACAGATGGATTCGATACATAGCCTTCTCAGCACTGCCAGAGACGAGCTGTCGCCGGAAAGTGACGAGGTTGATGCACCCGACTCACAGGACGGCAGTGCACCGAATCAGGCGGTGCGCCAGTTGACGCTAGAAAGCTTGCGCACGACGTCTTCTGTGACTTCCCAGGACCAAGGTTGTACTGTGGTCGTGGATGTCCGTGACGACTCAGGCTATGTGGAGTCGGATTGCGAGGGTTACTGTGTGTTGTCTACTGAGGCCCCCGATACGGATCAGGTGCCCGCCACAGAGTTGCCTCAGCAGGCCACCGATGAGCCGCCAACTTTGGACATCTCCAGCGTCGTCGACGCTTCTAAGGAGCCCGTTGTGATTGAAGACGGCAGATACACATATTCCCCCGAGGCGCAGTTAGGTGTCTTACGTTTATTCTCCCACCAAAGTGGGAACGGGACGCGGCAGACGGAAAATCTGCCCATACCGACGCGTATTGTGATAAACAAGTCCCCTTTCGTGTTCGGGAGTGATGCGTCATGTGACGTGACATTTGAACGTGACGTATACCGCCATATTTGTAGCCGGCATTGCAAGATCGTTTTCTCCGAGTGCAACGCTTTGGCGACAAACCTGCGTTCCTCAGGTATCACCCCTTACCAAGTGGAGGTTGTTAGAATGCACGCCGAAGCTACTATGTTCGTGAACAACGTGGCGCTGCGCAGCAGGGCTACACTGCGCAACGGTGACGTCTTGACGCTCGGGCCGAAGAAATTCGGTGTGAGCTTTACAGTCGCCTTCCGCACACGCGAGGCCTGCGTGGCGCTCATGGACCAATTGAACTCGTTGATGCTGACGCCGTCGAACGAATCGCGTCTGCGGCGTCAGGCACTCACACCGACCCAAAGCAGCGGCACGGCCAGTCTGCCGCTCGTCTCCGCGGAGAACACCAGTCGTGATTTTGACCTGGAGCTCCACACCAACGTGGCGGTGTTCGAGCTGTACTACGGCGAACCCGCCATAGAGGGATCTCTATCGCAGGACTGGGACGGAACCCCGAGCGTTTTCAGCCCGCAAGCCGACTGGACCATGAGCCAACCGTCTCCATCAACTATTCGCAGTGAATACAGCATATTGGGGGCTAGCGCCTTTCCGGAATCGCGTGCAAGCTCGCGCGTCGCAACCCCTGGAAGGGACAGCAGCACCCGACATAGCGTGATTTTGGGCAGTAAAGGGACCGGCGGCCAGGGCACGGAAGCGTTCGACAGCCCATCGCCCTACCGTTCGCTTCGCAGGAACATGGAATCATGCAAGATCGTACACACCGATCTGAATTCACAAGACTACGACGACGATTCGCTGACCGGCAAGCTGCTGTTGAGCACATACACCACAGGCCTCAACCCAGACAACGTGGACGCTGCCGAAAAAAGGCCCCCCACGAACAAAACTCGGGTTGACTACGAGTCCGAGATGCGGCTGAACGCAGCCAAGGTGGCCAAGTTGCGTTCGTTCAACCGCACGTCGGTGCCCATCGTGGTCGACAGCTCACGCTCGTTGAGCTCCGACGACGAGAGCCAGTGCCTAACGGTTGCGAAGCTGCGCTTTCTGGGCACCATCAGCGCGACGTACCAAACTACCCTCCAGGAGCTGATGCCATCGATCGACGGGATGCTCCAGAGCTACATGGACCAGTCGCCCACTGCCGCGATGAGCTCGCTTTCTGACTACGAGTTTTTGCTCAAGAGGTGCGGCGAATCCATCTCCAAGGAGAACTACCAGCACAACTGGGTGTTCCAGCTGGACTTCTTCGACCGCGACGATCCACTGTTCCGCCGAGCGGTCTACGCGTCGTTGCGCCGCAACGAGCCAGACAAGCAGAGGCTGCGCGCCTCGGTCACGGCTGCCATCGAGCAGCTGAAGCGCTCCCGCGTGCTGTACATCCAAATGCGTGTAATTTGATGTTATGAACGTGTGTTTTGTAGTTTCCACGTACTAGCGCGTTGGCTGGCGCTCCCCGATGTGCCTTTGTGGTGGTACTCGTCGTCAGTCGGCACACTCTGCTCTCGTTTCCTCGGCGGAAAAATGGACGCCGTGTCTGACGCGGTGGCTTCACTCACTGTGCGCGATCCTGCGCGCTCAGGCCGCGACTGGTATATCGTTGCCCACAGCAAGAAGGCACAGTTGTACCGATTCTCACCGCGCGGCGAGGATTCAACAGGTAATTCAGCCTAACGCTAAATTGTCAGCTTTTTGCAGAGGATTCTTGCACATTGGTGTGGGAGGAAAATGATATCACGCACTGCTACCCGAGCCACAGCGGCGCCGAGGTAGGCTTGGCCACCGTTTTCGTCACAGTGCGCAGGTTTGCATCGCCCGCGCCGGTTCGGCGTCTCTGGAAATTGTGGAAACCCTTACTCGATCGGTGAGAACCACCATCCCGCTGCCCGCTGGTAGGTTCGGCTGAGGTTTGGCGACATTGCTCAGATTGCACACTTTCGGGCGCGTTGTTCAGTCCTAAAGACAATTATCTCGTGGTGCACACCGCTTGGGCGGAGCACAATCCCAACAACTTGGTGATATACCGCCTGGAAGGTTAGTTCTCATGCACTTTGTCTCACGACCCTCAGGCTCGGAAGCCAGATCTGTCTATGCGATTCCTTACACAAAATCGTATTGCGTCAAGCGGTACCCTATCTGGACGCCGTGCGAAACGTACTGCGTGCTGCGTGTGGGCAACGACCTGCTGGTCTGGAAGAACGGCGACTTCAATGCCGAGGGTTCCGCCGGCAAGATCTCTCTGCCCGGTGGCGCCGAAGCGCCACAGGCCTTCCCCACCAACTCGATCATATCCGTGTCTCCGGTGGTAAGTTTAGCGTGACGTGCTATGTAGACTGTGTAATCGCTGTTCGTTTATGTTTTTATAACCACTGGATACGTTGACCTGCGTGCGGTTGTGCAATGTTCATTGACAACGGCTCATAGTTGCGCAGAGCAAGAGAGGCACGTGCTTCATTGCACTCTTCCTGCCGAACCAGCAGAAGTTTGCCGACGGTTTGGTAAAAATATACTCGACCCTGGACCTGCAAGCCCCAGTGTTCGAGCAACTGTTTTCGTCCGCGGAGGAAGGCGAGTTCTTTTGGAACCGCAATGGGACGGCTGCGATACTACGCACGTTCACCAACCATGTGAAAGGCCTGCAGTCTTACTACGGTGGCAACGGCCTCTTCCTGATCCACCCCATGAAGCCCCACTACAGGACCATGATGGAGCCCAGCAAGGGTCTCGCCCACGACGTCTCGTGGTCGCAGACGGCCAATGACGTGATCATCGTGAAGGGCAACATGCCCTCCGAGCTCGACATGTACGACGGCAACAACGGACACAAGTCTTTGACGTTCGGCCGCAGCAACCGCAACACCATTCGGCGGGACCCGTTCGACCGTCTGATGTTGGTCGCCGGCTTCGGCAACTCTAGCGGCGACATAGACATATGGGATCTGAAAAACAGGTGCAAGATTGCCCAGAGCAAGTCCAACTGCGCCGTTTTCTGCGAGTTCTCCCCCGACGGGCGCTACTTCGTCACTGCCACGACGGTGCCGCGCATGAAGGTGGACAACTGCTTCAAGATTTTCAGCTACGGTGGAAAGATGGTTCACAAGGTCGACCTCGATGGGCTCGCTAGCGTCAGAATCTGCGCTCCCGGCGCCACGTTCACCGAGCGCGAGCCGTCGCCCGGTGCGTGTTCGCTGCAGCAGACCGTGACCAAGTCATTGTACCGACCGCCCGGCTCGCGCGGCGACGGCTCTGCAGCCGTCCACATGCGTGTGGACACGCAGACGCTGGTGGCCACCCCCGTCAGCCGCAAGGATACCGCCGTCCTCAAGGGCCCCCCGGGGGCCGACATGACGCTGCTGAACGCCGCCGCCAAGGTCAGCCGCAGGAAGAAAGCCCAGAAAGGAGCTGCAACGAAGTGAATTAAGCCTAAAGTTTACAAAAACGTTGCAGACTTTGTTAATGATCAGGACAATCAGCAGGCCTCCGCGGCCAATCACTGTTGCTTGCACTGGACACGGCTGCTGTCGTGCTCCTCCTCCCGCTCTTGCTCCGCCTGCATTTGTGCGCGGATCCGATCTTGCAATTCCTCCGGGTCCACCTCTTGCGCCTGTGCGATCTCCACATTAGCGAGATTGTCTGCGGGCTGCTTGTCGCAGGGGAACAGCTGCAGCAGCCTATCCTTCTCCTGGGAGGAGAACACGCGTCCCACGGGGAATTCGACCTCGAAGGTGATGTACAGGTTGCCCTTGCTAAAGGCGCTTTTGTAGACGGGCATTCCCTCGTTCTCGACGACGAACATGGATCCCGGTTTGACCACCTCGTTCTGCGGCGTCTGCACGCGTACTATGCGTCCGTCCAGGTGCTTGATGTTGAAGCTGCATCCGGTCAGCGCCTCGTATAGTTTGATTGGCTTCACCATGATGAGGTCAGAGCCGCTGCGCTTGAATTCCTCATGCGGCACCTGGCAGATGATGAACACCACGTTGCCGGGGATCTCGTTTGGCCTCTCGTCGGCCTCGCCGTGGAAGGTGACCTTGTGCTGGTCCGGCACACCACGCTCGATGAGGACCTCCAGGATTTTCTTGGTGGGCTGCACACCCTTGCCCGAGCAGTTCTTGCACCTTCTGGAGTCGTCGATTGATTTGCCCTGTCCGCCGCAGGCGCTGCAGACGCACTGGGACTGCTGGATCATGGCACCCATCTGGCGGATCTGCACGCGAACACCACGTCCACCACAGTGGGCACACGAAATCAAAGCCTCACGCGGGCCTCCCAAACCGTCGCAGGAGTCGCAAATGATCTCCTTGTTTATGGCCAGCTTACGCATAGCACCGTTGTAGATCTGCTCGAGGGTGACCTTGAGCTGCGTGACCACGTCTTCGCCACGCTTTTTACCCTTCGGCTTGCGACCACCGCCGAAGAAGAGGTCGAAAATATCGGTGGCGTCGCCGGCGGAGAAGTTGCCGTCGAGGCCCTCCTCACCATGCTCGTCGTAGATCCTACGTTTCTCGGGGTCCGAAAGGATCTCGTAGGCTCTGGAAAGCTCCTTGAAAACTTCTGGGTCACCTCCCTTGTCCGGGTGGTGCTTGATAGCGAGTTTGTAGTACGCCTTCTTGATCTCTCCCTCCGAGCAGTCCCTGGAGAGACCCAGCGTTTTGTACAACTTTTCGTTGTCAACAGGCTACAAGCATGTAAGCGAACATCGCCACTGCACTAACCTCCCTAGACCGGTGATGCGGAATGCCTCCAGGCATTCCGCCCATGCCGAAGTCGCCGAAAAACATCTTGACTGAAACAGGTCGGCTGACTCTTGCGTATCTGCGCACACATGAAGCGACGCGTGAGACCCAGCAATTCGCTATTTCCGCAGCTAACACATATAAACGAATTCCTCCCTGGGGCACCCAGCGTGGAATCCGCTAATTTAATCCACTAGACATCGATGGACATCCGCGAGCACGTCTACAGCCGCATATCGCCACAACCATAGTATAGCGGTTCCACATAATACGCAGCTAGCAAAAAGCGCAAAGATAGCGATACTAAGCGGCATATGAAAGCACTGCGCTGCCGAGCGCGCGCAGAGAGAAGCTGGCCGACGTACCTCGTAAGAAGTGCAGTTGGTGACCGAAGTTTACTGCGATGTGGAAAAATGTTCGATTGGCAGTGACCTTCTGGTTTCAGAGTGCCGGCCAAGGCTTAAGTTCAGCGCGGCGTTGGGGGGCTTGACCCAAGGGTACTGTGGGAAGTAGGACAATACTGCAGCGCGATTTGCACTGCCAATTTCTGCGTTGCAACAAGCGCGGTGAACATTGGCCAATTGCTTTAGGTGTGTGCCAGCGGGACACAGTCATTGAGCGGCACGTAATCCGTGCATTGCCGTTACGGTGTGTTTCGCACACAGCGCTCTGCGCGTCGGCAAGCGTTGGCTTTGTAGCCACGCGTCGTTCCGCTTAATACAGTGAAGTCGATAGTTATTTCCCCGATAATTTCAGCTGTTGGCTCAGCGCGCTCCTTCTGTCGCAGCGCCACCTCTGCTGGAACGAAAGGCACTGATTCACGGAGAACATACTTTATACAGTCATTATATCGCGTATTTTACGAAGTATTACTTAAAATGTTAACGCTGTTTGCCGGTTTGCGACACGCTTAGGCTGCAGCAGCCACTCTGTGTGCTTCGTGGACAACATCCAGCGCCACAATGCAGCTATCGGCAACCACCTTCACCGGATCCTCCGTGTGCTCGTTAAGCGCGTCTATTATAAGCTGTCGTCCCCGTTCGTCGCTGCATACTGAAGCACAGGATCCAAGTGCGAGGGCCGCCTCGTGGCGTGCGATGGGTTCCTCTTCTGCGTTCTTCAAACACTGTAATAGTGCGTCACATGCAGCCATAGACTGCATCTGTCCCAGCACGAACGCGCATTCGTGTCTGAAAACTTCCGATATTTTGTCTCCCACTAGCGCCCCTCCTATGACGGCGGCGGCGGCGTCACCGCCAATGTTGCGAATGTTAAAAAGCGCCTCGTACCTCTTGTAGAGAGGCAGAGTTTCATCCAGCAATACGTCCTCCAACTCCTTCATGGTCCTCTCATTCATGTCAGTTGAAGTGCAGGGCACTGGGTCAACAGCGCGATACGCTGACGTTGATATGGGTGCAGACACGCAGCTGCATATGGGTATTGTCTCCTTGCCATCATCCTCTTCACTGGATCCATTCAGCAGAGAATGGAGAGCCAGTCGGCACGTGTCATGCACAACAACGCAAGGGTCATCTTTGTACTTCTCAATCTAACGGCTGATGAGACATGATGAATCAACATACCACATCGATGAACCGCTTTCCTCCGATTGCTGCTATCGCCTCCGCAGCCTGATAAAGTGTTGAATGCGTTATGCTTATTTATCACCAACCTCATGTCGCACCATAGGGTCCTCTTTTTCATCCTCGAGCAATTGGACGAGAACGTCCGACGCCTCCTCGCAGCCCGCCTGGCCAATAACATAGGCGATCTCATGCCTATACGCAATGAGTATTGATTTTGGATAAGTGTCGCGTGGTCATAACTTTAGACATACCTCAGGAAGGCGTCATAGTGTACGTCTAGAGCCTTCTTCAGCAGCGTGGCGCATTCCGATGAATTCAGATCACGGCAGAAATAGAGCGCTCGGAGTTGCAGCGAGAGTTTTACACTCGGATGGAGTAGTATTGTGGTTAGAAGTTCGGCGTTTGGCTTGGAAAACTCGTCCAACTTCGAGAACTCCTCCACCGCCGCTGCGATATCGGCCATTATAGCAACGACTTCCAATATTATTTGCGTTATGCGGTTGGAATTTTTGCGATAAATATTATTTAATGCAATAAAAGGAGATCATAATGCTCCAACGGAGGCCGGTCAGGTCGCCATATAGCGCTATCGCCAAACCACTAAATGTGCTGAATAAAAGGCGCAGTGAATCGGCTGTATTGTAAAGCCGTACAATACGTTTAGGTGTGATTGTTTTGAACGCTTCAAGCATTCAACACCGCGATTAAATCCCATCACGTGATCATATTTATGCTGGAATCACCTGAAGCGTGATTCCTAGGCGAGAGCAATAACAGACCTTAAAAACCCTGTTAATTAAGCGCTGCTAGGAACAACAATGACGCTACGGTTAGGGCAATGGGCCTAATAAATGTAAAAACCGATGTGTAGAAGGGCTACGATTCACCTCCCGATGATAACAATCAAATCCTTACTCAACTCGACTTACATATGTCGCAATCCGTAACGCATATAGATTGAGTTAAGCGTGCTTTAAATTTCATCCAGAAACGGTAGAACTTTTCACGTGGTAATAAATAATTGTGGATCTATGCTGGACAATAGCTCCACTACATATCTAACGCGCAAGTCGCATGAGTACGAACTTTTGTCCATCTAATAACTCGTACCATTCGGTGTACTTTGAAAAAGCATGGGTGACGATCCACATTGAAGCGAACAACGTACATGCAAGACAAACGACTACAATGTTATACATATAGTTTGGCTTACTAAGCGCACTATTTTGCAAAATCTATTTAATATAATATTGTGTTTAAACTCTGTTATATACCTCTAAAACGTGTATGCTATTTTGACGAAGCACTGCCCTCGTCTTTACAAAAATTTACCGCTCACCACTTTAAATCGGCCTGAATAAAAGTGTTAAATACTTCACCGTAATGTCATTCAATGCATCACGGTTGGATTCGACAATGTCACGGACATTGTAGACTTTTGGAGCGCTTGAGAAATACAGATGATCTCGACCCCGGAACCGAATTGGGTTAAAAGGGTTTCAGAAGTTAAACCACTTTCAGCATATTTTTCTGAATAACCAGTACCATATCTCCAGGTGTTTATTCACTTCGAAGGCTTTTGTTGGGTTGATAGACCCGGAAAATGTATACGACCCCATGCCTTCTTGCTACTCGCATTAACTTCCGTAAATGCCTCAGTATTACCATCTGCTGGGCTGCCGAAAGTTGTCTAGGCCACCAACCCTACCATCACCATTCTTAATTGCGATGAAAAATCTAATGGTATATAGTGATCATCTGAAGTACTTGGTCGGGAACTTGATATTACGAGCCGCATCGGTTATTTTGCTAGTATCCAAGATGTTCTTGAAGAACTTTTTGTAGCCACCATTCGAAGATTCCTCTTTTTCATCGTCGTCTACTTTCTCCGCTTCAGGCTCTTGTTCTTCAGTTTCTTCCTCCTCTTCACCCTCTGCAGCGCCAGCAGGTTCTTCCTGTGCACCTTGGGAACCTTTTGATGGAGCATCAGCGTTTTGTTGCACAGCCTCGGCCTCATCATTTTCATTAGGTAGAGGAGTATCTTCGGCTTCGTCTTTTCCATCACCTTCCGTTACAGCCTGGTTCTCCATGACATCGAGAACGGGTTCAAGCAACGCATCCGCCGTTGACAAGTCGCCCATTATGTCCTCTTCTGAGAGGTGTGAATGACGCACATTTTGAGTATCTTTTCGGAAAATGCTCTTTTTCAATACGTTGCCAATTTTGTCCTTCACCTTACCGAATACGGACTGCTCCTCCACGACGGGCTCTGTTTTTTCAATGACAGCGGGCACTTCAATCTCGTAAGCCTCTTTGCTCGTGTCTTTACCGGTGAACAAGCTTTTCACCTTTCCAAACCAACGCTTGTACCACGGTTGCTGTTTAACTCCGGAGAGGTTGTCAACAAGCGTCTTGATGACCATGGTTGAGAAACGGTAGGCAAAGAATGGAAGAGCAGGAATTTGACTGGCCATGTAGTGCCTGTAACCGTAAGTCAAAGGACGGATGATGTTCATGTCGTTCGCTGCCAGATCGCTGGGTTTGTTGCTTTCTACAATTTTCTTCAAAGACCTTCGGATCTTAGGGCCTAAAATGTACTTCGCCAGAGCGATTTTGTTAAAGATTTTGGCGTTGATGGCATCCAGCGACAAATAGGTCTTGTAGTATATGGCAGTCATGTAGAAGTACTTCTGCACAAAGGCATGCAAAGCACTCACATCCCCCTCCTCGAACAAATTGCGCCTCAAAACATTGAGGCTAAAGCTATTGTACGCACCGTAACGACCTTCCCTGCTGAAGCGCATCCAGAACCTGTCCAGCCAGCGCTTGCTCGCGTTGCGGCGACAGTTCTTGAACAAAACGAAGGCAGCATGAAGCTGGTATGGGTCGGGCAGGATAAGCTGCTGGAATGTCTTGTTTTGCGGGTAACCGACGGCATCGATGCTGAGGCAGTCACCTTCCTTGCAACGTGCAACGTAGGTAGATATTCTCGATGCGCAGTGCGCCTCATCCTTGCTGCCTTGGCACATTGCGGCAGTGGTACTGTCTGTAATAAGACCGATCTCTTCCTGCATGGCCTTCTCAATGTGTTCGCCCTCTTCAACAAGCTCCTTGGTAGCCTGGTCGACGTCAACTTCAGGCACAATAGGGCCCTCAGGAGCCATGATCATGGCATGCTGGTCATAGCGCAGCGAGAACGCAGACCGCAGCGACAGTGCGCAAAATGCGATAAGCAACAAGCTATAGTTAGCCATAATTAAAGGGCACGATTTCGTTTGACTACTTTACGATGCCTAGACAGGCCTTGATTAGGAAGTTAACGGTGCAGACACACACCAATGTTTATAGCACAGCTATAAACACACAAATGTGAACTTAAATATAAGTTATGTCAACAGCTTCAATGAAGCGTCTGAAGAACAGTCATTCGTTAACATGGGCTGCACATATTCTGCACCTGGCATACGATGAGTCGATGCACCAAAGTGCAATAACATAAATAGACAGCGTACGTCGGCCAAATGGAAGGATAGATGCCTGATTCGGCCCATTCTTGACATTAATTTGCAATGTGCAATATAATTGAGATTAATCCTGGCCATCTGAATGACGGCTGGTTATAGTTGACTCAAATCTCGTCTAACTAAACATAACATTCATTGATATCTCTTATACTGCATTACGTGATACAATTTTCATTTGAAATCTATGTGTAGCATTATTCAGCAGCTTGTGGTTGCTTTTACCCGTGGTGTGTGAGGTTGTTGTACAAGCCGTCCATGAAATCATTAGACACCGCTGGTCAACTCTGTCTTATGCTTCTCCGACGTATCTACCAATTGTGCCGTATTTTTAATCAAATTATTTATAGTCTATAAAACCAGTATTCACACATCATGCGTAGATATTACGCCGCGGTGATTTCGCGTTGCCTCAGAATTATTACTATGCCAATAGGCACGGACATTATAGCACACTAAAATTGCGTATGACGCGCGGTTTTTCTATACTAAGAGTTATGTTGCTTATCGTAGGATATACCCTTCGTGCTCCTACGTTATGAGGGGCAGCTTAATATTGATTTTAAAAAACTGAGATCCTTATCACGTTTTTACATTATAGACATCATGTTAGACCTATAAACTAAGTTGGACACTAGACTCGATGAAATGGATTTTAGCACAAGAGTCTTATAATCGTTATTCCATCAATGCGGATATCGCGCTCGGAAACACCACATTAATAAGAGCATTAAGACTCTCGTCATGCCATATCCTCCGCGCAAATGCGACGCAGTAATATCACGTGTTCGTCTTATATGAATGTGTAAACTCAGGCAACGCAATTTTGAAGTACGATGGAAATTCAGAATTGAAATTTTTCAATTAGCGATTATGTGAACAACACTAGTTGTTCACGCTACAGCTGACGCGATCCTACGCTTCAGTAGCATCGGTGGAGTCGTCACTCTTTACGCCATCAGTAACCTCGTAACCGACACCATCAACCCAGTTGTGCTGTTTGTGTAGGTTGGGTTCTTTCCAATCTTGTTCAACATAATTAGCACGTTTTCCACCGATTTATTTGTCTCACCTCGTAGGCAATGCGTACAGCAACCTGAAATGCTCGCCCTCGAGGGCTAGTGTGTGGCCACACACTGAGCTTCTCAATCGTGTCTAATTGGAAGTTGAGTTCGATGACTCTGCTGGGTACCGTATACGTTGTGTGGGCATTACTAAGTGGATTTTATTTATTTTAAACGCTCGTCTCAGCGTTGTCACTAGTTTATGGAAAAGTGTCCACATGAAATTTATCTCACCTCGTTATAGTCGGCTCGCTCTGATGTGTTGACTTAACGCGTCCTCCTTCATGCGCAACTTACGCCTAATGGCGCATCTGCTTTAGCCCTGTTCGCCCACGTCATGCGTAAATTATGGCCATATATATGATGGCCTATGAAAATCATAGTGCTGGCGTATTGGGTTTGCATTTCTCTATTAACGGGGCTATGTGATTTTCCTGAAGCCTTTGGGCGCACTTGCGGGCCTTCACCGTCGGGCATGGCTCTTAACGCCTCCGAGTTTTACTACGTTCGACTCCTCGTCGATACAGTGACCTAACACCAGCTTCGCGCATTAATCGCCTCGCTAATCCGCAGTCTGTATAACACGCGCAACCTAGGTGCCCTCTCCTATTGCGAACACGCTCAACATCACACGCCGATGATGCAAGGAGTGGCAGCGGCAGCCAACGTGCATAAGCGCCTTTAAAACGTCTCGGGTATGCCACATTGTCGGACATTGCAAATACATCCACACGCAATCAGCACACGACACAAAAACACGCAAACGTCATAAAATGACCACAACTGCCCCGAGAGCTTGCCAATCAAATGCGGTTAGCATGCCTTAGCGCGGTTCGCTCGACACAGTAGAGCCTCACAAGACATACTGGATATACATATGGAAATCATGATTTACCAATGAGAGGTTAGTGACTATAGTGGTGTACATCTCTTATTGTTTCCAAAATCACAATGCCCAAATAGACACGCGCAATCTACATAAGCGCTGATATGACCCACAATTGCTCGGTTCATCGCATGCCAAATTCCCGTGAGAATATTATATAATAGGCAACCAAATGTGGCTGCCAGTGACATCGCTTACATTCTAGATGAGCGGTAGAAATAAAACCTGCGCTGCGCTATTTTACCCCTAACGGTGCTTCATGCGATAAGGGCTTCCCAAGAAACCGTGACTTCATTCTATCCTTAAACGTGACGGATTGGCCTCGACTTTTCTCAGTGACTGCGTTCCTGAACTTAGTCTGACGATCAGCTGCCTGACTATCGGAAGAGGAATCCCGTGTTCTATGGCCAGAGCTCTGCTCCCTGAAGGAGCACCCTCTGCTTCCAACCTTCTCTTAGCTGAGGCACCAAACGAGTTCATGAGTTTACCTGACACATAGCCGTATACACCCTTAAATGCGCCAAACACTGGCATCACGTATTTCCTGTAAAAGTTTTTCCACGGTTCCAGCTTGTGATCCTTTGCTCTTAACTCCATGTGGCGAGTGTTGCTGATGGACGATCTAAGTGCAATGAAGACAACTGAAGAATATAAGTCCGCAAATCGCTGATGATTGGCCCGGAACGAGTTTAGGTAAGCAGCGAAATTTTTTACGTACGGTTCAATCGCACTTACAGGCGTCCCTATAGCGGACTTTGGTGCAGTCTGCACAATTATTTGAACCAGAGATCGTTCAATTTTGTCCACAAAGACAAAATGCGATAAGTCAGTCAAATTCTGGAGTTTTACTTTCCAGTTCTCCAGCATCAAATACGTTTTGTATTGAACAGCTGCCATGAAAAGATATTTCTTCATAAACGCCTCAAAATCGTTTGACGCCCCTTCTTCCACGTTTGCCAGCATGAGCTGCAAAATAAAGTCGCGGTAAGCAGTGTAGCGTCCTCCTTTCTGGAATCGGGCTAGAATGCCGCGCAAAGGCCGGAATGGAAATGCAGGGCTTCTTTTATACAGCTCGAAGGCGCAATCCATTTGAAATTTATTCGGTAACGGCACACCAGTGCTACCAGAGACCTCTATACTCTCCATATCGATATGCAAACAGTCCCCATCCTCGCACCGAACCATGTAGGGTTCCGCGGCGGAACGACAAGCTTCCATTTCGTTCCTGTGCGCCTTGCAAACAGAATCGATAACTACTGCAGTGAAATAGGCTGCAGATTGAGACATGGCTTTATTCAGCCTCTGACGGGCACGCGACACGTTGGCGACTGCATCTTCATGTCCCAGTGATTCGGATGGCATGCCACCGCTCACGTCGGTAGACAAGCGCGACGTACGATTAGATACACCGAACACAAGGGGCACAAACAGCGTAGCATACAATGCTAACACGCGCATAATGCGCTTCAAACCAGCTGCCATCACGACTTCCGCAATGTCGTATATAACCTAAAGACCTATCAGTGTGTTAAGTATACCCCGCACGAATCTGGCTGTAAGGACGGAAACAGGCGCTGAAATTTCATACCTCATACAATAAGGTACAGTACATTGTGATATATTCGACGCAGAAGGCCTCGCAACACGTGCCTACCGATATAGTTGACGGTAAGACACGTTGATGCAGAAAAGTGCGAAACGTCGCACATTGGTTTAAAACATCAGAACAAAAAGCAGACACATCTCTAACGTGATTGCAAAACATAGGCAATCGCAACATTGTGTAGCAATATTCAAAGGCCTCTTTTCTCTATTGCGCCGATGTGTCTAACAGCCGCATTCTTACACACCTTTGCCGCAGACATCGACGCCGTGGTCAATAGCTCTCGTTCGCTCAACATAGAAATCTGTGAAAACCAAATATGCTCACGAAAGTGAATGCAATGTATGGTCTCTTAAGTCGGTGCTCTTTAATGCTGGCTGTCGGGTAGGAATCACACGCACATATGAAATTAAAAATTCTGGGCGTGTTAATCAAATACACATTGCTCAACGTTACGGCTCGCGCATTACTCAGCCATTTCAGGTTATCTTCTTGCGGCGTAGGAGGAACGCGTTCTACGTGTAACCATTCAGGATAGCGCATGTAGCAAATCACAGTACACCAACGAGACTCTCGTCATGCCATATCCTCCGCGCAAATGCGACGCAGTAATATCACGTGTTCGTCTTATATGAATGTGTAAACTCAGGCAACGCAATTTTGAAGTACGATGGAAATTCAGAATTGAAATTTTTCAATTAGCGATTATGTGAACAACACTAGTTGTTCACGCTACAGCTGACGCGATCCTACGCTTCAGTAGCATCGGTGGAGTCGTCACTCTTTACGCCATCAGTAACCTCGTAACCGGCACCATCAACCCAGTTGTGCTGTTTGTGTAGGTTGGGTTCTTTCCAATCTTGTTCAACATAATCGCCAGGAACACGAGTTTCTTCCGCTGATTCGCTCAATGATTCCTCAGCGGATTCGTATCCTGATTCGTCCGATGACTCGTCAGACGATTCCTCAGCAGTTTCGTATCCTGATTCGTCCGATGATTCATCACCATTCTTTATAGCGTACTTGGACTTGACCTTGTGAACAACGTGCTCAACAGCACCCTTAGCCTTCGAAAGATAATGAGGAATCTTCTCACGTAACAGCTGCTCACTCGGCTCCTTGATTTTAGCTGTCAAACTATTTATGCCCTTAGCAACCTGCTTAACTCCGTGACCTATAGCGGACCTGATAGCCTCACCCTTGGCTTCGGGGACAACCTTTCTGTACACGCCCCTAATGGGCTGCGCCACATGCTTCACCACGGCGTTGGACGACTGGTTGAACAAACCCAATATGAACTCCTTGAACTTGTTGTACCATTTCTTGTATGCAGGCATGTGAACGTAATCGCTGACGGTCCTCAAAAGGGTCTCAGTAGCCATCTTGGAGAAACGGTCGGCGAAGGATGGAAGAGCAGGTACCTGATTCAACATGTATGCGCTGTAGCCGCCAGATATCTGGCGAATGCGAGCCTCAGGGTGGATTCCAAGGTCCACAGGAAGGTTCTCTCTAACCAGACGCTTCAACGCCTTCCTGATACCGAAACCGAACAGCTGAGTCGTGAAAGCAAGCTTGTTGAAGAACTTCGCTTTACCAAGGTCAACATTGAGGTAGGTCTTGTAGTACAGAGTAGTCATGTAGAAGTACTGCGATGCGAAGTTCTCAACATCATCGATCTCAGGGTTGCGAATAATATTCTTCTTCGCCAAGCTAATGAGGAAATGGTGGTAGTCGCCGTGGCTGCTCCTTGAACGCATCCAGAAGCGCTTCACTTCATTCTTGGCGGGGTTAGAATCACATTCTCTGAAAAGCATGAATGCCGCGTCCAACTGGTATTGATTTGGCAGACTCAATGGCTTGTAATCCACGCTGTCAATCGTCAGACAATCGCCCTCATCGCAACGGTCGACGTAATCAAACACGCTTTTACGGCAGGTGGTGCTTCCGGCATCCTTTCTGCAAACTACATCTACTATACTCTCCTTAACGTTCGTCAACTGATCCTTCATGTCTTTGTTGATACGGCTAGCCTCAAGGTCTGCATTAACAACCTCGTTGGCTTCCAACAATGTCTTAGACACGTCGCCGATCACCTCAGGTGACATCACGGCCGAACGGTGGTAGTGGCGCATAGCCAAACCGCTCCTTGCTACGAGCAAGAGCGCTCCAAAGCACACACCCACGAAGCTTCTCATCGTAAAGCGAGACGGGGACATTGCCGACAAAACGTTATAAGACAACGTTATATAGCATACGATAGTGACAGCAGAACGTATATACGAATCTGCAAAAAAATAGAAAGTTAACGGAAAAAACGGCACGGCCGATCTAATTCCGCCTTCAGAGTCACGTATTAACTGTCTTTATGCGCCAATGTGCCATATTCTCACACATACGCGATGCACCTGTCTAAAACACGTATTACTGCAGACAAGTGCGATGCAGTGAGGATAGACGACCGGCGATGTAGACAACCGCTCTATGTGTCAAACATCGCATAATATGCTACTGCTCATACGCTCTTCGCAACCTTTGGCGTTAACTTCTGCCCATATTGCGTTAGGCGCTCAGTCACCGCCTCTTTCGCGCATGGACGGGCCCAGTTTAAGGCATCATTACATATATTGGTACATGATTAGCACGTTTTCCACCGATTTATTTGTCTCACCTCGTAGGCAATGCGTACAGCAACCTGAAATGCTCGCCCTCGAGGGCTAGTGTGTGGCCACACACTGAGCTTCTCAATCGTGTCTAATTGGAAGTTGAGTTCGAGATGACTCTGCTGGGTACCGTATACGTTGTGTGGGCATTACTAAGTGGATTTTATTTATTTTAAACGCTCGTCTCAGCGTTGTCACTAGTTTATGGAAAAGTGTCCACATGAAATTTATCTCACCTCGTTATAGTCGGCTCGCTCTGATGTGTTGACTTAACGCGTCCTCCTTCATGCGCAACTTACGCCTAATGGCGCATCTGCTTTAGCCCTGTTCGCCCACGTCATGCGTAAATTATGGCCATATATATGATGGCCTATGAAAATCATAGTGCTGGCGTATTGGGTTTGCATTTCTCTCTATTAACGGGGCTATGTGATTTTCCTGAAGCCTTTGGGCGCACTTGCGGGCCTTCACCGTCGGGCATGGCTCTTAACGCCTCCGAGTTTTACTACGTTCGACTCCTCGTCGATACAGTGACCTAACACCAGCTTCGCGCATTAATCGCCTCGCTAATCCGCAGTCTGTATAACACGCGCAACCTAGGTGCCCTCTCCTATTGCGAACACGCTCAACATCACACGCCGATGATGCAAGGAGTGGCAGCGGCAGCCAACGTGCATAAGCGCCTTTAAAACGTCTCGGGTATGCCACATTGTCGGACATTGCAAATACATCCACACGCAATCAGCACACGACACAAAAACACGCAAACGTCATAAAAATGACCACAACTGCCCCGAGAGCTTGCCAATCAAATGCGGTTAGCATGCCTTAGCGCGGTTCGCTCGACACAGTAGAGCCTCACAAGACATACTGGATATACATATGGAAATCATGATTTACCAATGAGAGGTTAGTGACTATAGTGGTGTACATCTCTTATTGTTTCCAAAATCACAATGCCCAAATAGACACGCGCAATCTACATAAGCGCTGATATGACCCACAATTGCTCGGTTCATCGCATGCCAAATTCCCGTGAGAATATTATATAATAGGCAACCAAATGTGGCTGCCAGTGACATCGCTTACATTCTAGATGAGCGGTAGAAATAAAAACCTGCGCTGCGCTATTTTACCCCCCTAACGGTGCTTCATGCGATAAGGGCTTCCCAAGAAACCGTGACTTCATTCTATCCTTAAACGTGACGGATTGGCCTCGACTTTTCTCAGTGACTGCGTTCCTGAACTTAGTCTGACGATCAGCTGCCTGACTATCGGAAGAGGAATCCCCGTGTTCTATGGCCAGAGCTCTGCTCCCTGAAGGAGCACCCTCTGCTTCCAACCTTCTCTTAGCTGAGGCACCAAACGAGTTCATGAGTTTACCTGACACATAGCCGTATACACCCTTAAATGCGCCAAACACTGGCATCACGTATTTCCTGTAAAAGTTTTTCCACGGTTCCAGCTTGTGATCCTTTGCTCTTAACTCCATGTGGCGAGTGTTGCTGATGGACGATCTAAGTGCAATGAAGACAACTGAAGAATATAAGTCCGCAAATCGCTGATGATTGGCCCGGAACGAGTTTAGGTAAGCAGCGAAATTTTTTACGTACGGTTCAATCGCACTTACAGGCGTCCCTATAGCGGACTTTGGTGCAGTCTGCACAATTATTTGAACCAGAGATCGTTCAATTTTGTCCACAAAGACAAAATGCGATAAGTCAGTCAAATTCTGGAGTTTTACTTTCCAGTTCTCCAGCATCAAATACGTTTTGTATTGAACAGCTGCCATGAAAAGATATTTCTTCATAAACGCCTCAAAATCGTTTGACGCCCCTTCTTCCACGTTTGCCAGCATGAGCTGCAAAATAAAGTCGCGGTAAGCAGTGTAGCGTCCTCCTTTCTGGAATCGGGCTAGAATGCCGCGCAAAGGCCGGAATGGAAATGCAGGGCTTCTTTTATACAACTCGAAGGCGCAATCCATTTGAAATTTATTCGGTAACGGCACACCAGTGCTACCAGAGACCTCTATACTCTCCATATCGATATGCAAACAGTCCCCATCCTCGCACCGAACCATGTAGGGTTCCGCGGCGGAACGACAAGCTTCCATTTCGTTCCTGTGCGCCTTGCAAACAGAATCGATAACTACTGCAGTGAAATAGGCTGCAGATTGAGACATGGCTTTATTCAGCCTCTGACGGGCACGCGACACGTTGGCGACTGCATCTTCATGTCCCAGTGATTCGGATGGCATGCCACCGCTCACGTCGGTAGACAAGCGCGACGTACGATTAGATACACCGAACACAAGGGGCACAAACAGCGTAGCATACAATGCTAACACGCGCATAATGCGCTTCAAACCAGCTGCCATCACGACTTCCGCAATGTCGTATATAACCTAAAGACCTATCAGTGTGTTAAGTATACCCCGCACGAATCTGGCTGTAAGGACGGAAACAGGCGCTGAAATTTCATACCTCATACAATAAGGTACAGTACATTGTGATATATTCGACGCAGAAGGCCTCGCAACACGTGCCTACCGATATAGTTGACGGTAAGACACGTTGATGCAGAAAAGTGCGAAACGTCGCACATTGGTTTAAAACATCAGAACAAAAAGCAGACACATCTCTAACGTGATTGCAAAACATAGGCAATCGCAACATTGTGTAGCAATATTCAAAGGCCTCTTTTCTCTATTGCGCCGATGTGTCTAACAGCCGCATTCTTACACACCTTTGCCGCAGACATCGACGCCGTGGTCAATAGCTCTCGTTCGCTCAACATAGAAATCTGTGAAAACCAAATATGCTCACGAAAGTGAATGCAATGTATGGTCTCTTAAGTCGGTGCTCTTTAATGCTGGCTGTCGGGTAGGAATCACACGCACATATGAAATTAAAAATTCTGGGCGTGTTAATCAAATACACATTGCTCAACGTTACGGCTCGCGCATTACTCAGCCATTTCAGGTTATCTTCTTGCGGCGTAGGAGGAACGCGTTCTACGTGTAACCATTCAGGATAGCGCATGTAGCAAATCACAGTACACCAACGAGACTCTCGTCATGCCATATCCTCCGCGCAAATGCGACGCAGTAATATCACGTGTCCGTCTTATATGAATGTGTAAACTCAGGCAACGCAATTTTGAAGTACGATGGAAATTCAGAATTGAAATTTTTCAATTAGCGATTATATGAACACTATTTGTTCACGCTACAGCTGAAACGATCCTACGCTTCAGCAATGTCGGCTTCAGTTTCTGCGATCTGCTGGCTCTCATCGACCTTGCCCGCCATCTCGGCATCACCAATCTCCTCCACATTACTCTTCTCCTCTGCATTAACCGACTCAACCAATTTCTCTTCAGCGACCTCACCGTCACCTTCCACAGAATCGTTAGACTGCACGTTTTCCGCTGCAGCTTCTTCCGATGGTTCCTCGCCCTTTTCCTTTATCGCCGGGACGGACTTAACTTTGTTAACAAGGTGCTCAACGGCACCCTTAGCCTTCGAAAGATAATGAGGGAGCCTCTCACGCAGCAGTTCCTTGCTAGGCTCCTTAATCTTCTTAGCCAGACCATGGACGCTACTCGCAATCTGCTTGGCACTTTGACCTACGGCAGTCTTGATAGCCTGCCTAGCATCCTCGGGAACAACCTTTGCGTATATAGCCCGCACGGGTTCCGAGACGTGTTTCATTATCAACTTAGCAGGGTCGGTAAAGAAACCCAATATGAACTCCTTGAACTTGTTGTACCATTTCTTGTACGCAGGCATGTGAACGTAATCGCTGACGGTCCTCAAAAGAGTCTCAGTAGCCATCTTGGAGAAACGGTCGGCGAAGGATGTCATCGCAGGAACCTGGGTCAACATGTATGCGCCGTAGCCGCCAGATATCTGGCGAATGCGAGCCTCAGGGTGGATTCCAAGGTCCACAGGAAGGTTCTCTCTAACCAGACGCTTCAACGCCTTCCTGATACCGAAACCGAACAGCTGAGTCGTGAAAGCAAGCTTGTTGAAGAACTTCGCTTTACCAAGGTCAACATTGAGGTAGGTCTTGTAGTACAGAGTAGTCATGTAGAAGTACTGCGATGCGAAGTTCTCAACATCATCGATCTCAGGGTTGCGAATAATATTCTTCTTCGCCAAGCTAATGAGGAAATGGTGGTAGTCGCCGTGGCTGCTCCTTGAACGCATCCAGAAGCGCTTCACTTCATTCTTGGCGGGGTTAGAATCACATTCTCTGAAAAGCATGAATGCCGCGTCCAACTGGTATTGATTTGGCAGACTCAATGGCTTGTAATCCACGCTGTCAATCGTCAGACAATCGCCCTCATCGCAACGGTTAACATACGCAATCACGTGCTCGCCGCAGGTGGCACTTCCAGCATCCTTTCTGCATACATCACCTACAATACTCTCCTTCACCTTAGCCAACTGATCCTTCATGTCTTTGTTTACCTGCGTGGCCTCAAGGTCAGCATTAACAACCTCGTTGGCTTCCAACAATGTCTTAGACACGTCGCCGATCACCTCAGGTGACATCACGGCCGAACGGTGGTAGTGGCGCATAGCCAAACCGCTCCTTGCTACGAGCAAGAGCGCTCCAAAGCACACACCCACGAAGCTTCTCATCGTAAAGCGAGACGGGGACATTGCCGACAAAACGTTATAAGACAACGTTATATAGCATACGATAGTGACAGCAGAACGTATATACGAATCTGCAAAAAAATAGAAAGTTAACGGAAAAAACGGCACGGCCGATCTAATTCCGCCTTCAGAGTCACGTATTAACTGTCTTTATGCGCCAATGTGCCATATTCTCACACATACGCGATGCACCTGTCTAAAACACGTATTACTGCAGACAAGTGCGATGCAGTGAGGATAGACGACCGGCGATGTAGACAACCGCTCTATGTGTCAAACATCGCATAATATGCTACTGCTCATACGCTCTTCGCAACCTTTGGCGTTAACTTCTGCCCATATTGCGTTAGGCGCTCAGTCACCGCCTCTTTCGCGCATGGACGGGCCCAGTTTAAGGCATCATTACATATATTGGTACATGATTAGCACGTTTTCCACCGATTTATTTGTCTCACCTCGTAGGCAATGCGTACAGCAACCTGAAATGCTCGCCCTCGAGGGCTAGTGTGTGGCCACACACTGAGCTTCTCAATCGTGTCTAATTGGAAGTTGAGTTCGAGATGACTCTGCTGGGTACCGTATACGTTGTGTGGGCATTACTAAGTGGATTTTATTTATTTTAAACGCTCGTCTCAGCGTTGTCACTAGTTTATGGAAAAGTGTCCACATGAAATTTATCTCACCTCGTTATAGTCGGCTCGCTCTGATGTGTTGACTTAACGCGTCCTCCTTCATGCGCAACTTACGCCTAATGGCGCATCTGCTTTAGCCCTGTTCGCCCACGTCATGCGTAAATTATGGCCATATATATGATGGCCTATGAAAATCATAGTGCTGGCGTATTGGGTTTGCATTTCTCTCTATTAACGGGGCTATGTGATTTTCCTGAAGCCTTTGGGCGCACTTGCGGGCCTTCACCGTCGGGCATGGCTCTTAACGCCTCCGAGTTTTACTACGTTCGACTCCTCGTCGATACAGTGACCTAACACCAGCTTCGCGCATTAATCGCCTCGCTAATCCGCAGTCTGTATAACACGCGCAACCTAGGTGCCCTCTCCTATTGCGAACACGCTCAACATCACACGCCGATGATGCAAGGAGTGGCAGCGGCAGCCAACGTGCATAAGCGCCTTTAAAACGTCTCGGGTATGCCACATTGTCGGACATTGCAAATACATCCACACGCAATCAGCACACGACACAAAAACACGCAAACGTCATAAAATGACCACAACTGCCCCGAGAGCTTGCCAATCAAATGCGGTTAGCATGCCTTAGCGCGGTTCGCTCGACACAGTAGAGCCTCACAAGACATACTGGATATACATATGGAAATCATGATTTACCAATGAGAGGTTAGTGACTATAGTGGTGTACATCTCTTATTGTTTCCAAAATCACAATGCCCAAATAGACACGCGCAATCTACATAAGCGCTGATATGACCCACAATTGCTCGGTTCATCGCATGCCAAATTCCCGTGAGAATATTATATAATAGGCAACCAAATGTGGCTGCCAGTGACATCGCTTACATTCTAGATGAGCGGTAGAAATAAAACCTGCGCTGCGCTATTTTACCCCCCTAACGGTGCTTCATGCGATAAGGGCTTCCCAAGAAACCGTGACTTCATTCTATCCTTAAACGTGACGGATTGGCCTCGACTTTTCTCAGTGACTGCGTTCCTGAACTTAGTCTGACGATCAGCTGCCTGACTATCGGAAGAGGAATCCCGTGTTCTATGGCCAGAGCTCTGCTCCCTGAAGGAGCACCCTCTGCTTCCAACCTTCTCTTAGCTGAGGCACCAAACGAGTTCATGAGTTTACCTGACACATAGCCGTATACACCCTTAAATGCGCCAAACACTGGCATCACGTATTTCCTGTAAAAGTTTTTCCACGGTTCCAGCTTGTGATCCTTTGCTCTTAACTCCATGTGGCGAGTGTTGCTGATGGACGATCTAAGTGCAATGAAGACAACTGAAGAATATAAGTCCGCAAATCGCTGATGATTGGCCCGGAACGAGTTTAGGTAAGCAGCGAAATTTTTTACGTACGGTTCAATCGCACTTACAGGCGTCCCTATAGCGGACTTTGGTGCAGTCTGCACAATTATTTGAACCAGAGATCGTTCAATTTTGTCCACAAAGACAAAATGCGATAAGTCAGTCAAATTCTGGAGTTTTACTTTCCAGTTCTCCAGCATCAAATACGTTTTGTATTGAACAGCTGCCATGAAAAGATATTTCTTCATAAACGCCTCAAAATCGTTTGACGCCCCTTCTTCCACGTTTGCCAGCATGAGCTGCAAAATAAAGTCGCGGTAAGCAGTGTAGCGTCCTCCTTTCTGGAATCGGGCTAGAATGCCGCGCAAAGGCCGGAATGGAAATGCAGGGCTTCTTTTATACAACTCGAAGGCGCAATCCATTTGAAATTTATTCGGTAACGGCACACCAGTGCTACCAGAGACCTCTATACTCTCCATATCGATATGCAAACAGTCCCCATCCTCGCACCGAACCATGTAGGGTTCCGCGGCGGAACGACAAGCTTCCATTTCGTTCCTGTGCGCCTTGCAAACAGAATCGATAACTACTGCAGTGAAATAGGCTGCAGATTGAGACATGGCTTTATTCAGCCTCTGACGGGCACGCGACACGTTGGCGACTGCATCTTCATGTCCCAGTGATTCGGATGGCATGCCACCGCTCACGTCGGTAGACAAGCGCGACGTACGATTAGATACACCGAACACAAGGGGCACAAACAGCGTAGCATACAATGCTAACACGCGCATAATGCGCTTCAAACCAGCTGCCATCACGACTTCCGCAATGTCGTATATAACCTAAAGACCTATCAGTGTGTTAAGTATACCCCGCACGAATCTGGCTGTAAGGACGGAAACAGGCGCTGAAATTTCATACCTCATACAATAAGGTACAGTACATTGTGATATATTCGACGCAGAAGGCCTCGCAACACGTGCCTACCGATATAGTTGACGGTAAGACACGTTGATGCAGAAAAGTGCGAAACGTCGCACATTGGTTTAAAACATCAGAACAAAAGCAGACACATCTCTAACGTGATTGCAAAACATAGGCAATCGCAACATTGTGTAGCAATATTCAAAGGCCTCTTTTCTCTATTGCGCCGATGTGTCTAACAGCCGCATTCTTACACACCTTTGCCGCAGACATCGACGCCGTGGTCAATAGCTCTCGTTCGCTCAACATAGAAATCTGTGAAAACCAAATATGCTCACGAAAGTGAATGCAATGTATGGTCTCTTAAGTCGGTGCTCTTTAATGCTGGCTGTCGGGTAGGAATCACACGCACATATGAAATTAAAAATTCTGGGCGTGTTAATCAAATACACATTGCTCAACGTTACGGCTCGCGCATTACTCAGCCATTTCAGGTTATCTTCTTGCGGCGTAGGAGGAACGCGTTCTACGTGTAACCATTCAGGATAGCGCATGTAGCAAATCACAGTACACCAACGAGACTCTCGTCATGCCATATCCTCCGCGCAAATGCGACGCAGTAATATCACGTGTTCGTCTTATATGAATGTGTAAACTCAGGCAACGCAATTTTGAAGTACGATGGAAATTCAGAATTGAAATTTTTCAATTAGCGATTATGTGAACAACACTAGTTGTTCACGCTACAGCTGACGCGATCCTACGCTTCAGTAGCATCGGTGGAGTCGTCACTCTTTACGCCATCAGTAACCTCGTAACCGGCACCATCAACCCAGTTGTGCTGTTTGTGTAGGTTGGGTTCTTTCCAATCTTGTTCAACATAATCGCCAGGAACACGAGTTTCTTCCGCTGATTCGCTCAATGATTCCTCAGCGGATTCGTATCCTGATTCGTCCGATGACTCGTCAGACGATTCCTCAGTTTTCGTATCCTGATTCGTCCGATGATTCATCACCATTCTTTATAGCGTACTTGGACTTGACCTTGTGAACAACGTGCTCAACAGCACCCTTAGCCTTCGAAAGATAATGAGGAATCTTCTCACGCAGCTGCTCACTCGGCTCCTTGATTTTAGCTGTCAAACTATTTATGCCGCAACCTGCTTTGACCTATAGCGGACCTGATGATAGCCTCACCCTTGGCTTCGGGGACAACCTTTCTGTACACCCCTAATGGGCTGCGCCACATGCTTCACCACGGCGTTGGACGACTGGTTGAACAAACCCAATATGAACTCCTTGAACTTGTTGTACCATTTCTTGTATGCAGGCATGTGAACGTAATCGCTGACGGTCCTCAAAAGGGTCTCAGTAGCCATCTTGGAGAAACGGTCGGCGAAGGATGGAAGAGCAGGTACCTGATTCAACATGTATGCGCTGTAGCCGCCAGATATCTGGCGAATGCGAGCCTCAGGGTGGATTCCAAGGTCCACAGGAAGGTTCTCTCTAACCAGACGCTTCAACGCCTTCCTGATACCGAAACCGAACAGCTGAGTCGTGAAAGCAAGCTTGTTGAAGAACTTCGCTTTACCAAGGTCAACATTGAGGTAGGTCTTGTAGTACAGAGTAGTCATGTAGAAGTACTGCGATGCGAAGTTCTCAACATCATCGATCTCAGGGTTGCGAATAATATTCTTCTTCGCCAAGCTAATGAGGAAATGGTGGTAGTCGCCGTGGCTGCTCCTTGAACGCATCCAGAAGCGCTTCACTTCATTCTTGGCGGGGTTAGAATCACATTCTCTGAAAAGCATGAATGCCGCGTCCAACTGGTATTGATTTGGCAGACTCAATGGCTTGTAATCCACGCTGTCAATCGTCAGACAATCGCCCTCATCGCAACGGTCGACGTAATCAAACACGCTTTCGGCAGGTGGTGCTTCCGGCATCCTTTCTGCAAACTACATCTACTATACTCTCCTTAACGTTCGTCAACTGATCCTTCATGTCTTTGTTGATACGGCTAGCCTCAAGGTCTGCATTAACAACCTCGTTGGCTTCCAACAATGTCTTAGACACGTCGCCGATCACCTCAGGTGACATCACGGCCGAACGGTGGTAGTGGCGCATAGCCAAACCGCTCCTTGCTACGAGCAAGAGCGCTCCAAAGCACACACCCACGAAGCTTCTCATCGTAAAGCGAGACGGGGACATTGCCGACAAAACGTTATAAGACAACGTTATATAGCATACGATAGTGACAGCAGAACGTATATACGAATCTGCAAAAAAATAGAAAGTTAACGGAAAAACGGCACGGCCGATCTAATTCCGCCTTCAGAGTCACGTATTAACTGTCTTTATGCGCCAATGTGCCATATTCTCACACATACGCGATGCACCTGTCTAAAACACGTATTACTGCAGACAAGTGCGATGCAGTGAGGATAGACGACCGGCGATGTAGACAACCGCTCTATGTGTCAAACATCGCATAATATGCTACTGCTCATACGCTCTTCGCAACCTTTGGCGTTAACTTCTGCCCATATTGCGTTAGGCGCTCAGTCACCGCCTCTTTCGCGCATGGACGGGCCCAGTTTAAGGCATCATTACATATATTGGTACATGATTAGCACGTTTTCCACCGATTTATTTGTCTCACCTCGTAGGCAATGCGTACAGCAACCTGAAATGCTCGCCCTCGAGGGCTAGTGTGTGGCCACACACTGAGCTTCTCAATCGTGTCTAATTGGAAGTTGAGTTCGAGATGACTCTGCTGGGTACCGTATACGTTGTGTGGGCATTACTAAGTGGATTTTATTTATTTTAAACGCTCGTCTCAGCGTTGTCACTAGTTTATGGAAAAGTGTCCACATGAAATTTATCTCACCTCGTTATAGTCGGCTCGCTCTGATGTGTTGACTTAACGCGTCCTCCTTCATGCGCAACTTACGCCTAATGGCGCATCTGCTTTAGCCCTGTTCGCCCACGTCATGCGTAAATTATGGCCATATATATGATGGCCTATGAAAATCATAGTGCTGGCGTATTGGGTTTGCATTTCTCTCTATTAACGGGGCTATGTGATTTTCCTGAAGCCTTTGGGCGCACTTGCGGGCCTTCACCGTCGGGCATGGCTCTTAACGCCTCCGAGTTTTACTACGTTCGACTCCTCGTCGATACAGTGACCTAACACCAGCTTCGCGCATTAATCGCCTCGCTAATCCGCAGTCTGTATAACACGCGCAACCTAGGTGCCCTCTCCTATTGCGAACACGCTCAACATCACACGCCGATGATGCAAGGAGTGGCAGCGCCAACGTGCATAAGCGCCTTTAAAACGTCTCGGGTATGCCACATTGTCGGACATTGCAAATACATCCACACGCAATCAGCACACGACACAAAAACACGCAAACGTCATAAAATGACCACAACTGCCCCGAGAGCTTGCCAATCAAATGCGGTTAGCATGCCTTAGCGCGGTTCGCTCGACACAGTAGAGCCTCACAAGACATACTGGATATACATATGGAAATCATGATTTACCAATGAGAGGTTAGTGACTATAGTGGTGTACATCTCTTATTGTTTCCAAAATCACAATGCCCAAATAGACACGCGCAATCTACATAAGCGCTGATATGACCCACAATTGCTCGGTTCATCGCATGCCAAATTCCCGTGAGAATATTATATAATAGGCAACCAAATGTGGCTGCCAGTGACATCGCTTACATTCTAGATGAGCGGTAGAAATAAAACCTGCGCTGCGCTATTTTACCCCTAACGGTGCTTCATGCGATAAGGGCTTCCCAAGAAACCGTGACTTCATTCTATCCTTAAACGTGACGGATTGGCCTCGACTTTTCTCAGTGACTGCGTTCCTGAACTTAGTCTGACGATCAGCTGCCTGACTATCGGAAGAGGAATCCCCGTGTTCTATGGCCAGAGCTCTGCTCCCTGAAGGAGCACCCTCTGCTTCCAACCTTCTCTTAGCTGAGGCACCAAACGAGTTCATGAGTTTACCTGACACATAGCCGTATACACCCTTAAATTCGCCAAACACTGGCATCACGTATTTCCTGTAAAAGTTTTTCCACGGTTCCAGCTTGTGATCCTTTGCTCTTAACTCCATGTGGCGAGTGTTGCTGATGGACGATCTAAGTGCAATGAAGACAACTGAAGAATATAAGTCCGCAAATCGCTGATGATTGGCCCGGAACGAGTTTAGGTAAGCAGCGAAATTTTTACGTACGGTTCAATCGCACTTACAGGCGTCCCTATAGCGGACTTTGGTGCAGTCTGCACAATTATTTGAACCAGAGATCGTTCAATTTTGTCCACAAAGACAAAATGCGATAAGTCAGTCAAATTCTGGAGTTTTACTTTCCAGTTCTCCAGCATCAAATACGTTTTGTATTGAACAGCTGCCATGAAAAGATATTTCTTCATAAACGCCTCAAAATCGTTTGACGCCCCTTCTTCCACGTTTGCCAGCATGAGCTGCAAAATAAAGTCGCGGTAAGCAGTGTAGCGTCCTCCTTTCTGGAATCGGGCTAGAATGCCGCGCAAAGGCCGGAATGGAAATGCAGGGCTTCTTTTATACAACTCGAAGGCGCAATCCATTTGAAATTTATTCGGTAACGGCACACCAGTGCTACCAGAGACCTCTATACTCCATATCGATATGCAAACAGTCCCCATCCTCGCACCGAACCATGTAGGGTTCCGCGGCGGAACGACAAGCTTCCATTTCGTTCCTGTGCGCCTTGCAAACAGAATCGATAACTACTGCAGTGAAATAGGCTGCAGATTGAGACATGGCTTTATTCAGCCTCTGACGGGCACGCGACACGTTGGCGACTGCATCTTCATGTCCCAGTGATTCGGATGGCATGCCACCGCTCACGTCGGTAGACAAGCGCGACGTACGATTAGATACACCGAACACAAGGGGCACAAACAGCGTAGCATACAATGCTAACACGCGCATAATGCGCTTCAAACCAGCTGCCATCACGACTTCCGCAATGTCGTATATAACCTAAAGACCTATCAGTGTGTTAAGTATACCCCGCACGAATCTGGCTGTAAGGACGGAAACAGGCGCTGAAATTTCATACCTCATACAATAAGGTACAGTACATTGTGATATATTCGACGCAGAAGGCCTCGCAACACGTGCCTACCGATATAGTTGACGGTAAGACACGTTGATGCAGAAAAGTGCGAAACGTCGCACATTGGTTTAAAACATCAGAACAAAAAGCAGACACATCTCTAACGTGATTGCAAAACATAGGCAATCGCAACATTGTGTAGCAATATTCAAAGGCCTCTTTTCTCTATTGCGCCGATGTGTCTAACAGCCGCATTCTTACACACCTTTGCCGCAGACATCGACGCCGTGGTCAATAGCTCTCGTTCGCTCAACATAGAAATCTGTGAAAACCAAATATGCTCACGAAAGTGAATGCAATGTATGGTCTCTTAAGTCGGTGCTCTTTAATGCTGGCTGTCGGGTAGGAATCACACGCACATATGAAATTAAAATTCTGGGCGTGTTAATCAAATACACATTGCTCAACGTTACGGCTCGCGCATTACTCAGCCATTTCAGGTTATCTTCTTGCGGCGTAGGAGGAACGCGTTCTACGTGTAACCATTCAGGATAGCGCATGTAGCAAATCACAGTACACCAACGAGACTCTCGTCATGCCATATCCTCCGCGCAAATGCGACGCAGTAATATCACGTGTTCGTCTTATATGAATGTGTAAACTCAGGCAACGCAATTTTGAAGTACGATGGAAATTCAGAATTGAAAGTTTTCAATTAGCGATTATATGAACACTATTTGTTCACGCTACAGCTGAAACGATCCTACGCTTCAGCAATGTCGGCTTCAGTTTCTGCGATCTGCTGGCTCTCATCGACCTTGCCCGCCATCTCGGCATCACCAATCTCCTCCACATTACTCTTCTCCTCTGCATTAACCGACTCAACCAATTTCTCTTCAGCGACCTCACCGTCACCTTCCACAGAATCGTTAGACTGCACGTTTTCCGCTGCAGCTTCTTCCGATGGTTCCTCGCCCTTTTCCTTTATCGCCGGGACGGACTTAACTTTGTTAACAAGGTGCTCAACGGCACCCTTAGCCTTCGAAAGATAATGAGGGAGCCTCTCACGCAGCAGTTCCTTGCTAGGCTCCTTAATCTTCTTAGCCAGACCATGGACGCTACTCGCAATCTGCTTGGCACTTTGACCTACGGCAGTCTTGATAGCCTGCCTAGCATCCTCGGGAACAACCTTTGCGTATATAGCCCGCACGGTTCCGAGACGTGTTTCATTATCAACTTAGCAGGGTCGGTAAAGAAACCCAATATGAACTCCTTGAACTTGTTGTACCATTTCTTGTACGCAGGCATGTGAACGTAATCGCTGACGGTCCTCAAAAGAGTCTCAGTAGCCATCTTGGAGAAACGGTCGGCGAAGGATGTCATCGCAGGAACCTGGGTCAACATGTATGCGCCGTAGCCGCCAGATATCTGGCGAATGCGAGCCTCAGGGTGGATTCCAAGGTCCACAGGAAGGTTCTCTCTAACCAGACGCTTCAACGCCTTCCTGATACCGAAACCGAACAGCTGAGTCGTGAAAGCAAGCTTGTTGAAGAACTTCGCTTTACCAAGGTCAACATTGAGGTAGGTCTTGTAGTACAGAGTAGTCATGTAGAAGTACTGCGATGCGAAGTTCTCAACATCATCGATCTCAGGGTTGCGAATAATATTCTTCTTCGCCAAGCTAATGAGGAAATGGTGGTAGTCGCCGTGGCTGCTCCTTGAACGCATCCAGAAGCGCTTCACTTCATTCTTGGCGGGGTTAGAATCACATTCTCTGAAAAGCATGAATGCCGCGTCCAACTGGTATTGATTTGGCAGACTCAATGGCTTGTAATCCACGCTGTCAATCGTCAGACAATCGCCCTCATCGCAACGGTTAACATACGCAATCACGTGCTCGCCGCAGGTGGCACTTCCAGCATCCTTTCTGCATACATCACCTACAATACTCTCCTTCACCTTAGCCAACTGATCCTTCATGTCTTTGTTTACCTGCGTGGCCTCAAGGTCAGCATTAACAACCTCGTTGGCTTCCAACAATGTCTTAGACACGTCGCCGATCACCTCAGGTGACATCACGGCCGAACGGTGGTAGTGGCGCATAGCCAAACCGCTCCTTGCTACGAGCAAGAGCGCTCCAAAGCACACACCCACGAAGCTTCTCATCGTAAAGCGAGACGGGGACATTGCCGACAAAACGTTATAAGACAACGTTATATAGCATACGATAGTGACAGCAGAACGTATATACGAATCTGCAAAAAAAGAAAGTTAACGGAAAAAACGGCACGGCCGATCTAATTCCGCCTTCAGAGTCACGTATTAACTGTCTTTATGCGCCAATGTGCCATATTCTCACACATACGCGATGCACCTGTCTAAAACACGTATTACTGCAGACAAGTGCGATGCAGTGAGGATAGACGACCGGCGATGTAGACAACCGCTCTATGTGTCAAACATCGCATAATATGCTACTGCTCATACGCTCTTCGCAACCTTTGGCGTTAACTTCTGCCCATATTGCGTTAGGCGCTCAGTCACCGCCTCTTTCGCGCATGGACGGGCCCAGTTTAAGGCATCATTACATATATTGGTACATGATTAGCACGTTTTCCACCGATTTATTTGTCTCACCTCGTAGGCAATGCGTACAGCAACCTGAAATGCTCGCCCTCGAGGGCTAGTGTGTGGCCACACACTGAGCTTCTCAATCGTGTCTAATTGGAAGTTGAGTTCGAGATGACTCTGCTGGGTACCGTATACGTTGTGTGGGCATTACTAAGTGGATTTTATTTATTTTAAACGCTCGTCTCAGCGTTGTCACTAGTTTATGGAAAAGTGTCCACATGAAATTTATCTCACCTCGTTATAGTCGGCTCGCTCTGATGTGTTGACTTAACGCGTCCTCCTTCATGCGCAACTTACGCCTAATGGCGCATCTGCTTTAGCCCTGTTCGCCCACGTCATGCGTAAATTATGGCCATATATATGATGGCCTATGAAAATCATAGTGCTGGCGTATTGGGTTTGCATTTCTCTCTATTAACGGGGCTATGTGATTTTCCTGAAGCCTTTGGGCGCACTTGCGGGCCTTCACCGTCGGGCATGGCTCTTAACGCCTCCGAGTTTTACTACGTTCGACTCCTCGTCGATACAGTGACCTAACACCAGCTTCGCGCATTAATCGCCTCGCTAATCCGCAGTCTGTATAACACGCGCAACCTAGGTGCCCTCTCCTATTGCGAACACGCTCAACATCACACGCCGATGATGCAAGGAGTGGCAGCGGCAGCCAACGTGCATAAGCGCCTTTAAAACGTCTCGGGTATGCCACATTGTCGGACATTGCAAATACATCCACACGCAATCAGCACACGACACAAAAACACGCAAACGTAATGTAGGAGGTTAATGATATAACGCAATGCATTCAATCATCCTTACTATTTTACCAGGTGGACTATGCATCATAGTGTAATATTAGTATAATATGGTATCCAACGCGGAGTGGATTGAAATGGTTCTCTGATCATGTGTATATAAAATGTGTCATCCGACATAAGTGCTGCGTGCTAGCACGCTGAACCACAAGGATCAAATGTATGAGTCCACCGATTAATTTATCTATGGAATAGGTGTATGTAGCGGAATAATTTTATATTTGTCAACGGATTGCTTTGCGATTGCTGAATTATACATGTTGTTTTATGCCAAGAATAACACGGCACGGCTTGTGTTGAATGACCATATAAGTCACATATAGACGGCATTGTTGAGAAGCCGTCATTCCTTTAACCAATCAGCTGGTTGAGTTGAACGATAAGATCCTTATAATTCTTCACTGTGTGGCCAATGACGTCCGGGTGGTGGCAAATTTCGTAATCGTTACCACCCTATACACGATATGATCTAGTACATGACGTCGTACCTCGTGAGTGTTGTCACCAAAGAAATGAATTTCCTCGTAGTCCTTCAGGTGCGTTATACACAACGCTTTCGTCCACGGCTGCGGCATATATATCAACATGTCGAAACTACTTGTGCAAACAACCATCATAAATATGCAATGTGACAACGTTAATTTTGCAAAAATCAACCCACTTTTGGAAATACGTCGATTGAAATTTGCCCCCCCGCAACAAATCTCAGCGCCAGTTCTCCTGAACCGAATCTCTTTTTAAGCTCCTCAATAAATTGCCCTCTTATGTTCCTCTCCTTATCAAGGGCTGCGAATTGTTGTCTTTCTTTGTCCGAACAGTTGCGCCCGACGGGACAGAGATTGATCAAGCTCCTCCGAAATTCAACGAAGGTTCCCCTGAAAGACGAGTTATTCATGCAGAAAATTGCAATTATTGCATCAATTATTCACAAGAACTATTAGGTAAGGTAAGCTCACAACGCTATCGCTTGTGTGATTGGCGTTTGTATACACCTTTACATACAACTTCGCAAGCGCCGCTATATTGCATGTCGAAAAAACCTACCTCTTGACGGGTATGTCAAGGTTTGCTATATATATAAGGCTAAACTCCACCAGCTCCTTAAGAACCTTTTCCGGTAAAACGTCGCGGATGTCCTGCGTAATGAACAGAATCAACAAATGAAATACGTACCAAAGAGTCTACAAGTGTTCCGCGCTGGTAAACCTGAGTGCCGTTCTCCGAGAATATGTAATTAAAGTCGTTGACAACTGCATATACATTAAGGATACGTACAGTTGTTACTCACAATCTTTCCCGATCTGCTTGCGAATGCTAGGATAATTCGAACCTGACGCAAGGGCTATATCGTAACCACGGTTCTTGCACCTGAGCAAAACTTCCTTCATGTCTTCCGTCATAGGCTGAAATCAGTGAGTTTAAGCGGGATATAATCGCATATTTCTAGACACATTCACACACCTGAACAGGTAGAGTCAGCGTACCGTCCATGTCAAACACTAAGATTCGCCGCGCCATTGCAAACGGTATGACAAATATAAAAGAAACCAGGAAGATATTAACGGTCAACATTTAAACCGTTAAATTATTATACAATCCCAACTTTCCTGACACTTCGGCGCACTAACTCTTTCTGACGATACACCGCCACCAAACGGGTCGTAGTGCCACTGTACCATACTACAATGTACACCCTCTAACACATCGCAATGATTGACGTCGTCAAACCGAGCCTTCGTTTGATAAGATTGCTTTACAAGACGTACAACAACAGGTAGGAAGATTCCATGTCACATCACAGTACAAACCTTATAACATATCTAACGCTGTCTTGTAGAGACATTTCCAACGTATGTGACTTCGAATTAGAATACGGGTTGCTATGTGGAGAGGATAATATCCTCCATTTGGCGTGCTATATTTGCCAGGAGCTAGAGCTCCTCACAGGTACAAATGATGGCGCGATTCAAGACGGCGCTCTAAGAACTCCATCTATCGATGATGTAAAGCTACTTCTAGCACAATTCGGTAAAGTTAAAGCAATAAAGAATGTCATCGCCTTGCAGACTACGCAGATTTATGGGATAACAAGGAGGAACTCATTGGTAATTTGAAAATTATTTTTAATAGATGATACCAGGGGTTCTTCTGAATGAACTAACCAGTCGTCGTATCGAGGCAAAACGCTCGTACATATCGTCGATTTGTTCCAAAGAGTTTTACACTGTAGGTTATTTTACGTCAGTCTGCATTAGACGCAGGACCCCTTGTGCAACAGCGATGTTGTAAACCTGCTGAAGAAACACGAGCTTGTTGCAAACGTCGAAGAAGTAAACGAGGATACTGTATTAAAAGTACTTGATTCGATAGATGATAAGGTATGTCAAATTGTGCAGTGATAAAATGTGACACAGTTACTCAACAACGACGGCGTGTTTCAGGAGTATATGCTGGCAGATGAGACCGTGAACGCCATCAGGATACTATCTAGCAGCCTGTGTGATGAATATAACGAACGGTGGAATTTGTATCTTGTACGCTTTGACGCCCTCCTCAAGGTGTTCCTTCAATCCAAAAACCTTAAGGTAGACCAGTGGTTCATAGTCGACATTATCGTAGGACAATGAAGCCTTGCGTACACTGCTGATTGTAATCCACCACTGGCGTAATGCTGGCAACACTAGGTTTAAAAAGTTCAACATCTACGATATCTATAACGCAAGCGGGTAAGCATGCATGTATACATTGCCATGCGTCTTTCGCAACATTACTGCACTTCTCTACATGATAATGATGTGGTAACGCATCGTGTGCCCAGTGTTAGTTGTATTTTCTTCAGCAGTCATCGTAAAATGCATGACCGTTTACTTTGCAGAAAAAACGTATTCACAATTTTTGTGCAGTGATATTCTTGAAGTTCGAAAAGCATATGATGGCTCTCCTCCAGTGGATCTCGTTAATCTTTACTCCGAGCATTCTGCAGTGCCACCAGAAGGGCAGTTAACGTCTTTCATTAAAAGGGTACAAATATCTGAGCCGACCCACCGGCTTGGGATACCTGAAGCTTTTTCCACGAAAAGGTTTTTCAAAAAATTTTCCAAACATTAATTACTTCGATGCTATTTATTCATCACATTTTGAAGTACCAAAGCTTCTTGATGCTGCCCAGTTTCCGTAACATGGCCTAGGGTGCAGACCGACATGCCATGGATGTGTCCAACCCTCATTTGTTGAAAAAAGAGTCGATGTCTGCAAGACGACTATTATATAATAGAGGCATCTTCCATTAGCTGTTTTCACGATTTTACGAAATATCTGTCTGCAACTTTAGCTGTAGCATTGTTACAACTGCAACGTTGCGCTCTTATTTTAATGCAATCGAAATTCGTATAACCCATGTTATGGTCACATAATATGCCTGTAAGATATGTAGTGTGATGGTAACTTTTACAATGGACATAACCCTTAATTTTCGTTGGCTGCCTATGCATACTGTGCATTGGCCTGGCACGGTCACCTTTAGCATCGTGCTTATAAGCGACAGATTGGCATCACATACTTTTTAGTTTTACTTTTTGTGTATTATATATAATGTTGCAGGAACGTAACAACCTCGCTGAGAGCTGAGGTGTTTTTATTAAAATGTTCCCTTAACCAACATGTCGCTGAACGCAAGCAGGTACCACTTAACGTAGGGCCATGCAATATACATCTGCCACACGCGGAACAGACTCACAATGATACAGACGGAAATCTGATTATTCTCCATGGTTTCCTTCAACATAACCATATAAAGCACGCGAAAATATTACATTTTGGTTAACTTCTTACAATTTACATACAATAGTGGTTCGAGTTATAACAGGTAAAGATGAATGAGGATTCTATTGGTGTAATCATGTTTCAGAAAAATAGGCTGTGTGGTGAAGAAAATCAGATTATCGGTAAACAAGCAAAGTTATGTATGTCGCATGGTGATACGCTGAGAGTTGACCACAAATATAGATTAAGCACTTTATGATTTGGAAAATTTCATGTTGTATATACAAAGTATGCAGCATTATCCTACACCAGACATTATAGGTGCCAAAATCACGCAATGTTCCATTGAGCGATCATGCCTATGTCTTAGGGATTACCTAAATACGCGAAGGGCGTGGAACACATCATTCTCAAAGATATTGTAAGTTAATGTAAAAGTGAAATACCGCTGCCTAATGGGTGAAAAGTAAGATATTGCCTTCAAATTTGTCCTTTATGTTCGGTGTACAGCGTACAATATACGGTAGGCGGAATAAATAGCAGCGTAAAACCACATAACATGGCACTTACGTTTCTTTAATACATGACACACATTACAGAATATCAGACATGCTCTATTTTAGTGTACTGGACCCACATCCGGTCGTGAAAGGTGAGGAGCCTGTGCGGCACACATTAGCACAGAAAACGGTTATATAATATTTAAATAGCAATTATAGACAAAATGGAGGCCCATATAAGAAATCGACGTATGCATCCCACCCACAGCCGCAAAGTTGAGGAGCCGCCTACGAAAAGTAAGTCACATCGGAACGTGCGTTTCATTTGCCGAAGGCAACGACGATGACAAGCTGCACAAGCCGGTGAAACCCATGACTTTCGCCCAAAATGCGCCACCTCCGGCATTTGGAAGCACGCAGGGCCCGCCGACTGATGCATCGTACAATCCTGGCTCTTCGACCGTTGCTGCACCGCAGGATCAGCGCCCGCGCCATACGTTATCGCAAAGTGTGCCACACAATCTGCCAAGCCTGAACATTTTCAACCAGTCGGAGCAGGCCGAAGCTGCGCAGAGGCAACGTGATCTCCACGGTTACCTAAACGGCGATGTTGAGCGTTACTCCATCCGGGATTCGGACGATGGCGGTGCTCAGTCCAACTCGACGATGTCCATAGGCAGCCATGGTAGCGATGCTAAAGTGGAACCGTTCTACGCGGCATCGGTGCCTAACCCATACCACAGTTCATCCGTCCAACCGCCGTGGAGCACAATGGGTATGTTTGCATTGTTTAGTGTTCACGGTGTAACAGAACCGAGTGAATCAGGAGTGAAACCGGAAATATCAGGGCAGATGGATGGAAACAGGGGCACAACGCAACACGCGCCTCAGTTCCCTACGGGGCAGTTCTTCGGTTGGCAGGGTAACTTTACGGAGCAAATGAAGCAGCTTGGTGGTTTCTATATGGCAAACGCTCAGGAAACTGATGAAATAGAAGATCCACCGCTGCTGGAGGAACTTGGTATCGATTTGGAGGATATTATGAGACACATCAACTGCGTATTGTTGTTTAAGAGGTGGGTGTCAGCCGGGTCGGTTATATTGTTGATAGCTGTGGAAACGGTGAACTGCAATACGGCGACTTCACGGGTCCTTTGATGATTTTGCTGCTATTCGGATTGTCGATGTTGGTCTCCTGCAACCTAAATTTCAGCCTCGTGTACGCCATCGAGGTGCTCGGGACGGGGTGCATGTACCTGCTGTTTAACATGCTCAGCCAAGACGTTTACGTTGACATGGCAAAGACGGCAATCATTCTGGGGTACTCGCTGCTTCCCATCTGCCTCGCGCCGATCATTTGGATCTTCTCGCGATTTGCGAAGCCCGTTGCCGTTATCCTCGTCTACCTATGCGTGGCGTGGAGCACGTCCACCGCTTCACGCCTGTTTACGGAGGTTTGTTTACATGCGACTGCTTTCAATGTGCATGTAGGAGCTGAACATGGGTAGCCGGAAATTCCTGGTCATCTACCCGACAATGATATACTATCTGTTCTTTGCCCACGTTGCAATGAACTAGATGAAACGCATATAATATCGTTGGAACATTAGCATTTCCTGTTCGCTGCGTGCCCATTCAGCGGAGGACGTCCTTCGAGCTCTTGATTGCGGAGACGATGAACCCGCAGCATGGGCGCACGTCCGGCGTCATTAGAGGCCGCGTCCTCAGGGGCAGCATCTGAGGTAAAAGTTAAAGCTTGCGAATGGATACGAACCTGGTACTGCCTTATAAACATCTCGTCGAACTTTACGTTGACGTATTCGTCGCTGAGAGTAAGGCTCGCCTGCAACTCAGCCATTGGCTGGTACTGCTGGCCGAACACAACCAGCCGGCCTCCCATCTCCAGGTACATGTCGGCGGCCGCCTTGAGCTTTCGGGTGTACTCTGCTACGACCCTGTTCAGCTTGTCGCACTTGTTGAATGCAATGTTGCCAATGACTACTTGGCATCCGCTGATCTCGTCTCGTGACGGATTGTGTAGTGGGTATATCCCAGGAAGTGTCACCTTTTTCTTTTTCAAATCTGAAACGTGTTGGCAGTGGTGTGAGATGTACATACCTTGTGTATTGCCATCTGAGTTGTCCTCCTCGGCGCATGTTCGTTTTCCGAGGCCCTCCAGTTGAGATCCGTCCTCAGCATCGCAAGAAACAGCCTCACCACCCTCATTTTTCGGAGTTGAGGCACTGTTATCCGAGACTTTCTGAACATTTGGAGAGTTCGTCCTTTCAGTTTTGTTCGTCATAGGTGTATTGGCAGGGGCATCCATATTGGTGTCCGCAGAGGAATTATGTACGTCTCCCACTGCTGTATCCTGCCCAACTGGCCCATCACTGTCGATATACCGATCCACATCGATGGAAAATATGTTATCGAAGTACTTGATACCGAGCTCATGCACGATCTTGTCGCTGACACCCTTGGAAACCAGACGATATATTTTCCCAGAACCTGAAAGCGTTAATTAACAGAGTGTAAAATCTATACGAATAGCTATTGTACGGAATGTAATAGACCAATTCATAAAATGTGGTAGTACGGTACGGAACGCGTAACACAAAATCTCGGGCAAGCTTTTACACGTATGCACCATTAAAAACAAAGAAATATGGAGAAGGTATCTTACATAGTTCGCACGCACTGTGAAATGTTACGTACCAGCCAGTCTCTGCGATATTGCCCCAGTGATGAGTCCGAGGGCGTGGTCCAGCACCATGACCTTGTGCCCGTACCTTATGTCAGCCAAGTATAACATCATACCCAGATTTGCGAAGTTGAGGAATCTACGTAACAGTTGTGGCGTGTAAAATGGCAGCTCACCCTATTTTGTGCGGAAACGAGTTGAAGTAGCAATCGCATACATTGTAAAGGTCGCAGGGCCTGATGTAAAACAACTTGGTGTGCCGCGCCTCCTTGCGCTGTATGTACTTCTCTTGGGCCATTCGGTTCTTCTTCGCAAAGGTCTCAGAGTTATCCACAATAGTCTCGATAACTTCGTGAGATGTTTTGTCTGGCGGGGATGACAAAGAAGGCCCTATCTGCCTACCTTTTTTGAGTTGCTGAATCTGGTCATAGGTTAGCTTTTGCGCAGTGTTGTCATCGTTGATGTCACGGTTGTTGGTGACGGACTCCGATTGGTCCTCGTTGTAATCCTCTCGGACACGGTGGCGATATTGCATGTATTGCGGGTCGTTGCGACGGATCTTGATCCAGCTGCCAGCCTCCTTTGTGAAAATGTCACCGTAGGAACATCCTATCAGCATGTCAAGTAGGAAGGTGTCCTTGCAGATCTTGATGGTTCTGAGCCAAGGTCATGTTTGTAACCAAAGAGTCGTTGTAGCAAGCATCACGTAAAGGAATCCAAGCGCTATTTGTCAGCTTTCTAATACGACAAGGGTGGTTTAACTTGTCTACTTCTTTTATCGTTCAACTTACTTCCCAGGTTCTATCTTGGCGGTGAAACCTCCCTTATTGTGGATCATAAGGATGACGGTGTCGTTCGCCGCGAGCGGCTTCGACAAGTCATGACAAAAATCAAACTTCATTTTGGCTTACATCAAATGTTACGCTCTTCTGAGCTCAACGCGACGTGGATGTGTAGCCACATATCACATTAGACACGCGTGAAATGGGAAGAAGTCGTTTATGCTACGTTAACAGCGCTATTGCCCATAAATACACATTATTATGCCACATATGTTCGGCCGTGTTTGCGGAAGGCGGCTTCCAGTGTGAACTTGACCGTGACGTCGCACAGCCATACGGCGTGCTTGTGTATACGCCAACGCGTGTGAGTGAGGCGCTGTTGCCTAAAACCTTCATATTCATCTCTTTCCACGCTTCTGAGAACGCTTTTGCGCCCTTATGTCCTTCCTCATTTGGTCCAGCTGCGACACCTTCGTGTAATCGCGCTTACGGAACTCGGGCAAGAGCTCCCTGGTGACAGCGATTCCCATGGCGTTAGCCGTGCCGATGATGCGCTTGCAGATGACGTACAGCGGCACTCCGATGAGTGGAGGGTCCATGCTTTTGCACTTTGCGATATGATACACCTGAATTGTTATTAGGCTGTCACGGCATACGGAAGTGAATATTTATTAAGCATTATGGATATCACAGACAGTGATATGCGTTTATTAATAGAATTCCAGGATAAAAAGACTTGCCGTGATACATTTCATATATCATGAACAACAGCTTATCTACATTTTGCCTGGAGCGGCAGGTGGTACACTGACAGATCCTACAACTTATACGGATATAAAAACTCACGTAACCAATAACATATAAACCAACATACCTCTTTGAGTGTGACATTGCCAACAATCTCATGTTTGGGCTTTGGCGATCCCATGGGCACCCTTGCTATTCTGCGCAGAAACCACTGCGACCCTGGCGTCCTGAGAGCGAACTTGTACGTGGAATTCGACAGAGTGTATATTAAAACTTGAATCGGGACGTTCGATCGAATCGCTTGGGTGCGCTCGTTAAATTTTTTGCAAAAGTCCGTCATGTTTATTCCGAGGGGACCCAGAGCTTGACCGATGGACGGAGACGGTTTCGCCACTGCAGCGGGAACAATCAACCGATAGCGACCTAAGTACCTCATTTTTCGTCGCCTTTACACTACAAATGCGATATGTCCGGTAATGAGAATTAGTTTCCAAGAGCGGTGTTAGAAGTCATTGCCCTGCATGGATATCACTGCCGCATTGTTGCGCCATAATGCTTATTGAGAAAATTGGTTCACTCTACAGATATCCTCGATCAAATTAGACCGCTCCTATGCTGCGCTGTTGCTCCTTCGCTTATAATTAAACAGGATCCCTTGAAGTTACTGACACACTGTAAAGTGGCACATGTTGCGACAACGTGACTTCTTCTGTTATATTTCACTGTTGGCGATTGTATAATCCGTCCTTTTGTATTCTTCTTAAGTTTTTTGCAAAGGGCGGATAACGTGACGCACGACGCCACACAGCGTTGCAGCAATGACGCCGATGACGCGAGCAATCGCAGTGAATGTTGACACAGTGTCACATGACGCTATTTTATATGGCGCTGTGGCACTTTTTGTCATTAAGGGATGCGGTCACGTACGGTGATCGTTCCTGTATGTAACCTTCCGTTTTAACAGCCTCCCTTTGACCGTCGTAGGTCCTCATACTTTTTAATCAGGTATGTTACGATTTTGTGCCGCGTATTTTATGAATATATGCGCCATCTGCTGCGTAATTGTGCGACATTTCGTCACTGTGGACGTGTTGGCTCTTCTGTCGGTTTCTGTAACTGCCTTCCAGTTCGATTTTAGCAAGTCTGATCATTCATCAGTGTAATATGAAATCTATCGTGGCTCCTGAAATCGTCTGTGTGTTGTAAATGGCCATAGTTACCCTAAACGTATTGAATTGTTGCCGCCGGTGTGGCACCCATTTTCATGCAATACGTCTAGCAAGCATGTTTGCGTGGCGGATGCACTGTATTTAGGCGTCTCTCGTAGTGTAACTTCGTGGAGTTTAATAATCATGTTCAGATATTCATCGGGAGGGGTGTAGAACAAGACAGTCGCAAAGATGTCGACACTTCCGTGCGTCATCATTGACACGGGGTCGCTGTACCTCAAAGCAGGACTCAGCGACCAGAGCGAGCCCCAGGTACAGGAACAAAGTGTCTACGGGGATGTTCGGAACAAGTACAAGAATGAATTGCCCAACGAACGGTTGTACGGCGACGATTGCATGAAGCAAATGAACTACATGTCGATCACGCCGATAGTGGACCACGGACACATTTATGATTACGATGCAGCTATTGGGCTCTGGAAGCACACATTTGATTCCCTTGGAATGGGGTCGGAGGGGAATTCCGTACTCTTGACGGAGCCTGTTCTCTGCTCGCCAGAACATCACCAGAAGACGGGAGAAATCTTCCTGGAACAACTCGGCGTGGATGATATACACATGTCGATATCTGGGCTTTTGTCGATGTACGGTGCTGGCAAGACGTCCGGCATAGTGGTGGACATCGGCGATGGAATGGTGCAGGTCGTCCCCATGGAGGAGGGCCACCTTCAGAAGAGCGCAATCCGCCGCGAGGATTTCGGCGGCATGGAGCTGACCATGTATATGCAGCGGCTCCTGTGCGAGTTGGGATACCCGATGACGTCGAGGGAGGACTTCGCGACGTGCCGCAGGATGAAGGAGGAGCTGTGCTTCTGCTCCCTTGACCCCCGGTCGGATGAGAACAACGTGGCTGAACTCGAAAAGGAGTACGTGCTTCCCGATGGACAGACGCTCAGGGACGGTGAAACTAACACCATAAACATCTCAGTGGAACGCTTTTACGTCTGCGAAGCCCTCTTCAACCCCAAAATCATGGGCTTGAATCACGTGGGCCTTGCCAACATGGTCTGGCAGTCCATCCAAAACTCTGGGTTGACGCAGCGTAGACTTCTCATGGAAAATATATACTTGTGCGGTGCTGGTTCGCGTTTCGAAAACCTGCACGAGCGCCTCAAGTTTGAGTTGCAGAACATGGCACAGCCGGGAACGAGGCAGTGCATCGCTGTTTACACTTCGCGCGACCAGCACCTGCTCAGCTGGAAGGGCGCCTGCTTCTTGGGCGCCCCTGAAGTCCGCAACACCTACAAGGAGCTTTGGGTCACCAGAGCGGAATACGAGGAGCAGGGTGCACGTGCCTTCCAGCGGCAGATAATAAAATGAACCAAGGGAGGGCAACTACTTGTATATTAATCACTGCACTCTTCTGTGAATCGCGCGCAGTCTACTCCCCGTATGTCGACATAATCTAAAACGCAGATATATCCCATTCTTACCTGTCACTTGCAGCATAAATGGGTCACAATTGTTTTAAGCACGCCTCAGGCACACATTTGTGGTGCTATATATGCATTATAATGGGGTTGTTGAATATTTAAGGCGTACCCAGCAGTGCGTCGCACGTGATCCTGGGCGATGGCGCTAGTTCTTTAGGGAGACGCCGCTGCGCACTGAACCTCTAGAGCGCTTGGAGCTGCTGTATGATTCGCGCAGTTGCATGTCCGCCCCGCGGTTGTGCTTCTCGATGAGCCGCTGAACAAGAAGTGGAGTGCGGCAGCTAGGGGTCTTGGCCATTGGGGTTCTAGCCGATGATGAGTTGTACTTTTTGCGCAACTGCTCAGCTAGTTCCTCGCGCGGAATGGGTTTAGGAACTGCGTATTCCTGCGGATCGTTGGGCGCGGTGAGCGGCGTATGCACAAAGTTGTACTTTGACATTTGCTCGGGGTCCACAAGCTCCCTGCACTCACGGAAACCGAACTGCGTGATGAGGTCGTTAACCTTTCCGTGGTACATGTCCTTCACTTTTTCTAGGCGCCTAGATTTCTGCTTCGAATCCAACTCAGCCAGGCGCTGCTCATAATCCGGCGGCATGTACGTGTTGGTGCTGCGGATCAGCGGAGCTTGCGACTTATCGTTAGCTTTGCCGTCGCCTTGGTTGAAGAAAAACGCATTGCGGCTCACAGCTCTGTTGGAGAGCACGTTTGAATCCCTGATGCCGAGGTTGGTTTTCTGCTGGGTGTCGGCAAGGGCCAGGTTGTGTTTCTTTTCGCCCTCCTCCATCCAACGGCTCCGGTTGTTGTTGCGGATGATGGTTTGCTCCATCAACCTGCCGAAGCTCCGGTTGTCCTCGGAGGTGAAAATTCGGCTGAACTGGTCGAGTTTCAGCCCGCCTTTGCCGATGTTGATCGAGACGTTTTCGTTGCCGAGCGTTTTGAGGTTGACGTTCATCTCATGGCCGTTGTTGTGTTCTTCCAGTCTTTTCCTGATAACTGCTGCAGTTGCGGTGTCACCTCTAGACTCTGCTTCCATCAACACGTTGGTCAGCCGAAGTTTGACGACATCCGGAAAGTAGTCGCGCTCGATTATCGTCTCCAGGCAGCCGATGTAGTCCTCCTCCTTCAGCTCTTTCAGCTTGTAGTTGGTGCGAATTCGTTCTAGGACATCCTTGTAAGGGACGATTGGGTCTTTCACCACGGTTGAAACTGCATTAGCTCTCCAATCTTGGCGCCGTGTATCCGAAAGCTTCAGCGCATTTTTGGCCCGAATTGATAACGCCGAGCTTTGCACTGATACCGATTCTAAAGTGTTAGCCGAACTGCTGGCAGCAATAGATGCGATGTCGACATTTGGATCCAGTATTGTGTTTGCGAAAATACTGTCTGTGGACGCGGCCTGGGAACCTGTCTGATCTTCGTGTTCAGCAGATACCGACGTCGCAGACACGTCACCATTCTGACAAGACGTGGCTTCGCGTTCACCTGAAGTATCTTCAGGTGTCGATTCTGGATCCGTTTGTTGTTTATTGCTGCGTCCACTTCGTCTCAGGGGTCGATGGGACCCTTCATAGCGACTCCAGGTGGATAATTCGCCCAGCGATACAGCGGTGACGTGCTGTGACTCAGCTGTAACTTCAGGGTTTGCGATATGCGATGAAGAGGCGCTCTCAGAGCGCTCAGCCTGTTGCTCCGACATAGCGGCCGGACTCTCCTCCAATAGGCGGCCTGCAGATAAAAAATGTCACATTATATACACTACACATGTGATAGTTGTCGTCCAAAAAATGTGTTAACATGATATGTGTTGCCCGGGCCCAAGGTGAACCGCGGCCACGGGTGAGAGCGTTGAGCAGCTGACGAGTAAAAGTTCCTCGGCAAGTTTTTCACGTTTATTTAGTTAAAATGGTTGTTATCGATGTAAACTAAATCAAATACGAAGATGATGTATACGTCGGCTTTCGAGAGCCACTATGCCGACCTTTACGGCAAGCGCTGGACAGCTGTGTCGCGGTGCCTTCGGCGTGCGCCGACGACCGTCGCCGTGATTCCACCCTTCTTCGAACAGATACCTGACCAATCGGAGCTGGAACAGTGGAGCGCGCCGGAAATTACGGCCGAAGAACTGCAGGGAAGCACGTATTACCGTAGGACCGACCTTCCGTTCTGCTACGAACAACGGACTTTCGACAGCACGACGAACTCTGACCCCAATCCATCGGAATTAACGCTATACGCCAAGAAGACTATCTTCAACGCGAATAACTTCGTCGTGAAGGCAGAAGACTGCGTATATTTCATGGACATCGGGGTATGCTATGCCTGTCACTGCCTCGGCGTGTCGCCTGGCGACAGAGTGCTAGACATGTTCGCGCACGGCGGAGGCCACAGCCTTATATTTGCGTCCCTGATGTTCACTCAGGGCGAATCGCATACAGGTATTTCTGGAGAGGGACGTAACGCCCTCGAGATGGTGGAGCTAATAAACCAGGCGAGGGAAGCCAAGCAACGCCACGCCGAGACATCGCTGCTGGTATGCGCGGAGTCCCGGCGAGGCGTTCACCAAACAAGCACGGATATTTTGCGGAAGTATGTGCCCAAGAGGTTGCTGGATGCGATGAGCATCCAGACAGTGTACCACGACGCCGATCACCAGAAGCTCCAGCGGTTCGGGTTGTTCGATCGCATTTTTGTCCGAATCCCACAGTCAACGGACGCCACCGATCCCAACGGATGGAGCAAGCGTGGCTTGAAGGCGAGCTCTGCGAAGGCGCTTGCTGCCTTAAACGGCGCTGTCAAGCTGCTGAAGCCAGGTGGAACGGTTGTCTACTGCACTCATTCCTTGGATCCTATGGAAAACGAACTGATCGTTCATACCGTACTTAATTCAGCACCAAGACTGCGTCACGAGCCTATTGATGCGCAGTCGTCGATGGATCAGCTTCGCGGATTGCTATCATGGGAGACGGAGCTGCCGAACAGTCTGCCGTCAGCTGAAACGCGCAAGTACGGATGCGCCTTTATGCCTGACACATCACCCTGTGGGCCACTATACATTTGTAAACTGGTGTCTAATTGACCTTTAAAGCGTTAAACTGTAGCCGCGGCCACCCCAGTGTGGAAGGCACGCGAGGTTGGCATATACCTGCACACCGTAATTCCATCGTTGTCTTAGGACGAGATGGGTATCGCAATACGTTGGCAGGAGCTGAGATGGAGATCGTCACTGCGCTCCATAACTAACCTGTTTAAGTATCACACGGCGCTCGTCCTGTCGGTCATCCTGGTCAAGCTGTGCGTTACTTACGCCTCGAAAGCCTTCCATTCGAACATATACACAGGTATTTTGGCGGATTCTGTGTGCAAAGTTTTCAGAGTCGGGGCTGCTGGCCATATACCGACCATGCGCTGCAGCGTTGTCGTCGTATTTGGCGCTGCTCGCCATGTTCATAGCGCGCCAAGCGGCTTTCAGAGGTAAATATGTTGCACGATTGTTGCGTAAATGCTGTCTTAACGTTCTAAATGTGTTTGGATTGGCGTGCTGGTTTATCTATGCTTAGATCCACAGGCATCTATCTTTCTGTTTCCTATTTGCCAATATTTTAAATCTTCTTTGTATTGCAAGGTTAATACTAAGCGCGTCGTGGTGTACATATCCTCTTAATATGGGATTCTAATGAGTATTCAGCATCTACCAAAACTGGCGTTTATACTGAGATCCTCGGGTTGCTGAATGTCATCGCGACCATTTTGTGCATCACCGTCATCTCGAATATCGTTTTCCGGGTCTACATAACTGGTCTGTACCTGATAACGGTATTATGCGTCGCGTAAGTTCGTACAGATTGGTTGTAATCGTTTCCAGGGTGCTCTACCAGCTGCGTGTCCGCCGGCAACGGCTGGATGTGATGCGGTCGCTGGACAAAGAATGTATAGCGGCTCCACACATTCGGACGTTTGTCACGCTGAGCATCTTTCATTTGGCGGCGTCGCTCTCCGTGGCCATCATTCTCGCCATTGTCGCACGGGTGTGCTCTATCGTATGGGAATACATGCACGCATCGCCTACGCTGGAGTGGAACATTGCCGGTCTGCTGGACGCCGTCGTTACACTATTTCCTGGCATAATGGCGTACACCGGCAACTTTTATGGGTGAGTTTCACTGCAATATTGGACACACTCAACAGGGTCGAATGTGTATGCATTCTTTCCGCGGCGACGTGGACGATCGCACTTACTGACGCCTTCTACGAGAACCTGAACCGACAACTCTCCCACATGGTTGGTTTTTTGTTTCATGCATATCGGCGTGCCCACAAAACGGCGGCCCAAATCCATGTAGTTGTGCTATCGTTTTCATACTGTTGGGAAGTCAGTAAACTCTTTTAAGGAGTGTGTAACTACTATTTGCCATTTTTGGCATGTCATTACGGGTTACTTGAGGGGTCCGGGATCCCGCCGCCGCTAGGCCCATGTCTGTTGGGAAATGCGAGCCAGCCTGGTGGCTGCCGATGCCCTTGGCCCCCCTGTGATCTTGAGTGCTCGATGATAGTTTATAATACCCGTATTCGGCATTTTCACCGTCAATTTCTCATATGGCGTGTAAAAGTCCGCAGGACCAGATTATCGCAAACGGAGTGGAGGAATTCCCATCGCACGGTTCAATGAGCTACAACGACGAGCTCGTGCTGGCGCGCGCATTCTTGAATTACTCTCGTGGAGTCAGCATGACTCTGGACGGCGTGAGAAATAAATACGAGTCGAATGGCAACGCCATGCATGTGTCGTTCCCAGACGATCCGCGACGGTGCCCCATGATACCCTTCGCCGGTATACCACAGGGATCCGCAACCGGGATTGAGGTGAAGCGCCGACGCTACCAGGTGGATGCGGTGGTCTTCCGCATGCTCATAGAATCGAGTGGGCGACTTTTTTCGTCTTACGTCGAGTCCTTCATGGAGTGCCTCGTGGAGGCGGAGGGCCATATAGTCGCATTGACCAGCAAACGCGAGAACGCAAAAGACTTGCGGATTGAGTTGAACCGCGATTCGGACGCGTGTGGCGCGTGCAACGGCTGGCTGGAGTTCCTGCTGGGAAGCTTCTGGGGATTCCGTCCCAAGGTTCCACACAGGGTTAGTCATTGGCACGTAATCTCATAATTACGCAGACCTACGACGCCATCGTGCTAGCCGTTGTATACATGCGCGGCCTCGCCAGCTGGCTGTGCATTGCCAATATGCTGGGGTACAGCGACGCACATATCCAACAGGTGGCCAAGGAATTCGTTGCCCAGTGCGTCTCGCTTTCAAAAGCCGTTGGAACCGTCCGGCGCTACTCCATGCCCACACACTTCTCCAACACGCTCGACATAGTAACCTATGGTGGGTGACATCCAGCACATGAAAAAAATGGTGCAGTGATCAACGTCTCCTTAAAACAGATGAGTGTCTATGCGGACGCGATGCTCTACTCCACATTCGACGTAGATTTCGACACATTCCGCCTCCTCGAGAAGATATACAAACCGGGGCTGAAATCAACTGCGGAATGACAGAAAATGCGACCTGTGACCTTGAAGCTTTTGGCAGTTTCCAAACGGCGCTGGTGTCTACCAAGCGGAGCTATTTTCCTCCTTACGCCGGTGGTTCATACCGCAGAAACTGCGGTCATCTGCGACAAAATGAACTCAGCATCAATTTTCGTTTGACTTTACGAAAGTAGACATAGGCACTGCAGAACAGCGTACAAATTGAGATCGCGAAAGACGTTATCACCACCACATAATGCGGGCAATTTATGATCAGAACTATACGATGAAACGCGGATTCAATTATATCCACTTACCATCTCTCTTGGAATTCATGGTGAACGAACTGCTCCCGCTGCCTCGCATCGAGCCCGACGAGCAGCGCCAACTGAAATCATCTTGGGAGTCGCTATCGAATCTGTCTTTACGGGCGTTATTCTTTCTCTGGTTTCGCGACATGCGGCGATTGAAGCCGTCGCGAGAGTCGCTCAGGTCGTCAGCGAGGAAATCCGCACGGTGGCACTCGACGCTTTTCGGCTGGCGCTCTGTCGTCGGCGAGCTCCACTGACGAGCGTTGATCAACGGCTCCCTCAGAGGGGTAGGTTTCATTTCAACCTCAAGGGCGCCATCGAGGTCGGAATCCGAGTTATCCAGTTCGTCCGCCCAGCGGAGCGAGGGGTCATGCGATGCTTCACTCGCACACATTATGGAGCAGCTTAGAACCCGATCTGCGTAGTCAGGCAGTAGGCGCGCCCCCGGTACGGCGAGTGTAACGGCCTAGCGCGCCAGCAGAGCCCGAAACGGCGGCTCTTATCCGCCGCGGCCCTTGACGCGGCGATCGCGATTCGGATTGTTACCTAGAGCTTCCACTATCTCATGCGCGCAGGCACGAGATTCCCGAATATGTTGCTCGGAAAACAAGTTTTCACCTGCTTTCCAGATCCTCAGCGCGGCATAAAGAGGCGAGACCTTGCGGCCTAATATGCGGAGGACAAGATGACGGATGTGTCGTTGCAGTTGTAGCGTTTAGGGTTTCGGTTCTAAAAACGCGCGTATCCAAAGAAAAACACTAAAACATTAGAGGTGATAACGAACCCCCGCCACTGGTTGACGTCAATGCAGGCCCCACCCAAGCACCGTCAAAGTGCTGCCACATCCAGGTCAGAAGCCTCCTGCGCAAAAGGCACTAACCAGCCGAACATATCAGGCCGTATTTCTAAAATGCTCCGCTAATTCCTAATTTTGCCGCTGTGGCGTTAAGGAAGTCACATCGATATTGAAGATTCCATTTACTGGAAGACAAAACACAACGCGACGGGTGTTATACCGCGCTGGAATCCATGAGCTGGCAGTGTTATTATAATTTATTACGCCATAATACAAAATCGATTGCTGGAATCTGGATGATGCCGCACGCGCCAGGGACCGCAAGTCCATGTGTGTCGAACAACGTGTGTCGCGTTGAGTCTAATATACAGCTGTTTATCGCGTCACATCAATTCCCTCTAGTGGTACGGAATGTCTTCCGGTTCATGCAGTGGTGACTGTTGCAGTACTGAGATTGAAGATCGCGACGATGTCGTGAATACGATCACGTCACAGCGTGACCGGTCCTGTCTTGCGCACTAGTGATTACTTTAACGTGACTCACAAGCAAAAATACGGGTCGTTCCGTATATTTGCATTCGTCGTTATCCGGGACGTTGCGGCTAGATTTGACATTGTACTGCCGGGGCACGATTAATTTTAATTTTTCGCTGTCCAACCATGTCGATAGCGTCCGTCACAAAAGCATGGGCAGAATTTAAGCAGAGCAAAATAAGCGATTTTTGGACGGTATTGGTGACGAGAGTGTTCACGGAGCCTAACGTGTTCTACGCATCGTGAGTTACCGAAATGATTTTGTGTTGTATATTATACAGTGGTGATGTATAATGTAGCTTCATATTGTCGATTGCAATGTTTGTTGGGGTTTTCTTGTTTGCATATGAGTTCTGAAGGTAGCAGCACATCACTCGCAGGTCTACGCTCATCTTTTCCCTTTTATTTTTACTCATATTCGCATATTACCGGCTTCGTGGGCTGGCAAAGGTACGATATAGCAACGCCATGATTTGTCTGTTCATTGTCGTGTTTTTTCGATCAATATTTTAAGCGGCCCTGAGGCCAGCGGTTCTACGGTATATGTTACTGTAACGGATTAACGTTGCTGCAGGATTACCACAACATTGTGATGATCAAAAGGAATTTGGAGGCCATTGCGAAGAGCCGTTTAAAGCGCTACCTCCTGCAGTCAGCCCAGTTTTACTATTGAGTCGGTACCACTAATCTGGAGTGTAAGACAAGGCAACCGGGCCTGGGCCCACCGCCGTCGAGGTCCCACTTCTGAGAACTCCGCATAATGTCTGCGATGAAGTGGCATCGTGGTTATATCGTACTGGGTCTGGATATGTGAGCGTGAAAAGTCCTGCAATTTCAGCCTTGATTGGCGTGACCATGGCGACTTGAAACCCCTGGTTCATCAAGGGATTAAAGGTCCATCTCCACAATGCAACCACATTCAACGAACGCTGCCCGTTGATTGGCGTGGTTTGTAAAATGAGTGATGACACTGAGATGGGGGAGAATATGACGCCGGAAGAAAAGAAGATAAAGGAGACCCATGAAGGGAAGACGAAGCCGCGTTGTGGTTGTAAGGTAAATTGTAATGAAAACGTTCCGAAGCCCTGTAATAAAGAAGCTTGTAACCGGTGTAAGACAAGATGCGAGGAGAAGCAGCCGTGTGTATGTTATCGCTGTAGCTGTGGGCCGCAATGCAATGGCACGCTTTGTAGGTGCTGTCGTTGGTGTGGTGATAAATGCACACAAGGGTCTTGCGACGGGTACGTCTTAGGGAAATGTGAGGGGAAATGCAAAGGCCACGGGACATTCAATGACGAGGGCAGCCCCGTATACAACACCGAGTGCAACTGCGAACCCGACCAGGATTGCAAATGCTTCGTTAGCAAACGCGACCGCAAATGCAGATGTTTCCGCGGCGAGGTTCAGGACGGGAACTGCGTAGGGAAATGCGAATGGTGTGGTAAACTGTGTTCTAGACATAGAAATATACGCAAGGTTGCAATAGGAGTCCCCATCATCATAATTATAATAGTCAACCTCGTCATGTGGTCGCGGTTTCCAGAGAAAACACGCACAGCTATTTATACAATATGGCGTTTATTTACTTGCTATCCCTGTTATTACGACACACGAGCAATGGCTCAGATTGCCAAGTGAATCCAGAGGAGATGAACGCTTATCGCTACTCTGCCTTCCTGTACCAGGAGATGGTAGCTTCACATCGCACGTAAAATTTTCATATCGCAGTAACTTTAACGTAAATGTAGTGGCACTCGACGCTAATAAATGCTGTCTAAGGGGTGCCTTATCCCCTCGTGTCTCGTATGATTGACCTATGTTAAGCACTGCTTGACGGCAATGTAATGGACGCAGCGGAACCATGTTGCCAGCGGTTATGCCAAGTGGTATAGGCGAGTCAAAGCATAAGGTGATTGCCTAACTACAGGAAATGGACCTGCAGCGGGCCACTCCGACTAACAAATGTCCAAGGTGTAAAAACGCTAAAAACGTGGACAACCGTGCAACAAACTGGGCAGATGATATGCTAGCCGCAGCCTACAGTAACAGTGCCAGGAAATAGTCCGGTAAACGCAAAAATCTTCCCAAGCCAGACGTGGGAACATGGCAAACTACACAATGCCTAAACAAAGATCCTATGTTACATTATGTTATCACTGATAGTTTCGATTGTGGGCTACGCTGAGAGGTGCTGTGGCGCGTGTATCGGAAGCATAACAATGCTTACACTTCTTCCTCAGCGGCTAGAACGGTGTCGGGGTTTACCACGTTAGTAGATTGATCCTTCCAGGATGACGCAGTCATCGCTAATCGGCCCACTTATAGTGAGGCCATTCCAACCCATTCTTGGTCGTTGGTCCAAAATTTATTGCTGCGGATGTTGCGTGTAGTCCTACGGGTATCCCAGGACGCTGCCTGATTCTTTTTACCGCCCTTGTTTGGCTTTCTCGTTGGCGGCTGTGTGTCGTCGAAAGCAGGTTCGACTCTGGAATACGCAATTCTCCCCTTCTCTTTAGGCGGCGGCGGAGTTGGATTGGCGTTGCCCCCAGTGTTGGTTATTTTTTCCGTTGGGGGATGGGTATCGTCAACAAGGTACGGGACTACGGAAGGCACAAACCACCTTTTCTCTTTTGGATCTGACGGCGGCGGAACACCATTAGACGCTCCTGCAATCTTCCCGCCAGCACCGTTAGGCTTATTCGTTGGCGGTCTTGTGTCGTCAACAAGTCTTCGGACCGCATCCCTCATAATCTCCCCTTTGCTTTTTGGATCAGGCTGAGAGGGATCACCATTCGAGGCAGCATCCTTGGCACCACCAATGGTTACCTTCCCCGCCGGCGGATGAGTATCGTCAACAAGGGGTAGGACTTCGGAAGAATAAATCTCCCCTTTACCTTTTGGATCCGACGGCGACGGACTGCCATTAGACGCTACCGCAGCCTTCTCTTTAGCACCGCTACGCTTATTCGTTGGTGGCTGCGTGTCGTCGAAAGCATGAGGGACGCGGGAAGGCACAAACTGCCCCTTCTCCTTTGGCGATGACGGAGTTGGATTGGCGTTGCCCCCAGTGTTGGTTATCATTTCCGCAGGAGGCTGCGTGTCGTCAAACTCGTGAATGACATCGGAAGGCACAATTCTCCCTTTCTCTTTAGGCGATGACGGCGACGGAGATGGATTTGCGTTGCCCCCAGTATTCGTTATCTTTTCCGCAGGCGGTTTCGTGTCGTCGAAAGCACGAGGGACGCAAGAAGGCTGAATTCTACCTTTCTCTTTTGGCGGCAACGGAGTTGGATTGCCGTTCGCAGCGCCTACCTTCTTGTCACATCCGTTTGATTTATTCGTTGGCGGGGTAGTATCGTCAACAAGAGGTTCGACGTCGATCTTGTTAATTATACCTTTCTCTTTTGGAAGTGAGGGGGTGGGTTGCGCCGATGTCACCGCATGAACATTGATTCCGCTGAGGATCAGAATAGCCACGGATAGGAACCACTTCATTTTGTAGTTAAATATTAGACTCTATACTCAAATCGGCACCATATGTATATATCTTTTACGGCGATGGATCTCCTGGAAGGCATGTTGGGCAACAGCCTTCTACCGGTGACAACCAACACACACGTGGAAGGTACATGACTGCAAAGACGCCACATGTTAAATAAGGATACGCGTGGCGTATATAATCCGTTTCACAATTCGCCGCAGCCCTTCGCAGCCGAGCGGACGTCACTGTTGTCATCACGGTTCCTGATCTGCTGGACGTCGCCGCGAATCTTGCGTTTACATCGCGGCACAATACACTCCGTTACGTGTGAGGCGCAGTGTTGGATTTTGTTGGCTTCTTTTAAGTTTCACAGCTTCTCAATACGTACATTGTTACGCATGAGTCGTACCGCCACTACGCAGCTTAGATTGGTTGATATCCACAAACACTTTCTCACCACCATAGCGACACCGTGGTCCACATTGTTGACACTTTTACAGCTACTAGCGATACGATTATGCGGAGGTTCGACTCACTGCGTTTGGTCAGGTGATTGGTCGCGTTGAATTCAGTAGCTGACGTTTTTGGTTCTTCGCTTACTAACATAACAAGACAGGGATCAGGGAGATACCCCTACGTTATGACGTGGAAAGGAATGGTGACGAAAGAACACGCCAAGTATAGGCGGGACCTGGGCACATCAAATCGCTTAGAAGCCCACATACAACGGGTAGTCATCCAAGAAACACAAAAGGTGTTGAGGGACAGGAAACCCAGGGAGGATTATGACTCTGTGAATGACCACGGTGCCCAAACAGGACGGATGACACCAGTAACGTTTGGCAACAGGACGTGGGTCCCGCAACAGATACCAACGACATGCAGGCCGTAAGTCCTCAGTAAAGGTGAGAAGCACTGCTCATACGCAGACATATAGCACACTAAATAAAGCAAAACGAAGACAAACTTAGGCATTCACCTTGACCGAGTCTATCTAGAAGAAATACTGCGGTAAAATATCCTTGAAGACAATCTCAACGCCTGTCCGCCATAAGCCCATGCTCTACGCATCTTTCCAGTAACCACTCTTGTAGCACCCATAACTGGCCACTAGAAGGTAATGTAGCGGGATCCCATTGAATAATTTATTTTTGAGGAAATATGGGTGATCACCCAAGCCTGTAGCCCGGGAGCGCCATGCTAGCTTAGGCAGTGGCGCATCCACCTAGGGCGTGTACGGGATGCGAGTGATTGTTTGGGCACGCAGAGTGTGTGGTGTGGGTGCCAATGGGTGACATTCTATGATTCTTTAGCATCCTACCCCAGCGCAGTGGCCACGCAGCCAGATGCCGTTACATTAGTAGCGTGGCAGCCGGATGCGGTGCGAAGGTGGTGACAAGCGGGCGGGATTATGCTTCGTTCATATCCAATTTAGTTTACATTGGAATAAAGAAATGTTGTACGGGAATGCGGGCAATTGTGGTTCAGGAATCCCGGTGTTCACGCCGACGGCAAAATCCAGGATTCTCTTAGGCCGTATTGAAGGCTGGCTAGTAGCTACAAAGATTGAGACTAAACATCTGCAGAGTAATGCTGTAATATAGATGCCCATCGAGCGAATTAGTCCAAAAGCGTACGAATCTGAGTGATAGACGCACACAACATCTCCCGCATACACACAGTAGTACCAAACACGGTCATGCGCTGGATTCCGCGGCAACCTGCAATCACATCTGGTGTTATAAATGGTTTTGTGAAGAAACTAAATCAATGTGTCGTGATGTGCGGTTGTTAATTGGATATAACCGTGCGAAAAATCGCAACCTCCAACAGAATACCACGGCACGAAAGCCACCAAAGGCAACCCACACAGACACCAAGCGAAACAAAAATGATGGCATCTGCTTAGAAAAAACAAATCATGCCAATCGCTAAAAATGATACCAGGGATATTCGCGTTCCTTATTACGCGACTGCGGTGTTAATAGAGAGCAGGTCACGCCGGATGTCGCAGGCACTGTAACATAACACTCGCGGCACAGTGTAACATTTTTAAATGTGTATGTGTCGCCTATAATTCTACGAAGATTACTAACTTCAATATGTGCCATAATACCCGAAATTTGTGTATGGCAATGACTCGCGCTTTAAATACCGCGTACCACATCAATTGTCTTGGACTGGCCACGATGCGGCATCTTCGTCTCCACTACGCGTCAGAAGTTCGCTAATTGTTCTATAAACGGGTTTATATATTTCGATTAGGTGCCTCTGTATTGGAAGGCAAGAGCAATGCATTGCTGATTCACCATTAAGACACGCGGGGCATTGTGCAAACTGCCCTGCAAATAGGTTCTAAAACCACATGTCCACATATATAACGTAATTTATCGGCTCATTGCAAAATGGTGTACGATTCGTTGGCCGAGGCTCCTCGCAACCTCAAAGAGTGCATTGACTGGTTGATCGCCCTGAAGGGAGTTGATCCTGAGAACAACTTGTTACCAGTCGGTGCTGCACTCTACGACTTGCTCGCAGACATGCCCGTTGGCTTCACGGAGGTGCCAGCTCTCGAGAAGGTTAAACTGGTTTCTAAGAAGTTCCTGGAGAAACCGGAGCTTAAGGACCAACCATTAGTGAAAGGCCTGCTGGATAGGTTCGCAAATCCTATGAGTAAAACGGGCTCATTCGCTAGGCGCGGTAAAACCTTAATCCAAAGCGAATATGAGAACGTCATACAAACCAGAGATGCCAAGCCTGAAACTATCGCAAAAAACCTAGGTAAAGTTGTGTACGCTTGTGAGGGGTTCTTGCGAAGTATAAAAGTCTCTGGGCAGTATACGTCTGCTTACAGCTCAGAAGCGACGTGGGAGGCATCATGCGCAAAGGACCCGGAAGCTTGCGCAGTGGTCCTCGTGGGGATTGCGCCAATGTTGTACACTGGCCTGCATGCTTTGCGCATTGCGAGTAAGGCTGCAACCAATAAATTCTTGTTCGACGCCAAGCATGGTTTGGGAGATGTGGTGAAAGCCGTAGGTTACGAAGAGCCAGGCTGCCGTGCAAGCATGAGCGGTTCGGATGTGCTGAAGGCGCTGGAAGGGGTCGATAAACGAGTATTGGAGACAATATACGACCTCGCTGGATTCTGGGCTTTCTATTAATAGGGTATTTCCGGAGCTGTAAAAGAAGATCGACCAACGAGGAACCTCTTATGCCTTTTCACTGAGTAACCATCTAACGACCTCTGACTAGAAGCTTCCAATTTATGAAATGTAGCTCACCCCAAGTCAATGCATGCGATCTTCACGCAGTAGACAATGCCCGTCAAATGACAGCCCTCCACTTGCATTTAATCTCTATCATGGCGCACTCTGGCGACTGCTGTTGCCTCAGCGTTGCACGCATCAATGTCCATGTGCCCAACGTAGATTATGCAAACCCGCAGCTTATAAATCGCTGTTTACGCCGCTTTAGACCGCCTCAGGTAGTTTAAAGGCCATCGGTGTCACTTGACGTTGTTTGGCAGCATAGCAGTTGTAGGAATGCTGAGTGCAAGGCGTATTAGCACGTGTAGATTGCATAACTTAGCAACGCATTCGTTGATCGTAGTTACACTTCTGAACTTAAATACTGCTATTTTCCCCAAATGAATAAACATGGAGGTGCGCCACATCGGTGCGGGCCGAATTTATAGGCGTCCAGAATGGTTTGCGTGTCATGCCCTGTATATATCTGAGCTAGATGCCACTCCCTTAGGCAAAACGGGTCTCTAATCCGCTGACGGAAGCGGTATACACGGGGAATATGTTGTACCCCTACTAGTCATCCTCATTTTCTGGTGTATGCTTCATGACAGCGGATACAAGGTGATCATTACAATTTACGCTGCAGTTGCTAACTCGCCAAACTAATATGGATCATAGAGAAATCGTGTCGGTGGAAGGTTTGCAGAGGATATGGACATTGATAGATGCTCCGATTTCACGTCCAAGAATATCTCGTAGCCTTGCTTTTTGCGCGTATAAGTAGTGTTTTTGGATAGAAACTCAATGTCAAACGGGCATCATTTATAATGACGGAAATAGTTTTGACGGCATACAATAAGCGAATAAAACCAAACAAACCAAGTTACTCATTTGGTCTTGAGAGCAACACAGGTTTTGCACTAGTGTGGGTCCATATATTATAAACGATGGTGTGATTTGGCGAAGCTAATTATTACGTGAAGTTGCTTGGATGGACGCCATTAATATGCAAACGGTGGTGTTTGTCTTCTACGTGACAAATGCGAAGTTTTTATATATGGATACCCGAAATCAGAGTTCCTATGACACATAAAGCGCTAACATTGTGCATAACATTGGTACTCAATGCCACAAATCCTGAAGAGACGGGTTTTGTAGCGCACGTAATGATGACTCTCTCACATTCCTGTGGTGCCCCTAATCCAACGACATCCTTCAATTCAGCCGTGGATTCATTATAGGTGCTTGTATTCGGTGACGATATGATCACAATTGGCGTAGGGTTACAAGGTATCGTTGAAGAAATTGGAGCAATGGTGTCATCACTCGCAGCAGAGTTGTCCTGCGCATATTGGGCACTAGGATTTGACTTCGATGAATCCGCGTACTCAACGCTTATATTGTCGTTATCAGAAATGCTTGCTGCCTTTATAATGCCTTTTAATGACCGTAAATGAGACAACATAGACAATGCTTCTCCATTAATCCCCTCTGATGGTATCGTCTCCAATAGTGGTGCGTAGTCTTCGAACGCTGACGCTAGTCTCTGTTGCTCCCCTACGAATATTGCTGCTTGGGGTGCCTTTGGACCTATCTTGATCAGAGTGTCACTGATAGCGTTGTAACGGTTATAAATGTCCCATACATAGCTGATCATTTTCAAATCGTCAGTGTACAGGTCGTTCTTATACTGTATATACTCGGGAGCCAAATTAATATTTAAATGGGAGGCAGTAGTGACTGTTTCTGTATCAGAGCCTTTCATTAAACACCCGTGTACAACATCGTCTCTTTGCTTTGTTTCTGGCTTAATTTTATCCACCGTTGTTAGGAGATCCTGATCGTCATGGAATTGCCGCATCACTTCATTCTCTGCATCCGATGGCATGACAGGTTTCGTTACGACGCTGAGTATTAATTGTATATCGCCCGTTGCATCTCCTTCGAATGCTTGCGGGCATTCGATGTTTAATCCCGATAATGATTCATCGAGAGATTGAGATGGCGTTGGTTGTTGAGCCTTAAGTTTTTGAACGAACTTTCTTGCTTTTATTAGCGTTCTTTCATAACACGATACATCTTTTAATTGTAATGTGACAAATGCTAATTCTTCTTTATCTTTGAATCTTTCTTGTATATTCGCCAGAGCTTCAATCAGTTCAGCTGACCTTGCCGGCGTCATGTCTTTGCCTTGAATCTCTCTTGTTATCGCAGCGTACTCATCGAAAATATTCCCCAGTTCTACATATTCTTGAGCTTTATTCCTAACGTTCTCAAGATTATCAACTAATATATAACGCTCCATCTGCACCGCCGTTTTAATTTCAGGTGTATCTTTTGTCTCAGCCACCCCAGATAAGACGATCATCAAATCTCTATAGGTTTCTTCAATATCCTTAAAGAGTATATTTAAGCGTTTCACTTTTCGATAGTAGTCATCATTAGTAGCGTAGAATACCACGCTTCTGCCCGGTGGCGATCCATTGTCATCAGGATGGCGCATACTGGCTGATCTCATAATCAAGCTGTTGAACACGACCAGGTGTAGGCACAGAAGCGCTGCGACATTTCGCCGTCCGTAGGAGCGAATGTATTTCATTGTTGCTGAAAGGAATCAGGGCACCGTGCCCAAAGAATTATAGCGATAGAAATTGTTACCTCAATGTGACGCAATGGAGCAGAGCGGTATTGACTCAAACATACGAATATTCTTACCACGGCTTTCGAACGTACAACGAATCTATCGAGGTAGAAGCACTTGGGTTATGATCATATGCGTGGGGAAAGCATCCTAATGAAAGGGAAGGATTTTATGGTGTAAAACGTATTTCTGTAATGAGTGCCGTTGCGCTTCATGAACCACATAAGCAATATAAGAACTGCGAAAATTCTTTACCACCTATCGACTTTTCCTGTCGCCACCGCATGTAGACACCAAGTAGTCAGCTATATAGTTGTTCTCAGTGGTTTCTAGCACATGTGACTTCTACATCTTTTAGACAACATAAGGTGCCAAGATGGTCTTATAATGATGAAACAAAATTTGCCCCGGGTTAAACGACTATTGGGATTATCGGTGGTGACTATTCTCAAGGGAATAAAATGGATAGCTCGCCGAATATACATCAGAAACGCACGTAGGAAGGCACTGTAGTGAGCATTCAAAATCTTATATTTGATATGCAAATGTTGTTGCCGACCACCCCTCGCAATACGGCATACTTTCATTGAGGACTAGGTTGGTTATCAATGCGGTGTTTCAGTGTAAATGAGCTCGTCGTTTATTATGATGTATTAGAATCATGATAAATCAATGGATGTTGTTTCCAAAATGTACCTACAGCAAGGCTTTTAGTAAGCCGTTGGTGTGATCTACGAACTGGAAAACGAGAAATATATGCCAAACAGAAAATATAAATTGAACAGATCAATGAATAGTATAAAAATAATTATTGCGGGTGTTCACAACACATCCATGCCGAATTTATCGAACACGAAATGTGACAAACATTGTGGCTAACGTCTCCCCGTTTTAAATCAGGTGTCTAGATCAGCTCGGGGCTGTCATTCCGTCAATACCTGTCAATGGCCTCTACTATATCGCCAACGTCGAACCGCGATTGTAGTTGTGCAGCAACCCTACGAACCGGCGACAAAGCGGTACGTATCTGATCCTCTGGCGCGAATTGGTGTTGCATAACTACGACAAGCGATCTCTGCAGCGCCCAGGTGACCTTGGAGCTGTCCTCGCACCTCGCGAAAGCTGCTGCCACATGCGCCAGAGCGGAGCATTGGTGCTCCAATTTGAGCAAGCCAAGGGAGTACTTTGCAAGGCGCATGGACATAGAGCCGTAGTGTTCGGCGTTGAGCACGGTGATCTTTGACGAGAAAGCCGACACGAGGTAGAGCAAACATTGGTGTTGCCGCTGCGATAATATAACGTCCTCCTCGAAGATGACACAGGCTGTTGCGATAAAGTTGTAGCACACAATTCCGAAGCGTTCGTAGTTTGCATTGTCGTGCATGTCCAAGCGGAGAAGCTCGCATAGCTCGTTAACCGAAATTGCGGCCAACGTTGCCAACTTGAGAGCCTCTTCAGGTATCAATGATTGTAGCATCCGTATCATGTCACTAACGAACTTGAATATTCCCATTGCCAAAGCGGCAGATTCCTCGACGTCCATGGAACGATTGGCAGGCGTGCTTTCCCCAGACAGCTCGAAGGGTCTGAATGCCAGCTCCAGAGATCGCAGAATCAAGGTTGGCAGGCTGTGACGATAACAGATTGGTCCGCTTCTCACCATGCGTTCAAGCAGAGCTTGGTATATGCCAAATTGTTGCGAAGGATCGTACGACTGCACGATCTGTATCAGCTTCGAGACGTACTGCTGGTCATCCCTCAACTGGTGTACCGTGTCGTGAGACTTGGGCGACACGAAAAATGGAAGCAGGAAACGGCTTGTAATCTCGAAAGCATCACAGCTGTCAATGGTGAGCTTCGACTCCACCATAGCTTCAACCATTGCCCTGGCGACGTCCCTCTGCATGTGTGCTGGTAGGAAGCCGACGAGGGGGTCGTTATGCTTCATCTCAAGCGAACGCAGGCCTAGTGTCCTAAGCGGAAGCGTGAGCAACTTGATAATACTTCCGCACGCATCGTCTTCCACCCGAAGATTCTCAGTGTCGCATATCTGCAGGACGTTCACGACGTGGTTGAGAATGACTTCGACGTGCTCTATGATACCGGGGTATACGGTTGTGGTGAACTCCACGAAGCTGGCCTGTAAATCTAAAAACCCCTTGAGACTTATTCCAGTTTGGAGGTCAACCGAGCTCAGGTATTTGTGGAACACCTCAAATACATCGCCTGTGCAAACAGAATCGCCGCTTAGATCAGCCGACCGGAAATAGTGCGACAGTCTGTTCATAAGATTCGTCAGCACGTTAATACACTCGTTGGACGATATCGAAGTAACAATAACCTTGAGCAGTTTCGGCAGCGACTTCAGGTGGTACTCGTCAGAAAAGGCTTGGATCAGACAGTCGAGAAGGTACTTCTTCGCCGAAACGTCGCTGATTGCCGATATTTCTTCCAATATGCTGGGCAGGGCTGTTTCGGTGTAAAATTCGCAATTCAGAGATTCCATTTGTGCCATACGGACTAAGTTAGCGCCCACGAGCAACCCGAGTTCAAGTCTCTGTTTGTCCCACCGCATTTGGTCCACACAGCTAGTGCAGCCTCTGTTTAGCCTGACCCAGAGCCTGACAGACTCTTTGAAATTACCCATCAGAAATTCAAAGGATTCCAAAGTGCCATTGCTATTTGTTGGTTCCGAATCCGGCAATTTGTCCTTACACAATTGTATGAGGAAGTAGCGCAGAAACAGTCCCCTTACGGGATGCTGTACCCCGCGGCAGAGCTCCGTGACGTCATCTAGAATACTCTTTGCGGAAGATACGCCACCCTTGATACAATGCGATGCAGCCATAATAAGCAGGTACAGCCGCGGTATGATGAAGGCGCTCTGCTGCACCGTTTCGTAGAGCTGGTTGAGCTTCATGCCGCGTTTGCTCTCGTTGCCCATGAACTCGGAGAGCACTTGAAGCTCGTTGAACACTTTCATGTAAAGTTCATAGTAGTTCGTAGGCGTGAGACTGGAGGTGCGCAGTTCGCTGATAACATTGATACCTCTCTTAAGGGCCTCGCCGATATCGTTTGCATCCTGAACAGATGTTAAATCGTGCCATTTTCAGTTATTTCAAGACGCGCGAAACACACTACACAAATCCGTATGCAATCCACTGTTTTTCGATGATGCATTCACTTAATGGCCGATAACAAATTTTGATGTGCCAAGGCTAACTGAGAGCGACATTATAATACAATTCATGAAAGATGGGGAATATGTGAAGAAGAGTTAAGGATGGCAAGGTTCACGTTCTCACGCATACTGTCGTAAAATGGAAGATCAACGGTTTCAACTCAGACAGCAGTTGCCACTTATGCATGGCCACATAAGCGGCACTCACACTTCAACAACGACAGTAAAGCGTGTATAGACAGCACAAAAGGGTTTCAAACCAATTTTAGATGTCAACAGCATGCACATCGTACACTTTTGTAGGAATGTAGGTCACCGTTGCACATCACCAATGTAGACAGCACGCAAAACCGTAACACACCAGTGCCTGACGCATGTAGTACGCGTGTTCCTTGACGTAGAAGAGCGCTTCTTCGAGCAGCTTGCATTGGTCGATGGCCTGGTGGCCATAATCGCTGCCGTAGGCCTCGTCGTCGGAAAATCCACCGCGACGCCTCATCTCGAACGCTTAATCTAGCCTCCAAACAACTACACCTGTCCTAAGATATATTGGTAAAGTATTTTGGAACGCTATGCCAATGCTCGGGTGTCCATTTTATAGTGACCGAAACGATAGACGCGTCGAATTCGTCACAGCTGAGCGCGTGCCCTGAGTGAGGCGCGCGTGGGTGTGCCTTCAGCTCCTGTGTTTACATCGCGTTGAACGGCGAAAATTGACGTTTAGAGTTTGACGTTTCACGTAAAATTTACACATTCATTATATTTGGTTTTATTCGCCGCGCAATCGCTCTGTGCATTCGTGCACAAAGAATAAGGCGGCTGTTCGCTTGTTTTCACTACGGATACATACCATTGCGTTGTCATGTAGTTGAAACGATCTGCTGAGTGTCAGCACATCATATCTCGGTTTGTAGCAGAAGAACGTTTGGTCAATACTGTTCGGTTTGGTCCGACTCCTGACTGAGCGCTGCATTTTGGATCAATCTGGCTACCCTGTGAACTGTGTTCGTACGCTATGCCGTCAGGAACCGAGAATACGGCTGCTAAGCCGTCAACACAGGTTGCCGATGCCAAGGTGGCGGAGCCACCGAAGGAGGCCGACGGCGGCGAAACCGGCCGCAAAGAGTACGCGGTGTTAGACCTCCACTTGAACCAGTTCCTATCGTTCATAGCAGAGGATTATTCGTTTCTGCCCTGCGCTATTTACAAGCCACGCATCGATGTGTATCTGGATGGAAAGCTCATGTACAAAAGCCGAGTACTAGCCCATGAAGACGACATCTTCGGCAACGTTATCCGTCTGCGAGTATATTCGCCTAACTCGATGTTGACACTGAAGCTTTACGAGTGCGTGCAGCTGCGGTTGACTGAGAAGTGCGTGGACGAGCTCATCCGTCCGATGCTGAGGAACGAGCCCACGGATGAGGTGCTGATATCCTGGTGCAACATCGAGCTGGGCTTGTTGGTGCCCGCTCAGCGTTACGACATGGTTTGTGCGTTCCGTGTTAACCCCATGTTTGTACATTACAACCCCGGTGGGATATTGTACTATCCTACAGTTAATGGGAAGCCGTTCATCGAGAACAAGCGCGTCTGCTGTGCATGTCGCGTCTGCGTTTTTCTCGCGTCAAACACGCTGACGGTCCACGAGAAGGTGTTGAACAAGTACTTCGACTTCCGCTGTGACTCGCACGAAGTGCAGCTCCCGAGGCGCTCATCCTCGAAAGACCACATCGCTGCAGGCATGTCAGAAAGTGATGGCATAAAGGGCGGGTCTAATTTTGCCCGGTCATTAGGTCGTAAGGAACTCGATTCTGTGAAAGACTTTAAAAACGACCCTGAACCTGTGGTTAAGATGATGAGAGAAAAGAACTATTCGAAGGAGAGGCCCGTCTACGACATACCGCAAGAGGACAGCAAGTTGGAGACTTTTGAGATGAACGTGAAGAAAATTTTCTTTACTCAGGAAAATTGTACGTGCTGCCGGCTCGTTGAAGTACCCAAGCACCTGCGTGGCATAAACTACAGCCCCTGCCCCTGCTGCCACGACTACCAGGTTTGCTGCGAGCACTCCCTTGAGACCTACTATTATACGTCTATATCGCTGAAGTTGGTGTCAAAGTCGCCTATCGATTTCAAGACGGAGCTCATGGCTTTGATGGACGTCCCACCGGGAAGCCCCAATGATTCACACGAACGGAACGATTCGCTGTGTTCAATCGTGACGCGTGCGTACGAGCTCCAAGATCAGTTGAAGATGCTAAATCGTCACCTCGGTTTCTCCGAGGGTAGTGAGGCGCACCAGCAGTACTTCTACGTGTTTGTTGCTATTATAATGTTGGGGTTTATTCTAGACGGGAAGACCCTCACGGTGTCATGCTTCATGCTCGGTTTCATCACCATGTACTTGCACAATACGTCGTTGAAACAGTACCAGCACGACTTCGGTGACGTCATTGAGGCCAGCCGGCGTCTTACCCGAAGCGGTCTGGGCCTCGAGAAGACCATTCGCGACATGGTCGAGGAAGAGGAGCCGACAACCGCCATAGAACCTGAAGACAGGTACCAGCGCAACATGAAGTGCGTATCGAAGCATGATTTTATTGATGACGTAAAGTTATTTTCGAAGTTGAACACCTCGCTCAACCGAAAGGAGAACATTTCGATCAAGACTATGACGCTGCTTTTCAGTTCGAGTATTCCGAAGAATCTGCGCAGCACTCTGGTGACGACGATTGAGTATTGCGAGTCTTTCGTGTGGTGGGTGAATGCAGTTCTGGCTGTGATCCGTTGTTTCGGTCCTTATCTCTGCTGCTTCTTCTGCGTTATGGGCTTCCTGAGTCTGCGCTACGCGTTCTGGATGAAGTGCTGCATCAAGGCAGTGCTGGTCCTATGCTGCACCTCCGCGCTGGTGGAGGAGCACTCCGTCGTTCGGCGCCGATTCACGCAGCTTCGGCAGCTGGCGAAGTACCTGGCGATGCGCATATACAGGCGCGAGTGGTTCCTCAACGCTAACTCTTTCCCTTAAAGTGGCGCTCTACCATAATCATGTTCATCTTTGCGGGATCGGCGTCGTGCTTAACCAGCTCGCGCTTGCGGCGGTAGTGGTAGTACTCCAGGCAGAAGTACTGCTTGAGGATGTAGAGGTAACCGGCGCCGAACGCGAAGCACAACCCCTTCTGCACACAATAGGGTTACACATGTACACAACTCACCGCTGAAAAGAGTTGTCTACCGAATCTTCGCAACGCCATTGATGCTTTGCGGTGTCGTCCTGCCGCGGTTGGTCGTGCGCGCCGTTGTGGTGTATTGCGCCGCCTTCAGCGGCCCACGGCGTAGAATAACAATCCCATTGAAACGGAGTAATGCGTTGAATCCCATGTGAGGTTACCACGTAACGCAGATGTCTCTCCTTCCTGGAGCGCGCAAGTTCGTCCCGCCTCCGGCGAGTAGCGCGCCGGCACATTACGCCCCGGGCGCCGGCCGAGGGTGGGTTTACTCGCTGTGTATGACTAACGACATCGTTCAGGGCCACAGCGTTCACCACCAGAGCTGACTTCGGGTATGCAGCCGCCACGGCAGCCGAGTAGGTTCATCCTTCCTGAGTTTTATGCTTTTCAGCCCGTTTGGCAAGCCGCCGCCAGGTTATGTTCCCGGAAGAGGTCGCGGTGCCACCAGTTTCGCTGGCGGTGTCTCTCGTGACGATGTGGCCGATGCTTTGGACCGCTCCGTTGTGGGCGGCGAGGACACGGTGAACCTCGAGAACGAACAACTGTTCCAAGACGCTGAATACGACGATGAAGATCGTGAAGCGGATCTTATATACGAGTCGATCGATGCGCGCATGGATGATCGGCGTCGGTCACGTCGTGAATCGCAGATCAAGGCTGAGGTCAACCGGCAGAGGTCAGAGAAGCCGACGATCCACCAGCAACTGGCTCCTTTGAAGCGTGAGTTGGAAGCTTTGACGATGGAGGACTGGGAGTCTATTCCGTCGATAGGCGACTATTCGTTGAAGCGCAAACAGCAGAACAAAAGGCAGCCGCAGTTCACAGCTGCCCCCGATTCGCTGTTGTACTCTGCGCGCGCCCACATGCAGAGCGACACCAGCATAGGCACATCCACCCCGCTCGGTTTCGCAACTCCGCTGGGTATTATGGGTGGCAGTTCCACTCCCTTGGGTAACAGGTCCGCCTCGGTAATGAGGACGCCATCTGGGACAACCAGCTCGTTGAATGACCTGGGTGAGGCCAGGGGAGCCGTTCTCTCTATAACGCTTGACAAGGTCATGGACAACCTCAGCGGCCAGACGGTGGTCGACCCGAAGGGTTACCTGACAGATTTGAATGCGATGAACATCAAGAGCGACAGCGACATTGCCGATATCAAGAAGGCGCGTACGCTGCTAAAGTCGGTCATAGCTACCAACCCCACCCACGCCCCCGGTTGGATTGCTGCTGCACGCATTGAGGAGCTTGCTGGGAAGCTGTCGAGCGCGCGCGAGATCATCGCCCAGGCGTGTGAGAAGTGCGGTGACCGCGAGGATGTATGGTTAGAGGCCGCACGCTTGGAGAAGCCCGAGTACGCCAAAGCAGTCCTGGCCAAAGCCGTGCGCATGGTTCCAAAATCTGTCAAGGTCTGGGTGGAAGCTGCAAACCGCGAAACGAATACGAATGACAAGCGTCGCATTCTCAGAAAGGCCCTTGAGTTCGTGCCCAATTCAGTGCGTCTTTGGAAGGATGCAATATCGCTAGAGGATGAAGCCAACGCCTATATAATGCTGAAGCGTGCCGTGGAATGCGTACCGGACTCGGTTGACCTTTGGCTGGCCCTGGCGAGGCTCTGTCCATACCAGGAGGCCCAGAAGGTGCTGAACGAGGCGAGGAAGCAGCTGCCCACGAACCCAGACATTTGGATAACGGCTGCTAAACTGGAGGAGTCGAATGGTAACAAGCCGATGGTAGGTGACATTTCCTCATTTGCGTTACCGTTGTTCAGGTTGAGAAGATTATCGCACGTGGTCTGGAAAACCTTAGCAAGAAGGGCGTCATTCACGTACGTTCTAACTGGCTAAAGAATGCTGAAGTGTGCGAAAGCAATTCGTTTGTGGCTACTGCACAGGCCATTGTGAAGTGCACGATGACTACGGGTCTCGATCCCTCAATGTACTTGGACACTTGGCTCCAGGATGGTGAGCAGTTTGAGGAGAAGGGTCTATACGGATGCGCAAGAATGGTCTATCGCAGCGCACTGGACCATGTGAAGACGAAAAAGTCGCTGTGGCTGGCGCTAGCGGAGTTGGAGACAAAGCATGGCTCGCCAGCCGAAGTCGACGACGTACTTACACAGGCCACCAAATACTGCCCCAACTCCGAGATTTTGTGGCTCATGTCAGCCAAACACAAGTGGCTACAAGGCGATGTTGAAGCTGCGCGTGCAATCCTCGCTGACGCGTATTCCAAGAACCAGGAGTCGGAAGCCATCTCCCTGGCTGCTGTTAAGCTCGAGAGGGAGCACGACGAATTCGACCGGGCTCGTGAGCTGTTGGTCCGCGCACGCAAACAATGCGGTACCCGCAAGATATGGATGCAAAGTGTACAGCTTGAGCGCCAACTAGGCAATTATAGTGTGGCTATCGACATGTGCGAGGAGGCTCTGCGGTTGCATCCCTACTTCGATAAGTTGTGGATGATTGCCGGCCAAATGCGCCTAGAGCTTCCGGAGCCCAAAGTAGTAGAGGCGGTGGGGATCTTCAAGTGCGGCACCGAAAATTGCCCCTGGAGCACCGCGTTATGGTTGCTCGCACTAGAGTCACTAATGCGGAACGACGAGCAGGCGAAGGCCAGGGCGATGGTGGACGTGGCCAAAACGAAAATCAGGTGCATACTCGGACCTCATCTCAAGCAGTCGGAGAAAGTGGTTACCGTTAACACCAAGCGATTGTCCCAGAACGAACTTGTGCGCATCGCCAAAGCGGCTTCGAACTATCCGGAAGGCGAAGCGACGTCCCCTCAGGAGGAGCAGGATCTGGTAGATGGCCTTGTTCAGATGATCATGAAGAACTGCGATCTGCTGTGGCTACGCGCTATCGATATTGAACTGGAGTGTGGTAACCCGGCCAATGCGCATTTCATGATCTCAGCTGCTTTGCAAGAGTTTCCTGACTCAGGTTGCCTGTGGGCACGAGCCATATTCCTTGAGGAGAGGAATGCACAGAACTCTAAGGCAGTTGATGCACTAAACCAGTGCCCCAACTCCCCAATAGTGGTGATGGCAGCCGCTCGGTTGTTCTGGCGAGACAAGAAGACGCTCAAGGCTCGCAAGTGGTTCCAACGTGCTCTTGCCCTAGACGATTCCAATGGCATAGTCTGGGGAACATTCCTCGCGTTCGAGCTTGAAGGGGGTGACTCGGAGGCAATCAAGGACGTGATCAACGGATGCGTTAAGGCGGAGCCCAACGCAGGGTACGAGTGGTGCGCGGTTGTGAAGCGCGTTGCGAATTGGCGTCTGCCATGGCCACACAAACTTTATCGTTTCGTCGAGGAGTACCATCACGACATCCTATCAAACGCATTGGAACAACTGCCGCCAGACATCAAATCGGTCCTGGTACCGGGAGCCGCGCCAGTTGAAAATGACAAGTAATCATATCGTATATATACAGAATGTAGTTAAATTAAGCTGTGCATTCAAATTGGTACCTTGTGTGATGAAGTTAAAAGGGAGTGGCGCGATGACATGTTAAGAATACGCGCTTTGCGGGGCGTCTTAGATAGGATATTCATATTCAATGGACTGTCACCCAGCAAACCCGCATGCTTGTGATGGGGAATATCATGGGTAGAGGCAATTGAGGCTCTGTGACGGATGGATGCCTACGGTGGCCTGAATAAAGCGCCCCTGGCAACTCCATACAATAGCCTACTAAAAACAAAGCAGAAGCACATTTTATCGTTCAATGATAAATCTCATTGCAAAATGTGTTATATGTGCACTGTTATCTGGTGAATTGGTGCATATTTAGGCGGTGAATTATACGATTCGAACTTCGCGAAAATGACGAGTCAACGGTGTCTACTCTACTCAATGTGTTGCCACGTGACCTCTGCAAACCTTGACGGTCTGAAATTGTATTCGGTTGCCTATTCGTTAACTGGAATGTAGTGGATCTATACCGGCCGAACGCTTGTAATATCCTTTTACGCTTCGCCGTTCCAGGTGTTACGCACTGGCTGCACCATCCCGATATTTGAAAAAGCTAGTGAAATTTTTATAACAATAAAAATGAATTCTAATGCTGCATACCTGTGTAAAGATTTGGACATTCATGTTCTATCTGCAAAGGAAACGTCTTCGATAACTAGACAGCACTCTGCCGCAGTAGTCAGCATGACGTTTGTAATTTAATATGTTTAATTCCCCGCAAGTATGTATATCCTTGGTGCATAATGTGATACACTTGTGTCGTGTGGTTTTTTAGAGCAATTGCATATATAGGGTCTCTGACAGTACAACGCAACGTTAGTTACAATGGGCAGCTCCTGCGTGATGTCTCTGTTCTCATTATGCGCAATATGTCTGCAGTGGGTTAGATGTGTTGACGCATTGATCTGTGATTTTGGAAATCCGATTAGCTTGCTTAGCGGTAATTCCATTGTTAGGTGCCACATGGACATCGACAATATTGGATCCGCTACCGTGATTTGTCCAAGCCGAGTCAACGACACCGCTTACGTATGGCATCCTCGAACAACATCAAGTGAACAGGCGAATCTCAAAACTTACGTGAGTGAAGGTGGCAGGTTTCGTTCCGTTGCTCTTTCGGATGTAGTGGTAACCGATGCACCAGTCGCATACGTTTCGGTAAAATCGGACGTAAAACAGACGACAATAAACTTGGATTTCCCTATGGCAGAGATATATGCCGTAAAAGAACGGCGTTTGATCTTCATCTGTGGGCCGCATGATTTGGTTTTGAGCGATACGATGCAGCGTCACCTTGACCGTCTCAGTGTCTCTCAGCCCGATATGCTTCCTAGGAGTATAATCACACCATTGATGCGAGAAGCAAAGAAGATGGGAGCGGGGTTCGGGGTAGTTTTTGTAAACATACGACATCTTTATTTACCCCTTCAAGGCTGTGGAAGCCGTCCATCACCACTTTTTGCTGCGGATAACGAGGTGACTGTAGATCCCATCACTGGTACGCGTTCATGTGTGGCGGATCCGATGTCGAAATCGCGCATTGGATTTCTTTGCGAAGGACGTCTTGAACCTGAGGATTGCATGAGACTCCTCGTGGACAAGAATGGAGGCATGGTCACCGCTCCTCGACCATTTTCTTATTGGAAGTTCGAATACCACAAACCCTGGGTGGTAGCACAATATTTCGATAAATTAGCAATACCGCCATTCAACGGCGAATGTAAATGCATAGATTCGCATACAGGCAAGGTGAAGGCCAAGATAGAGATCCGTCCGAAAAACGACTACGTTTGCGACATTACCAGCAAAATATTTCGCAACCGTTTACGCCCTATCAATGGCCCGTGGTGTTCGGTTGTACTTCATCCAGGTAGCACATTGACTATCCGGTTTCCAATAGTGGATGTCGACTCGGGTCCTATAAATGAGGATCCCTCTCTTGGTCTTTTATCCCAACAATTATCTATATATGAGTTCGAAACAAAATTTTTGCCAAAGGACTTGAATACGCTTCGACGACTGGCGAGCGTCTATGACATTGATACGTATGAAGAAATCTCCTACAATAAAGCCCTTGCTGGTGATGCGCTTGAATTGGATGCTTCACAAATGGCACGGGGAGAGGTGAAGTTGAAATACCATCTTGACAAACCCCTCACATCACTAGGAGGACACAATTCGTTCTTCTTTCATTGGACATTGAAATCGAGGAATAAGTATGTCTTCGATCGAATACGTGCCGCGGTTAATGTGTCCTTTGCATTTACTCATGAGTATGAGATTGTTGGTTGCAACAGAGGGTCTAAAGGCGTTTTCCATCCGGCAATGGGCAGAGATTATTGTTCAAACAAATGGGTGGAGAATGGTGTAGGGAATACATATGAATGCTTGTACGATGTTATACGCTACGGTGGCCAAGCCGGTATTTACTGCAGGCCAGATGAGGTCCTGTTGCCCGATAACTGTGAGTCCACCGGATACGACCTCTACTCAAACAGGCCCATTTCATTGCCTGCTTCGGTGCGTAAAGCAACCCCATATCGAATTCGTGGGTTCCAGGTGTTTGACATGGGCTTCCAGAACAACGCCGTCAGTTATGCTTGCGTATGTGTCAATGAACATGGTTACGAAACCTCTAGGCTTATTTTAGAACACAACCATAACGAAACGCACCGCTACACAGTGCGTCACGAAGACGCATCTGCTCCATTGCATCCCTCCATTTTGATGCCTTGGAGCGAGGTGGGATTATCGAGGGAAGGACTCAGATCACCAGAAGCGCTTGTTCTACACGACACAATTCAAAATCATGTTACATTGCACGTAGGTACAACCTTGTTATTGCGTTGTGGAATTGATATGAACGTTTGGTTAGGTTATGGAGGCAATATAAACACTAATGCCCGAGGCGATGTGCCAAAAACGGCGTGGTTTCCAAAGCAACTTAAAAACTTCTACTTCACGGTAAAAAATACAATACATGGGTCTGTGCTTGTAAAAACGGCATACAACGACTCAATTATCACGACGCCAAGCGGGCTGGAATTCCACTACGATGTAAGTGTCACATCCCCTGGATCTCAAATAATGATGATCACATCTCGTAAAAGCGCCATTCTGATATCTAAGGATCCAATTTACAAAAAAATTGTACCTATTACATTTGTCTGCGGTAAAGCGCCAGAACCGTCAGAGCTGCCCATTGTCACTGACGTTGCATCAACTTCGTCAGCATCTCCACCACCTAACATTCAGGGCCTAAAATCCTCGGCACGATACACGTGGCATGTCGTGGAAGTTGCCGTAGAGACGACGGACCCGTATATGCAAGGTTGCGGCGTTACATACGAGTCCACTGACCTATTCAAACCTGAGACACCCCAACTCTACGACGCTGATGGGCAACTTCAGTTCGGCTGTAAGATTGATCTCCATATGGCTAAAGAGGCTGCATTCTACTGCCCAGCGCCGTATGTCCTGGACCCACCCAATTGCTTCAGCCAGGTCTCCGTGGACGGCACCGTCAAGAACACGCGCGACATCAGCCAATCCCTGGTGACATCACAATCAAATCATTTTATGATTTTGTATTCATTCAGTGGACTCGTTGGGCCCGGAGAGAAGCTACGCCAGACGCCTCCGTTGGAGTGCCGCTGCGTCACCATAAAGGGTATCGTTCTCTCCACAATCCAGATAGAGAACTACTACGCCAAGTAGTGATTATTTCACATGTAGTAACTTGTCGTTTAACTGCGGAAACTAATTTTCTTTCATTGTTCGCGTTCTCGACATGTTTATGAGGGTATTTCAGTGATAGCATGATTTGGGTTGTCGAAAGCTTATTGTGGGTGTCAACTCGGTACCTTATTCTGTTATCATAATGGTTGTGTATTGGGTATCTATGGTGTAAGACGTGTAACGATGGGAGTGAATTATTATTATGCCTCATCGCATCTCCCTCGCGCCTTTTGTAGTGTGGAAATAAGGAAGTTGTAGTAGGGGCAGCTTCATTTATCCTCATACGTTAGAACATTGGCAATACCTTTAATACACAATAATCGACAACATTAGCACCTCTTGCCGTAGTTCAAGTATTCCGTTGATGTTGATAAACAACCAGTGTCCGTGCCTGAGCACGATAGGTCATCGGTTGGAATTAATGCAAGGGTGGCTTCATCTAGTCCCTATATCTCCACAGACACTACATAATACGCTCCAAGGGTGACAGTGAGCAATTTTAGCAATAGCTAACTGCGTGCTTAGAGGCTTCACCAAACTCAGCCAGACAGCTTCCAGTTTTGTGGGCTGGGAAGGGACAAATAAGCGAATGCTTTAGATTGGAGCCTTAATAGTTTGGAAAGTGATCAAAAAAAGTTAAATGGAACCAATATAGGATGTGAGTGAATCACGTTCGGCAGCACGTAGCTCAACAATGAGTAAAACCTTATCGGGGTTGGTATGAGAATCGTTGTGCCAAAATGCGCAGTTCAATCTTAACGTAACACTTATACATGATATTTGGCACGTGGAGATTACTTCGTGCGTAATGCTACAAAATGCTGTAATAATACGCTATGAGAGCTCGTCGGCTAGAGCACCCAAGGTGGCGCATCATTCCACACAAGCATTAAGAAGGCCTCACGGATTGGGCTTAATGGGCAGCTTACTGTATATTGCGGTTCCATATGTTTGTATTGTTGCAGTGGCTGCGTTGCATTTGTCATCGGTATCGTGCAATAGTTAATGAGGACTGAGATCGAGTCGACAGAGTGGGAGAGCCATGCTAGGCTATGTAATGATCAATCTCGGCGTTGAGTGGATGCCATCATAGTGGTCACTTAGGTGGGTATAGGTTGTGAAATTGCGTGTCTACATGCGACAGACTGTAAACTTGTGGCCTTGTCTAATTGAACTTAGCAGTTACAGGCATTTATTGTCGACATTGTAGTAAACCTTGAAGTTGTACTCCCGGACTATACCCCTGCACCCACTTCGTAGGGCGCCCCGCAAACATGGCTAGGCACTTATTTGCACCCGTCATAGCACTGCAGCGCGCCTGATCACTGTGGCAGTCTTAGTGGAGTATTGTAATTCGTATCTGGCAGAATGCAGCTTAGTGTAACTTGATTCAAATTGTGCTTGCGGCCAACTCATCAATGTGTTATCTGTGGATATTAACGGTGTGTAAGAGCTGAAAGCCACGGAGGCACGCTTACGAGAGCACACCTGGACGGTACTCTGGATGTGTATGCCTTGGTGAAGAGGAGTTTCTGACCCTAACGCACATTCGTCATTTTTGAGAGAGCTTTCTCCCCAAAGAGTTGTCTGCAAGATGCAGCTTGTAATAATAACTGTATGCGTCCTTTGGTGGACTCATGCAATCCTTCAATCGTATTTTTCATATAAACTAATTTCACAATATTTGCGCACTATGCGGCAAAAACGAAGGCTTTTCTGGATTCCTCGGAAGCCCACTAAAAAGTCACCTAAACTTCAAGGTGAAGGAAAGCAATTGGCTAAAACTCAGGATAGTGTAATGCAGCCGACTACAATTCAGGACGAGGGATTGCGGTCGACTAAATCTCAGGATATTGGAGACCAGTTGCGTAAACCTCAGGACGATGGGAAACAGTCGATCACTCTAACCAATATTCACAAAAGGGTGTACAATTCATTGACTGAGCCTCCCCGAAACGTCAAGGAGTGTATGGACTGGCTGATAGCGCTGAAGGGAACTGATCCGGAAAAGAACTTGAAGGCTTTGGGTAACGCAGTTTACAAATTTCTCGCTGACAAGCCTGTTGAATTTACCGATGTGCCAGTTCTTGAAGAAGTTAGACGTATATCTAAGGAGTTCATGGAGCAACCTGAACTTAAGGACCGGTGGTACGTAAAAGACATTCTGGAGATGATCAATGGGTTCGTGAATGAACCCCCTGGAGATTTCGCTAAAACCATGGGTAGCAATGCTGTTGCCGTCGCACAGAACATAGGTCATGTTGTGGATGGTTGCAAGTTTTTCTTGCAACACGTAAAGACTCCTGGCCAGTATAGGTTCGCTTATAGTTCACAAGCGACATGGGATGCGAAAAGCGCGAAGGAGGCGGACGCTTGCGCGGCAATATTCTTGGGTATTGCTTTAATGTTGTACGTAGGCATAGGTTCCTTGCAAAATGCGTGGTTAGATGCACACTTTAGACGACCGCCTTTTATTGCATATAAGCGTATGCAAGGGGTGTTGAAAGCTTTGGGCTTCGTAGAGCCGGATTTCCGCGCTAATATGAGTGTTTCAGATGTCGAAAAGGCGTTGGGCGGTGTAGATAAAAGGGTATTGATCATAACATACGACCTCGCTGGATTCTGGGCTTTCTATTGAGTATATATCCCCGGTGTACAATAAAAGTTGCTCAACGAACGTTTTTATGTCCTGATCACCAGTGAGTAACCGTCCTACGAATTCCCGAGGAGATGGACATTGACAGATACTCTGCCTTCCCGTCTGAGGACGTACGGTAGCTTCACGTATAGCACGTAGAATTTTAAGATGGCAGCAGCAATATAGCATGAATGTGTTTCATATGGTCAATGATTAGTGTTTTAGTGCTTACTCACGGGTCTTGTTTACATCATCCCATAGTGTCAGTGTACCATGAAGCTCGTTGATTACCCATCAGCGAAAAGAGCTGAAACGTTACGTGCTAGATGGGCTGCTAGGTCGTCTGATAGGTGGGTGATATGTTAGTTACAATGTTACTATATCGGCACTGTGGAAATACCTTACAAAACGTTGTCCAACTCCCTCCCAACACCTCCAAACCCTCGCTGTAGAGGCTCTCGTAGCGTCTTTTAGTCGATGTTGCGTTCTTGTAATAAAGCACGACAAATTAGTCCCCCGTACACAACACATGCACAAAGCGTTTAAATACTAAAATGTGAGCTTGAGCATCTTTGTAATCAAATAGCCATTATTAGAAACAGCACAGCTACAGCTTGCATACCCTTAATCCATTTTGTGACATCCGCTGATGAAGCTTGACGACGCCGCAGTGCGGACGTAGGTCCGAAGACGTATGTAGATTGTGAATCAACTTCATTACCCGACGCATTACCTTCGTTTGCGGCTGCATTCTGTTCTGTCGCCTCTCGCGTGGGAGTGGGCGCATTCGGTGTTGTTCCAACAGAAGTTTTTGGTGACCAGTGAGATATAATGTCGGAATCCACGGTAGTGTCATGAGATTTCATAGGTTCCTCATACTTCTCACCATCTGATGCATCGGAGTTTTTAGTACTAAAACTCGATGACGCCTGATCATGAGATTGGGATGGCGTTGATAGTTGAGCCTTATGTCTTCGTACGAACTCTTTCGCCTCTAGCATCTTGATTGTATACTCCCCTACAATGTCGCTTTCTAGCACGTTGCACACCAACCGTTCTTTACTTTTGAAGCTCTGCTCCACCTTACTCAAAAGTTCACGGGCTGTATGCGAGCATATTGGCGACGATTTCGACCTTAGTAATTCACAGATCGTGGTGCGGTATTGTTCAAACATCAATTCTATAGCGACGTACTCTTTAGTGGTCTTCATGATGTCTTTAACTTCATCCAATAATTTTTTACACTCCGTCCGCTGCTCTTCGTCAGATCCGTAATTCGCCTTAAAACCAGTAATCCTTACTAAAATTAAACTCAAATCAGCAAGTACGTTTGACGCAAGTTGGTGTAACTGTGAGAGGATGACAACATTTCGATAGTAGTCATCATTAGTAGCGTAGAATACCACGCTTCTGCCCGGTGGCGATCCATCGTCATCAGGATGACATATACCTAAGGATCTCATAATCAAGCCGGTGAACACGATCACGTGTAGGCACAGAAGTGCTGCAACATTTCGCCGTCCGTAGCAGCGAATGTATTTCATTGTTGCTGAACGTAATCAGGGCACCGTACCCGAAGAATTATAGCGATAGAAATTGTTACCTCAATGTGACGCAATTCAATATACGTTGTTGTCGCCGAAAAGTCCCGTCACAATAATAAATAACCCAACGCAGTTATTGAGGTTAAGTTCCTCGGGACATATGCTGATGTGCAGATAAAAAATATCAGTTCGGTGTTGCATATTTTGATATCTCAAATGTGCGTTAAAAGACATAACAAAGGGTGCTACTAAAAAGAATCGTTGTAATCAGATCACCTGGAAATTTCTTTGCAGCCTAGCGATTTTCATCGGTACTTGATAATTTCGTGCTGCGGCATGGAGATTTAGGCAATGGTGAAATTGTTTCTTTGAAGTGATCTAATAGCATGCAACATTTTCAGCGTGTGATTATATGTGTGAAAATGTGCTTACAGGATTACGTGATATGTCTACTCGTTTCTCCATTCCCCAACATCACATTCTCCCCTCTTCATTCCATTAACTTCCATGCTCCCACTACGCCCGAAGTGTCGAAAATGTAACATACTGTGTAAGTGTTAATACCCGTATCATCACATCATCCACCCTTGTTGCTCTAACAAATAGGTTTGAATTACGTTTCGCAGCATTGTTCTAACTTCCTGAGGCCTAGCAGCCGATAAGCCGCCTTTACATACAATAATACATCCTAGCGTCCACTTGATTACTCATGTTGCAAGACATCGGTCGTTGAATTTAATGCGCTCACCGTCGCAATAGCATTTCAAATGCTGCGGTCGGCGAGAGGTGACTTCTTATGTGATAAAGTGAGTTATTCATCAGATGAACAGAGCGATTACATGATGCCATGTAAATGTAAAGGCAGAAACATTGAGACTCAACGTTGGACGGTAAGGCTAGGTATTCTGAGATTGTTTGGAGATGTAGCAGCCGTAACGCAGGATCACGATATTAATGTTAGAATACAATAATATAATACAAATTTAAGTCATTAATAGTGCCAGGTTTCAGCTTGTTGCTTTTTGAATGCTTATTACGCAGGGGAGCAAGTGACGCTGCTCGTAATTGCTGAATGAGCGCGGGATTCCGGGTTATCGTAATGGATTTTTCAAAATTATACGGTCTGAAAAACACACGCTGCTATTAATACGTTTTAAAAGTTGTGCCGTCGCCGTGATGCTGTTAGCCAGATGCCCCGCACCGCCAAAACATCTGAATGATCAACACATTATATGCAAAAATGTATTTACTTCCCAAGTCAATCAAAACTAATTATTACAGCTTTCCTGCCCAGCGTTCAGGGCATTGCAATGCTTAACTGGACGCTTCACCTTCCGTGCTATTGTTCGTTGTTTTTTATAGGTGACTATTTCAAGTGAGCGGAGGATGGGACGGAGATGAGTGGAATCGTGTCTATGATCGTCTGGAACTCAATGTACTGGACTTTCCTAACTATCTTCTTCGTAACCTTTTTGATCATGCAGAGGATATGGCCGTTACATATGGTTCGCGACTTCCTCGCCTCATGTTTAGATGTTGACTCTGAGCGAGAAAAGTCCATCCACGATTTCAGCATAACACAATACACGGCAACGAAGACTCTCCGTTAAGTGCGTCTCTACAGTTGGATCGTCTGCTTTAGGTGGCTGCGTGTAGTCTGCGGATTTTGCGCATGGGTTGTGGGATAAAGATGTCCACGAAATAGTTATTAATACAATGTAGCATTGGAAATGAAGTTGTGTTGTACACCAGTATATGGCATGAGAAAATTTCATGCAAAACACGGCCGTATCGCATTGGATGGTTCTTGTAAACTTGGGTGTTGCATCGTCTCCAAAATCCTTTCATCTTATGAAGACGGGCCGATATGCGACTGATTCACAACCTGGGTTGTCAGCATAAAGGTGGATTTGGGGACATATTTACACGAGATTTCTTGCATTTCAGCACCTGAACTCACGTCACATGACCATCTCCCATGCCTGTCACAATAGGATTCGTATGCTATTTCACGCATTGTAGCTACGAATTATGTGTACAATAAGTAATTTTTTTAATTTTACAATTTCATTTCAACTTTGTTTCTGGCGCTTATGCCGATGTGACCTATGGCGCTCATCTTTTATGCCTCCGTTGCTCTTCTGCTTTTCCACCACAGATGTTGAGTCTGCAGCGTTATTTTTATCGGCTTCAGCGGGTAGACACGTGTACTGTGGACGGCGCTCGGCAATTTCACTGTCACGCCTTGCCGCCCCTAGTGTAGCGGTGGCACTCTCGTTGCTAAGGGCAGACGGTAGCTCTGAATAGCATTCCGACGAAACGTCACCGGGGGTTCTGCTGCGGCGACAAGAGCCTAGGGACGTTCGACTCCGTGAACGCGTGCCAGACTGACTTAACGTTGCATAATTGTCAACCACCCCACCACCTTCTTCCACAATGCATTCGTTATCTGCATCGCTACGCCCCTCTTTACCATTTAATGCGTAGTCACCTCGGCCCCCATGATCGCCACCGTGCTGCACTTGGCTCACCGTGTTCCTACAATGTATATCAAGAGTTGTAGAATGGGCGTTTTGTGATTCTTCGCTGCGATTTGACTCGTCTGATGAGTTAGATTCCGAACTTATATCGGAGCTTGTTTCGTCATCCGATGAAAGCTCGGAACTACTCGGGTCGGTCAACGATTCGCTGTCTCCAGCATTTACAATTTTCTGTTCATGCGTATTGGATTTACGTTCCGTTTCTGTTATTTTCGATGACGCAGAGGTGACTTTGGTTGACTTGCTAGCCATTTCATTGTACAGGTCGTCCCACCAATTGTGCCACTGGTCTGAATCTTTTTTTCCCAACTGCAGATCGTTAACTTTGGTAGTTTTAACGTACGCCTTCGTTGTTTTTGGCGGCTTTCAACTTCACGGGATCCACAATGCCATCTCGATTCTTGCCAAGGCCCTCACCCCTGAGAACTGTCATTCAGCTGAGATCACTACTTACTCCTTCCAACCATATTTGGCCAGAATGGCAGCCCCAAACTTAGACTTGATGGCACTATTGTTGTCTACGTCAATTTGAGAAGGAGCAACATCGGCAACTTACTTGGAATGCTGTTTCGCACCGATTCACGAAAGGCCTTAGACATTGGAGATTCTTTCCATATATCACACCAATGTACCAACTAAATTATACGTTCACCCTGTCATGGGTGCAACACGAATACAGGCCAATCTTCGATCCAGGGAGGCAAGAGCACGACAGTGATAAACATTTGGCGGCATAATCCTGAGGTGACACACTAGTGCATTTGTGAAGCACATATTTTAAATTTATAATAGGTGTATGCTGATGTGCAATATACTTCGGAAGCTATATTGTTAAACTTATATTCTGGCTGCGTGGCGTATTAGCTGCGAGATTCTACAGGATTCTGATGGTATGAAGCAGCTTACGTGAGACATGTGGAATCAAGTTACACATAATCCTCAACTATATAAATTTAGTTTATCATCGGCAGCGGATTGCTACGTTTAAGATGTTGACACACCCTTTAATGCTACAGCAAGCTGAACACAAAGCATTATTTAGCGCACATTTAGTCACATTCCACTGTTGAAGCAACTAAAATAGTGACTAAATTGAAGGTAGCTAATTTTTGTGGCTTACGGTTACCGCTGCGTCGATATTGAAGTGGAATCTTGACGTCACACATGGGGTCTGGCATAAGCCGCGTGGCAGCCATTTTGAACTATATTATGGTTACATATTATGACACAATATCTATTTGATATCGCTGAGTTACAATTTGGGGGAATCGGGTGTCTCGAGTCGCGCAGCCGTGAACTGCGCAGCAACGCGACATTACGTTGACTTCTGCCAAATTTTGAGCAAAGATGGACGCGTTCACGGTCGTAGAACTGTTGATATGGCTTGTGCTAATATCTCTCGCATTCCCTGGCGTGTTTTTGCATGCCTTGATGCGGTTTTATTGGTGGCTGAATGCCATCCCCGAGGGGAGTAGAAAGGGACACCCAAACGCAATGCCAGCGTAAGTTGACAAATCCACACAGCCTACGTTTAGAAAGCAGCATTGTGGGCTGTTTTGTGTTGTTTGTTTGTCTCTACAACCTGCGTGTAAGGAGTCAATATTTACGTAGACGATATTAATCGTTGGTGATTGTCTACCTGTTTTCCTCAATGTTTTTATAGCGCTTATATTTCATGGTGTGCCGCTCAATACCGTCGAACAAACACTGTTTTACAATGCGGTAGCGATGTACCCTTTATCTGCAACGTCAGAATTCTATTTAATGGTGCTGGTGTATGTTGGTTGGCCGGTGCTGCGTTGGAGTGGTAGTGCATGCTGCGTTACAGTATCAGATAACATCTTTCACGGGTTTTGTTCGATGTTCAATTCAGTCGCATGGCATTAATTTGTTCTTCAATTTGTTGCAGACTCAACATCGTCTTCCTCACGGACATCGTCCAGTCGATGCTGTTCCCTACGGTGGTGGACATGTGCCACATCGTAATGTTCAACGACCGCGTATTCGTAAGTAATGCGTTCGTAAGTATCGCCATTTTGTCGCAGCTCAGTTGGATAACGGCGGTACATCACCTCGGTGCCGCTGTCGGTGGTGTGATGGCTTGGGTGGTCTCCTACTTGCAGCTGGATAGGCATTTTCATAATGTCCCCAAGTGTGCTTCAGTGCTGTTGACCGTGCACATGGTGTACTTCCTGAGGATCCTACAGCTGAACAGCATGCTCAGCCACATTTTCTGGCACGGTCTATACTACGTGATATACTCGTTCCACCAGATCGCAGTCTTCAATACGTTAGTCGCGTCAGTCGGGAAACGTGAAATGGGAAGCTATATGACGTTGTCGTCTGCTGTTGCTAAATTGGGCAACATCACAGGTCCTGCTGCACTCATCATGGTTTCGACACTCGACTCCACCAGCTTCGCACGCTTGAACGCGCCATTTCGCCTGAAGAATGCAGAAATCGCATACGTGGTAGTCCTCGCTCTTTGTATTGTACGGGTGGTCTATACATTCGAGCTCGTGAGCCCACTTGAAAATCGATGGAAGCGTGCACTGGACGAGACCAGTTCACCCATCTTGCCACCGATCGAAGAGAAAATGGTCTTGGGGCAATCAATCGCTACCCCTGAGACCTTGGAGTCGGGCACCGAACCTGTAAACCAACGACACAGCGTTCTGCCATACGTCATATTCGCCATGAACGTTCTATCACTAATCGGAGCAGGGCTCTCCATCAGGTTCATGTTTCTCTACATGATCCTGAAGTTCAACATGGAATACCGCCTCATGTGGCTGGCTAACATATGTATTCCTATCGCATCTACGGCCGCATTATTTGGTAAGTACCACCATGTGTCGCAACATGTCAATTTGCGCAGTGATCGACAACCAAGCAAGGCGTTACGGAAAGCTCAAGACCATATTTGTCTCCCAGACTATTGGATTGATGTAAGTGAACGACATTGTGCGTCAAATCTATCAGGCTGTTGTACGCTTTCACCAAGGTTGAAGACCCCAAGTTGGTGCTGGTCATATACGTGCTGCGGGCAACCTTCCAGAACACCCCCGCAGCACTGAAGACAACAGTGATGCTTAAGCACAGCAGCGACGGCGCAAACAGCTACTGGCTTGCCTCCGAGCATGTGTCGAGGGTGCTCATCTTCGTATCAACGATTCTCGGCGGCCACCTGTCCAAGTATGCGGGATTGGAGTACTGCTTTTTGGCGACAGGTTAGTGACGTTCGCTGAGCATAACACTGCGCAGTGCTCTTCTACACCGCAGCGCAGCTGTTGCTGCTTCCTTGCGTCGTCCTTTTCCGTGATGTCTAAAGCGCTCACGCGGCATTAGAATCCTCTCCGCGGGGGCTCCTGTAGGGCGGTGGTACAAACCACATTTGTGACACAGTGTAGCAAAACTTGCCACAGAAGGTCTTAATTTTCCCTATATCGCAACACCATGAGCCAGACGCCGCCGCTTGGGCCCGAGTTCGGCCACCTCACGCCGGCGCAGCGCACCCGGGTGATGGATCACCTCACCGAGCTGCAGTATCGCGACACCCTCGAGACCTACAACGGCATGGTCGACCGCTGCTTCAACGAGTGCATTGTTTCGTTCCGCAGCAAGGACCTGGACTCGCGAGAGACCAGCTGCATAAACTCGTGTGTAAAGTTCTTCTTCGAGTTCTCACAGCGCGTGGGCCAGAGGTTCTCGGAAAAGCAGCAAAACAAGGCTTAAATCGTAAAGTTGTATTTGACGCGCTCGGCGAAATTGCCGGGCGGCCTTCCCGCAGCTAGAGCGGCACTGACGCAGGCCGGGATGTGCACGTACGTGATTGCAGGTTCGCCATCTATGGCAGCCTTCGCAGCACCTTCTGCAAACGGAACATCAATCTCTAAGTCTATGATCTCTTTGACGCCTTCCGTGGTCTCGTAGTCAGTTGTCAGTATGTCCCGGACGACGCGGTCGACGTCGTTGCCGTGTATTTCCATGAGTCGCTTGACCTCTATTGACGGCAATCGGTACACACCAGCCGATGCAGGGTCTATGCCATATGCCGTTAATGCGTGGAAGGCAGTACGCAACTCGTCCTGCTCGAATGTTACGTTGACCCTCGGGTTCCGCAGTTCGCGCAGTAAGACGTCCAAAAAAGTGTCGAGTCGGTAGTTCAAACGTGCGTAGGCGTACATAAAGTGCACCGTCGTAAGCGGAGTTAGCTCCTGAACCCGGGTCGCCACCTCGCTGGCGATTCTTTGCATCGCTCCCTTTACGTCGCCCTCATTCCAAACGCCATGCACGGCGAAGCTCTGCGCTATCCAGAGAAGCGAATGCATCAAACCTCGTTCCAGGAAATGCTTTCCGCCACGATGCGTTCCGAAAGGGTCGGAAACAACAATCTCCAAGTGGTTTATGTGCGTAATTTCGGAGTCGTCCCTAGAGGTGGAACCCGATGACTCCGCGTCTTCGTCCTCATCCTCTGTTTCAGCGAAAAGTTCCGCCAGGAATTCGCTCCCAGATCGTTCCTCAGCACGCGGTTCGTATTCGTTCGATTCATCGTCGTAACCCATGGCGAACGCTATTCGTTTCCGTGCCAGCGGATCCGACATCCGAATGGGAACGATATCCGGGCAGTTGTCACATATGAATTTCGCAAGCTGGAGCAGCAGCTGTTCGTTGCGCACAGTCAGCAGGTTATGAGAGCGCAGTATCATCGCCACTTCGTTGCAGCTGTAGTGCGCCAAAAATCGCTCGAGGTGACGGCCGGCGAAGCACATCAGGGGTTCATGTAGGTGCCCTGCACGACCATACGAAAACGACAAGGAAGCTACTGCGCGTGGGTATAATCCAAGTGATATCCTGCCTACACGCGCCGCCATGCGATCGAACATTTCGCGCCGCACAGCTCCACGGCGACTAAAGGCTGCGCCTAACAGGCACAACGAGTGCACGTCAAACTCGCGCAATCGATCCGGCATTTGCTTAGACATGAAATCCAGCGCCTTCAAAGAATCCTCCCTCCGCGATATAGCGTTGGCCATCAACGCGAATGAATGTGGCGGCAGATTCTTCGACTTGCGATAAACCTCGGTTTCCACAACGGAGAAGAGGTGCGGATGCCCGCAGAAATCGAGTCGCCCCAAAGCGTTTGTGATAAGCGCCAGTTCTGTGTATGTGCACAAGTCAACACGCGTGCAAAAGTGGCATCCCAGCACAGTCTCGAGGCGGGGGAGGCGCACATGGAGCTTGCCGAGTGCGGAGAGCGCGTGGCATAGTTCCTTACAAGAGACATTTTGGATATTGTCGACCATCGCAGATTCCACACATGACACGAAATGACGATTGTAATACCCCAGATTCGCGTACGAGTAGAACACAGAAGTCAGGTCTGCCAACGAGAACATGTCCATCCTCTTCGACAACTCTGGCAGCATCAGTCGAAACATAAACTCATTGCGGTGTTCCAGCATGGAATATGTGCGCAACACACGTGCTATATCTCCGCTCTTGAGCTTGAAGCTTGATTCGCAGACACGTGCCGCTAGGGCATCCAGCACGCCAACGTGGCGGTATCGCATGTAACTGTATGACGACAGCATGTTCACGACTTGAGGCAGGTCAAATTTCTGTGCACAGTCTAGTACTTCCTTGGAGTATCTCCGCCAAATGTCGACATCCGTCTCTCCGTATTTGGCAGCGTTCTTTATTCGTGTGACCAGCTTCGCTGCATCGGTCACCGCGGCCGCAATCGGCCGGCCCACAGTCGACATTGTGCGATCTACGGGTCAATGCAACCAACAATAAACAATTGCATTACAATGCATTATGGCGTGCGTACGCTTCATTTATATGTCAAAACTCGGACATTTGCTCTTCTATTGGGTCAATCGATTCCCTCAATGGTATGCCTCATACATTCACTCCTGAACTAACCTCATCTCACAATCCATACGCGTAGAGCCCTCACTGAACCTGCTGTCCAGCTACATAACCTGTCCGCAAAGACTATTTACGATACAGCGAGACTTTCCACTGAACACAAAGCAAGACTGTACACCTTAATGATACCATAGATAATCAGCCAAGCAGGATTACAATTGAGCCACGCAAATTAATGACATGTTAACCTTTGTAGCGATGAAGTCTTGATGATAGGTACATCCACGGTAACTATGAGCCGCCGCCACGGTAGAAGCTCCCTTAGCGATAGAGGCAATCAGAAAGGCATCCCAGTGAAATTAAACCAGAGACATTATGACTGCTATTTTCATTAACCAAAGTGATGCGTGTTGTTTCCTTGTTTTCAGGACTTTTGCGACTTCTTTTCTTCCGCAGCACCGATGATATCCTCGACTGCCTCGAGTTCCTCGCTGTACAGGCAGAGTGACTCTGCGCCCTCCCAGCTCAAGTATATACCCGATATTTTTGACTTGAACTTCTCGTCGCGCATATGGAATTTCTTAATCGCCTCTATCACCTTCAAAACGTTGGATACGATCTGCTCGCGGGTCATAGAGGTGAGGGCAACCTTCACACCGCTGCAGTTGCCGTGCGATACTCTGTAGAATGTGGACTGGATGGCTTCCTCAATACGGTCACGCATGCCCTCACGGTTAAAGGTTAGCGATATGGGCAGCTTCTTCTTTTCCATAAAAATCTTGCCCAGTAGCGAGGGTAGCGACGGCGCCACTGCCTTGTCGCTGAGAAACAGGTCAAAGCTATTCACCAGCAACCTCCGGTCTTTGTATTCGCGGTACTTTTTACGCAGCTTGTCCACTGCAATCACCTTCTTGACTTCGCGTACTTTCAACTCAGTAAGTACTTTCTTCCACTGCTTCTGGGGATCCTTGACGAACACGCATACGTCCTTGCCACGGTAAATTGGATTACCCAGCTTGATCTGCAGGGGACGAACGTGGGTTTCCGTAAATACCTTCTTCAAATACACTTGAAGGTACACGTACGATCCCGATGGGTCCTCCAGAAGGTTGCGGGTGCGGCTTTCCCGCTCAGCAGCTGCGCGGGCCTGCAGTGCGTCGATCGCCTTCTCTAACGTGGGCACGCTGACGGAGATCTTTTCGTTGTCCAACGCACTGGTACCAACTTTGGGGATAACTGCGATGGGTTTGGACGCGGGCTTCCCCGAATCCTTTGCGATTTCCTTCCGCGTCTTCTTGTCAACGGACACCGCCTTGGCAGTGCGATTAAGCCGATACAACGCGGTCTTTGCCATGGCAAATGTATGAATCTTTCTAAAATATGTGGGCTAAGTCCTGTAGTTGCTTGCTTTCCGGCCCACTTTACGAGCGAGATAGGGCGCTAACACAGGTGGGCAGCCAGGGGTGGGCTATGAAGGTCATAAAATAAAATCCCATAATATGATATTATTATATTTCACAATAATGTAAATGTTAGATTATGGGTGATTTTAGTACGTTAACGAAAGGCTGGCCTGTCACTCGGCCTGTATGTCAATCACCCGAAACCTAGATTGTATGATCGGCTGAATTACAACCGAATATCGACTATTCTGGTGTTTATTATATACACCTTACAAACGGCCATGTTCCAGGTACAGTAATCGTCCTGTTCTTCGAAATAGACACACGATGTCATCACGCGGCATAAGGCTGCGTAGAGCTGTGCGGAATCCTATCTCATAAAACGTCATAACACACACTTCATCATCACATTCAACCTAAGTTTCAATATGTCGGCGGTGTTCTGTCAGAATATCGCTCCAATGCTGCTGTCGTGTCATCGATGTCGTTTCCTGCACATGTTGGGAACGACATACACATTACTTATTTCACTCGATGTGTATTAAAAAACCAGTATGCAGCTGTCGATTGCGACAGTGTGTGTGCTTTGCTGTGTAGTAACGGCGGCGGAAGCACTACGGCTGGAAGAACGGGAGTCACGCCAACACACATACGAGCTGCGGCTGAAGAGGACGGAATCATCCCACGAGGATGGAATGCTTCGTTCGCTCTTCAACGAGCAACTGAACAACAGTTCAGCTCAGTTGTTAGGTGTGGATGCCGTCACCTCCAGCTCCATCGCACTGACCGCTGCTCATAGTAACAGGCTCTGGGCAACCTATTACGGAGAGATCATTCTAGGTGAGTTAGAACGCCTGCAACGACGCGAACAACATTGGGTTTGTTGCAATCGTGGAAACCGCTTTAAATCCTCTTATCCACTGCCTGTACATGCTTCTTTGTTTTTGTAATGTCCTAATATCATTGCCTTCAAAGCATTAAGTAATAAATGCCTGCTCATTAAGCTTGAACAACAGCTCGGTTCTAACCGTAGTTGAGCAATATAATGGCGATATTTACGCAAAATGCTGCATATTGTGTTTCTGTAATGCTCATTCTGTTCAAAATTCGCACTGAGCCAAATGCAGGAAACGTCGAAGATGAGAGCGACACTTTCAAGGTTCTATTCGACACAGGCTCTTCGGAACTATGGGTTCCGGATGAGCTTTGCGAGTCTAACGCCTGCCTAACTAGGAAGAGGCTTTCCCGTGCTGAAAGGTGGACGGCCAAGTACGACACTCATGGCAACTATGTACCCATCCTGGTCAAGTACCTCACCGGTGAAATGAGGGCTATCGACGGCACTGCCGATGTTAACCTGATGAACGGCATCAAAGTCAAAGATGCCAGTGTCGGGTTGGCAACAAAGCTTGACATTCCCATACTCATGGAGCTGCCGTGGGATGGGATAGTCGGCTTGGGCTTCACCACCGATGATCAAACTGCACGCGGGGCCCGGCCGATACTGGAGGCAATGCAGCAGAACGCGGTCATGTATCCGCATTTCAGGAACCAATTTGCCTACTACATCTCGAAAACAGGTGGGTTTTTTATCCGGCTACAATGGAGATATATTGCGTGTCTGCCCAATACATAGCTCCAATCAGGGATGACTCTGGCACCAGATGTATCCAACTTCCGGGTGGAACTGTTTGTGACAACTTTCTCTCTCCATGATGTAATGGCGTCCACTGCAGCCTGCGTATGAAGACACCAATGATCTGCATATACGTGAATTCTATTATGCATTGTGACCCCGGTTAGAATAGCTATATAACATATTTCTATTTCCATTCAGGTGGAAATGTGACATTTGGTGGATACAACAACGACTATAAGAAATCACCGGCCGACGAGTTTCAGTGGGCGCCCGTCAGCGACAAGGGCAGCTACTGGGCTGTGAACCTCTTGCAGTTGACCGTTAAAGAACCAAAACCAGACCAATTTCATCGATCTAACTCGGGGGTGGACAGTGTTGAGCAACTTGGTACGGACGCTGAAGATTCATCAATAAGTGACCTCCCAGCCGTCGATGCCATTAACGCAAATAGTGGATCCGGAGATGCAACTGCCAATCGGAGTAACAAACAGGGCGCAAAGCCCAAATATCGCAAAACAACAATCGCAAACGAGAAAACAGTCGCCATTAATCCGCCAGAAAATCTGACGGATAACTCAAGGATGGACTCCGGCACCATGCCAACGCAGGCAAACCGATCGGCCGACTCAAGCTCCTCATTACAATATCGCAACAAGATGCATGACACAAAAGTCATAATAGATACAGGTAATTGGTGGCACCTGATATGTGAGATTCATATCGTTGCAGGCACCTATCTCATATACGCGCCTCAGGTATTTAGCGACCTTCGCAGCTCATCAGACCGCAGAATATGCAAAATCTGATATCAAGTCTCTTCGTCGACAGTTGTGAGGCCAAGAGGAATCTGCCGACTCTTATTTTCACAGTAGAGGGTGCAGGCTTCGGTGGTAGTGGTAGGTGGACAGATGTCTTGACTGAGTCCGTCCAGGCGAGATCCAGCTGGAGCTCACTCCAGACGACTACGTGCTGCAGTTCACCGACGACGACGGCGAACTCAGATGCACGCTAGGCATTATGGTGGACGACCAACAAGAGGTGAGTGCCTGCGACGCCAAGATGATCACACTGGTGCAGGAGCTGCAGCTTAACGCCTGGACGTTTGGAGAGGTAACGACATATTCGTTGCGCCACAATGCCTCAGGTGTTTCTACGTGCTTACTATACCGTGTTCGACTACGATCAGCGGCAGATCGGATTCACACCGAGCAGGGCTGACAAGGGCTAAAGAGCCGCAGCCAGCGCATTATACAGCATGTTAGACAAAACAACCGCGTCACTAAATCGGCTTACGCAGTTACACACACACACAGCACGTATCTAGCAGCCGCTGTTTGACGGCGTCAAAAAAGTGGCAGTTGGAATCCACGGCGACGCAGCACAGAAGCAAATCGTGCTGTGGACGCAACGGGGACGGCACATCACCACCAAGTACACAAAATTACACTATTTTTGCATGATTTCATTAGTGCTGTGCAACTCTTTAGAGCGAATCGGCCAGTTGCGCCTTTTCAGTATCTCCTCGGCCAGGGAACGACAACGCACCCTGGGCCGAGTGGAAACGCCTCGACCACTTTGGAGCACTAAAAACGATTTTGCAAACAATGAATGATCCGATTAGACATGCCCGCAAGTGACACCGGGGGTTCTCAATGCACATAAGGTCAACACCGGCGACGACCTTGGGGGGTTGCGGGACGTTCCGCTCCGCCACGCCGGGCACAACACATACAATACTAATACAAAAAGAAAACGACAACCGGCACAGCTGCCGCCTGAGACATCTCCGTTCCGCGTCACGGGAGGTCCAGACGCCGGAAACGGGTGGAATGCGCCGCTACTGCCCACACATCTCAACGGGCGTACGGTAATCGATACGATATCACCACGGTATGTTATACTCGATGTGAATCTGCGCTATGCGCGCGTTTTTGTAAGGAATTTTCATCGGCAGTGTTATGCCAGTCGCCCAGTTCCGTGTACCTGCGCTCACAGACTGCAGGATACATACACCAGCGAACATGAAAAAGAACGCCGCCATATCCAATGTGCGCAAACAAAACGACTTCACAAAGCTGTAAGTTTCGCCTGTGCGCAACTAGCACTATGGTAGGCTCTTGGCAGGGTACGACCTTGAACTGGTCAATGGGAGCATGCAGGAATTCAACGTCACTTTTCATGGCCCAATAGGCAGTGAGTCCCGTTAGCATCGATCTCATGCGCCTCCAGCTCTGTACGAAGATGGGGTTTGGAAGGTCCATGTCACCCTGCCTGACGATTACCCCTTCGCCTCTCCGTCCATCGGATTCATGAACAAGATGTTGCACCCTAATGTTGACGAGTCAAGCGGCTCGGTTTGTCTGGATGTCATAAACGAAACGTGGACTCCGATTTACAGTGAGTTGCGCAGTCACCACGGCGAAGGATCTCAGGCCTTGTTAACGTGTTTGACACCTTCCTCCCTCAGCTCCTCACTTACCCCAATCCCAGCGACCCTCTAAACAATGAAGCTGCAGCGCTCCTTATGGCGGACAAGTCCTCATACGAAAAGAAAGTAAGAGGTAAGTACCCATAATCGATATTGCCATTCGGGCGGGGCGCCGTGTCTAACCGACCTAAGGCGCTTTTTTACAGTATTGTGGAGCTAAATATAGGCACACAACGTACGCATCTGTTGCATTGTGTAGGACCCTCGTTCTGAGGCTGCGTTACGTAGTGAGGTGTTATTGTCCGCACGTTACAGCTGTCTGACTCTCATGCAGAACACGTCAAGAAGCATGCCAGCAAGGAGGAATGGACCAAGAAACGCGCCGACGCAATGATTACCGAAGAGAAGAACGACCCCGAGATGGCGGACGATGAAGACGTCCCAAGCGATCTTGACGATGAGGCGTACGATAACTTTTAATCGCATCTATATGTACCACCACTTCACAAAACGGCGAGCAAGAGGACATCCTAACGCCAAATCACATCCATCCACGGGTCGAAACGGAACGGCCTTTATTACCCGCCTCAGACCGCAAAAATACACCAATATAGGCAACGCATGAATACATTAGGGTAGCTCTACGAACTGCGGCAAAGCGGACCCCAGTCAAACTACTATCTGTAACACACCACTGAGTGGTTTATTCACTGCAACTGTGGCGTAATTATGTCTCGATGTTTGTGTCCATGTGCAGCGGCTGTGTGGTTGGCTGGCTAGCCTACCGCTGGCCAACTGCCACACAAGCGGGAATCTGCTCGATCAGTCGCCAAAATGATGCGCTTCAACCTCGGCGACCGGCGGAAGCCAGGGTAAGTCGACCTTCACGCTGGCCTTTCAGTTGGCCGCTGTGAATAGACAACGTCGTAACAAACACGCAGGCCCGAAGCGATAGAAGATGCAGCACCAGCGTATCCGGCGTCTTACCAGTAAGTTAATCCGATGTGTGATGGCGTAAGCTGGCTGTAGGCAAAATTCCGTCCAAGTATGCCTGATCCGCGCGCCGCTGCTGTCGCTACTCAGCGTCGACGAGGGGCCGGTCACGCTATTCCAGCCGTTCAAGAGTCCTCTGCAGGGGCACTTGCCAGGTGTGTACCGAAGTCTTTGTGCGCAAACGTTCCCCGCAGGCATTAGCGCAGAGTCGCAACGGAAGACCCTCGGCTGCAGGATCCGGAGCTTAGGAAGGCCGTTCACGCCGAGCGGCGCCGAAATTGGCGTCTATAAGAAGGAAGATGAGGATCCAGAAGCGGGATTGCCGCCAGCTAATCCTCTGGTGCTGTATACATCTCCGGAGGATGCCGAAGTCCAGGTCACCATCGAGGTCGACCCTATGTTGTCGAGATTCCTCAGGGATCACCAGCGCCAGGGTGTGCAGTTCATCTTCGACTGCCTCATGGGGCTCAAGGAGTTCGACGGGCAGGGTTGTATCCTGGCCGATGATATGGGTGCGTAGTTTCAGTGTTTTGCATGCCTCACAGAATGCAGGTCTCGGTAAAACTCTGCAGAGCATCACTGTTATGTGGACGCTGCTTAAACAGGGGTTCAACGGCAGGCCAGCGGCGCGGAAATGTGTTATTGTCTGCCCTGCGAGTTTGGTGAACAACTGGGAGAGCGAAATCAACAAGTGGCTCAAGGGCAAGTGCCCCTGTACCGCCGTTGCAGACGGCGCAAGGGAGAAGGTCATCTCTAAGTTCACAGGGTTCAAGTACGACAGGCGTTCCAACGTCCTGATCTCCTCGTATGAAACATTCAGGGGGCACATGAGCAGATTGGAAGGAGTGCCCATCGACCTCGTCATATGTGATGAGGCGCACAGGCTGAAGAACGACAAAACACTCACGGCAGTCGCTATACAAAAGATACCAGCTAAGATGAGGCTCATGCTCAGTGGTACGCCAATTCAAAACGACCTCAACGAGTTCTACGCACTTATTTCCTTATGCAACCCCAACGTTTTAGGAGATGTGACCGAATTCAGGAAGAAGTACGCAAACCCTATCATCTTAGGAAGGGAGCCCGACGCCACCAAGGAGCAGCAGAACCTCGCGGCAGAAAGACTCGCGGAACTGTCATACATCACCAACCAGTTCGTGCTGAGGCGTACAAACACGCTGCTGTCCAAGGTGCTGCCGCCCAAAATCAACATGAACGTCTTCTGCAACCTCACCGAAACGCAGCAGGTTCTATACAAGGCGTTCGCGAACTCGGCTACCTGCAGAAAGCTCGTCAACAGCGATGAGCCCGTAATGGCGAAAACGCTCGGGGCCATCCTGAACTTCATGAAGCTCTGCAACCACCCGTGTCTCATAAAACCTGGTAGCTCCATGAAATCTACAGCTGCCGACGAGACACTACAGAAAATTCATGCAACATGCCCGTGGAACGCAAGCAATCGCTCCTGCTACCCTGAACTGTCCGCGAAGACGCTTCTTCTCTTCAGGCTGCTACACAATATCAGGGCTACAACCAACGATCGCATTGTCATCATTAGCAACTACACGCAAACTATTGATGTATTTGAAAGATTGTGCAAGCAATGCAACTACCCTTGTGTCAGGCTGGACGGTACGCTCGCCATCAAGAAGAGGCACAAGCTGGTCACCACCTTCAACGACCCAACTTCTCACAGCTTCGCTTTTCTGCTGAGTTCGAAGGCCGGTGGTTGTGGTATTAACCTCATTGGGGCGAACCGGCTGGTGCTGTTCGATCCCGACTGGAATCCCGCGAACGACAAGCAGGCACTTGCCCGTGTCTGGCGTGACGGCCAGCGCAAAACATGCTACATCTACAGGTTCTTTAGTACCGGCACCATCGAAGAGAAGATCTACCAGGTGAGCCACTCTATTGTAATATAGATATGCGAGTACAGCGACAAATCTGCAAAGATGGACTCAGTGCTATGCTTGTCACTGACGGTGCCAACGAGCTGAAGGACGCCCTCAGCGGAGAGTGCCTTAGAAACCTGTTCGACTATAAGAACGCAACGGTTTCTGATACGCACGACTCCATTTCCTGTGAGCGTTGCACGGAGGGTGTCGGCTACGTCCCACAGACACCCGACTTCGTGGAGGATGACTTGCTCACATGGGCCCACCACACGGACCTGCAGACGGTGCCCGACCCCTGCCTCAAGCGCGCCATATTTGACAACAACCCGCCCACCGACATGCCGGAGGGATATAAACCCGTGTCATTCGTCATGAGCTGCTTGGTCGAGTTCAAGGACGTGCCGCCACCTAAGAAACCGGAGCAGCCGGCACCACCTCCAAAGGTTGAAGACAAACCTGAGGTTAAGGCAGCTGTCGTGAAGAAGGAGGAGGCAAACACGAACGAAAAGACTGAGGCGACAGAAACGACTCCAGTTCAAAATGGTAGGAGGGGTAGGAAGCGTAAGGCGGACGAAGTTAAGGAGGAACCTCAACTGCCGGATGCAGGTGCTGATCGCAAAGAAGAAATTGCAGAACCAATAGGCATGGCTACTAGATCAAGGAGAGGCAGGCCCAGGAAGAATTCTGCCGACACCACTGCCCAAGTCGTAGCCGAAACTCCGAAATCAAAACGCAAGAGGGCGGCCGAGCCAGTGAAATCAGATCGCGTGACCCGTTCAAGTCCCAGAAAAGCCGCCTCGGAGGCAGATAACACAGATCGCAAGAACACGGCGTCGACCGAGTGCGAGGATGGAGACGTGGCCGAGGAAGGGGACCTCACCGAAGGGTTCATCACGGAAGACGACGAGACGGAAGAGGTGGCGGATGACGAAGTTACAGAGGACGAGCTCACCGACATGGAAGATGATTCCGAGTGACAGATGCAATCACCAATATTTTTTAAACGTAGCGCCTGCAGGGAATAATACCCCGCAGTGCTGGATCACCGGCTGCGCGTAGGACGGCTCCCGGGGATTTTTTCACTCGAATAACGTACGGCAAAGATCTCACAACAGTACAGTAATATAGATTGTACCATACGAAAACAATATAACTCCTGTGTCCGTTTTGCGCGCGCCATCGGAACGGAAGTGGACAACAAACCATGGCGGTTGTAATGCGACACTGTCAGCTCCGCCATACGACGACGCTCGAATTCAGTTAGATATCAATGCGATGCAAATTGTATTGAGGCAATGAGTTTGACCGGGCGGTCAAAGATCCGCAGACATTCGCCACAGAAACGGCGAATCACAGGGTCTCAGACAACGGTGCAGCAGCTCATGAGGGACGTCCACCCGGGACGATCATTGCGATGTTGTTGCCGTTTATCAGCGCGTCCTTGAGCTCGGTCGTTTGGATGCCTGAGTCGGTGAAGGTGTACTCCGTCACGTCTTCCATCACCTGCCGCAGGTTAATGGCGCGGACTGGCAACGAACCATGTTCATGTAGTCGTCGAATCCGCGCAGCACGCCCGTGATCTCCTTTTCGTGCTTCATGATGATCCACACTTTGGTGCCCAGGCACTTGTCCACCAGCGCGAGGGGCAGGTAGCACGCGCTGCTCTCTATCGTCGCCATGGCGAGCGGATTAGCCGGAGAATTATGAGAGATGGGACCAGCGTTCACGGATGGTCACAGTGCTGCACATTTAGTCGTATATGGCGCTTTAATGGGTCTTTCCATAGGGCGACCTACAGACACCATAATCCCGCCGTTGCGCGGTCGCCACCCCGCCTCGCGCCATTCTGTGTTTACACCTGTATAGTTTGTTATATAGGGTAGCTCTTCGGACCGCCTGGTGGCAGTCGCGGAGGCTACCAACGTGGGTTGTTTTGTACGTGTAAACTGCTCCAGCTAGAGTCACAGCAGCATCGGATGAAGAGCAGAAACGTACATAGGGAGGACTATAATCGCCTGTTGGTTGTAATCGCTATCCGTGCGTATGTGCTGTCTCGTGTGCAACAATTTGTAAAGCTATAACGCAGCTACGTCTACGGAACGACTTGTAGAACGTGCCGCAGAGCGGCCGATTCCTGTATCGCATTGAGCGCAGCCATCTTTGTATCGCAACAATGTCGTATTTGAGGAAGGATCGGGTGTACGTGGTCAGCAACTTCTTTGCTATGACCATGGCGGGGTTCGCCGCCTTCATGAGCAGCGACTTCATTCGGCTGCTGTCGTTTGACACAGTTGGCGACGAGTCTTACTGGATTTTCGCGTACCAGATGACGATGTGGTGTTCCACCATCGCAGCTTCACTCGTCAAGACACCCGCAGCACCCAGCCTTATGTACTGCCTACGGTTCAACGTATTCTTCTTGGTTGCCGCAGGCATTGGATTCTTCACGCAGTGGTTTGAGTCCATTTCGTTCCATCTTGTCGTCATATTTTGGGCGTACATCGCCGGAATGGCGCTGGTGAACGCTGTTGTCTTTGCCTCGTACCATCATTCGGGGTCGCGTGGACTCATGCTTGGCTCTATGCTTTCGTTCGCGACTACCTACGGCGTCCTCGAGCTGGTGAAGTATTGGACGTGGAAGCACGGGGATTTGGGAAAATATCGCAACATCGTATTGGCATATCTTGTCCTGAGGCTTGTGATGAACTGCGCTGCGATGTCGTTCCTTTCGTCCGGCGCGCAGGAAACACACTTCGAGCAATTTGACAAGGCTTTCGAGCTAATCAAAAAGAATGTAATGATGGAGTGGTTGAGTGGAACTTTACACGAGAGGGAAACTCAACTGGCTCTAAAGGAAGTCACACCGCATTACGTGAGCCCGGTCGCTGGTGTTCGCTATATTTTTGAAGACTCAAATCTCACGGTGGTTTGGCTTATTTTCATGGCCCTATGCCTCAGCTGTTCGATATTCACGCCACATGTCGGGGCTGCTAATTGGGACCTCTCAGTTTTCAAAATGGGTCACGTCGATAGGGCGGAACACGTTGGCAATCTTATGGGTGTCATTGTGGCAGTCATGTGCAAGCATTCATGGTTGGGAGCCGTTGGTATGGGGCTTTTGTACGTGGTTCACGCAGGTTTGGCGCTATTCCTGACAGTCTACGTGCACAGTTACAGGATGAGCTTACGCATCCCCATGGAGGCTATGTGCGTACTGACCTGTATCAATGCCCTTTTAGGGAGCTTCCTTACAGTCGCCACTTTCACACACTTTTTTGAACTAGCGGTCAACTTGAAATGCAACAGTGAAAAAGAAACGCCTGAGCTGCCGCAAGTGTGCTGCCGTGATGACGAAAGTTCAGAGTGCCTGTGCAGTGAACAGTTCTGTGAAGAAAAATGCAGCAGAAAGAAGTGTGCCGTTGATGATAGCAAAAAGATAAGAGTGTATATTCCTCCGAACACCGAAGAAATGTACACCCTTTGGCACCCTGACCATTGCCTATTATGTTGGATCTATAGGCATAACCCCGATGAGGTATGCAACATACCAGAGGGGAAGCGGACAAACACAGAGCGAGCAAAGATAGATGAATGTGAATCCTATCTTCTTAGGAACTGCAAAGTATCTTTATGTGGGTATTGTGATATGAACGTGCTCCTGGAATGTGTTAAAATAAAGTGCACTTGCGAAGAGAAGTGCGAGATTCCGCTGCCAAATGCCAATATGTATAAGGAGGACGATGACTGTCAGAAGGAATTAAAAGAAAAGGAAAATAAAGAAAAGGAGAAGAAAGAAAAAGGACAACATGAAACGAACACTGTGAGCGAGGTTTCACCGTCTCAGGAACAGCAAACTGCTGACCAAGCGTGTCCCAATGAGAAAAAGGAAAAAGACAAAGAAGATGGGGAAAAACAAGAAAGCCCACCCAAAGCAAAGGGAGATGAAGAAAACGGGAAGGAAAACAGTGAGGAATCCGATGAAGATACGGATGAGAAACCTGTTAGGAAAGAGCTACACGAAATTTGTTTGTGTTCCGGTAAGAATATATCAATCGTAACAACATCGTCCTCTGAATTCATTGTTAAAGATACTTCGTGCTGTGAAACGAAAGCCAAAGATGTTGCCCCGAAGGAAACAGATCAAGAGTGCGAACCCAGTGGCAGAGAATTCAGGCTGTCATCGATGCGTTCTTATTCTTGTTGCCACTATGATCTGAAGGTTATGATGCGCCTTAAGGAACCCAATAGCAACTTTCACTTAATGCAAGAGCCATACCCCGGAAAATTTGACCCCATAGGTTGTTTAGTGTTTAATGGCAGTTGTATGAAAAAAGAGGAACATAAAAAATCTGATCAGGAAAGAAGAGAAAAGGGCGAAAAGGAAAAGAAAAGGAAATGTTCTGTTTTGGATGTAGATAAGGACGATGAATCCTTGAATTATGCTTGTCGTGATTCTGTATTATCTTCAATAACGAGGGTCCCATGTGATAAAAATGCTAAAGGTGACAATGGGCTATGTGCATGTTGCAAAGCGGCGCAAGTATATGCAAAAAACAAAAAAGAGGAGAATAAAAGTTCCGAAACACCCTCACCAAAACCTGAGCCACAACAGCCGTCTCCGAAGAAAGAGGAACAAGAACATCCCGACTGTTGCCATATGAAAGTGCAACCAACGGCTTTACCCTTCCATTTCAAGGATATTGACTTAAAGAGGAACAGCTATGTGGGCGCCCTTTTCTTCATCATTCTTGTATTCGGAACTGCGAAGCTCATCATTGCCATTACTTTCGCTGCATTAGAGGTTAAATACGGATTAGATCTTTCATCCAACTTCAAAGTCATACAACCCTTCTACGAGAAATCGGAAGACCCTTTGACGTATGGCATAGATACAAGCCTAACTAATGAGCAGTTGATGAAACACTTCGAAGAACAAATGGAATATGTCAGCCCACCTAAATTGGCATCAATGGTCCCATTGCAGCGATGGATGGAATCACCGTCGTTCGACAGTATATATGAAGATAACGTGAGAGTCTTTTCGCCGAAATCCGAGAAACACGCTACAGCTGGGGAGAGCTGTGTTAAGAATGAAGACAAGGATGCCAACAATGATAGCAGAGGTCTCGATGAGAACGATGTCCTCGTGTCCAGTGGCTTTGGTTTGCCTTCGATTAACCAGCTGGGTAACGATGAGGACGCAGGGATTGCAGTTGAAGAACAAGAGGCACACAATCTCGGAAGCAGCAAGGAGAGCGGTGATGCCGGAAGCAGAATGATAAATGGCAACCGTAAAGGCAATGACAAAAGCGCTTCTGAGCCTCACAGTAAAGAAGGCAGCGTAGTAAGCGCGGAGGATGACGAGGAAAATGATGTTGATGTTGCACCAAAGTCAACGGGAGGTGCGGCTGTTGAACAGGTTGTCCGTAGTTCAGTTGAAGCTGGCGAATCGGATCGTGAAAACAAGTCAGATGACGAAGAAGAGGATCTGACACTGGTGGGCCGTGAGAAGAAGGTCATGGAAGAAGTCCTGGAGCAGTACAAGTGGCTCTGCAACGACCTCGAGTTTGCCTTTGTGGAAAACTGGGTACAGGAGACCACCGATTTGAAGAATAAGGAAGACGCTGATGTGGACAAAATAAAGAGAATCCGACGTGTCAAGTGGTGTTTGGACAGTGGACTCAAGATGTACTCGTATCAGAGCGCCGATGCTATAACGGTTTACTTGAAAAGCACCAACGAGAAGTGGGACGTCGAGATGCAACACTTCCAGTCCGGAGTTACCCACAAGCTCAAGGTGGTTGGTGACAACGTTTCTATGCTGTCCCCAATGAAGATGGCCAAGATCGGTGACCATGATTGGCAGACTGCTCTTACTGACGCCCAAATCACGCTGTGGAAGGAAGCAAGCGCAGACGCCGACAACCTCGCGAGAATAACCAAGAAAGACGAGCAACTGACCAATGTAGTGGATGTAGCGAGGGGAGTTGACATTATCGTGAAGACGCTTGACCTTTGGAAGTACAGAGTTGAGGTGATCAACGAACTTACAAACGATGGCAATGTATTCTTGAGCTGGCGCCCGTTTTTGGCCAACTGGGAGCAAATTCTTAAGTGGGAAGAAAGGTTCCTTCCTATGTACCTCAAAGAGTACAGAGGTGTGAAGTCTCTCGAGACAGACGGCGCAGAGGCTCAGAAGTGAGGACGCGCTTGTAACTATAGACACATGTATTCACAAATTAGTGAAACTAGCACGAACTTTAATATTTGGGTCTATGGGATGCGTCATTGTATCCGCTTGATCGAAAATAACTCTAGAAGACGCAGCGCGGCGGGCGATGACGTGGAAGCAGGTCATAGCCGGCATGACGTAACAACGTTCACACACTAACAACCGCGCCAGGGACGCGGATTATAAACCTTTCCCTAATTACAATCGCGTTGAGGCTGTTCAAAATGGGCTCTCCGCGAGTTGTAGATCACGTAACCAAACACGTCTTTAGGATTGCCGTGAAAAAGTCTGAGCGCACGCCGGCAACACAAAAAGACGCCAGCCAAGGTAACGAAAGACTATATGTAGGTCAATTCTACACCCGTATAACGGGCGTGGCTTCCACGGAGGATGTCACGCTGGACACTGAATCCATTGACGATGTCGCAAGGGCGGCTGTGTTTGCCTGCATCTTGCATAAAAAGAGCCCACTCACGATGTTGGCTGATGCTTTCATAAGGTGTACGCAAGCTACAGGCCAAGTGGAAGCGAGAAAGGATCCATTTGGACTACCTGAGCTTCGTCATGATGGGAAGCTGGAACCAGGAGCTCAAGCTAACCTAAAGGAACTTCTGGCAAAAATTAATCGCGTCATTGTAATGAATTCGGCGCTATTGATCGTGTGTCCGATGTACTTTAACTTGGAAGATTTAGTTGCCAAGGAAGACCTCAAAAAAGAGCCACTCGATGTTTCAGACCAGACAACCAGGTGCAAAATGCTCACGGAGGTAATAGCAGAGGCGAAAAATGCCGCCTACGTGCAACGTGTGCTGGATGAGATGTGGCAAAATGATGAAAGTGCGGCCCTGGAGGAAATTTATTGTGTCTTTTCAAAGGTTAGGAACGATGCAGCCGATAGAACAATTGGCGAGAAACCCTTTGAGCAAATAAGCGCCCTCACTAGCATATGCGGCAGCAAATTAGGCGCTGCACTCGTTGTAAGGTGGTTGAAAGAATACGAGACTGCAGGTGTCGCTTGGAAGGCTTCCGGTGTGAAAAGGGAGGTCGCCACTCTGTTTGGGCGCATCCTATCTGCCTCTCCTATGCACGAAGAAGCACTTGAATCCGCAAAAATGATGGCCACGAGTCCTCATACATATAACAACGCTAAGAACATTAGAGAACTCAACTTTCTTGGGAAAAAGCAAATGACCTCGATTAGAGGCTCCTTACTCAACCTCCGAGAAGATCATGAAGAGTACATCCGTACTGTTGCCAATCTTATTAAAGCGATTTTAAGAGCCGATTTCAATACTAGAAATGATTTCATGGTGGTGCTTGGACAGTTGGTGGCTTATAATGCGACAAAGAGACACCTGTCCAGAATGACGCATGTCGATCAACCTCCCATCACCCTAGACGACAACTTCAAGAGGAGGAGGGTGTTCATGCCAGATTCAACCTTCGGAGCTTCGCTAAATGTGATGTGGCTTTTATTGGTGCTGGCCGAAGGAATTACTGAGCAAAAGATCGACAGCATTGACCCCAACTTTTGCCAAATTGGGTTCTACGCAAAACACAAGACGCAAGTTGCAACGATTGAGGAAAATAATAGCGAGGAACTGAATTTGCGTGAAATGACTGAAATGCGTGCCACGCTCGATCGTATGATTGGGTTCCTCTCGTCCAGTAGCGCTGGCATGGGCGACGAAACGCAACTCATGGAAGCGCTGGAAAAGCAGAAGTTTGACATATCGGCGTCGTACAACGCGAAGTTCATCACCCAGATTTTTTGGGCGACTTTGCATGGGCTAGGAATGCTGTACGAGCCTTGTCTTCAGGAATTCCTCAAGCTCATATTTTTTACCATGGAGGTGGCTCAAGAGTCTGGTGATCCCACGAATAACGACTCCCTATACGACCTGCTATCGCACGTTTTTATATGGAGATGCGTTATACAACACAGCAAGTTCCTAGAGGTCATGTGGCACTACATTAACATCAGTCTCCAGTTCTTCATCAAATGCGCACTGTCACAGATGTGGGAAAAGTCATCACCGGCCCCTTCAAACTTGAAGGGTTCCGCACTATGTGCACAAATGGTGTATAGTTTCGCATCCGGCAAACTCGAGCCTTCCGACGAGGTGCCACCGAAATTCATCGTTCTCCCAGTTGACTTCATCGACATAATTCTGGACATTATTAAGCACGTTTCCATCATGAGCTTCTATGTTACGCACATCAAGCCGGAGGATACGAATGTGCTAGAGTTCATGGATTTCGAATTGGTGATCGCATCCTGCATTTTTATCATGAAAGCGGACCAAACATTCATCAAAAACATGACTCTCAAGTGCGACACGGTTTCGTCCATAATACTCAACCTCTGCAAGTCTGTGGGAGTTGGAAGGTTCGGTAGTTCCCCAGGGTCAAAGCAACACCTCGTGGACGCCCTAACAAACATCTTCATAGTATCGCAAAGGGCGGACTACAACTCAAGGGTATCATGCAGGCTCAACGTCATACAGATCCTTACGAAACTGTTCGGAATCGAGGCGTACAAAGAGAGTTTTGTCGTAAACATCATTTCCAATAAAGAAAACTTCGTGCAGTTTATGCACCTGCTGCTCAGCGACACGGCGTTCATTTTTGAGGAGGTGGTCACGTTTCTCTCCGAGATAAGGCGCAGGGAACTCGCTGGAATTACGAATGAACCTCAGGAGCGCAATCAGCAAAACGAATCTTCTACAAGCAGCGGGCAATCGGCTAATCAGCGGCGGGAAGAGCAGAGGGAATCTCAGCAGTCTCAACGCGATCAAGACGAACAACCACTCGACCCGTCGTTGCAGGACGGAGCCATTGACGCCAATCAGCTAAAAAATATGGCATTCAATGAGCTTCAGGAACGCACGCGCAGCCTGGTGGAGTACGGTTCGGAGATTACCACTCTGCTTCACATCCTGTGCAGGGAGTTCCCCGCTGAGATCACTAACACATCGGTCCTACTGCCACAGGTAGCGTCATGCCTAGGATGTTGCCTCGATAACCTTGCTGGAGAAGGCTGTATTAACCTAAAGGTGAAAAATATGATGGAATACAACTTCAAACCCAAGGAATGGCTCACTAGGGTGGTTAAGTGCTATATTGCGCTCTACGGTGGTGAGAACCCACAGAACGTCGAGCCGTTTATGAAGGCCGTTGTTTCAGAGGGGCGGTACTTCAAGCCATCCAACTTCGAACGGGCGTTCAAAATCGTGACGAGGGAAATGATGCTGGGGTTGAAAGACAGGCACGCGTTCTTCAACATGTCGCAAAAGCTTTGCCAGTACGCAAAGGCCAACAACACACTGTACGAGAATGCGATGAACGCAGAAATGCCTGACGAATTCCTGGATCCTATCATGATGGATATCATGGAGGATCCAGTGCTGCTGCCGACCAGCGGCATTGTGATGGATCGGAAGAATATCGAAAGGCACCTCATGTCCGAAGCCACCGACCCATTCAGCAGGCAGCCACTCACTAAAGCGCAACTTGTGCCCCAAGAAGAGCTAAAACAAAGAATCGATGCCTTCTTGGCGTCAGTGTCTCGATCAACTGACGTTGCGGGGGACATATACGAATCATAACTTAATATACATAAACGGCGCCGAATAAAATGTCGAATCTAATCATGATATCTCTGATCTTGTTCCTATATCACCTACGTATAGTTTAGTGTAATCCTGGAAGTTGAATTTATTACAGTGCGGTTACTACTTATCTGCAACATCTGCATGCACGGGTGCGTCCAATCTGCGTTCTAAAAAACTGCTACATTAACTACTGAGTTTTACGTAGCTACAACAGCGCTATTTGCGCTACATGAGGCTATAGGTGAAAGGGTGGTGGACGCGTCACATGGCTTGAGTCCCCCTGATAATTTAGCTTCTGTCAAACTTCCTGAAGCAGCCTCGGACAGCCCTTGAAATCCCGAAAATTTCAAGAAGTACAAAGACAATAAAAATGCCTGTGAGGGAAAAAAAGGCAAGACACGAAGAACAGTTTAAACATGACGGGTCACATTTTTTGCATTTATCATCGCCCGTACACTTTTTACAACACCTGGAACAGCAGGTACATTTATCCTCACATTTTTGCTGATTACCACTCTCACCACAACAACACGTATTGGTATCCGCCATTTGGGTCATCTGCGACATCAATTGAATCAAAAATCCTGCACAGCGATGAACAAAATAGCTGGACCGCAAATATCATAGTCGTAGGATATGCAGCCTTTAGGACACCAAAATTACACTACTGCATTTGAATTTGAACATATTGATTAATTAAAAGTATTAATGCCCGAAATTCTGATGACAATGCATATTTACTGTGAGCGGCACAGGGATTGGGAATGGATCAATATTGCCTTATGCACATCACAGTTTACAATTGCTATTACAGTAGCAGAATATTTAGTGTCAAAACGTTTTTAGTCAGAATGCCAAACAATGGCTGCCATTCTTCAACTTCGTTTAGTTGTGTGAACAACGTCGGAATGATGTTGTATTGTGCGTAATTTGGGCGGTGTATGGGATAGCTGCGTTACACATCGTTTCGTAAATTGTAAGGGTGTGATAGCAACTTTTATGCGTATTTATAGCATCCCGATGTGTAAAATACTTTGCCAAGAACGCACATGTTAACATATTCCGCATAGCCTTAGCATTCGCAAGCGATTGCAACAATTCCATTCCAAATAATGCTTAATGTATCATTATGTATGATCCAATGCTGTTATACTGTTGGCTTTTAAAAGGACGATTACACATTTTCATCCATTTATTATCCAATCCTTTTCCACTCCTTACCACCTGCCTTAGTGTGTCACAATCAGCGCTAATGAGACGATGCATTGTAGTAAAATATGCAACAAATCATTAGCCAAACAAGCATTGTTCTTATGCAAATATCTTCTAAGGATTAGTATTGAATGACCCGTAATAGAACTAATTCTTTGTAATGCTGCGGTAGGACCTGGAGAATTGTTGCTGTATTCGCATCAGCTCATCGCTATTTAATATTCTGGCAGATACAACGTCTCCAGCACGCATCCATATTCAATATACTAACCCGTCATTTTCAATCTCGGTCTGGGCTTCGCCGCACCGGTGGCACAGCAAGCGCTGAAGTGACACTCGAGATTGTCGTATGGGCAGTTTCAACGCTTATCAGCGTTCAGAGATGGCGAAATCTAGGTTATGTGGCGTTCGTCGGTGAACTATGTCCTACGATGTTGTAGTCTGTGTCGTGTTACGCTACTTAACCAACGTCAATTTAAAGCCATAAGCGACATACAGTATGCACACAAACATTGTTCCGTGCTTCACACGTGATATTGAGAAAGTTGAGATAGACAAAATTGACACTATATGAGGGACAGACCTTCCCAACATAAACACGTAATTACTCCCCTGCATATATTATGTCAAATACCGCTGCAATTGCTGAGCATGATGCCTCGCATATCGGGCGGTGGTGGCTAGTTAGGATTTAAGTTATTGTTTGTGTTTTTCACGCTTCATAATCTGCGCTTTGGTAACTGGTTATCAAGCGCAAGATGTTTCCCGTTAGCATAGTAGCGCTATGAGGTTTTATATTACGATAGTCGTAGCCGTGCTAACCGAATAGGGCGGGCACCTTGGCGGCGTTGCCAACACAGAGTTGCGCTATTCGCCAACGTAAGAGGCAGTGAAAATGATATAGCCTTACGAAAACGAAGTTGTAGCATATATATGCGTACGAATGATCGATGTGATGAGGTTGACTGAACGTTGCTTTATGAATTGTTGAAGTTTGTGTTGTGGGGAAACCCGGATTGACAAGTGATAATGACAGTTAAATTGTTGAAGTCAACAGATACCACCGGATTCGGAAAGTGACAGAACGGATCATTCTTATATGTTTGCGAAGGCGTTGGAAAAAGGTCCCAGCTGTGACCACCGCATCCCTATTAAGGAGATTTGTTGTGGGGGCCTAGAGAAAAATGTTTAAAACATTGATAACACCAAACAATCTATCCGTGCTTAGCGATTTCCGCATGATTCGAAATCCATTGCCTTCTTGAACAGTGCTAATTGCAACGAAAGGAACCTGTTGGGAACGCCAGGCCAAGCAAGTCCACGGCAATCCAAAAAGTGTTGCAACGCGCCCATTTCAGAAGCAGATTGCGGCAATGTCTAAGCATGCGGCCCGTGATAATAAATATGCGATCGTTGCAAGACGAATCTTCGGAACTGCTCATAAATGTCAACGTTCAGCGTGGCAGTTAATCACCGTGTCATGAAATGAGCATCAACGCATTTTCCGCCGTGTTGGTTCCTAGGCATGGCGACTAATCCACGAATTCATGCTTTCGTAATTGCGGTATTCAAGATCGTTGTCACGCGTATTACCTCAATCACAAATTTTCGGCCTCCTCCATCTCGCGTGACGCATACCAAGTACTGTAACGGACGGGACGGTTCCGGATTACAACAAAGCATAGTAGGGCATCAAATACTGTCTGAAAGGAATAACAATCTTACACATTATATGCCCGAGCCTTCGGTGTAATCCTACTTACCCAATACCATGCATTTTCAACACGGGCTACTGAGACACCTTTTGGATTTCACAGTTATATCACTCCTTAAGAAAGGATATATTATTCTTTATCTTTACTGGCACAACAAGGGTATCGCATCTCACCTGCTACAACATTCTGGGTAACTGGTTTATCGCCGTGCAGATTTGTCCAAGTGAGTTGCGTCGAAGATGTCGGAAGCCAAGAATTGTGACTGTAAATTTTCTAGCAAAGGATGTAAAAATGGATCATGTAAGTGTTGTCCATGGTGTTGTACGAACTGCGAAACGAAAAAATGCTTACACTGTAAGGAGAAATTAGATGAACGAAGAAAGGAATATAAATGCGCTGAGGGATGTACGGAGTGTAATCGGTCGTCCTGTAATTGTAGTAATTGTTTAAATTACCGGAACCCCAGAGGCATGACAATAACCTGTTGGGTTATCGCCTTCGTAGCCTTCGCAATCTTATTAGGCTTTGCGGTTTACCTTTATAAGACGAAGTCATCAGCTTACACCATTGGCCAATATTTCTCTGAGTGGACGGGGCATTCTTCCACATATTCCGGCCTTGGAAGCAAAAATCTCTCTTAGCAAACTAATTCCAGGAGGAGTCCGGGCAATATCACATCGTAATACACATGTAGCATCACACAAGTTTAATGGTTGACTTCTTATACCTTTACGGTGTAGAATCATCGGTCTTGAATACGTGCATAACAGAGATTAATGATAGCAAGAGCACTCAATAGATGAAATCTCGTTGCTGCTAAACATCGGAATGTGAGTCGACCATGGCGCTCAGAAGACCTAATGTTGAATTTCATCAAATCCACATGACGAACCCTGTGCGTCAAACCGACATGGAACCTGCTTAACACCACATGAATGCTGATTATGAACAGCTATGTTTGTGGAGCTGTGCATCAGAATTGAAAGCGCAAGTTGCCTTAAGGTGTGTTTGTGCAGTGTCACACCACTGACAGTCCAAGACAAACCGAAGAACTGTCGTGAAATTCATTGCTATCCTTCTAGAACGAAGGAATTAACACCCAAACGGCGAGAAGCGGATATTTGGTAGTCATATGCGCTGGAAAGTGAGCGCGATACGGAGTCAGCACGAGCTCGCAAGTCGATCCGCGGGAGCACCTTGCACAGTCCGCCGCCAAGCATAATCGGACGCCCAGCGATAATAGATCCGGCCGGTGTTCCCAGGTTATCATAGCCGCCGCGCTCGCAAGCATCCATGATGAATTTCATCGTAGACTCGAAAGACATCTGCAGAAGCGGCGAACAGTGACGCGCCATACCGTAACGGTTGAAGGTACGGATGTCGCCCTTGTTAGTCATAAAGTCGGCAATCAACGAAAGGTGCCGGTAGTCCACATTGATACCGTATACTGAGAAGACCTTCTGGAGCTCCGATACGATACAGGCGCGGGCAGCCTCCACTCCGTAGTAGCGCAGCACGGTGCCGATGTCGTTGACCTGGATTCGGTTGAAGTCAACGAGGTTGTCCTTCAGTAAGAATAGGCGCTGCAGATTGTTGCCGTCGCAGTGTAGGTTGTACACCTCGCGGCCGTTCTGGGTATTGCATACCACACGGGCCTGCCTCACCCCAGGGGAGTTCCTCAGAATCTGAGCGGATATTTCCTGTTGCAGCAGAGGCAACAAATTCAGTTGGTACGGGCACTTGCGGAACGGCCATCCGAACTTAAGCACCATCCTCCCAGTGTCCTGGCAGTAACGAAGCGATTTTGCGAACTGGAATACCTTGGCATTAAGGGAGGTAATGCTTTGCTTGCCCACCTTGATATCGCTCTCAAAACCACGATATGACTCCACCCCTGTCGATGCATCACTACGCAGTTCCGCAGGCTTCGTGTTTGCGACACCCTTTGTGCGTGCGCTACTCTTGGAAGCCTTAGGGGTGTTAACTTCCCCGTCACGAGGGACGTTGACTACTGTATCTCCAACATCGGGGAGCGACGCCGATGATTCATCATCGTCATCAGAACTGTCGGATTCGTCGTCCGCATTCGCGCCATCTACTTCGGCTTCATCCTGGGATTCGGGATCGGAGTCCTCGTGGTCACTATTTTTCTCTTGATCGGAGTCGTCATCGGCGGCCTCCCCTGCTGCGGCGGAAGCATCCTCATTAGCGTCGTCATACTGTGACTCGCCTACTCCATCTTTGTCGTCATCATCCGATCTTTTCTTGCTTGTGCCTACATTTTCTATTCCCTCCCCAGCGTACATAGCCATGCGCGCAGATGAGCCACCAAGTCCAGCACTACTGGACCCTCCCGTGTTCAAAGCCATTTTTCTTATGCGTTCAGAGAGCTTGTCCTTTTTGTGCGCCTGCTCCTGTAACACCAGTCTCCGCCAGCAGTCGTGCAAGTAATCTGTGTTGTCCGTTATCTCGTATGGCACATTGCTGTCCATTGTGACAATCATTAGACCCGTCACCTTTTTCAGGAAACCGTTGAGCAAGCAATGTGCCGTCATCCGCAGGATGTCGAAGGCGCGGATAGACTCCACAGCGCGCTGGAAGGCTGCCAAGTTTTCAAACTGGACGCTGGCCTCATATTCGTAAAATTTCGTGCCGTTAGCATCCACATACACTCCCTCTTCAACAGCCACCGAATGGATGACGTCAGTAAGTGGCACCGTTCGCAGCGAGTTTATGGCCAACTGCGCATTTTGCGCCATCTCCTCGTCGGTGTCACCCAAAAGAGGAGCGGAGAAATACGGAGTGGAGGCATTGCCCGTGGTCTGCAAAATTTCAACGAGACGAGGGATACCCAACGTGACGTTGGTAGCACCGTGGCCAGCAAGATGGAAGGTGTTCAGAGTCATCTGGGTGGCGGGTTCACCAATCGACTGCCCTGCCACGCATCCCACAGCTTCTCCTGGCTCGCAATGGGAACGCTTGTAGTGTTGGTACAGCGTCGCGTGCGTTTCTGGAGCCGTGTATTTGCTGTCCATGAAACTTGAAACAAGCTTTTCAAACTTCAACGGGGGTTCATCCTGCTGCTCAACCTTGATCAGTGGAGCGTTGTTGATGATGTCGTCTGGGCGGTCTATATACGCAGACTTCTGCACGTCGATACCATCCTCACCGTAAGCGAATTGGATGATAGTGCCATCCGCACTGCGTACGGTTGAATCGTAGCAGCAGATCACATCCTCCATAGATTTCAGAATGCACCTCTGCAAATAACCGGACTTGGCAGTCTTCACACAGGTGTCGACCAAACCTTCACGCCCAGACATGCAATGGAAAAAATACTCCTGAGGGCGCAGCCCTGTCAAGAACCTGTCCGTAATGAAACCACCGGCCCGGGAACCCAGATCCCCGAAGGCAAACGACGGAAGCGTCCTCACCGAAGGCATGACGGGGACACGCCTGCCTTCCAGTGTCTGCTGTGCCAGCAGACTGCAAATCATACTGAAGTTGACTTTGCTACCTTTGGCACCAGTGGAGACCATACCGGCAAAACCGTTTCGTGGGAACTTCAAAAGGGTGCGGTCCACAACAGAGCTTGCTTCGTTGGATGCCCCTGTGATGTTACCCTGGAAAAAGCGGTCAAACATGCGATAGAAATCATACTCGTTGCCCTTGAACTTTTCGTTGATCAACTGGTACATAGACGAGCATGTTTCGTTAAAGTCGGAGAGCCTGTAGCTCCTGTCATCGGCTGCTCTGGAGGTACCACTGTCCCCATCGTAGGGCTTGTGCCACGATGGAAAATGTTTGATTACCTTCTCATCATTGTGGGGTGTAGGCTTACCCTTCGCTTCTGCAAGACCAGGGAGCTTCCCCAGAATAAACCCGCGTAAGCTTTTCAAACTGCAAAGTGCTTCAATGGTGTTGGATAGGATGCCTGTAAGCTTGCGCTGATGCTCAGACTTTATTTTCTGTCCGCTCAAATAATCCAAGAGAACCATCAAAATTGCAGACATGTCATCGGGTGTTTCGTGAGGCATGCTGCGCAATTTAGATTGCAACAACGGGAATTCCTGGAGCTCAGCTATCATACTCTTGAAAACCGCTAGCGCCTCTGATGTAGATGAATCATCTTTCGATTCGTCAGTGGCTTTTGAATCCGCTCCATCGCCGTTTTTGTTCGAAATCGCTGAGATGAACAGCTCTTGCAGGTGGATGCCGCAATGCTTGATGCGGCGCAAGATACGGGCACGGTGGCTCTCCGCATCCCTTGTCAATATGAAGTCCATGGGACTGCACGTGGCGCCATACATCTGCAGGTACGACGTGAACAAATACGAAAAGGCGTTCAAAAGACATCCGGAAGCACGAGGACCAAGTAATTCGTAAACGAGATGCGTTAATCCGTAGGGTGTGGCACCGAATTGGGACTTATCCAAAACACCCTGTAAGAGTTCAGATTGGCGAATTATAATGGTGCTTTCCTCCCGGTTACCGTCGAATACTCCACCCCATGCATCACCCGGCGTTTTGGACTTCGATACCAAGTTGATGCCTTTGTATTTCTGCAGGAAGTTCAAGTCCGTGCGGTGCAATCCCTTGGCGATACCGTCAACCAACGTCTTCAGCAAGCTTGTGATTACCTGTTTACCAGTCCACAAACGTTGCGGAAACAGTATCGCTGGTTCCTCTATGTGGATCTCTGCATTGCTGTTGGCACAACGGCGCGCATACGGGTCGCTCAATACCTTCAAACGGCGTGTCACCTGATGCAGATGCACGTCAATGTTCAGACCATCACGCGCAGGTTTGCGTCCTTCCTCAGGTTTGATATATATCGTTCGATGCCACTTGAAAAAGGCTTGCACTGCCACATACACCAAGTTGAAGTACTGGTCGCGGGTGAGAAATGTGTCCCTACACGTCAGATAGGCGCCTCCCAGACAATGATCCTGGATGAGACCCCTGATTGGCTGACCGTCCTTAGGAACAGTGAACTGGCAGTCAGCATTCGCAATCAACTGCGCTTCCGATTGAGCAAGAGGGTCCTGTGGAAGGTGCAAGTTCATTTCGTCACCATCGAAATCTGCATTGTAGGTATTGCAGTTCACGTAGTTCAGCCGGAAAATCTTTTCGTTCGTGAGCACCTTCACGAAGTGAGCCATAATACCCGGCTTGTGGAGGGTGGGCTGACGGTTCATCAACACGACATCACCATCCAATACGTGCCTATAGACCACACGTGGCAGTCTGCCATCGGAACTGTCAGTCAACAGCAGTTTCGCTTTTGCCTTGCGTTCGTTGAATGACAACGCGCCCAGATTATAGAGCTTCCCGTGTTCATCGCGGTAGAAGTTGGCTCCCGGATAGACCTTTGGTCCATTTACCAACAGCCTTCGAAGCAGGTGGACGTTGTACGAAGTAACGTTTTCCGGAATGGTCAACTCGGTGGCAAAAAGCAACGGGATACCCATTTGGTTAGAATCCAAAAAACAGTCTGGGGCGATAACTGTACGAGCCGCATAGTTCACACGCTTTCCCAACATGTTCTGGCGCACCGCACCTTCCTTGTGCTCTAGGCTCTGCTTAATACCTGGCCTCTGTGCCACCTTGGCATTCATCGTGTTAGTGATCTTGCTGCTATCAGCGTATGCAGAAACCTTTTTCTGCAACGCGTGTATGCTTCCTAGCACAGCACTGTTGAAATCCGATCCGCAGTCCGCTACAAATTCACGGAAGCTCTGCAGCTGGCGGCTGTCTAGGTTTCCCAACAAGCTAACGACGAAGTCCGCATCAGTCATGAAACGATTCAAATTGGCGTCATTCTCGATTTTGAGGAGCAGCCCTAGCACCTGCTTAGCCACCAAAATATCGAGCAACGCTTGCGATCGGGCATGTAACGCCAGCTGTCGATCAGCAGTTACCAACACAGGCCTGAACCTGTTAGCAGACACCCCCATGCAAAACATCATAAACATCCTCCAACCGAGTTTGCGTGACTGTGGGAACACATGCCCTAGCACCACATGGTTTTGCTTAAAGATCTCCCTCATATACGGCACAATGTGGAATGCCTGCAACTGCAATTGGCGCACAGAACGTCCAGTTGCGCTCAGACGATTCATAACTGGGAGGTCGACGCCTTGCTTTCCAGCCGTTACTGAATCCTGCGATGCCGTAGCGGCATCATTTGTGTCATTCTCGAAGTCAAAATTGTAACTGGTCAGATGATCCATGATTGGTGGGCCATCTATGTCCTGTGGCCAGGAGACGTCGATACAACTCATGTCAGTCGACGGTCGAATGTAAAACATGTCCCGTCTCTCACAATGCGGGCACTGCACAACACTGGCTGCTTCTGCCACGAAACGGTTGCGCAAATCATTCCACATGGTCACGTCGAAGTGGCGCGATCGGCCACCCTTTCCGGTGTTTAGCGGGGCAACAATGGACTTGGCCTTCTTCGATGGTGCCGCATGCTCAAGTTTTGAACCCAATTTATCCGTGCCAACAGCCGAGTCAACGCCTTCCTGCGATTCGCCGGCTAATTTGCGTTTGGAGTCCATGTCGGATGCCGACGTATCACGGCTCAAAGACGCAGCCTTCTTGTGAGCACGTAACTTGTTCATGATGCCACTGATGTATTTTTGCTTTAAGCTCTCTTTGCCGGAGCCACCATCTTCTGCGGTCTTGCTGTCGGCAGAATCGGCCGATTTATTGTCCGCTGCACTTCCTGAACGCTTCACCTGTGACACGTCCAGTTTGTAATTTTTGCCGCTGTCCGGGCATAAGTCGTCGAAGAGTAGCATATCCGATATCAGTCCAGCATGCATCAAGTCGAACATCTTGATGAACTTGACCACCCTGTGGCGCGCCATCTTCAGCCGCCGGCAGTACAGACACGTGGCCTTGAGCAGCTTCGAGACCCTCGGCAGTAGCAGCGGATGGTAGAGCGGGATGGGGAAGTTGATGTGGCCCATATGGCCATCGCACGCCGATATCTCGTGACATGTCGAGCAAATGTTGCAGATGTCGCTTGGTCCGAGGGAGGAGTCGTGGATGCACGAGCTCTCGGCACATTCGGCACCATGCCGAGCAGCGTTGTTAATCTCCGACACAGAGAGATGCCGTATTGTATCCGCTGACAGGAGCTCGAATGATAGACCGGTGACCTCGGTAGACACCGTTGTATCGTATCGCAACATCGTTTATATCGAATCTGTAGTCTGTGCCTGTCCGGACCTGTAGATTTTGCGAGGCTGACAACCTCCTCCTCGCTGAGGTTACCAACGGCACACCTCGTACAGAATATACGTCAGAGTTCTTCACGTAAAGCGGTAATGGCCGCGCCGTTTGCGTGTAGGTCGTTGCTGCTTGGATATAACACTGGGCGGAGAATCCCGCCGCAAGTCATTATCACGGTCAAAATCGACGAACCATTTACACTACATTTATAGAAGACATCTATAATTTTTGCGATTGTGTATGTGTAGGAAGTTAAGGCATATCAGGGCACCAGGAGGGCCTCCCAGCCACCCACAACAGCGGCGCCGGTTTCGGCGCAGCAACACTACAGACTAAAGTAAACGAATGAATCAACGAAATATTTACTTCTGTCCTAACAGGCTGCGTAGACACCAGGGTTGCCAGCTGCCTGCAACCGGGTTTCTAAATTACGGCACATTGACGTGCCGATGTTACACCTGCAATGCAGCAGACAACTGCCAACCCTGCTCGTCGATTTCGGCACGCATAAACATGCGCTTGCACGGCTAACTGAAACATGAACGACTGCCAGAAAACGGTAGTCGTATACTCCACACCGTCCGCTCACTGTGGCTGCTGGTATTGCTCGATGATGGGATTCACATCATCAGCATCTGGGTCCTTAGGCTCGGTCCACAAGTTGGCGCCACCCATCACACCGATAGGTCCTGGCTGCGTACGTGGCTGAGGTTTGAATGACGAGGAGGAAGCATCGGAGCTCCCGTGCCTGCTTGGCGGTTCAGAGGAATTCTGCATTTCGGCAACCTTCTTCTGAATCCAATTCTGTGCGGTGGAGGCGGCCTGCACGCATTATACACAACAAACACAAAGTATAACCCACCGTTGAAAGGTGATGGGCGACCTTCGACGCCTCATGCTTAGCTTTCATGTGGCTGTTCTCCCACCACTCGGGGTCCTGCACGCTTGTGGCGATTTTCTTCCCCTGGGTCTCAATCCACGACTTGCTAGTCTCTAAGACGCCCTTAGCCTGGTCGATAACGCCGCGGTTCTTGATTTCATTCACCGCGTTGCCCGCAGTGGAGATGGCCGTGTCCACGAACGACCCGAACATCGAGCCCAGTGACCCGAAGAAGTCACTCTTCTGAGAACGCTTCCTTTGCGGCCCTGGAGGAGCCGAATGTCTACCGGGGATCTGTGACGGCTGGTAGCTTGGGGGTTCGTTCATTGAGGGCGACGTCTGCAGGTTGATCTGCGGCACGTTCGGATAAGTGGAGGTGCTACCGCCATCTTCCTCCGCTGCCGCGTCAGTCGCATCAATGTTCACCTGAGTAAACGGCATAGCCATGCTGTTTGAAGGTGAAATCGGTGCCGATATGACGGAGTGTGGTGTCGTGGCAAGAGACCCCGGCGTCTGCTCCTCCAGGCGGCAGGCCACCTCGGCGTCTATCATCGGTGGCAGGGGTGCACCGTCCACCAAAGCACGGAGGCGTTTGCGGTAGTACGCAGCACCCTCGGTCTTGTAACGCAGCGACAGCGGCAGGTCCATGATCTTCATCTCGTCGAAGAAGCTCTTCAGCTTCTGGTTGCCTCCATGTTTCATGTAGAGCATCTGCCTGGCAGACCAGGTGTCCATGTTGACACTCTTCACGAAGCTGACGCTGAGTCCGAAGCCCCTGCGGCGGTGTGTTAACTCGAAACGTAACCTTACCTGTGTACACCCGAGCAGCTCAGGCATATGAAGCTGCCGTGCGACAGGGAGACCCAGGACGGGCCGTGGGCACCGCAGTCGAAACATACGCCATTTCCCTCCATCGCTAAAAGCTCTTGGAGCTGTTGCATGCTATTCTGACCATCCATCTTCGCCTAGGTGTAAGGACTGAAAGGCCTACGGCAAAACGACAGTGATGTGACAGAGCTGTTTCGAACAAATAGTGCACAGTAAATTACGCCTTAATTCCGTGTGTAATAAAGACGGGGCGCGCCAAACTCCAGAATCACTAAACACCGCCCTCCACGCGCGCCATCGGCACCGGCGTCTTGCACATCACTGCGATGCAGGCGCTGGGGTGGGTGCGTTTAAAATATAAACTACACAGCGACATCCTGAGGTCAGATCACTACAGAGTCGCAACTAGAGATTCTACTCGCTCCACGAACTCCTCCTGGCTCTGGCTGTTGTCGAGGATGATATCTCCCCAGGCGCAGAGCACATCGTCCGATACCTGCGCCTTGATGATGTTCTGCAGCGTTGCCCGCGGCACCGTGCCGTCTCTGGCCATCAGGCGCTCCAGGCGGCTCTCCACAGGCGAAACGACAACCACTACGGGGCTGCTGACGAACACCAACGGCGTGTTGTATAGTAGTGGGACGTCCAACACTGCGACCATTAGCGCGTGGTAGAGCTTTACTTACCGACACGGGACCTCCAGAGCAGGACCCTGTACTTGAAAATGTTCCAAATCACGCGCAAACCGATGTACTTGTGCAGGCACTTATTGAGTTCCAGCCTTCTTGCCTCGTTGTTGAAAACGATTTCACGTAGCTGCGCCCTGTCTATCTCGCCATTGTCGAGCACAATGCCGGCCCCGAACTTGCGGATAATGCTGGCGTAGGCAGGCGATCCCGGCAGCAGCAGCTGCAATTGATGCCATACGAACCATCCACTTAACGTACCTCGCGGTTGATCGCATCACAGTCGATCACTGAGTAACCGTTATCGGCCAGAACCCTTGCTACGAACATATGTTTGAATAGGAAACATGCGACTCACCTAGCGTGCTTTTACCGCTTCCGATACCACCCGTGATGGCAGGGACGCACATACGACGCGAGCATACGATTATAGGCAGACTTAGAAGGATGACAATTAGGCGACCGTTAATGTACAGAAACGTCTGAGAGAGTTAGACGCGAAACTACACAAACACACCTCCAACGAAATAAGAAGAGCCGCGACCGCGGCGGTCCACAGCTTTCCGCCCTTTCGACGCTGTAACTTCGACTGCAGTAGGGCTAGAGGCGCAAATAGCATTAGACAGAGCACATCGCCAGGGTGGCTAGTGATGAGCGACAAAACCGTGCGTTCCGCCACCATTGGCGAAACTCGCAGGCCACAAATAATTCACCGGCCGCTCACAATCGCAGCGGCGTAATTGCCGAGATGCGGCGGATGTGCACGCGTCAAGCGACACAAAACGCTACCAGCGCAGAAGGGCGGGTTGAGACGCGCAGCACGCGACGGTCGGCAACATAATGCTACACACTAAGAATTTAGTCGTCCTCGTTGTTCATTGAAGCCAGAAGCTTTATGACTGCCTGGGCGGGGTTGAGGATTCCATCCTGAGAAATGCCACACTTGGCGCATTTCATGTTACGCGAGTACGACCGGATGGCACACGACTCGCAGAAGTAGTGACCGCAGGTCGTCACGATCGGGTTCATCTCCGGTCTCCACGCCTTTCGGCAGGCGAGGCACGAGAATGGTATATTGAGGTTGCGAGCGCGGGCTTTCAGAGCACGCGCATACTTCGACTTCTCCGCTGGAGCGGAATCGGAGTCAGAATCGTCGTCGGAGCTTGACGACCCGCAACTGGATCCAGACTCATCTTCTGATGCTGCGTGCTCAGCGTCTGAGCCCGATGATACTGCTTCGGGGTCGGCCAGGTTTTTCTGAACCTTGCGCTGCCACCGAGCAAGCTTCTCCTGCAGCTTCTGCCTCTTCGCGGACTGCGCCTGCTCCCACTCGTTCTCTATCTGCCAGCCAGTCTTGTAGTCACTTCTGTCGTGCAGGAACTTGCACGAATCGCCGAATCCACAGTATCCGGTCTCCTTGTAATCTTTGCAGATATCGGGTTGGTAGTCGATGCGCAGCGTCGTCCTCACGTTGGTCGATGAAGCGCGCACCGGGCCGTACAAACCGGTGTACTTAGCAGCTGCAATGCTACCCTCTCGTACGTTCATCACTGGACGATATGCGCCGCGTCCGCGGTACACGCCATCCTCCAGCTCCTCGTTCAGCAGTTTGCGACCGATCTCGGCGTTTCGCTCCAAGACGCTGCGGTGGTCGTGACTGGCCTCGGTGTCGATTTCGTACGTCGAGGTCGCACGCTGGTCGCCCCTTACCTCCTGCTAATCATGTGAGTACGAACAAAGTAGTAGATGGCGTGCTGCAACAGTTGCGGCATGCCAACGTTATGGCACTGGTGAAACCACTCACCTCCGAACGGTCCGGCTCATAAGTTTCAACGCCATCACGAAATGTCGGTACAGCATCTTTTGTACTCTGCAAAATTTTTAATAGACATCAATGTAAACCAACTCCAACGCAGAGCTTGCGGCCAGTGCGACGGTCCGCCAATTTCACTGCCGTCGTAGCTGCAAACCATATCTTAATCAACTGTAGCAACCAACCTCCGTCGTGCGATGCATCGGAGGCTGCAACTTCCGGTTGCGTCACAGGTGTGCGATTACGCAACGCGGCCAGGTTGCGTTTCTGGAACATCCTTCGCAGCGAAAGGAAATTATATATGTTTATTACTTAATGTTTATTTTCCAACAAATTGAGGAAGTATGTGAAATAACCACCTCGTTAGTGGCAACCATGGAAGGATGCACCGTGTAACGTGAGGATTCTACAGCTCAGCGCCGCAAATAGCCAGCAACAGATGAGTAATATTATAGTAAAATAATAATGTCTACGGAAAAAAATCACTGGATGTTGTCCAGCCGGCTGAAAACTCAATTTGACGCCGGCCGGCGCGCTAAAGGCGGAAGATGATCGCAAAGACGGCAGGCATCATCTTCTTCTGGCGCTGCATAGTAAAAAGGGCGCTACTTGAACTGCATTTTGCAGATAGTGTTGTCTAACTGGAGCAAATTCTGGCAACCGCTCGAGCATAAATCAATCATTGCCAGCTGGAGATGTTATAGCCTTCGGCGGTTGGCGCGCACTACTCCGTTTAGTCGGCTTCACTACATTTTGCAGATGACGAATCATCCTCTTCGGAGTCCACCAGCTCGCAATAGAAGCCGCTGACGCTGCTCCAGTGGCTGGTTTCCTCGTCAGCCTCGCTTTTGCATGTCTCCTCGGCGGTAGTACTGGCGACAACGGGAGTGCCTTCGTAGAGCATTCCACGGATGCTAGACAGTAGCTGCCACAGGTTATAGGTGTCCTTGCATATCTCGTTCATGTTTGCGTAGTTGTCGGCTTTCTGCACGCACTTTCCGGCGATGAGCTGGCACTGCTGCGCCACCGTGCGATATACGTAGTCCAACAAACTGGCATTTACTTCCTTTGATTCGCTGCATTTAACGGGGGCGTCCTCCTCGCTCATGCACTGTAGTGATAAAGCATGGAGCACTGACGAGGCATCCTTCCACCCGCCCACTTTGCGCTCCACATTCGGTCGACCAGAACGCCCTGAATGCTCTTCGCTCGACGGCTCCACAGACTCGCGTCGCAGCGGACTACCCTCAGTCTTTGTCACTGCTGTCCGGGGGTCTTGCACTCTCATGGAATGCTGGAACATAGTATCCAGGCTGGTAATGGCGCTAGGAGGCAACGGCTTCTTTGACGTGGACATAGACTCATCGCATGACATCCGATCATACCACGGCATAGAACTGCGCCCAATGGGCTCAGATGATTCATCTGCGTGGGTGGTAACTCCCAGGGGGTTGCTGTAACCTTCAGATCTGGTGGGAATCCCATCAGTGCCCAAATTTCGGTTTTGCATATTCACGTCCGATAGCTCATCGACAAAGAGCATCGGGAATGCTGACGATTGGGGTCTGTTCTTGCCATCAGGAGAAATGGTTGGATCCAATCTGTCCTCACTCCACCTCATGGCGTTTAACTTGTCGGAGCTTTCAGTTGCAGTGGGATCCATTGGGAATGAACTCAGCAGCTCTTCGTTAGATCTGCAGAAACGGTCCAGTAATAGCGCATTCCTGTCTTGAGAGCGTACAGGCGAACGTTGACTCATCGAAGCTTGACCGAAAGAGTGGCTCTGGTCGATGTACGACGTGCTGCGAGGATTATAGCTTTGCCATCTCGACAGTTGATGACTCGGATCCATCCCTTGCGAATGCGTTGGATACGTTTGTAACATGGAGTCGGGGCTGCTGGTCAACATGCTGTGCTGGTTGATCTGCGAAAATGCCCCGTAAAGGGCGCCCCTATGGCCTTCATGTATGCGGCCAAGCCGATTCTTATCCTTCAGGTGCCCACAGCTGCTGACACCACTTTGGAATCCGCGCACGTTGTCCACTATCGTCACATGCTTGAACTCCGGGATGGGCAGCCCGCGCTTCCGCGGTAACACGTATTCACGCGGAATGCGGTACTCAGCCAGCCCGTGTACCTTGTGGCAGTAGTAGGTCCTGCAGCTGCCCTCCCGATAGTCGTCACATATCTCGGTTTTGTACACGAGCGGGTGGTAGTGCATCTCCTCAAGCGAGTGTGCAAAGGCGCAGTTGTTCCCTCGTGGGCATGTATTCTTCAGGATCGTGGTTCCAGGTCCAAGCTCAACGTCAGGGCATATTGCAGGAATGTAGCGCAGGATGGTCGAGTCACGCAAGTAGAATGGGCACCGACGCGCCCAGTAGACGTTATGCGAGTAGTTGCAGCGCTCCACTCCAAAGTCGCACCGCATCGAAGCAGCCATGGAACAAACCTTGGTGCGGAACCGTTCCAGGTCCTCTTCACTCAGAATCGGCATCTTATCAGAGTTGATCCACGGATACAACCACTGAAATGGTGCCACGCGAGTGAGACGCAGAGTAACGCACGACGGCGCTGGTGGCGGGAGGCTTTAAAACAAACTGACAAAACAATCCTCAAAAATTAAGCGTCCGAGCCCAATATCAAATGACAAGTGTATCTCGCATTTGACATGGAAGCCAAAATAGTAGACGTCAGCAAGCAAAAGGTAGCGGCGCAAATAGTGCCAACGGGACTGTCAGTTGAACAGGAAAAATATAAACGTAAGTAAAGGTACACACCCGGCGAATATTGTATCAAACTCTTACCGACACAATCGTCAAGAGCAGCAAATGTTCAATGGTCCGCAAGCATTTCAGCCAGGAGGAAAAATTGCCATGCCAAGCTAACCTGCAGCATCACGAGCAGATAGCAACCGGCCAACAATAAACTTACATACAAAAAACAAACCAACCGTCTACGAAGCGCTGGACCTATGTCGTGCTAAAACTACTATGCAACATGAAAAGTCGCGGCAGACGTACCACGTTATCACTGCAGAGGGAATTTTTTAAGGCAGCTATGGCTGCGGGGGTAATGCCTGATGGGACGTGTCGTCTCCAGATGTACGCCCAAGCAGCGCAGAATAATCGGGCCGCTGCTGCGAAATTTCGCACAACGAGGTGGCAGTGACAGCTGGAGATCGCTGGCTGTGACTACCACCCGCTTGGTAACTATATATCATTAAAATTTTTTATTGACGGCACTTTTTACAATTAACCGATGTTTGTTTTGTCCAGCTTCACTTGAAGACGCCGATTTGCGTGGCCCGCGTGCAGAGGCGGGAAAATTCGCTCCAGTAATCACATCACCGCCTTCACGTTGATAATGGTGACATCAGTTAACGGCTTGTCATCGCTGTTAGTCGGCACCTAGGAGACGTAAAGGACTCTGAATAAATACTCACCTGCTCTATAGCTTGCACAACGTCCGTGCCACCAATCACCCGCCCGAAGACCGTATGCTTCCCATCTAGCCAGGGGCACAACACCGTGGTGATAAAGAATTGCGATCCGTTGGTGTTCGGACCGGCGTTTGCCATAGAAAGCGTAAATGGCCGGTCGTGCTTGAGATGTGGAACAATCTCATCTTCGAACTCGCTCCCCCAAATCGACTCGCCTGCAGTACGTTAGTCAGACACCAGACCATCAACCAACCGCCAGTACCGTCACCACCTGGGTCACCGCCTTGAATCATGAAGTTGGGTATAACGCGGTGGAACGTGCAGCCGTTGTAGTAACCGTTGAGCGCGTGCACCGTGAAGTTCTCCACGGTACGTTTGCAGTCCTTGTAAAACAGGCGCACGTGGATGTCTCCCATGTTGGTGTGGATCACAGCCTCGCGGGCAAGGCGACCTCCTGCGCCATCCGATGTTAGACCTGGAAAAGCGTGTCTATGTATGAATTGCCACCACTTACTGCGTGCCGGCGCTGATGCGTCACGTGGATCTGACGCGGTACCGACATCCCGACCTTCCAGCTCTTCTTGGTTGGGTTCGCGATTGCTAAAAACGTATAAACGGTTTTTCTGAAAGCCAGTAGCGATGACGAGTGGATCGAGGAACTGGTTGCTACCCGACCCAGCCGAACTTATATGACGCTTCCTCGAGACGTGCTGCATTAGGTCCACCTTTAAAAAGCGCACAGAGTGCTCCATACGCCCGATGATCCGCACCAGCTTGTTAGTAACTACGTTTACAACCTTAATTCCCAGCATACATGGGTAGATGAGGTAGTTGGATGAAGAGTCGAAGCACATTCCACTGTACTCTCCACAGTCAACCCCCACCTTGAAGAGCTCCACCTCGTAGGCCCTCCTTTTCAAAAACTCGGCCGATTCCATGTGAAGCAACACCGATTTAGGGTCGCTCTGCACAGCAGAGTACATCAGCGCGCTTTCGTCGTACACGCGATACAGCTTCAGTGTGCGGAATCGGAACAAGCGGATGAGGCCGTCGTGACAGTGCATGGCCGCCAACTCCCCGTTGGGCGAAATTGCGATAGAAACCACGTGCGTCTTCACCTTACGCAACTCGTAAAGGTCGGTTTCGCCCTTCATTCGAAACGTGAGTTGCGAGTGCTTGACGGGGAACTTGAAGGTGTTGGCGTCAAAGACGTCGACATCGCCCAGCCGATTAGCTGCCAAGCACACATCGAAGCGCGCATTGTAAACCAGAGTATGGACGTCGGGGGTAGCGATTGGAAGCGAACATATGGCGGTCGAACTCATCGTTGGCTTAAAGAGAGATACCCGGCTGTCACCGGCGGATGCGCTGCGGATAAGTGAATGGCAGTATGCTGTAAACTCACATAGCAACAATAATGTGCGGAGAAGTGTGGTTCGAAATGAACTCGAAACACAGTGGGACGAAGTTCAACGACACTTTGCTGACCACATCGAAGGACGCAAAGTCGATGTGGTTGTAGGTCCGGTCGAGCGCTATACTGCCCAGGAACAGGCCCTCCCGCGAGCCGCGCATCTGACTGATGCGGGCTTTGTGCGCCTCGATCCGCTTGACAAATTGCACGCCATCATTGTCGTAGTACCAGAAGCTGATGCAGCCATCGTCGCTCCCGGTGGCGATGTAGCGCGTAGGTGCGCTGCAAACTACTGCAAACAATGGTCAAACGCTTCAACGAGACATACCATGTCTAACTGTCGCATTGTGCACGAAGCTGCGCTCATATCGGCTGGCGTCAGGGAGATGCTGCAGGTAGATAGAGTCGTTGATGTCGACTGCAACGGTTTGCAAATGATTACTCGTAACATACCCTTGCGCTTGCGAACGGTCTTTTGAGGCTCTGGCACAGGAAGAGGACCTGTGAATGAATTATTCGGTGTCCTATTAGGTGAGCAGTTTCACAAAAACATGTTGATAACGGTGCTCATATATGAACGCCACGTAAAATGGTAAATAAGACATCGCGAAATTGACGTGCAAACTCACCGAACTCCTCCTCGCCGCTGCTTGATTCTGCTGGCGGAGGATCACCCATCTGCAACGGCAAAGCACTTGCGATTCACAACGTCGATATCTGGATGCGCGTCACGGCGGTGCATACAGAACCGTTGGACACGGACGCGAGTACTTCAATTTTGAAATATTATGCTAAGCTTTAATGTTTTACACTCATCGGCACGTTTAGCCTTTGAAAATGTTGTCACCTTTCCGGACCAGAGGGCAGATGTGTAACCCACCAGCCAGCTATGAGATAGCCGATGAGCCAGCGGAAAAGTCGACACAGACGCGTCTATTGTGTTTCACTACTCTACAATGTGATCATTCGTGCTGATTGGGAGCCTATCTCATCATTATGTGAAGAAATGTGCCAGAATCTCCGGGTCGGCAACACCCTGTCGTGTTAGCCAGGGAGAAATTTTCGTGATTCCTACATGAATGGCAACCTTCCAGACATAATGTCGCAAAGCTATACGTCTCCTACGCGCTGTGATGACGACAGTGGCACATGGAGGGCCAAAATGTCACTATGGCTGCCGCCACCGTGGTACCATCTCAGACCGCACCTCGAAAATTTTGGGGAGGCAAGTAACATGCAAATTGACCTCTACACCGACAATGAAGACGAAATGCTGGCGGGGGAGATATACCAGCTTATGTGCAGGGAGGGGAATATATGTACTCTCTGCACTAACTTCACATACCGTACGCACCTCAGCAGGGCACAAGACGCAGCAGCAAGGGGTAGGTTTATTTGGGTAACACCGGAATCATGCGTGTATCGTCGCATAAAAAGATAAAAGCGAATAGTTGCATCTGTCTTGTCTTGACATTGCTTACCAAACGTAAATTAGTCTTTTTAACGGTTCCGCAGAAGCCATGATGAACGGAGACGACACTGCTGAAAGCCAGTCGCCCGGGGCAAGCGTGGGCGCTAGATTGCCCGATCTTTACGCCGAAGAATCGTCGGACGAGGAACCGGCAACACAACAAATCGCAAACAAGCCCGCAGTAGTATTCCTCATCTTCACCAAGGAGGACATGAAGTTGTCGGTTGAGATGCTGCGGCAACGGATAGTAACAACGGTCGAGCTATTCCAAGTCTTGTATCCCAATGTTAGAATGTTAGTAGTAATGCATGCCGTCAGGTTGTACGCTTTGCATGGACAAAACTCCCCGGCCAACAGTCAGTCTCCCCAAAGAGACTCGCAGACGCCGCTCATGCACAACCTTACGCTCGACGATATCATATGCTCGCTCATGATAGAGTACCAAGTGGACGTGGTGGAAGCTGAGGACGACGTTGAGCTGGTTAGTGGTCGGCGCTCATATCGCCACATCTTGCAGGCGAAGTTCATCGTACATGCCGCCTCGGCCGCGGAGCTCTGTGCGACACGTAGGGGCGCTTCGGGTTTCAGAGCCAAACCGCACCAGAATTTGTCACAGGACACATCTGTGGCTACGAATACGTATGTAAAATCTGCAGCGATTATGAAGAAGTGATGCAGGTGGATCACGCAACTTCAACAAATACCCGAAGTAGGCCTGGAAGCGGCTACCGCCATTGCAGAGATGTGAGTTACATAAGAAGCAACACCAAGTTACGTTTAGTTACTCAACACCGGCTGAAGTTATAGAAGCTATAGAGAACTCGCCGGACGATTTTATAGAGTCGCTGCGCAGCATAGGCTCTGGCACCCGTGGATCCAAGAAATTGGCCGTTGCAATTGCCAATAGGTACGAACTACCGAATTTCTCATACACACCCTCTATGTAGGATAGCCGCGCTCTTTTCACAAAATGTAGAACCAAATACGTTCGTGATGGACGACTGCAACACACAGGATTCCGTACATGAATCCAGGAATTTTGATTAGTTAAATGACTTCCATCGCACAAAACAGGTGTGTATTTGTCATATAATTTAAAAGCGTTACGTTTACTACACAATGTATCACAATAACTCTATTTGTATCCGTCGGATTCGTGTGTAGCAATAGAAGCTTCAGTTGCGATGCCAAATTGGGGCGCAATGTCGCTCATACAGATCGACATTAATCTTTTATTGACATAACAAACTGGCACTGTACGGCCATTCAACCATTATGAGGAACCTTTGATACGAGACAACGCTACTCGACGGGCTTCCAACAGGGAGCCATAACTGGATCTTCCTTTTAGCAGGCTAACAAGGCGCCTTCCACGTTTATCATTCAACAGTTACGCCTTTTGAGTTGTATGCCAAATTTGTTTGGTAATCGAGTTCCCTTTGAGGTACTACACTGGTCGAGAACCCGTAGAAGGCTTAACTCTGCAAGTTTAATGGACCACACGAAGCGTCGCCAACAACTCCTCGTTACAAAAATCCATATACATACGCGACATATATGTTGTTAGAGTATCATAATTCTGGAAGTAAGTCGAGAAAAGCCTAAAAAGATGAGGATTCATTCGGCATTTGCTGCCGTAAGTGGCATGTACCTAGCGGCGCATGACCCAAACTACGTCAAGCAAAATCACCGTATTAGGCTTCCGTCGCAATATGCGTTCCTAGTCAGTAGATTCGATTGCATAGCAGAGAGGTCGTTATTTCGTAAAGGGAGCACCGACCGTCTGCACGGCAATGCAGACCTCGAAACATCAAGCGATTACAACTGCGAATCAATAGGCAGTGACGATTCCACACATGGATCGCATTTCCAACCACGTAGAGTGACATGTGCCACCTTGGCCCGTGAAAGGCGTCCTGGAGGCGACTCACCCACGGAAGCATTGATCAAAAGTAGTGGATGTGGGCCTAAAACGCGACTAGGAAGATTGTGTTCAAGTGAAGATACCCCAAGTCTGTATAAACTGGTTGCTTGGGTTAAAAAAATTGTCGTCAATCGCAACAAGACAGCAGCATACCTAGAGGTGGTAGACGGGACTGCGCCAATGCATGTGGAAGTGGTGATCCGAGATACTCACCCCAGTTACCCTGCTGTTTCAGAAATAAATATTGGAGACGCCATCACTATAGTGGGTACCCTAGAAGGAAAACGTTCCGGATCGGATGGGGGTAATACGTCCGTGCAGTTGGTGGTTACCAACGAGGCACGGGGACATATGTTCACGCACCACCCAAACGAGAGAACTGAAGAAGAAACCAACCCTGTAGCACTCAACGGCAATTATCCGTTAACATATCTACGTGAACACTGCAATTTCAGAGTTAGGAACCCCTTAATACAGGCTATTTTTAGGATCAGGGCGAAGGCCACTGAAAGGCTTTTCAGTATCCTACCGGTTTGTCTACGCATAGACTTTAGATCACGTGAGTGCAGGATATGGGATTCGTTCACGTCACAGCGCCATGTCTAACTACTATGAACTGTGAGGGCATGGGTGAAATTTTCAAGGTAAGGCAAGTCGAACAATAATTGACGTCTCTCTGCAGGTGGTTCCGCCGAACATCGAAGAGCTCCAACAGGTATTGCATCCATCTGCAATAAGACACCGTATGCAGGGTCCAAGCACATTCCTAAGTGTATCTGGGCAACTTGAACTGGAAGCGCTATGTTCTGGAATTAGCAGAGTGTGGAAGCTTGGTCCCGCCTTCCGGGCGGATAGGTCCGACGTTGGTTTTTAAGCCAAATTATTTCACGGATGTTGTAGACCCCTCGACATCTGTCCGAGTTCTGGATGCTGGAAGCAGAAATGAACGACGTAACACTATCGGTGGGTGACTATAACGTCCATGTGTGAGTCATCGTCAGGAACTCACTGATGTCATCCATACGATAGTTAAAAGGACTGGGAGCGCACTGCTGGCTGAATGCAAAGATGATCTGGCTGTTATTAGCCAACATGGGGAAGGGAACGTTATAAAGAGACTGGAAGATCTGGTATGTCCAGCGGCGTGTAGCACTATAACCATGCAGCATTCCTCGGAGTTGAAAACTGTGACATATTCCGACGCGGTCAAGATTTTGAGTGAACACAAGTTGACTGACCCTGATTGCGAATTCGAAGAAATAAATTGGGGTGAACCGCTGAGTGCAGCGCATGAACGTGGATTGCTCAAGCTGTTAGATCACCAGTTGATTGCCGTGACTCAGTACCCAGCCGCCATAATGCCATTTTATATGGAGAGATTGTCCGATGGGACGGTAAATAATGTAGACATTATCGCAAACGGGGTTGGGGAAATTGCGGGAGGTTCTATCAGGGAGGTACAATACGACACTTTAAAAAGGTGTGTCCGTCAAAATTCAATTATGACTCCACAACAGGGCGATGCAAGAACATAATATTGTAGGTTACGAATACGATCAGTTAGTTTGAGGGTGATAGGAGCATAAAATTGCAGATACCTAGAGTTGCGCAAGTTCGGGAATGTTACCCACGGCGGGTTTGGAATAGGTTTCGAAAGAATGCTCATGTTTCTCCTCGGCATAAAGAACATCAAGGAAGTGACACATTTTCCAAAGCTGCGGAAAAAATACGCTGTGCAATAATCAAAATCCACATGTTTATTACGTGAGGTCGAGTTCATGCCCAACAGTTTTAACTTATATTCCGTTGATCATCTGGATGCCGATGTTCGGAGCTGCGGCGTTGTTACCACAATCTCACAAACTTGTCGCTGTTTGCCAGTATGGCACTTACGAAGTCTCATGCTTTTCACTGACTTCAACCGCTTAATCCTACATTATCATTTCCAACTGGCTTCCACCAATACTATTACAGCATCAAACCTTGAAGTAATGCAAACTGGAGACTATCGCATACATTTTCTACTGCATTACCTCATTGCGCATAATTATGCCCCAATGATGTAATGTACGATGCTGCAATTTGCAGGTCTCTGAATTTAACATGGATGGATGGGCGCTACTACTAAGTTCTTCTCACCCAGTTTGATGGAAGACTTGACTTCTTATAAACTTATCTATTTAAAGTAAGCGCGTCAAACTTATACATATGGTATGTACGAGAGTCATTAACAATGTTCCGCCAAATAATTCCAACCCGGCCAAATTAGCCCTAATGCCAATGTAGTCACCCACCTAACGCAATCGAATCTGTTGCTAAGCATGGTGGCAAGTTCAGCAAATTAGCTATGCATCTATAAGATTAATTTTGTATGTCTGGGTAGCCTGTTGCTTGTATCTTAAAGGTGGTACGCACTGAGATGGCACGAAAGTTGTTTTCAGGATTAATGATGCACCGTACGCACGAACCATGTGACCTTTTACCTAACTCAACAATGGGTTAGGAGAGCACTTTCACGCTATGAAGTAATTTGTCTAAACCGAGTATGGTGGCATCACAATTTGCTTGCGAAATTTTATATAAACCGGTGTCCTATGTCGGGCTAGGTTTAGGTTGGGAAGCCAAGCTGAGATCCCTTGGTCACACCGATGCAGGAATTTTTGGTTACTGCTTGGAATGTGGCATTGTTATATATTGTATATATTAGTGAGTTGTTGGAGTGAATATGTTATTGGGGTAGCGTAGCTTAGGTCAACATTTCTATGGATGTAGCTGGACGGATTGGCACAGAGCTGGTATGCGGAATGGACCGAAGAAAGTTAGCGAGGCGACGAATGGGAAAGCATTGGTAAGCAATCTTTGTACGGTAAACAGCAACATTAGAGTCTTTACATTCAGCGCAGATGTAGAGTTAACACCAGTGCCGCTCCTCCATTCATACAAAGTTCAGAGTACTAGGAACATATAAACAGAAAAGGTTGGAAATATGAGCCCCCTTGGAGACATATATGGGGATGACGTGGATTCAATTAATGAATTTAGCTTTTGATACAATTGGCGTGGTGACGCGCTGCCATGGTTGTGCCGTAGTAGATGCGACGGCAGGGTGTAGAGAGCTGAGATGGGTGGCGATGTGGCTCTGAGCTTGGATCACATAGTTAAGAATGATGTTATAGTCACTGTATGATCAACCTTACTCGTCAATGCATGTTTTGACCATGGATACTCATGGTGTGTCAGTGGCGGTAACTGCGACCATGCTTGCCCAGGTGTCACGTTTGTGGCGCGTTGCATGTGACTAAATAAGCTACTTATGATATGGATTCATCAGGAATGGCAGTGTCTCCAGGTACGTAGTCCATTGCTGTAGAGTGTTAGCCTTTTAGCGGCGTGTCGTCATGTTGCAAGGAGTGTTCGTGGCCCCCTGTTTCAGTTAAGTTTTTCATCACCGTGTAGGGATGTCTCTACCTAATGGGGATTTACAGCAGATTTTAAATAAGTCGACTGACTTTTGGTCGCCGATTGAGAAAAAACTAAAAGAGGTTTGGAGTCAGATTCGGGATGCCTTTACACTGCATAACTGCCCGTTGTGCACTAAGGGTACGGCCTGCAAAACTTATTGCGTGTACATTGTCTGTGGCCTCATCATACTACTTATTTGCTTAGCATATTACATATTAAGGAGCCCATTAAGGTTTTTCAAGGGATTGTTTTGCTGTTTCTGCTGATACAAGCCTGCCATCGCATACACCGGCTTACTCCAATAATATCCCATAGCTTCCCCGCAGCCACGTCACACACGCGTTTACGTGGTTACATATACTGAGGGGCAAAATATACTGTAATTACTCACCGCGCAGTAACCAGATGGAAACACAACATAGTATATGCCAATCCGGTACTCAGTTCAGACACGTAAACTCACCGTGTGATGGCATCATAGATTTGCCCAAACAGGCATTACGTAACATCAAGTGATCTCTCGCTGCGCCTGATGCACTTCTACGACATAATTCATCAACGCGTACACCGGGCACCTGTCGACCTGCGATTTTGAAAAATGTCGGAGGCCATTAAAGAATGCGATACAAAACGTTCACTTGCGGACGAAACAATCGCGGACCTTGTGTAATGGCCGAATGCGAAAGACGCTCATGACGCATACGACGACGAGGATTATTGCGATTAAGACACCCATGACAATGCTTATAATTTTATTTCTGCAACAATCACACTCACAATTCCACAAATTTGTATAGCTACATTTCCCACATGTAGAGGTGTCGCATCTTGAACTTTCACTTCTGAACTCAAGGCACGCTGCGCACTGATCGTCATTCTTGCATACTGGACAGCACCATGAGCAACACTTACAGGTTTCTCCATTACACACTCCGCCCTTCTCATCACATTTACACGTCTCGCTCATCTTCTCCTAGCTCACTGGAACCAAAATACCTACACAGCAGTTAACAACGTACCTCGAGACAAGATCATTCCCGGCGCCAATCACAATAAACCCTGCACAAACATGAAACACGTACCCTAAGGTACGAAGGGTAAAACCGTCACGCCGTATCTGATGAGCGCCTCGGAAAGGTACAGGGAGCCTCCAGAGATACCAGAATGCACATGCAGCGCACCGTACACGTTAGTCACTTGGGATTAAGGCCAGAATACGTATTGTGTACTTGCCAGTATATTAGTTTGCTAGTGAGTGCCTGTCTGAACTGCGGTGCGTGTCTACTGTATTCGTGATCGCCAGAATGTCGCCCACGAATGCCACTTACCTAAGCCGTACACTGGTAATCATGTCTTAGGCTCACGGCGACATTAATTGCCTAGCGACGCACATGGTGACTGACATGTCAATCACTCACTTAGCATATGACAAAGCAGTTCACCTAGCGCGGTATTATTCGGCTTGTGGTGTGGACGGCCAACCGCCCAGCTTCACGTCACACTGACACCATGGGAGAACGTAGACACGTTCTATGAGTAACCAACAAAGCAACTAATATCCTGACGCAATGAGTAGATTACACTGTTAAGCTAGGTGCTAGGACCATCATTTGGTGGGGTGCTTAGTTAGCCATTTGGTTAGAAGAGCGTGGCTGACAGCTAATCACAGAATGCACGACAACGCATGTAATGCAATGTAACTGCAATGGTTACTATCATGAGTTAAGGTCATCATCGAAGTAATCGACGTCGCGGTAGAGTGAAAGCATCCTCGTCCCGTGCGTGAGCAGCGCCTTGGCATCTATGAGGTGGGAGAACTTGGATGTCAGCAGGTGAGATCGTATGCACAGGACGTCCATGCGGTAGAGGAGTGAGTGAAGGATGTAGAGCGTGGCGATGAGCCAGAGTGTGACGAGGGTGAAGAGGAAGGGGGCACGGACTCTGTGGAGGAAATTGTCCATGGCGGTCATGAGGCTTGCGATAGGCTTTCCGGAGACCACCTCCCTCAGCTTGTCTATGACCTGTGCACACGTGAGTGACGGCTGCGATACATCCTCCGGCGGCGTGAACCCGTGATAGTAGAGGAGGGGCATGGCCTTGTCACACTGGTGGAGGCATTTGAGCTTGGAGTCGTGACATTGAAGGTTCTCCAGATCGCAGTGCAGCTTGGTCAGTGACTCCCACAGTCTGTCTGCCAGGTATACCGCCCAGCTGAGGTAGGCGTGAGTGAAGCTCGGCGCGTAGAGGGCGTAGGCCCGGTAGGTGATGGGTAGCAGATGTTGACGGCAGTTTGAGTTATCGATGCCGCAGCCAAGCAACGTGGACAAGGCCTCGGGATGGTCCTTGTCGTGGTTGGCGTTGGGAGAGGCGGAGCCCCGGGCGCCCTTGATGACTTGGAGATCTTCCTCCCCAAGACGGTCCCAGTCGGGGCAGTGGCGATGTGGAGTGGTGAGGGCGGAGCCCAGTGAGGACAACTGTGAAGATGCATTGTGCAGCGAATTCCCGAAATGGTGGAAGAAAGAAACAAGCTCCCCGGTGGTGCGCGGCGTCCGCCCGGTGAGGCAGTTGAGGTAGGAGGACAGCGTCAGCAAGGGATCGTCGCCTCCGCATGTGGGAGTGAGTATAGGGGATAGAACACTGCCAATTTCATGTCACATTGGTAAATCATCCTCCCTGAAACTCATCCTGACACGGCTCTTGAGGGTAGGGTAGTACAAAATAAAAGAGGCGCGTCTTGAAGGTGGACTGGAGAACGTTGGTCAGGAAGCCCTGCAGGAGGAGTCAGAATTAGCATAATCACCTATGATGGGATATAGTGGATGTGTCTAAGCACATCTTATATTCGCAGCAATTACTGCCCATATAAAGGTTGTTATATGGTACGATAATTTGGTGGACCTCGTGAAGTGCATTTGTAGCGACCTTGTAAAGGAAGTTAGCTAGCGTTGAATCGAGAGTTACTATACCTGATAAACATTTTTTATAAATATATGTATTCACATTTTGCTTATTCACGATAAATGAGTTCCTTGATCTTTGTGTCAGTTTTCGCTAGATGAGCAAGTCTATTATTCTGGGGTGAAATGAACTGTGGATAACTGCCCCGTCGTAGATAATGCTTGTATTATTGCGCACATGTGTTTTATTTTGCGTCATTTTGTCCAATACGGTTTCGTCACAATGAATATCATCATGTGACATACGGTACATGGCTAATGTAAATGTCATATCCCAATGCATATGCTATGGGTTGCCGGTAACTTTTGACTAAACAATCACTTGTAGAGGATAACACATGTAATAAGGCTGCAAAAATGTCACAACCTGTGGCAGCAGCGGCAACTAAAACTTCACCTCGAAAGGGTACATACGGTCCTTTGGCGGAAGCCCTGTACTATCTGGTGTCCTTCATCGAAGGCTACGACCAACAGGTGCTGTCCATGTGCATGAGGGCTTTCGAGTTAACGTTGGGTTTTTCTCAGTCTCAGTTGTCTACGTTGGCAACTGTTTCTACTATGTCGCGCATGGGTTGCTGCATAATTTGGGGATTGCTTGCGGATGCCCATGAGTCGAAGTATGTACTGGGTAGTGGTCTGTTAGTGATGGGCATTGTTTCTATTATCCTAAGTTCCGCGTCACAGTACAGATCAGTGAGTTGCAATTTTTACTGTTAATGCTACCACAGATTCTGTTCCTGCGCTTTTTACATGGCTTTGGGTTCGCTTGTGTCTATCCCGTGCAACAAAAGATTGTTGCAGAGTCAACAATGTCGAAAGAAGAAGAGGATAAAAAGAAAGCAGCGCAACAGCAGGGAAAAGGCGGCCCGTCGGGACCATCCGGACAATCGGAAGACGCGGCATCAAAGAAGAAAAAGGAATCAAAAGAAGCTAGTAAAAAGTTCACGATCTTCCAGGCTCTCAATTGTATTGGACGGTTGTTATGCGCAGTGATAACTACGCTTATTGCGAAGAAAGTATTATTGGGCTATTATGGCTGGCGTACGTCCTACGTTGTGTTGGGGTACGTGTGGATATTGTTTGCCATTGCGATTGTATTTGGAATGGATTTAAAGGCATGTAATAAGAATAAGGCCTCTCCTAAACACAGCGGAGAATTTTCGAAGCGTATATTGGATGCCTTTGGAGCAGTTTTTGGGTGTAGGACAGCAGGGATCTCCATTTTTACATTATTCATCGCAGAAGCCCCAATGTGTGCCTTTAATTATATGACCATATACTTGCAATATTTGGGAGTCTCTGACACAATGGCAGGCGTTGCGATTGCAATTACATTGATTGGTGGCGCAGCGGGAAGTGGAGCAGGGGGGGTTATTATAGAAAAAATTGCGGGCAAATTTCAAGACTTCGGTGAACTTAGTTCTGGTATGGTAGTAATGGGCATCCGACTAGTCGTGTGTCTGTTGTTCTTCTTGGGTAAAGCGCCATGTGGTAAGTTGCTTTGGTATCATTACGTAGAGTTGGCAACGCTTGGGGCAACACTAGTAACGGTTGGTGGTGTAGATAGGGCCATTATGAAGGATTCAATCGACGATCAACATCAGGCTACCGGATCTGCAATCATTCGAACCATATCAGGCATTTCAAGCAGTATAATTCTTTACCAGGTTTCTGCATATTTGACCGAGAAGGTTTTCGGCTACGTCCCCTCTAGGGAGTCTTTTGAAACCATGGCTACAGAAGTTAAAGAGCGAAATGCCGAAGCCCTGCGGAAATCAATGATGTACATTATTTTGGCAGGCACAGCGCTCAACGTTCTTTGCTATGTTGCAATGTGTTTCACTTATAAAGAGGACAGAATGAGTAAAAAGAGTGACAATGCACAAAACGGAGAGCAAGACGCACAAACGCAGGCACAAGAACAAACGGGAGACTGCTCTGTCGGAGGAAACGATTCTTGAAGGAACGGAAATTGCATCTTAGTAATAGTCGGAGTTACCTGTGGTTTGATCATATAATATCACTCGTTGCTTGTAACTCCTTATCGAAACGGAGTAATCCTGGCAATGGTATTTTATATTACATCTTTTTCCGGGGTGGTTAGCGCTTCTAACGGCGAAGGTCTCTAAACGAGGTCACAGTCGACAAAGCCTTAATTGACTATGCATGAAATGGATTTGTGGTTGTAGATAAAAATTGCGTACTATTCACTCCATTCTACAGCGTGTGGTTCATCATCAGTAGAATCGTTTGCTCTCTACCAACAAAACTATGTAGAGTGCATTTTCACTCCGATTCCCACTCCAGCAACTACCATGGATGCACATATGGTCGTAGATACCGCTACTGTGTTAGCGTGACTTTGGTAACGCCAACGTGCATGCCGAGCCTCTCAATTTCGTAGGCGGAGCAGAACGCCAGTGGCTTACTTTCAGCCCAACTCCGTGGCTCCACAATTTCTTAGCACACCGCTGACTGATCACGAGTCCATTGTGTTCGTGAAGCACGTTCTGAATTGTCTACATGACCACATCATGGACACCCATCGAGTCAGTGAAGCGGGGCTTCTATTGCCAGTATGCTTACTAGAGCTGGCGTTTTAATAACGTCACAAGTTGCTGGGTCAGGGCAACTTCCGGTTAAATAGTTGACAGACAAGTTGAAGGCAACAGTTTTGCCGCATAAGGAAGTGTCATGCTATTTTAGCCGACACTGATTAGGCGGACCTCAGGTAGGGGTTGCAGAGTTGAAGTGATAACAGTATCATATAACTCTCCTCGAAAAAAGCAGCTTCTTATAATCATCGACCATCTATGTAACTGAATTAATATTGTTGATCCAAACACACTTGGTCCGGTTTGCCAGCCTCTGGGATACAGTCACGCATTAGGTTGACAGACTTCCAAAACTTGTCTCATTCGACAACATTTGTCTTGTAAGTGACGTTACTAAAGGAGCGTCACATGAGCCAATTCAGGGCATTACATGGGCGCATGGTAGGAAACTATTGGAGGGCATTTTTGTAAGGGGGTTCCAGAATCACTAAGTAGAAAAGTTAAGTGATGCAAGTGCTACAAGTGCTACATTGAAATTAGATTATTATAATTATTATTGCGATACCATGATTTTGAGCGGATCGGGTAAAGTTAATACGTGTCTTGTGGCGGGTAAGGGTCGTAGAGGTCTCTTTCGTTATAGACCCAATCGTGCAAGTCCTCGAATGGTCATTTTCTATCGCTGATCATGGCGTATATTGGCCTGCCAAGGAAGATAAAAACAGCTAAGACGGCTAAAACTACGCCAACTGGCCAACCTGTGTTTGTATTACTACTACCGTTACCCATACTCGACAGCAATAAAGAGCTCACATTTAAGGCGTACGTTGCAATCAAGTAATACACCTTAAAATACTTCTACTATGTAGAAATGTATGGAAATTTTGTTTCAGAATGATACGTCGATGTTTAATACGGTTGGTGTTACTGACGAAGGTGGATCTCTTTGATTTACTATCAATGGATACAATGTATCTGCATGCGGCTTATGGTATATTCATAATCACGCTGCACGTCGACTTAGCTGCCCCATCATTTACTATTAGACTTATCAAAGAAAGGTCAATCTCACAGCAATCTATTTGTAAACGTTTTGTATGTTAGAAATATTAACATTAATGCGGAGTTGTTTGCCTCGTCAGCTCAATCTCCATTCTACGCCGTAACACTAAAATATTTATGATCGGCTCACAAATATCATACATATAAATTCCAATTTCAGCATGTAATTAGCTTGTACCGCTATGTTTCGTATTGCAATTATACACCAATATATGCAACTGTATCCAGGTAATGTCAAACACTGCTGTGGTACCCTTCTAGCATATTCACCCCCAACAATCGCTATGATACACAACTAAAGTTGTCATATTATTTCAAACTGCGTATCTGACGTAATAAGATTGCCGTTGCCTGTGCTAGCTTCGTGATTTGGGACGGTTGTTATAGGCTTTTGAGTCGATGTTTTTTGGGGACTCGGTTTTCACACGGCATTAATGATTGCCATGTTCGACAAACTTGATCACATATAAAAGTAGTGTGCTTTACACAATATAACTGAAACACCATGCCTGCCCTTCATCATTTGGTGAGGGACACTTATCCATTTAACTAACCTCACATTATTCTGACGTGCAGCAAGACTAACGTCCTATTACCACTCTAATAGCGGTGTTCACAACTATCACTGACAAATCCCAATGTTTCATAGCATGTTATTCCGCTTACCATCACATCGATGGTTTTGGGTAGGCTGTCTTGAAGTCGTATTCTGATTTGCCTAAATTAATTTCACAGTAGACGCCTATGATTTTATCATAACCAAATAAACTATAGTTATCATACGATTCCGCTTATTAACTTTGTTATTGCAGTAATAGGATGCGTGCCAACTAGAGTAAGCACAGCCTCCCAGGCATCCACCCGGCATGTGCAATCAAACAGTAGTCAACGGAGCATGATTTTTGGCAACTTAATGTCTAATAGTAATAAACTATCGATGGGATGATGTGTTAACAGTAACATACGACAATCTCGAGTGACTGCCAATTCAACTGTTGACGTTGCCGCTGTACCTTAACCCCAATTTAGAAACAAGGCAGCTTAAATTGTTGAAGACTCTTAACATACTCGTAGCTGGGGTGTATCAGACTGACATGACGAAACGCTTGTATGATCCTAGCAACAACGCTCCAGCTGCGAACATCGCATCACGATGAATAAATTCGATTGTGGAGCTTTCAATACTAATGACTAGAAGATGCTTGTACCATAAAAGCACTTGGTCAATACTTTTTAGTGTCTTTTAGATTCATACTTCATCTGGTACTCGGTCATCATGCCAGCCGAGATGTGTTGCATACATGACGCAGAATAAACCGGATGAGAAATCATCAAACCTAAATTCAACAATTCGACGGAGAACAGATGCGAGTAATGTTGAAACATGCAGCACATGTTTATAATGACGCATTTATTGAAGACAAAGCGTAGCAAACTTGTAAATATAATAGCCCAGCGGTATATTTCACTATCAGTTCGTGAGCAGCGCATTAGACATAGGACTATAGAGTATTCTCAAAATGAAATGGATACATCACAAAATAATGCCCTCACAATTGTAGCATTAAATATGATAACGCTGCCGTTTACCCCTTTAGGCGGTGTCTACGTCATTCACCTCGCGTGACGCAGAGAACGGGACGCAATGGGAGATACAAGTTTGGATTTGCATAAAAGGTATTATGTCACTAAATATAGCGTGAAAATAATAACTGTTCTATATTGGCAGCAATATAATGTGTGGTTAACCCATGCTCAAGCACTGTACCATGCAGTCCTTAAAGCATAAACAATATATTTCCGGACTTGCACCCATTACCACGCAAAAAGATTGAAAGTGTGTTAAATAAGACCATTGTTACATCTTCTACTTCCATGTAGGTTGTGCATCGGTGTTCAGAGTTGGTTAATATGGGCAATAGTGGGTCAAAGATGGATTGGACGCGCTGTTCATGCTGGAAGCCAAGCGCGAAGAAATGCGAATCAGACTGTAAATGCTGTGCCTGGTGTTGTCGGAAATGTAACGAGACGGCGGATTGCACCCAGTGTCAAGCTCGCAGAGGTACCAATAAATGCGAACATAATGGTTGTGGCAAGTGTACAAATTGGTTCACCTGTAAATGTCCATGCTGTAAGGATCGCAAGGGACCCATGGCTTTTGCCATATTTCTAGCCGTCTTATTTCTGGTCGTCTACATCATCTATGGCCTTGTATGGATGCCGTACCCTGCCATGGACCGATTACGTTCGTACTTCAGTGGTTATTACCCTACCCTGGGTAATAAGGAGAATTTTCACCATTGACTGTAATCTCACCTAACATTAAACCCGCTATGTAATTTAACAGATATATTCGGGTGGTGTTGTAGTGGCGTCAGTTATCACTTCATGTTACTTCATGGGTACACCGTAAATACCACACAAAAATGCCCTCTAATATGGTAACCTTCACTTGCATAATATCATATAGATTTATATAATGCGCGCAGTAAAACCGTGTTGAGATGGAAATTAAATAAGAACTTAAACTCTTTTGGTGACGGAAATATTGCCAGCAGCATACACAAAGAATAATAATTATTTAAAAATATTTACGATGCTTCATTGATGACCTTTAGAAGCTCATAATATTCTCCATTGGATTGTTTCTTCGATTCTGCAGACAAGCGTGTACACCGTATAAGTCGCACTCCCTGAGGGGCAATGTTCTCATGCGTTTAGTGGAATAGACATAGTTCTCTGAATTGCGTATTGCATTTGTCCACATCTCTCAATAATAAGGAAACATCCAGTAATGTCTGAATATAGGTCAAACCTATTATATGCCTACCTTGTCGGCCCTCTGCTGATGCTCACTCAACTTCCCAAGCAGGTAGGAGTGCTGTCTCCATAACCTCGCGCCACTGAATGTGCATATCACAAATGGGAACGCAAAGCACCAATGTGTTAGATTCAACAGCGCTCACACAACATACATCGACCGATGCCAATATGCATGTACACAGTAATAACCATGGAATACCAACCTGGCTATCGATGCTCCGTCATTGAGAGAACCATTCATTATTGGCGTGCAGTGATGCATCTTCAACTTCTTATTGCTGTTAATGGAGCACTGAGTTATTATTTCTCGCTGGAACGACCGTTTTTTCCGCCACGAGGGACTGGTATGCACCTCAAAACTGCTCATTGCAGATGAGCCTTGGGGGAAGGTTCCATCGTCTACTCCCGTTGCCTTGTAGAACGGATTAGAAGATCTGCTCGCAAGTGAAACGTTGTATGACTCCGTCGCATGTGTAAGGTCATCCGGTAGCATGCTAGACCCGAACGCATTCCTTCTCGTTGGGGTTTTCATCGAGCAGCGATATATATTGGAGCCAGCAACCGGCTTAGATAAGTGACATAACAGTTTTGCAACGATCTTCAAGTCTTAAAAACTTTAATGCTTTAGATTGTGTTATTTTTTGAAGAGCATATACACCTTTGCCGCGAGGCCAAGAACGCTATGCGGGTTTAACCGCAGGACAAAGCGAATTTTCATTGAGATGCGTAATGACGCATCTCACAACCAAAAATTGGCGGATTAGGTGCCATTTCATGTTTGTATTAATCATATCATGACGGGTTATCCGCCGTAAGAAATGTGCCCTGCGAATAACGATTCATCGGCGATAACGCCTCAAAAACATTCTGGCCAATATAATGACACGACTACGGCCGGTCAATGTCACACAGGAACCCGAAATGAACCTGAAATGTGTGAAGACGCCATTGAATGGATTGGTAAAAGACTACTTAACAAATTAAAAACACACGAACATACGCGTAACAACAGCTACACAAATTTGTAAAATTTTAACAATGCGGCGAAAATATACACATTTGCGAACGCGTTTACTTATTGACCATTACGTGGTGTTATGCCTGCATACGCAAGTGCCAATGGGATCAGTTCAGCGCTGGACATTAAATTCACCATCTGTGTGACCATGAATAGATCGTAATAATGGTACAATAACGACTGTATTCATTTGGTCTGGCCTGTCATCGCAGCATCCATCATTTGCCAGCCTCTCAGGGCCAACGCGGCATACTCTGACAAATACGGAAACATTGCAGGGCATGGCCATCTGGCCGGTGTAACGAACAGAGGAGTCGTAACGAAAAATCCTGCCAGCCTTAAAATGGTGGAAAATTCGCAAACACATGACGGAGAGACCGTGGAGGTGTTCGCAAGTTTGACTGAAGCTGCCGACACCGAGCCAGGACTTTCTTCCAACGGCTATGAAACATCCATTAAAAATCCCCAGCAAAATGCAGAGCCGACACCTAACATGGACAGCGAGAATTCAGAACCAAAAGACCTGCAGGTAGAGGATGGATCGATGTATGCAGCCCCGGATTCTCCGACGGGTGTAGAGCAGAGTTCTGACAGATTCCGGGAAGAAGAACACGGAATTAATGCAGGGGTTGAGGATGGCAGCGTAGAGGTTAGCCACAGGGATGATTCCATCGAACCTGTTGAAGATGAAGCGATAAAGCCTTACCAAGACGACTCAGAAAATCCAGAATTTGAGTCCACACCGAGAACAGAAGAAGATGCGAACATTGATACCGATTCATTTGATGTGTCAGATATCAAGGAGAGTCACGATGTCCAACCATTGCATGAGGATGATGAGCCGGAACCCGTAGAAACCCTGGATGCCAACCTTGACGCAACTCAGTCAGACACATTGAGTGAACCAGGTGTCATGGAAGATCAAAACCTTGAGGAGCCCGCTTATCAACCTGATGCTATGGAGTCGGAACATGCCGAGGGCAGAAATGTGGACGAAGCTCTCGACACTTACGAGGAAAGAGGTTACGATGACGAAGAAGATAACTCTGGATCATATGGTGGTGAACAGCATCACATGCTTGATCGGGAAGAAAAGTTTTCCAATCTTCCTAGCGATGTGGAACAGTCAGACACCGTCTTTGAGCGTGAGAGTTCTAACCCCCCTGGTGAGGTCGAGCAGTCCAATACCGGCGTTGAGCATACTATAGCAGCTACGGAGGGGCAATCGGGAGCTTACATTGATTACGAGCCTTCTAGATCTCCAAGCATTGTGGAAGAGTTAGAGATCGTAACTGAAGACACAACCCGCAATGCTACAGGTGGTATGGATGATTTAGAAATCGACAATGAGGGTCTCAAAGCATCTAATGACATTGAACAGCCGGATTCCGATATCCAGAATTCTATGGAGCCCAGGAATGAGAAGCTCGATGATGAAAGTGAGCCTGAGCACAAGGCTGCTGATGAGATGGAACAGGTAGATGATGGCGTCGGCTATGCCAAAGCCACTAGTGAGGTTGAACAATCTGATGCCAAAATTGAGAATGCCTATTCTAGGACTTCCAGCGTTGCGGATCAGCTAGATAACAACGTCGAATATGGAGATTCTAAGTCTCCTAGTGTTGTAGAACAGTCCGGCGCCGAAATTAGGGATGATGCTTCCGAATCGTCTAGTGACATGGAGCAGTCGGACACTGAAAGTGAGAAAGAGCGTTCTAGAGTTTCTAGTGACGTGGCTGGACCAGTTACCCTTGGTAGTGGTGAATATGAGTTGGATTTTGATGATCAACAGTCACCATCAACCTACAATGAGGAACAGTTATTACATGAACGCGAGCGCTTATCATATATGGGAGATGAGGGTGAAGATAGTTACACAGAGAGATCTGTAGCTGTTTCATCGAAGGATCAATCTCCCGCAGATATGCTAGAAATGTCGGGACGACAGCACGGTGACACGGATGATGATATGTACGTGAGGGATGAGGACCAGCAGGAACACTCTGAGAAAGACGCTGAATCGCCACGGTCAGACCAAACTATTACGCCCAGAAAGCTTGACGACACAGATGACGTCATGTACGGAGACCAGCCGGCAAATTCCGAATCTTCAGATGATGACCAATCCGATAAGTCGACTAATTCGGTGCGAGAGGCATACCATCACAAATTCGAGGCGGATAAAGGGGATTCTGATGATTCCCGATACTCACCTAACATTAGCGACAGCGAGGAAGATTTCCGCGCCGACACTCCGCGTCCTGAGAAATCGACGCAATCTGGATCGCCAGAGACAGATGGGCGTGAGAGTCGGGGGTCCATGCAATCAGATGAGCCGTCGGGTTCCGAGACTTCAAAGAACAGCACAGCGAACAGCGAAGCAGGAGGTGAAACTTCTGCAAAATTGTACAATGTGTCTAAAAAGTCTTCACGAAGGCGCAGCGAGAAGATAACGCCGGGCACCAGCGAGAATCCGCTCGACATCACCGACCTCATAGTGGACTCTGGGAGCTTACTACAGCTCTACCAAAACGACTACTTCGACGCCTATATGCACATGCACCACCTGTATTACAGGAAGGAGGCGGGTGTGCACGAATATCTGGTGAACCTCCTGTATTCGAAGCGCACTGACAATGAGGTGATGTTCTACTTGCCACAGCTCTGCCAGCTTTCTATTTCAAAGTACGGCAAGTCTTCGCTGCACAGGTTCCTGCTGGACAAAGCGTCTACTTCAATGCATTTCGCGTTGAAGCTGTCGTGGTTTTATCAAGCCATTATATCGGATCAAGCCTCTAAAATAGGCCACCTGGCGCAAAAAATGACGCAGGAAACGGAGATGGCTGTCGTCAACAGCAAACTCATATCCCCGGTATCAACCTGTCTACCTCCAACGGAGGACAGGGAGCTCAACCTGTGCTCCAAGGGCTTGCTCATTCGCAGGGTAATCATCAGGGCAATACGTGCTGGTCACGACAGCGGCTTCAACACATCGACCGCAGTGGAGGATCTCGAAAGGCCAAGGCTGCCTCCGCAACTGAACAACAGCGAGTTGGTCCTAACGTGCTCAACCTCCAAGGCGAAATTCCACACGCCTTACGCGAAAATTGGAAACCCTCTCGAGCTGGATATGCACCCGTATGTAGACTGCCCCGACTCAATGCAGTTCGAACTGGAACGCCTGATGCTGAAGCAGCGAAGACTCGACTATTTCAACATGCTCAGCAACTTCGTCAAGCTGTGCATGGACATCTCTAAGTTGCTGACAACCGTGTCAAAGCGTGACGCGCGGCAGCCACTGCTGGCACTCTTCGCAAAGTCGATGAACGAGTGGATGCTAATGCAGCGATGCACCGTTGCGGCGTATGAGGAAAGCTTCGCGTACAAGGGGTTGTCTCTGCCCATGCGTAAAATGGGGAGGGATAATCGCACCGGAATTCCCTTCCAATTCCTGCGCATCGTGGAGGAGGAGACAAAGATCTTCCTGTCGAAGAAACGCGCGCCTTTCGTGTTCTACTTTGAAATCGCAAACCTAGACGAGGATGTGAGGCAAATATCGCGCTCCGATGACCGCAATGCCATCACTGATGCCACTTTCAGGGACCTCGGCGTGTACGTGGCCATCGTGAAGGACCTTGTCTCATCGGGATTGCTGGACGTCGCCGACGTCTCCTGCATACAGAACCCGCTGGACTGCATCAGGTACACAATGGGCATGTTGCCACCGGATGTTCTGAAGCGCTACGAGGAGCGTAAGATGGAGTTCAAGAATGGGTCCATGGACAGCTGGCGAGGAGGTGATGACGAAGACGCCTCCTTCCTCATATCATCTGTCCATGAAATGTCTCTAGGCGCCACCGACGAATATGGCGAAAACAGCGCCCGCGGTGAGCAGTCTCCTGCCAGATCATCGTCGGTAATGGAAACGAAATACCCGCTCATCAACAAGATGTCAGCGCGGGAGGCCAAGGCGGTCATATTCCCTGAATTGCTGGAGGATAAAAAGAAGCGCATCAGGCAATACAGTCCTTACGGTAAGCTAGAAACGTGGAATGTGCGTGCTGTCATCATCAAGGGAGGCGACGATCTCAGGCAGGAGTACATGGTCAACCAGCTGCTGACACTGTTCCAGCAAATTTTCGCCAACGCCCAACTGCCACTCTGGCTGAGGCCCATCGAGATTCTAGTAACCGGGCCGAATTGCGGTATCATAGAGTTCTTGCACGACACGTGCTCTGTGGACGTCGTGAAGCGCAAATTCAACGTGGAATCGATTGCCAAGGCGTTTGAGCGCATCTTTGCCGACAACATCTTCGAGGCCCGCAAGAATTTCATCGAGAGCCACGCAGCGTATTCCGTAGTGTCCTACCTGCTGCAGATCAGGGACAGACATAACGGCAATATACTGCTCGACAGCGAGGGACACGTCATCCATATCGACTACGGGTTCTGCCTCTCCAACACGCCCGGCAACATAAGCTTCGAGACTTCGCCGTTCAAGCTCACCAAGGAGTACGTTGACGTGATGGGCGGTGACACAGCGGACAACTTCGAGTACTTCAAGACTCTGGTCATCCGCGGGCTGCTGGAGTCCCGGAAATACATGGACCGTATCGTGTTGCTGGTCGAAATGATGACCGGCGCCTACAAGATGCCGTGCTTCGCTGCCGGAACGGCCTACACCATGGATATGCTCAGGGAGCGTTTCATGCTCAACCTCTCGGAGGATGTGTGTATCGACCGGATCATGGCGATGATCGACGAGTCGCTGAATAACTTCACTACCATTCAGTACGACAACTTCCAGCGGCTCACGAATGGAATTAAGTAAAACAGTGCTGTCTTAATATTGTACAAATTAACGCTTAGGCGGCTGGCCTTCCACCGCGCGGCGCTCAGTTCGTATTACGATGGACAATGAAGCTGAATCCGAATACGCAAGCCAGGACCCTGTGGACAATGTCCACCACCAAAAAATCGAAGATTCTATTGACAGACTGAATTTCGTAAGCCTGTCTGCCTTCGACGCCAACAAGGAGCTACACTCCGCGATTGACGAGGATGGCTACATCATCAGCAACGTGGTGAGCCGTATCGGTATTTCCAAGGCGCTCGAGCACGGTGTGAAGCTATCTTCTATCATCAAGGCGAAGGCGCTCAGGCTCAATGAAGCAACGGCGCTGGAGGTGCTGGACGTGGTCCTCAGGACCTACTGCAACAACTTCGCAATTGGCGAGGAGCCCGTGCAGATCCAATCGCAGTCTAACACATCAGATCGTACTCTAGACTTCACCAAGCTGTCGAAGTTTTTCTCCTCCAAGGCACTCAGTTACTCACCGCTCACATGGGACACGCTGCCGCAACCAGTCAGCGAGAAGCAGTCGCAGTCGGCGAAGCGCCGACGGGTGCAGCCAGCGCATACAACCACTACCATCGCTCCCACGAGGGAAGTTTCGACGATGATCGAATACAATGAGACCCTGGAGACACAGAAGCACACCGAGTCCGTTAGACAAAATTTGCTGGAAGCATCGCAGAGCGAGCCTGTTTCCTTCTGGGACTTCGTCCTAGATGATGACCCCCAGAATGGCTACAACAACACGTGTAGGAACATCTACTCCCTGACGTTCCTTACGGTCAAGGGTCTGTCCACCTTCGAGCAGGACGATAAGGGAATGAAGATACAGGTATGTCATCGCCACAAAGCGTGTAACATCCACTCAGGGGCTCCAGGAGCCTGAGGAGGGTCGCGAAAATGCGCAGGGCGTCGTTACCGCACTCTCCTACGACGCTTGGCGCAAGAAGGTCCAGGAACGTAGAAAGAAACGACGATAGGGCGGGTAGCACCACCACCCAGTACAATACACAAATGCTGGTCCGAAACGCAGCGGCATCATAACAACAGCCCTGTCAATATCTACCTCTATTGGGTGAAATGCATCAAGCACAGATACAACTGCATTATGCGGGACGTGTTCAACTTGTAAGCACCTCGTTGCGCGACTTCAAGTACTCAATCGCCTTGAGCGCAGCCTGCGAAGCTGCGCTTGACAGCGGTGCCGTTTTGGCTGTCCTGGTCGGCTTTGAGGGTTTGGAGACCTTTTTCATGTTACGCGTAGTTTGGGCGACGCGACTTGCTCCCTTGTTGGCACGTCCCGGAGCCATGTGTGGAGTATGCGTTTTCCCTCCACTTCGCACATTTGCCCCCTTATGTTTAGCAGCTGAGTGACCCGCGGCAGCTGCGTTGGGAGCAGCGCCGTGGCCGCGATCTGGCAGGATATCGCCAGGACGCTGCTTTAGACAATACGCCGCGGCATAATGTCCCAGATGCAGTTTTTTGAAGTCGAAAGTACGCCTCAGGTCGCGCGCATAGCTCTTGTAAGACTGCACCGCAGCACGAAAAGCGCTTTGAGCGATAGACAGCAGTTCGGCATCGGCCGAAACCAGGTCGGAAAAGCAGTTGCGCAGGAACGAGATGTTATAACCTTTGAAACCACGTAGATGCTTGGGCACGAAGGTCTGCTCGATGTAGGACCACACGAGGCCTTCCATCACCTGCTTGACGTGTATACCCCGCTGTCGTAGTGCCTGTATGAAGTGCACCTCGTGCGGCATGAGCAGCAGTATGGCGTTACCCTTGCCACCTAATCGTGCCGTACGACCAGAACGGTGGATGTACTCTTCCAGTTGCTGTGGAGGGTCGTACTGGATAACTCGGTCGACCTTGGACATGTTCAGCCCCCTGGAAGCCACGTCGGTCGAGATCATGATCGCCCTGTCATGGCTCATGAAATCGCTCATGTAGCCAGCGCTGCAAGCCATTGTAAAGCTAATATGAAATAAACATACCGGTCATTGACTTCCATGCTGCCATGTAACATATGGATGGGCACTTTGCTGAAAACAGGCAGCCCCTTCGGTCGCCCCTCGATTGATCCCTTGAACTGCCTTGCGTCCTCCCCGGTCATCATCTCGTACTCATCAATGGTGTTGGAGTAAGTGTCCAACTGTTTGGCCACCTTAGACGAGATGTCACGTTTCCCCTTCTTGGCACCGGCCACGGTCGGCCACGTCAGCGACTGAAGCAGTCGGTGGAAGTAGACCACAGTCTGACAGTTGGCCACGAAAATCAGCACCTTTTCGCCGTTAGAAACGTATTTCAGCAACAGCGAAACCAAACAAATGAGCTTGTCCTTGCACTCAACCACGACGTATTCGTGCGTCAGGGTAGACGGCATCGCAAGGAAGTCGTCGTCGACACCGATGGTCTCACGATTTGTCCGCAGGCAAAAGTCTGCCAGTTTGTGCACTGCATCTGTCAGGGTAGCGGACGTCATGACCGTTTGCAGCTTCCCTGCCGATTCCACGTCCCTGGAGGCCATTAGGAATTTGTATATACCCCGGATCTTGACTTCAAATCCCATATCAAGCAGGCGGTCGGCTTCGTCCAGCACAAACATCTCCATATTCGACACTTTAAACGAAGCCGTGCTCTCGCAATGGTCAAGCACACGCCCCGGGGTACCAATGACCACCGTTATCCCCTTGCGTATCTGCGCCTTCTCGGACTTGCGGCTGTCGCCCCCTGCACTCAATGACAATGCGGCACATAGAGAAACATACCCATCAACGCTGCGACCACTATCCACGGGAACGGCCGAGCAAGCTTGCTGAACGTGTCCCTAGTTTGTACCGACAATTCGCGGGTCGGACATATCATCATAACCTAAAAAATGTCAATCCAAATAGCCATCCTCAACAACTTACGCATGTTCCATCTTGGCGAGTGATCTTAGCTCCATTTCTTGGGCACACAAGCCTCTGTAAAGCCGGAACCAGAAAAGTCAAGGTCTTGCCGGACCCAGTGGCGCTGCGGATCAAGACATCACAGCCGTCCAGAATCCTGGGAATGCTACGCGACTGGATGACAGTCATCTGCACGAAGCTGCAGCTCGACAGTGAACGGATCACTCGCTCACTGAGGGTGCTGGAGAGGTCGCTGAAAGAGCCCGAAAAGAGCGAAGGATCGCCTAGGCTCACTGCATCCTCCCTCTTCGGCGCCACCGTAGCGGAACGTCGGCTCCCAGAAGGCTCGCGATTTCCATCATTGGATTGAGACGGTGATGGTTGGTCATCTTTGATTCTCCCGTAGAATTGCGATAATCGGCGGCACAGCGCCAAGTTGTAGCGCGAACGACCCTGTGTCCGATGCATTGTAACAGGGAACGTCACGGCGCAGTAAATGTGATATATTCTAAATATTAATAGAAATATCAGAATAATATCACTATGTCTGACTGCGAAGAAGGCAGCAGACACGGGCAGGCAGCAACCGTGCCGCGCCTAAATTGGCGTAAGGCCGTGGAATCTTTAACGATGTCAGAAGGCAGCAACTGCTTTATATCGCTTTTTACAGTGCTCTTAGTCGATGCAAACAGTGAACTTGCGGGACAGATTGCGAGGAAGCATTACGCCGTCTGGAAGGCCATCTGTCTGTTTGTGCGCCATCAGCTAATCAGCCGAAGTAAACGCATAAGATATGGTTCAGAATGGTTACATCCGTAGTATATACGGCAGACAATTGAACCTTTGTAATCGGCACCCAGAGCAGTAGCTCTGTCGAAATAAGGGAGACACACACTGACCGAATTAGCTGGAAAATATACCAAGTGGCTCGATATATCGCTTTATTATTGACACAAGGCCTTATACACACTTTGTATGCAAAAATGTGTTTCGGAGAACTGCCGACGTTCACATGTGTAATGAGTTTCAAGTAACACATAAACAGCTCGATAATTACGCAGACTACTAGCTGCACACAGTCATTGATGTAACCGTATGTTGTGTATTAACTGTTATGTCTGTCGCATGAAGCGCCGGACGCGTATTGTGTCCCATGCCACGCACTCCCACGCGCTCTAGGTGCTGCGCTTCAGCAGCCGGAGGACCAGCTTACTTGTCATCTCCCGCAAGGACTGGCTTCTTGTTAATTATATGGGAAACTTCATGGCTAGAGAAATGGCTGAGCAAAAGGAAACGGAGACCAAGGAACAGGCTCGCCCCGAAACCAACAAGGTGGAAACGCCCGAATTCTTAAGGAAAGACAGCAGCCTTTCCACCAAGTCCGTGTCCAAAATCGTCGCTACGGCAGCGCAGAGGCATGGTCGCTCGTGTTTTGAATCTAACGCGGAGCCGTCTCAGGCCGATGCAGGCCAACGATCCAGTGTGCCGGGCTCCCCTACAAGGGAGTCGCTGAAGAGGATTCCCACTGGGTGTGTCAAGGCTGCAATAAGCTGCTTCGAAACTACGCCGGAACCCGCAGCGGCAACTGTGCTTGAAAAAAAGCCTAGCGCGGAATCGAAGGCAACCGTCCAGCCCGCGAAGGTTATGCCTCCCAAGACCACTCCAACGGTGTTCGAGAATAACCCCGTGGCCAAGTCACCCGCCACCATCAGGGCTTGCGATGCTGTGCCATTCCATGAGGCACCTTCAGTATTCGAGAACGAGCCCGCCGCAACATCCAAGGCTGACGTGAGAGCATGCGACTCTCTGCCACTGAGCAAGGCCGAAACTGTCTTCGAGAACAACCCAGTCGCCGCCAGCGCTGCGGATGCCAGGTCTAGCGAAGGAAATGTCACGAAGGTCACTAGCGGAACCTTCGAAAACGTCCCACAGGGGAAGTCTACGGCGGATGTGAAGCACAGTGACAAGGTCGCACGATGCTCTAGCGGCATGTTCGAGAACACTCCCAAAGAGAGGTCGTCTGCGAGCGTAAGACATAGCGACAAGGCGCCTACTGTTGAAAGTCAAGTTTTCGAGAATGTGCCACAACTGAAGTCGCGTGCAACGGTTAAATACAGCGACCCTGTTGCGCGAGGTTCCAGCGGCACCTACGAGAACACGCCGGAGGAGAAATCGAGTGCTACTGTAACAAGCAGTGACGTGCTCTCGCGACTTTCCAGCAGCGTTCAAGAAGACGGACCCGAACTAAAGTCACGCGGCAGCGTCAGCTACGCGGATTCCATGACGACCGTTGGCAGCGCTGTTTTCGAAAACGAGCCCGAGTTGAAGTCTAAGGCAACTGTAAGATATAGCGACGTTTTGGATACCGCTGTGGCCTCTCTCTCCGAAAGGGTGTCAGGTACCTTCGAAAATGAACCAGCGCTTAGGTCCAGTGCGACCATCAGGTATAACGAGCCGCTGCAGTCCAACCACTCTGGGACATTCGAGGCTCAGAAAGCGTCTAAAAGCTCTGCAGATTACACTTCAGGTGGCTCTCTGATGAACGAACTGCACGCCACGATGGCTGAATGCCGTATAGATGCCGACAAGTAAAGGTCAAGCAGGGTATTTTGCACCCCGCAATATCAAAAAAAAGCGCGAAATGCGCCAAATTTTATCTTAACACATTGAATGTCTTCTAATATACTTGTGATGGCGATAGTTTACCTAAAATAACATGTATGCTTATTTAACGCCTTAAGTGTTATGGCCTGACCCTTTCAAGACAGGTGTATTGGGGAGGGAATAACCGGTGAATGAACCATCCATAGGTTATGTTGTATCAAATGTGGCTATTTTACTCACCGCTTATATTACACATTCGTGAGTAAGGGCCAGGGAGACAGGAATCCACCTCGTACTCCCGGTCTCGACACGAAGCTCGGAAGCTATGGATCAGCACGGATTTCGGAATGAATTTTCGAAATTGAACCTAGTTTTTGAGCACATAAAGCTGACTGGACCGGGCATCGACGTAGCAGGTATGTTAAATTTAGGATGTCGCTTTGTATGCGACACACCGCAACTGTGATTTCTGACCGAATTACATCGCATCTCAGGGGACCATGGGAAGGGAGTCGTCTCGGAGGCGTTCCAATACCTCAGGACGCTCTGGCATCCAAATGTGTGCTGCTATACGGACATGTTGAGAACGGCCAAGGGTACCTATGTGCTAGTGTCTGAAGGTTACTCTCTAACTTTGGACGACGTTATAAAGAACTACGCACAAAGAGGGAGTGGATACATCAGTGAAGGTGTGACTACGAGCCTTAAATTCGATGCTATAGCTCATCAAATTATTTGCGGGTTACAGTACCTCCATGCGCATGGCGTCGAGCACGGGGCGCTTGGACCGCATAACATATACATTCACAGTGACGGCACTGCAAAGATCGGATGTTACGCAGCGCACTACCTCCATAGGGTTGCCTCTACGGCCCACGTGAAGGCAAACCGTATTGGCAGCAACCCTAATCATCGAGGCGCTCCCGTGGTTGATCGAACCCTCCGTGACACTGCTGGCCCCGATGGACTCAATTCCTACGGGTCTATAAAATGCCACAGCTCCCCAGAATTGTTGTCAGGCAAGTGCCGCCAGACTGCCTGGATAGACGCGGTTAAGAACGATATTTGGGCCTTGGGCATGACCTGCCTGCAGATTATAGGAGCCATTATAGCCCAAGAAAGCGAACATTCATCGCAAAAGGAATCGCATACTGTCACTAAGAACATTAGATCAGTCAGAACTTACGAAGAAATGGCCAAATTGTCTCAATGTACGAACGACCCATCGTTGCAGAAGGATGCATTCAAGGCATCAGGTTCACTCATCCGTTTGGCAAAAGAACGTATGGGCGGTGTAGCTGATCTATCAGCCGTTGGCATTGACGTAGTTGGGATATGTGCGGAAGCTTCTACCTCAAATGACGACGATCAGCCCCAACAATGGAGCGAGGACGCACTCGCCCGACTGCTACCAAAAGTACTTAATGACCCCGCTCCCACACCGGTTGTAGTCCATTTTGACTTAACGGATGAACCCAAAGGCGCTGTGAATCGGCAACCACCGACCGCACCGAATACAACGGAAGCTGAGTCGCAGGGTAACCAGGATTCCTCTGAGTCCGACAATACTTCATCGCAGTCCAAAGCCATATACGGTGTTGTCCGAGAAATACTGAATTGGTACACAGGTAAATCAGTCGTCGAAGATCTGCTGGGTTTTGTTGGAATTGATCTCAAAAAAGGGCGGACCGATCCATCTAGGGAAAACAACGCCACAGTTCAACAGGTCTATTCCATTTTCCATATCGCAACTCAGTGCCTCATCATCGACCCAGTAAAGAGACCAACTGTGATGGACATTCTCATACTCCAGCAATCGAAGGCACGAGGTGGAAGGATATACAGGGACGGTCAGGAAGACACCTTCGATTGGAGTGTGATATCCGCCAAGCGCGCTGGCGCCAAGTACAGCTTGGGGCTGCGCATACCAATTAACGAATTCCTCAATCGCAGTTACCGGAAAAGGCACCTAAACATCAGGGAGTTGGACAAACTTGAGCTGCACATTGACGACCTGTTCTACTTGTGGCGACTGATGGGAAACGATCCACTCGATTTGATAGAGGACGCAGAATATGTCACTGCAGAAAAGGATGATACCTACTCGAGACAAAACGTGCCGCTGCATGAACTTTTGAAAACGTGCACCAAAGCAGACCTGTTCCCCATCATCATAGAACACCAAATCAGACCAACGTGCGCCTACGCAAGGCAATTCTCATTCCTTTACCAATGGATACGACTCAGAAGGTTTGATAAGCTGCTCCATAACGGACTGGAAAGTAAATACCAGATAGCAACAGAGGCACAACTTGATGTTCCTCCGATGCGCCGAAAGCACATTTGGTGCGTGATTTTAGGGCTTGACGCTCCCTTCGGATTGCCGATGTCTAGTGTAGAATTGGACGAACCCATGGAGGAGACTGTGGCTGTAGAAATTAAAAAGGCGTTGAAGCGATTTGACAATGACCTCTTGTACTCTCGGCGATGCGTAGAACTCATGGCGAAGGTTGGATGCGCAATCCAGCAGGATCACGGCCTCGAATCGCTACCTAGGTAAGCTATTTTATAAACCAATATGCAATTTCAGTTCGCTATACGTCACATTCGGCCCTTTGGTAGTCCAGTACTACGAGTTCAGCGAACTGTTCATGGATGCTGCCATGAATCTTTTCGACAAATACCTGAAAAGCTACTATGTGCCATCGGGATCCTTTGTGCAGAACGACCTGGAGGAATTCAATACCATGCTAAACTTTTTCGACCCCGAGGTGGCGGCGCACCTGCAGCGTGTCGGAGCCTTTGCCGACTCCTTCGCTCTGCTGTGGTTCATGAGCCTCTTCGCGGAAACCGCATCTTTGCAACAGATAAATATGCTGTGGGATACGATGCTCAACTTCCCGCGCAACTACGTCAAGTACCTCGCCGTGGGAGTATTGCACAGCGCCAGAGACGGGATTCTGCAAACCACCACCGCGCCGAACGCCATATCGTACATCTCAAGCCTCATAGATGCGATCAACGCCCCGATGCTCAACTCCATGTGCATCATAATCTACACCATCTGGGACCACATCCTGTTCCCCAAGGAATCGGCGCGGGCAAAGGGCATAGCAAGGTTTGACAGCATCCCAGAAAAGACCAACTCGTTGGATGTCGGATTCGTTGCGACTGAAGCTGGAGTTGATGGAACTGTAAACGTGGAACGGACCATGTTCTCCTTCAGCGCTGATGTTTATCCGCGTCAAAGATGCTTCAAACTGGCGCTGAAGCAGTTTGCGGAAGTTTTCGACGGCTGCCTCGTTGTTGATTTACGCTCCGCGGACGCTTACAAGCTTGGACACATACCCAAGTAGGCCATTATACACTTTGTTGACAACCTATGCAGCTCGTGTCATATCGCAAGGCTCCTTGGTTGCCTCGAAAAACGTGACGAGGCGGCGCTGAAGTCACTTGTCACGGACCTCGTCAGCAACAACACAGATAATTCGACTGGCTTAGACGTGAGTTAAACATTGCAAAACAACATGTTTCTCAGCCGAACAGCATACGGCGCAAGCACCAGCTCAGCAAAAATTGCGAGACGCTTCTTGGCCTCGGGGAGAAAACGTGGTCACAGGAACGACTGAGGGAAGCGTCCATACTGCTGGCTGCCGGCGATGGCTCCGAGCTGGAAAAGGAACAGAACGCTTTGCAGCGCCTTATATACGAATTCCACGTGCCGCATGTATGCTACTACCGCATCAACGCGGACGACTGGCCCAAGCTGTTCACCCTTTCGCAGATATAGGTGTGCAAGTCAAAGTACTGTACATTCTAAGTTTTACTATACGTTGTTTCATCGGTTGGCTATACGCGGTCTGGCGTATCTTTGCTGCGTTTCTTGGGTGTTGCCGTTTCTCTTGACTGGCGATAGCGCTTCCACATCTCCGCCTTCTCTAAGGCGCGATTATGGGAGTCAGCCTGTAGTATAGCGCGATGTAAGGGTCCAACTGCCCCTAACACTCTCCTATGGTGCGTAGATCCCAAGAGCTGCCGTGAAGGGTTTCTTATATTCACATCACTTGTTGGAGATGGTGTGGAAACTTTTTGGTGACCCTGATAATTTGAATGAACCTCAAAATCGGCACGAAGATCACGTACAGGCTTGTTGCTTACGGTGTATTGTCTGGAATTTCCGTGTTTCGTATTTTCCGGTTGCGATATATCCTCGTGCTTCTCGTCACTTCGCAGAACAACAGCAGGTGGTGAGCGATCTTGCACAGTAGATGAAGATGCCTTGCGGAACACAATACCACGTCTTTTGCGAGGATTCTGATTTGTATGCTGCGTTGACCCTGTGGAAGGTTGAGATTCCATGCTACGTCACCTCTAAGTCAATGACAACGACCGAAACATCACACATTTCGGGCAGCGGCGTATTTTAGCGTCATAAAATCATACACACCTGATTACTGATGCGCGTAATTGCTACTAAACATTCGGCTGCACCGTAATGTGATATGAACACCGGTTCCGACACAGGACAGGGTAGAGGGCAACTTTGTCCCGGTGTAACCACCAACCAACTACATACATTTATATAGTTGTACTTATATTGAACGGAATGTTCAAACTCGTAAGATTCCATCGCAAACAAGTCGAAAACACCCCTATCGGTGGAGTCCCCGGGATGTGATCGACGTGCGCCGCTGTATGGTGTAATAGACGAGACTTCCATTGAACTATGCTGGATGGGGAGTCTGTCAACGCTTGCACTGTGTCTGATCATAGCGTTCTTGTCCCTAAAACATGAACCGCGCCAAGGCAATGGACGGATTCCACTAGGGATGTTGACACCAGCTTTTGCTGAGTCAAAGCTATCTTCGGGCATCACTCACCAGTCATTTATCGCAGTCCACAGGCCGCTCATCCAACTCATGGAGACAGGAAGAAGCAACAGGAAAACCACAATGTCGGCTACGGAGGAATCGCAACAGCAGTCACTAGAAGGCAACGCTGAAAATAACAGTAAACCCAGACAGGACCCAACCGAAGGAAACAAGGAGTTAGACGGATGGAAGGCGGACAGGGCAGATATACCAGGTCCCTGGCGCATTTTCTACCCGTTGTCACTCAAGGATACTGTCGGCCTAAGCCCAAATGTAAACCTCAGGCCGTCGGTCCTCTTCTGCGACATCACTGGCGCAGTAACAGGACCGGAACACCCCGACGCGGGTAAAGGGTCGTTCATACTCGACGCCGGAGAGAGCGTCGATATAGATGACGGCGAATCATTCGTCCACAATCGCAAGTGGGTCAATTAGAATGCATACTGATCGCGCTGCAGATTCGGCATGATAATCCTCAGCGGGAAGAACTACTCCAACCTCAGGCTAGTACTGCTTGGCAGGATGTTCTACTCCAAGACGTACGTCCTCAGGGAACTTAAAGGCGTCGTGCGGATGAGGTCAGCCATGTTCCTAGGACAAGCCTTTCTGGAGTCATACGTACGTCACATACACAACATCGTACACATCGTTGCAGAGAAGTCCTGCTGTCACGGAAGCGCTGCACAGGATCAAAAGAAGGATCACTGTGGTAGGTAAATGAGCTGCATCATGCATACGGTCTCAGCTGGACAGCGAAGGCAACGAGGTGGATCCGCTCACTTGGGAGTTGCAGCCTCTCAACGCCCCCGGTTCGCCGTTCAGATGGATGCATGGCACAGACAAGTGGAAGCTCCTGGGGCCGTTCACGGCGTACAGGGTTCTGGGACCAGGCGTAAAAGTCCCGCACAAACCCATGATATACGACAAGTACAACATGAAGGACCTGTACAACATGGTTGACCCCCTCAAGCTCAACAAAACGCCGTATACGGCGCCGGAGAAAATAGAAGAGGAGACATGGCGGGTGATACAAGCGTTGTTCGAGCCCACTGACAAGCCAATGAACGAATTCCGGGTCACCGACCAGAACTATCTCAATCAGCTCCATGAAGAGGTTGGTGGCCAACACAATCTAACGCTATCAAATGATTTGCAGATGGTACAACTCGCTAAACAAGGGCCCGATTTCTACAAAGGTACCATGCAGTGATTACGATTATTCGGTTTTTACCTCAAACTCCTCATCGCTGCTCTGATCATCGATCCAATCACAGGCAACGGCATCATAGCTCGGAGGAGCGGATTTCACGGCGGCCAAGAAGCTCTCAGCAGCCGTTTTGCTTGGGAGGGCTTGGGCCTGGAGGTCGGTCTTGCCGTCGAAGAAGTACACCTGTAGCCGCTGCCCGTCAAAAACACGATCTTGAAATTTCGAAATAAAGATCTCAGCATCCGCAGAGGTCTTCAGTTTCACGCAGACCACGCCCTGTGGATGCCTCGCAATTGGCGTGACCTTTTCGACGGGGACGAATTTAGTTATCTCCGCGACAACCTCCTCACGCAGGTCGTCATAAAACTTGCTCCCAGCCTCATGTTCCTGTTCTGCTTATAAATGCAGCCATAAGAAACCCACCCATGCATCTTCTTGAGAGAACATGGGTTTGCAGATCACTATCCTACGGCCGCTTCCGTCGTCGATATCCTCCGTCCAACTTTGCAACCTGTAAATGCTGATGGTACACAGAACGCCATCCTCACCTGTCCTGTTCGTACTTGGCTGCGAGGTACCGCTTGCGCATCTCCTCAGCGCTGAGAGGGGAAGCAGACTTTTCACTGTATTTCTGCGGATCGTAGCGAGCCTAGCACCCAGTGAAGAGCAGCTACCACACAACTCACCGCTTCTACATGAATAACGCAGTCCTCGCGAAAGTGGTAGTTGTCCAGGTAACGGATTGCAAAATCCACTGACTCTTTGTTGACGAAGGTAACGCGAGCGTCGTTTTTGAACTTCCCCGAGTCATCAGTGTACAGCTTTATTTTTGGCAGCGCTACGTGGCTATAACAGACCTAGGTGACAACACTAACTGGTCAGAGGGTCGATCTTTATCACACCGGCACGTTTGAAGACTTGAGCCACCTCCGCCGCCGTGGTGTCATCGGGAAGGTTAGATACATATACGCTCAAATTTCGCTGATGGCGTTCTTTCTTATGAACAGCTATACTTACGGCAGACTCCACCCATTTTCCTGACTCGATCTTCATTCGTTTGCGTTGCATGTATTGCCGCTTCTTCTCGCGCTTTCGAATACGTGCTTCTTCCTCCGCTGACACCGCGGTCGTGGCATCGTCGGCCGATGCCGCCTCAGGAACAATGGCGGCCGAAGTATCAGCAGATTCGGTTGATGCATCAGCATTCGGAACATCAGTTTTCGAATGTGATGAATCTCCCTCCGTTGGCACCGACGAGGCCTTGGCCTCACCTGAGCGGTAGTTACTCCACATATTAGGCGACGAGACACAAACCATCCAACAAATCTTTCAACTCGTCGACCGAAGATAGGGCACTCCACGCATCCATGCCATCGCACCAAACGTTGCTTGCGCCGCTGATGATCGACCTGGCAGAGCTCTCGCAACTGAAATCCGGAAGCTTACATGTCAAGCAGCGATTTAAGGCCGCCATGGTCACAGGGACCACGAATCTCCGCATCAGCGCATTGCACGTACCACTAAGTAAACTGTTACAATTAAAATTAACACCGCGCTGCGTGGCGGCAGTGGGTAAGTACCTTAGTCTCGGGGCCACCGCTGGTACCCCCCTCCGATGACATTTCGCTTGTTGATTGCATCAATCAGGCGTTACGAGCGTTCAATTTCCGGTTGGACTTCGGTTTACCAGCTGCATAATGCTGTAAATGTCGCCTAGGTTGAGCGGCCAACACCCAACCGCAACTTACGGGTAACCTTTAGCGGCAGATCCTCCGGATTCTTGGTATTCGCGGAAAGCGACCAGCTGAGAAACAGCTGGTTAATCTGGTGCAGTTGCCGCAAATGCCCCTGTCGGCTCAGTTTGAACATACAGCACTGCTCACAATGACAAACGAAAACGGTTTCCCTTCATACCTTCCTGTCGTCAGTCACTTTGAGCACTAGGAACTTCTCTCCCTTCACGTGCTTGACCGAATAGCGAGTCTGCGATCATGTTAAGCGGGTTCAAGTTGCAAAACGTGCGAAGGAGGTCGCACATCTGACCGGTAATGCTTGTCTAAAGTCTCACCTTCAGAGGCCGACCGCAAAACAGAGAGCGCGCTTCTTGGAGAAACTCGCTCCAGTTGTCATAATATGTCATCGCAAATGAAGCGGAATTTCGGTGCAGATGCTGTTTTTATCAAGTGAAATATGGAGCTATTGACGCGCCAGGGAGATCGTTGCCAACTACCGCCAGCCGGTATCGGCAAAAAGAGACTACCCCGCGCTGCTGCGACTCCACACCCTTACAGTGGTGTAAAAATGACGTTTTAAATTGCAAAACTATCTAGAGCGGCGTAAGGATTACACCTATGGGGGCTGGCTTACGCTGAGCCTCTCGCGGCCAACGTCGGCCGGTAGACAATGTAGCTATCGCACAGTACTCTTATTTACAATACACCACGCAGAGAGGCGCAATGGGTGACTGGTTTATGGGTACATTTGCGGCGGCGGAGCCGTCGTACGCGCCGATGCGATGTTGCCTCTGCGGGGACGTCGTTGCGAAGCCGACGGCTTCCAGGATGTGCCACCTGTGTATCTCCAAAAACGTCAACTTGTCCCAGGAAGTATCGACGCACTGTACGATATTGCAGTGCGGAACGTGCAAAAAGTTCTTTCACGACAGATGGTAGGCGAACAGACAGCCAGACCACAGACGCGCGCAGGCTTAATTGCGAGCTCGAGAGCAAAGAGCTGCTGTCAATTTGCCTCAAGAAGGTGAAGGGACTGGACGCCATGAAGATTATTAATGCGGCGTTCGTTTTCACGGAGCATCACAGCAAGCAGCTCAAGGTAAAGGTCTGCGTGCAGAAGGAGGTGGACAACAACTTCGTGGTTGAGCAGACGTTTGTCATCGACTTCTCCATCAGGTCGAGCCAGTGCGACTACTGCAAGCGCATGTACACCCCTCATACGTGGAAGGCGATGGTGCAGATCAGGCAGAAGACCAAGGACAAGCGGCACATCCTTATGCTGGAACAGGTCATCATCAAGCACAATGCTCACGAGAATGTGTCCAGCATTCTCTCCAGGCGCAACGGCTTCGATTTGCACTTCCAAAGCAAAACTTGCGCCCAAAAATTCGCTGACTTCATCTCCGACAAGATCGTGTCGCAAGTCAAGAACAGCAAGAAGCTGATCACGCAGGACACCGTGAACAACAAGTGGGATTACAAGCACACGACGCAGGTCACACTCATACCCATATGTGCAGATGACATGGTAGGCTGATCACCAATGTTTTGACAAATGCATCAGGTCTTCCTGCCGCCGAAGGTTGCCTCCATGAACGGGGGTGTATCGCCTTTTATGCTATGCGTCAATCTGACCACCACAATCAGTCTGATTGACCCGTTCACGTTGCGAACGCTGGAGGTATCTGGCGAGAAATTCTGGAAAAACCCGTTCTCGTCGCGTAAGTTTCGCTGTCTAAATGCCGCTCGTCAAATCATTCCAGTGTTCACGAAGTTCAACCTATGCAACTTCATTATCCTCAACGTCGAAAAGGATCGCGAAACCAAGCACTCACACCCAAACTATGAGTAAGCGCTGGATAAAAACGGCACAATCCCTTGCAGGCTCGTCGACGTCGAAATCATGGCAGTCAACTCTTCCACCGTAATCTACACGAAATCGCATCTGGGGAAGACTCTGGCCGTGGGCGATACCTTCAGCGGCTACGACATCAGAAGAATCAACATGAACGGGCTCTCCGAGGAGGAAACCGACATCACGAACAAGATCCCCTTCGACGTTATCCTCGTCCGCAAGGTCAAGAACAAGAAGGCATTCAAAACCAACTGGGTGCTCAAGAGGATCGTTGAGGTGAGTTACATGTGGCGTAAGGGTGTCTATAGTGCACCGCAGACGAAGGGCGGCGATTCTGACGATGAGATCGAGGAGGACGAACTACTCGATTTCAAGGAAGAACTGATGAACAAGAAGGAATTGCAACGCAACGTTGAGTTCTACCAGAATCCGAAGTGAGTTACACTAAAAGAAACCTAATGGTGGGTGCAGGATGCAAGTGTCTAGGGACGACAATGCCGAGGACGGGGAACTCGACGTGGTCGCCTCGCAGCTGAAGGAGCTTTCGTTGCAAGACACGAACTACTTCTGAACGTAGCACTGGGTAGTGTTGGCGTTTTGTGTTATCAGCCAATGGCTGGATCGCAATAGTGGATTCTCCATGGAAAGGACTGAGGTATGAGTACACCGGTCCACACCGTGAAGGTCACATGTTCCTAATAACAATTAGTGAATCGCATACACTTTACATAATACACTGAGTTGTGTGTGTCCAATGTCTGCCAGTCCCGTTTCACGTGCCAAGTAGGGCTGCCTTCATCCAGCGGCGCGATAAAGGCTGAATCGGTCAACGGAGATAAAGTAAGAAGTTATCGCACATCATACACCCTAATAAAATGAAGAAAATAACAACGAAAAAATCCAAGGGCGAAATCAAGAAGCAGCTGGTGGAGAAAGGGGATTCCATTCGGAAATCGCTCGAGCACATCGTGAAGCAGGATGCCAAGGCAAACACGAGCACTGCGGACCGCGCAGCGCGTGCGCAGAAGAAGAGTGTCGACAAGTTGCAAAAGGCTGTGAACAACGACAGCGATAGCGGTGAAGAGGACGATGTGGACATGGACCCGTACCGCCTCAAGGACGCGTACTACATCAAGCAGAATGCGAAGTACACAAACAAGAAGAAAACAATCGTGCTGGCTAGCAGGGGCATTTCCAGCCTTGGAAGGCAGCTCATGAACGACATAAAGCTGCTGCTCCCGCATCACAAGGCAGAGGTAACGGTAGACAACCACTTTTTAAACCCCGCGCAGTCTAAGCTGGAGAAGAAAGACTCGTACACGGCGATAAACACACTTGCTGGATTGTCTGGGTACGTGGCAGCTCTAGGTGATACTAATAGCTGGGCAGATGTGACAGCGCCATTTTCATAGAGGCACGCAAAAGCGAAATGATCATGTGGATCTCCAAGACTCCCCACGGACCTACATTCAAGGGGCGGCTAACAAACGGTAGGTCGCTTTATGTGCCGTTTAATGTGAAAATAGTCCACACCCTGAGGGATTCCACATTCGCTGGAAACTGTTTGCTCTACTCTAGGCCACTACTCACGTTTGACAACTCGTTCGAGGCTACACCGTACCTCAAGCTCATCAAACAAGTGCTGATGCACGTTTTCGGGACTCCCAACAACCACCCCAAGAGCAAACCGTTCTGCGACCACTGCCTGTCGTTTTTCTTCTTCGACGGGCGCATATTCTTCAGACACTACCAAATCGCACCGGAAAACGAGTTCGCTATGAATAAACCGCAACAACAAGTGCTCACGGAGATAGGTATGTGACCATTACGATGGCGGCGGTTGCATGATTCCTCAGGGCCACAGTTCGTCGTGGAGCCAATTCTCATCCTCTCTGGCAGCTTTAACGGCACCATGCTCTGGAAAAACCGGAGCTACCTCTCCCCTGTCATGGTGAGCGGCTGAACTGAGCGAAAACATGGATTGCAGATGCGAAGGATGAAACGTGAATCAGACGCCCTGCGCAAGCAGAAACAGGAGATTGATAAGAAGGTACGCCAATATAATGGAATCACCTCAACATTCTCAGAACCGGGATCGCGAGACGGATCTGCCGGATGACGAGCTTTCGAACCAGAACGTTTTCAGCGCTCCAAACTGACTGCCGGGCGCGAGCCGTCCCCATGGACGATGCAGATCAGGTGCCACCCGAGCGGGTCCGGTCACTAGAATAGTCACAGCATAAAATTTAGCGGTGACGGGTAATCGTTTAGTGGTATCACTTAATATTTCTGGCTGGGCGCTACGCGAGGGGTTGGAATCTTCGACAGAGGTAGCCATGGACCATGCTTTCGGATTCTGAGACCAAACAACGATAGCACCCGTCATTCTGGCCTTCGTATATATTTAGATAAACTATATCACGACGCTGTCCAGTGTAAACTATTCTATTCCGGAGATGGCTCACACCACCAAGGAGAATAGGGACGTTTACTATCGCAAAGCCAAGGAAGATGGATACCGCGCAAGAAGCGCCTACAAACTGCTCCACATTTTCCAGGCGTACGGAATTTTCCATCCGATAGCGCGGATCGATCCGATAACGGAGCTGCTACGGAAGGCCAAGTGCGAGCACTGCTGCCCAGACGAGGACCTGAGCGGCGTCCGCAAATTCGACATTTGCGAAGCACGTGCGCAGGTGTACCACTGCTCCAGCCTTCCACGCATCAGGAACGTGGTGGATCTCTGCGCCGCCCCCGGGAGCTGGACGCAGTGTATCCGCGACTTCGTGTACAATGAGTACTTCGTCTACAAGGACGCGGCGAAGGCCATCGCCAAGGAGCAGAAGATATGCCCAAGGCTGAAGGACAGCTGCACGGTAAAGCCCGTGATCATAGCGGTGGACCTTCAAGACATGGCGCCCGTGAAAGGCGTCGAAATCATAAAAGGAGACATCACGAACGAAAAGGTTATGGAAAATATCAAGGACCTGTTCGTTCAGAACGTTAGTAAACGCCTGTTGGAGTGCGCAAAAGACGATACCTCCCTGGCGGACAGCAGCCTTGCCCAGATTGTTTCATGCGACGGCGCCCCGGATGTCAGCGGACTCCACGAAACCGACGCGTACGTCCAGTCCTGCCTCATACGCGCTGCCATCAGCGTATGTGCTTCCGTTCTCGACCCTCAAGGCCTGTTTGTGTGCAAGGCGTTCTCCAGCGACGCCGACGCGCCCATCTACAGGCAAGTAAACATGTTCTTCGACGACTTCAGCATCCACAAGCCTGCCGCATCAAGACTCACAAGCGCGGAGTGCTTCATCATTGCCCGCGGGTTCAAACCCATGGGGCGCATCACCAAGGGCCCCAACGGATTCATTCACACGGCGGCGCCACCCGACGCAAAGCACGAAGCAAAATGGCTCATCCCACAAATGTGCTGCGGCGACCTGGCGCCATACGAAAAAGCAGTCAGCAGCTGAAATGTCATAGTTTATACTTCAATGCCTCTCATCGCTTGTTATCCAGTTGCTGGCGCAGTGGCACAGCGTGTCTGCGAAGGACTGGAGTAGCGCCTCGTCGCAACCCGCTCGCTGCGACTTAACGGACGCCTGTATTTTCCACCTTCCGTCTGCAGGAGTCAGCGTCAGCTCCATGTAGTACATTTGCCTGCGTGTCATTGTGGTGTTTCTATGCGTTCCTTACCCCGCAGAGTTTTGTGCGTACTGGTACATCTTCGTGGTGTTCTGGCTCTTGCCGGATGCGAGCGTCGCGATGTGGACGTCGAAAAGCATGTCCTCGAGTGCTTCGAAGTTCATGTCAGCATGCGCAGAAGGCACTTCGTCCGTGCTTTGGCAGATAGCGTCGCAGGCAAACCAGCTTTTCTGGAACTCCTCCGACAGCAAGGTCTTCGGTACCACCAGGTCGAGGGGGCCCAGTTCGTCTTGCAATGTGCTGGATACAGCGCTTTGGTTAGCGCTAACAGTATCTGGGACAATGTACCCTTCGATTGACTGGTCGGAAGAGTCTGAGGAGCTTGCGCTGTCCTCCGGCGACTCGGAGGCAGCGGGCGACATCAAAATGTCCATCTCTATGTCGCCATAAGTGAACGGGAAAAAACGTCTAGGTGAACTTCCTTGCGATAGGTCCTCTTCAAAAGCGTTTAAACTGTTGAACGATTCCAGCCAATCAGTTGTTGGCAGCGCAATACCCAAATCGACCTAGGACATATGGGAAGCTTCGCACGGTACTTACTATGCAGTTTTCCAACACGGAGGCAGCGTCGTGAGAAGATTGCGCCATTACGATTCGTTCGGCGGCCTGCAGACCAGATGCAATGCTCACCCAGACGAAACCAACCTCTAGGTCAGTGGAGAGGAGCACGTAGTAGAAGTCAGCATGTCCTACAAGATCCGGATCTTGACTTTCATTCATGACCTTTTAACGGTTTATATTACAGCGACTCAAGTTCGGCCTACCTTTCGGAACAGTCGGGAAAGTCCAGGAAACATTTCAGGCGGTCGTTTGAAGAACACCTTCATGGAAGCGCAGAGCAACTCCTTGGCGATGTCGGAAATGTCAGGGCGGTCGATCAGATCCTCCAGCGTGTACGGTGCGTGTTCAACGCTTTCACCGTACTCACCTGATACGTGTGACGCCAATGCGATAACAACATACCAAGGATCCAAATGTAGTATGACAAGGCCTGCGGCTCCCTGATGAAGTCACGTGAGGCCTCAACAATCTCCAGCAACTTGGCTACTCCCGACGGATATACCAAAAGCAACGCACGTATTACGTGAAGTGCGGCGCTTATAAGATACGAGATCCCGAGGCTGAACACAACCGACATCTGTAACATGTTATATTCAACTCTTCTGTGGCATACCTGTGATATTATCAGGTCGAGGTGAGCCGGAAACTTTAGAGCGATGATGCCCACTGCCTTGACTGATTTCGCAGCAATGGCATGGTTTGTGTCGGAAACATATTCATTGAGGTCCTTGACTATTTCCATGTAGTTTGCCTATGGACGCTGAAAAGCAGGACATTGGGACCTACCTCGCATGCAATCGCAACCAAAATGTTCAGTTTAACATGCTTTATATACGACGGGTCATCATAACGGAAGAAGAACACCTCATAGTGGTCCGCAAAGGGCGGCTTGTAGGTTGCGCTTGCTTCGCTGTCATCTTCCAGCCTCGGGGCTGCAACATGTGCGCAAAATAACGTTTAAACTCACCATTAATTATGATAAGCAACGTATTAAGAAGTAGATTGTATGCGATCTCGTTGCACGAATGGGTTATAAGAGCAATCATAGGGATTTCAATACGCCTGATAACTTCCAGCTGCAGCATGTCGTCGTGGGCCGTCCAAGCCAGGAAGCACTTTGCCGTGGCTAAGAATACGGCAGTAGACGAATAATTCAGCAAGTCGTCAAGCAGGTTCAAGAGGTCGAAGAGCTCGTCGCCAGCCGGAGTGTACGTGTACAACAGCTGCAAGGTAAGGCACTGCTGCCACTCGGTCATCTTCTTAATGCGGTTTATCAGGTACACTATACTATGCTTGCTCAACTGGATATCATCTCCCTGGCCCAACATTTCACTGTAAACACACAAGGAGTCGAACATCACGTCCAGATTCAACGACCTCAGAGACGACACAAGATGCTGGAGTATGGCAGAACGATGCTCGTGACAATCCTCTTCATCGGTTTGTTCCTTCTTTGCGATAGCGCATTGCGATTTGTAAACTCTCAGCCCGCCAATAATGGCAGAGCGCTTCACGACATCCGCGGGGTCGTGAAACTTCTTGAGTATGGCGTCCTTCGCGTAGTCGTTTGACAGCTTTGTGCCAAAAGCGGATATGTTACGGAGCGCCAAGCAGCGGATAACCGGATCTATACTTTCGATATCCTTCAACAGGGTGTTTATCGTGAGCACGGTGAGATCGGGGTTGTCCTTGCTATATGTGGAGAGGAACATGTAAATCATTTTCTTCTGGACTGGATCCGTTGTGTGCGATACCATTACCACCTCCGTATATAGCCTAGACACGTCCATACCAAGCGTCATACACCTTATCAGACGCTTCAGAATCTCCCTGCGCCTTGTGTTGTTGTCAACGTGAGTGTACGCTGCGGCATATCGGTCGAAAGTCGACAAAACAAACCGTCTAACGACGACGAGCACTTGTAATCTGCCGCCATCTTGCGTAGCAACAGGCGCAGCTCCCCGACTTCGCCCTGAAAATCATGTTTTTCGACAGCGGCCGACACACCTTCCGGTGATCAACGAAGAAGCCGGGCTTGAACTTCGGCGGAGCCAGACCGAGACGGTCCATGGCTACTGCTGGCAACGAAATCATTCTTGAAGTTTATGCGATACTTTCGAGCTACATTGGTGGATGTGTAAAATGACACGTGTCTTGAGGGTACGATGAATATGTCAATTTCGCCTCATACACGATAATGGCGTTGTTTTTAGTGTGATTACGAATTATTATACACGAGAAAGCAGTGGTTAGGCGGATGTGTACGTAGAATGTCGTGCCATTCCTGACTGTCACCGATGATTCCAATGTCAATGTTTCGTCTCTAACTCATCACCAAGAGCGCTTATGGACTGTAACTGGAAGAAGTAACGCTGAAGCTTATCGAACTTCTAGAAAATGTTTCGCCGCTCGTACAACCACATCCTGAGGACCGTGTTGCTCAAAGGCAGTCCTGCTAACAAGGTTGCAACCTGGAGCTGCGGTAAGTGTATAGAAGCTATACAACAAGTTGCAACAGCTATATGCATGTCTCTGATCTGGATATACGCCAGCGAAAAGAGAAATCCTAGAGCAAATGGCATTTTCTTCAGGAAGAGGGAGGCAGAGCTTTTTACTGATGAAGAAATAGCCAAGTGGAACGAAAAGTTTAAATCGCAAAATAATAGCTAGTCCGATCCAACAAAATGCACATTCTTGAGGTTAGCCAAACTGTCACGCGTGTCCAATGCCATTTTCAGTGTGAATTTGAGTGTCCTGAGGCATTATTGTGATGGTAACGGGTTGACCAACCTTTGAGAATCGTATACGGGAAGAAGCGTCCTGTAGCCGGGGTTGTTGCATACGTGATTTACCCATTGCAGACATACGTTCAATCGTTGCCTAACGTCAATGTCTGCATTCTCGGGAACAGCGAGGGTGGAGGTAGGGAAATCGTAGGAGGCACCTACTAACTCCAAGTTATCCAGTATGAGAGTCTCTTTGGACCGGAAGCAATCACAACTCTGCGATATCTTTTGGGACGGATGATCTGCATCAACTGCTTCTGCAGGTGTGACAAGGAGCTCCAGCTCTTCTGCCTTCACTCCCGACGAGCGGGAAACGAGCAACCGCATGATATCCAACAGTTTTGCCGGCTCCGAAAAGATGTGTAGTCTTAATTTAATCTCTGTAGTATTCTTAGCAAACTCTGTGAGTTTGATGAGCTCTGCGGTGATCAAAGTTGGGCCGTACGCGCTGCAACTGTCTCGCCACTGATTGCGCATAGCGGCAACTAATAAGGGTTCTGCATGCTCCATGGCTCCGTCCGGGAAATCGGGAGTATCAACATCTAAGTGATCTATGGAGGTTCCATTTCCCGTGGATAAGCCATTGAATTCGCGCAAATGGCTGAACCTTGATTCCAAGATGAGTTTGTCGACACCGTCCGGCAAACCTATCAGAGAGGCTCTTGCCACACCAGGGAGTTCTTGAATCCATGCAGATATGTCTTCACCCGGTGATTCCAGCGGGTAGCATCCAGGGTCGGTGAACAACAGAATCTCCCACATGATCTTCTCATCTATTTCGGTCGATAGCTTCGACGAATAGACGGCGAAAATACGTTGGCGCCATTCGTTGATCAAGAAGCTGTTGGTGTAGAACTCCTGGTGGTTCTCCAATATGTCCTTTAATACGTGGAGGAAATTTCTGTGGAACTCCAAGGTTGCACTGATGGATAACAGCAAATCGTTGTTGTCGAACATGCATCGCATCGTCCACCCGAAAGGTACATACCTTTGCCGACAAATCACTATGGCATGAACGAGCAACGACTTTGTAATGAGGTGGTATTTAACTTTGTCATCGTTTACGAACGAATCCCTAAACCTTTGGTAGAGTTGGTGCAGGGTGGATTGCAATGTTTCCGCTTCTTGGTATATGATTCGGTACCGACGCATCAGTATTGTCATGTCCAATTCCATTGCATTATCCCATGTAATGAAGACCTTTGGGCCTTCTGTTTGCCGTGGAAACTGTGATTCGAATTTCTTGAACCAGTGTGGTGCAAGATGCGCATTCTTTAGCAAAACCCAACTACCCTCGGATAGGTATTCTTCTATTGCCAATTCGATCTTCGGTGCTTCAGAAGGTGTGCACATAGCCAGTGTGCGCATTTCACTTCCCTGTGACCGTGTGTATGCTTCTACGAACGCAGAGGGATCCTCCAGCCCACTGGTTACTACGATGATCATGTTGAAATGCGAGAAAACGCTTGTGTCATAACCATAAAGGCTGTTTTCAGTTGGAGAAAGATATTTCAGTTTCAGACGTTCCATGGCAAGTGATATAGCCGTTGGGTCCGTTGTGGACGTCGAAATGTCATTTATTAGCTCCCTGATCTCTTTGTTTTCTTCTACATGACTGTTATACAAACGGAGTACTTCGAAACACCAGAAAATGCTATCTTCGGAGAAAATCGATTGGTTTATCCAGCCGAAAACGGTTCTCAAAAATGTGACCTTGCGTTCTGCAGTTTGGCATGACAGTTTCATGGCATGCACTAAGATGGACACATCGAAGTTATACAAACTATTCAAGCTCTCCAATCGTTTAACGGAGCCATACATATCCGAAATGAGTGCTGTGAAATCGGCATGTTCAGCTACCAAAGATCGGAAGCGATCCTCGACAACGGCGCAGTCTCTCAAAGATCGTTGTAAGCTGTAACATTTCTTCTTATATTCTTCGAGGTAAACAGATGTAGATTCATCCAGGATGTCCGAAGTGTCCACCAAAAATTCAAGTAATTCATCTTCTGTATGTCGTAGCTCTTTACTCAACTTGTCGGTTGTTACTGTCACGTCCTCATGCGCCTTGTGAAGTTGGGGATCGATTTCTTGGGTCAGTATATCGATACAGTAGGATTCGAAATTTCGATGCGATAGTTGGAGGTGCAATATGAGGCATAACTCGCTGATGTTCAAAAGCAAATGGTCGTCTTCAGTTTCCGGGTGCTGGCAGCGCCGTAAGTCAGATGAGGATATTTGCAGAAGAATATTAAACCCATACTGGCAGTTATTTTCAACTACCTCCTTCAATATTGCTCGCTTTACGGTCATTGTTGCATGAACTATGTCTTTAATTAGGAGAGTTAATTTGCATTCTCTGCTGGAGGTGAGGATTGCCATGAAATGATTATCGCAGGCTGATACCGTTTTATATGGGCACCCTATTATCGAAGCGTAGAGAATATCCGGAGCATCCACAAACATACTATTGCGGTATGGCATATTCTCCTGTAATATGCAACGATCGAAGTTCAATATGGAAGCGAAATCGTAACTATAACTTACTGCCTTGCTCGACAATAAATTTGTAATCGACCCGTACAGATTGTCGCGTTTTGAATCATCGAGGCTTCCAGAGAGAATCAACATACTCGATTCCAGAATGACATCTGCCTCGAGACAAGGTGCGCGGGATTCCAGCGATTGAATGGTCTCTTTCCATTTGTTCACTTCTTCCGACAGGCTCAGCAACAACGATTCCGACCTAGTGAGTCTGCTGCATGTATGTTCAATTTCCGATTGCATTGTGTTTATTGAAGAGAGCAATCCTGAATATTCGCTTTCGTAACGCGTGATTTCGTTTTCCAAATCTTCCAGAAGTGACGCCTGGTCTGAAATCTTCGTCTCATTTTCCGCGTATGAAGTGTTCAGGCGTTTAACCTCATCTAGCAATGGTGCCACCTGTATGGCGATTTCGGCGTACGTGATAATCGACGTGACCCATTTGGCCAGTGGACCAGCTGCCTTCGAAGCTTTACTAATTCTGTTTACATCCCATCCATCTTCCGTTACTCTTTTCTTTACGATGCTGAAGGGCAACTGATCTAGTGTTTTTGCATCGAATGTTAGAATTTTAGAAATGAAATCTGATGCCTTGACCACCTTTCTGCAAATATCCCAAGCGATGTGCGTACTTGTAGAATTGGTGAGCAGCATGACTACGGTTTCAACCGTCGCCTTTATTACTGGCGGAGGGTTACTCATGGAGCGAAGCTCGTCCAAGGTTTTTCTGTTGATAGCCTTAACTTCTTGCTGAGATTGCTCAATCAACGGGGCGACCTGAGAAAGTTGTTGCTGGACCTCAGTATTACGATCCACTATAAGAGATCGCTCTTTCTCTAACGACACATTCAAATCCTCCGCCTCCTTTTTCTTCACCGACGCTTCTGCCTGTAAAGACCTAATCTGAACTGCCTTGTTCTCAGCTTCAACATTTTTTGAAGTTAAGTACGCACGGCGTGAGTCTAGCATGTCACGCATGGACGACACTTCATTTTTAGCTCTCTGAATCTTCTCTATTCCATTCTTCAAATGTGTATAATCGCTTTCATGTTTCATCATGCGCTTCTTCGAAAGATCATGGGTAAACTTTACAAAAAGCAGATAATCGCAAAAGTTTAAGTGGCCCTGACACAAACCTATATATATATCGTATATGGTGCTTAAATCAAGTGGCATATTTTGACGCATGAATGCGGCTTGTGTCGTATCCTTAAATGGTGATGAAATCCGAGGCATCGGGAGGTACAAGCCCGTATCGACGATGGATACATCAAATGCCGGCGACCTAGCAGAGAAAATGAATTTCAGATTGCGATGTATATTGGTTAAAAGCTTCGATCGGAAGCATTCTACATCTTCGTCAACCTCCGGAGAATTGCGGCGTAACTGCTCTATACATTCTGTCGTCAACATCGCTGTATAATCATTTTGTAGAATTATGTTTTTCAGCGTATGGAGGATTTCTGGACTCTGGAAAACAAGGGCATCCCAATCAATGAATATGCAAAATTTTTCTGAATACAAACCAGAGTTTCTAAAAATCTCATGCATCCCACTATTCCACAATGCGGAGTTCAATGGCACTACCCTGTGTCCGGTACAAGTCGATGCTGAATGACATAAAATTTCCCTTATGGCCATATTTCCGCCAGTTATGATGAGAACCTTGATATTCAGCTCGAAAAAGCATTTTATAAAATGGCACCTCTCTTTGAAATCCTCAATTACACTCAAATCTGTTTCGAATAACCATGGAATTCTTATATCGATATCCGTACTACCCTGCACAAGTGTAGGCTCTGATTGTTCCAACGAATAATCATATTTGTAATATATCATTGTCCAAAACAGCCACCATGAAGTGGAATCCAGCCCACCCTTAATAGCATTTTCGAAGAGGCAATTGTCTCCATCTGACAAGAAGTTGTCATTCTTCTCTAACATGGCTACAAGATTTTTGTGGCATCGTATCATCCTATCTTGTTTATTGACACTGTCATCTTCATTTTTAAAATCGAGGTGCTTGTCGGAAAGTGTCGCATCGTCTCCCCTTGCAAAGTTTTCGATATTAATGACAGGCATAATACGCCTCAATCTCTGAGGGATCATAGTGGATTCCAAAGTGCTTGTAATCATGACAATTGATACATTCTTTACATGTATCGTTATCCATTCCTCCGCATCTTTCCTCCGTGTATAGAACCTATTGAATTCCAATAACTGGCGAAGAAGCGCGTAAACTGTATCATCAAACGCTCCTCCAGCAACTACAGATTCCGGATCTCGTATCAGCAACAACATTTTGGCTTCACATCCTGCGTGATCGATTGGTGACATTGTGAAATGTGAATTATCCTGATTTATCACAGAATGCTTATACAATACATCGAGTATACTGGAACTTGTGCAACCTTTAGACAGGTACAATTCTACTATTAAACACTGATTTAACGATGAAGTCGATTGTTTAATCAACCTCATGAAATCACAACTACGATGGCCTTTCAAAATGAAAGAAGTTGAGCTGCATATATATTTAGAGATGAGGTATTCCAGTCTGTTCATGCAACGTCCTTCCAAAATTGCCTGTTCTGATTCCAAATAAGAGATCATATGCTCTCCATGACTTTTACTAACTCGGTCTACATTTGTAACCAGTTCATCAAATCCATTCAATCCCATATGGCACCCGAAGGCGTTCACAAACGCAAATATAAAATTACCAGCATCATTTTCGCAATTATCCAAGAGCGCATTAAAAACATTATAGCGGTACAAGAGTAACTCGTCTTCAAGGATTGCAAAATACTTAGGATAACATCTCACGTCATATTGGCTATCATCCAGTTCAAACCTCATCAAAATACAACGAGAAATGGTCGCAGGAGTTATAAGTTTGATGGAATCAGTTTCAAACACTATTTTCATATTCGATGTCAGCTCTATTCGGTTTCCATTACTCAATGTTAGCACCATATTGTCGTCCAGAACCGAGTTCATGCTTTCCACCCAAGTAGCGGCGATTTCACCATCAAAGATGAAAATTACTTCTTTCTCGCTATTGGAGTATTTCCGCATCATAAACGTGAAATAGCCATCTTTCCATTCCCCGTTGGTACATTGTCCGTATAGGTCATCTACATCCAATGCATTGGGATCGAAACGCACAACCTCGTATGTATGTGGTTCCAACGCTTCAACCAACTCAAGCGTAACCGTCAGACACAACGTTTTACCAGAGCCAGTGGGACCATGAAGCATGATTGCCTTGGATGTCCCCAGCAGATGGTAGAGTTCCACTGCCTTTTTCTTTATGTAGTCGCCTTTCAGGACTTCTCCGTATTTTTCTTCTAGTAAAGTCAGAAATTCTGTGTCGCCTACACTAGGCACATGTGATGTTTCTGTAGCAGCAGAGTTCTCCACTGAGACGCATGATCGTAGAATAATTTCGAATTTTGTTGAATCCCGTATCGGAAACTGCGGGGATAGAAGCGATACCAACGCTTTCTCCAATATGGCATTTGTATAATGCTCATAACCTATTTGACTGCCTGAATTGGTTGTTTCCATTAGCGTCTGGATGTAACTAATGACGGTTTTGGAGCATCTTAAACCGAAATCATACATGCCGTCGGGAAAACAAATGGCGCAGCAATTCAGGACGTTGCATAACGAATTTGCGGCATTTGATGCTTCCTGTATGCCACTCAATTGCAACAAAACGTATACGACCTGCTTCAAGTCCACTCTGTCCGTGACTATTGGCCTGCAAAGCATCTTCAGATTCAATGGGAAGCTGTTTCGACTGATGTAACATGGATTTATGGTTACAAAGATACCAATGTTAGGATTCAGTTTAACCGTCCTTCCAGCAAGATTAATATCACCGGCTCGGTTTTTCTTCGATACGGCAATGCGTTGTATTGTTTCCGCTACCCCAGATAAGACTCCTTCTGCCAACCTATTGAACTCATCAAATATGCCCCAGGCACCAAGCTGGCACAACCCGGCAAAAGTGCGCTCCATTGCACCAGAGTCGAAATCATCACTGCAGTTAAATACTAGAAACGGGTAGCCACACAGCATTGCCAACGCCTTTACACTCTCCGTTTTCCCAGTACCTGCAGGCCCCTGCGGATTACCTATGAGATCTGATTCCAGTCCATCAGAAATTGATGTGAAACACTTTTCTGTTAGAGATGTTAGAATCAAGTCAGGGCCTTGGCCCATAAATTCATAACCGTATGAATATACTCTAGATGCAATCCGCAATTCTACCAAACCAGCATCGTTTATGTAATAACGGATACAACTACGCCATTGGAAGGTGTTGGGATCCAATCTAGACAAATAACGCGTCTTTTGCAGTTGGTAGATGAGGAAGATTAAAGCCTGTTGCATCTTCTGTGCAACATTGGCGTCGTCGCCTTTAGTGCAAGAGGAACTTTTGATCAACGAATTAAGCAAAGTTGCAAGCTGTTCAGCATCTTTATCATTAGTCATACATTCCATCTTTTGACTCCACGTGATCGATAGTGATATTATTAAAACCTGTGAACAGTGTGTTTCCACCCATTTGCAGTAAGAATCGTGATTGAAACTTTTTTGTGAGTATATATATTCTAATTCCTTAACGCTGGATACAATATCGTGCTGTAATGTATTTTTAATTTCTTTCTCTAGCGCTAAAACGACGTCGATGGTTTCCATGTTGGCGATCGGTACTGGATTCGCCAACTCCATGAATTCGGATTCCTTGGATATCACAGCACATATATGATCGCCTTCAACATGCAACTCGGCTACACCCGCAAACATCTTTGATATATTCTCTTTAAGTCTAGCGACATTGGCTTGACCAACAATTTGGAAGAGTTCTTCATCACGGATGAAGAAGTAGCGAGGACATACAAATCGCTGATCATCCAGATATGACCTTAAAACCTTCTCAACTTCGTCAATGAGACTGACCATTTTTGACAGGTTCGTTAACGCGTGCCTTGCATCCATGAGGTACTTCACCGAAGCAACTAGAGACTCCTGATCTTCTACAAGGCTCTTAAAAGCTTCCGCCTGCTTATGAAGCTGTTTCTGCAATATGGTAGAGGAGAAAATGGTGCACAGATAAGAAAGCTTGTTTTCCACATCAGCCCATTGTTCTACGAAGATTCTGGTTTCAGATAACTTGTTCATCCACTCTTTCAACTCGTCTGCTAAATCTTCGACATATTTCGAACTTGTATAAGTATTCATATACGTCATGCAATCGTCTATCTGATAAAGAATGGACTCGGAATTTTGCAATTTCCATAGCTTTGGTTCACTGCTCTTTTCGTTCCCTTTTCCCCACGAACTAATGCATTCACATTTCCATGTAATTGCTGTATGATTCCACTTATTTCTAGTAGTGTTGACATATTCCTTCACGACTTTCTGGAATTCGAAAAGTTTAACTATTTCCCGAAGCTCCGCAGACATTACTTCGCTTATCTCCAGCCAATCCTTCACTTTTAGATTCCTCTCGATTAGGGGGAGTTGTTGATTATTAGATGCTCGTATAGCACTTATGACACGCTCGACAAATCGTGATTCGCTGATTAAAGACCCGACACCACCAGCTAGCAATTTCTCTAGAGTGGTAATCCGTTTCTCCACCACTTTCCACACTGGACCACAAGAACACAAACCTTCTTTGGAAGTTTCCAGAGCAACTTTTAATTTCGGAATCGAGTGTTCATTAGCATCCGTATTTAATATCTTCTCATATTGGGATATATGTGCTCCCGCATTTTTCCAGTGCGTAGTGTACTCTACGACGGTATCCATCGACATTATTGGGTCTATGCGCATAGATATCATTTGATCATCACCGGCAATTAATTTTATGATGTCTTCCATAGCGTAAATATGAGAGGAGACCAGTTTCCACGTCTCATTCATATCATTAAGTACAACCATGATCTGGTCATATTCCTTATAATTCTTTTCTACGTTGTCTCGAATTTTCTTCCACTTCGCACACATAAGATCCTGTATATGCACGTATATACCGAGCAATTCCGAAATGTTTACGTGAATCGTATTTGAAAACTCGATGGTCATGGAATTAGAAAAGGCAACTAGCTCCATAACACAAGATTTTAACTTGTTGCAAGAAACCCAAGATGTCGGCAGAGGGCAATTCCGATTCCTACAGATGCGTTCTATCTTTCTAATTTTGTGAATGGATGCGGTCCATTCTTCCTCATATTCGATAATTTTATATTTGGCCGTAAACATGCTATAAAGAGGATTCAAGAATCCATCCAATAAACGGCATATCGCGATGTAATTTTCAAAAACATCCCTTGTGCCCGGGAGTCGCGAATTCTCCTCTTTTAACCTGTCCGATAACGCACTGAATGATGCATAATCAAAGTTGACCTCTGACGATGCTTGCGTGATAATTGCGTCTGCTGTGTTTACAGTTGTCGATGAGCCTCCAGATGCTGAACGGCTCACGTTCGTTGATTGATATGAATTGCTCAGACCAATCATTTCCGAAATCTGATTAAGCACATGTGTTAGCTGTAACGCCGAGTCCAGCATATCCTCGCATATGACGTTCATAACTGCATTTTGCACATTTTTCAATTTGCGTTTACGTAACGTATCAGATATCGATATATGTAGAGGCGCTACTGCTTCCTGGCTCACAATTAAATTGCTGCGTAAAATATCATCCAACTCCTGCATCATAACATCAATATCTGTATCTTCACGTATTCTTGTTTCGAAATGCATTTGCCATGTCTGTTCGAAGTATACACAATTGTTAAATTGCTGTTGCAGGTTTGTCAATATTGAGGTGATTGCCACGTGGGCAGGTGCTAGCAAATCAGTAGTATCCTCACACGCCACATTCTCGTCATTAGGAATTAAGGACTTTAACTCATCAGCTACTGAGATTGGAACATCAACGAACTCGCTCAATTTATCATACAAATCTTGCCGAATATTCTGGTGAGGGGGATCCATGACTATTTCATCGCTATCTTCATCATCTAAAAAGCAAACGAAATATTCATGGTCGTCGAACGCCATATCACCTAACTCTGATACCCATCTCGCAACCGCAGTTTTATTCCTGAATAATTATGCAATATTTTTAGTATGAAACCAACCAGTGGAACGTCGATGTCTCCATCTGTTTTATCAGGTAAGGTCCAAATGTAACAAACTCATGATGTATATAAGTCTCGAAAAATACCTTTTGCTGCCTCATGTGCCCCAGAACGGTGCTGAAATACTCATTTGCAGTAAAGGAATCCGCATATTCAACCATGTCATCATAAAATGATACCCCAGCAATCGCATGAAAGAGTATGAGAAAGATGGAATTCAAGGCAGTCATAGCGTCTTTGTTAATCATGGATTGCATTAACTCTTCCCATTTCTTATTCTTTAACATCGCATTTAAATCATCATCCAATGAGTCGACAGTGATTCCGGGGCAATTCTCCAGCGCTGGATATGCTTCAATTAGTTCCTCTATGACCTCATACATGGATTTAAACGCAAATATAATCGATATAATTGGCTCCATGTCAGCGTTGCAGATATCTGTGGAAAGGTTCCCAAGGTATTTCATGTTTAAGCATTCGACTATTAGGTCAAAGGATGGCGGTAAATTCAGCCGAGGAATATTCTTTGGGTCTTCACCATTATTATCCGAGATCGTTAAAATAGTATGCTGCAGCTCCATATTCAACGCAGATGGAATGCTCAAAGAGGCTTCGAGATCGTTGAGCGGTAGTGCCTTGAGGCAATCATGGACGGATTTAAGGCGTCCACCATCAACTAACGGCCGCATCAAAGACAACACGCTTTCAAACACCTGCATACATGTTATCGGCGAATTGGGCAAATTACCTTTAATTTACCCCTTATACGAGCAATATTGCTGGTCCTCTTGGCCGCATCGTAGAGATGGAGATAGTTCATCAAGCGTGCCTCGCATTTCTCTGGGAAGAATTCGGCCTCTGTTGCCTTGATTTCGTCTCTTATAACATGTAATGTATTTAACAATGCGTCGGATGTCACTGAGGGGTCGTTGCAGATGGATAGCCTATTAGCGAAGCGCAACAACTGCAGTATGCCGTTCGCTCCACTCACACTACCGATGAAGCAGCAAAAGCTTTCTGTAAGAACATTTTCAATCTTCTTAAGCACGTAGTTATATGAATCAATACAAGGCAGTATGGATATAAAGTCGTATAATCCGACATTGTTATCTCCGATTTTTCTGTTTACGTTCAGCAAAAAACACTTGTACAATTGCAAGGATAAATCCGAAGCCTTTTTGACGTTCCCTGTTTTTATTTTGCCGGCAACATATTCGTCGAGATGAATTTGCTCAAATACCGTTTTGATATTCATCAGGATCATTACATCATTTGAAACGGCCTCTTGTCTGCACTGGCACCGATGGAACTCGTGTATAATATCTCGAGCATCGCTTAGCATAGACACGCTCTCGTCAGTCGAGAAAATACGCAAGCCATTCATGTCTTTCTCCAGTTGGTGCTTCAACTGCGTCAATCCATTTTTCCACACGTTCATGACATCATCTACTGTTTGAACGAAACCTTTGCGTCGTTCACCGGCCAATTCTGACCTTACATATTGGTGAAATTGCATATAACAGGATTGCAACAGGTCTTGCGTCAGGCCCATAACCATCTCGGTGAGTTTACGGCTGGTGTAGTGCTTCACATACTTGATCTTTTCCAAATGTTTCAGAACTGTAGATATGCCTTCTTTCAGTCGATCCATGCTATTCGCACATCTTAATTCATCGACGGGGAAAACCTTCATAAGTATATTTATGTTCTCTACACGACCAGTCAGATCTGCGGCTGCATCCACTGCATCTGCAAAACAGTATATGCGATTTATATCCACAGAGTTGAACTCCAAGAGGCCTAAAGTGTATTTAACAGTCGGTGATGCAATCTGCTCTTGCAGATCTATGAGAGCGTTTTCGTAGTTTAGCCAGAAGCTGACCTCTTCTCTGACATCCATAGGCTGATAGCACTTGGTAGAACCACTTATGAACGTTGGCGTCTGGGGAATGTCTTGGAATTCCGTTTCACCAGCCGAAGTAGTCGATGAGGATTCGACAACCGAAAGGATTGAATCCGAAGATTGGATAGACGACTGGTCACTGGATGACATACTGTAGCTGTCATCTTCGTCGCCATCGTCCGATGTTTTCGACTCATCGGATTCGGGTTCCTCATTTATCGCAATGGCGTATAAACCCAATACACGTGCGATCTCTATTGACCATGAGATCACATTGTTTTTAATGTCTTCCAGCATCACCTCAGTGGGGATCTCAATGTTCCAATTTTTCACATCTTTCCCCATGTAGATGGCCACCCTACAAATTGATGTACCCACATGAAAATTAGCGTAGCGAACAGTCGACCTGCAGTCCAGTTGTAGAAATATATTACAGAGGCGGTTGATCCCATTAGCAGCCTCATTTACATATCCATGCCTTTTCTCGTCTTCTCTCTCTCGGTATTTTAGGTTGTCTACCAGAGGATTAATGATGTCATTCAATAATCTGAAAGCTATATTACATGATGAAAACCCCGGCTTCCACGTGAATGGTATAATGTGATAGCTGGTGTCATCAGGCTGCTCCTTACTGCCTTCCCCTTTCCTTACTGCGATAAATGCAACGGCATTTTGCGTAGCATTCAATACATCATTCCAACCACGTTGGACGGAGATCGATGCAATATCTCCGTCGTTGTCCAATGTCACAATCAACGGATTACCTGTGTCGCCGTCTCCGAATAGGGCTTCTCTAACAACATCTTCACTGTTTCTGAGGCAGTCAATGACGACGCTTTTGTCAATTTCGAAGTAAGCCGACGTTATGGCAGCAACATCGTTGATGCCTCTGAGGAGAACTGTGTCGCTTGCGGGCACCTCCTCCCCATATTTGTCTTTTGAACCTTGTGCTCTCATCGTATAATGCCACCATTTGATCTCGCAAAAATATTTACATGGCTAATAATCGACAATTTGAGGCTATATATCGTGTTAGAGACGTAGAAAATGTTGTAACGGAATACATACGATTTATAATACGTCTATTCAGACGGCGCCCCATTCGGAGCAGTCAATTACTCCAAAAAGTACAATTATTGAGGATAATTATGTGGCGCCGGTGCAATAATTGGCATTCACAGAGGCTAAAAATGCGACATCAAAGTGTTAGAGTATTCAGTGCCACTAGGCACAGATGTCATCGTGGACGCCTGAGTCGCATCGGACTCGCTTCTTCAATCGTACAGCGGTATCGACACGTGCACGTTCAGAAGTTTCAGAACCACACGTATGGCTCCCTTTTGTTTTACAAGCAAGGTCACGATCTTTTCGTTAGAGTTGTTTTTGTTTCAACGTCAGTAACGCAGCTGGCAAAGCAGTTTCGCTAACAAACAGTAGCATTCATTCCGGATTTACATCACCACTTAGCACCTAGTTGACCAAGTAGTACGACTAGAATCGCGGCAACGGGAATGACCATAGTTTACGCCAGATGTGTATGTACAATGGATGTCTGAGCTAAGCATCCCCAAAAACCGTAATTGTCAAGCAACCAGTATCACTAGTAGCTCCCATATTTTAGTTCTAGTCGTTATAGAGGCAAACAGACGGTGTCTCACTGTTTTGCCAGGTGGTATGTTGTGTCTGCAAGAGCTCCGCCCGGCATGATGAAGGAGGGCGTACGTGATCACACATCGCCAGGTACAGGTTTGATCATAAATTATAGGGTCATTAACGTCTCTTATGCCGCAATTTTTTGCCACCTGAGAGGCCGTGTAAGATGGCCATTGACGTTATTGTCACAGGCATAGATTGCGGCTCTGTTGTTAGTATAATACTATGCGTAAGTTTTGTCTCACACAATGACCATATATTGTGCAGAAGCTAATACACGGGACTCTTCTAAACGAACCTACCAGGCTGCAATGGGTTCCCTAATTCAGGATGCCATTTCGCTCGATAAGCGGCGGAAATTGTTGTTTTCCAATCTCTATTCGCACATTGACTCACTTCGGAAGGTTGTAGAGGTGGGATTCGGCGCGTTGTTTACCGTAACTGTTTTCAGGATGCCGTCGTTACTCTCTCGGATGTGGACAGCGTTGACAAGCTTGCAGAAGAATCCACGCTGACGTCGACACATACAGCTGTTGACAACGCTTCGGGTGAGCCTTCAGCGTCAGTTGTTAACAATGTCACTGCCAACCATGAAGGCTCCTCTGCGAAGCCTACCGAGTCATGCGCGGATAAGGGACAGCACGATGTCGGATACCGCTCCACTCTTGCAGACCTATCTAAGGCGGTGAAATCCCTAGATGTGCACAGGATTGGAAATAAGAGCACCAAAGAATTTAAAAACCAGTACCTGAAGTTTGGAAAGGATTTGTTCAAGTCTGGCCATGGGGGAGATAACGAAGTTCTCCCACTGATGGACTTCGACGATCAGTTGGTCATTCAGATGATCGGCATGCACTTCCTGCATTACGGTATGTTTGACGTGTATGAAGGGCTGAAGGCAGAGGCGGCTGAACGTTGGGGAGCAGACTCCCGAGCCAAGGTCTCGGGGGCTGTAGTTAGCGCCTATCGCATCCTGCACGATATGCTGGCGAAACTTCGCAGCAATGACATCAATCCCCTGATAGATTGGGTGAAACTGCAGATGGCGGAGTCTCACCTCCACGCGGATCGTTTCAACGCCCTGCTGCTGAATTTGTACAAGGTTCAGCTGCTGGGCGACCTCTATGTCTTCCGAGATGGAGAAATGCACCATCAGGACTTCTACCTGACTCCGGAGCGCATCTTAAAGGTGAAGGCAAGCGGTTTATCGCAGATGTGGAAGTCTCACAATGCCAATATTGGAAAGCTGCTCACGCAGGTTCTGTTGGGCCAAAACCTGCCCAGCGCCGCAGAGTTTTTGCGGTTGAGGTTCGATGCCGAAAAATTGTTCGTTAGGATTTTTTGTGAGAGCGGGGTGAGAATCAAGAAGCAACAACCAATAACTACAACTGCCTCAGATACCAGCAAACGGGCCAGATGCGAGGGCCGAGGGAGGGAACGTAATCATGGCAAGGAAACCACCGAAGACAAAAGCAAAGTGGACGTTGCTGCTAACCATCCTGCTGAGGTAGAGTTGGACCCCGATGACTACCTCGTACGGAAGAAGTTACCCCCAGAAGTAAAGAAGGTGGCTGCTTCGGCTTCATGGCTAGGCATCCTGGAGGCGCGTTGCACCTCGTCAGGCAATTCGAGCAATCGCGAATCAGTGTCTCAACAACCGGAACGCGCCGGTAGGTGCCTGTATAAGGGTTGGATGCAGCGTCTTGAGGGCGAGGAGTTGCCTAGGCGTTGCCCTAGGGTGCCTTTTTCGCGTCTTCGGTCCCCGGCGCTCTCCCAGAGCACGGATATCAAGGACGCCAAAATGGAACTGCTGGGCCGCAAAACTTCCAGGCGGCAGTTCTATTTCACGGAAACCATAGATGCCATGAACAGCGACCCTGAAACCGTTTGCCGCCAGCTCATCCCAAACCGACCGTTGAAGTTGGACTCGAATACCGTTGTGCACGATGAGAGCGATGCAACCGAAAATCACGACGATTGCCACATGTCGAGTGACGAAGGTGAGACTGAAGGTACTGGTCATTCATCGGCAACAGCCGTGTTAATCACCGCTGGAAACAACTCAGATGATTCGTTCCTAAACGTCTCCCACCTCAGCCAGCTAGCGTTGCTGGCGGAGTACCCCTTGTTCATGCAACGCGGTCTGACACCGCAATCCGCGCAAGAGTTCAACTTGGGATCCTCACCGGACGATCCGCACCAGACGTTATCGCTGACTGTTTTCGCCGGACCACCCGTCGTACCCGAGGAGCCTCCTCCTCCGCAACCCGCGGAAAACGATTCCTCTTCCGGCGGAGTCTCTGGGAGGCGCATTCGCATAACGTTCCCCACTCGTTCGGATGTTGCCGATCTGCTGCCCTCTCAAGGACGCCGAAGTGCGTTCCGAGGGTTGCGCAGCAGCGCCGAAGAGACGGAGCCGACATCTCCCGGTACCGGCAGCAGCTCAACGTCACGCGTGGAAGGTGAGAGACCCACAGCTCCGCGTGAGCCCACCAACATAAACGTGAGGGTAGGTGTAGTTTAAAGTGAGCTAACTTCCGCAGGGCATTCTGCGCATGATAATGCGCGGCATCGCAGGTGACTCTTCCAACAACGCGGATACAGTGGTGCAACTGTCACCTAATATGGGGGGAGTGCTTCCTAGCTCTGGAGTCCGGAATGAAAACGTGGCCACAACGCGCCCGGCCGTCGCAACAACTCAGCCGGCGGCACCCCGTCCCAAGCAGGGCAGTTTCAGGACGGCATACGAGCGTGAAGACACGGACGACTACGTACGCGTCTTCCTGCCATATGAGAGGTGTGTTTGGTCGCGCAAAATATCACGTTCCCCGCAGCCCGATCTCAGTGCTGGTCTGTGCCGGCTACCTGCTGCATCCGCGCCTGGTCGACATGGTGGACATACCGCACATGAACAAGCAGGTGTCGTCGGAACTAGGCTCATGGATGCGCTCGTGCAAGCAGCTGCCCATAGAGTCGGACCTGGGCCCGGCGTTCTGCTTCCACAGCTACCTAACGTGCCCTATTTCCAAGGACCAGACCTGCAGCCGGAACCTCCCGGTGAAGCTGATGTGCGGGCACGTGATTTGCAGCATCTGCGCTGAGAGCTTCGGCAGCAGCCGACGTAAATTGGAGTTCAAGTGTCCAATGTGTCCGCGGGTCATGCGCCCTAACGAAGTAGGTTTTCGACGTCCCCTGCCACTAAATCACTTCAGACCAAAGAGCTATTTCTGGACTGGAACTCCTGCGGCCTGGATGCGCCACCATCATAGAGTGCCCTTCAACACCGTCGCGCCACGAGCGGGTTGTCTGATGTGCCGTATGCGGCGGAATACGGCGGAACCGAATGATTTGAACTTTAAATAAATTACTGTATACTTCATATGTTTCAACATGGGTAGCAGGCGGAGGTTTGGCCCGGAAGGCGGCCCCGTTAACGGCAACGTGCCGCGAGGCCGTGCCAGATGGCCGGCCAACCTGGGATCGCCGTATACCCTCTTCCGTGACAACCTCCATGACAGCATACTGGATGTGTATATGCAGAGCGGAGTTGCGCGCTTGCAATCCCTCAGCCGGGAGCAGTTGGCCGCGGTGGCGCAGCAGCCGGTGTCGGAGCACTTCCACAGCTACATGTGTTGCTCCATCTGCTACGAGAACGCGCTCATATGTGCCGTCGGGAAGTGTACACACCTGATGTGTTTCCTCTGCATGATGCGGTTGAAGAATTTTTACGATGACGACTGCAACGTACACCAGTGCCCCTACTGCAAGCAGGAATCCGACGTTCTCGTGATTCGTGCCAACCCGTTTTTCGCACACTTCGCAGTGGAACAGTCGCTGTATTCACAAGAGGGCTCTAGGGAACTGACACGCAGCAGCATAGAATCTCTTCTGCGTGTCTTGAGCGTTGACACACCATTCGATCGTAGCATATTATCGCAAGGCGTGGTAAACATAAAGGATTTGTTCGGGGTCTTCCTGCGAACGGTTGATATGAAGCGAGACAATGTAATGAAGGCGCCTGGCTCCAAGCTACAGCACCTCGTGCGAAAGGCGCAACAGCTGTCTATCAAGGAGCGTGAAGAGCGTGACCCCTTCAAAGACGTGTACAACGCGAAACAATCTCGGCAACGATTTGAGGGCGATTACGTGGTTGCCGGGGAACACAGGCTCGTGTTTGAGCACCCTAACATATACATGCTCTTCCGCACGGTCAGCAGTGCCCTGTGCTGGGTGCCCGAGTGCAAGGCGCACTGGCACACCAACATGCCCCTCGACGCCCCGGAGCTGCTTTTAAAGGCTCTTGAGAAGCTATACCAGCAACGGCACACATCGTTCGAGTCGCTGAACAAGCACCTGAAGAGCAAGCATGGATTGGTGTTTTGCGACATTTGTCAGAGCCACCTCAGCCTCAAGAACTTCGTCTGCGAAATGCCGTTGTACCGGCTCGAGGACATAAAATCGCACGTGCGCTTTGGTGATCCGGACAGGGTGCCTCCGATTCCGGCTCACGTCATGTGTAGCGCGTGTCGTCGTATGCAGTGGGACAACACGGAGCTCAAGAGGCACGCGAAGAGTGACCACTTCTACTGCAACCTTTGTGATGCAGAGGGGGCATTATGCGAAATTTTCGGCGAGTATGGGACGCTGTTCTCGCACTTCAAAACGTACCATTACCCCTGTGAGGAGCCGGACTGCATGTTCGTGGTATTCCCCGATGACCTCCAGCTGCAACTTCACTACATGTCGAAGCATCCCACTGTTCATCGCAGTTCATCATCGCGTCAGAAGAAGGCACAGCCTCCTTTGCAGCAGGCTGTTGCGACAGTTACGAAGACAGCGGCGACCGTCTGCACTTTGCCGACCAGCTCCTTGCCTTGGGACGGAAACATCCGCATTATACCAGATGTGGAGCCGGTTGCCCCGGAGCCTACACCAGAACCTGAACCACAACCAGAACAGAAGGTGGTTTCCGCGGAGTTCGAGGAGTGGCTTCGCAAGCGCGAATACCTCACGGATCCCCAACTGCGCACTTCCGCCAAGAGCACGGAGCTCTTGAACGCCTTTGCGCAGACCATGATAAACCTAAAATTGGGTTCGACCGTTCGCCAATTCGACTTCGACACCTTCAGCGTGAATTGTGCGACGCGTGTTCAGTGTGACCTTGAGCGCGTGTTGACCATCGTGAAATCGTCCACCTTCCCCCCACGTTGCGAGCTGTGGGAACGCCTTCCCGCCGACTTCCAGAGCCATGTTGAGGAGGTATTGGCCGATTTCCGTGTACAGTACGGTAGCTTTGTGGAGGACTCCATTTCAGGAAAATCGCAAGAGGCAGGTGCTCCGACCCTCCTCGATCTGGTTAAAACTTCCATGTCGTACCTTATGGTATTCTTGTACAGTATAAACTTCCATGTGGAATACGAGAAGTTGCTGCGGTCTGTGAAGGCATCTTCGGTCGAATACAAGGTATCCCCCAACGGGCTAATGCTGCTCAACGTTTTGGAGGACATGGTCCCCATGGCGAGCAAGATTTTGGTGAAGCAGGCCTTTGACTGGGTCGTGAAGGCATTGGAAGGTGCAGTAGACAACGTGTCTGCAATGAAACAACAGCCCGCGTCTCTTACCGCTGTAGTGAAGAAAAAGACGAAGTCTGGTTCCGAGTTTTCGCTTGAAGTGTTGAACCCCGGCCGCGACCTCTCCAAGGAAATGGGACAGCATAAACTGCAGAAACGGCAAGAGCAGCTGTTGAAGAGAATGGGTCGCAAACCGAATGCCTGGGGAAAGGTTAAGGACACGCCAGAGAAGCGTGCTACCGCAGCCGAACCTGCGCCCGAACCCGAGGAGCCGGCTCCAGAATCGACCCCAGCGCCCGAGGCAACACCGACAGACAAGCCGGATGAACCAGCGGTAGATAACGAGCGGTATGTAATATCCATTGAGGATAGCTTTAGGAAGAGCCTCAATTCCGACTTTTATGCTGCCATGGTGGACGTTATTCGGAATGCGCTCGCAGTGAACGACTCGAAGTTCAACGTTACTTCGCCCGAGCATCGGTTACGGGAAACGACGTGCATTAAGATTAATCAGCTATTGATGTCCGGCACCCGCAGGTTTACCACCCTGTCGGAGTTCGTGCCCATGCAGCTGCTGGAATCGCTTCAGGCCCTGGAGCCGGAGTTCTATCGCCTCGTCAAGGAGGCCAGGATGGTCAACGACGTTGACGGTCCGGCCAAGAAATGGAGTTATCGCTGCGCTAATGCGCTGCGACGGTGCCGTGTGGAGCACCTGGAGGTGCTGGACTATTATTTGACTGCTAACGCCGCCGCCATGGCGTTGCGCAGCGACGCTGAGTTCCCATCTTTGGGGAACGGAAGCGGTGCCAAATCCTCTGTCACGCGGCGCAACTACGCGCAGGCACTCAATGTGAAGTCGTCAAAGAACTTCGTTTTGCTGGATTCGGAGTTCCCCGCGCTCGGGTGACGCTAACATGCGCTAAAAGTGCAACAAATTAACTGTGTTCGTGATTCATAAATGCGGTAATCGTTTTAACCCCATGTTTCCATGATTATCTTACCGCCCATGAGGGCGCCTTCCATGAATTTGTCGGCTGCGCGGTCGCCGAAACCGGCGTGCTCCACCAGCATGTCCTTGAGTCGCTGCATAATCTGCTTCGGCATCGGGTGAGAGCGGCCTGATATAATCACCAGACCGTTCATCAGGATCTCGACTACCCTATTGGGGAACTTCACAATTTCGTCCTGCACGTATACCTTGCGCCCGGACTCTCTGGAGTAAACCACGCGCACCTCGCACCAGAGGTTCAGCAGTTGTGGGTTGGCCAGATAGAGGTGGTCCTGCTTTCTACGTCTAAATCCAATGAACGCCAGATCCTTTACACGTGGAAGTGTAAACTTCTCGTTCCAGAGATTTACGTGTCGTTCTATCCTTGCCTCCATTAGCGGCTTCACGGCGGCGAGGCCCGTGCCCGTGCACATAAAAAGAACTGGCTTGCTAACGTCCAAAACTGCCTCTGCAATGTGAGACTTGGTGATACTGAGCCTCAGTAAGCGTGACGGCAGAGCATTAGCGAGGAAGTCCGATGCCTGTCCCTGTACCTTGCGGTTATACGGCGTCTGATGAGTTACATCAGCCACGCATAATTCGATGAGACCATTTTCGCACATTTTCCGCATAAGAAAACTCTTAAAGGTGCTGTAAGGAAGTTCACTTAGCGTTCCGCCATAAGGTGATTCCCAATATCTGGTTATCCCGATAGTCGTCGGTGTGGATGAAATGGAGTACATCCGTGGATAATACGGAGTGGCAATGTTAACGAGCACCTCGATGGGCAAATTCAACAAATGAAAATCGCAAAGTACCTCGAACAGGTTCCTGTGTTCGTCTTTGCAGTATCTATTGTACTCGGCGCATGCCTCGATGTTGAAGGAGGCCATCTCCCTTAGCTTGTCCCGATAGATGTCCATGCTCGCATATTTGGCCATGAAGTACATCTGCCATTGCGTGCACACATTCTTCAATGAGAGGTACTCCACGAAGAGGGTGCGCAGCGTAATGGCTTTGCCCTCGAACGGCAACCGTCTCCCTTCTTGGCTCCCATCACTTTCGTCGGAGACCTGGAGGGCCTCCAAATCCCGATTAAACTCGAGACCACCGTCATTTACGGAGACTATACGGACGACTTGTTCGGGATCTTGGCCTAGCTTTTGCAGCATTTCCACCACTTCATCAGGGTCGCCAGTAGGGTACAGGCAGCATACATCTCCGGGATCGTATTTCGTTCCACCGCACTGGATCACAATGTTTCTGACAGTCCTAAAGTGATCCTCTGCCGTTATAATGTCGTTAGAAACAACCTTGCCCGTAGCAGTGCTAAGACGTATTTCATCTTCCTCAGTCCCCCTTTCGAGCTCTTCCACCTTGAGGCGAAATGATATCGGCGGCTCTTCGTCGGTGTCTAATTGTCCCCACAACGCTGTCAAACCGGCTATCCACGGAATGAATTCGCCAGTGTGACCCAGCGGATGCTGATCGTCGCCGTATCCCACCGCGTAGAAACAGGTGGCACCTGCCCTCTCGAGCAGGGTTACGAGCTTGCGAGCGGCGTAGTTGAAAAGCGGGTACCTGGAATCTCCCAATCCGAATATGGTGTAATCCGCCGGGAGTCTTCGTCTTCCACCTTGCAACTCGTCCACCAGAAATCGCATGCTATGCGGGAACTCGCCGTAGGCAGCCGTTGAGATCACGAAGATGATGCGGTCGTACCTCAACAGAAGTCTCCGCGTCGCAAAAGCAGCAGATTTCACGCTCACATCGGCTCTACGCAATCTCAACTGGATATACGTGGAGTACGCTAGCGCCTCGGCACAGCCCGTTTCCGTCGCGTATACAATAAGGACCCTCATGTTAACTTATTGCAAGCAAAACCTGTTACGGTGTGTTGTTGTGGCTAACCACGTGGGAAGCACCTTGAGATGCCCCCGGAAGTTTCGGACGGGGCTGTGAGTGACACCGCCGCGGCCGCACCTGACCACGTGCTCTAGGGTTGGCAACGAGAACACTCCGGGATATGCGTACTCAGCGCATGAGGTTCATGAACTGTTGCGCGCACTTCACCTCGCACTGCAGCTCGTGTGCCCTCACAGCGCGTCTGATGTCGTCGTTGAGGTGCTGCCTGATAAGGTGTTCAGCAGTGGCCTTCGGCCGCTCGGTCATGTCTTCCCCGAGAATCTCACCGACGAGCTCTGCGACGGCCGTCTCTCCAGGGTTCTTCTTGAACGTGATCGCGTCCTTGGACGCAACCGGCACTACGTTCTTCGGTATCAGCGAGTCAAGCGACGCTGCTTTCAACTCCTCTCTAAGGGCCAGACCCGCACATTGGTCGTAGCATTCGCCGTAGGCAGTCGCGAAGCGCAGGGCCCGGTTGGCAGCTTCCGATAGATTGTACTCTACGTTTTCTGCGTACTGTGTAACGCGGCCAGTGTCTACCCACCTTCCTTGGCCTTGCGTTCCTCCTCGAGCAGCCGCTCATATTTGGGGAGGTCCTTGAACTCCTCCGGCGTTTTCTGGCCGCTGCCGCCGAACAGACCCGTGATGCGATTTACAAAATCCAACGCACCCATCTAGAGTACGAGTGTAGGAAAAACTAGTGCCGAATAGACGTGCCGTGCGGCCGCCTTCCTGGTGTCACGTCGCGCCGGTGACGGCCCGTCACGTACGCCAACTACACCGGTACTATAATTAAGCACGAGTGCAATACTACCGGCCAGTGCCTCATTCCAGTGGCAAAGGCCCGGCTACAAGGGCTATGTGTTGTACATATCCTCGATCTGTCTGCAGGCGCAGGCGTACCTCGCCATCTTTCGGCTGTTGTCCTGGCCGTAGAAGAGCTGCTGTCCCACCCTGAAGCCGATATGTGGCCTTTCTGGTGGCTCCTACCTGTGGATGCCGTCGATGTGCCGCTGTTTCGCCTTGGACTCCCCGCGCCTCGCAGCTAACGTGTACAGCGGTAGGAACGCGCACAGTTGACCCTGACTAGCGACGTTTGCGATAAAATCAGTCAGCGAGTCAAACTCCAGCATGTTCATCGAGCAGAATCCTACCCTGATTAGGCACAGCCAGATGTAGTCCGTTGGCGCCCTCAGGTGAACCAAGTTTATGCTGCAACCTCGTTACCCCAACGCAACCGCCTATGCACTCACCGCTTTATTTTCTCGTACAACACCGGTTTCACCACGGGTCTAGAGACCTTCTGCTGGACACAGCCCGCAATCATCCTCACCGCCATCTGCAGCTTATGGGACACTGCCGACACTACCTACCATTTTCATGAAGAGGTTGGTGACGTTGGCAGTTGTCACCAGGATGCACATCACGGTGCTGTTGACGAACTTGAACTTGTTGTGCAGCCTTTCCAGCACAGACAGCTTGCGGTTCGGCTCTCCTGACGCGGCACGCTTTTCCACAATCGCTGCCGCGCGCTGCAGGTGCTCCTTCGGGTCGCAAACGTTCTCGTCGAACGACTCCAAGATGTTGCGGATGCGTATGGTGGCTTCTGCATACTGTTAACATTCGAAGAATGCGCCCACCTTTTGCGTATGATTCCTCATCGGCCTGCGTTTCCGTCGCCCGGCAGAACGCCGCGCAATCTGCGATGAAGCCCCTGAGGCGTTCGATGTTTACCCTAGGCAGGTACAGAACTAGCAACTCGTGAAAAGTCATTTCGTCTTCCTCGACCCCGTCAGTTTTCATAGCGTCAGAGTCACGCTGTGAATTCTTCAGGAACATGACGTTCGATAGAAGGGGCGGCACGTCCTCTGATACGCGCACCGTTTTGTCCATGGGGTAGACGTAAGAGACCAGCTTGGCAAGTGAGACGGGTTTTCCGGTGCTTTTGGCTGCTCTGAGCAACGCCGTAGAAATGCAGCTGTCGCCTGCAAAATTTTAGTGCGGGAGTCGGCATTCCTACCGCTGAGTTGCAAGTCGACCTCCATAAGGAACTTGGTTGCAGCGATGTGGTGTGCTGAAAGGCCTGTTTCGCGGTGAGTTTGTTGTCACGTGGTTGTACCTAGAGCCAGTAGCGATAACCAGTCGTGGATGTCAGTTTGAGCCGACAGGAGGACAGCACTGGTGTTTTTCATGTAGTGCAGCACGTGCGATAGGATCCCGCTCGCAACTATGGGGTTGCTCAGCATGAAAGCCACGTCGAATAACTCCATATCATCCTGATCACGTTTACTAACGACAGGAATATGCCCTTACCCTGATCTTCAGATGATGAGGCTTAAATTCCTTATTGGGCTTCGCCAGTTTATGTAGCATCTCCGTAGGCAATTTCGAACCGTTGCTGTCTCCTATGCACGTGATTAGCTGGGTCAAGCTCATGAACGGCTCCATGGCTTGCATCTCCTCTGGCTGCACGAGATAGGTCTCCTGGTACAGGGTGGTGATGGAGTGCCTTATTGCACTCAGGTTCCAGAAGCCGCTGCCAGAGTAGCGCATCTCGCTCACACTCTTGACAGTTTCATCAGCGTTATTCTCCAGGTTGTACAGGATCCCTATGGAGTTCTCCGCGTGCCGCCTGTAGACGTTGAAGGAGTCGTCTGTCTGCGATGGTCCCCGACTGGAGTTCTCTGGTTCGAACGGCTGGTCGCCAAACCATACGCCATATTCGATGTCCTTATTTTTATCGGCCCTCGTGGCAGCAGACTTGGTTGTCAGCACGCTGCGTGTGAACATCACCCTGATGGTATGCTGCACGAGAAAATAGATGACCCTGGACGTGTGCGTTTTCGGGGGACCTATGAGATCCACAATTTCTGCGATAATGGACTTGTAGTCCTCCTGAAATCCCCTGTAGAGCACATTCCCCTTCATGTCGCCCTCCAGTATCTACACATGTGTGATGGATTGCGTCACATGCCGAGCTTACCCCCAGGTCGAGCAGGAACAGGGCGTCCTCTATCAGCGGGGCAACTATGCTATACAGTTTCGCAGGAGAAGCCGCCAGCAGTTTGCGTTTCACACCAATCGGCACGATCTGAGAAGCATGCGAACGATTTTCTGGGTGCGCCAACCTACCTTGAAAAAATTGTTCGCCGACGAGGTGTTGGCCAGGAGCTTCGCCCTGGCGAACTGCGGTATGTCGTCAAGTTTGTCGAGGACATCGCAGAGCATCGGCTGTATTTCCGTGACCTGGAACATGGAAATCATCTTTTCCGCGAGTGCGGTGAGTCTGGATCGTTTTTGCTGGGACATGAGTCATTCAACAAACCGTTCCTCGTTATCCGCCGACTTCTTGATGAGGGTGGAAAGCAGTTTGGAGAGGTGTTTCTCGAACACTTCCTTGTAGGTGACATTGGCAGGTACGCCATTGAGTTTTAGGAGGTCGACGACAGCCTTGGCGACCTGTAAAAGCTGAGTTGCAATTGAATCTGTAACATACCGGGTCCGAAAATCCCTGTGATTCCTGCCAAAGACGGCATGCCAGCGCACCAGGGTTGGAATGATGCGTTTTCTTGCGCAATTTGTAGTTGTCTAAGCGCTTTTTGGGACTGCAATATGCACCTTACCCTCAATCCACTTGATCAGGGTCCTTCGACCGGCCGGGCCGCAATGCAACCCCGGCACGACCGATATCGAAGCGTCATCAGTAGTTAGCGGCTTTTTCGGCGACCCCAGTGCCGAATATTCGGAGCTGGAGGCTCCATCGCGCTCGAGCGAGAACTCGACGCTCCAGCCGCTCGGACATACCATGTGCGGCTCTTTTTTCTATATGTGCATTGTAAATGACAATGTGTCATCTATCGGTGACCGATTTACGTGCCATTTTGAGAAATATCTGTATACCGCACCTCTCCAGGTGCAGCACCGTCGCGCGTTTGCCTTCGGCAGCCGCTTACGGCTCGACTCAATCACAACGAGTCACGGCAAGAAGAGATATAAACTGTGACAATGTGCTGTGAATGCTTGCAGGCTACGCCAATTTAAGCCTGTCTATGGATGCGTACTTCACGGTTGCGTTGGCGCAGTCAACGAGAGCCAAAATAGCCTACGACGTCATATGGATTCGATTCAGATTGGCGGTACACACCCTTTTTTTCGCAGCGGCGGCAACACGGGTCCATCTCACGACGGATTGCGCTGGAATCTCCTGGCCGTCATGTTTGATATAGATGAGAGCGTAACTGTGGCATTCCCTGGGGTCGCCTGCACTACTTCCACCGCATAACGCGCCCACGTACCCTCATAAATGACCAGGTCAGCTCCGTAGTGCATTCCGTCCTTGACCTTCAGACGCTTAGCACTGAGGTCGCGGTACACAACGCCGTTGTCACGGCACATCGCCGCGCAGCAGCTGTAGGCGTCAGACAATAGTTAGTTCATGTATTCTGCACTGCTCTGTTATGTCAAGTGTATTATGACCGTCATTTTTCTGTTTTCCCCGGGTTAGCCTCATCGGCGTTAGGGGTGTCGGGTTCCCTCGGCTGCTGGTATACGTAGATGTGGCCTTTTTTGTTCCTGCAACTCATGCTCACCTCTAACATTCACTTACTTGTATAGTGAGCTGTACTTAAGCCCGGGGTTGACCTTTTGCGCGGCCTTGACCAGCTTGTGCGTGTTGACGAAAGGTAGCTTGACCACATGCTCCCACTCGTTCGTCCTGCCGTCCTCGTTGATGTCGAACTCCGTTGGAAAGTATTGGCGCAGCTCACCATCCTCTTTGGCGAGTTTTCTGATTCGTGTCAGATCCGCGACTTCGAACTTACCTGTAGGATGGTGGGAGTAATTCGTTTTCGTTGGGCGGCGATATCGCAAGGAGGTGCTCGAGTGGCGTGATGGGCCCTCCTTTGTTGAACGTGACGTCTACCGTCGTCACCTCAGCGAGATCTGATACCAGCGGGGCGTAATGGTATCTGTAGCTCCTGCAAAAGGTTTGCACGTCTATCGAGAGTGGGCCACTCACCAGTCCCAGCTCGGGCAGTCGTGGTGATAGTAGCTCAGGATCCAAAATAATCCCTAAAAGGCGGTGAATATCACTTTAAAAGTTATCTAACCTTGAGGTAATCTACGCACATGCGCCTTATTTCCGCCTTTCCGTCCACCTGGCACTTTTCCCGGTGGTAGTAGTCGGCGTACAGTTTGGCGTTGCTGTATTGCTCCACCTCCTCGATGACCGCCTTCTCCCTGAACCAGCGCAGCTCGTTCTTCGATAGCGCTTTGAAGAGCGACTGCAGCCTTGGCACGTGTATTTTAAGCCCGTCGGTGAGGAAGCCCTTCCAGCGCTGCAGCAGGGAGTAGTACGTCTCGATCATCTCGGAAAAGCTGTCGTTCGCGAAGTCGACCGTCGGCAGTCTCGGCAGGAAATCGTTGCCTACATGATCGATGTTGTGGTAATTACGTAAAATTGTCATTACCTGCTAGGAAGGATAGCAGCACGAAGTCGTCCGTGATGCGGTACGGCGCTTCGGGCCGGTTGAGGAAGGCAAAGTTTGAAGCTCGGAACTTCTTTATGAGGTGCCTCAGACAACGCTCATACATCCGCTTCCTGAGAGTCCTGATGGACACGACCTCGAAGTTGGTCTGCTTGAGGTCTATGAAGTCCCACTTGTGGAGGTGCACGATGCCCGTGTCAGTGGCGAAGAAGGGTTCTCCTTTTTTCTTCGCAACGACATGTGGCGCGTACTTGCTTTCCTCCCTGAGCACCTTGATATTGGGAATTTTTAGTGCCATTGAAAGCATCATGAGGTCGGCGTCGAGACCGTAGACCAGGTGCGTCTCCTTGCGCGCATGCCTGCTAGCCTTGTTCATCTTGCGTATGCACTGAAAAATCTTGTGCTCCCCTTCTCCCGGCACTGATACGCCGCTGTACACTACTAGGCACTTGCCGAACATCCCCTCGACGGTTTTGAGAGCGAGCCAGTTGGCAACTTCGCTGTCGACGATCTGCATGAAGTCGGTGCCGGGGGATATGTGGTTGGGGTTGAACGTGACGTTGTCGTACGCATCAAACGGCAACCGCTGCGCCACGTACTTTTCTCCATCCTTGCTAGTGACAGCGCTGCATATTTCGGTCTGCATGCGATTTTTGGTTGGCGACGCTAAAATCCCACCAGCTGATCGATGCTCTTCGAGGTCCTGAACCGGCGGCCACGCTGCTGGTTAATTTTGGCCGTGGGACACACCCCGTCAACGGCCATGTAGAGCATCTTTCGCGGTTGTACCACGTTGAACAGCATTTCAATGGCCGATGTGATGCGCCGCAGTCGCTGCTCGTTCTCCATCTGCACCTGAGGAAAGACGTTGCCATGGGTGGCAACGTGGATGATCGCGTTCATGTCGATGTAGAAGTGGTCCACCGGTTGTTCTGCAGGTATTGTTGAGCTTGCATTCTAAGAACGTACTCTCCAGCGCCCGCTCCAGCCCCGACTTGAAGCCGCCGAAATTGTCCAACAGCCAATAGAACATACGCGGTACGCCATAGAGCTGCAACCGTGTCTATAGATGCTATGTAAACGTACGCATTGGTCACGATTGCCATGGTTGGCACTCCAGCTGTTAGGGATGTGCCTGTCCAGAGTAACGCCCTTCTGGGTTCTGGGCGCCGCTGGATACAGGAAGGCAGCTCCCAGATGTCTCTCAGGTCTCCGTGATGCCGTAGCTGTGACCTTCTCTGGCCTGGTGGTGAGCAGTGAACATATTGCGATAACCAGGGCGACAGCCTCCATCAAATACATCGGCCTTCCTAGCGATGGCTACAAGTCCGGCGCATATTCTGAGGAGACCGCCCAAATTATAGCGTCCGCTTTCTAGCGGCTACATTTTCTGGCGCTTCGATGAAATAGAAGTAGACCACAGGCGCGCGTTGCGCCACCGAGGCGGCCGTCGATGTCGTTGGCAATATCGGCTACGATGTGCGTAGCGCCATTCACGTTACATATGCTATATAGGTGTGTTCGTGCCGTATTAGTGTAATAAAAGATAATTTGGCATCGTTTGGCGTCATCGAATGGCATCAGAGTACAAAGGTGTAACGAACAAGAAGAGATGCGTTGCAGACATAAAATAATATAAGCGGTGATATTTTCAGATAGTTCGTGTCGTTGCTGCTCTCCGTTTTCGGGTGTGTAGAGATATTGCGGTTTAACAGCGCACAGCAACAGCGTCAAATTCATACCGTCAAATAACACATAGCTCTCAGTTACAACAATATTAGGGCTGTGTAGATAAATACGAATATCCTCAAAACGGTATCTCGTTGAGCATTTCTAAGTTTATACTGCGAAGTCAACTTTTGTTAGTGCCTTCGTCGTCGTGCCTCAGCGCAAGCTTGACGAGCGGGCGTCGCGACACATGGTCCATGACTCGCACAATTTCCCGGATATTACGGGAATTTCGAGGCATGATTTAGCCTATCGCAAGTCGACGTCGGCGTTAAAGCTATGGCGGATTCTAGCGATCCGAGCCGCCGCGACACCGTCGACCAGGGTAGCTTTCGTGGCACGGCAAATCATCGCAACGCAGGCGACGTATCCCTGGAGCAGATAGCCAATCGCAAGGATGAGTGCGTGCGTTTCCTGGAGAAGCGCAGCCTGGACCTGCTCTGCTTCACCTACTCGTTGAGCCCCGAGCGGGCCCAGGAGTTCAACCGGGTGTTAGAGGGCGACATGGACCGTATGTTGCTGGACGCGCATAAACAGCTGGCGATGTACCGGCTGTACGGTTCGGGGACCGACGGCTCGTTTTCCAAGTACCGTCTTAACCACCTGGAGACCATAGCTCGGGAAGCGGAGCAGTGCTACGAGCGCTTCGAGCGTGCGAAAAAGCAGAACCCGCACCCCAATGTGACTGCAATAGTGCCAATATTCGGCACGGACGACCTCGAGAAGAGAGTGCGCCAGAGCCTGGCGGAGCAGGAGAACGTCAACAAGGCGTTCGCCAACTTAAAGGACAACTGCAAGAGACTGCTGGAGAGTTCGGAGCACGTGAGGAAGATGATACGCAACCTCCGCGAGCAAAACCAGCTGATCTTCTTCAAGCATCTTAGGGTGTCATCCCTCATCGACGGTGGGTGTAGAGCCTGGTCCGCAAAATTTACGTTTTCGCAGAGGTGGCCACCTTCCTGGGAGTTTGCGTACGCGACAGCGTAGCGGAGGATCTGCACTCGGCGTGTCTTTCGCAGGCTGCCTCGGAGTTCACGGTGGAAAGTTGGGTGCGCAAGATCAAGGAGTGCCAGGCCACCATGCAGACAATCCGTACGGAGGCCCGCACATACTTCTGGGAAAAAGAATCGGACTCCGGCAAGGAGAAACAGTTGCTGACCGACGATCAGCGTAAAGAGATCCAAAGCGCCATCGTGCGCAACACGGGTAGCATTCTGCAGCTTTCGCACGGCGCGGAATCGCTGCGACAGAAGCTCTCCCGAGATGCCTAGGTTGCTGTCGCCGTCGCTGTTGCGGCTTCAACAGGGTTAATATCGCTGTATTATTGTGTGACCGTGGTTCAGAACTTTCGTCTCTGGAATTGCCAGACAACGTAACGCTAAGGCCGTTCGACCTCAACGACCTCTCGCGGCTGGAGCTGACCGTCCAAGCGCCGGAGGGCATCTGGCGCGACATCCCTATCCGTTTTGAGTGTGTTGTGCCGGAAGGATACCCTCACGAGCGGCTGCGAGTACGGTGTCTTAGTGCGGTAGGTGTGTTGGCGGAGGTTGTTACCAGGCTGCAGATCAAACACCCTAATATCCTGGGTTCTAACGCGCCTAAATGCGCCGGAGCGGTGTGCCTGAACATAATACGCGAGGACTGGCGACCGATGTATACCGTCAGCACCGCGGCGCTGGGTCTGCTGAACCTGCTGGTGGAGCCGCAGTCGTTCGAGCCGCTGGATGCGGAGGCAGCGGAGCTGCTTACGAGCGACCCTGACCGTTTACGTGAACTAAGTCTTAATGCTGTCACCTAAATGTTGATGTGTTGCGCTATGGTGGCCACTGCCGCTTAGGGTGGGGAAGTCGCGCGCCGTTCCTTCGCACATTTACATAGTTCTGGGACCAAAGATGGGTAACGCTCAGGGTGGCATGAACAACAACCAAGGTAGGTGGCGGATGTGCCTTAACGCCGCGCTATTCGTCTTGCTCCTTTCACCCTTGCTCAGAGAACCGTAATAATAACGGAGACAACACGCCACGCGAGAAGCCGCCCCCTCCAGTTTTCGGCAAGAAGAAAAAGAAGAACTTGAGGCAAAATGTCCCGGTTCGAATTCCTACAGGTGTGTTTTACGTCCATGGCGTCGTATTGCGTGTACCGTGATTTCATTATTTCTGTACCACTTGACTCTGATTAACAAGCTACATGTTTATGTGTTATGTTTTGGGGTTTTGCGCCTTGCTATAGGCGACAAATATGTCTGGTTGTCGCCACTGCGGCGGGACGTTTGATGTGATTCTTGCCTTGCAAAGTCACGTTTATAATTGGTTTTGCGATGTGCATATTAACGAGCACTCAACGAGCGTTTCGCGTACATCTAAACGTTATTTATCGTCCACTGTGCTGTGTTTCGGTGACCATAGTATATGACATGGCTGTGATCAGCGTCATGTTTCTACCATTTCTTGACGCGATCGTTCTACTTGTGATCACACGTTTAGCCGGTTATACATGGTGTACGCGCTAAATTGCAATGATTATTATGTCATATGTGGTCGTGCATAAGCGTTTGTTTCCTATCGTTCCATCGCGATGCAGTCAATCCGTCTACGAAATGTCGTCTGCGGTTGCTAAAACTGGAGCGCATCAAGGACTATCTCCTGCTCGAAGAGGAGTACATCGCTAACAAGATTCGTCTGAACCCGACGAAGAACAAGAACCAAGATGACATGCTGCGCCTAGAGGACCTGCGTGGCAGTCCCATGAGCGTGGGGACCATGGAGGAGATGATTGACGACAACCACGCCATTGTGACGAGTTCGATGGGACCTGAGTACTACGTGAATATCATGTCGTTCGTGGACAAGAACCTGCTGGAACCCGGTTGCTCGGTGCTGCTGCACAACAAGACAAACAGTGTGGTTGGCATATTGCTGGACGACGTGGACCCGTTGGTGTCGCTCATGAAAGTCGAGCGGGCACCTCTCGAGTCGTATGCTGACATCGGCGGTCTCGAGGATCAGATCCAAGAGATCAAAGAGGCGGTTGAGCTGCCTCTGACACACCCTGAACTCTACGAGGACATCGGTATCCGTCCTCCTAAGGGTGTCATTCTGTACGGCCCACCAGGTATGTGTGCTTACTCAACGCAATATACTTATTTTCTTCAGGTACAGGCAAGACCCTGTTGGCCAAGGCAGTGGCGAACGAGACATGCGCCACCTTCCTCCGCGTTGTAGGGTCGGAGCTCATCCAGAAGTACCTGGGGGAGGGGCCAAAACTGGTTCGCGAGATGTTCCGTGTTGCGGAGGAAAACGCACCGTGCATTATTTTCATCGACGAAATTGACGCCATCGGTACGAAGCGTTACGATGCGACGAGCGGCGGTGAGAAGGAGATCCAGCGTACCATGTTGGAGCTGCTGAACCAGCTCGATGGTTTCGACCCCCAGGCGGACGTAAAGGTGATCATGGCGACCAACCGCATTGAGACGCTTGATCCCGCGCTGATCCGTCCGGGGCGTATCGATCGCAAAATTCAGCTGCCGAACCCCGACACCAAGACCAAGCGGAAGATCTTCGAGATCCACACTTCGAAGATGACCATCGCGCAGGACGTCGATTTGGAGGAGTTCGTGAACAACAAGGACGACTTGAGCGGGGCTGACATAAAGGCCATCTGCACAGAAGCCGGGCTGCTTGCGCTACGTGAGCGCCGCATGCAGATTACCCAGGCGGACCTGCGGAAAGCGCGCGAGAAGGCGCTGCAACTCAAAAAGGGGAACATCCCCGAGAGTTTGTACTGTTAGAGAACCGTTGTCAAGCAGCATAATTGTTTACGCTATACACCGTTGTTACGATTCGGGGTTACACATCCACAATCACTGGCTGTGGAATTGCTGTAATCTGCTCGTCGCGTGCATGGCGCGCTTAATGTAATCTCCTGCAGTAATGGAAGTTTCCTTGGACGATTATTGTCAGCAGCTGAAGGTTCGTAGCTGTAGGAGGGAATGTTTCACACATTTCGACGAATTAAGATTACGCGACGCTTCTACTGACACACATTAATTGCATTTTGCAATGTGTTGAAGTAACACATGTAATCTGTGCTTCTTGCCGGTGCTGTTAAAACGACATCGCCGATGCTACACGCAGTTCAGAGCACGCATTAAACTGCCGTAAAAAGCTGTATCGCCATAATTAACCGATCATTGCATTGGAATTATTATCTTCGAGTGCATTCTATGTGAATCGCAACGTTGGCGCGCGTCTTATGGTCTGGTGGACTCATGCTGGTGATTCGTCGCAGGCCACGCGTGCCACACTTCTAACTCGCCTCGTTGCAGTTTGCATATGAAACACATGAATGAAACATACGCTTGCATAATATAACGTTGGAGATTAATATTTCCCCTTAGATCGCGTGGCTTTAAGCTTCCGTACGGGACGCGTACCACAGCAGTCGATCGATCAAAATGGCGTCGGTTGATGCCCCTCGGCGCGATCCGTACGATGAAGCGGAAAAGTAAGTGATCTAGGTAGCATTTTTATACCCTGCAGCACCGTCCGGAAAAACATCCGGAAGCTCATCGTACTCCAATCACAGGTGATGGAGGAACTGAGGTTAGTTTTAGGGTCATTTGCGCTAAATATTCGCAGTAAGCTCCCGAAACACACGCGGGTATCTGCCACAACCAAGGGAGCGGAGCTATTGACCGTCTGCGCGGGCATCGAGAGCGACATCTCGGAGCTGCAGAAGGTGATTGACACGATCAAGCGAAACGGCGAAAAGTACCGGATTTCGGCTAAGATCATATCATCACGCCAAAACACCATCGATGAGTTCAAGTCAAAGCTCAAGAGTGTGCGCGATCGTAACGAAGCGGTAAGTACGACTGCATGTGGGCACAAAAGTTGCAGAACGACAATGCAGCAGCCAATGCGGCGTCGAGCACTCCCAGCAGATTGGGCAACTCCTTGGTGGAACACCAGCTGCAAACACAGAAGGTGAGGGATTAGTTGCATTTTTCTCAAATGCAGCAGGACCTTTTGGAACAGCAGGACGTGCAGCTGTCGGTCTTGACGACCTCTGCGCAGTCCCTTCAGAACAACGCTCTGGCGATCAACACGGAAGTAACCACGCAGAACACGCTCCTGCGCAGCGTAGATGAGGGCTTTACGGAGACCCAGCTCCGATTGAACGCTTTCAGCAAACGGATGGCTGTATTTTTGGACACGAACAACCCTTCGTTGCTGAAGCTGGTCATCATGCTCTCCGCCATCGCCATTCTTCTGCTGATGGTAATAATAGTGTTTTAGTGTGCCGCAACGCCACGAATATTTGTCACCCACGCGAAGGCGTATTGGGGCCCCTGCTTTCCAATCGCAAAAAAAAGTCTTGTAACACGATACCCGTAAATACGATCCACAGACACTGTTACGGGAAAATCAGACTCTGGAACTGGTTTCAACTATTTTAAGTTCATATATTAGATAGGCCGTAGTTAAGGTCTTAGCGCAAAAGTGCGGTGCGTGGTTACGGCCCAGTCGACCTTCAGCTCAGCTGAATTCGAAGTGACGGTCCCTCAGGTGCCTGAACATGAGCGGCGTTTGCCTCACCATACGGTCCAGATTGTTCTTCCCCAACAGCTCCAGGCAGCGCACTTCGAGCGTGGCTGCGGCATTAGGGCAGGAGACGCCCCGGCACTTGAAGTTGGCCTCGCCGTTCTTGCCGCAGTAGAAGCATTTCACCGCCGCCCGGATGTGTTTTGGCATCCTCACCCACGGGTTTTCACGGCGCTGACGCCAGTCGTTGGTGCGGTGGTAGAACTTCACCACGTCGCCCTTATCCTTGCACTGGTTCCTTCCCCACTTGTGCTTGAACGAGCAGCGTGAGCAGCGCATAGAGGGGCAGTTGTTCGCGGGGCTGGACGTCCGAGGGCAGGTGATGAAGCCGCAGAAGAAGCACACCGACCGCTTGCGCCGATACAGGTGCGCCAGGAAAGTCATGTGGCAGATGGGCAAGGGGTCCAACTTCAGGCCATCGGAGGCGAAGAAATATCTGCGTCCCTGCCTGCCCATCCCCCCAGGCATGTTACCCCTGGAAGATCTGGAGAACCGCGGGAACGGCATGGATGAGCCCATCTGCGTATGCTCGATGTCAGTGACCGTGTTGCTCAGCTTGCTAGTGCTGATGGTCAATTTAATCGCGTCATCCGCAGTAGCATCAACGGTCGCATCGGCGACACTTGTGTCTAGACCAGTCATGGCTTCATCGCTTGTTGTTCGCTTCATCTTCGATCCCGTCAAGCGCAGCAAAGGTGCGCTCTGTGAGGACCCCTTGGCAGTGGCAGAGACGCTGTCGTTAGGGGAATTGGCGGCCTTTTTAGAGTAGTGACCATCCGGCTTAGTATTACTGCGTTTTACCGCAGGCTCGTCGCATCTAGTGGGCTTCTTGTCCACCTCATCAGACGACACCTCACGATTGCTGTCCATGTTGTGCGACATTCTCGCATGTTTGGCGCCGCTTCCCAGTCTGGGCGCCTTCCTAGACCCCTCTATGCTGTGGTTCACGGTGGTCGCTGACGGAGATGCTGGCATTATCTTGCTCTCCTGCGACATTGGCGAATCCGACGAGTCGGAGACCTCGGAAACGTCACCAAAGTCGTCCTTCTTCGACTCCGCCACGTCACACGACACGCAGAAGTCCTCATTAGCGATCATGCTGTATATACACTTCCGCAGATCGAGTATCGTCTGCCTGTAGAGTTTTGTTTCCTCTGACGTCAGCGGCCGGCTGAGGGTCCTAAGCGGCCTGACGTAGGTGGCCGACGAAACCTGGAAGTCCGCGGTATTCTCATGAGCGGGTTTCAGATGGGCCTGAGACGGCTTGATGTTTATCGAGCAATCCGTGAATTCCTCCTCAGCCTCCGGGACGAAACCTTCCCCCTCGACGTCGAGGGAAAAAAGGTCTGCTGGCGTAACTACGGCGGCCGGCATTTTGCACTGCATTGTCTAATTACATATCAAATGCATAGCGATGTCATATTGGACGGTCATATAAAAATGTGTAGTTGGTGTCTATGACGCGGGTGGTGATGTGTCACTGGTCACCTGGTGGTGTGCTCGTTGAATCGCGTCGCCAATCGATCCTTTTCAGTATTGCTTGAAGCGCCTTTGCATCGCCAGTTGATGAAGTTGCCTGTAGACAGATGTGTATTTTGCGTCCGGACACTTACTTTCTCTTTTATAGTCTGGATTAGCCCCTGATGCCTCAGGGGATTCAGCGTCATTGGAGCCGCAACAAAGCATTCCGCGATTGCTGCTAGCTGTCCCGATGACACTGTCGCGCCGTCTTCCAATTTTCGCTGCAGCAATATCGCCATGACATCGATGGCCTCGTGGTGGTCCACTGAAAAGGCGAGATAGTGTAGCAGATCGATCAGCGCCTGTATGGTGGCACTTTCCAGCTGAATAGCACATATAGCATGCAATTGAAAGGACACTAACCTGTTGGAAATTGGATCGTTCCAGCATTTCGGCAACCTGTGTTGCCAGGTCACCGCGGTTGAGGTTGCATCTGTCGAATATCGATAGTACATTTCCGAGGATGTTGATGTCCTGTAAGAAGCTGATTTCGAACAGTCGCGATCCTTCGATTTGTAAGACTCCCGGGTCGTTATGCAGTGTTATTTCCGCCAATACACGCTCCAGATAAAGCACCAACGCCTCCACAAGCTCAGGTGCATTGGGCGAGAACAACATAAACAGCGTCTGCAACACTTGCGGGATGCCACCACAACTAATTTCGTTAACTCTCTTCTTGCACTCGTTCAGCAGTTCAAACTTGACCCTTGAGTCTGGTTTGAAGCTTTTGACGCAGTTGAGTAGCAGTATCTGCACAGACATTAGGTATCCATTTCGTGAGCCAAAATGCAACGTTTGATATCAGAATGCATATGGACAGATTTCACGCTTATACCGATGATTTGGCGGTTTCTCATCGAAGGATAGGTTAACCTCAGGTTACACAAAAATCCCAAATGTTAGAGGCAATCAACTCACTTGCACGAATTCGTCACTACTGCTGCGCTTGATGAGCGCATTGGCTCTGTCGATCAGAAAGAGAACGGCGGATCTAGGGCTGGGGAAGTAGTGCTTCTCCCCCTCCTGATGCCTGAGGTCGGTCTCAGCCTTCTCATAAATGTCGGTTTCCAGTGCTACCGCCCGCAGGGGCAGCTTTGACCGACGTTTCCATGCAACCTTTATGCTGTTAGCGATGCTTGTCAGCAGAAACAGGAAGTGCGACGTGTCCTTAGTGTATTCCTCGGCGTTATACGCTAGTTGGTTGAGCACCCAGATGCATATCTCTTCGCTGCGTGGAATTAGAGAAACTTCAGTGACTACAGTACCTTGATAGCTGCCCAGTAATAGCGAGTGGAATGGCCACTCGGTAGTAATCCGTGGAGTTGCTGAAGCCCGCATTTGCTGCCACCAGATTTTTCGCAAGAGTTGTCATGAGGCGGGAGTCCAATTTGCCTGTTAGATAAAACGCATGAAATGCTTGCGCCACGTGTGCCGCACTCATCTGGACGGAACCAGCATTGGCCCGCTTTGCCATCTCCTTCATGGAGGCCTACAAACTCATGTGAAGAAAAGAAGAATCGTACCTCTATGACGCCATCTAGATTCACATTGTGCAACGTCATGATGGAAGCACAAGCATGGGTGAATTTGCACAGGTGGTTGTCGTCCAGATCCTGGACGTTCACTTTCTGGACCACCATCTCAGAAGGCAGAGCAGCAGGGATGCTGATGTTGCCCATTGCCTGTGCAATCAAAAGCATAAGGTCTACATCTTCCAGGTTGTCGGTTTTCAGACATTCGGTCATGATTGCTGTCATAACACTGCCGTAATGGAGTTTGTCGTGAACCGTCAGGGGGACCTCGTCAGCCATCGTTACTTCGCCTGGGAGTGGCTCACAGCGATTCTCAGTTACTAGAACATTGCTGGCATGGCTGTCTGTAGCTGATACTTCTTCACCTCCGGTATCATTATTTACTTCCTTTTCAGTGTCTTTCCCTTGATCCGGATTACCTCCCTCTAACTGTTTCAGCAGCTGCGATTGTGCCCTAAAAAAAATCTCAAGGCTGGTGAGCATTAGCGCGAGCGATACTACAGTATCACGCGGACTCATAGAGTACGTATTTACATCCTTCAAAGCCCATAAATAGTGTTTGATGAGAGGTCTTGCCATAATTCCGAGGCGACTGTCGAGATGCGCCAGGGCGCACGCCAGCATGGCGGTATCCTGAGGCGACAGAAGGTGTAGGAGACTGCGAATACGATACTTTAGCACTCTTACATCTTTAGAACGCATCGTGGTTGGTGCTTTGGGCGATTTCATTTGTGCCAATGTGGCAACGTTCCGTGCAAGGCAATCTCGATTGTCAATAGCTTCGGTTAATGGCGCAGCGAGCTCCTTTATGAAGGCGACAGTATCGCTGACTCCTAGATCCAACAGTTCGTGCAGCTGTCTCCTGGCTACCCTGGTTGTCGGGATTCCCGTATGCCCTTCGCATTCTCGTGAGACTGCCTCGATGCGCCGTCCATGCTTAGGATCGATGACCCTTGCGAATCTCGCAAGACGGCCACTCTCCACGCATCCTAGCGTTACTCGGATGGCAGGCGGTACGTACATGGTCAGTCATATGCGATTGATCAAATATGTGTACAGGAATCTCCTGCTCCGAATGGAATCTCGTTGAGGCGGCCACACATTTGACCATGTAGTGGGAAACAGAGGCGCGACACTTAAGATTCCACACACACTATGTATGAATGGATTGTATAGGTGGCAAGCATGGTGGAAGATGCGACTTGGGGTTGCGCTCTTTTTGCTTTCGAGCGCGACAGCCCTGTGTCTGCAGATTCCCCGTATCGCAGGGCTACGGCAGTCTTATTGCTGCCTCAACCGCCAAAATGAAGCACATATCGCATTTGTAGGGTCAAAAAACCAGGATTATCGGAGCAATGGTAGTGAATACTCGCCGTATACCACCTCTGCCGGAAGCAGAACATCAGTTGTGTTCAGTCGTGGATCTGGAGGGTATTCAAACCCTGTTTGCCAGTCTCACGATGCATTTGCATCGTCTCGATATGCTGATGGCGCAGCTGATGCCGGATACAGCGGAAGAGGTGTGCCATATAGACAGGTCGGATGCTCTGCAGATTTCCAAACGCAAAGGACGTTTGCGTTGGGATCGTTCTTTGGCTCTGTGAACAGCGTTTTCACGGATGCGGAGTACGAGCACAGGTTGGAGCTCAATTGGAAGTATGACACGATCACTGATGAGACCGACGATTCGGGATTGCCCCTTGCGCCGGAGAACGAGGACTATGACATTGACGACACCGTGCCGGAAAGTGACACCGACCTGACCAAGCCTCCGTCGTCGAAGGAAGATTGGTATCTGAAACGTATGGCGCGTGGGCGTCGTTTCTGGCACAAATATTTCGCTGACCCGTCGCAGCAGTCTCTGCGCTTCTACAGGCTGGTCAAGATGAAACATGACCTGAAGTTCTGCAACCGCGTTGTTCGGCGCAAATATATCGAATTGCGGCCAGAAATCAAGCCCGAGGTGGTGGATGGTCGTGTACAGCCTCTGACGCGCCGACAGCGGAACCAAAACCGCAGCCGTATCCAGGTGGTGCGCACCACTGTGGGCTACGACAACTCGAGTGACGACAGCAACGTGCTCATCCTATTGACGTTGCCGCAGGCACGTTTGGTGCGGATGGTTGAGAGAATACGGTTGCCGCACCTTCTTGCCTTGCGTAACTACGAGATGCTGCGGATGCTGCGCCACTCGATGCTGTTCATGTCCAAGCCGAACATTTTCGAGAGCACAGTCGACTTCCTGCTGACCTTCTCACGCTTCAACCACGAATTTGACGGCGATATTCCGTTGTTTTGCGAGCTGCCGTCAAAGCCGGTGAAGCGATTCCGACCTATGATCTACGCCGTCATTGGGAAGCTGCGCCAGGACCCCTTCGCAGACCACCTGCTAAAGGTACGCCGGTCGCAGCCACCGCCCATCAGGGAGCCATTCCCGCGGTGCGAATCGAACGAGAGTAGCACGTTGACAAAGTTCCTGGACTCTTGCGCAACACTGATCATGGAGAGGCTCCGAAATGCGGAGTACGACTTTGACGCCGTTATGGACAGAGACTTTTCCGACAACTTCGCGGAAATGATGCCCACATACACCACCAAAGAGAGTGTCAATCGCATCGATTATCCAGTCACTGTTTCCTTCTCGAAAGAGATGGCGCCTTATTTGCGAGAGCCGGTGACTCCTCCCCCCGATGGTGGCTCCGCTGCCACCACGGATGGCGGCAGCCAACCTGCTAACGAGAGCGAAGCTCAAGAGGTCGTAGAAGATGGTGACTCTTCCGAAGATGGTGCATCTGCGGATGGTGAGGCTGATGGTTCTGATGCTATCGGTGAGGCTAGCACTGCTGTGCCACCGCGTGGCTCCACGGCTCCATGGACGAGAGACGAGGTGAAGCTTATGCTGAAGAGGGTGATGAAGCTCGGGCTGACCAAGCCGTCAACTATAATCGACCGTATGCGGCGGTTGCATTGTGACATCGGCTTTAGCTTCGAGGACCTGCTCTGGCTGGGGAGGACCCGGCCGCAGCTGTTCCGCTACGGCAACTACAAGCAGCGCTGCCAGCAGATTTACGACTGCGACGAGTCGCTGACGTTCGAGGATATACTGTCGATGGTGCACCGCTACCCCAATCTACTGACGTTTAATATAGGACGTACGGTGCGGCCGAAGATCTACTACTTCCGACGCGTCATGCGAAGGGACGTAGCGGAACTGACACAGTTCCCCAAGTTCCTCAGCTTCTCGCTGTACGACCGCATCATTCCAAGGCACCTGGCAGTAATGAACGCCGCGTATCGTGGAGAGTTTCTGAAGGTGTACCGGTTCCTGTTCGAGTCGGGCTTCTACAAAGGATACGGCCAAACAGTTACTGACGAACGGGTGCCGGACATACTTCCAGCGGATCACGGTCGATACATGGCAGCTTACGAGCAGCTCAGCAGGGCGCCTGACCTGAGGCTAATGTTCACTTCGAGTGACGACGCCTTCCTGCGGCACTTCAATTTATCATACCGCGATCTGGCGCAGGGCAAGGAAGACGCCATGAAGATACCGCTGCCCGCAGACGTGCTCTAGAGTGGCGTATGTTGCGCGTGTTAGCGGCGGCGGTAGCCGCCAGGCGGCCGGCCGTTGCAGCAGCCACGGCGTTCGGCAAGCTGCCGAGCCGTTTAAGACCTACTAATGTGACATTATATCGCAGTTTTAGTATCGCAAAATTAGAGGTAACGCCGCGCTGTCGGCCAAACTGACGTGAATACAGTTCCCGGTGGACGCCGATATCCGCGAGCCAAGAGTGAGGGTCTTGCGCGACGGAAAGTTCGTAGGAGACTTCGACCTGGCGGAGGCGCAGAGCGTGGCGCGGGAGGCGGGCCTAAACCTCATCCTTTTCCGTCCGCGCTCGTCGCCGCCGATATGCGTGCTGGCGAAGTACACGGAATTTATAGAGCAGCAGCGCTCGTTGCGTGAACGCAGCGCAAACCCCGCCAAAAACACGACATCAGCGCCAGCTGCCGACGCGTTTTCGTTCGACCCGAGCCTGAAGGTTAAGGTTGTGCAGATATCCTCGCAGTGCGCTGATAACGACTTTGCGAGGAAAGTACAAAGCGCACGCAAATTCCTTGAGTCCGGGCACCGTGTGGAATTGGTCGTCTTCGCGAAGTCGGCGCGTAAAGGGCGCTCCGCTACCCCCATGACATCGGCAACGGACGGCCATAATAGCGCCGTGGCTGCCGCTGTCGCGAGCGCTGCAGCGAAAGGGGTGCCGCTCTCGTACTCCCTCGATAACCCACTCATACAGCGTGTTGACTACATTTACGCCCAACTGGCGGACGTTGGAAGGCCGTTCACGCTGCGCAGCAAAGTAGACACTAAGCAGCGGCAGCTGCTGCTTAAGTTCTGGCCCGTTTGACAAACAGTTCATCGCGGCATGCTAAGGCATCTTCCAACTTGACCTTAAACTCTTCGACGCTCATTTCACGCTGTGATGGTGTCAAAATGTGTTTAGTGATTGTATTCTTACCTTCTCGAGGCCCTTGAGCACGCGGGGGCTTTGTAGTACACTGTCAAGGGCGGGCGACCTCATGAACGCTTCGAAGGACCCGAATGTTGTAATAATGTGATGTGCGCGTTCCGGCCCTACAAACAGTGCATTTAGCGGCTGTATTAGTCACCTATGTGTGGTATGAGAGGGGCGTCGTCTGTGCCGCATAGCAGGCAAAAGTCCACGAACTGCTCCCAACTGAAACCTGAACGGATGATATTTTCGGAAATTAAGGGCAACTCACCCATCAGCTGCAGCATTGTGGCCTGGTTTATGGTGTTGCATACGTTACGGCCGCAATAATCACGGATTACGTTGGGCGCTCTGTATGTCGTTTGGGGGCGGAACACAAGGCGTACCCGAAAGCGATAGCGTTAGTGTCATCGGACAGCACATAATCGTCGTCGCTGGAACAGAACTCGACGCACCTCCGAGCAATATCGGGCTGCCGAATCTCTACCCGGGCGAATGCGTCCGCCAGCCGGTCTGCGATGGCCAGCATGTCCTTCTCACTAGGGGCGGCATACAGCCGGCAATCCGATGAGCCCTCAAAAAATGCTCGCAAAGCAGGTAGCAGGTGTGGGTTGCGCAGGTCCAGCACGTTTACGCCGCTTCCAGGCGATGCTTTGCGGCTGGCTATTTGAAGGTCACGGACAGTCAGTGATGAGCCCAGGACAAACGTGGCATCGATTCCGCGATTCGACCGCACAGCACGCAGCTGCTGGTTCAGCCTCAGCAGGGGCTTGGCGGCATGGTTGCATATCTCGCTACATATTGCTCGGGCGTCAATGAACTGGCGCTCGGAGGCAGAAGCTGCAGGGCTAATGAGCTATTGCAGTGAAGGAACGCACCGTTGCGGTAATCCCGCCGCCTTCGCGCGAGGATTCCTGTGGCCGCGGCGTGTAGCGTCCTTTGTAACAGGATGGCGCAGTCCACAAAGACTCGACAACCGCCGAAACGCTCAAGTGACGGCGTTGACTCTATAGCAGCGGGAAACCGCGACGCCAGGAACTTGATGAGGCCTTTAACACCCATCACACATCTTGTCTATGATTGGTGTGCGACAGCGGTCGCAACCGGGTTAGAGAAGGAAGGTCGGCCGTTCCGGCGCGGAAGGCACGATGCTCAGTAACCGCGCCAGACGCGCCACGTACCGGCATAATCAGCTAAGGTGCGAATACGTCGCGATGTGTAAGGAGATAACTATATACATGGTCACGTAAGTACAGTTGTGTGGGTCCGATTACTGCCATTGCCGCCAGTTGTCTGGATAGCAGCAGGTCACGCTCGCAGCTAGACACGGAGCTTTGGAAGGCGCTATAACGCCGTTTCCGTCATTATTTGGCACTTTTGTGCTGAACACTATTTATAATGCAGACCCAACTACGGCAGCCGCCAACACCACAATTGTTGGAATCACCGACACATCCGGAGGGTTTGGGCGGTAACGGACGCGTCTGCCGTGGATCGGCGTTGAACTGCGCGCGCGTCCTGTAGTAGGCGTGACGGAGTCATACTATATACATTTCCCCATGATGCCGGTAGCCGGCACCGCGGGCCGAGAAACTTCCGGTGTCGAACCGGCACACCCGTCCAACTAGGTCTGAAGGTCTCAGACACACGTAAAAGTCACCTACAGTCATTATTTGCTGCACATTGTGGCTGCTTAAGGGCGGATACAGCATTTTATGGGTTTGTGTCCAACCTTGCAAAACCCGAAGCACAACGTCGCGTATTTGGCGCAGATGCGGTGCGTCGCAGCTCGGCAAGCGCAAAACGTTCACACAAATGCACAGTTCACCATGCACGGGTTTTCGAACCGATCTACAAAAAACAATCAGTAGCGCTCCACAAGCAACACCGTGAGGACAATGGTACAAATTTGCCCAGACATGCCTTCAGACAGTCGCGCGAGCCGTTTTGCTACAAATTCCATCTAAGAAAACGCGGCAGTGAAGATACGGCGGCGAATATCCCGAACCGTTGCTGGCCAGCGGAGACACGGCCACCGTGGAAAAAATGGGCACTGGGGTCGGTTGATAGCATCTCCTGACAGTATCGTGCTTGCCGAGCTTATAGTTCGACACAACTCCCCGTTGGTGCACCAAAGGCCTGTCATTATAGTTGACTCGAAAATGCAGACCTTGTGAGGCAACCACTACGAGCTTGAGGGTTTCGATCTCACAACACACATTCTTTAAGAGGGTCTCGAGCCGAACGCACGCTTGAGCTGAACCGGACGCGCTTTGGACAGACCTGAGGATTTGTGCAGCTGAACTCAATAGGCTGTTCGAGGTTAATTAGCTGTTAGGCAGACTTGTTGACTTCGAGAGGCGACGAGAAAGGCGATTGGAACCCTTCCCACAACGCTTCGAGCGTTAATAACAGCCGAAACCCTCGTATATGGACAACGTTTTAATCATCTAAGATATTCCTAGACGAGCGCTCCACTATCTTCCTCTATTCAGAGGTCCACACATGCCACAATGAATACGGACCTCGGGCACTTCCTCATCGAGTTCGAAAGGGACAACCCTCTTGATAAGATGAGCAAAGACTTGCTCAGCAACATAGAGTCCTTCGACGGTTTAGTAAAGAGCGACGGATACACCTCATGCCCGCCGCCGAAGCTGAACCATCCACCCGCACGCCCCAGCGCTGGGCCGTTTGACTTCGATTTCGCCACCACTTACGCGCACAACTCGCCGCAGAGTCGCACCGCGGCAAATAGGGACCACGACAAGGAAGCCCGTGCTCGGAAAAGTAAGCAGCTCCTACCAACCATGCCAAAGCTCACGCCCTCCTACACCTTCCCGCTGGCGTCCAGGGTCCACTGCAACTGCTTCTTCAAAATCGTTCTGAACCACGCTGTCGCCGGATTGTACATTGGGAAGCACGGCTCCCACCTGAAGCGGCTGCAGGACACCCTCGACTTCAAGCTGACGCAGTCAGGCCGCGGCATGAAGGGGGATTTCACAGGCGTAGGATACCCGTGCCACCGCACGAACACTACGCTGCTCTTCGAAGGCCAACTGGTCGACATACTCCTAGCGCTACGCCCCCTTTACCGCATCATACAGAACGACAGACTGGCATTAGATGAGGAGTCCAAGCGTTTTATCGGAAACAGGACGCTGAACATCAAGTTCGAGCTCGAACTTGTGATTCCCCTTGATAGGAAGCGGGTGCTTCTGCAGGAGGCGGGCGTGAGGTGCAATAGGTTGCGCAAGGCCGCCGGGGTGGACGTCATCGCCGGCAAGCAAAACTATGAATGGGGCAATATCCGCGAGACCATCATCACCCTGCACGGATTCGAGACAAACATCGAAAAGGCATGTGAATGGCTGGGCATATTCCTCCAAGATTCGCCAGCCGTATACAACAGGGAATTCACCTTCATGGATTATCCGAAGTACAGCTTGGCGATACCAGATGCGTCCTACAACCCCAAGGCAAGTCAGATGCCGGCCGGCAAAATCCCTTAGGCTTCATCAAGCGAACTGGAGTATATCGCACACTGCAACCATTTATCTCACCCACCGTGCTGATGACGTGCGACCTCGACAATGACCATGCGGTGAACGCTTTCTACTCCTATCGATAGAACACGCTTACCACAACATACATACATGCAGCCAAAACCACTCGGTTAACGAACATGAACGTATGACAAATTAGTGCTGCTCGACACAGCAACGCGGCAGTGAGGCCAAAAGGCGCCGCTAGCGTTTCCCAGCCGCGCCCATCTGCTTCATCATGCCGGCCATGTTCTCGTTCTGCGACAGCTCCTTCATGAACTTAAACAGGTTACCTGCGCCGCCCATGCGCTGCAGCAGCTTCGGGTCGATCATGTGCTGCAGACGACTCATCATCTGCTGCGGGTTGCGCATCATGCTCTGGACGGCGCTCTCCTTGTTCAAGCCGGCCTTGCCCATGTTGCCTACCATTTTTTGCAGCATCTTGTGGTTGTCGAGGAGCACGTTTATCTCGAACGGTGAGCACCCTGAGCCACGGGCAATCCTAGCTATGCGGGACTCGGTCAGCGGTTTTTCGCAATCTAGCTCCTCGGCGGTCATGGAGTCCATGATGTACAGGAAGCGTTTTACCCTGTTCACGCCCTGCTGCTCGTTTCCTGGGTCTATTAGGCCCGGGGCTATGCCGGGGAACATCGACATCACCTGGCTCAGCGGGCCCATCTTCAGCAGGTTCTGGAACTGGTCGTACATGTCACGAATGGAGAACTTCCCGGCAGTGATGCGGCCGACCATTTCCTTGTTGTCTTCCAAGTTCACAACCTCCTGGATCGTGTTTATCAAACCGTTGATGTCGCCCATCCCCAAAATACGCGATACGAACGACTTCGCGTCGAACTTCTCGAACGCGTCGAAGTGTTCGCCATGACCGATGAAAATGATTGGGGAGTCGGTGGCGGCTACAGCCGCCAGGGCGCCACCGCCACGGGCGTGCCCGTCGAGCTTGGTGATGATCACACTACCGACGTCCACCGCCTTGTTGAAAGCGGCGGCCTGGTCGTAACAGGCCTGACCGATATGGCTGTCCATGACGAAAATGACGTCGTCGGGTTTCACCGCCTGGTGAATGAGGCGCATTTCCTCGAACAGCGACTCCTCCTGCTTGTGACGACCGGAGGTATCGACGATGATGATGTCGTACTTCTCCTCCTTGAACTTGGCCACACCTTCAGCAGCAACCCTGACGGCATTGGCCTCGCTGTAGCTACCGAAAAAGGGAATTTTCACCTTGGCCGCATTCTGCTTCAGCTGGTCAAAGGCACCGGCACGGAATGTGTCCGCGCAAATCAGCGCAGTGCGCCACCCCTTGCGCTGGTAGTGGTACGCAAACTTGGTGCAGGTTGTCGTTTTACCCGCACCCTGCAGGCCGACGAACATGATAACATTAGGTTGACCCTTCTTCGGCGTGTACGGCTCGCGGTCGCTGGAGAGCATGGAAATGAACTCCTCAATCACCGCCTGGAAAAGATGAGTATCGTTGCCAACTGGGAGATAACACGAAGACGCTAGAATATACCGGGCGTATACTCACCTTCTGGATAAATTTGCGTTTGTTGGCCCCCAACGCATCAGCGTGGAGGCGTGCCTGCAGCTTCACATTTTCCCTGAGCTTCCGAACGAGCTTCACGTTCACATCGGCGCTGAGAAGGGCTCTAACGATGTCGCCTATCACTTCGTCAATCACCTGCGCGCTATGAAACTAGGACGGCGGAGAGACACCCACCTCATCGGTGATGACCGTCCGAGCGTGCAGCTTGCGGAACGCCTGGGAGATCTGGCCACCCAATTCAGCCAAAACCATCTTGGAGAGTCAGTGGCTCACATCTTGGGGCATTGCCTATGCACAGCTCCGTGCTTGGCGTCAGAGTCGCCCGGCCTCAATAAACTGACGGTATCAATTCGACAGCTCGGAGCTTACACCTACGGCTGTCTCCGTCAGACGAGAACTAATTTTTAATGCGCAAATCAATGCGCTCAGAGTCGGCAAAGGCCGAAGGAATAGTGTGGCCGTACCGCCCCTAGCCGCTATCGGTACGAAGTAAGGCGGATAACGGTGGTCAAAGCACGCCTACTGCGCCCGATCTCGGTATCAAAAGATATTTGTTAGGTGTTTGTCACGGGGTAGCCGCGCCCGAATACACCTTGAATTTTAAAGAAAGCTGTACCGAGGATTTGCAGACTCGCGTGTAACACCCACCGGATTGGACCGACCAGGATAGCAGCGCAGCCATCTGAAGCGCAATTTGCCATTTGTACGGTATAATAACGCCAAGGAGGAGCTGTATTGTTACAACGTTGCCTGGTGTATGTGCCCTTGCCGGGGTGTGTAGCGCCGTTACGAGCGTAGAGCGCTGTGCCTTAGCACCGAAATAAGGCGCAGCAGTGTTACATTAGAGAAGGCTCTCGTCGTTTGGAAGTGATAGGGAGGTCTGTGTTTCCTCTGAAGGGTGTGAGTGCTTCAGGGATTAGGTTAAAGACGGGGATGCACTTCTGCCGGTAACAGCAAGAAGTGGTAGTAACTACGCCCTGTTAAAAGGCTTTTAACCGGCTGATGAACGCGGTGAACATGTCTCTCCACAACTGCTTGTAAGGAGTAAATGTCTTTGGCATGGCTTAGGCTTATAAACACACCCGTTACACCGAATACTACGTAAACCGATGCGTTGTCTGTGATACACTCAATTGCGTCATTATGAATCCGCATTGGAGAGTGTTAGGCTTATAAGTGGCAAACAGTCGACGTCTGATCTTTAGGTATACTTGGGAAAATAACCAAAACAGCAACCATGTTGTCCAGTAGATCAGACAAGGGGACAGTGGAGGCTAAGCGCTCTCCGGTGACGGAGGCGCTACAGGCGATGGAACAGAAATGTACATCGTTCCTGGAGGCGTTAAAGGCTTGCTCAAAGGAATCGTCGAGGATAGGCAGCGGCATGAAGTCGAAATACAGCGAGCTGACTCACAATGTAACCTCGTTCAGCAAAACGCTGCAAAAGGGCAGTGACGCAAAGCTGCTGCTCAACTTCCCAACCAAACTGTCATGCTGCACACTGCTGGAAGGTATCACGTTCGCCAATAACAAGACAAAGTCGCTGGTGGCGCACAACACCGCAATCCAACAGCTGTTTGGCATCATCGAGTTCCTGTACCAGCGCAGCTCCCTGAACGCCGCCCGCGAAGAACCCATCAGGATTGGGCTGGATAATAACGACCTGTATATTTATATCGATATGATTTTTAAGATGTTCGAAACTATCGCAAAATTACACAAGGTGGACGAATCAGTTCATCTGCGCACCGTGCAGACGCTGCTGCTAACATTTTCGACGTCGTCTCCAGTCATGATCTATGAGGATATTCTGCGGCGCGGCTTTCAATACCTGGACACCATGCTCAAAGGAGACAGCAACGTGCTAAGGCCGATCGTGGAGGGCGGTGTCAGGCAGCTGGTGCAATGCTTGCTCAGCAACTCAAGGAAGCGAAAAGGTGGCCTGAGTAGGTCAGGTACAATGTTAGCGGAATTGGGAGGGCATGGTGTTGTGAGCACCATCTCACCGTTTGGAATGAATGCCGGAGCGGCAGCGGGACTCACTGTCTTCTCAGCGACACCGCAAATCGCACATGTTGACCTTACGGTGGATCTCATCACTTGCTTATGTACCGTAATTAAAGGGGAAAGTTCGGAATTTATGGTGAACCTCGGGCCTACAAGCGCAGCTGAGCTGCTGCTGATCGCTGTTACGGCGATGCCAAAGGGTTCCCTGTTCGAACTGCCCAAGCTGCAAACTGTGGCAAAGAGTGAAGTGTACACAGCCCTGAAGTACGCACTCGCAGGAGCAACGCTACTCAACGAAGGTTGTGCGATCCTTGCCAAGGTGATGGAACACGGGTACTACTACAGCAACCACTGCCCGGAACCCGACCGCGGAGCGGCGAAGCTGTTCACCATGTTGTACAATTTTGTGGAGCTGGACCTCATAGAGACGTCTACGCCTGAAGGAATACGGCGCAGAATAGCATGGATAAGGGGGCTTTCTTCCGTCATGCAGTCGAACGACATGCTTGATGACATGTTTGTCCACAAGACCAGTCGGAAACACTTGGTGGAGATGCTCAACTTCATTGTGAAGCACCTCCGGATGAACAAAGAGACCAATTTGGACCAGTACTTCGAAGGCATATACAAATGTGGCGAGGGACAACAGCTCATATCCGAGCAGATAGACAGTCTAGAGCAGGAGGGGGCACAGCACCGCCCAGTCGGCATGAAGATGCTTCCCATATTCGCCGCAAAGCTCGAACCGGGATCATGTGCCATGGATTTCTGCAACATGACTAATGGAGTTGTTGGAAAGACGTCACGCATTGTTGTCAGTGATGACATGGACATGCAGCAGTTAGAAATGGTAGAGTCAGCCCTTGCCGTTGACGCGGTATTGGCGGCTGCCCATGTGTTGTACAGTTGCGTCGTAGGTGCTAACAGCCACAAAACGAGTTTTGCAGCGTATCGCATTTTTTACCCCAAAGTCGCAGGAGACTACCCCCCAGCACATCGACGGATGGGTAGCAGCGATTCGGTTGGCAGTAGCGAATCAGTATCGTCCGCTAATGACGAAGCTATTCTTGACGGACGTTGCCGTTATTTGAACGAAGCAGGAGATATCGTGGTGCAGCAGTTAGAGCGGATGTTGAACACCATGCGTTCGCCCGTAATGCAAGAGGTGCTGATAGCAGCCATGCAGGCGACGCTGGTAGTATGTAATGTATACGGATGGGAAGATCTTTACACTCGCTGTGTCAATGCTCTGGTTGCGTATTTCGTCCTTGTCGAGCGTCAATTCGTCACGGACCACAGGAAGTGCGCGATGGAGACTTGGTCGTTATACCTGCTGCACATCCGCTGCCTTAACGCGATGATGCTCAACTACCCATCTGCCCTTCAAGACCTCGCATGGGAGAGCTTCTTGGAGCATTTGCTGTCGTTTATTCTCATATCGAGGCGTTTGGGTGTCGCCAACAGGAGTCACCTGAGGTCGTTGGAGCCGCTAGAAACGGACGCCATCATGCCGACGTTCAAAGGGTTGCATGAGGAGTGGGAAGCGACACTCACCGAAACTATCGGTGCTTTCGACCGCTTGAAGGTGCATGACTTCGAGGTCCTGAAGGGTTTTGTGACACAATTTGGGTTCCATGTCGCTATACCACTTCTGGCAAAATCGCAATATACCGAAATTTTCGCAAACCAAACGGGATCACGTTCGGGAGTGAGTAGTAAAGAGAAGTTGGCCCTCATAGAGAGGACGTTGGATGCTTGGCCTGATCAGTTTTTACGCATGATCGAAAACGGCGACCAGGTGTGGCCCGAATTGCTGAGAGAACTCACGCATTCGCTTGATCGCGAAAGCGTCCTGGCTGGTGCGGAGCCCGAGTTTTTGCACTGTCTCTTCACGATCATCACGGAACTGTCGTTTGCAAGGCAGCATGATTCAGTTATGCTCTTGACGGGGATAGTGATGTGCCTCACACGTGACCGAGGTGGGATTGAACTTATGATACAAACCATATGTGGCAACATCGTCAGTCTTTGTCTTGCCGGCCAGCAGTCCAGTGCGCGCTCCATCGACGCCGGAGTGTGTGTGCTGTACAAAACTTTGAGGGACAACAGTGCGCTCAGCATGGACATAATGAATGGGCTCAAGACTGTATGCACCACCGTCCCCCAAATCATGGCACTTAGCAGTGGGATCGTCAACTGCCTCATGTATGCAACCAAGTTGGCATCGCAGTCAAATGATTCGAATGCAACGATCGTACTGATCGACGTGTTCTCAGCGCTCGTGGATGATTCGGCCGAATTGTTGCAGGACGACGCATGTCTGCCGTTCGTGGAATCCATTTTCATGCTATCGCAAGGCGCATATAACAGCGACAATAATGCCGCATTCCGTGTCGTGGCACTGGTGCTCGATTTCGCTGAGAAGATGGCTGCGCAAAGCCACTACTTCGGTGCAGCTCGGCCACCACGTGCCAAAGAAGAGGATATGTGGAAGAGCATATTCAAGGGCCTGAAGGATCTGGGTCATTCCGAGTTTACGGAAATAAGGCAATGCGCCATCAAGTCGCTGGCGCTGTTCATAAAGGGGCGCCTCAACCGCTTCGAAATGGAATTGTGGCAGCTTTGCTGTCGTGAAATGTTGAAGCCGCTGGCTGAGGGGCTTGTATGCTCGATCCATACGCCTGCGGCTCACCAGACAGTATTTACAGCATGTGAGGAGTTGTATGTGGCCTTCAAGGATTGCGAGCCTCGGTATAGAGAAAATTGCGAAGCCGTCATTGCCATCCTAGTCACCGGGCTGGAGACGGTCGTTAACGCCACCATCGGAAACAAAATGATGCTGCCCAACGAGCTCAACTCAGCTCTGGGGCTGGCAATAGGCATTGCGACCAACATCGTTATAGATTACTGCAGAAATGACTTCATCTGGAACAAATGCATGAATATAATGCGGGCGATGATGCACAAGGATGTCGATTTGCTGAGACAGAACTTCTTCAAGAGTATATGTTCCATCCTCACCGCACTAAGTGAGCAGGAGGAGGGCATCGAGGAGAAGCTCATGCAAGTCATCAGGATGGCACTGGGTGACCCCACGAAAGAAGAGGCACAAGAGCTTGAGGCATTGGCCACGGCAACAAGCGAGGGGGCGGAGCTATCGCCCTGGTTGGTGGTTCCTCCGTGGATTCTTTCGGGGTCCGTTCTAACAGGGAGCTCCACTCAGCAAATGGCAGTCGACTATCTGTGTGAAGAGGTGCTTGGTGAGACCGTGCAAGCCGTACCTGCAGCACCGTTGACACTGTACGAAACTCTCAAGCTGGCGGACGACCCGAAGATCAAATTCACCTTGCGCGATAAAATACAGAATTCAGTTGGGATACTACAGGAGATGCAAATGTTGCAGCTGGTGACGCTCCATTACACTCCGCAAATACTTGGAGGGACGGAGGCGCTGGCCAAGGTGACGCCGGAAGACGTACTTCAGGCGCTTGACAATGTTCCAGCCGAGGCGTCGGAACAGAACCAGTCCTCTCATTCCAGTCTCAGTGCTATTCTGACGAGCCAGGAACGCGCCGCCGTTATGACAAATATAGTTGCCCACGTCAAGGAGCCGCCGCTCATAACGTTGGTGGAGACCTACAATCCGGTTTCAAAGCTGTTTCGGTCCCTGGGCTCAATCAAGAGTCCAGCTGTCTATGGCATGCTAGTGGAGTCACTGGTCAACAAGTATCTCATGGGGGACGTTTCAAAGGTCGCCCTTGCACTACAATTAATAGACAAGATAGTGCTGTCGGTGCGCGACATGCTGATACGGTTCGTCACTGAAAGCTCCGAGGCCATAGCCAATGAGGACAGGCGGGCCATAGAGGAGTTTCTCGCCTCCAAGACTTATCGCATTTTGATGTGCACGGTGTTGCCCATGGCACCGCTTATATTGGAAATTGCTAAAACGATCCTCGTTAAGCATACCCTGCAACCCGTTGCCTTGATACTGTACCAAGCGTGCATCAACATATCGAAGTACATCTACCTGGCGCTATATGTGACTATGCACTTCATGCAGGTCAACACGGTGGCATCTCAGCCGGTGGTCGACTTCTGGAGAGCGGTTATCCCGGCCATGCACTTCTTCACGACGCTCAACTATAACGACGAGCTTGAGACGCGGATCAAGTACATCAGGCTGTTGCACGCGGTCGAGGTGGAAGTCATCACCGCAATGGTGGTGAATCCGTTCAGCGTGGCGCCACCGTTCGTGTACTCCAGCGTCGCGGGAGTGCTGAACCGGTTTGCCGGTGGGCACAGTGCGGTCCTCCGGCGCATCGCGCTGCAACGGCTCTCCGATGCGGCGTGCTACCCGTTCATCCCCAGACCCGCAGATACCAGCCTCAATGTGCCGCCGCCACACCCGGCCGCTGTGCGCATGCGCGTGGTGTTGACGAAGCACTTCTTCTTTGTGCTAGCCAGCAACATGCACCAGTTCCTTGGCAACAAGGATTGCGAGATAGAGGTGCTCGCGGCATTGAAGGTAGTGGAGTCGATTTCGACGCTGCCCAACGAGCTCATATTCGACAACGAGTATTTGCGCAAGCACAAGTATCTCCGCTACGTGCAAAAGAGGCCGCTGGCCTCCCTGACCATGCCCGCCCTGCTCGAGCTTCTGGAATCGGAGAACAAGCGCGTCATACGCGCTACGCGTAGGATTCTGTCGCTGTTCTTGGAAGAAATGGGGGCACAGGTCACCACACAATGAGATGTGGCGCCGAAGTCTGACAAACTGCCGGCCCTCGGTGGCGCCTAATGTTTTATATTACTAGCAATGCATGTGTCGCGTAGTGCACGTAAAACGATTTCTATAGATTATATAGCGCGTGTCCGGTTCGCCATAGGACAGCAAGCTGTGTTCCCGAACTTTTGTAATGCGGGACCATAGGGCGCGGTGCGACAACTCAGTCTGAATCAGAGTCGCCTGCGTTTTCGACAGCGTCCGGAGGTAGCATGGATTCGTCCACGCGACCCATACCCTCGTCCTCCTCCTCGCTTTCGTCGGAGCCTTCCTCGTCCTCGTCGCTGCTCTCCTGGCCTTCGAGCAGGCTCTCAAGGTGACGTTCATCCTCGTCGCCCATCACCATGATTTCGCCGCGCTGCTTGAACTCGCCGCCGGGGAAGGAGTGGATGGTCTCGGAAATCTCTTCCAGCGCCTTGGTCATTATGTCAATGCCCTTGTCCTTGTCGTGACAGCTGGTCACGACCTCGTACTGGGGTGGTGCGATGAGCTTGACGTTTATCTTGATCTCCTCGGTGCCCGTAGCGCAGCTCAGCGCACGCTTGACGGCCTCGACACCGTCAGGCCCGAAACACCAAACGTCAATCATGCACCTGCACGTCGATTGTAACGTTTCGCTTAAAAGGGTCACACTGGGATGGTGCAGCGGGTAGAATCAGGCATAAATGGAGCACGTATATGCAAAAGGCGGAAATGCGTCATAAAATGTAATATCAGATCACATGAAGTGAACGGTAATTGTTTGAAACACCCTTGCCAATGGCAGCAGCCAATGGTTACACGGTTTCGCTTATTCTCCCGATCTTCGGCTCCCCTGGAGACACCAGGCGAAATTTATGATCGGTTGCAATATCACAGACATTTCACTATTATGTATAACAGCTTTGAAAACACACTGACAGTGCAATATGGCCGAATATGGGTCTGACGAAATCCACAATACAAAGAATTCGTTCAGTCAAAAGACAGTCGGTAAGGTGTTCAACGCCAATGTAGCGAACAGAGTATAACATGAAACGAAGACGACACATACCTCAACTTCAACGCCTGTGGAGTGAGGCGAAGTTCAATGTCCGCGATAAGAGAGTCGATGATCTCAGGGGCTATGGGCAAGCCCTTAAACATGGCGCCGTTGTTCATAGCGGCTTCCTAAAAAGATATGAACGGTCTGAGTCGCAAAACCTACTTTAAGCGCGTCGAGAGCGCTGGGGTAGCGCTGATATAACGGCCAGATGCAGACGCGGTTCAGCTCCTCAACCGATATGTTGTGCTTCTGCGCAATGTGTCTAACCGTCTGGTGCACCTTCTTGGCCTTGGAAAATTTCTCCTCGCATTTCATGATGTCCTCAGGCGACACTCGGCGCTTGGACAGGTCGATGTAGCCCTTGACGGGGTCCACGCGAAGGACCAGGACCACCTCATGTCTGCCCACCTTCACCAGCTTGTTGATACTCCTGTAGCGACGCTTCGACAACTCGCTCAGAAGGATCAGGCCTAAAAATCATAAACGCGGACAAACACCAAAAACCGACCTTCCCGCTCATCGTATTCCAGAAGAGAGACGTATACGCCCTGGGCCTCGATGCGGTTCACCTTGACCATCAACAGGTCCCCGGGATTGGGGAACTTTTGCTCGTAAAAGCGGCAGTCTCCCAACACGCTTTTGTTACCGCTCATTTTAGCTCTGTAACCCTGAAGTGAACGGGTTGTGGCGCCCAAATGGAGTCGCTGTTTCCACCCAACAAACGGCAGGGAGGTAACACCGGGCTGCGGTTACTCTGCCCCGCCCTTCATTGGCAAAGATGTTAAAATATGGACATATGAATAAATTGGAACGCAGGTGTGTTGCCGTTGGCAGCGTATAGCCATAGAGTGTTACACCCCTCAAGAGCAACCGCGACTACACACTGGGCATCAAGCTAGTGCGTAGACGCCATCACGTCATAAGTACAATTTATACGAGCTGGTAGTATGCCCTAGGGGCATATGTATATGATATATCGCTAGCTTCCTACCTATGGGCTCTAAAATCACAGCGTAGTGACACCCGCCGCGCCACCTGCGCCTGGCTGAGCGGACAACCTATCACGCATTTATAACATGGTTCAACTGGCTATACGCGGCTGTCGGCTGCTTACTACTGCAGCGCGATCGCTGCGGGTTTACGGGGCCACCCAAACGCGTATTATAGGACGAATCCCGGCGAGGCCCTTGCCAAGCTCGCGGAGAACGTTTGTTTCTCAACGGGAAGGGGGTATTGATGAAGTGGAGGACGCGTACCTGCCTCAGGGACCGAAAGACACGCTACTGATGCTAGGGTGTGGATGCCATTGAAGTAGCTCTAACTAACGCACAGATATTCCGTCAAGGAGGACCAGATTGAGGGACATGTACAGGTCCTCAAAGAGACGTTGAAGCTCAAAATGATGACGCTACCGTACTACTCCGAAGACATGGCGCAGAGTTTCACTGGTAGGGCTATTGTGCGTCCAGCTGAACCGTTGCAGACCTCGCCATGGCACAGCACCAATCGGTCCAGTTCATCAACGAGGCCAAGACCAACTACCTCAAGGCGCTCGAAATTTGGACCAAAATCTGCGGGCAGGAATCGAGGGAGGTTGCCAACGTCCTGTGCCTCATCGGCGTGGTGTTGAGAGATATCGGCGACATCGATGCCGCCAAGTCGGCTTTACAGGATTCGCTCAGAATAGAGTTCGTGCAGATAGCCGTTACCAGTAATGCGTGTTCAGCAAACAAATTGGATCGGTTGAAAGCCAGTTGTCGAGTGTATTTGCGCTAAACAACCTCGCTGGAATTGAACACATCAAGGGCAACATGGCAGAGGTAGGTGAAGCAACACAGATAAAGAAACGAAACGGGCGTTGTATTTTGTATCGGTTGTGGGTTTTTTCTAACTGCATTCGCTTTTAAGGGTGCTTTGATTAATTGAGGAGGCCACTAGCATTGGCTGAACTACAATGTATATTGACCATAACATAGCGTTGCAGGCCACGGAGCTCTACGAGGAGGCTGCTAGAATCATGCTTACCGCAACAGGGGGAGATCCCAATCACCGTATGATAGCGTTACTGTACTACAACATAGGTACGTGTGACGTGGCCCTGAAGACCATTTTGCAGCATGCTCAAGCGCCGCCATGGGAGACCGCGTCGCTGCGGAGACCGCACTGCGCAGGGTAAGGGCGTTGCCTGCTTGACCCAGTGGAAAGCTTTGCAGGCAGCTGGAATTATCGCAAAAATCGGGGATGCGCATCACCTTACGGGGCGTATAGATCAACTCTACAAAGAGGTGGCCATGAGTAGTGCATAAACACCGCGCTCACTGGCAACCGGGTGGCGTCGCTCAAAACAAGTGCTAAAACCCAAAGCATCAGAGCTATCTTTGAAGTCGGAGCTTACATATTAGCAACTGTGGAAATTATGTCATTAACCGGACGTAATAAATCTGCCAAATTTCATGGGACTTCATTTTGTAATGGGTGATCATTCGCATGTGTACTTAACGAAGTGGGAGGCGGAGCATTCTCTGCACGATAACTGCGAATCATCGAATGGAATAGAGCACAACTCCTTGCCGTTGCACTTGTCGGATGATCTATTAAGGGTCGACGTGATGTGTCCCTTGTCGCACATAACATTGCCGCGCTGGCCCGAGCTTATCACAGATATTTTAGTACCTGCAGGGCACAATGGAGTGAGCGGGGACGTCTTATTCTTGAACAGAACAACTTCTTCACCTGGCGTTATGGCGGTAGATGTCTTGGCGCAGCAGTGGTAGAGGCCGACGAAAACGTTACCATGCTGGCAAGACAAACCGAAAGTGGTCGTGAATCGGTCTGGGCCAGCCTCCTGCTTGTTAATGTTCAATATGCACGCTTCATTCCTGTTGAAAAGGGTCTGGCAGTAGTTGGTAAAAGCGTGGTGAAGTGACAGTTTGAGATCCAGCTTATTCGCATTCAGCTTGTTAGATAAAAAGTCCTCCATGCATATTCCGAATGCGTCAATGACTTCCATAGTCTCGTTCGCGTTGCATTTGATCTCGTAGGGGCCCTGGTTCTCGACGTAGATTACTGAAGCGCGATTTTTACCACAGCATGTGGGGAAGTCACAACCGCAGACATAATCACACCAGAGATGGAAATGACAAAAACTACATTCGGCGCAACCTTCCTAAGCCATCAATACGATAACACACTATTGAATTACACAAATCATTGCGTTCGAGCCTCTGTATGTGCCCATGGCAGACGCAAACGTACCGTGCTGGCCACTGCACTTCGCAATAGAACGACCTGAGGTAATGTGTAAGATGATAATATGTATTTAACCTTGCTGAGTCGCGGAAGTTGCTTGAGAGAAGAAAGCCGCGCAGGCGAACGCCGCCACGACGACACTTGGAATCTTGGTGTGCTTCATTTTGCCACCAAAATTCCAAAGGAGATTCTTGCCGGCTCCCAATTTTGTAATATTATCTTAGACACATTAACGCGGTGAAGCGTTATTTGGGCTCGCTAACGGCGGAGATAGCCTGCCTGGTAGGCTGCACCTCTCTACAGCATAGCAAATTCGCGATGCAGCCAAGTGGCTGGCGGTTTCATATACACATTTGCCTTTGCAGTCATTATATGACCTCCAAAACGCTAATATTGGCGCCCGTTGGTGTCGAAGCAAACGTTGGTACCCGGTACCGAAACGACATCACTGGGATCGACAACGCGCTCAGTCGCTGCGTAGAGCGATGATGTTGAATACACATCTGACAATATTGTCCGAATATACACACCAAATAGCGTAGATTAAGATGATAAACCTTAGATAAAGCCGTCGCTGCTTTGAAGGTACGATATTGCGCATTTCACGCGGTACACATATGCCTATCCTAAGGTGTATATCCGACCATGCAGGACATTTGAATCGGCCACTGCGAAATGAAACAGCGCCAAAAAATAGCATATACAAATGGGAAGCATCCTTATTCTACATTGATACGGGTTGAGGTGGAGGAGTCATCTCCGATAATGCGATTGCGCTGAAGTTACAAGCGCTATGAACAACAGATACGTCCTATAGGGCCGTATATTCGTCTTCGGTGACGAAAGAAGGCACAACATTGTACCCGTTAATGGCCTGCTGCAGATTTCTGCTAGCATCCACTGCCTGGCTGGTGTCCTCGAATTCACAGTACACTGTAAACTGCGAACCAACACCGTCGCTTTGCACCAGTACGTTCATCAGAGAACCGAACTGGCACATTGATTCCTCGAAGTCCTCTTGCACCTCCTCAACGGTCTTGGGGCATTCCGTGCCTTCCAGCTTTAGAATCCGACTTTTCAAAGCTTGTACTGGAATCGAAGTCTCTACTTCTTGAACACTCCCGGCATCATCTCCCTTGGAGCTTGATTCGGTTGCGCGAGAGTTCCTCGCAGTGGCGGAAACCGCAGTGCTACGCTTTATTGCCGGGGCTGCAGCTTGAACTATAACACCGACGTGCTTTCCCACGTTTTTCCCTACCAGAGGTGCTACTATACCCTGTTCTTTCGCACCCAAACCCTTGCCCTCGGTCCAACCAAGTTTTTGCATTATGCGTAAGCCGATGTCCTTGGGACCTTGGGAGGAAGGTTGGGGCGGAGCTCCGCTGCTCTCACCGCGCTCAGCCTCTTCAAGCAACTTCAGACGACGTGCATGTGCTTCTTCGGCTGCACAAACGTGATAACGGAATTATACATGGAAAAGAGAAAAAGGAAAAAGCACATCGATGTCCCATTACAGGGGATTTGCATCGCCAGCATTTCGCAACGAATCACAAGAATTTTGCACTCGCACAATACCCATAGAGACATCAACAACGACGAAGATGAATGATATCCAAAATACATCCAACGTACCAGATAACTTCACAGGCTCCACGTTGGCAAACTTCAGCTCCACACGAGATGGCGGCTGGCGCGCGCGCTGAGCCTCCTCATTAGACAGGCGCTCATAGTCGTTGGGGAACATTGGATCGTAGACCTCGTCCGGATTGTAGCTCACGCGAAAGCGCCCTTGCCGTCTGGAAGGTTGCGATTCGCGGCCGCCAGGCTGACGCAATCCGGCCATCATCGCGGTGGATTCTGTCGAGAAGTTGCCTGCAGAATGGCGTCGCGAATCGCGACGGATAGATCTAGGGTGAAGTTATCTTATCTACGCGAAGGTGTACACACATCACACGACGGTGACGCTGACGACCATTCGTCACATAAATTTGTAACCCGAATCAATGGCCATGCCGAGTAATTAAATATAATGCCGATGTGGCTGAAATCAACGTTAAGAAGGATGAGGGGTGAGACCCAACGGCAGCCTCCACGGAAGGCGACAACATACAGATAGAATCCTCAGAGTGCCAAAATCTAAGGCAATCGCCGGAAACAGTTCATATGCGATATCTTCTAGAGATGTGTTACCGTATAGAGTGCACCGTGCCGTGAGATGTGTGGACGTGGACATGGTCATGCCAACACACTATAAGTCAACAGGCAAGTGCCACAGGTGACCTTGAAAAACAATTAGTGACACTCCAAGTCGTTGTAGTACTGCTTCAGCTTGACGGGTTGGCGCACAGATTCATTTTTCGGGGGGTTGTCTTCGTCGCTGTCCTCGCCGCTTGATATGCTAAGAACACATCCGTAAAATCACAGCAACATACACACCTGGATGCAGTCTCCATTACGTTGAGGTCGGTGACCAGTGTGCTGTGCCTAACATCGTAATACACGGGATCGCCCTGAAAGTAATGTGGAATCAAATTCTAAAACAACCTACCGCCTTCACCATGCTAGGGTCTCGGCACACCACCATGAGAAATGGCGCACTGGTGTTGCCGAACGTGTCGCTAACCGTCCCAATAATACGTCTGTCGTTCAAACAGACGATAGAACCTAGATCTAGTACGCGACGAGGCTGCAGATAATGCTATGCTCGTAATCCACTTACCTCCGTGCACTGCGCAACGACCACGCGACCCACAACGGAGGTGCAAACCCCTATAGGAGCTATGGGGAACCGATCTGCCACCTTTGTTGGCAAGTCTACGGTGTCAATAATCTGTACGGTTGTTAGAATATGCACGTTCGAGTACATGTAACGGTTTTTAGACAACTATAACCACCATGATGCATCTATAGATGGGTCATTTGATGATTCAACGCGCATCACCACTGTTTTAATATGCATGTACAGTTGGAATTAAGGTGGCGGGTAACGCATCATGGCGGCACGTGGCTATGCAATCAGATGGAGCACATCTCCTAAATGAAACACTTACCCTGATGTTGTCAATCGGGAATTCAGGATCAACGGCAGGCTGATATTCCTTTTCTTTGTCATGTTCGACAGCATTTGTGCTGAAAGAATTGGGAAGGCTTTAAAAAGAACCAACCCAGCGCTTCCAACGTGATGTTCGCGACGCACGAGATCCAGATCATCCCCCGAGTCGTCAGAATCAGAGTCACTACTCGCTTCGCGGGGCCTGAACAGCATTTATGACGTTCGGTATGCATCACTTACGCGACGTAGGTGTCGAAAACAGGCCGTCCGAGGGCCTCCAACTGACGTATGCGCTCGTTCTCGTTCTGCAAGAAGTGACAGCACCAAAAATTAATTTTATAGGACGAACAAACATGGCATTGCAATTCACATATAAGGCGTAGCTGGCCGAATAACGGTCATGATGAAACGGCAAAAATGCTCATGGCGTAGTAAAATGCTTTTCATACCTGGGCGATGTGCATAACCAGAGCTAGGTCGTCGATCTCCGTATTCCCGTCGATCGGGATGCCATTTATGGAATTCATCGCTCCGACAGAGACCAGCGACTGTACGTGATAAATTAAAATCAGGGAGAGGCGAGAAGCAGTACCAGAATGAAACAACGGTGCCAATACGCCTGATCAGAGAAAGGTCAGAGATGTGGGTACTGCCGGTAGTTTACGGAGAATTTTTCGAAAATTATAAATCCACATAAAACCATCATGTCATCGTCTTCTATTATGATATCCGGTATCGGTAAGCCATGTTGAATACACCCGCGGTAAGACAGCTATGCCGCTGTATCCCGTTGCAGTCGAACAAGTTGCACATTCCGTGGATTCCGACATCAAACGGTATCCAAATCGTGCCGAGTGTGTTTATATGTGCGGAATCTAGACCGGTGTATCCATACGATGGTGTAAACGCAGTCAACACACTGGCAACTAGGCTGTCGGATCAATTATTATATATGCCACACCACGGTGGCTCGCAACCGGTGGAATTTAGAAGGCACCGAGGCGGAAAGGTCAAGAACAAGCTCAGAAATATTGAGAAGAGGAAGAAGAGGGAACAAAGTATGAACAGGCTTTCATCGGATGTCAAATTCAACATACGTACTAACACCGCAGATGTCCCATCCACGTAAGAAATTATTTCGTACGATAAAGGACGTTTTCATGCCCTGAAGTGTACAGAATCGGGTCGAATATACTCACCGGGCGCCTCATATACACTCCAAAGACCATATGGAAGCAGCGCGAAATCAATTATAAATCACCCTGTGGGCGAACTGATAGAGAGATTAAGTTTATCACAATTTTAGAACAACGCAGGTGGCTTGCAAAACCTCTACAACATTGCTTCACAGCTATATCTTAATTGTAATTCCCCATGTAAGTCGTGGTGTCAACACCGGAAAGTTATGTATTAATCGGGTAGAAACGCATTATTCAACATCTCAGCCGTCTTAAAATGACGAAGTGTGCGCTTAAAGTGACTGATACATTACTGAATAGTTTACGATAGAGGCATCTGGCAACACGACGTGGCAGCGCAGTAACCGCGTCATGCCTCACGTCGGTCCCAGCATTCAAAAAACAGCCATCACGTGTTGACGACCGTCCTATTCTTGCAATGTTTGCACTCGTACATCACTGTCATACCCTCGTCCGCCGAACGAGCCTGGAATGTGGAGTAATAGGCCTCCTCACAGCCACACTTCTCACATAACTGCTTCACCACCTCGCGGCTGCTCTTGTTTGCGTTCTTGGCCATGAACAGGGTGCTACCCTCATCCGATGTAGCGCCTTCGCTGCGCGAGAAGTCGTTCCACCACTTCTTGCCAGATTGGTCAAACTCACAACCCTGCCGGAAGCCGTACATGTACGCCTTCTCGCCCTCGTTGCCGCGACCGAATGCAGCCGATCTACGAACACTGTCCACGTAATCGTCCGTGCAGCTAGAACTGAAAATGGGAGCGATGGTGTGTCCGCAGCGTGGGCATTGCAACTCGCGGCGCATCGCGTTACCAGCGGCGCCATCAAAAAACATACCCGGCGATTTGAAGTCGACAGAACGGTTGCAGTTACGGCATCCCAGAGCCACAAGGTAGTCATAACTAACGCTATCCTTGTGTTTCAGACTTTCTGTAGCCTTGATGTCGACAAGATGCGATGGAATCTGATATTTGAAATTGTTGCTCAGCTCACGTCCGCTGGAATATAAGCCACTTTCCACGTAAAGATAGTGAGCCATGTCTATAGACTCCTTCACGTTCAAATTTGCGATACTCCGATTGAACTTCGGGTCATGCGTTGACACGTAGATGTTGTTCCCGGCCTCGGCAGCCGAGAGCAGGATGTCCAACTCATCCTGCTCCGCCATCTTGAGCTACCTGTAGATAAAACCGCATTCAGAGGTTATACACACCGACTGTAATCCATAGACACCGTGTAATTTCGCCACAGTGGCCAAAACAAAATCAGTAACAAAAGAAGAAAATTGCGGCACAAATAAAGGGGTTATGAGCGGCAATTGTTAACACAATTGAACCAGACCGGCAAATTTATAGATCTTTATATGCGAAGGTTCATAAATAGGGTCATATATGACTCGACTCTCCGCATACCGGTTTCAAGCGACACCGCTCCAGGAGAAGGTTGGGTATACGACGATCAGTCGCAATGCGAAACATGACATACAGCTAAAAGTAGGCATAATGACAAGGTGAAATAACCGGCGTTGAGGTGGTGAATTGAACCATGGACGCGCAACGGGAATCTACCGGCGTCGTACTCCTGTGCATAATCGTGTGGATATTAGGCGTGCTTTCAGCACCTGTCGTCAAAGATGCAATAGCTGTGTGGCGATGCGCCATTCGGCGTGCGATCATCGACGTCAAAAACGCCTTCAAAAGACGCCGTGAGGAGACTGAAGCAAGCAACAGCAAAGACGAGGAAGATGAGGACACAGAAGCGAAACTAGTGCTTTGCGTTAGAACAGGTAATGCCCGCATTCAAACCGATTCATGCCTATAACTGAATATGCAGATCTCGAAATGGGAAAGGGCAAAATAGCTGCCCAGTGTGGACACGCATCCCTGGGCGCCTACCTGGAATCCATCGAGCAGAACAACCCATACCTTGACCAGTGGCTGGCACATGGCCAAAAGAAGGTCGTTCTCAAGCTCAAGGTAACCTATATTGATGTGTCTTTGCAAAGGTAGCGCAGAACGGCGAAGAAATGATGGCGCTGAGGCGCAGCGCCAAAGCTGCCAACGTCAACTATCATATCACCTGTGACGCGGTACGTCTAGCTTAAGGCTGTTTATATGTTGCAGGGGAGGACGCAGATACCGTCGGGATCATATACCGTCATTGCCATCGGACCAGGTGTGTTGCCTCGGCAATGTATCATACGTGTGCAGCGCCGGAAAGTGTAGTGAACAAGATCACGGGACACCTTAAATTACTCTAAATATCAGTGTTAAAATCACATAGACGTGCTGTGAGACCGTGTAATCACTTAGCTCTGCCCTACATACACCTGGCGGAAGCGACACAGCCCAGCGGCCGGCACTCTCAGCTGGAGACCACGACTCACGGAAACGCGGGACGTAATCCAGGAAAATGTAACTCGGCCGAAATGCTGGTGAACAGAACTCTGGGGAAGATCGCCGCGGCCGCTGCGAGGCGGACCGAAAAAGGGTCCTTGCAGCCGACCGCTACTATGCGAAGGATCGAAAGGGGACCGAACGTATGCTCGAAACTGTATCGCGCTTTCATAGCCCCCTGGTTCTTTCGCATGTTCTCGGGACCTTTGGAACGCTGGCAACATGCCTCCCTTACGAGGTACCTGAGGGAGCACGGTGAGTTACGCAAGTCTTGTGGAATTGTGCATAGCGCCATACAATGCGCGTTTATTTGGTGTTGCCGCAAAGGGTTATTGGCATTTCCTACACAGACAGCACATAATAGATTCACAGGTCTGCTCTACGATGACCTCATGAGCGAAAGGGAGCCCATCGTCGAGCGTGCGCTCGAGCTGCTCCCGGAAGACTTGGCCACCGCAAGATTTAGACGAATCGCAAGAGGGATGCATATATCGACGCTCAGAATGTACCCACCGTTGGAGGAGCAGAATTACGACCCCTTCATTCCCTACCTCGCCCCTTATATCGAGGAGGCCAAATTCCAGATACAGGAGGAGGAGGAACTGCTAGGATACCACCCGCAGGACAGGCGTATTTTCTGCGGTAAGTTATATATGTGACGCATGGCGAGCTTCTATCGGGGAGTCGTCTTTCTAGCAGCGGTACATGCGGTAGTACCAGCGGCATCGCCGCCCTGTGCTGTTGACGTCTCATATACTGCTGAATCTCGTCAGCACCCACATTCCTCGTTTCTACCGGCGGCTCATGTTGTAACAGGTGGTACCACGGGATTCGGCGACATGGAGCCCGGCATGCACTTCCTGACGTCCCTGCCGAACCTCTACGGAGCCGGTATGGGTAACATGAAGAAGAAGTAAAACACTCTACACGATACACATGCCTACAACGTAAAATCATAATATATCAGTCCTATTGGTGTATTTTGCCACGCAGCAGCGTTTGATGTCGCGGCTATTAAACCGGGCCCCGCGCGCTACATCTCTACGTTTTGGAGACGCTACTACGTAGCTGACCCCGATATGAATGCAAATTATAAGTGGGTTAACTAGGGGGACGCTGTGCATCTATGGAAGGAAGACAATCAGCATGCGATATCGCTGCACACACAATTTATTAGACAGTGGACACCTTCTCTCCTTCAATTCCACAAATTAAACGCACGAAGGTTAACCAATGACGCAGCTGACAACACGCAAGCGACAAACACGCGTAATGTGGTGCAAAAGCACCGCATTCTGTGGTGAAGTAATCAGCCCGATTCAATCACTACAAGTTTTACATATCCTTCGGGACACACACAGCCATTACGTTTAATTACAATAGTACACACAATGGAACAGCAAAAGAATTTCATCTTCATATTCGACCTGGGATGCCACCAGTCTGGCTCCATGGTCCGCTTCCTCCGCGGTCTGGGAATCACCTGCGAGCTCTTCCCCATCGAGAAGGCCGTCGAAACCCTTTCCGCTCGCTTGCCCGGAGGTGTGATACTCAGTGGAGGCTCCGAAAGCGTTACTGACCCGGAATCCATGAAAATTGACGCCAAAGTCTTTGAGGTGTGTGCCGAAAACAAGATCCCGGTTATTGCCTTGGGCCATGCCATGTATGCTATGTCCGTTACCCTCGGAGGCAAAGTCCGCCACCTGGGTGCCCAGGAGACGGAGTACAAGAGGGAGAAGGTTACTGTTGACGCCAGCGTTGACAGCATCCTCGCAGGCAACAACGGCTTCGTCGCCCACGGCTGCCACCTTGATGAGATCGAGGCTGTTCCGTCCGGTTTCAGTGTCTCGATGAAGGACGGAGAGGGCAACATTGCTGGTCTGTTCAACCCCGCCACCGGTGTCAGGGGCTTCTGCTTCCACCCTCAGGACGTTGAGGGTAACGAGGCCAACGGCATCATGGAGAAGTTCTGCTACAATGTGTGCAAATGCGCCAAGACCTGGGATATGAAAAGCTACCACGAGCAAACTAAAAAGGATGTCATCAAGCAGTGCGGTGGTGACAAGTTCGTTGTTGCTGGACTTTCCGGTGGTGTGGACAGCACTGTCTGTGCGGCCATTGTGCACGAGGCTATCCGCGAGAGGTTCCACGGTATCATGATCAACACTGGGTTGATGAGGTACCAGGAAACTCAAAAGTGCTACGACAGGCTGAAGGCCGAGATTCCCGGCATCCAGCTCACCATTCGCGACTCGTCGTCCGTGTTCTTCAGGGAGCTCAAGGGTGTAATCGACCCCGAGCAGAAGCGTAAGGTGATTGGTAGGGTTTACATCGAGGAGTTCGAGAGGGCCATGGCTGAACTCGGCTTCAACCACAACAACTGCCTGCTGCTGCAGGGAACCATCTACCCCGATATCCTCGAATCTGAGCTTAACAGGAGGAGCAAGTTGCCCGTCAAATCCCACCACAACGTCGGTGGTCTCCCAGAAAACCTGAAATTCGAACTCATCGAGCCTGTGCGCTTGCTGTTTAAGCAGGAGGTCAGGGACCTCGGCAAACTCCTCGGCCTCTCGGAGGCAACCTTCAAGAGGCACCCATTCCCTGGACCAGGTCTTGGTGCGCGTGTTCTCGGCGAATTGATCCCGGAGCATGTCGAAATCGCCAGGCAGGCCGACAGGTACATGTTCGAGGAGCTTGAGTCCAGGGGACTCGTTGACAAGGTGTCGCAGTGCGCATGTGTCCTCCTCCCCAACACCCGTTGCACGGGTCTGAGGAACTCCGCCAGGGTTTACGGAATGGTCGTTGTCGTCCGCATCATCATGACCGTCGACTTCGTCACCGCCAAATTCGCCAGGCACATCGACATGGAATGCCTCGCCGCCATCTCCCAGAGGATCACCGACAACATCCCGCAAGTCAGCAGGGTGTGCTACGACATCACCGACAAGCCCCCGGCCACCATTGAGTGGGAGTAAACTGGAAAACAACCCAATGTAAGGCGGCTTCCCACAATTAATTGACCTGCGTAGATGCAGACTCTTTGTCTTAACGTAATGCTTGTAGCTTCTTTAATTCAGATGGAGTTTGTTTGGTTGTCGCTTCTTTCTGCCTGGTCGCGTATGGCTATTTGGGCTGTTAAGTGCTGCGCCGGGCGCCCGATGCGCAGCGTGAGATCTATAGTGCATGATGCAACCCGCCTGGGCCAAATGTGCACAAGCAACGTATCGCTTGCTTATGTGTATTTTGATTCGAAAACGGTCTTAGAAGAACTTATAAGATTAAGCTGTTCACAACTCCGTCCTTATGACATCCTCGCTATCCAGCGATAAGGCGAGGCGCTCAGCAGTAACCCGCCCAGACAATATCTCGGACACGTAAGTGTTGACGTTTTCCTGATGGTCGTTAGGAAACTTAAATGTGACTTACGAAAGTCAATTTCTCCTTACGCATCGTGGAGAACACATTCTTGCTCAAGTTTAGACCCAGAGCGGACGGGAATGACGACACGCCCAGCGCACGCTCCCACTGTGGATGACTGCCCGCTGCGACTATATAAGGGAGTACTATCTAACAAACATACCCAGAATGTAGCAGAATTGGAAAGGCAAAGTGGAGTTCTTTTCCATCACCTTTGAAATGATATCCATGTTAGCTTGCAGGCCCTCCTCAGGAAGGAAGAAAAGCAGGCAAAGCGGGCCGCTGCAACGCTGCTTCAAATCATCGAAGGTGTTAACATGCACAGGTGGTCCCATGTTACGGTAATGACGCTTAGCGAAGGCAAGGATGTCCTCAGCTTTGCGCGCTCCGTTGTAAGCAATGGCCTTGGAGGGGCCCTTCGGACCCTGAGGAAGAAGCACGATCGTGGGGTAACCCTTGACACCGTAGCGCTGCGCCAAAGCCGAATTGACAGTGGCGTCGACGGAACCGACGGTCACTCGATCTGCGATTGTTGCCATGCGGCGCCATTCCGGCTCGAGAGCCTTGCAGTGGCCACACCAAGGGGCGAAGAACATGATCAGCCTGAACCATTTAGTGAGAATCCACGTCTTTTACATGTAACATTCACGAAATAACAAGAACTAATGTAAGACTATGGCATACAAAGGTTGCACCATACAGATTTCAGGCATCATGGCCGCCTACCATTGGTTATAGGTGTCGTTTAAGACCCTGCTATTGAATTCACTCTCATTCAAAGACACGACGCGGCCTGAAGGGGGTTTAGTCTCGCCTAAAGAAAAATGAGTGACTGCAAGTCTCTGCTTACTGCGCGGGGGAGCTGGCACTTTCGCCTTCACATGCTTGTTTAGATGCTTCATGGTAAATGTCACGACATCAGCGACGTTCAACGCTCCGGTATATTCCACAGCTGTCGGCTGTTCGGAAGAGCCTGTTGGGAAATGATGAACAAGTAAGGTGCGACAAAGACACCTTTTCCAAGGAAGACCTTGAGGGTGGGAAACGATCGCACATTGTATCGCCGAGATACCGACGCATCGTTCACGGCATAGACGCCAACGACATCCTTAGTAGCAGTAGCGGCCGCCTCGAAATCCTTGGCGAAGCTCGTGCAAGCGGCACAACTGTAAAATGTGTAGAAGGTTGGAAGCGAACTTACGGTTCACTGTAAAACTCGACCAGGGAGACACCTTCTGTACGCAACACATCGTCAAAAGACGAAGGATCCACGGTTTTTACAGGGCTTGACGGACCATAAAGAGCACAGCGCACGGTCACAATACAGCACGAAAGTGCTAGCGTGTAGAGACTGGCAAACCACGTCATTCTCAATAAAGCGTTAGACAAGACAAAAGGATGTTTTATGGAGGGAAGGAAGGGTTTGTGAACCCCTACAAAGTGCAGCACATCAGAATACGAAGAATTTGCCAAATGTGTAACCACGACACCGCAGCAGGAAAACACTATCTAGTGATATCCAGTGATGCCGAAACCCCGGGGTGTTAGCTGAAAGATATCCAAATGAGAACCTTTGGTTCAGATGGACCCGTATGCGAGTCAGATGCAAACGACACTCAGAATCGCAAGGGCACATCCAGCATCTGTAGGCCTTCCGTTCTGCGCCACAGAAGCATCAAAGCGCTAGTGCTGGCGAAACTTATACACCTTTCTAAACGTTTGCTGTTAGAAAATACGCCATGGTCGCACGGAGAATCACTGAAAATCGCAATCATCTTGCTAAGGAGCATACCCCCGAGAGGCTACCTGGCAGAAGACCTGTTCCTGCTATTCGTTCGCTTGCTGCAGCGCGAAAACTCAGTTCAGGGAGTTGATAGCCATAGTGAGACTGTTACTAAAGAGAAATTCTTTCTAAAATTCTTATCAATCGCCGGATCCACGACGCCATACCTGGTTAGGATAACATGCATACTAATGACACCGTAACAGAGACCACTAGCACTGCTGCATGGAGCAAGGATGTTAGCAAAAAATGCTCGAATATATGAAATGATCTGTCAAATTCAAAGGTACGCAACCGGGCAGCGTTTAACTAAGAATATGCAGGAACTGCACTGAGTGGAACCTAGAAAAGCACCATGCAGCGCAGTTCTACAAGTGGATAGTGAAGCATACGGACGCTATCTGCAATTCTGGTGCTGATTTCACTTCTGATTACAGGTAGGCTTGGTTGTACACCCATACGGCACATGCAGAATTGATTTGGAGCACATTCTCATAACTTGTGCGGAACTTAGAACACTACCGAATGCGTCAATCTTTCGATTGTTCATTGAAGCGCATAAAAATCAGCCAGAGAAGATCTCGCGTGTGTTGGACACTTTTATTTCACTTTTTCCGCGAGTAGACTTTTTAAGGAAATACCGGGCTTACCATCTCGCAGACCAAAACAACGTAAGTTCCACTCTATACAAAGTTAGTAAAGTTTCAGACCGAGGATGTGATCAAATATGTGTATGCATCGGGCTTCGGGGAATCAAGCATCGCCCTTGCCATGGAACGGAAACAAGCTTTAACGCTCAAAGAACGGCTTCTCATGCTCTTTGAAATTACAGTATGTTTGAAAGTGGGGATAACACATGCGATAGATTGCCGAACCAAACATTATGACAAATTGGGAAAGGCTGACGTACCACCTTCTCACAGAGGCGCCATTAGATGGTATGGACCCTTTAAAGTGACTCCGAATGTGCAGACGTCTTACGCGTCATAGACGACCTGTTCGCAAACGAACTCAACAGGGCAAAGAGCCTGTTTACCAAAAAGGGTATGTGTCCACCATACGAAACATATGATATGCAGGAACATGGGCGTTTTTCATAAAAGGGAAATTAGTCAAGTACTATCTGGCCGTGGCCAAAATAGTGCTGTTCAAAGAACCGAACCTTTATTCTGACCTTTACGAGGAGGTAAAGAGGTGAGAATTTGGCCACAAAACACGCATGTGAATGTTCAGGCTCACCGGAGTTACACTCGAACGGAAATGTATGGAGGCAAACAACCCAGTTTGGTGTCATTTCAAACGGTTGCCGAAACTTTGTTAAATCTAAATGTAGTAGATGTACGCTATTTCAATTTGGCTATTGTGTCGTAGGTGGGTAAATAGCAGCAGAATGCTTATCGTAGTTAGAGGGGCCTATTACAATGACATTGTTAACTTGATACAACACCTCTATGAAGCCTACGTGAGGCTACGATATTCATGAATGGATAGATTACGAAGTTAAATATGTTGTCATTGTCATCAATACATTCAAAACCCTATTATACGGGTATTTGTAGACTCCAGAAGATGTTGCACAAGATTATGAAGGGAGACCGATACATTGAGGTGGCAATTACTACATCAAAATTCTACGTGCCACACGTGGAGCTACCGTGTTGCCTGTACAGGAAGGCGGAGCATTTGTCAATGCCCATCTCCTCGGGAATCCTTTCCCAACAAGGCTATTTGCGGCCGCTTCGGCAAACGTACCAACTAGTCCATAAAATAGTTTGCTGCTTTTACAGAAACATTCCAACGAACGAGGATAACCAGTGGAATTACGAAGATAACATTGCCACTTACGTCCGTGCATACCACTGGTGTCGGCGCAGTGTACACACCTTGGACGCTGGGTTCCGCCGTCTCGAGCCACTTTAAAAAGCATGACAAGCAGGTGAATTACAACCTCCGCAACCGCAAGATCCTCAGCAATGGACGGGACATACGTGTTTTGGGCGAAACAATAGGATGTATATTCGGGACAGTTGCTGCCATTTTTAAAAATTGTGTTGTTATGTGAGACGGTGTATATGCGTCTACACGCCCCGCACTTGGCAGGTGCACCGCATTCGTTCGGCCACTATGCCACCATGCTACGCCAAACTACATCGATCGCACACTGCGAAGGCGTAAGGGAGTGTTAAATGCGATCTATGAAATGCGGTTCACACAACGTCATACACGGACATCGAAGCTTGTTAAGTAGAAGCAACAGCACACCAGCTTGCGTCACGGACGAGATTAAATAAATGTTCAGAACAGTGTTTGCCCACACTCTACCGCAGCAGTAGTGTGGACAAAGATTGTTCACACGAAGTTGGGTGTCACCCCATTTCATAAATTAAGAATTCTCCGAGAATTCTTGCACCGGCTCACTGGGGATCCGGAATCCAAATCTGTTGTTTCTAACCGCTTGCACAGCACATATGCAGTCCCCAATCATCGGAAAACTCAAATAGAGGCGAGGTCATGCAGTGTGGCCATTGTCTTCTTATCCACAGCCCTCAATGCGCTGATGACATCCGCGCCACTTATGCCATCCTTGCAATGCGGATCCCTGTAACCCAGGGATTTCAGAACCTCCTCCAAACGCTCCTTCGAAATAGACTTCGAACCGGATCGTGTTGAACCCAAACACGCACTGTTCAAATAGCGCAGACCCGTGAACAACATTGGCGCAATTCCCACGAAGACCACCGCGCAAGCTTCCGGTTTCATCGAACATGAATTAGCCCATGTCGCTTCCGAGCTGTAAGAGGAGACGTACTGGTCGAGATCCTTGATGTCATTCAAGAATATCTCGGCACCGACAACAACATGAGCCAAGTTGTTCGCTATGGTGTCAGGGGTAACACTCTTCGGAATAGCGATGCCACCTGGAGTTTTGTCCATCAGCTGATTCAACTGCCTCAACGCCGACTTCACAAAGGCCTGGTCGTGAAGCTCCTTTTTCTGCAAGAAGTTCTGAGAAATGCGCCTTATTATCTTGAGAGCTGGCAACATCTTCCCACCAATGGTGTCGCTTCCAAGCAGGTTGTAAATTGCCTCACCCATAGCCCTCAAGTTGTTCCTAGGATCATCTCCCTTCAGGGCTATCAACCAGTCAATAGCCTCCTTGAGGTTGCGAGGAGCCCTGGTCAACGAAATGTTAATCATTTTGTAGAGATTATTTAAAATAGGCAAATGCTATGAACGAATAGGTTTTTGGTATATTCACAGACCGCGTGTTTAAACAGCTGCGTCTTAGTCGCTGGTGGGCACAACACAACCACCTTTGACACCTGATAAATACGCGTTTGATTGAGATCTAGAACGCTGTCGATATGACAAAACAGTCGGATGTCAGAGGCGCGGTGACAACCTAGTTGGCCGATCGCAGCCAGCTCCACACAATTATCGTGACATGCAGCACGCAGAACCCGAGTAATTGACCTATCCAATTTTCAGGCAGCGACTGCAAATACTGCGCTTTGCGGTGTTGTTATAATTTTAGGCAGTGCATAAACGTTTAAAATGTTACGATAGGTCGCGAATACTATGTTGCAGCGCCTACCGACCCTCGCCGTGCCTTCACGTCATCAATAATGAAGTCACTGAATGAGAAATTTGAACACACTTTGTGCAGTTTTTAGATGTTAACATATTTGTCTTTTGCTTATAGTGTACGCAGCAGTTCCCGCTTGTCGGCTGTGTGTGGGATCCCGTTTGTGACTTTTGTGCCAGGGTAATCAATGGGAGGTACCGCTCTTTCACGCGTTTACGTGCAGTCAACTACCGCAGTCTAAGACACATTTGTCCACCTTCCTCGTAAGACGGGCACTATATTGGCCGTGTACGTCGCTTACCAAGGGATCCGTCGCACGACCGTATTTGCCACTGAGTATGTACGCCGAAGATCTTGTGTATATGCATGTTCCTATGGTACGTATGTTTTTTGATATAATTTGCTTGTTTTTACACTGATGGTACGCTTTACCAGCGGATGTTCCGTGTTACGCTTAGACGTCGTGTGTCAGACAGCCGGACGGAATCCCAAATTGTGACATCGGTACCAACATCGAGAATGCTGAGTAGCAATCTACAACATTCCCATACATCATTTTCTTATTTCAACATAAACTAACATTATTTCCGACGAAGGGTGATTCCGCCAGCTCAGAACACTGCCAATTTGAGGTTATAGCCGGAGGTCGGGGCCGTAAAATATGTGCGTGACGCTAACAATGTGTCTGTGGTCTTACAACAAATGCTGTGCATTATAAGCCTGGATACTGAGATCGGTCTCCGTGATACGGAGGGAGGGCTATGGTTCGAACCAGCAGCAGCATAAGTCACATGGCCACATCACAGACATGGCGAAGAATACTGTTCTCTGTATAGCTGTTATACGATCAATAATTCATCGTACCATGCACCATAACCATTGCTCTAAGCACGCCGATAAGAGTCCACAAAACTGTCTCCGAATACTGCGCACTGCTCACCACCGGCCAATTTACGTTTTGCACTCGCGTCATTGGACACCTTCGAGTTTATCAGGCATTCTCAATATAGTTATAGCCATCATGAAAGTGGCAACGCTCACCATTAAGTTACTGTAAACTCGCGAATTATACCGCATACAGCACCGTGACTGGCTTAATCTTATTCTTTTATAAAAAACAGGTACTGCGACATTAAAGTTGCATTTGGGTTGTGTAATTTAAACAGGATTTTGGATGAGGAGACGGGGAAGCGGCCAACTGCCACGCTTTCGGGAATTATGTCGCCGACAAGTCTATTTGCCGATGCACCAGAACAATCAGGCGACATAGCAAATAAGCTGTGTGTTTTATAAATGTTCAGGCATTTGTTAGAAATGGACTAGAAAATGAGGATGGATGTAAAAATTGCAAGCCTGATGCCACAATCCCCGCTTGTCTCTACCGATGGTGGCAACATGGCAGACCTTTGTGACGCTTTGGCGGCGTTATATCGCCGCTGTATGTGACACGACAAGCAAACTATTCACAACTCCTATAACAGAATAATGGGCCCCCATATACATAATCGTCATCCCTGCTGGGTTTGGACAGAATCGTAGCACGTGCCTTCAATGGACTCAAGACAAAAGGATTCAGTTGTCGAGTAATATTAGGTTTTGGTGTTAATATACCCTAAACGCGAGGCTTCTCCGCATTTAAGTAACGGGTATGACACCAAAATTCTCCAAGCGCCCCGCATCCCTCAACCACATGGCAAGATGAAAAGCATGATTTATACATGTCTAACATCCATACCACGCCTGCTGTCTACTAAAAGGAACACTCGTGATGTTGCAACAAAACACGCCAAATTACACTATGAACGAGATTTAATCGATGTTCAGAATGGTGTTTAGCATTTTTTTATCGGTACCGGTATTGTAAAAAAAGATTGTACGCATAAATTTGGTTGTCGCTACGTTTCATACATAAGAAAGGCCTCGTGAGATTTCGCATGATGCCAACTCACTGGGGACCCGGAATCAAAATCTATTCCTGTATATCAGCTTCTACGTATGCTTCACCTGCAATCCCCAATCAATAGAAAGCCCAGAAACCAGCTAAGTCGTAGAAGATGTCCAATACACGATAATTCACACCTCTCAACGCCTTTTCGACATCTGAAACACTCATATTAGCGCGGAAATCTGGCTCTACGAAGCCCAAAGCTTTCAACACCCCTTGCATACGCTTATATGCAATAAAAGGCGGTCGTCTAAAGTGTGCATCTAACCACGCATTTTGCAAGGAACCTATGCCTACGTACAATATTAAAGCAATACCCAAGAATATTGCCGCGCAAGCGTCCGCCTCCTTCGCGCTTTTCGCATCCCATGTCGCTTTTGAACTCTACGTAGACCTGTACTTGTCCGTGCTTTTAACACTGTTCAAAAAGTCCTCACAACCATCTACAATCCTACGCACGTCTCTTGTGATGTCATAAGGACCGCGGCCCTTGGTCTGCACGACGTTCTCATAATCGCTTTGGTGAGCAAGTCCAAAGAAAGTAGCAATTGGGGAGGGTTCCTTCTTCATACGCTTATTGAAACGTTCCAGCAGCTTTTTGACGAATGATTGATCTTTAAGCGCCTCTTGCTCCAGGAACCTCTTGGTAAAAAGTTTTATATTCTCGATAGATGGATACATCTTGAAGCCAACAGGGTGCTCTGAAAGTACCTGGTGAACTGCGACACCCAAAGCCATCAAATTATGTACAGGATCGGTTCCCTTAACGGCCATCAACCAGTCAATAGCCTCCTTGAGGTTGTCAGGAGCCGTAGTCAAAGAAGTGTACACCATTTTGTGAAGGCTCGTTCAATTAGGCGACTTCTATGAACGTGCGGGCTTTTCGTCTATTTGGAGGTCGCGTGTTTAATCAGCAGCGTCCTAATCGCTGAGAAACAAAACAATGGTGCTTTTCAAACCCAATTAATACGCGTTGGATTGAAATGTAAAAAGCTGGTGATATACCAAATATGCATACGTTAACGATATGGCGATCTAGGAGCCGAAAGCACCGGACAACGGTTCGCAATACCTGGTAGAACGACCGCCGGCACAATCTGTGACGGGCTTTCCCACATTCGAGGAATTCTTAAGGATCCTCAAGAAGATGCCGGATTGGAAGTCGCCCGGGGTGGATGGGATATATACCTACTACATCAAGTGGCTCAAGTCTCTGCACAGAGTCACTTACAGGCTAGTGGAGGAGGCATGCTCGTACGGCAAACCGCAAGACGACTGGTTCTACTGTGGGATCACCCACCTCCAACCAAAAGGAAACAAACCAGTCTCGGCATCGCAGTACAGACAGATCACTTGCGTATCTAACTTATACAAGCTAACTATCCGGTGTGCAACGGAAGCGCTAAAGCGCGAAGTCGAGGGCAGGGGACTACGGTCCGAGAACCAGATGGGCACGAGGAGCAACGTACAGGGTGCGAAGGAGCACGCGTTGTCGAACATCGCGCTCAATGAGAAGCACAACGGACAGTTACGCGCAGTGTGGATCGACGTCATGAAGGCGTACGACTCCATCGACCACGACTACTTGGCACAGGTTATTGAGAACCTGCACTTGCCAGGGTGGTTATCACTATTCATCAAGCAAACGGTGAAGAAGTGGAATATAGAGATAAGGTGGCACAACAACACTCTCATGCACAAGAAAGTCTAGCGGGGCATACTACAGGGTGATAGCCTGTCGCCCCTTCTCTTCGTCTTGTGTCTGGACCCACTGAGTAGGCACCTGACCCGCCTTTTTCCTAAGGTGGAGATACAAGTGCCAGGCGACAGAGTCTACGCGACAAACCACTTTCTCTATATCGACGACCTAAAAATTTTCGCCCACGAGGAGAGCACGATTATCGGCATGACTCGGGAAGTGGAGCTATTCTTCAAAAATACAGGATTCGTGATCAACCGCGACAAATCTGCAACTAACACGGAAGCTTGCTCAAGCATAGCGAAGATTATGGAAGGACCAGACACGTACAGGTACCTAGGAGTCACGGAAAACAGGCACTCAATCACTGAATGCAATGCGATGTACGAGACAATCGTGAACGAGATCTGCAGGAGAGTAGAGCTACTCGCAGCTTCGAAGCTGTCAGCGAAAAACCTATCGCTGGCCATAAACGAGTACGCCCTGAGTGTAATTAACTACTACGTGGGAGTAATACCCATGGACATCACGTACTTTAACAGGATAGACCTGGAAGTGCGTACAAGAATAGCCGATAAGGAAGCACACGCGAAGTGGGCGAACACGCAACGGCTCTACCTCTCCCGAAAGGAAATGGGGAGGGGGCTTCACAGCATGGTATTTAGAGCAGAGGCCATGTTGTTACGACTGTGGATGACGTTCGCATCAGACGAGGCAACGTCAGAAAGAAGAGCTGCCATAATGCAGCATTACCGCGAGACTTATGCGCACATATCACTCATACTACTACACCTGGAAGGAAGATATGGACTGAAGTTTGAGCAAGAGGACACAATAGAGAAGTGTCTCAGGGACCTCAGGAGGGCTCAGAACAAATGGCTATACGACAGAATGGAGGTAAAATCAACACATAAGGTTCTGTTTGCCAAGCGTGACGACCCCAGCTTGGACATTGAGGGATCTTCTCTAGTTTTCACAAGTGGAATCCTCAGTCCCTCAGAAGAAGCGCAAGCCGCGGCAGTTCAGGACAGGAACCTGACATGGATGTCACCGACGAAGAAGTGTCCGAGGTGCAAGAACGGCAAGAATGTGGATCATCTCGCAACCAAATGCCCGAAAATGCTGCGTATAGAATATACGAGGAGGCACGAGGCAGTCGCGAGGATAATCCACTCGGAACTCGGGAGGCAAATAGGACTACCCAAGGAGAAAATGGACGCCCACAAGATCGAGAGCGAAGTGCACGGGAAACACGGATGGATCGCGTACGACAAAACGGTCAAGACTCAGAAGATCAAGGAGTACAACCGCCCAGACATAATAGTGGCGGATCGACGGAGGAACATGATCACCATCGTGGAAATAGGAATCACCAACCAGGACAACCTAGTGGAGACGGAGATATTCAAGAAACGGAAGTACGAAGCTTTGATAGAGGACCTGAAGGCGCGGCAATTCAACCAGCACACAACGTTCAGGGCAATCCCCTACGTTATGACGTGGAGACGAATATTGACGAAAGAACACACCAAGTACAGGCGGAACCTGGGCATATCGGATCGCCTAGAAGCCCATATACAACGGGTAGTGATCCAAGAAACACAAAAGCTAGTGTTGAGGGACATGAAACCCAGAGAAGATTATGACTCTGTGCATGACCCTCTCGCCCAAACAGGATGGACGGCATCGCGGATTATACCTGTAGCGTTAGACAACAGGACATGGAGCCCGCAACCTACACCAGCAGCCTAAGGCGCTTGCCTGGTAAACGTGAAAACCGGCCCTAAGCCACGTAGCCACATAGCGCACTAAATAAAACCAAAACAGAGATAAAATATGTAAAATATCACACATATTTCTTCGTAATGTCGATTTTAAGCATTGTATGTACGTCGACACCGGTCAAAAAAAAATTCAGCTAAGAGTAGGAGCCGAGCATTGGCGACCGTTAGACAATGCCTCTTTTTTGAAGGTGATAGTTGACACTGCGACGTTAATAATAGTCTGGAAACATGGTTATCGGCATCATTCACCGTCACGATATTGGACTCTAGCAAAATAGGCTACGTGTCGCTCCGCGCGCGCTTTTCGATATTCGGGTTTGCAGAACATATCCATAGCAATGTCGTATTACAACAACGGCACAGTACGGACTAGGTACAGGTGTGCGAGGTCATATTAAAGCAAACAACCCTGTAAAACAATTAAAAACACCAGCCAGACGGCTTGGAAGTCAAGTGAAGTATGTTTTGTTGTCCAAAAAATTAGTTGACGCCACACCTACTACCTTAATCGTAACGTAACGTTCATACTGCCGAAACATATTTTGCAAACAAGGACCGACACCCTGGACATTGAACGTACCAACATAACACACCAATTCATGTTGGGAAAGACGTATTAGAAATTAAGATAGGCACCTGCCTGATTGCCCCGGCAGTTGAGCTGTGAACCACAGCATCATTCCCAGGTTCTAGCTGGAGAAAAACTGAGGATGGCATAGACGTGTATATTAATTGAGGAGCAACATGTGTGTTAGTTAATGTGAAGTTACTACTTGAGTATACTGGCATGATATCCTGCTGTTCATCTCCCACATGTATGGCCATGGATCCATGCTCCTCACAACATCGCAATACAGTTCACCACTTATTTCTCGCCATCAATGAGAACAATCCCATCTCCTATGTGTTAATGTTAACATGGAACCACGTATTCTGACAGCGCATCACATCACATCCCTAGAGTGGCCGGACTCCTCACTTCGTTGAGGGTTGCCGAACGTTGTTCAGCTAGACAGCTTCAAAATCACTAGCAACATGCTAATAGCTTCCTAATACGCAACGTCCTACTGTTAGGCATTAGTCCCTTTCCCCTCACCCATCCCACCAAGCTGTAATCTATCTGGCTGGGTCCGGTGGCACTTTGAAAATTGCATTTCCCAGCTATAGATGACTCACTGTAACGTTGAAAATCACATGATTTGGTGCACTGTGCAGATACATTTATTACACGAAACCACGTCCGTTTTCGCCGTTACCGGTGGACTAAAGTGGCCAGGCACTGACACAGAAATCCATCACCAACATTAGTGAGGTAACTGTACTAAAGTAAGAGGCACTATATTTTGTCGATTCTTGCGTGTTAAAGGCATTGCCAATGCTCTAACATATGAGCATAAATGAGGATGCTCATACTACATCTTCCTCATAACGGCAGAACTCTGGGATAAACGAAAGTTTAGGCAGATGCGATTACATTCCACGTTTTTGACAGGACCTATTAAAGTAAACACCAGTCATTAAAAGATCTGGTAACGCCGAGAAATGCCCATAACTGGCTACCAAAATTACTACTTCGTTACCTAAGACACGCTGCCGCTGAAATACCCAAAACAGCAGACACCAGTAGCAACAACAAACGGGGATTAATCTGTGTTTTTGATAAAAACGAGTTACCAAATCTGAGGTATTAATCACTTAGAGTAGTAGTTCTCGATCTGTATGGTGGAGAGAACGACGCCCTTTACGGTGACGCAGCGGCATTCCAATGGCGGAGTCTGGCGCAACGTTTCTCCGACTCCGACAAAAGAACTATCGAAGCTCAGGATGACGAAGTGGTTCGATCGCGACACCACCAACGATTCGCTGAGGTCGCTCATGCTCCTTACTTCGCCATCAACATAGACCTGGCTGAAGCAAATGGGTGGGTCGAGAACATACGGCGCTGGGCAGTAGAAGGCGGCTTCATTGGCAGCTTGGAGATCGATCTTGCACCCGAACTGAGGTTGTCCATCACCGTCGTAGAGTTGGGGAGTCTCAGGCTTGAATAGGTCAGTGGACTCGTATGTGACACCGCAACCCTGCATATACGGGTCGGTGGTCTCGACTTTAACCTTAACGATAGTCCATGTGTACTCTTCTGACATTTCTGTGATATTAGAAATGGGCTGGGCAGATGCGTCTGAAGATGGCGCATTAGCGGTGACGATGGACAACTCCGATGTTTCGGGAACTTTGCCGCAAACGAACCTCATCGGCACGTGTCGCGTGTGAACCGGACCTTTGTAGATCAGGACAGCGTCTCTATGCGATGTAATCTCTACTGTTTGATACCCGGGTCCCCTCTCAATCTCTTGGTATTTAACTTCCAGGCCGCCCGGAGTAGTAGCCACTGCTTCTTTGTGCGATCTCCTAACAAGTTCCCTTCCATGTGATGTATGGGTTACAGCATAATGGAATTCATTGGGCATCTTCGGTAGCCATGTAGTTGTGATATTTTCATGTCTTCCAACGTTCCTCAACTCGGCAGCAGTTCCACAGCGCAATAACAACTTTGTTCCCACATGTAATCTAAAAGTCTTTTTTGATGTGTTCCGCAGCACAATCACTCTTGCAGATGTGAGTCCTTCAAGTAATAATCCAACCTTACGCCAAGGCAGCGTTACGTATGGGAGGAGCCTGCGAAACCTAGTTTTACGGCGTACCACGTAGTTACGGCTTAATTTATCGTACGACTCTAGAATAAGCCTCGACTTTTCGTACCCACGTTGGTCGACACAGAAGCAAGCATAACTGATAGGAATATCTCTTCTAAATTCAAAATCAAACACCTGGAATCCTCTAATAGGGTAAGACGTTGCATTACGCACATACATAGGCAATGGGACAATCCTATCGGAACTGAGATCATACGCTGTCGACTCACAGTTATTTGGCAACAGCTCTTCATCGGGACTGCAGTATATACCAGTTTTCCATTCGGCCCTCCATAGATTAAATACGCATTCGTAAATACTCCCTATATCGTTACTCATAAGTTTGTTTGTGCAATAGTTCTCGCTCAAATGTTGATCGAACACATGCCTTTGTCCCCTATCACAACCAACCTTAGTGTACTCGTGGTTAAATGCGAAGGATACGTTGATGGTGGCCCTTATCTTATCGGGAACGTTCTCGTTTCTCGATACCAGAGTCCAGTGATAAAAGAACGAGTTATATCCGCTTCGCAAAGCGAGAGGTTTGTCTTTATGGTACTTAAGCTTCACCTCTCCCTGCGACATTTTGAAAAGATCCAACTCGAGGGCGTCGCCAGCGACAACATGGTGGTACATTGCTTCGTCGTAGATGTCGGCACCATAAGGAGCAATCAGTTGCCACAGCGTGGTCAAGTCCTTTGGCATGAATTCAGTTTCGTACTCATAAATTGACGGCAGTTGAGAGAGTGTGACAGTGGGAGAATCCTTGTTAATATCGTCATCGAAACCCCCGTCAGTAGCAGTGGAGTTGACGATCTTTGCTGGCACTCTTATGGTCAATGTGCTGCCTGGATGAAGTACCACCGAACACCAATGGCCAATGATCGGGCGCACGCGATTGCGGAAGATCTTGCTCGCAATGTCACAAACGTACTCGGTTTTCGAACGGATCTCTATCCTGGCCTTCACCTGGCCCGTTTCAGGATCGATGCATTTACATTCGCCGTTGAGTGGAGTTAGCGGCAACTTATCAAAATAGTTTGCTACAACCCAAGGTCTGTTGTTATTGAAACTCCAATACGGATAAGGTCGAGGGGGAGTCACAACGCCGCCATTTTTGTCCAATAGTGATGCCATACAATCAATGGGCTCAATTATACCATCGCAAATAAATCCTATACGCGATTTCGACATTGGATCTGCCACGCATGAACGTGTGCCAGTGACTGGATCAACATACACCTCGTTATCCGCTGCAAAAAGTGGTGACGGACGGCTACCACAGCCTTGCAGGGGTAGATACATGTGGCCTCCGTACAAAAACACAACACCCAAACCCTTACCGATCTTCTTAATTTCTTCGGTCAATGATGGTTCTGATACCCAAGGAAGTGGTTTCATTCTACCAATGCCATTGATGCGCTCAAGGTGGCGCTGCAATGTATCACTGAGAACCAAATCTTTCGGTCCACATATAAATATCATGCGGTGTTGATTAATGACATATATTTCATAATCCCTTAGGTTCAAATTTAGAATACTAAATGACTCATTCGATTCCGTCCATACAAATGAGAGTGGTACTTCCGTAACTATTACATCCGAAAGAGGAACAGAACGCAATTTCCAATCTTCACTTACATACGTCTCGATTTGAGTTTGATCATCCTCAGTTGGGTGAGGGTGCCATATATAATCGGTGTCGTTAATTCGGCGAGGGCATACCATGGTTGCGAAGCTAGAGTAGCCGATATTCATTTGACACATAACTAGAGCGCCGCTCCTAATTAACCCATGCTGATAGTAAAAATCGCAATCAAATGCGTCAATAATGATACATGAGTGCAGGGCGATTGCGCAGACCGCCAACAGATACTTCATGATGCTACCTTCGCCCACGGTTCTGTGTTTTGCATCAAACCATTAATATGAAAGTCACTTAATGCCAACTGTTTCTAACCAAAGGTTCTTTTGTAAATACTTGAGATAACAAAAAATTACAACTTTTTATTGTTTGTGATAAGACAGGGCACTAGAACCCCATAGTCAGCTATGTCAGGATATCGAAGAAATTTCTTTTAGTAACTTAAAGAGAAGTAAGAACTCAGAAGGACATACATGATACATTATATCGTATTTGAATTGTGATAAACATTTCACGAGCACTATAGCTGACATACCGATAGTGGAAGGAACATCGTACCAGTCCACCTGCATAAACGGCCATACATCATCTAGGCCTGACAGAACGACACCCTCCTCGTCGTATTCAACCGGTATTGCAAATGAAGACCATTAGAATGAGACGCTTAATTTATCGACAAGCGTAAGCCAGGTCCAAGCCACGCGCGGGCGCTTATAACACGGTAGATTATAATAAATGGAGCGCACTGTGATTTCTCCAAGCATAACTCTTGATTAAATCCTATTAAGGACACGGGTTAAGCTAGCGTCGCAAAAACAGCCCACTAGCTACCATAAAACCATTAAAGAGATGCGGGCCATTGCGTACACCAAAGCGACTTTCCTAAGGCAATGTGGTAGAGCGTGAAGTCTATTTGCGCTGGATGTAATAGTAAACCCTGTTTGCGTCCAACTCTAAAGCGCAAATGTTCAGTAATTTGCGGCAAACAGCACACAACGCGGAGAGCGGGAAAATATCGACTTTTGCCAGCGACGTAGAGACACATTACAGGGGAATCCACCAATTTATTGCGGGGATAGCGTTATTAATGGCAAAAAATAACAATAAAGTAGTAAACAAGCAACTGAAGTATACGGGACGACCGTTCCTCGACATGCGGGAGCAAGCCGACGTCTAAAATTTGCGTACACTGTTCAAGGCGCGCCACACGGATCGTACCGCAATGAGACTACTAAACGTGGACTGACCAAATATATGGAAGGTCATAGTTTCATAAAAAGCGCGCCATGGTAAGTCACGGATGCAGACATCGCCGTAACATGCCCGCAGTGCGCCAATACGTGTAAAGATGAACGTTCCACTGGTGTGGCAGAAATATTGTCAATTATAAACCACAGATAGACAAAACCGGTAAAAAGGTAATTATAGAAGACGTGCAATCCGCACAAAGGGTGTAAGAAACCACTTCAACGACGTAACGTTGAGTGTGTGCACACCAACCCACTTGACAAAGTGCATGGCAATTGGCCGTATCGGGTCTAAGAGCGAATAGTGCATGAACAGGATGGTCAAACGCACATTTAAAACTTGGAATCCAGGCCTAAACATATGTACACCACGGCTAGACACGACACACCAATGTATGAACTGCGGAAGTCAAAAACGCAAAACATATGAGCGCTTACAACGTCACAGGCATAGTAACGTATTCACCGTATTAAAATATGCAATTGGGATTGCTTGTTGTAAGGAATCCACTAAAACTGTACACGGATCCACGAATCCCACACCCTACCGAAGTGGATGGGTCAGATATGGCAAAAGACAGCCAAAACCACTATCCCAACACGGTTCATCGGCACACTAGTGAATATTATGGAATCCACACGTTGGTGTGTGAGGAATATATCCACATTAAAGTTTGATTGGAAGGCTGACGCACATCCCGACGCGGCCCTATCGCGGCAAGAGACGTATTCTCCAGACGCAACCCCGCTTTACATATGTGTGTGAGTTCCACATATTTTGATTGCCTCAAAACGCAACCGGGGTCTGAACACGGACGACACCACATCTCGGAGACAGGGACCGCTGCTACGGGCTACCCAATAATACTTTGCGATACACAACGCCCCGTTTTCCGGCTAAATCACTACAGAACCAAACATCGGCATGGCGCTGTAGGAGTAAGTGCCTGCCGCAACGTAGTGCGACATCTTTCTGTGTAAACAGGGTTGTGTGGAAATCGCGTAACGCGGCATCCTTGCGGCGCCACACGGTTAGGCCCACGTGCGGGCCCCGGGTATAATTCCAAAGTCTGTGCAGCAATTGGCCTGCAACGCGCCTGGAAATGCCCTCACACACACGGTTTCTGAGAGAACGACTGAAGGGCGTGGTTGCGTAACAGAAGCTAGGAGTTGCAGCCAATCCTGGAGACTGGTATCCGCCCATAGGCTGGCCTAGGGACGTACACAACCTACCATTATGGACCATAAAATGGAAAACACACAGAAGACGCTTGCGGCCGATGGCCCTGCGCAGGCTCACGAACCCGTGGTGAAAACCGAAATCAAGCAAGAGTCTTCACCAGGATTCAAAGCGCCAGATGTCGGTCAAAACCAACAACAACCGTTTCAGGTTGCGGACCCCAAGCAGGCGTATTACCAGCAGCAAATGATGTACTCTCGGATGATGGGACAAATGCATCAACAAAACATGATGTCACAGCAGATGACATCGGGAGGACCGCAACACGTCGTCCAGCAGCCGCAACAACAACAGCCTCAGATGCAGCAGGGACAAGTGCCACAAGGACACGGGGTCGCCTACCCTGGTATGATGCGTCCCCAGACAGGGATGCAACAGCAGCACACTCAGCAGGGCGCTGGATGGTTCTATCCTATGGCTATGTATAATCAACAAATGATGTCCGGCGGACAAGTTGTGCATCCTCAGATGATGATGAATAACCAGGCAGCCGTGATGTCCAAGTTCATGCCTCAATACAATGCCTACATGAACAGAGTGCAGCAAAATGCCGAGATAAAGACAGAGAGGCCCACTGTTCCGACGGATGTTGCAAAGGAAGAAGGTGTCGAAAAGGTGCACAATGGCGTTGCGGAGAATGCTGCGCCATCTATCAAAACGGAAGATACCAACGGAGACAAGCCGAAGTATCATGCTGAGCAGGCTCAGGCTGCGGGTGCTAATTATCCCGCTAGATATGGTATGCAAACTCCGTATGGCTATGGCATGAATATGCCTGTAAACCCAATGATGTACTACCAGCAGCAGAATAGGCTCGTGGTTGGAAATGCCATAGAGGGGATACCTGCTCTGAGGATGGCTAACAGTCGCTTCCAAAACGTCACGCAAATGTTGGACGCTCTAGCACAACAGCCCAAAAAGAAGCAACAACAGCAGCGCAAACCACAGTCCAGATACGGTTCGGAGGACACTGATTTCAAAAGTGTAGTAAACGATTACTTCACATCCGACGGTAGAAACGACAATAGTGACGACGAGTTCCTCATTGGTAGATCGGTGAAGGATGTCGACACCACGGCGATCAGGCGTAGTGGACGAGCCAGAACTAAAAACTCCCTTTACGCAGAATACACGGAAAGCGACGCAGACACTTGGGAAGAGCCGTCGGTCAAAACAACCCCGTCGGTCCCCAAAATGCCAAGGAAAAGGCGGGAGGCAGGCATGCAAGCAAGGCGACCACAACAAAGATCAACAGCCAACCCGTATTCCAAAAACAACTATGTGACCTACGATGACACTGACGATGAAGAGTCGGAGGAGTTTGCAAATGTTGGCGCTGTGGACTCAGGTCCTCTTGCGTTAAGAAACCGTAAGAGGCGCGTGAATTACGCGGAAATGGAACACGAACAATGGAGTGGGGAAGACGGGGAGGATGGTGAAGATGAAGACGATGCCGAGGGAAGGGAGAGGCGGCAAAATACACAGCAGGAACTCCAAGGAGGTATCGACCGGGTAATCGATCACCGTGTGAACGAAGAAGGCGTCACCGAGTATCTCATAAAGTGGCAAGGATATGCTCATATCCACAACACATGGGATGTGTACGAAGCTCTTAAAGAGTATGGAGGCATTAAGAGACTTGATAATTATATTAAAAAACTCAAGCAACGCGAAAGCAGATCGCTGTACATGACCCCAGACGAGATTGAACATGAAAATATTGATATGGAACTGCAAAGGAGAATCGACGAGGACGCACTCAAAGCCGAAAGGATTGTCACGCATTATGTGGATAAGGAAAACAACGTGACGTATTATATGGTTAAGTGGAGGAGTTGCACCTATGATCAATGCACCTACGAGGAAGAGCAGGTCATGATCGATCATGAGTTCACCCACTTAATACAGGAGTACAAAGAACGAGAGGATCGCATATCCGGTGAAGCTGCAAAGAAAATGCCGTGGAACACCCACTCTCTCAGTCTCACCAAATTCGAGCCTTACCAGGAAACTCCAGCATTCCTGGCAAACCACGACACTCGCAAACTTAGAGACTATCAACTCATCGGTGTAAATTGGATTGTGAACAGGATGAAACGCGGCCTCAGTGTGCTTCTGGCAGATGAGATGGGTCTCGGTAAAACCGTGCAAACAATCACGCTCATCGGCCATTTTCTCTACAGGGAAGGCCTCATTGGGCCATACTTAGTGATCGTCCCTCAGTCAACCATCGACAACTGGATGAGAGAATTCGAAACTTGGCTACCAAAGGCAAACGTCGTTTGCTACTATGGTAATGCCAAAGCGCGAGAGATCATTCGCACTTATGAACTAGCGAAAGTACACGTGCCTGGAAAGGGTGAGAGATACAGGTGCGATGTCTGTGTAACCACGCCTTCCATTATTAACGCACCTCTTGATCTCGACTTTTTAAGGAGAATTTCGTGGCAACTCATGGTTGTTGACGAGGCCCACCAGCTCAAGAATAGAAACTCCAAGAGGTTTGTGGAATTAAGACAATTCATGGCTGACTATAAGTTGCTCCTTAGTGGAACCCCACTGCACAACAACCTTGAAGAGCTGTGGACGTTATTGCACTTCATTAATCCCCAGATCTATCCTTATTATGAGGAATTCAGGAGGAGGTATGCTGATGTAGAGAATGCTGCAGCCATAGGCGAAAACAAACAAAAGCAACTGCTAGCTCTGCAACAAGAACTGCACGAAGTTGTCCTAAGGAGAGTCAAGAAGGATGTTGAAAAGTCGTTGCCAAATAAGGTGGAGCGCATCCTGAGGGTGGAACTATCGCCGTTGCAAGTAGAGTGGTACAGGAACATACTAACGCGCAATTATGACCAATTGGCCAAAAACAGCGGGGGATCTAGATCGTCATTGCAGAACATATGTATGGAACTCAAAAAGGTCTGCAACCACCCGTTCCTATGTTATGAGCCCGAAGATAGACAAACATGGTCACAAGGTCTTGTGTACGGTAGTGGAAAAATATGTCTGCTTGAAAAACTTCTAATGCGCCTTAAGGAACGCGGGCACAGGGTGCTCATTTTTTCGCAGATGGTGCGTATGTTAAACATCATATCCGAATATCTTACCCTGAGAGGTTTCAAACACCAGCGTCTGGATGGCACCATGGGTAGAGAAGTCAGGAAAAAGGCAATGGACCATTTCAATGATCCAAATAGCGATGATTTCTGTTTCTTGTTGTCTACCAAAGCAGGAGGATTGGGTATTAATTTGACTACTGCTGATACCGTCATTATTTACGACAGTGACTGGAATCCGCAGAATGATTTACAGGCAGAGGCTAGGGCGCACCGCATCGGTCAAACAAAAACAGTTCAAATATATAGACTAGTAACTAAGGATTCGATCGAACAGACCATTCTGGAACGTGCCAAAACCAAAATGGTTTTGGATGCGCTTGTCGTGCAGGGGCTCAACAAAAAGGGCAACGCTGTGGTATTAGAAGAAGGTGGTTCAAAGTGTGGTTTCTCCCGTGAAGAGCTTGCCAAGATCCTCAAATTTGGTGCTTCAAAGTTGTGGAGCAAGGACAAGAGTAATGCCCTTGAAAATGTATCAGAGGGAGAAAATCTAGATATCGATCTCGACAAGGTGCTTGAGGAAGCGGAAGTCACTAACGACAACGATGGGCTGGCTTCCGATCTGCTGAGCACCTACACTAATATCACTGAGTTCAGGTATGAACCGCCTGAAGAGCAATCTGAGATTAGCTCTGAAAATAACAAGGAGTTCTGGGACGCCACAATACCGCTGGAAGAAAGAGTGAAGCTGAAAAAGAAAAAAGAAGAAGAACTGATGGTTTTGGGCCCGAGAAGGACGAGGAACAAAGACTTGGGTGGTATGGATAACGATGACTTCTCCGATGATGAAGCTGACGTAGACTTCCAACCTAAACGCGAGGCCAAGGCGACTTGGGACAACACGGATCCTCAAGGCGAGAAGGGTGTCGGCAAACGACGAGGCCCCAAACGGCCACGAAAGGTGGTATTGACCGTTAAGGACAAGGTCAAAATCTACAGGTCGTTAAGCAAGTTCGGCGTCCCAGAAATGAGGCTAAAGGATATTCATGAGGACACGAAACTAACCAAGGTTGACCCTCGCGTTATACTTAATGAGTGCCAGAACCTAATTGACATCTGCAAAACCAAGATTAGTGAGATTGACGATGCTGATGCGATGGAACAATCTGCGGATTCTACCGCAGGCACGCGGCGTGCGTCGAAAGCTCTAAAAGCCTTCGAGTTAGGTGATGCAAAAATATCTCCGTTGGAATTTATCAAAAAGCTGAAGCTTCTAGAATGCCTTGAGGATTGGGGTAGACAACAGGCTGGGCCTGGGTGGGCTACGTCAGACCAAACCCTGGTTTTGCCTCATGAGGTGGTAGAGCAATTTGCTGATGTTAAGGATCCTTGGACTATGGCAGATTGCGTGAATCTTCTCAAACTGATCCACATTCACGGATATGGATACTGGACCATGTATTGCAACGACAAGAATCTATGCGTAGGGGCTCTGAGTGGTATGAAACATGACAAAGCCAAATTTAAGGCGCAAAAGCTACTAAAGGCATTGTATGAACACAGGGGCCATCTAGTCAAATCTAAATTGCCAGATGTTCCCATGAATATCGCTGTGTCTTCCGCACCGTATCGGAGAAATAGCAAACTGGAAGAACTTGTGGTTGACGATGATGCCGTAGTCGGTAAAGACGATGGCAAAGAGAACGACGTCGAGCTCATGTTAACTACTGGCAAGCCCTTAATGCGCGAGCACTTCGCTGCAGCTGTTAAATGGTCTCTGCGGGATGGAAGGGAACGCCTGAAGCGCCTTAAGTTCTTGAAAGATCAGGATCCCCAAGGCGACGAATTCATGCAAGAGGTGGAGGAAGCCTTGCCTGAACTCAAATCGCTGATTGAAACCGCCGTTGAGCAGTGCAAGGATACTACTACCGGCCAAAAACTCAGGGCAGCCTGTTTGAGATTCGTCTCCAAATTCACCTTGATACCGCTTGAGGAGCTGGAAAAGGAGGCGCAGTAAGGGTGCGAAAATAAGCGACTGCAAATGCTGGTTGCCCATATCGTTGAAAGGCTACTGCCGACAGAGTCAACGGATTTCGCCGGATAACAATGAAGAAATACGGGACGTCGTAGATTCAATTAGCATGCGTAGTTTATGTAGCTAACAATCCACGGCCGCAGGGTAGCGCAGCACGGTCTTCAAATTCGCAGCCCAGGTCAGCCAGCAACGGCCCGATAGCCACTACTATCTGGCTTATGTTAGAGCAGACACGTTTTGCTAATATAAACTAATCAGGTTCATTGTTTGTATATATTACTTTTGAAGCATTTTGATGCTTCGTGGTGCTCTTTTGCGTCGTTATTTATAGCGGGGGCTGGTAGATCCGTCTGCTCACAATAATGGTGAGCCATTAAGATCCCACCAGTGTTGTTTGTTACAGTCTATGAGTCCAGGTGTCTCGTTCCAAATATCTGTGCATGGTTTATCACTTGCGCTGTGTAGCTTCACGCCTAGCGATGCTAAAGACGTTTCATCGAGTAAATGATGTGGAGGCATCATGAAGTTGCTTGTGGTATCATAGTCTGCACGTAGCTTTTCTATGTGTTCCCTGGCCATAGAAAAATCATCTTCATCAAATACGTCACTATAATGGTGCCAAAAAGCTCTTTTTGAATATAAACGATCAAAGTTAGATAGTGAGCTTTGCAGAAATGAGGATATAGAACTGTCGTTAGTGATGCCGTACATCCCAGCATGTTTTGCGGATACATCCTGTATACAATTGGCTCCTGGTAACGATATTTTCACAGCGTCTCTATTCCACCCAACCATGTTGTGCTTCAGTTTCAGTCTCTTTATGTACTTGAAAGAATCGTTGTTAAAATGCCCATGTATAGCCATTGCAATCGGAGAGCTTTTGATCTTTTGCGGAATCGGTGAAATACGGTTTGAAGGCCTCATCAATTCGTTGATCAAAGCTTCCGTACTAGCACCTTCATTGATAATATGCCTCGGCGCCATTGATGGGCACGTGAGGTTGAGCCCAGGTAGAGGAATTAATGTGTTCAGTACCGATCTTATATTGAAACCCGGATACTTTTTAGTGACCGTTGCAAGGCCGAACTCCTTCAAGTGAGAGCTGATTAGTCCATTCTCATGGTTAAATCCGATTTCCTTATTGGGCTTCTGATTCCGTGATGTTGGCAACTCTGTCTCATTTGACTGCATTTTCTGCTGTGCTAATGCCTCGTTTGAGAATAAATTAGTGATGCTGCTCAAATCGTTAAGATGTTTAAGGCAGAATACGGTATTGTAAGGGGACACTGCCGCCATGGTACCCTCAGTTATGACGTTGCAAATGCGAGGAACCTTCCCATATTCATCGCTTAACAAATCCAACATATAACTTCCCAGGCCAGCGCCTGTGCCACCGGCAAGCCCGAAGGTGAGATTGAAATATTGGAACGACTCATCGCAGATTTCAAGGTTTGTCGACAGCAATTCTTCCATTGCAGCATGGTATTGGGGGCCATAATTGCAATATGCTGTGCTCCAATTGTTTCCCGTCGCTTCTGTGCCGCACACAATGTTGCCACTGTCTATGTGGTGTAGGTGTTGCCTTTGTAGTATTTCCGATATTGTACCTAGATCTGTATCCACCAGAATACATTTAGCCTTCAATGTGCTTATGTAATCCTCAACATTGGCGGCAGACATTTGATCTGAAGTTATGTTGCCATTTGTATGAGAAAAGTAACTCGATACTTGCTCCACGTCCGGAGTTATGTTGTCAGAACATCGCAAGGCATTCGCAAGCATTTCCCAAAAACAACTTGCAACTTGTATGCCACACTGTCCTAAATTTATGCTCAATACTTCTCTCATTTTGTTAATGAATTAATTGTTTTGGATGATTTTGTTCGGTTTTCTCCGTATGGAAATTTCCACACCAAGTTGACGAGCGAGCGATGGATCTATCATAAGCAGACAAAATTTCACCCGGTAGAAATTACACGCCTACGGTTATAATGAAAGTCCCATAATCGTCATTTGATGAGTTTGACTCATCTTCGTGCGTTGCTAATACTACATCAACATCGTAGGCTCCCCGGATACAAATATGCTGAGTGAGCTGGGTGATGCGATGGGAGACTCTCGGAGTGAAGGTCTTCAGACGCTGGGAAACTATATAAGTATTCTTTGGGTATTTGTAGACTCCAGAAGATGTTGCACAAGATTATGAAGGGAGACCGATACATTGAGGTGGCAATTACTACATCAAAATTCTACGTGCCACACGTGGAGCTACCGTGTTGCCTGTACAGGAAGGCGGAGCATTTGTCAATGCCCATCTCCTCGGGAATCCTTTCCCAACAAGGCTATTTGCGGCCGCTTCGGCAAACGTACCAACTAGTCCATAAAATAGTTTGCTGCTTTTACAGAAACATTCCAACGAACGAGGATAACCAGTGGAATTACGAAGATAACATTGCCACTTACGTCCGTGCATACCACTGGTGTCGGCGCAGTGTACACACCTTGGACGCTGGGTTCCGCCGTCTCGAGCCACTTTAAAAAGCATGACAAGCAGGTGAATTACAACCTCCGCAACCGCAAGATCCTCAGCAATGGACGGGACATACGTGTTTTGGGCGAAACAATAGGATGTATATTCGGGACAGTTGCTGCCATTTTTAAAAATTGTGTTGTTATGTGAGACGGTGTATATGCGTCTACACGCCCCACTTGGCAGGTGCACCGCATTCGTTCGGCCACTATGCCACCATGCTACGCCAAACTACATCGATCGCACACTGCGAAGGCGTAAGGAGTGTTAAATGCGATCTATGAAATGCGGTTCACACAACGTCATACACGGACATCGAAGCTTGTTAAGTAGAAGCAACAGCACACCAGCTTGCGTCACGGACGAGATTAAATAAATGTTCAGAACAGTGTTTGCCCACACTCTACCGCAGCAGTAGTGTGGACAAAGATTGTTCACACGAATTAGGTGTCACCCCATTTCATAAATTAAGAATTCTCCGAGAATTCTTGCACCGGCTCACTGGGGATCCGGAATCCAAATCTGTTGTTTCTAACCGCTTGCACAGCACATATGCAGTCCCCAATCATCGGAAAACTCAAATAGAGGCGAGGTCATGCAGTGTGGCCATTGTCTTCTTATCCACAGCCCTCAATGCGCTGATGACATCCGCGCCACTTATGCCATCCTTGCAATGCGGATCCCTGTAACCCAGGGATTTCAGAACCTCCTCCAAACGCTCCTTCGAAATAGACTTCGAACCGGATCGTGTTGAACCCAAACACGCACTGTTCAAATAGCGCAGACCCGTGAACAACATTGGCGCAATTCCCACGAAGACCACCGCGCAAGCTTCCGGTTTCATCGAACATGAATTAGCCCATGTCGCTTCCGAGCTGTAAGAGGAGACGTACTGGTCGAGATCCTTGATGTCATTCAAGAATATCTCGGCACCGACAACAACATGAGCCAAGTTGTTCGCTATGGTGTCAGGGGTAACACTCTTCGGAATAGCGATGCCACCTGGAGTTTTGTCCATCAGCTGATTCAACTGCCTCAACGCCGACTTCACAAAGGCCTGGTCGTGAAGCTCCTTTTTCTGCAAGAAGTTCTGAGAAATGCGCCTTATTATCTTGAGAGCTGGCAACATCTTCCCACCAATGGTGTCGCTTCCAAGCAGGTTGTAAATTGCCTCACCCATAGCCTTCAAGTTGCTTTCAGCATCAGTCCCCTTCAGGGCTATCAGCCAGTCAATAGCCTCCTTGAGGTTGTGAGGGGCCTCTGTCAACGAATTGTACACCATTTTGCGAAGATGATTTAAAATGGGTAAATGTTATGTACATGGGTTTTGGGGCCTAATTACAGTCAAAGGCATTAGGGAACTGTGTCCTAACATTTACACGCACCAGTGCTGTTGACACCTAATAAATACGCCTTATGGGATATACGGAACTGTAAAAGCACCATATATGCGTACAGTAATGGTGCGATGATGACTAAGGTGTCGTATGGCAGCCAGATCTATGCCATTGGCGTGGCATGCAGTATCCACAACGCATGTCATCACCTCGTTCAAATTTCAAATACGAGTGGTTTTTACTGAGTTTTGCGATGTTAGTATATCTGCGGTGACGCTTCAAGGTCTGAAAGGTTACCATTGTTTGCAACCAGTAGAAAACAGTGTCTACGCCGTCCCGTGGTAAATACGTCGGACAACGTCTCAGGCTCACTCATGGCTTAGCATCCTACCTCACAACTAACATTCCAAATTATATCCAAGTAAATAATCCATCGTTTCACCCAGGGAGGCACTCTTCAGTCGCTGACATTGGGTGGCCACACAACTTGCCCCCAAATGAATTGTGCAATGAGCATGTTTATTACATTGCTTTCTAGTTGCCATCAGTAGGTGTGCTACGTGAATGGTTACTGGAAAGATGCGTAGAGAATGGTTGAAGCGTACACAGATGTTAAGATGCCATTCATTAACGTAGTACAGCGGTAATGTCTCTGGCCAGATTCCGGCGCGCGAAGGACTGCCCGTGCTACAACTGCGATCTAACGATCTCGCGGCACTAAAGCTCGTTAAGAAGGTCATTCGTTTTTGGAGTCATTCGCGTCTTGAGGCGACAACGGAGAGGTAGCAAGGCGAGCGTCTGATTTGTCATCTGCTATCGCAGTTTACGCATTGCATTCATTATGCTCTTATTAAAGACGCCAACGAACACAACAAACGAATACTGACTCGACGACAGCACCAATAACGCCAAAGATGACACCACCGATGACATAATCAATTATAGTAGCGCCTGTGCCTTTCCCGAAAGACTAACTTCCTGGTAGAGCTCCCGAATCTGTGAACAAGGATATGCCGATTATGGTGAAATACGCAAAGAGAGACGCATAAATCCATCTCCAAAACGTAATTGACCGCTCCAAGTCCTCGATCTTCTTCTTAATCTCATCTGGCGACGCCTGTGGTGTCTTTCCTTCACTACGGATGTCCCCAGCCGTATAAACACACACCGCCGGAGCTGCCATAGACGTTTTCATCGTGCGCCTATCCACTTGAGAAGCCATCTCGCAAAATAATTAGCAGCGTGCCTTTATATCATAAACTCCTCTTCAAATAGAACTACACGCCCAGATTACCGTCCAGGTGTGCTATCGTAACTGCGCTTCAAAATCTTTCACCTTTAACACAGTTAATATCCACTGCTAGCACATGCCCTGATGCACTAGTTTGCCAGCACAATTTGACTCAAAATACATACTTTTGAATTCGATCCGAGAATGCATATGCTCCACTCAGAATGCCACTGCTCACGCGCGCTGCGAGGATTTCGGGGTAGTAAATGAACGCCCAACTATGTTTGCGGGGCGCCCCGCGAAGTGGATGCTGGGGCACAGTCCGGGGTTACGATTTCAACTCTCACCGCAATGTTGTTCGTAGATGCAAATCAACTGCGGCGTTCACTTAGACAAGGCCGAAGATTCACAGAATGTCGCACATAGGCATACATCCACATTGCAACTACTGTGATGCTACTCACTCACCCGGCGGATGCCCCAACTCCTCTCCCACGCCGCTGACTCAGTCTCGGTAGTATGCCACCATCGGACGACACCGGTGACTATTACAACTCAGCAATTGCAATAGAAGATTAACATACGAAACTACATTGCACAATAAGTTGCAGGCTATCTCTAGTCCGTGAGGCCACGCAATGTTCTCGGACGGAAGGATGGGCCATCTTGGGTGCTCTACCCGACGACTTCGCACTTCAGCTGACCATTGACCGCTGTGAATGAATAGACATAATCATTAGTACACTATGCGTTCCCTATGTCACTATAATGCTAAAACTTAACTACGCATAGTGAGAATGCATCACATCACATCCCTAGAGTGGCCGGACTCCTCACTTCGTTGAGGGTTGCCGAACGTTGTTCAGCTAGACAGCTTCAAAATCACTAGCAACATGCTAATAGCTTCCTAATACGCAACGTCCTACTGTTAGGCATTAGTCCCTTTCCCCTCACCCATCCCACCAAGCTGTAATCTATCTGGCTGGGTCCGGTGGCACTTTGAAAATTGCATTTCCCAGCTATAGATGACTCACTGTAACGTTGAAAATCACATGATTTGGTGCACTGTGCAGATACATTTATTACACGAAACCACGTCCGTTTTCGCCGTTACCGGTGGACTAAAGTGGCCAGGCACTGACACAGAAATCCATCACCAACATTAGTGAGGTAACTGTACTAAAGTAAGAGGCACTATATTTTGTCGATTCTTGCGTGTTAAAGGCATTGCCAATGCTCTAACATATGAGCATAAATGAGGATGCTCATACTACATCTTCCTCATAACGGCAGAACTCTGGGATAAACGAAAGTTTAGGCAGATGCGATTACATTCCACGTTTTTGACAGGACCTATTAAAGTAAACACCAGTCATTAAAAGATCTGGTAACGCCGAGAAATGCCCATAACTGGCTACCAAAATTACTACTTCGTTACCTAAGACACGCTGCCGCTGAAATACCCAAAACAGCAGACACCAGTAGCAACAACAAACGGGGATTAATCTGTGTTTTTGATAAAAACGAGTTACCAAATCTGAGGTATTAATCACTTAGAGTAGTAGTTCTCGATCTGTATGGTGGAGAGGATGACACCCTTGACGGTGACGCAACGGCATTGCAATGGCGGCGTCTGGCGCAGCGTTTCTCCGACTCCGACGAGTGAACTGTCGAAGCTCAGGATTGCAAAGTGGTTCGATCGCGACACCACCAACGACTTGCTGAGGTCTCTCGTGTTATTGACGGAACCATACACGGAGACATGGCTGAAGCAGTTATCCTGGCCTGCAGTAATATCGGCTATTCTACACAATTACATATTGACTAATAGTTATAGTGATTGTATATGCGTGGAGTTGCTACATAAGCAGCAATATAAGAGTTTTGGTCTCAAACAAGTCCACCTGTTCATACAGACGGCTGTTCAACGTATGGCGGATTTTCAACATAACAACATCTAAGGCGCTGTGAAGGCTATGCAGCAGACACACAGATCGCTTTTGCCACTTGTATACTGTAATAAAACCATATATGGATCTTACACCATTGCTCACAGGGCAGCTTGAAATATCCACAGGTAGAGAGGAAAATAGCCAGGTTGCATTGATTTTCTCAGATTATCGGATGGCAGAGAAAAATCTCACGCACCCCACTTTATCAGGCTCGTCTAAAGTACATTTGAGATCGCAGAACAATTTTCTTCTACGTCCAATTTTTTCCCCATGAGTTCACAACCCAAAGTAATCCAATTTAAATTCTTCTATTTACTCATAAAAAAGAATTAAATTGGCTTATGTATCTACAACACTCAATATTGATATAGAAAATAACAAGATATTGAGGTAAAGTATTTCCATTGACCATATTCTAGGCTCTGGTTTGCTGGTTACTATCAAAAATGGCGTCTGTTCGTTATAATGAACGACTGGGTGTCAAGGGTATTCTGTGCCTCTACATTATCGTCAGCAACAGTTTTGCTATGGGCGCTCTCCGTGACTCTGCTCCGTTGGTAAATGCATCACCCGCGACCGCTATGTTATCAAGTGCCTCACCATCGGATAGAGGCATTGCATTCTACGCCAGTGATAAGGATTGTTATGATAAAATGAAAGGCATAATTAATTTATTTTGTTATGCCGCCCAATTGTATTCTGAGTTATCAGTAATCTCATTGGCAATACCAGACTTTAACACCTCACCTGAAGTGAAAGAAGCCGAGCAAAAGGTATGTAACAATTTAATCAAGGAACTCCAATGTGTAATCCGCGGTAGCAAGGATTACGTGGAAACAATTGCGATGTTTGATCAGTACAATGCCATCGTAAGAAGACTTAACGAAACGTGTGTAACGTCGCAGAGGCAAGCTGAATTAAAAACAACATTGGAGAATCTAGAACAACGATTCGAAGGTAAAAAGCAGTTAGCGTCATACGTGCTTGCATACGGCGTTTCCGGGTACTACGAGAATCACATAGGACCCGCGGATGGCTTTATTAGAAAATATAAATCTTAGGGACTAACAGAAGCATCGGCAGCATGTATAAGGGCTATGAGGGTTGAGACGCATCAAATGGGGATACACGTACGAATTCTCTAGGGTAGTGACACATGCACGCTGTGGCTAATATCCGGGGAGCCTAGTTTCATCCGATACATTCCGAAGGTACCAAAATTGAACGCAGACGCACCAGAGACACACAACAATAAGGGACAGACTATTTTATTGAAGGCTCCAAGAGGTGTATGTTCCATGCAAATACTGTGCAGCACAACGAATAATGAAGCGCTAGAGGAATTATAATCGTGGGAAGGACGGGTGTTAAAATCATCATGGCGTCATCTCACCGAGGCTCTTTGATTTTAGGTTTCTGCATGCCCACATTTAACAGTTATAAGATGTAGATGAAGTGATAATGAAATGCTTGCCCTGATGCGTTCTTCATGTCTACTGTGTGCACCGCATACGCATAGCGTTGGCGCTACGATGAGATCCCCCTTATGTCACACCGCTACTATAAAGACATATTCGACAATTGATTGTACGAAGCGTTATTGGAGGATGAGAACGACGGCACTCACTACATAGCAACGTGATCACGACAATGCATGAATGACGGTAAATGGTACCGCGAGATATGCAGATAACGGGGACAAGTAATACGCAACAAGGATGGCGGTAACGTAAAATCTACTGATTAGCTTTGTGATGCCTGGCTAGTTTGCGATGACGCGATTGGTGCCGCTAATTTGTGTAATATTTCCGCTGTTCCCTCTACGAGAACTCTTTGTTGTTTCTCTCCATCCACAATTAAGCTGTTAATGCTGTCAAGCATTTCTGAAACAGTGTAGTTTTGATTGCCCACTGTGAATGTCGCTTGCTTCTCCGTCTCCGGTAACAGATGAATAAGTCGGGTCAACTTGTTGGCTACTGTCCTTAGACTGTGCAATCCAGATTCCTGCACCACATGACTATCGTCAGAAGCTTGGCACAGCGTCACAAAATTCAACGAAGCATAGAAATGACACCAATTTATGCTACATGAACCAACCATCGATTCGAGTAGTTGATTGTTTTCGTCCGACACCTGCTGCGCAGTAGGACTGAATATAAGGTTCAAAGGTTCTCCAGATTTGACCTCAGATTCTGCTTTCTTTTTTTGCTCTTCCACGTTGTTGCCTTGTTTGGTATCTTCTTCCAGCAGGGATATTGCGTTAGGACTTGCGTGTCTATTAATGGTTTTGAAGGTTGTATTGTTTTTGCTGGCAACTGCCACTGGCAGTAGGAGTACCAAGTTTATTACAAATAAACATAGGCTCCTCATCTTGCCGCTGCTAAAACATCGTCTAAACCCGGATGCCGTCAGATAGACGTTATGTTACAGCAATGCTAACAGGTGCAGATTGGTGTCTATGTGTTCGTTTTGCGTTTCGCTTGTACTGGAGTAGAGTTGAGTTCCCACAATTATTTCAATATATATTTTGCCGAATCCGGATGCAATTCTCTCTCCGTCCAACTTGAATTTTTGGACCGGTTTGTAATCGTTGACAGCTAAATTGCTTTAGACCAATAAAAGATTCGTCTTTGATGGGTGATTACGCACGCTTATTTACACATTGATGCGGAACATCGTTATAACCGTGCCGTCACTCATCGTCGTCGCGCCACAGATGTGTGTATGGCCCCAAGCATACGGTTAGGTCGCAAATAGCACCTCGTAATATTGTATATAAAACGCATAACGTATACACAAATGTAGCCACAATTTGGACATTTTGAATCTTTCGCTTGATGTTAGGAAGATCGCGCAATCGGCCTTGCCGCAGTGTTCTCTATTTTCTCGAACAATGCAGCATCTGTTCGACTACTCGTTGGAGGAGCGGTTCGAGGATATGACGGTTAGTGCGTTGTTCTGAATTATTGACCGTCGTTACCCATATTAACATCCTTTTTTGACTCTTTTTGACATTCCATGCAGGACGCTATACGTCATGGCAACTGCGAGGAGTGTAAACGTTCAAAAATTCGGAGATTGGAGGCGCGAGTATCAGCTTTCATTCGCGATAAGCGGGAGTGTGATGCAAAGAGGAACGAATGTACCAGAGTTTGTGATACAAGCGCGTTGGAAAACTATCCATTCGGACGTACGCCTTTTTGTCCTCTTTGATATCTGTTTACAGGAAAACATCGTCAAGACGTACGTCTGGAATTCGTACAAACGTCGGCAGACGCGGATAAAACCCAATCTAGTAACGCTGATGAGGCGGTCGACTGTAAGTGTATTATCTGTTTAATCAATTCGACCTTAGTTGATCGGATCGCCCACGGGCGACATTTTAACGTTGAGGCGTACGTGTCCAAACTTGGAAGCGATGATCTAAGGCTATTCAAGTCACAGCTGAGCGATATTTCACGCAAGAAGAAACGACGCATAACTTCTACGACTAACGCTGACGACTTTGCTACAAGTATATCAGATGTGGACCTATCGACATTGAAAGCCCACAAACGCTGCTCGCGGAAGCCCAGCGTGCGCGCTGATGAAGTACAGCCCAGGCAAGATAAACATCGCAAAATCGCCAAAGCTTTGAGTACCTCTGAAGTAAAGGCTCCGGTTGAAAAAGAGGCATTGGGCAACAAAGCTCCGGATTCCGCGGTTCAACCACCGCAACCTGAGCCGACACCATCGGTGGAAACACCCGTGACCACAAAAGGAAGCGAACCCGGAGCAACAGGTATTCTGTCCGATGTTACTCAGGCATCGGAGCCAGTTCCCAGTACTCCCCTCCCTCCTCCTCCTAAAGACTTGCGGAAGGCCGAGTCGACAGAAATATTCGGAGCATCTACACTTGAGAAGTTGAACTTTTCGATGCCTGTTGGCAACCCTCTGTTCGCGCCCAAGGCGGTTGATGCTGCCCAGTTTAGTGTACCGAAGGCGCCTCCTATGTTTGTGTTTGGAGTTCAGTCCAGCCAACCGCTGGATTCCGGTGCTCCATTCGCCGCAGCACCGCCACCTCCAGTGCAGACTCCGCATGCTCCGTTGGCAATGCCTCCACCAGTTCCGCAGTTTAACATCCCTGGCTTCTCTGCTGTGCAACTGGATCAGCAAGCCTCATCGGTTCCAAACGCATTCGCAGCGACTTCTTTCCCCAAGGCCAAGCGTGGCGGAATGCGCTACCGGGGTGGGCGGCGCTAGCGCGAGCAACCATGAACTCAGTTTAACGTGCCCGGTGACACATGCTTCTTTTAATGTCACCCATATTAGCTTGATAGGTCAGGCACGCCCTCCTAATAGCCCTGCGGCTTTTAATTGCGGCAACGCAGACGGCATATCTACGTTAGTAATAGTGTGTGTAGACTATGCCGTATTATGACCTTCCATTATTGCCGAGCTCGTTGAACAACATCTAGCGTGGTAGTTGATTACTAGATCCGGTCAAGATGGCGCAATTGAGTAGATATTTACTGAACATGAAACGTCTGACCTATTCTGCGCGTTTTTTGCGGCCTCCTGGATTCTTCAAACGCGCCGAAATGCGCGAGAAGCCCAGACGGAAAACAGGTCCTTTTGAGAACCCAGTGAAACGTTTGGTCCGCCTAAAGGAGCAGGAGCGCGTGTTCTCACAGGTTCCGCTGGAGAGGTACGCCGTGCATGCCCGCCTAGTTCACTTGTATCCAGGAAGGTCCCAGTTGCCAAATCGGTGACTACTCAGCTTTTGAAAGGGGTTGAAGGGGTGCCGCAAGTGTCTGCAGAGGTGTTAGAACGGCGTCTGGAATTTTTGCTGTCGCCTAAGGCAGTTGATCAGCAGCTGAGCGCGAAGCTGCGGCCCGGTTTGACCCCATACTTGGCTGAGCTTTACATGTGGGAGCGACAGATGCGTGATCTTCGTCGGATTTATCGCGCTCAATACCTTAAGACTCTGGCGTCGGTCACCGATTCCGAGCGCTACCGACAGTATCAGCAATATTTATGCACATCGCAAGGTAGACGCTGGAAATCAATGTTACCATGAGTGCAGAAAATCGCAACAAAGCCGAAATGAAACGGAGAGCCATATATGCACGCGTCAAGGAGCGAGCAGTACGTTCAGATATGCTTGTTTAATACCTGCATTTGCAGGTTTTGAAAGATACCATGCGCATTGAGAAGCGCGTATCGCAGGCCATTCAGCTGGAACGCCTGTCTAAAAGAAAGATAGGGAACGTTTACTTCCTGCACAAACTGCAAAAGGGATTCGACCGAGCTGACACTCCAGAACTATCAACTGCGCCTCATGAGCGGTGGGAGTGTTTGTGATAATCGCTGTTAAAAGTGCAGGGACGTCTCAGTGGTCGACTTAGCTAAATATCTGGGTCACCCCGTCGAAGACGCCAGCAACGCCAAACGTCAAATCAAAACTGGACGTCACTTTTTCAGGTGCTACATGGTAGTCCCCGCTTAACGTTGTTATAGGGAGATTCTCAAGGAATCTTTTGAGCTGATGCCTGAGGATTCCGACAGATACGAGGTTCATGTGGAGCCGTCGAAGAGTCCTTCGGAGCGCGCTGCTGTCGCGTACAAGTTCTTTACAGGTAATTTTTTGAGTGTTGTGTGCAATACCTCGCGAAGACGACGAGAAGCTTCGCTTGCTCGAGGCTAAAATTGCAATGTTGAATGAAAAGATCGACAGCGACTCCAAGTTACACGGGAAATCGAAGGACAACTTATATATTCAGATACGGGACCATCTGGACGCTGCTCGGGTAGCGCACATGGTACGTTGCCTTTTCCCGTTTACCATCTTCGTCAGGAATCAAAGCAATTGCCACAAATAAAGTCTACTTAATGTCGTATTTTCTTCGCTGTTGTTAGTCATCTCGTGTACGTGATAATGGTCGTTTCTGCGGCCAAATGTGTGGTTCATTTTGTTGCACTCTGAATTTCGTTTCTGAAAATGAAGCTGAAAATCAAGACTTTGAATAACCTGGAGGCGGAGGTTGACGTGGAGGCGGGTGTAACCGTGGCGGATTTGATGAAGGCTGTGGAGGCTGCTCTGCCGTCGTTGCCGTCGGACCGTCAGAAACTGATCCACTCTGGGAAGGTTTTGAAACGAGAATTACGGCTCTCCGATTACTCTGACATAAAGGAAGGAGACAAGGTCATCGTGATAACGTCCAAGCAGGTGCGTTTCAGTTGAATGTGCACGTTGGTTTTTATTTCTCGGATTTTTCGTGGATATTCTCAACCATATATTTCCTCATATCTGTCGCAGCCATCCACTGTTCCCACCGCGCCAGCTGTTGAGCAGCCCGTTTCATCTACCGAAGTGCAACCTTCTGCGGCGGCTGAGTCTACGGAGCCTTTGGCCTCTGCAGCTTCAAGATTCGTTACTGGTTCTGAGCTCGAAATGGTTAGTTGTGTGCTATTTGAGCGGTGTATATCGTATCAAAGATGTGAGTTGCCGTGTTCACTTTCACTTCTAATTGGAAGTGGGCCGTAATGCGGTTCTGTTAGATGGCCACAGTTGTATGCGTAAAATTCATATAACGCTACATACGAGCACCTATTGTTGGTGTAATTATGGTTTTGATGTCAAAGCTAATTTTGAAACAGAACATTTCCCGTATTTGCGAAATGGGTTTCCCGCGCGCCGATGTGGAACAGGCTATGGCAGCTGCTTTTAACAACCCTGAGCGCGCTGTTGAATTCCTTTCTACAGTAGGTTAAAGCCGTCGTGTTTTAAAGTTCCTTAGGGTAACATCCCACAGTCTAATGACCTTTTGCTAAATTCTAACGTGGAGGACAACCAGCCATCGAATAATGCGACGCATGCGACGAGGCCGGTTAGTTTGCGCCTCCACACACGGAGTCGTGTGATCGATATGCCTCGTTTTGAGTATGGTTCAGGATGGCTCCTTGCAATCGATCCAATCGCATCCCGCCTTCCGCCAAATGAGACGGGCGCTTAACTCTGACCCTCAGATGCTGCAGCAACTGCTCGAAAACATCGGTAGAACAAACCCGGAGTTGCTTCAGGTGGGTTATAGACCGTTGTATGACATGTTGGGTGTGTTTACATTAATTGTGAATGTCGGCCACACCGTCGCACCTAATGGAGCATCCTGACACCCGAGGATGCCATTTTATCGTAATTCGACACGGTGATCCGCGTTTTAACGGTGATGCGCATAAAAGTGTGAAAAGGAGCTTGTAGTGCGGTCTAAAATACGTATGTGTCACGATACATTTCGTTTGGTTCCGTAATGATTGCACAATACGCAGAGCATAGTGGAGCACCAAGACGAGTTTATGAACATGCTAAACAGTTCGGGCAACCCAGATCCGTATTCCTCCTCTGAGGAGGGCCCTGCCGTTGTCCATCTGACAGAGGAGGAGCTGGCCATCGTCCAGCGGCTGGAGGGCATGGGATTCCCGCGTCCCGCAGTAATTGAAGCGTTCTTAGCCTGTGACAAGAACGAGGAGATGGCGGCCAACTATTTGCTCGAGAATGCCAACGACTTCGCGTCCGAGGAGTGACTGCTGCACATCCGCAGTCCGCACTCGGGGCAATAAGCGACACACTTCGGTTTATATTATGTTGCGACACCCCCCAATTTTTGTGTTCAACGGTGTGCCTAAAGTCAGCGGCGAGGTGCGGTGCCGTGTACATTTTCCGGTGAACACTATCCTATGGGGTTGGCCAACGGGTGTTTAATTAGACACGTTCGTGGGTATTCCAGCACACATTTCGTGATTTTGTGTTCTACGGAGGGTGTACCCTCATGATGCACACGTGAAACATTTTTGGGCGCGCGTCTTGCTCATTCTGCTGAAGCTGGAGGTGTAGCTTAACTTGCTTAAACCTTGCAGGCGAATTTGCATCTACGCAATCGGAGGTATACATTTGAAAGGTGTTACGGTCCTGGCGTGTCTTTTTCAACGCGACATACGTAGGGCTATAATATAGCTGTGCTTTCATTTTCTTTACGTTTAGAGTGCATTCAGCGACTCGTGAATTTTTACACTCACGCCTCGTGGTACAGACGCGTCTCGTAAAACTTCGAGTGAAATATCGGCGTCTGCAGTATCTTCTTATAACGTAGGGGGTGTGGTTGGTGGCCGTTTGCCACTTAAGAATGTTAGTAGTGCTACATTAAGCACCAATTTCGGATCCAGCGTATTTTTGGGCGAATCTACAAGTATGTTTTCTGATTCGAGAAGACAGTCTACATCGTCAGTGTCGACTGACTTGGTCGACGAAGAGGGTTTCGAGCGCGTTCTGTCACCTGCAGAGCGAAGGTTGCTGCGTAAAAATGCATCGGCTGCTGCTGCTGCGCGTGATGGTAATGCTGGCGTTATGAATTTTGGATCGCTGTTGAATAAGTTCCAAAGTCGTATGAAGAAGCATGGCATTGATTTTTCGTCCTTGCCCTTAACGCCCGATTCGGCTGCTAAATGTGAGTCGAAGGAGGAGGAGCTGCGAGACTTCATTCGTGAACTTGACAATGCGTTCAAATCGGCGCCTTTGGGCGTGGCGAAACCTATCCAGTTCAAGACATTGGAGGAGATCGACAAGCGTATTCGCGATGTGACGGAGCAGTTTAGGCGCCTGAAGACTACTCGTGGGAAGCCATCTGGTATCAGCGCCGAGGAGCTTGACACTGCCACCCAGGAGAACGAGGTCTACATGGCCCATCTGCGTGAACAACGCACCATTATGGAGGGCTTCCAGAACATGAAGGCTTTCCAAGCCACGTTATCTCAATACAAGAAGGCACTTTTGGATGTGCTCTCTTTCCGTGCCGAAGCCGAACGACGCGCCGCATCTAACGCTCTGAATGGCCCAAATTCTGCAGCCACTAGGGCTGCCCGTCAACAAGAGTACATTTGCGGTATTCTGCGTAGCATGAAAGAAGAGAAGGGTGCGACCCTCGATGTGTCGGCGATTACTAAATCTGAGGTGATGATAATGGCCACTGCGAACCGCTTTCAACCGCCTCATAACTACCTGCGCCGCATTAAGGAAAAATTCTGTGTCCACATCGACCCCATCGATTCGTCAAGTTCAGAGCTGTCTGCACTTCATTTGACCGTTCATGGCGAGGAGAGCGACGTTGAGAACTGCGCAAAGTTTTTAAAATCGTTGGAATTCCATTCTTCGAAGAGGGTGGTGGTCGAATCCGATCGTCTGAAAAAGGCCTTCGGCGGCATATCGGGCCTCTCACAGCTTGAGGAATCATTCGGAGTGCTCGTCTTTTACTACCAGGGTATTCTCGACATGATTGGCAGCAAAGATGGTCTGAATTTGGCGTCCAATTATGTGGAAGAAAAAATTGCCAACATCGACAATAAAGAGAACAGCAGCAAATCGGCCGCTAAGGTTGTTAGCAGCGTGCCTACCACGCTTGCGGAACACAATGCCCGTAAGGTCGAAATGCAATACGACTTTTTGATCTGCAAAGCGCTGTCCACGCGTTTTAGGCCCACAGTTCGCACCGTGGAAGCTGACTTGGGAGTTACGGTGTCGTTCGATGTATCACCTAAGGAGGCAAAGGGCACTATCTACGTGAACGCTGACAGCGCTTACCGCCTGACGGCGGTTGCGCCCGAGGAGCGCATTAAGCAGGCAACTGCAAAGTTGCGCGACTTCATCGCCACCCTTGGCAGTCGGGAGGTTCCGAACAGCTCTGATGAGGACATTATATCGTTCCTTTTCTCCGAGGAAACCCTCCGCAGCCGCTTTGTATCCCAGGACTTCTGCCTTTTGCGTTACAACGGCGTTGTTTACGTGGTTGGTGTAAAGGACGCATTGAAGGACGCCGTCGTCCGCGTTTCAACCGTAGTGCGTTACAGGGAGCACAAACCGAAGGAACTTTTCGTTCCCATGGAGAAGAGCTTGCTACTCTCGAGCTCTACTTTGTCCGCTGTCGAGGATTGGACAAGCGTTACAATAATGATGCGCGATTCGATCAACGGCTTTGTGCTCAAGATTTTCGGCAGCCTTGACCAACAAGAAGAATGTGTAAAGCAGGTGAACGAAATTTTGAGCACGCATACTGAGTACGCGTTTGATCTTTTCCCCGCGCACATGGCTGTTTTGTCAGACAACAAGTATCGCATGGTTCGTGACCTTGAGCAGCAGAGCCAGGTACGCATAATCTTGAACAAGGAGAACAACCAGTTGGTGTTCCACGGGCAGAAGGAAAGGGTTGACGAGGCAGTGAATATCATGAAGGCGTTCACTGGCAACTTCGTGTGTGTCGACCAGACCAAAGTCAGCGACATTACCCTCACCGGCGACTTTTACGCGTGGCTGCGGGTTCCCAGGCGACACGTCGGCGCTATCATCGGTAAGGGCGGATCGACCCTTCGCGATATTATCGATTCCTCCGGCCTGCGCAATATGTTCGTCAATCGTAGCGACAGCTCTGATGAGATAGTGTGCCTCGAGGGCAACAAGGAGTCGGTGCAGCGGGCGTTGGAGGTGTTGGGAAACATTTTGGAGTTTGACGGCGTGAACCAGAAGGACCAGCCGATCACGGACTCTTTTGTTGGCAAGTACAGCAGCGCTAACTCCGTACTGCGTAACAACACTACGGTCCTCGACCGTCGCAGCAGCAGCGTGCGTTCCGCGGGTGGTAAACCCATTGTATTCGACTGCCGTGACTTCCCTGTTCTCGGCAGCAAGTCATAATTGATTTTGTAACACTTCTATGTGCTTAAGTTACTGATAATACACTGTATCGATACATATTGCGGTACCGAACTTGCCAGGCAGATTACACCTCTGCGTGGTCGGTGGTGTGTTAAACTGGGTCCGCACATAACGTGCCAGGGACATTTTTTGATGGTAAGATATCTTCAAATTACATCTACGAGTTGGATGTGTTTTTGTGATAACGCGTACTACTATTTATCTTCATGTCTAAACATGTCACAAGAGTAACGAGGACCAATGCTTTCTTTGCGTGACTATATTTAGGCGACTGCGACCTCACAGTAGGGCACTACGCTCTGTGACGCTTTGTAGGGGTTGTGTATAGCTGCTGTAAGCGCCTTGGGCGCCATTTGTTGTGCGACTTGCAGCTCGTCGATGAAGGTATCCTTTTCATCTCTCGTCCATTGGAGTGCAGTTTTGTTGAGCGTTTTCTGCATCTTAGTGAGAGATACATATATGTGCTGCTTACTTCGAAAGTGTCGCAGTCGGCATCAAACGAACCGCTCTTCATCTTCGCAACAAGTCTCAGGTGATCCCGCAGGAGCGCGAGGAAGTTTCTCCTCGTCAAGTGCCAGTCCTTAATTATGTAGTATGCATGAGACAGGAATTCTGCGCATCTGTTAGCTTAGTGCTTTCATGGTCCTACTTATTGGGTGCAACCCTGCTAGTTCTGCAAGATGGCCGAGATACTCGGTGCACTCCGTCGACGGCTCCGGTTCCGTCTCGACCTGCAGTATAAATGACGATTGTCCCACAGAGTTAGCCTTCCTTACCTTCAAAAGCGACATGATATAGTTGACATCTGCTTGTTGTTTAGGTAGTTGCTCTTGCGATGCCATCAACTTGAAGTCCTTGAATTGGTCATCGGTGTTGATTGTTTCTGCGATAAAGGAGAATACGGCCTTAATGTCACACAAAAGCTTTAACCCAGCCTGAGTTTTGCGTAAATATGGCGTATCACCTTACCCGTCGGTCAAATGCCTCCGACTGCTCGGCTGTCAGAAAGCAGTTGGCTTGTTGCTGCTCTAATTTCACAAGTTGTGGTATCGCCTCCTGAACTACGAATGCCCTGAGAATGTTGACTGTTGCTGCAGCGTCACGTTACCTTTTAGGGTCGATTCGCACCTGTCTTTCGGGCTTGTACTGTATGATGTTGTTTACAGCCGGATCCAGACGCTCCCAGTATTTCATGCGAAGCTCCTTATGGAGCTGCTTGTGGAACTCTGACCTTCTCTTTTTTTCCTCACGCGACGTGCGTTTGGTGACGGTCGGCTTTCTAAGAAATGGTCTCAGTGCTGTATACCCAAGTGCACAGTGTCTTCTGGCGTGTATGTATGTCGCACAGGAAATGTGTAGTATCAGCACTGTGACCAACGATAGTAGCACCCGTTTTAGCCTGAACATGGGACTGTAATTCGATGGAATCCCGTTTCATTCTCACGCTGGGGGCAGTACAACGTCTCGGTTGTATCTCGTGTGTTACGCCGCGTCGTGACCGCGTACCCCTCGGGCCGCTTCTATCAGTTTTCGCATGTGTTTTCCGTCGTGCGTAGATTCGTCGCGCACGGCGGCAGTTATTTCTTAATATGTCTGTTGTCTAGCCTTCGGTTACCGCGATGCATACGCGCGGCAGACAGGAACGCTATCGCATCCCTTCTGATCAACTGGTGAATTTCTCACGTTACGTTGTGCGACAGGAGGTTGGTTAAAGCCGAGTGTTTAAGGACTTTGCAGATTCCGGCGAGGAGCGAATGTGTGACTCCTGCGCCTTCTTTTCGGCCAGCGCAGCGCAATCTGCGCTGCTACATCGCTGACGTTGGGTTACCGCCGGAGGAGCTACCGATATCACGTCCCAAATTGACCGTTGGTGGGTGGATGTGCCATGTATTATAGTGAACGCAGACTGGAGCATGGTCGATTTGGTCGACCTTATGGTTGATGAAGATAACCCGGTAACTTGTCCCATATGCCTCGACGAATCGCTAATTGCTCCTCGTGTGGCCCGTTGTGGACATGCGTTTTGTTGGCTGTGCATTTTGAAATACCTAAACTTCAATAAAACTGCTGACAAGTTTGTTTCCCACCATCTGCCGTTATGCCGTACAGGAAGCCATGTCCGCTTTGCCAGCAATCGTTGAACCGGGTGGACTTGAAACCTGTTCGCTTCCAGGTATGTGATAGTAGCGTGCATTCATGCGAATGGTATTTTTGGCTGTTCAGTTTTTACTCCCAGTGCATTGACGTGTTAATCACATCCCTACTTCTGCATTTAATGCTGAGAGTTAAAACACATATATCATGCTGATTCCGTCCAATTTTCGCTAATATGACAACGCATATCGGCTATCTTGTGACCTCGCCTTGTTGTGCATCACGTGCCACAATTTTTCGAGTTGTTTTGTATTGTACTCCTAAAGGAAGATTTGTCTTGTGACGTGATTTGGTTTGTATTCGTGATTCTGCGTGAGCCAGATAATTTCTCGTTAGGTGAAACAGAAGCCCACAGTGCTCACTTTTGCGCTACTTACGCAAGAGGAGAATGCATGTACTGCCGTGCTACACCCAGACATTTGCGAAATGCTGTGTGGCACCCGTGTGTTGCGTCCTGTCAACCAAATCGCATCGTCGGACTCGCTCGACATTCAGTTTTGGGACGTTGCCTACACCGACCAAATGAAGTTGCGTGAACTTTTGAAGAACGACTTCTTGGCCCTGGAAAATCTCGCGCTAAATACTCAGGAAAGCGACGGCGCGACACATGATGCCATAGTGGAGGTATGTGGATGTCGTGTTTGTTATACCGGTTTAGGCCCTCTCCCACCTTAACAGTCATGGGATCAGCGTTGCTAACACTGATATGCCCTCTTTTACGAACGATGCGGACAACGTGAAAGAGGCGGTTTCGCACCTGCGTAACGTGGCAGATTCGTACGTATATGCTTCGTGCAGCGAATCCGACCCTAACCTGGAAGGTGACGGTCGTACGAAGCACTACTGCTTTTACCAGTCGGTTGACGGTTGCAAGGTTCTGCTGCATCCCATGCTGCTGAAGTGCCTGTGGCATTGTTGCGGTCAAAGAGTGAACCGTTTACCGCTGTTCCTTGCGAATCTGCCCGTGTTGGGTCTTGAGGAGATCGTTGTATCAGGCATGATGCGCCGGCGTTACAATTGGTTGAGCCACTTTCGCATGGGTTGCAAGGTGTATTTGGCGCATGTTCCACTTGAGAGCTATGTGCCTCCACCAAAACTAGCTGAGTTCATGCGCCAGCGTCAGATCGCAATGGATATGAAGATGTCCAAAAAGCTGCAGTCGCAGGAGGACACGTAGTACAGATATGCCGGATGGTCGGGTTTTGCCTTGCTTTTTAAGCAAAAATATCGCTATTTACACAAAACAATGTAATTTTCACAAAATTTCTCAGTCTGCGCACACCTTGCCCCCTACACGTTTTTGCCGGATCGTGGTCCGGCGAGGGGCGTGTTAACACCGTTGCGATTGCATAAGTTGGACCGCCTTTCGCAGTGTTAAAAACGCTTGCACGCTCTATACTAACTTGACGACTGATAAGACGTCCGCTCAAAGTAAATGTTTTGCGAGCGGGGCCTCCGTCAGCACTTTACAAGCATGGCACGACATGAATAGTTTGTCCGTATTGTGTGTTTTTGCGGTAATATTAGATTTTGAGTGTTCACATGGAGTCACCTGGAACTCCCTTTTCATTGCAGTATTTGTAGTGGAGTTCGTTGACGTCCTGGTAGTCTACGATTTTGGTCCACCCGTTTTCGTGGACATGGTAGAGGTTGACGAAACCGCCTGAGTAGGCATCTCTGTGCGCTGCCTGATATATAGCACGTTTGCCGAGTTCCACTGCCTCCTCTAGGGATAGGTCGCTGCGAAAAAAATATGGGCGTTAACTGAAAGATCCTCACCTCCTGTAGTGTTGATCGATGACACCATAGGCAAATAGAGATCCGGATCCCACACTGAATAGCTTCCCAGATACTCTTTCGCCACTGTCACTGATATAATACAGACTAGGCCCTTTGCCTTTATCCCATCCGGCGATCATAGTTCCGGCCGAGAGTCCGTACCCTCTGAAATAGAAGAACACATTAGCAAGCATTTGTGCCGCGTGTGATACAGTGACCCGCTCCTAAGAATACATTAGCATGTGTATAGACGCAAAAACATGACGTAATTAAGCATTCTCACGTGCACTGGCGGAGGGTGTACCTCGGCAGTATTGCGTTTGAACATACCTGGTTGCGGAGTTCGTGAAGCCGGCATAGCTTCGCCACGTGCCTTTCCCAGTAAGTGCAATCAGCAGCTCCTCCGGCCATAGTTCCCAGCAAATAGGAGTTGATTTCGATGACCTTGCTGATGTTTTGCGTGGCTATGATGGATCCCATGGAGGCCCTGGAATCGACCGCCAGAATGACACCTTTGTCGAAAACAAAACCAAGTGTCGTTGTACCCTTTTGAAAGTTGAATAGGTCGTTGCCGCTTGCCTTGCTCATGGCCTTGATGTGGTTTACCTGTTGCGGCCATTTGCAAGAAATGGCTTTCGTTTGCGCGTACCTTTTCCAGCGGATAAAGCTGAAAGCTCCTTTGCAGAAACTCTGTCGCGGTGCCCGGAGCCTCCATGGCTTCGTCGCCCGGCACTGGTCCCTCGACGTCGATCATGGTGACTTCACGAATCCTAACTGTGCCCTCTCGCGGTGACGTTAGCAATTCGTGTCTGATTAATGTGTGGATAGAGCCGCGTTTCTTACGGCAATTAGGTATGTGTTGTTACCTGCGTTTCGATGTCCGTTAGGAAGCGCCCGTTGCGGCGTGCGCGCCTCACCGGCCGATGCGCGAACATCACAACCAGTACTACATATAATTCTCGCTCGGCAAAACCCACTTATCACAGTGTCCACATCATTCTGATACCTCGTGTGGATGTCAATGTGTCGTTGCGTGTAACGGCGATGAAAGAACTCTATCTTCCGTCCTCGTCCTATTTACTATATATTGCGCTCATAATCGGTGTATCATTGCACTTCATTAACATCAAATCACAATTAGTTCGTGCGATAAAGGCAATGTGTAGAGCAATATGAGTTCCATCCCACGGCTTTAAGCCTCTGCGTTTAATAGGTCTGCCTTGTCTTCTGGAGGCAGCTTGGCTGTCCGGATCCTTTCTGCGTAATCGTCCGCTTCCAGATACTCTCGCTGTTCCTTTATGTGGTTTTTCAGCAGCTCCCGAATGCGTTCGTTTTCCACGTCGAAATGGGAGAACGCCGCAAGGGTTGCGATAGCGTCGTTGGTTAGGAATCTCCCTACGTGTCTAGTAACGCGCTCTGCCAGGTTTTAAACTCCCCAAAGTATTTTTACCTCCTATTGCGTCAAATAGTGTTTTGTCGTACACGTTGAGGGCATGATATCTGCTCGCCAGCAGTGCAATTTCTTCTGTGAGAAATGCATTCATGTGGTGCGTCGTGTGAGCAGCCAGCTTTCCGAGAAATTGCTCATCGCGATCCTGCGAATATGTGACACGATACACGAATTGTCAATACGGCCACTCCGCCGCGAAACGAGTCCCCGCCATGTCACAGGGTCAGACATGTATGGGTCACCTGGCACAATGACTTTCACTTGCTATGTAACAGTAGTGTTCATCTAAGTGGTACCGAAAATTGCTTCGTACATGGCATCCACTGGCCAACAAAGACAAGGCACGAAGCCAATGGTGAGTCTATGTTTCTTACCTTGTACCTGGCAACGGCGTTGAGAATCATGCATATTTCCGTCGGAGTGTTCAACTCGTACATTCTTTGGTTTATTTCTGTCTTCAAAGTCTCATAGAGTGATTGCTCCATGAGGCCAGCCTTTACATAAGCCGATATGATCATTGCGAGGTGTTGCTATTGTTCCGTGAGCTATGTCATAACCGTTGTGCCACCCACCGAACTAAAGAACGCAACCATGTGTACTATCCTCTCCCTTAGCATCTCGTAGAGTCCAGCGTCGGCTCTCAAAACTCTGGTGAGGGCGTTTACCAGCAGTGCGATATCAATTGGAGTGAGTGAGGCTATTTTCTACGAATGAGATTACCACTCTCTCCACTAACCACTTTCGCCTCTTCTATTAATGCCGCCCAACGTGAGTCATCGTCTATACGGTGACGTGCCATTTTCTTTGCTGTCACGCCTATGGAATCCGTGTCGCCGTGTTGCTGCTTCCAGTCCTTGTGGCGTGCTGAGAAGGATAGCGATGTTGTTTTTGCGCACAATGCAAACACCGATCAGTCATACTACTATGTAGCGTGTGATATAGCCAGTGTGTCACTAAGCGTCACAGAGTGTTTTTACCTGTGGAATCCTTTGCCTCGCCAAAGGGCCTCCATCTGGAGGCCCTGTCTATCGTTGCGAAGCGCCACGGCTGAGACAAACGCAGTCTCATGTGCGATTTTTATTTAATGATAGCTTTTGCGTACGAGCACAGAGAGCAGTGCCGGCTACACACCTCATGCAACGAGTGGTTACGTTAGGTATATTTAAGGGCTTGTTTTGCGCCATTACGCGGCCATTCTGTTCAGTGCGATTTTGACTACAACATACAGTACAGAGAGAGTTGTAGCGGTTAGAAGGGTAAGCTTCATCATTGCAACGCTCCCCTTCTGCGTGGCGGTGAGTGAAATGTCATTCACAAGCACATTTACGGTATGACCGTGTTTTATGACCTATTAACTCCACATACCTTGTTTTGCATCAGCTTTGACATGTTGCCGAGGCCATCTTTGACGTATCCTTGTGCTTCGTCCAATCCTCCTCGCTGCAGTCGCATGGTTGGCTTTACTGCTTGATTCCTACCAGTGTGTCGATTCTAGTCTTAGAATACTTGAGCTCGGAGTGTAAGTCGGTGCTGACCTGAAGGATTGTGAGCTTTTGTCGTTGGAGGCGTGTGTTATCGGCGCGTTGAAGCGTGCTGTGTTTATAGGTTACACCGTACATTTTTTAGTTGGTCAATTTTGCCCTCGAGGTCCAGCAAAAACACATCCTCTGTGTTAGTGTCCTGTCGCCTCTGCTGGTTTTTGGCCATGCTTGCGTTGGCGGCGTGCATCCTTGAGGTCATCTTTTGACTTTTTGTGTGCAATTGCTATTAGATTTAATATACAATCCTTAAATACATCTCATTTTGTTAATTTGGTGGAAAATGTGCGCTTAATTAACTAACGCAGACAGCACAGGCCTGAGAAAGTGCCTGACCCGTTGTGGCGCAGGTTGACAGCTCCTGCATTGGCATTAGACAAATCACACAACAGTCGTTTGGATGTGAATGCAAGACTTACTTCTCATTGAGTTGATGTTCGCCTGTGGCCCCTTTTTTACTCCGTACACCCCCGATTCGATGTCGAACATCCCTCGCTTTACGTTGTCGTAAATCAATGACGCAGTAGTGAGAAATGCTTCTTCCACGTTGTAATCGCCTTTAGCCGACGTCTCCATGTAGATGAGGTTGTTTTCTTCCGCGAAGGCCTTGCCTGCGTAGAGATTATTCAATGTCTATCAGCATATTTTGGGTGGGTGTGCAGGATGCCGCTGAGCGTGTGGCGCAGATGCATGTTCCTCTGTGGCGAACCATCTGGGATGGTCTTTTGGCCGTTGATAGGGCAATTTGCGTTTCGGTCGGGCCGTCTGGAACAGCATGCCGTACGAAGCCATCCGCCACTATCCGCATCAGCCCTGCTATGCACCCATTTAGTTCCTGTTGACCATTGATGCGGATTATAACATACCTTCTTCGTACTCAACTTCTCGGTTGCTGACGTCTGTTTTATTTCCGATAAGTACGATAGTCATGGTCGGTGAGCCATGGTCCTTGACTTCCTCCAACCACTTCGTCAGGTGTTCGAATGTGGAACGTCTGGAAATGTCAAAGACGAGGAGAGCACCTGCAGCTCCTCTGTAGTAGGACCGCGTGATTGACCGGAAGCTCTCCTGTCCGGCGGTGTCCCAGATTTGTAGTTTAATGGTATCTCCCCTGACGTTTATCAGCCTAGTGCCGAATTCGACACCTATGGTTAGGTCGTGGTCTGGTTTGAACCTCTTATCGGTGAACCTGAGAAGGAGACAACTTTTTCCCACACCTGCAAAAAGTTAATTTCTATCACGACATCGGGGAGTATCATTATCAGAGTTATGTCCAACTGCTTTCCGACCTATCTGCCGCTAAATGCTTTCCACACTGTTCGTTTCCATATCACCGGCAACGATGGCGTGTTAAAAGTTTAGCGTGCATTGGTACGGTGTCGTCGCAGTGCAGATTACTACTAAATGCCGCGTGTTGCCCGCTGCGTCGTTGATCATCGCAGCTCAAAGGCATCACACAGAGTCACACTTGCAGTCCTAGGTCACACAATGGACCTCTGCTTTGTGGTTGCGGATTAACTCGGCAGCGTTCAGTGGTCTGTAACATACCTGTGTCTCCTATGATAATATACTTGAAAAGGTATTTATACGACGACATTTTACCACATGTCTCAATATTTGATTAAGCGCTGCCTAGATTCCGCAGAGCCGATACTTAGCCTCGGTTCCGTGCGTACACATCGAGGTCGTCGTTCGCTGCCAGGGGCGTTCCGCGAGGGAGCGCCGGGTCGCGTTTCGGATTCTTGATACAGACAGCACTTATCGGCGCTATAAAACGGATTCTCTATGTGTATTCGTTTTTTGGTTTGGTCTAGTGTGCGGGTGGGGAATTAGATTGCATACACTGTAGCAAGTACGGCGAGGCGTACTCGTTCGTTTTTCTCCGGCCTTCCTGGACGTCAATGCATTCCCCCATGGTACTCAAACGATATTATGTAGCATAAACGCGGTGTTTTGGTTATACGTATAACCCCCGCTCCCTTTCACAATTCGGCGTGAGAACGCTCGGTTTTCATTGGTCTTGCATTTTGAGCGTAACATTTGCTTGTCATCTAGATGCGTGCTAGCAGACGTGATATATAGAAAATACACATTAGAACGAATATAGCGCGCTTTACAGTTTTGTCTACTTAACCGTGCGTTCAAGCTGTTGCTGCCTTCCGCATCTCATTACATTCCATTGTATTCCGATACGTCTCAGCACTAGTCATTTCCTCATACTTCGTTATTTGATACTTACTATGCTACATCATCGGCTGTTTTCCATTAGCACGCGTCGTGATTTGTCGTTAGGTGGCAATGTCGTAACTGGTGACATCCCATGACTGTTGAACCGTGGGCAATGTGCACATAAACAGGGCAAGTGACGACCAAGACGTATGAATTTCATATCATTGCTACCCGAAATCCAGCGGAAGCAGAATTGACAAGAGCATCCTCTCCATACTTTCCACGTAACCGACGTCCTAGACGTACACACACAAGCAACACGAGCTCCAGTGATGACAGATATTGGTAGACATATTGTGTCACCAACAGTATATACTATGGGACCAAACAGTTGCCGGTGTCACACGACGTCGCTGTTGCGGACAAAAAAGCGATATGCGCAAACAATGGCCTGCGATGTCCGATGGTGGCACACATTGAAATATCATACTGTAAACGTCGCTGAAAACTGGTGTTGTATTGCTATAAAAGTGTGAATTGCTGCCAACGTGTACGACAGGCAATGGATGATTCCATAAACCTCACCATTACCTTACACTAAAGCCAGAGACACACAAAGTGTTATTACTACATTATTTCGGCAGGTGCAATATAATTCAGTGATATAGCCTGGACACGATTATTCGCAATCGCGCCTCAGTGTGCCACATGCGCCTTTAAATTTACTGCTGCGCTGTCTACGAAAGCCGCCAGATAAAGTTTCGATAAACACATAGCAGTTAATATATGTTCGGCCCCGGATAACCCTTTTTGGGCTGTGCTGCACTTTCTCGCGCGATTTTCTTGCCACCTGCCGTACATGAGTGGCCCAATAATCCACTGTGTGATGCATGGTCACGCCATAATATTAAACGGTTTAATGTGTGGTTGATTCGCTAATTTATCGTCCTTTATTTGCGACGTTTCTATGCCACTTTACGGATAGGCTGTGCTTGCTGTGGTGTGTTTGGGTATATGCGTTGCGTGCTGTGTTACGTGGTTTACGCGCTGCATATTTCCCCATCTTATTACTGTCCTAGCTTGATTTAAACTCACGAAGCGTCGTTACTTTGAGATAGTGTGTCTTCACTGGTGCGGCCACTTTTTGTACCGGCCGAATTCGCTTCTGTAGTTAGGTGACACACGATTGCTTCCAATTCACCCGCTAGTGAGATTAACGTTAGGAGTTGTTAGTCTTTGAAGTCATCACATTCTCGAAGCATTGACTTCGATTATCCCACGGCCGTGCGGCTTTAGGGAAGATTAGAAGGCTGTTAGCATCAGCATCCGGAGCCGGATACGCCTTCGCGCCAATTTTCAAGCTTTGCCACCAAGATCGGCCTTGTGTACTAGTTTTACGTTGGATCTAGGATTCAGCATACAAGTAAGCGTCTGCTCGACGTCTTTTATCGGCCTGGGTTTCTGGAGAGTTATAACCTTACACGTAGCACCAACTTCACACGCACGAAGGTTAGACACGCTACCTGTTGCTATTTTGCGCGGCTGTGCGCGGCGCTTATGATTCGAATATCGATACTCTGCGTCGGACTAGGGACTCGTTATATTCCGTACGGTTTATTATAGGAGGGGGGTATAAGCACTCCCACTGTGAGATAGCGATACTCTTTCTGCCATGTCATCTTCAGCGAGTGACCGTGGGCCGAGGGGGTCCGATTCCCTCGGTTCTGACGGCCATAACTTTAACGAAAGCGATTTTGAGGCGTTCAAGATTTTTGCGGGGGGTCTGAACCGCAACACCACCGCCGAAACCCTGCGCGATCATTTCGGCCGATTCGGTACTGTAGTGCATTCTGAAATTGTGTCGGACAAGACAACGGGGCGTTCTCGCGGGTTCGGTTTCGTGACTTTTAACAATGATTCTGCCATGAAGGCAGTGCTTTCAACAAGTCACAAAATCGACAACGTGCTGGTCGATGTGAAGCAGGCAATAAAGAAGGAGCGAGCCCGAGATTTGGTCCCCATTCGCGAGGAAGTGAATCGTATTTTCGTGGGCGGTATATCAGACAGCGTTAGCGAGGATGAGTTCAAGGAATACTTCTCCAGATACGGCAAGGTTGTGAGCTACAACTTCATCGTCGACAAGACTACGAACAAGCCGCGTGGCTTTGGGTTTATCATCTATGACAACCCTGCAGACGTGGATAAGGCAATTGGCCACCACACCAAGCTCGGTCGCAACTGTGAGGCGAAGAAAGCGCAACCGCGGCCTGCACTGAGCAAGGGCACGTCCGCTCCCGCCCCGGAAAACTTTGATTACGCGGCGTACTACTACGCGCAAGCCAACATGATGTACAACCCGTATTTCGCCCAAATGTACGCAAATGGCCAGATGCCGTTTTTCAATGCCATGTACCCGTACAACTGGCAAGGAGGTGAGAACGGCGCGGAGGGCATGCCAGACGGCCGCCTGGCCGGAGAGGAGGAAGTACGAGGCAGCCGTGAGAAGCGGTACCACAAATCTTCCGACCATTACTCGAGCGGACCGTCCCGCGGTAACCACAGGAAATCGTCGCGCGCTGAGCCGTATTAGCCCCTGAGTGGGTTCTTCATCGCATGAGGACAATCTCGTTCACCCGCCAAATGGTGGATTACTTGTTTTGTCTGCCTGTCTTAAGGCATGGTTTGCTGTGCGGCGCACCAGTTACTCTAAGTCCGAGGGTAACGAATGTACGCACTATACCGCTATAATAGCACAACACGTATGTTTTAAGGTGGGAGATTCGTTGTGTCTTCATCCTTTGTTTGGGTGCATGTTTTATTTGACTTTCAATAAACTGTTATGCGTTTATTTACGTGGAGCTATGAATTGTTCGCGTGGCGTTCGAGTTTCCTCGAGTCCCCATTTTGGCGAACTACTCCTATACGCATATGAACGTTATGGACGTCGGTTCGCTACTGTCGCATAGCCATGTCGCTGGAGGACGGCAGAATCGCGCTCTCTGGTGTTGTGCAAGACGCGATGCACCCACCGGAGCAGAACGGCCCAACCCCTGCAGCTTGCTCAGTTAGGGGCAGTAGCAAGAGGTACATCATTATGTGAGACGGATCGGACTGCAACACCCTTCAACTACATAAATTGGATGACATGGCGGACGCTGTTCAGGCAACGCACCCATCATGGAGACGGTGTTTAAGGCGACGCAGCCGTACAACGCAGATCGCCACCGACAGGAAACGAGCGCCTAGCGTGCCAGCCATCTTCTAGGCAGCGAGCGAGCAACAAGCGACACAAGCAACAATCAAACTATCACAGCATTAAACACCAACAAAACTGTCTAAAATTATTTACATTATAAAGCGACCAAGGCGGCCCGAGCCGCCTGTTGACCGTTGTGGTCAAAGGGCACTTAGGTTCATCAGGCATCCGCACATGCGAGCCAACTAATTAATTTATCACGCTGCAAAGCAACATCTTCCTGTAATATACACGGTAGGAACATATCCCGGTATCCGGCAACAAAACCTATCTCCACAGGTGAGTGACATTGCATGGACACCCTACATCTGTGGGTCACTACATAAAACATCGCCGCTGGATGTGAATTCCCAAATTCACTTTGTTGTAATACACCTAGATTGATTACGCGGTTTGAGACAGAGTGGTGATCGTACCCTAGTAGGCCTCGCCCCCACCTAACCTTAACCGAGGCACGGGGTGCGCCTTCTAAAACTCATTGGCAATTTGCCAATTCTGCTCCTGCGATCTCGCCATCTAGCATAGGCTCGACCTTACTTCGGGTACGAATCTCACCGTATGTCGAATGATTAGTGCTCAGAAGCACAGGGCGCTGCCACATTTGGCATGCTGAGCACCTTTCCTTACGCTTTATCCTTAGGGCATGTTATGCGTAGTTCCCCTTAAACAATTCACCTTAGCAGACTCGATGCTGGGACAGTGCCTGATGTATCGTTGTCCCTGACGTAAGAACACCCTGCGCCGTTGAATTCCTTATTTCGGTATCAACTCGCTGGGATTTCATTGCGTAACGAATCCTTTCACTTCATCTGTTCTTGCACAATTTATGCGACTTTTACGTCAAAATCGCATTCGGGTTAGACAATTCATCCTTTTCGCTCTCAGCGTCCGAGGCCACGTCGGAGTCCCTCAAGTTCTTGGAGTCCGATTGGGAGCTCTCAACGTTTTCAACGCTGGTGGCGGTCACATCCTCCTCAACACGTTCTCTCGGGTCATTGCCAGAGTCAGTAACGCTAGATCCTTTGTCGAAATCCAAGCTGGAGAGGTGGCTCGAGTGACGCGTAGCTTGAGGACCCTCAGCATCGGTTTGCTCAGCACCTTCACCATCATTGTTGCTCATACCGTCTTGACGGTCAGCCTCATCCACATCGGTGACGGTCTCGTTGCCGGACTCGGCGACAGCTGCGGGGGATGGCTCTCCATTGTCGAGAGTGGAGTCGACCACTGAACCTTCGGCATCATCCTTAGCGCAGCAGAAGATGCGCTTGTACCACGGGGCACGGGTCTTCTTCTTTTTCGCAGCCTGCGCAGTGGGCGCCTGAGTAACCTGTATCACGGGCTCCTCGACAGCACCGCTCTTAGCAGATGCCACACTGCCGGCTTCCGAACCTTCGCCACGCTGCGATTTCTCCTCACCAGCTTCTTCCTCCTCATCGGAGTCGACGTATGACATACCATCCTCATCCTGCGAGGTAACACTCTCCTCATCAGTGGCGCCAACACCGGATTCCTCCTCACCATCCTCGTCAATCTCCGATGCCTCTTCAGCATCTTCCTCAACCTCTTCACCGTTTTCGTCAACCTCCGATGCCTCTTTAGCACTTCCCTCAACCGCAAACGCCTCGCCGGCATCCTGGGGGGCCTCGCATACCTCCTCACCATTTTCGTCAACAGTGCAAACCTGGACTTCACCGTTCGGCAAGCGCCTGACGACCTGGTCGGTCTTCGTCACACGGGCCCACTTGGAGTGGACCTTGACAAGACCAGGCGCAACCTCTTCCTCAGTGTCGTTGACGTGCACCCATCCAGAGTCACGGTTGAAGCTCTCCAATACCTCGAGTGCCTCCTCCCTGGATATGGTCGGGCTGCAACCGTCAGCCGGAGGAGCAACTTGCATGGGACCTGAGACATGTGTAACAGAAAACTTGGCCGGCTTACCTTCTTCCTCTTCACCTTCTTCGGCCTCGGTTTCTTCATCTTCCTCGCCCTCTTCGGCTTCGGTTTCGGTTTCTTCACCTTCGGTTTCGGTTTCTTCGCCTTCGGTTTCCTCACCCTCTACTTCTTCACCCTCGGTGCCTTCGGTTTCTTCACCCTCCTCATCAGTGTTAGTGCCACTAGAACCCGCAACAGAACCGCTAACGTTGGACTCGATCTCATCCTCACCGGATTCACCATCCGCCTGGGATTCACCATCAGTGCTACTGTCGGCGGAGACAGTAATAGGGCATTTCCCTTTGGCTGCGGGGGCTTCGACCTCTGAAACCTGGGTGTCGCCCTTAGCGCAGCAGAAGATGCGCTTGTACCACGGCATCTTAGGCTTAGGCCTTCCCCTCTCGATCTCACTCTCATCATCAGATGAGTCAGTTTCAGTCGAAATAGCGGACACCGAATCATGGGTAGACATTTCTTCCTCATCCTCAGAAGGCACATCATCCGGACCGTAGATGACAACGTCTGCTTCGTCTCCATCTTCGTCGACGTGCTCGTCACCTTCGGCGGTTTCAGCACCTTCAGTCTCAGCACCTTCGGTGGCCTCAGTAGCCTCAGTAGCCTCAGCAGCCTCAGTACCCTCGGCAGTCTCCTCAGGCTCTTCAGGCTCGGGATGCCAGGCAGTACCAGTGAGATTGTCGAACATAGCCTTCCTAGCATCTTCCTTGGCCTTCTCATGCTTGGCGTGTGTTTCTGCCTCCTCAGCATCCAGGCTTTCGAGCTCAGCCATGATGTCTTCATCCTGGATGAATCCAGGAGTCGTGAGTTCGTAGCCACCAACTGCGGAGTAAACATGCTCCTTAACCATGTAGAACTCAATGTCCTCCGCGTACTCTTCATGGCGCGCATGGACCTTGGCCTGGTTCAACATCTGCTGGAAGCGCCTCTCCTTATCCTTAAGCCTCTCATCCGCGACCAACTCGAGGAACGATTTCGGCCATCTGTATCCAGTGAGGGACACATCCTGCAGGAAGTCATCGTATGTGATGACTGGCGCGTCATCATCACTAGACGCAAGCACCCTCTCAAGCGCAGTCTGCTTGCCGTGGAGGGTAATGTACAACTTGAACTGGCCCAGACGAGGGTCACGCTGCGTGTCGATCATAACATCGAAGTCACGGAATTTATCGTCAGTGCAGCGAATAGCGACATTTTCAACCGAGAAGTAACGGTTAAGGTAGGACTTCTCGGAACGAACAGGTTGGAACCACTTTCCACTCCTTCTCCATGCCTTAATTTGGTCACTTGCGTAAATGATTACAAGGTTGTATCCCCCATCACCAAAGGCAAAAACCCTGTATACGCGTCCACCGTAAGGGGCGGTGTACAACACCTGGGTCCCCTTGCGCTTACCGTCCCTTACAGTGTTAACTACGGACGTAATATCCTCACCCCTCTTAGCCAAGTACACATTTTTGAGGTAACGATTACTATCATAAACAAGATGCGTAATGCCACGCGGCTGTTCGTGCCTGTTAATATCCACCGTCAACGGCTTGTTACCCGCGACGAGGGTGACGTAGGCAAGCAGCGCCGCCGCGAACGAAGCAAAACCGAACTTCATTTTCGATATATATATGTACCGACGGAGGCCTGCTTAGAAGCGGAATCCAGCGGAATGACCGCAGCCGAGATGGCCGCGCATGGCATGGGGTCGATACTGGGCATGTGAATTCCCCGGACAGTATGTACATACTCAAGGCCCGGTATCAGCACCACAAGGTTTTGAGCCAAAACGTGGCTGTTATCGAGCGCCTGGCTCGGGCCTCGCCGGTAGCGATTTATCCGCGTAATTTTGCTGTGGTGGATTTCAAAATTGGTGTGTTCGCTCGTCGTATATTGTATATCATGCAGTTGCTTTGTGTCCAAATGCTATTTCGACGGCTTCTCGATAGATCTTCCTTATTAGATTGTTTTTGACATGGTCGTTAGATGCGCGCTTTGACGTGATTCCGTCGGAAATGAGATTCCACAAAAATTGCCGAATGTATGAAGCATGTAGGCGACGTAGTAACTAAGCAATTTTGCTACATAAATCTGTTTGCCGCATGTTGCTGATTTTTGCCGTAAACATAGTCACACGGGACCTCGACACTAGCTCCGCTATGAGGTGTCAGTAGGCATGATTGCTGTCTGTCTTTTCACATCTACACGCAGAGGTTATGACTGCTAGAAATATAAGCTGGTGTTCTGGTCCGTGCTAGACCCACTTTCAGCGCTTCCGTCTCTGTCCGACCCGTGTTCGCGCCTATGCGCGGCCCCGTCGCCGAATGGCTCCTTCCTACGGCAAGGTGCGGATTCCATGGCAACATTTGGAATCGCCGTACTCTCTTGATGCCCTTTGCTCTATTTTGGCTTTTGCTGATGGGCATGATGCTTTCGCATCTATCCTTGTACGTGAGTCGTGCGCTTCCGTGTGGCGATTGGTATGCCGTGCCTATTCTCTCTGATACACCTTTAGCTGTCCACACTCTATGATGCGTATGCGTATAGGACGCGATCGGTATGTCTACATCTCATGGAACTCTGCTAGTGTACTACCATATTTTGAGGAACGACTAAAGCAATCTGGGCGTACCGAAGGTAATGCCCATACTCGCTATAAGTGCAACTAGCTCACCAACTAGGGTGTATGTCTACATGTAAGTGACGTAATGTGGACGTGAATCCATCGCATTGGACAGCGTGCTATAGTGGCGCTCCCCCAAGTAGCACCGCTTGAACAGTCTGCTGTCCCACTGACACTACCATCGAAGTTCCCACTGGCAACTTCTTCGTGTATTATGATGCAGTCTTAGACTACTGCTCTGTGCGTGTCTTGCGGAAGTTGTAGCCGCAGGTACCGCCAGGGGGTGACCACTGTTCCGGCGATGGCTGCCGAAGAGTACGCGCACGCACACGGGCATTCCACCATGAACTGCTGAGCGTATTTCCCCTATGGGATGATATGGAACAATGGTAGATCGGTCTAGACGCAGCGTAAGCAACATGTAACCTTCGCTTCAATCTGCTGTTAGCTGCCCGCCTACAACACGGCGCTGCGCCGAAGCCTTTCCGGTTGCCGTTCCATGTCGTGTCATTGTTGCACGCATGAAATGCACAGTTTGGTCATGTATCGGCATATACATTGCTAATTGAAAGAACAACGGTAATAACATTTAAAATGATGTCGGTAGAGCGTGTGCCCAAACAGCCTTTTGGCGCGTTGACTTTACATTGCGCTCAAAGGTGCTGGTTTCAAAATCACTGTCTGTAATACCTAAGGAGTCTCACTGCAAGAATAAGCCCGTTATTTCGTGCATATTCCTTCACGGAATTGCTTGTCAGCCATGTGTCTAAAACGTCCTTGATCAAATATGCATACGAAGTAGCATCGGCTGTCTTTCCTCAATTCGACTCTTCGCTCCAGGCAACTCCACTTCGCATCCGCACAGCAGAGAAGAAGGGAGCGCCGGGGTAATACGGAGACACTTCATTTTATTTTATCACATTCACTCCATTTCCCTCTTCATTTATAATGATATCAGCTGCTATATATGGACTTGCTTAATGCAAGTCTGTTCCTTTGCAAGCATACACTACCGTCACTAATTTCATGGCTTCTCCTTACAATATCTAAAAAACGAATTGCAAGCTGCCCAACTACACAATGCCACAGAGCATTTGTACGGTGATGTATTTATATTTATTCCTCCTAGTATTTTTGCTGTTTCTTAGGCTGTTCCTCTGAGCGCTGCTGAGTACTCCGAGTGCTCCTCAGACTTTTCGTCAGTGGCTGCCTCAACAGATTCCTCAGTGGCGGCCACGACGGATTCCTCGTGCTTGTGCATATCCTCAGAGGACTCTTCAACAGATTCCTCGAAGGATTCATCAACAGACTCCTCAGCGGGTTCCTCGAAGGATTCCACTACAGACTCCTCAGCAGCCTCTTCGACGGCTTCCTCAACAGACTCCTCAGCAGCCTCTTCGACGGCTTCCTCAACAGACTCCTCAGCAGCCTCTTCGACGGCTTCCTCAACAGACTCCTCAGCAGCCTCTTCGACGGCTTCCTCAACAGACTCCTCAGCAGCCTCTTCGACGGCTTCCTCAACAGACTCCTCAGCCTGCTCCTCGAAGGATTCCTCAGCGACTTCCTCAGCCTGCTCCTCGAAGGATTCATCAACAGACTCCTCAGCGGGTTCCTCGAAGGATTCCACTACAGACTCCTCAGCAGCCTCTTCGACGGCTTCCTCAACAGACTCCTCAGCAGCCTCTTCGACGGCTTCCTCAACAGACTCCTCAGCCTGCTCCTCGAAGGATTCCTCAGCGACTTCCTCAGCCTGCTCCTCGAAGGATTCATCAACAGACTCCTCAGCGGGTTCCTCGAAGGATTCCACTACAGACTCCTCAGCAGCCTCTTCGACGGCTTCCTCAACAGACTCCTCAGCCTGCTCCTCGAAGGATTCCTCAGCGACTTCCTCAGCCTGCTCCTCGAAGGATTCATCAACAGACTCCTCAGCGGGTTCCTCGAAGGATTCCACTACAGACACCTCAGCAGCCTCTTCGACGGCTTCCTCAACAGACTCCTCAGCGGGTTCCTCGAAGGATTCCACTACAGACTCCTCAGCGGGTTCCTCGAAGGATTCCACTACAGACTCCTCAGCGGGTTCCTCGAAGGATTCCACTACAGACTCCTCAGCAGGTTCCTCGAAGGATTCCACTACAGACTCCTCAGCAGGTTCCTCGAAGGATTCCTCAACAGACTCCTCAGCGGGTTCCTCGAAGGATTCCACTACAGACTCCTCAGCGGGTTCCTCAAAGGATTCCTCAACAGACTCCTCGACGGCCTCCTCGTACTTGTGCATAGCCTCTTCGTCTGCCTGCTCTTCAGATGATTCATATCCACCTTCACATTCTTCCTCGGATTCCTCATCCTCCTCTTCACAATAATGTTCCTCGTGCTCATCTTCAGATTCTTCATCAATTTGCTCATCCTGCTGCGCAACCCGGCAACCAGGGTTCAACTCCTCGAATCCTTCTACATACTCCTCCTCCTCTTCATACACCTCGTACTCGCCCTCATCATCCGAATCGTAAAACAAATCGTTCTCATCCTCAGTTTCCTCCCTATTATTCAGATATTCATTGAGAGACTCCGTGAGAGGCCTGCTTCCGCATAGAGGCGCGAATATCTTTTGGTGAGTTTGGAAAGGGAGCAGTGGCTTGACATACTCAGGCAGTTCCTCCACCTTTTGTATCTCTCTAAACTGGCCTCCGACTTTCTCAAAGAAGCTGATGCCGAAGGTTGAGTTGACAAAGACAAAGGATTCAGCCTCGTCAGCCCTTATCAGAACCAGGTATATCTCATCCTCATCCACGTCTTGGCACTCGAATATGGTGTCGTATCCATTTTTGACGACAGTCAGCTTATAGTCGTCTTTGGGGGTGACGGATAAGACAGTCATAGTGTCAAATTTGACATCCTCGAGGTCGAAAACTTCTTGGCTAGCGACATCTTGAAGATCGAGCGATATACGGTTCCTGTTTGGCTTGATGTCACGGACTAAGCACGTGTTCGCTTCAGAAGCACTGACAGGAGAAAAGGCAGCGATAAGCCCTAGGAAGAGCGCGATGATAGAAGTTCGCCTCATTTTACCGCCAGAAATGAAGGATTCTCAAAGGCTGCAAAAAACCCCAAAATTACAAGATATATTCCTTTGATTTACCTTTTACCTCCGGCAACAATGCTAAATCAGTGGACCTGTCACACACCCGACGTGCGGCAAATCCAACGGTATAAGGCGTGTGGTGGGTGTGACGAACGTTTCGCGGCGCAAAACCAGAGCGTTTCACTTATATCTAAAGATGCAACTGCATGTGGTCGTTTCACTAACCTCCTGGACACCGCACGATGAACAGAATCTCCCATTCCGTGCCGCCTCCGTATCCGCGGCGCAAAACGTTTGTCACAGACATTTATGACGCCTTTGCGCCTCATTATATAGGTCATGGACCATTGTATATCCGTTTTCAGCCCGGCCTTCTTATGCGCGACATCAACCTTCCGGGAGCGGCGGCGTTGTTTTAGACGCAGCGCCTAATCGGATGCTTGCCTCTATTGATAGCTGATTCTATAGTGCGATATATAGTCGTTATGAGGATATGATTATCCGATGTCATGAACGGCTTCTTACGGGACTAGTCTGAGTTTTCTTCCTCCCACTCAACGCAGCACACGTCACGTCATAGGGAAGCAAAGCTAGAGATACGCTATCAGATTATAAGAACTTTGGCAGAGTTACGTCGTGTTAAGTAGCACAGTTACTAGCCCTTGTTAGAGCCGTATTTTTTCTTTATGTGTTTGGGTATTTTGCTTTTTCGCCTTTCCCTGTTGTACTCCTTAACCATTTTTTTCCATTCCCTAGGTTCCACTCCGTCTGGTATTTTCCCCGTGAACTTAGCCCTTTCATCGACGTTCTTCGCACCGACGTTTGTTTGTTTTGCTGTGTCTTCTGTGTCACTTGTATCATCAGCTTCGCTTTCGTCGGAATCCGCTTCAACGTTATTGTCCAGGTGACCGCAAGATTCCTCAACAGCATCACACGATGTTTTGCTTCCGATGAGATTTATTCCTACAATTACGTTTTCCTTGTGTTCCATGAGGCTCTCAGCGACGTCCAGCGGCATTTGTGAAATGTTGATCGGCAGCTGTTTATCGAAGTTGTAATTCTTTAGCCACGCTATGTGTGTATAACAGTCTTCATGTGCGAACATGGGCCCTGTGAGAAAGTCATATGTTGCCTTGCAGAGCGACAAATAACTCTTGCGTTTCCTCATCATGATCTCCGGAAGGTCTTTTGTGGCACCGAATTTGTAGAATCTGGTCATTTTTTCTACAATTTGATCAACGTCGCGCGCGATTTCCGAGTCGTTTATATCCCAGAAGCACTTTACATTGGCGAGTGAGTCGTCCTGCCAGAGCTCGTCATCAAGCAACAAGGGGAGCACCTTGGTATCTCTTTCGTCTATTCCATCATCGATTGGTTCAATAACCTTCGAAATGATGAAACAAAAGAGCTGTTCGGCGCTGAGGAGTTTGAGCTCGTCATAGGGTATCATTTGTTCTTGTTCGTGGTGCAGTACGTCAACTGTTTTGAAGAAGCGTGTTACGTTTTCGCAATCTCTTTTTAAGAATGGCATCGCATTGAGGTGATCATTTTCGACAGCCTGCGATGTATCTATGACGTAAACCTTCCCATTCGAGTAGAGCAGGTTGAAGCTTGAGAAATCTCCATGGATCAGCTTGCACTCCTGAAACAACGTCCTCATTGTGCATATTGTCTGTACGTATATGGTTTGCCACTCGAACAGAGGCAGGGCCCCTAAGTTTTCCACTTTGGGTGCGACGTTGGATCCATCCACTATGAGGCCCATTACGAGCACATGGTCCTTAAGCGCTATGGGCGTGGGTGAGTATAAACCAGAAAGCGCAATGCGCCTGAGATTCCTGAATTCCTTTTCAGCCCATTGCGCAACCATCTTCCTAGGGTTCTTGGTCCCTAGATACGCTCTCCTAAATCTGAATTCGCCCTCGATATACCTCGATCTATCCTTGAATACAAGGATTGATGTTTTGTATACCTTAATGGCCACTCGGCCTTGCATCTGTTGTTTGGTGTTCGGACTTCTTTCATCCGTGTCCTCAGATTTCGGCGATTCTTTTATGCTGCATTCAGCTATCTTGTCCGTCACATCATCCTGCTTCACATCTGTGCCTTCATCTGCCAGAGAGGATGCGGCGCCAGTACCCGTCGATTGTGATGACGCCTTAGCCTCCAACGCCTGATGTGCACCTCCAGATGGCATACTTCCGCCTACATTTACAGCTTCATTAACATCGTTTGCTACATTATGGGAAGTGGACGAGCTGTACGACTGTTGTGTCTCGGCCTCGAAGACGTTAGCCTCCTTCCCCGTGCTGATTACTCCGTGCATATAATGGAACACCCCTTGTCCACAGAGCTTCCGTAGTCGTATGTAAGTACGTTTGTCCAAAACCTGCTGCACTGTAGTCCTCTTGTCCTTCGTCAGTCCCTTTTCGTAATGGTTTCTCTTGTAGATCTGGTTACTTCGGAGCAGGTCCTTTTCGTCCCCCTGACGAGCTACGAAGAACAAGTTTGACTGCTTGAAGCTTTGCTGACTTGAGGGGGCTTGTCTAAGCCATACGTCGCCATCCTCGGCGTCGGAGGCTTCCGACGAGTCATCGGAGTAGGAATCGGCGACATCAGACATGGCTTCTGCACACTAATTCCCCCGCTTTTGCATGATTCTACATCCTGCTCATCATTCTGGGTGCTACAGGAGATCTTTAGTGGCTTCGCCGTGGAGTTTTCGCTCAGCTTGAGGCTATTTTGTACGGGCGCTCGCGTTGTGTGGTTTATGTGTGACCAGCGCGCATCACCGTTTTCACTTATTAACCCGTGTTTGGATGATATTCTAGCGAACCAGAATCTACTAGATTCTGACCACTCTTGGCTACGGCGTCTGGCGGCGCTTGCCGTATTTTTACATGCTTTACGTGCTCCTGCCGGGACCATGGACGGCCTTTTGGTCGTTTCGTGACGCACGACTCATTAATATGTATGTTAAGGTGTCAACAGACAATAAAATAGTGTTGATATGATAAATTCCGGGTTCTTGAACGACGCAGAGAAGGCTTCAGACGACTTGGAGTCGTCTGATGGCCAGCAGTGCGAGGTGAGGACTCGACGTTTCCTTTTCATGACTCTCAGATGCCATGGATAGAATGGTACTGCAGCCTGAAGGGTAACCAGTTCTACGCACAGGTAGACCCTGATTACATCCGCGATGAGTTCAACCTCGTCGGTAGGTGTACGAATGTCTATTGGACATATGTCTTAGGTCTGCAGCAGCAGGTTTCGTACTACAACCACGCGATTCGCGTGATCCTGGATAACTATGATGATTACGATTACGAGTGCTACGACGATAATGAGGATGATTCTTTCGGCCCGCGTTCCGAGCGTGCGAAGCAGCAGATCATCAACACGTCGTCTCAGTTGCTCTACGGCCTGATTCACAGCCGTTTCATCCTAACGTCGAAAGGCATGTCTCTGATGCTGCAGAAGTTTAAAGAGAAGGTCTTTGGCACGTGTCCTAACTTCAGCTGCGAGAACGCAGCTGTCCTGCCCATTGGCATCGTGGACGCTCCCGCGTATCACAACGCGAAGATATTTTGCCCTCGTTGCAATGTAAGTTTCTTCACGACGTTTTAATGTTCCCTAGGAAGTGTATCACCCCCCTAAGAGCAGTCGACTCTCACTCATCGACGGGGCGTACTTTGGGACCACTTTTGCACATTTCTTTTTGATGGTCCACGACCCCATTGTGCCCCGCGGGCCGACCTACTACTACGTTCCTCAGATTTACGGGTTCAAGGTCAGCACTTCTGTAAAGGACCAGAAAGACACTACTCAGCCTAATAAGTCTTAGTCCTATGTAGTAACCCCGACTGAATATCGCTGATGAGTTTTTCTGCTTCCGAGTTCAGGGTCTGCAGATACTGCTCCACTGTTCTTGTGATAGCTGTAGGCGGTACTTTGGCGAGCTTAGAAGTTTGTTCTGTCTCCGAGTTGGGCGTCGTTGTCGCTGCGACGGTGTTCTCCGATGCTTCTGGTTTGCGCTGGTTGATGTTCTTTTCACCGTCTTTGCCCTGTGCCATAGGAGTGTTATCCGACTCAACAAGAGCATCATTGCGCTCCATTCTGGCCTGCTCTAGAGCGGTTTTGCCTGTTTCATCATCCGTGGCTTGTGATTCTTGGGCGGCATGGCTGCGTTCGTCATCTTTGATGCCATTTGCTTCACCATTGATTTTGTTTGAACTTTGTTTTTTCGCTTTTAATATATTCGATTGCCTTTTAATCCCATCGTTGGTAGCGCCAGTTATTGCTTCATCCTTGCTGCCTTCACTGGCCTTGGGCTTGGGAACACGCCGTTGACTGCCTCCAGAATGAACTTGTTGCTTCCTCCTGTGTTCACCTGAGTTTGTGATGTCATTTGACTTTTGTCTTTTGGTTAATCGCCTTCCGGACACTTTGTCTGTGTTATCTCCACTGAGTTGGACCAAGCTGTTCCGCACGGGCTTCTGTGCATTAGATGTTTCTGTTGTGCCTTCGTCCCCTGTTGTGTCGTCTTCGTGCCCCTTGTCTTGATTACCATCGCTGTCAACGTGTGTTTCACCTTCATGTGTTTTATTAGAATTTTCAGATTCTGGAATGGCGAACTCTACAGAAAGCTTGTTCAACTGCTCCTCGATCTCCTTGATCCCATCGTCGACAAAAATCTTGAGACGTTGTTTTGCGGCCTCTACAGCATCATATATTTCGGCGTTTTTGTGCGCTCCAGTTTGATCGTTCACGCTTTCCTCCAAGTCGTCACACTTGCTCTTGATGGTGGCCTGTAGCTCCCTGATTTTGTTTTCGACCTTGTCGCACGCCTCCTTGAGTCGTTCCATTTCTGCAGGATCGACTACTTCCATTGCGTTACTGAGCTTCTCCTTAAGCGCATCACTGAGGTGGTTCATGTGAAAATCCACATTGTCCTTGAGATCGCTGAGCTCAAGTTTTGCGTTGGATGATGGAGCCTTTTTGTCAGACACAGAGTCTGCAGTTGATTCCCACCTAGTTACTCCAACCTCTAACAGGCTGTTTTGGCGGCTGCGCGGGAAGTCACCTCGGAGTGTCACAGCAGTTGCGATTCTCCAGTGCACCTCTGCGAGCCAGACGAGAACGGCGATGAATATCCTCATGGTCAGCACTGCTCCAGCGCATTTGGTAAGTTACACGTTGTGTATATGCAGCGATTGTGTCTATCTGAACGCCTAAGTTGTCTTTAGTGAGAGTTTTTTTGTGGACTAAGTTATCAATGAGTGGTGTCTTCGCTGTTCAGAGTTATGCGGTCGTACCGCCGAAAGCACCGACTCACGAGCTCATACGCGTCCTAATCCACACACAAGGTGCCATGTGATCGGTACGGCTCAATGGCTGCGACACCGCAGGCGCGCAGATCCATCGTCGGCTCTACGCCGTGCCAGCTGCCGCGCTGGCTAACGGTAATCTAAGGATTACGGTCACAATTACAGGATGCCAATGACTCCTACATTTGTTCGACAACAAAGTTACCGGCGTCTTTTCTTTCTACATCGGCAGACGTGACTTCGTAATTTGTGATTCCATCCATGGCCTGCCCGCCGCAGGGCGTGCCGTCACGTCGGCGGCTGTCGCACGCTAATCTAACGACACCGTCGCAGCGTAATTGTTTGTAGCTGCTTCGTTTGGGGTGTCACCCTTTAGGGTGTGTTCTTCCCGTTCGTCGGTGAGGATATTTTTCGTTTGTGTGCCAGCGCAGCTGGATAATGGACAGAGGCCGGAAGCCGGATTTCGCAAAAGAATTGAAAGCAAACACGAATACTTTCAACAAGAGCAGCTTGCTTAGGTCCTACGCCGACCTGGCTTTCGTCTGCGGGTGCGTTTACGACGTGCATCCTAGCGCCGCTGTGTTCGAGCCTGCGGCGTCTTCTGTGCGCGTTCGTCCGTCTTTCCGTAGCGCCTTGGAGTGCCTGTTAGATCGAGCTTCTGAGGATAGTGGCGTCTGCGCCGATGCGAGTTTGAGGTGTATTTTCGACAACCTTCTACGCGGTGCCGGTATAGCCGAGGTCACGGGTGCAAGCGGAAGCGGCAAAACGTCGTTCTGCCTGTCCTACGCCAACACATCTCCGGGAATAACGCTGTACGTCGACACATCGGGTTCAGTTTGTCTGTCACGAGTGGTTAACCGTGATAAGTTCATCTTGTTGCGTGTCTTCAGCTGTGAGGAGTTGGAACTCGTCGTTTCTGATTTCGCTAATAGGCTGTCCGAAGACGGTTACCTGCCGTGTTTCGGCGACATACGCGCTCGCTCCGTTGCGGTGTTGGTGATAGACTCTCTGTGGCCTGTTGGTTTGCTGGATTCTTACCTTCGACGCCGCTTCTTGTTTCGTCTGTGCGTTACGCTGCGGCACATTTCGTGGCAGCACAATTTAGCGGTGCTGGTTTGCAACCACGAAGCGAGGTGGGACGGTTGGCCGAGCTCAGCGGGCAAGCGCGGGAACCGTAGCTGGTTGAGGGAGGCGTTCCGCTCTCGGTGCTACGTACATGTGTCGCTTGAGCAGCATGCCTGTTTTGGTGACAACTCCGACGTCCATGGTCTCGCTTACACTTCCGACAGTTCATCGGGGCATACTGCTGCGGGAAATTCCGGCGCCAACCAGAATTCTGATGGGAGCTTAGGTTCCGGCTTTGCCGTCCGTCGTGTGATGTTCATATGCTCCGGGGGTGAGTACGGCCGTAGATCCATCGAGTTTGGCGTTAGCAACTATGGTATTGCCCTATATCACAGTTAGATACAACGATGCCGAGTTCTGTGGCCGGTGAGATTCCCTGGCGCCGGGGCGATGTGGAGGTATTACATCAGTTTTTGCTGTCGGCGCGGGACCGTTCGAGGCTAATGTCTGGCGGTGACAAGGGTTCCGCTCCCTCTCTGCAGCACAACTACAGCGTCGAAAACGATGACAGTGCGGAGTTCGGACACCCTTCTCACCGTTTTGCTGGCGTAGTGTCCGGTGTTGTTTCGGACTCCCAATCCAGTGCCAGCAGTGGATATCGCAGGGATGGCACCCATAACCCTCTGCGCAACTTTTATTCGGCCCCCAAGCGATCTCGGAAACGCGCTTCTCCATCTTCTGACGATGCCGGTGATCGCTTGAACTCCCGCGCAGCCAACATTTGCATTCTGCGTGGTCAGACGGGGTCCGGCAAGGTGAGCGCCGTACGTCGCCTGTGCAGCGAGATCGGATTGAAGGTTATAGAATACGATCCTTTTGAGAATGACGTGGTGTATATGGCTGAAGGCCAGGCACAAGACGCGTTCAGCGCCACGTTTTTGCGTTTTTTGGATACTGTTCGTCGTAAGCCAGGTCTCCGCATCTCACGCGATGCGGCTCCCTCAAAAGCGCCCGTCGTTGAATCTGATGCGTCATCACGTCGTTTAAAACGCATACGCATGCTGTTTGGCGGCCTGAAGTCCCTAGGCGACGCTGATACGCTGCCATCAAAATCGCAGGAAGCCCATTTGATATTGCTGAAGGACCTTCCACGGACGGTCCTATCCTCTAGCAATCCGGGTTTCAACCGCCGCGTTCAGGAGATAACTCGCAGCATACTGGATGGGGACGGATTCCGTGAAGGGTTGTCAATGTATCCTTTGCTCATATGTGTCGACAACTCGACCAGCGACCGCCGTCTGTTGCGTAGCATTCTGCCGTACAACTACGAGAGCCATCCGCGTTGTATGCGTCTGAACGTGGCCCAGATAACCAAAGCGAAAACGAAGACGCTGCTATTCCGCTTCCTCTCTACGCTCGGGCGGCCGTGCAGCGTGTTGAACGAGCAGCTGGTAGACTACCTTAGTCGGGCGTGTTGCGGCGACTTGCGCTTCGGTATGTGCAATCTGCACTTCTTTTCCAGCGTTGACCGCCATTCTGCGTCTTCAGTTAAATCTGAGATGGATACGCTGCTGCAACACATGTGCGAGCGCAATTCTACTGGCGCCGTTTTCAACGTGCTGGGGAAGGTGCTGGTGAACAAACGCGTGCGTGCCATTCTGCGGAGCGACACAGACTCATCGGATTCTGGCGGGCCATCTATCTCGCAGTCAAGCAGCGATTTAACTGCGGAGCGTTTCAGGAAATGCTTCGAATTGTCAAGCGCCGTGTATTGCAGCAACTTTGGGAATGTTGGTGACAACAGCGGCATAACGGAGGACTACTCTGATGTGCTTGAGATTTTGTCGACGATATCGGACGACCTAATGTTAATGCCGTCGAGGATACTCGAGGTTGAGCCACCGTCTCAGGAGAGCGACATCGACGAAGCCCTATGCAGGGCAGTCGTATGCGGCTACAACATGGTGCAGCCGGGAGGCTTCGACGCCTCATTACTGGGCGCCCTTCCGGCTAGTGTGCGGATGTTCGGTTTGGTTGAACCGTTCAATCCCTCGCTCCCACTCTCTATGTGTCGTTGGCCGACAGTTGTCGGCGACGCTTCTGAGGAACCATCCCGCCAGCCGAGATCCGTCCAGCTGCCTTTGCTCACGAGACCGCAGCTGTACTACAACCCGGACGAATTAGTGGAATCTGGAAACGTGGATTCCTCATTTCTGGTGGACAGCGTGTTCGAGAACTATGCGCACTATTTCGAGGACATCAACGATTGTGCGGTGCTGACGACACAGTTGTGTGATGCGGACGTGACGATTACCGGCTACCGTCATGCCGGTGGCATGACCGACGACGCTTGGGACCAGGTTCAAAGCACCTTTGCGTGCTTTTGTGCGCGAGCTGTCTGCTGTTGCAATCTGGGCGGATCCGGCCGCCCGGCAAACTTCCGGATGTTCACCAAAGGGGTGTGGCAATCGGAGTCCATTAACGACATGAACCACCTGAAGGCGCTCTACGACGGACACCTGCGGGACCTCATCGCCAGATCGGATGGCGGCTACCCTTCGTGGCATCTGAGCAGCGCTTATATATCGAAGAGTCGTGCGTTTGTGGAAATCGTTCCGTTTATGTATATGTTATTATCGCAAAGCGGAGCCTCCAGCCCCTCACGCACCCTCATTCCGGATGCGCCGCTGCTGGACTGGAGCCTGGGCTCATCGAACATAATGACTGACTCTATGCTAGAGCGGATCGACATGCTAATGTCTGAGGATACTCATGCCACACCTCGCAACAACGGTAATGCAACTGCGGGTTTCGGGACTGTGGTGACGTCGCGTGGCATATTGGAAACCGTAACGCCGAAGTTCAAGGAGCTCGTGACAGAGATCGGAAAGCACTACGAGGGCACTTCCGGACGGCAGTGTCCGTCGTCCGGCGGCTGCTTAGATATAGGCCAACTGCAGTAACATTAGCCGCGTCAATGTAATTTTTGCTGTCCATATGACTTGGTTCGTTCCTGACGCCAGGACGACGCGCGCTGGTGGTCGTTCCCCACCACGCGCTTTATAGTTGCGGAGGGGGTCGCCGCGTCCGTGCTGCACAACACTTCTGCTTCTTGCACGTGTCTATTTACGCGGACGTATTAGGCTAGCTGATCTTTTCCACCTTCTACTCGAACTTTTTCCAGGTGGGTAGCCTTCTTTGACCTTGGTCTGCGCGCCGGCCATTCCCTTCGCCACTTGTGACATTGTACAGATTCGCGAAGATGATTGAGGAGTCGTTTGAAGGCGGCGACGCTGGCGCGTCGCACACCGTTCCGGTTTCTGCCGGTTCGATCAAGATGAACGGTTTCGTGATGATCAAGGGCAAGCCCTGCAAGGTCGTGGACTACTCGACTTCGAAGACGGGCAAGCACGGTCACGCGAAAGCGAACATCACTGGTGTCGACATTTTCACCGGCAAGAAGTACGAAGATGTGTGCCCTACCTCGCACAATATGGAAGTTCCTCACGTCAAGCGTACTGAGTACCAGCTCATCAGCGTTGACGACGACGGTTTTGTTTCATTACTCAACCCTGACGGAACCTGCAAGGACGATTTGCAGCTCCCGCGTGACAACGACGGTGGCTTCGACGAGGTGTCCAAGCAGATTCAATCCTTGGTTGCTTCTGGCAAGGAGGTCTTGGTGACCGTTCTCTCGGCCGTCGGCCAGGAGAAGATCATCCAGTGCAAGGAACTGGTTTGAATTATCTATGCATGGTAGTTCTGTTGCATTTCGCTCTGGTACTAGGCCAGCTGTGTGGTCAGTAGCGTTGTGGGTCGCCGCCTTCCGGGCGATTTAGTCACACACAAGCGCCGTTAACTGCGCTTCCTTCACCATACATATCGCAATCGCTTTTCGAGATGGACGCGTCAGCGGACCCCGTGAACGTTGCCGTGGCCGAGCTTGTCGGCATGGCCGATATGTTGAAGCGGTAGGTGTGGTCCTGTGTTACACCGCGGTCTTGCCGCAACTCCAATGCCCCAAATACTACGTGAAAATGCTAATCTATACCTAGGATGCGAGATTCCTGCTGGAACAAGTGCATCGCTGCGGTAAAAGTTGAGCGTATGGACCCCGGCGAGCAGAGCTGCGTGGACCGCTGTGTGAATAAGGTTCGTCGGCGTTGCATCGCATCCATATTTCTCAGTTTCTTGACGTCCACACGATGGTCGGTACGCATTTGCAGGAAGCGTCAAAGAACGCGCAGTTGTGAGAGCAACGTCGTGATAACTTGCGATATATAATTAAGTGCTCTTTTTGTCATGTTTACACCCTTGACATTCCTGCCATCACCAGAACCTCTTTTTCAGCCACAGACGGCATCTGTCTACGATCCCGTTCATCGAAAGCTCGGGTCTGACGTCCATGTAGACGGCAATGGGTTCGTCGTTTGGTGCACGTCCCTCGTAGAAGTCGATGATATACCTGAGCCATTGTTCGATACGCACACATTTGACGTACCTGACCAGTTTCCCGCACCTGTCTACAGTCCAATCGTGCCTGTCGTACGGCAGCTTGTATCCCATCAGATGTCTTAACCTGGCGCGTATGGTGAGTTGGTCCTTTTTTCCGATGAAATGTGCCAGCACAGGCTTCTGGCAGCGTTCGAAGTGCATATCCTCGTACTCCATAATGCGCTCCCAAGCTTTTTCGTTGATGGCGTTATGTATTTGCACGACGGTGGGTATGACCGTGGCGTCCACTCGGTGTCCTGCTCATAACATGAATCGCATAGTTTCCACTTCGAATGCAAGCGCATGAACAAATTAATGGTTAAATGGCATATTTCCGACAAAACGGCGTAAATTTAATGCGACGTACCTTTGGCGAGGGTGGAGCGGTAGAACTGTCGCTCCGAGGGGTATATCCAATTACTACTCTTGCCTGGGATGTTGGACTGAGTACGCGTGGCGTTAAGATCCTTTACTTCGGCCTTAGTGATGACCGTTATAACGCTGTCACCAGTTTGTGATGAGCTGCAACTTGATTTTGTCAGCTTTTTTTCATCGCTGAATTGCCCCTCGATCGGGCAGGAGGGCGCTGAGTCTCGCTCCCCAACGCTAGTTGCTGGAACATCGTTTTCCATGATTCCTATACGAGTATGCCACAATATAGTGTTATCTTCGAGCTGAATCGAATGTCGCTATGATTAGTCTTCGGTAATGCGTTTTATTTGCCTTGATGATAACAACATCGTAATAGCCAAATCGATATTCTACGACGATCTTCGCTTACTAAAGGCAATGCCACGTGGATTTATATGCTTGATTAGCCTTCTGTAGCTTATTGGAGTCCACAAACGACTCGCTATATATTAAATTGATGAGCGCGCAGACATGCTCTCGTCGTCCACCGTGGCCGTACAATCCTGCTACACATCACGACATCTTTACGGCTCAGTGGCAGCTACCACCCATATAACCCTTTTAACGTGAATATGTGGAATATAAGCCCATTTCACCGTACTTATCCTGGGACGTTGCCAGGTGAATGGGGGTATGGAAGCCGCAATTTCGGTTAACAACAACTATCATATATCGCAAGCCGTACGCCATCACGAATCAAATAATTTAAGTTGCTATATCGGCCGCTCTATCGGTGCTTATTTTGCGTGATAGGCACCTGTAGCCTTTCTCGTCACTACCTTCCGCCTAAAATTATCGCATCGCTCTTAAGGGGATTCTCCTCATGCCCCGTATCATCAAATGGCAGTTTTCGACCTCTAAATACCCAGATTTTAGGCAACTTTTGCGTCAAGGTCTCTAAATAATTGAGCCATGTCGGACCCTAAGAAGAAGACGATCAAGAAGCGCACCAAGACCAAGAGCAAAAAGGTGGTGTTGGTGAAACAGAAAGATGAACCCAAAAGCGACAACTACAGCTTTGTGAACCTCAGGCGTGTCAGCGTGCCTGCTAATCGCCTGACTCCTCTGCGTAATAACTGGGAATCTATTGTGCGCACTGTGGTCGAGCACTTGAAGCTCCAGATCCGCATGTGCACCAAGACCAAGGTGGTCGAGGTCCGACCTGCTTCCGAGGCTACAGATTTGTCGTTGCTGCAGAAGGCGCAGGACTACCTACGTGCGTTCATGCTCGGCTTCGATATTAAGGATGCCGAGGCTCTGATTCGTCTGGAGGACATCTTCGTGGAGAGCTTCGAGGTAAAGGACGTCAAGCGTCTGAGCGGCGACCACCTTTCGCGCTGCATCGGCCGCATCTCCGGTAAGGACGGGAAGACGAAGCACGCGATCGAGAACATGACCCGCACTCGCGTTGTGCTTGCTAACGATCGCATCCACATTATGGGAAGCTTCAACAGCATCAAGATGGCGAGACACTCTATATGCAGTTTGATTCTAGGTAACCAGCCAGGCAAGGTCTACAACAATCTGTGCAACATATCGAAGCGTCTACGCGAGAAGATATGACACCTGCGCAGCTTGCGCCGCTAAGTGTTGGCACCGTCTTAAATGGTAACTGACACAACAGTGCTGTCAAGATCTGCAGTAGACTGCTTTCAAACGGGCATATCTACACGGGACGTTGCATTATACCCGGTTATCGGACAAATAACTCATAAATACTGATTTCAAAAGTTCTATGTATGCCTTTAGTTTCGAGATGTGTACGCAGAGGCCAGCGCACTGAAGCTGCGCCACCAAAGTGGCAATGCGTTCGTTACCACGCTACAGATCATGCTTTATCAGCCTGTGAATCACGTGTGTGTCTCCTGCGTACCGCTGTGTGCTCTGCAGATGCATTCCGCAATGGTCAGCTGTCGATTCGTGTGTATCGTGGCCCCATGCGTAGAATCCGGCTCGCGAACGACGCACCGAAAGCAACGCGTATTATCCACTACTTGTAAAGTATTGTTCGTGTGGTGAATCAAACACGCGCGACTCTCATTCGAGTACTGCTAGCGTTGTCTACGTACACTGTTGACACGCGGCTTTATCTCGATTTCTCAGAACATTAGGTAATCCTCACCTTTTTATAACATCCTGGAATACACGGTAGGTTGCGTTTTTGTGAAGGTGTGTCGTTTGGATTCATTTTTTCAGTGTGTCTACCCGTTCGATGCTTTTTGCATGGTGCGCTGCTAGGCCTTGTTTCTATCATTTGTGGAGCTGTGCTGCTATCACAGGCCTGTAGCTGTGTCGGTTAACGACGTATAGCTGTCTAATAGTGGTTGTCTCACGACGTCGCAGATGATGCCGTGCGTGTCGGACAAGAAGGCACTAGCGTTGCTAGTCGCCACGAACATTCTATACTTCGCGATATACGTGTTGGGCTTTAACCTGTTGCGCGTGCTGATAAACGTGGGCACCTTCGCTATTTGTTTGGGTGGAGTATGCCAGATGCTTTGCAACAAGACGCTGTGCAACGACAGCGAGGAGGGGGAGAAGCACGAGTTTGTCAAGTCGGAAACAATTGCCGGCGTGTTGCAGTGCACTTACACGTGCGTTAACTGCATCTGCGGTGAAATCCGCACGATTTTCCTTTGGAGGTACCCTATGAAATCCGTATACGCGTTGGTAGTTCTTTACATCGTCGGATTATCTGCCCGCGTACTGTCGTTCCCCGTGCTGGTATTTTTGATGGTATGGACATTGTGCGGCTGGCTGAGCTTCCGCGAGCACTACTATGAGATGGTCCACCCTCAGGTGAAGCCGATTTTCGAGCTAGCCGGCAATGCGGCCCGCGGCCTCTACGCGAGCATCCCCAAGTTCAAGGAGTCACAGAAGCTGTAAACCTTGCATATAATATGATTTTTCATGCTTGATAATTTCCATGGTTGCGCTGCCACGCTTGTTGCCCTGTGAGATGTGTTCTAGCCGGCATGCGGCCAAGATGCTTACGGCGAACAACACGGCAGCAGCTGCGTCTGCTGAAGCATCCGGTCAAATTTACGGGTTCTTTCAGAACGAGAATCCGATAGATGCCGCCGTCATGTGCCATAGTTGACACGCCGCAACACCGGATAATGTATCATGGAGCAGCCGATATACCCGACCACGGTCCGAATTTTCCTCTTGCAATGGAAGTTCCGATTTTAATGATATATTTTACGTCTGAGAAGTGCGATTAATCGTATACTGCAGAGGTCAACTGTCCGGATGATGCCTTAGCAAGGCGGATAAACACTGGAATTGCAGACTGCCAATGGCATAATGTCCCATATACTGGTATTTGAGAAACTATGTCCGAACTATAGGCATATATAGATTAAAGAGAACGAAAATATGTCATGAAACGGCTTCCAGTTGAACGTATCGTGTGTTGCACTTGTCCCCCGTCATGCCGACAACGTGGTGATGGAATCACGGCTCTAATCGATGCGAAACGGCTTTGTAAGACGTAATCCTTTCAATTAATGTGACACACAAACAGAATGGGAGAACTTGGTTCGATGCATGTGTGATATGTAGCTGGCCCCTGACATGGTGGTCCCTGCTGATGCATGAGCAGCGCCTGCCACGGCATGGTGAGCATGAGGCCATCTCTGATAGCGACATACGCGACATTCGGCGTCGAAGAACACTTTCAGCAGAGATCTGTTCTGGCCGAAGTTGTGTGTCCCACTCGTCATTTTTATCGACTGCCTATGGCGTAGAGGCAGGGACAAGGGTTGATACGAACAGGTGGCCATCGCCAGGCTCCAGCTGCAAGTAACGCTACGGGACTCCAAGACCGCCTTTGGGCTTATTAGGTAGGATTATTGGCGTGCTTTAGTCCCCCAAAGTGGCCTTAGCGCGTAGGGTTTCGCTCACCCCAGAGATTGTAGCGAGACACACGAACGAATCGTAATTTGCGTGTGCGCCATATAGAAGCCACGCAATTACTATCGTATATCGGTTGTTCGGATCATGCGTTTCGTTGTAGCGCGCGTGTACAGCTTACATGCCCTACGTCGTCACGGTGACATCCCAGTTGACAAAAGGCCGAGGTAAATACCTTCGCATCGTCATTACGGAGTTAAAGCGAAGGCAATGCATTTTTTACACGCACAATACGGATATTGTTGTTGGTTTCCGGAAGCTGGAAAGGTTATATGACAGATTAGGGGTCGGGGGCAAGTGTCGTATCCAGTGTGGTTTGCTCTTCGGTGTGTCAAAAATACATCTTAGAAAACTCGTATATCTTGCAAAAACAACGAGTCTTGACGTTATCATTGGTTTAGTTACTAACGACATCCAAGGATCCTAGCACAACATTCATTGCTACGTATGGTGCTCCACACAGGTGTTATGACAAATAACCGGTATGTGTTTGGAATCATCTATTTCATGTGACGAAAGCGTTATGGCGTCTCCTTCCATGATGATTTATTGTCGCTGTGCCTTCTGAATACATCTCGAATTGTTCGTGTTTCGGTATCGGCGACCAAGAGGTAATGGAGCGCTAATTAGACCGTCAGCGCATTTGATTGCGGTTTTCCAAAATTCCTTTAGTTTGTCAAGATGGTGGCAAGTATTCCCGTGACTAAGTCGTTCGATCCAGCTCGGAGTCACCCTTTCCTGTCGAGCAAGTTCAAAAGAAGGGACCCAAATGTGCACTTCTATTTGCCTATAGAGTGCCCGTTGCTTAAGAACTGCACGGAGGGTTCATGTCCGCTGGCGCACACTAAGCTTGAGGTGATTTTCCATCCTATTGTCTACAAGACCCGTAAGTGCAAGATGGTGTCGATGGGATCCTGTAGCTTCCCTCAGAAGTGTACCTTTTACAACAACGACTCGGAGAAGATGGCTGCCCAGCTGTTGTGGCTAGTTTGGGAGAAGACCTGGGATCTGTGGCGTGTCAACATCGAAGCCGTACTCAGTAGCCATAACAAGCTCAATAGTACTATTGCCAAGAACTTGTCGATGATTAAAAACTACAGGGGCAACATGAAGCAATTCTTGAAGACCATTAATGGTACGAATAATGGACGGAGTCTCCTGGATGGCAGGTTGGATTCCATCCTGCGTTCACAATTTTCCACGTCAGCGCCGAACGCGGGCACTGATGAGTCTCGGAGCCAGTCGCTGCCACTCGCTACGCCAAATAACTGGTCTTTTAAGTTCAACGGAGTGGGTGAATGTTTAAAATTCAGTGACCTTTTGGACTTATCTCCCAGCAGTGTCCGAAATTTCGACGCCTCGGACTCTGATTCGTACGCATCGCTAATTTTGAATTCCCTGAGGAATGTGTCTCAGAAAACGATATAAAGTCGAATGTGTAAAGTGGATTTGTTGTTGACACACCGTCATATCTTGTTTTGCAAAATGATATAAAACGGAATCTCATTGATTCTGTGTGATGTTGTCTAGCACGGGATGATTGCACGCCCGGCATGGGTGCTATCTACGGCCATCTGGCGAGCGTCTGTCGTGCGGATTGTTTTCTTTCAGGGATTGTATGGGTTAAAACTTATGTAGTTGTGCGATAAGAAGGATTGTTCGCTGTTTCGGTTGATTGTCCGTCTGCGTGTGTGCGCCCGCCTCAATGGAGATAACGTCTGCAGCGGTTTTGTGTATACCCAGCATGTTACTTTGCGAGGAGTAATTGCGGTGTGTAAGTTACATCATTGTCTAAGCGTCGGATGTTCGGTGTGACCGTGTTGGGTCTTGTGGGATGTCGACTGCGCTGAATGGCATTTGGCAGTACCTCATCTAATCTTCTTCCATCACGTTTTGAAGTCTCCGCTTGTTATGGTTCGTCATGCCTTAAACTTGTGCCCTCTTCAACCATGGTACAGTTGGTATGGCCTCATACTCCACGATAAGCAAATGTACACTTCCCAGCTGAATAAAATCTACCATTTCACAGAGTCGCACGTATTGTCACCCATTTGTAGTATTGTCTTATTGTTGGGTATTGTTGTGTTGTTTTGTGGAGCGCATTTCGTGCGTTGCGGTCATAAGTCGTAATGGAGGATTTTGCTTCTGGATTTCCTCCGCCTCCGTTCTTCTACAAGAACTACTCCTTTAGAGATGGGGACCCGTTGCATACGGCCTCGGGTGCTCACTTTACGCCCTCGGCACCGCCTCTTACGCCATCACAGCCGAATATCGGCGATGGGCTGAGCAATGAGCTCATCTCAGGCCCGGTCCACCCCGCGGCTCCTTCCGATATTTGGTACGCTTTCGGAAATCAAGAAGGGGTAAGTCAAAATTCCATGGACTTGTTTTCAGAACACCAATAGCTGTCATTAAACACGGTGGAGTTGGATTCCGAGACTCTGATTCGTGTGTCTGTTGAGGACACGGATGTCCGGGTTCATCTGAAGGCATTATACAAGGATTTTATGGACTCGCTGCTATCTTATTTGGACCGTATTAAGAATGTAGGTTGTTTGGTTCTTTTATCTAAAGCGCTTTGTTAGATGGACAGCGACTCTATTTCAGAAATCAAGCGTTTTATGAAGGTGTGTTCGCCGTGTAGTTCGGCATTATTTTTACTGTTTTATGCCGAACGCCAGTTCGGATCATATCGCGCTATTTCAGATCTCATCTGTGCGTAGCTCTACAGCAACATCCAACATACGCTGTCGTCTTTCTCGCAGCGAAAGGCGGAAGACGATGTCGTGCGAATGCTCAGGTTAGTACATTTGTCACAAACAGTAAATGCCTGTGTGTTTACTGACATTTGGTTAATCTTTGTCAGAGATCAACTGCAGCGTCGAAGGCACTACATAGATTGCCTAAAAGTGTAAGTTCTGCGTTGCCGTGATTTACGGATGCAGGGCATTGGTGGACATCCACATGTTACTGTCAAAAGTGAAGACGTAGGCATAGCCGGGTCTCTTCGATGTAAAGGGCATGCCGTCAACCGTTGGGTGTGTACCTCCACTGTGAGGCAGGAATTTGGTTGTTTATCATATTTCGGCAGTTTCGCAGCATCATCTGATAATTTGCCACACTATGTGCCATATGTGTCATTAACACCTTTCTAATTATTTTAATCGCATTAAAACACTCAAAACGTTATATCATAAAATGGCAGCCGTTTTCTGTTGGTCTCCCCTTGGCAGATGAATGTAAATCTTGCCTCTAACAGCAGAGGACGGGATCTTAATAATCCGTCATTAATGTCACTATTGGATATAAGAAGGTTATAGTGATGACGTGGTAGCTCTCGTTTGTGCTCTGCCTTGCGGCATATAAGGAGAAAAAAGAGAGCGGGATTGCTCGCATACACTATTCGCAACGATCTTCCACAATGTGTTGAACATTGAACTACTACCAGTACCGTAAAGAGATTCACGTAAACCTTAGGTTAGGATTGCCAGCGTTGGATAATATGAGTTTACCACAATCTCTCACAGTAATATTGCGCTACTGCAATCATCAATCACGAACACACTGTGTAGCTACCATTTATAGTTGTGTTGGAGTCCCTGATGTCGCGTTGCACGACGCAAGTTGGATGCCATTAGTTTATGTATGTCAGTGTTTGGTTGGCGGTGAAATGTTAAGGTCTCAATGATGATCGGATCACGATATACACCTCACTCGTCTCAGGGCACAATGTCGTACATCTTTTATACAGTCTCCCACGTAATATTATATCGATGCGCCTATGTGTTGTTGCCTTATTCATTGGCATTCGATGCGTTGTGTATCACAAAAATTGCACGATATGACGTAGGCCGAACAACACCGTGAAATACTGACAAAAGTTTCACGCAATACGACTGCCATTGTATTTTCTGGTTTATACCTCACACGCGCACGACGATCTTTACAACACCATCACACGTCAGACAGAAGGTCGAGGACCTGCGGATTTCTATTCTTCCTTTTGTCTTAACCAAAAAAACGTAGTCCGTACGAAAACACACGCCCACACACACATTTGGCCAAAAGATCAATGGAATTAGAATCGGTGGAAATTATAATAGCAAGAAGGGTGCTGTAGACGTTGTTGTGATCCAGTGCGTATATTGTGACTAAGCGAAGGATCAATATTTGTAACATATACGCTTATGTTAACAGCTATTATGACTTCCTTAGTATAACAAATGGCCGCTAATATTCTTGTAACTAGATCTTTCGATCCAGCTCGGAGTCACCCTTTCCTGTCGAGCAAGTTCAAAAGAAGGGACCCAAATGTGCACTTCTATTTGCCTATAGAGTGCCCGTTGCTTAAGAACTGCACGGAGGGTTCATGTCCGCTGGCGCACACTAAGCTTGAGGTGATTTTCCATCCTATTGTCTACAAGACCCGTAAGTGCAAGATGGTGTCGATGGGATCCTGTAGCTTCCCTCAGAAGTGTACCTTTTACAACAACGACTCGGAGAAGATGGCTGCCCAGCTGTTGTGGCTTGCATGGGAGAAGACCTGGGATCTGTGGCGCATCAACATCGAAGCTGTGCTCAGTAGTCACAACAAGCTCAATAGCAATGTCGCTAAAAATTTGTCAATTATTAAAAACTACAGGGGCAACATGAAGCAATTCTTGAAGACCATTAATGGTACGAATAATGGACGGAGTCTCCTGGATGGCAGGTTGGATTCCATCCTGCGTTCACAATTTTCCACGTCAGCGCCGAACGCGGGCACTGATGAGTCTCGGAGCCAGTCGCTGCCACTCGCTACGCCAAATAACTGGTCTTTTAAGTTCAACGGAGTGGGTGAATGTTTAAAATTCAGTGACCTTTTGGACTTATCTCCCAGCAGTGTCCGAAATTTCGACGCCTCGGACTCTGATTCGTACGCATCGCTAATTTTGAATTCCCTGAGGAATGTGTCTCAGAAAACGATATAAAGTCGAATGTGTAAAGTGGATTTGTTGTTGACACACCGTCATATCTTGTTTTGCAAAATGATATAAAACGGAATCTCATTGATTCTGTGTGATGTTGTCTAGCACGGGATGATTGCACGCCCGGCATGGGTGCTATCTACGGCCATCTGGCGAGCGTCTGTCGTGCGGATTGTTTTCTTTCAGGGATTGTATGGGTTAAAACTTATGTAGTTGTGCGATAAGAAGGATTGTTCGCTGTTTCGGTTGATTGTCCGTCTGCGTGTGTGGCGCCCGCCTCAATGGAGATAACGTCTGCAGCGGTTTTGTGTATACCCAGCATGTTACTTTGCGAGGAGTAATTGCGGTGTGTAAGTTACATCATTGTCTAAGCGTCGGATGTTCGGTGTGACCGTGTTGGGTCTTGTGGGATGTCGACTGCGCTGAATGGCATTTGGCAGTACCTCATCTAATCTTCTTCCATCACGTTTTGAAGTCTCCGCTTGTTATGGTTCGTCATGCCTTAAACTTGTGCCCTCTTCAACCATGGTACAGTTGGTATGGCCTCATACTCCACGATAAGCAAATGTACACTTCCCAGCTGAATAAAATCTACCATTTCACAGAGTCGCACGTATTGTCACCCATTTGTAGTATTGTCTTATTGTTGGGTATTGTTGTGTTGTTTTGTGGAGCGCATTTCGTGCGTTGCGGTCATAAGTCGTAATGGAGGATTTTGCTTCTGGATTTCCTCCGCCTCCGTTCTTCTACAAGAACTACTCCTTTAGAGATGGGGACCCGTTGCATACGGCCTCGGGTGCTCACTTTACGCCCTCGGCACCGCCTCTTACGCCATCACAGCCGAATATCGGCGATGGGCAAATGCTGGTGTTTTGCGATATTTTTAATGTTTTGATAAGGTCGAATCGTATGTCTGAATTTGATAGTTATTGATTGGCAACAACTTACGTCGTCCATTTCATCATTGTCAATGGTCAGTGTTTCCGTTGGATCGTATAAGGAGTCGTACAGATACTGGAAGCGTACTTTAGCGTCTTGGGTTGCATCGTGTGAGATGTGCACCAATCTAAAAGCTTCTAAAGGATCGTGACGTGGCACTTTCAGCGCGCCCTTAGGTTCTGATGACCATTTCCAATTTTTTACCTGTTCCAGCCATTGCTCCTGATGAAATATACTACAGATACTACATTGCATACCTTGCATTGTGAAGCAAGTTTTCTGCCCATTCTACTTTCTCTCCACACTTTGTTCCAGCCTTTCACCTTTTCCGGAATAGGTGCGGGGGTGTTGTTCGGAGTCGCGAATCTGTTGCACTCATAATCCAACTTTAAGGTACTTCCTACCTCGGTAACCAGTCCATTTTACGCGGGTACTCCTCTATGAGATGTATAAGCTTCTTGAGTGCGGCTTCCGTTAAAACCAGCTGTCTGTATTTCAGGAGGTTGTACACGTTCACCCCCTAAGGCAAATTATTTTATTGACTGTATGAAGCATTTACCTCAACGGTCTCAATCCTGACACCCGGTATGTTTGCTGTTGCCCACCTGAAGTTCTCGTTAGCATCGCTATTACCACAAAAAACGAGCAGCGCGGAATTGCAGTTATTTCCTGCATGATCTTAGTTCGAATTGTCGAACGTACGCACCTAAGATACGTCGAAGACTATCAACGGCGTACTTGGTCTTATGGGACTTCATGAGGAACGAATCCACCAAGTTTATTTGAGATTGGGTGAATTTCACCGACAGCATAACCTTGAGTCCAACCCAGAGCACTGCAATATTTGCAATGCATAGAATCACACTTACCCCTGCGCTGAATCTTCGTCCGGTGGTCAATTGGTCGTATAGGGTGCGCAAAGACGCCAAGGTATTTGCCGGGTGATTTCTTCCATCCAATGCGTGCCTTACCTGTTTTTTGCTGCTTTCGCCATTTACGAGTGCTCCCAGGCCATTCCCACTTGTAAAGTTGCATGTCTTCACTGTATCCAGCCTTCGCTCGGCGGTAAAAGGTGTAACATCGGTGCAGGATGTCAGGTCTTATTGGCAATCCGAAGATGTCATTGGGTACGTCTACGAATCTATGAGGTCGCGGGGCTCCATTTTCGCCTTCAAAAACGTAGACAGGGATTTCAAGTGTGCTGTTGAAGCCAACCGCTGATCATCTATAAGTTAATGTATTTCGTAAATACCTGGGCATGACCAGTGATTCCTTATGACTTTTGCAACATCTATGATTTCTCCTGGTCTCCTTATAACATGAGGGCTGTGAATCGACGATATCAGTGCAGCATCAGGAACAACAGTCGATGCCACTGCAGTACATGTCTTCAGAACTTCTCCATTTGTAGAGCTGAATCTCCTGCTATGCCGAATCGCCCTCCCAAGGCAAAGGGTGTGCCGAATAACAGCCGACATTACATAGCCAATGATGACGCTTCGGCGTTAGTGATGCCGGAAATCGTTCGATAGAAGATGCGAATGTGGAGATTAAAATGCATTGAGAGCCATCTTTCCCATGCTTTGGTGTTAAGGTGGTTGGTGCCGGTTGTCTACTGCGCCCGGCGTTCGGTCTGTGCGTTGACGGCTACCCGCATGGCACTGCGCGTTGTGAGTGTGTAGACGCCGATTTGTGGTATGTGTCGGTGACCTGTAGAGGTTTGCTTCCACCGTGGGACTGTCGCCACTTGCCGTTGCGCGCGCCCTTACGGCGGTAGCAGGATACACGGCGAGCAGTTGAGCACTAGCCTAACAGTGCTCACATCACCGCTCCACTCACTAGGAAGCGTATTCGCCGCCCAGATGTGTCGCAGCGGTCGTCAGTAGCGCCGGGTGAGCAATGGCCTTCCCCCGCTGCGGTGTGTCCAGGGCGCTCTGTGGCAACGCGCCTTCCGTTCTCAGGAGCTCGGTGCATTCGCCGGCTCTGCTACAGACAGTGCGTTATGCGTACTGGCCGCCCCCTGCCAACAAGCGTTCCCGTCTGATCGAGGTGGGCGTTGATGCATGTGCGTCGAGTGAGTGGCTGCTGCCGAAGTGGACCGCATCGGCTGCGCGACACTATTGATGATTACATTGCAACGTGACGCCTGTTGATGTAGTGCCGGTGGCGTAGCTGCCCCTCTCACACCCGTTCAGCTCCCTTCGGGCAAGAAGTTCTTCGTCTTCCGGGGCAAGCGCGACGCCGACGGAAAACTCGAGCCAGTCGTGTGCTTTATTGACCGGTACGTTTGCCAAGCGTATGTGCACAGATAAACACCCCGCAGCAACGGCGACCGACTCACATGGTTCAACTCAGAGGAGATACACCAACTCCAACAACTAGTTAGTCACCGAACAACGACACATACAAAATACTCAGACGCAAAGGTTGCGCTCTTATTTCGATCTATGGGAACAGAAACGTGTGGAATAATGCTATTTCTGCTTTTTCTCGTTTGGCTGCATGATATCTTTTTATGGTGTTGCGTACAGCGATCGCGTGAAATTCCAACGGAAGTTTGCCCTTCTGAAATGTAAACGTTGTTCTAGTTTCTGCCAAAACAGTACATGGCTCTTTAAAATGTAGATCTGTACAAATGCATCCTGCACATTATCTTGTACATCGCGGCGATGTCTTTTTCTGTGTGTTTCCAGAATAGTAAAAGGATACGAGGTGTACGTTAAACCTGGCGCCACACGCAGGATCTACGACTTCTGTGAGATAAAAATCGTTGGTTGGAGTTGCTACTTGCCTCATGGGATGCACGGAATTCTGAGGTTTGGCACACGCTACGTACAAGCTAAAATCACGGTCCTTCCAGAAGGCACGAGGGTCCTCATATTTGATACTATTCAAAAAATGGGACATAATGCATACAATGCCACCCTTAGCGTAAGAAGAGCTAATTTGGGTTTATTTAACGAACCTCATGCGTTGTTTGTACAATAATTGCAGGATCATCTGCTCTTTTTCAGGCCCCATGGTTAGGATTCCTCACGGCTCTGGCCTCTGCTATAGGGCTCAATAATAACCTGTTCTTCGATATCCAGGGCAGTGCCCTGGTTACGCGAATTTTGAGTAACCATGTGTGTATAATTTGGTCATCGGTAGAATATCACGTCTGCCTGCATCTATCGGAGTTTGTAGGCATCTACGCAGTGCTTGACTAAGGGAGTATATGCGCTTCAATTTTTAGTGCCCAGTTGCCGTGCTCTTTGTCCACATACTGTCTTCCGTGACCAAGACCTGGGAGACATGAAGTCAATTCACACTGTACTGTGCCGCGGAAATCCCCACTCAAGGGTGTGTGCTGTCGGAGTATATGGATTTGCAAACATTGCGATTGGCAACGTATTCCGCATTGGGTACAAGCTGTAACCGTTGTCATGGATGTATTGTGCTAAACAGATTTCTGGCACTACATGCTTCTTCATTTCCGCAATGCTAAGCGTTTGCGGTCGTGATTAACGGGTACAATCTTATTTTACTACAAGAGTGCGCAACTTCTATTGAAGATATAATATGCAGATGTTGTAAGCCCAATATCGATGCGGAAGCCAGGTTGATAACCTGACTTTATATTAGCATATCAATGGAAGGAGGACATACATCGCAGGATTCTATTGCTCATCGATAACAGATGTTTTGAGTTATGCAACTTTTAAGGTAAATGAAGATACCGTGGACGCCTGCCGTTGACATTGGCACGCCGTCAAAACCAGATCAACCTTCCACAATGCAACACATCCCTTCAAACGCCTATGCACTGCTTTTGTACTGGGTATTGAAAGCCATAAAGATGTGGATTCCACTTTTTGCCGTAGCGGACAACGACAGGTGTTGAGATCGCCTGTGGTCCTGTTGTAGGGTGGAGAGGGCTCGCAGCTGTGTGTGGCAACGTCGCGCCTCTATTCTGTCTCCCAACCCTACACTCCAGTGTATCTTCAGTGTGTTTGAGAAGACATCTTTTCAGTGCCAATTGACTAACGGAAGCCCTTAAGACAATCCCTGTGTATGCGCAGCCCTCACCCCCTGTTCAGCTAGCGAAAATGGAAAACGCTGTACCAATCACGACCAACTATGATTCCACACGGGCCTACCCTTTCTTGTCGAGCAAGTTCAAAAGAAGGGACCCAAATGTGCACTTCTATTTGCCTATAGAGTGCCCGTTGTCGAAGGGGTGTACGGACGGCACGTGTCCGCTGGCCCACACAAGGTTAGAAATCATCTTCCACCCAATTGTGTACAAGACGCGTAAATGCAAGATGATTTCGATGGGATCCTGTGGCTTTCCTCAAAAGTGCGCCTTCTACAACAACGACTCGGAGAAGATGGCTGCGCAGTTGTTGTGGTTGGTATGGGAGAAGACCTGGGATTTGTGGCGCATCAACATCGAAGCTATTCTTGGTATGCATAACAAGTTTGTTGGTTCGGTGATTAGGATGTTACCCACAATCAAGAACTACCGTGGCAACGTGGGTGACTTTTTAAGGAAACTAACAAATGGTCATCCTGGTAGTACCATTTTGGACACGGCCCTTGATCACACGCTTCGCAACCATTTCTCTCGCGTTAGGCAAAACGGCCCCAAACCAGCGTGGAACACACCTAGTCTTTCCCTGCTATGTTCCAGGTACAACCCCTTTCACCAGGCTAGCTGGTTTCTACCAAACACTGATGACGTCTTCTACGAGTGGTTCTTCAACCGAGAAGTCGAGCTTATGAACTAAAATGAGATGAAGTAGTCGGAAGGTATGCCTATTCACAACCTGGACCTTCCTCCATGGCAATGAGTGTAGTCTTCTGGGCGGCGCTGTTTCACTCGACGCCATCTTCCCGCCTCAGAATATGTCGGTACGGCCGTTAGTCACGCCGCACATGTGGCCGTATCATGTCCTTCCCATTCAACGACGTTTTGCGCTATTACAGTAGCGCTGGCGTGCGGATGGCAGTGTCACTACCGTTTTCCCCAACGTTAAAATGTTAAGTGTGTATTGCCAGTTAGCGATTGTGCAATTAGCGTTTAGATGCTTTATGTTGCGTGCCTTACGTCACTTTGGAGATGCGGCTTTGCCGGTGCTGCTGTGCAGCGTGAATTGCCCAGTCACATGCGCTTATTTGCAGCAGTGATCACAATGCTACATAACGGAGGCAATGTAGCGGAGGTTATTAATATCAAAATTCTGAGTTCACATCGTCTGCCACCTCATGGCGCGTTGGTTCCCCGCAACTAGAAGGTAAGCAGGGAGCGACGACGGTGAGTACACGGCGGGGCAAAGCACCTCCATGAAGTAGGTGCGTGGGGTCGCTTCGTCATCCATTTCCTCCTCAGGCTGTTGAATCACCTCCTAAATAAGAATATAAAGCATTGAAACGCCGATTTTACCTCAATTTTTCTCACCAGCATAAATCCGAGCAGGTTGCAGTAGGGTATAAGCGTCGCATCGTCTGTTGCAGGTATGCCTAGCACAACGTTTGTCAGTGAAAATGGATCTCCGTTCCACATTGCCGCGTACACTTCGTTCCGGGTCATGTAACCGGGATCATCCGTCGGCAGCGCATCTTTGGACAGTGCCACAGAGGTCTCCAACACCACGAGGTTGACGTTTTCCATCGGGAACCGGATAACGTGCATTTCCCCTGCATTCCCCCGATCGAAGTACCGTTTCCAGCACCGGCTGTTTAGGTATTTGACCCTCTCCAGGTCGACGGGAACGACGCCCTCTAGCTTGTTTATCGCCAGCACGGTCACCTCCTTCGTCAGCTTGTCATCGGAATCATCTGCTCCATCTACAGCAGGTTGCGCCATATTCACATCCGATTGTGCGTATATCTGTTGCTCCGGAAGTTCCTGGAATGCCAGATTGGCCAACACGCCCGGGGCAACCTCGCCACGAACGCCCGTCAGTCGCGTGGTACCGCGCTGGCCATCCCTGATGGCGGCGAAGGTACGGACCAGGTCCTGGCGCACTGATGGGCTGTCTATGACGAGTATGAGCGACACCGAGTATATTTCGGCGAGTTTGACGATCATGTCACGGTTCGCCGAATATGGCGCATTGATGATCATGCCTTGGACAGATTATCGTTACACTCACAAGTCACATTACCTGAGGCTGCGATATATTTGCCCATGTCCGACACCTCATCTGAGCGTCTGCTATGGGGTTGAGTTTGGGATGCCTTCTCCATCATGGCGTCCAGGGAGGCTCCCATCGATTTTGAAATCTGCCATAAATTGGTGGGACGCCACTTTAGCCTACTTGAATATAGAGCTTTTCGTTCTCCTGCGCGCCGGAGTAACCGTAAAAGTATACCAAGGGATTCTTGGAATCCGTTTCTGCTGCATTAGTCACGACGGTAGCACCTATGGTGCCTGGGTAAAATTGTAGTTGACTTTTGTCTGTTGACGCTCGCGGGTCAGCCTCGACAAAAACGGGTGTCCAACCCCCCCGAAGCGCATAGTTGCACAGTAGCATTGCCACTGTTGATTTACCGCTGGATGGCGCACCAGTGATAAGGACCTGCAAAGGTTGACACTACATGCTGTTGACGCATACCCTCGGTCCTTGGGTCCTCTTCACTGAGGCCAACTCTCTTTCTGCATTCAGAACGTGGGAAACATTGAGGTACTCTTTCATAGCGTGATCTTCACCTTCGTACTCCTGATATCAACATTTCACTATTCGTACATGTCAAGTACATACCTGTTCCACCATGCCTTTTACCTGAACGGAACATCCAACCCACGTAAACACGGCAAGCTGTTCCCCCTCCTCTATGGCGAAATCCACATCAGGGGCAAGTTCGCGGCCGTATATTTCCGCAGCACCGCGCATATTTGGTAGAAGGTCCGCCGCCGCTGCCGGCGTGTTGAGCAGCTGCAACGTCATTAGAACAGATAACGCTAATCCTAGAGTATGTACATAAAGTAGCTGTGTCTACAGCATCTAGAGGTATACAACACCTACCCTGACGGAAGGGAGCACAGGTATGCCATCACGTGAGTCGTGGCTTACAATCCTGAGCTCGCTGAACGGAGCTAATGTGTAAGTCCGGATCGGCAGCGATACCATATTTCTGATATCAAGAAGACATATCTGCATGGACTATTCATATCATGATGCGTAGAAATGTTCTATAACCATGTATTCTGCACATTGTTTCTTCGGTGGTGAGTGCCGGTTGTCTATTGCGTCCGGCGTTCGGTCTGTGCGTTGACGGCTACCCGCATGGCACTGCGCGTTGTGAGTGTGTAGACGCCGATTTGTGGTATGTGTCGGTGACCTGTAGAGGTTTGCTTCCACCGTGGGACTGTCGCCACTTGCCGTTGCGCGCGCCCTTACGGCGGTAGCAGGATACACGGCGAGCAGTTGAGCACTAGCCTAACAGTGCTCACATCACCGCTCCACTCACTAGGAAGCGTATTCGCCGCCCAGATGTGTCGCAGCGGTCGTCAGTAGCGCCGGGTGAGCAATGGCCTTCCCCCGCTGCGGTGTGTCCAGGGCGCTCTGTGGCAACGCGCCTTCCGTTCTCAGGAGCTCGGTGCATTCGCCGGCTCTGCTACAGACAGTGCGTTATGCGTACTGGCCGCCCCCTGCCAACAAGCGTTCCCGTCTGATCGAGGTGGGCGTTGATGCATGTGCGTCGAGTGAGTGGCTGCTGCCGAAGTGGACCGCATCGGCTGCGCGACACTATTGATGATTACATTGCAACGTGACGCCTGTTGATGTAGTGCCGGTGGCGTAGCTGCCCCTCTCACACCCGTTCAGCTCCCTTCGGGCAAGAAGTTCTTCGTCTTCCGGGGCAAGCGCGACGCCGACGGAAAACTCGAGCCAGTCGTGTGCTTTATTGACCGGTACGTTTGCCAAGCGTATGTGCACAGATAAACACCCCGCAGCAACGGCGACCGACTCACATGGTTCAACTCAGAGGAGATACACCAACTCCAACAACTAGTTAGTCACCGAACAACGACACATACAAAATACTCACAGACGCAAAGGTTGCGCTCTTATTTCGATCTATGGGAACAGAAACATTAGCACTCATAAAACGAATTTGCCTCACTGATACAAATATACTTTATATTTTGTTCGCATTATTCATGCAACACCGATATCGCATCAAATAGACGTTTTGATGCGAGAAACGATATGCATAACGACGACGGCTCCCATGTAGACGATTGCTAACAGCAGGACGGCTTGGGGACCCCTGAAATACGATGACTGTGACAAAACGGTAAACTCACATCTGGATGGAGGAGGTAGCAAAACCGTAGTAGCGCTGGAAACCCGAATTAACCGGCATGTTAGTCCTCGTGCCGGCAGTATTGGTCTCCGACTGCGCCCTTTTCCTGACGTGGTATGCCAAAACGCTTGCTAACGACTCACCTAGGTGCCATACGCTGGCCACCGATCATGGTAGACTGGGTAGGGATTTTGTCTGCCTGTGACGGGGTTAGTAAAGAAAAACATGATTTCGAACGTGTCGCTTTCTAGGATGCTACGTGTGTAGACATCACGAAACCTTGAAGTAAGGGATAGGAGAACACGCATAAGCGTCACACTAGGTAGGCTTACCATTTTGGTCTCTGCTGGAAAAGGCGGACGAGATGTATGTGTACCAAAAAGTTGTATTTTAGGATACCGGATAAAAAGTATGCCAATGTGTAGCGGCAAGTCTCCGCAGCGTCTGTAACCCACAGGCTCGTGTGGCGGCGGTGGTGCTTTGAGGCAACAGAGAGAATTGCCATAGAACTGTGGACATAACAGTGACAAATACGAGCTTATTAGTTCGGCAGGAGTGTTGTAAGCGCATGTGTATCACTCACTCCGACCTGCCGGATGGAACCTGGACGCGGCGACGAGGCAAGGCGTCGTCCGACCCATCGGAGTGCCGCCGGGTACTTTTTAGCTGCTTAAGACGTGATTGAACAGCTTCCAGACGGTGTAACGCAGTCTGTGGTTGTATAACTAAGATCGTCATTTCATCTCACCTTGTGGTTGGAGTACTTCTCCCGGTCAAGTTCCTCGGTGTAGCAAAACTTGGTGCCGACAAACCACATCACCGCATAGTAAACTATGAAGCAAACATAGAAGGCGAACCATTGCTTGAGAGTATCTGTAGGATTTGATAAAACACGTAAAATTTGCAAACATACACCGCTGTGCCAACGCATTGATCCACCATGAGGTCGCCGCACGCGGCTCTCCGTCTTCGCTGAGTAATGTTAGTGATAATAGGACGCATATACACTTACTTGACTGCTGGTTTATCCAGCTGCATGAAAGACAGTAGGTGGATGAAAAAGCTCGCTGTTAGTACCACCAGTGCGATGCAGTTTTGGACGTGCTGGAACCTCCCTAACATTGGCATATGTGCAGTTGATGTTTGTCATTACCTTGAAAAGAGGCGATAATGTTGGTCAGCTCCTTGGACCGGTCCTCTCGGACATGCCTTTCAAAGATTATCGTCGCTAGACAGAAGGCACAAACCTATGAGATATGTTGTACAACCTATCGACATCGCGTTCCAGTTTATCAAGCGATATGTTGACCTTATCCACAGCAACCTTGTGCATTATTTCGCGAAGATTGTTCATGCTGTTATCGGCTTCGTCTACCTCATGGTCGCTCTGCGTATGGGCTTCAAAACTGTCGCTCATCGGGGCCACAGCAGTTTGCGCGCTTGATCCCAATCCGGTATCGCACGAACTATCTGCATCTCCGCGTGGGGAGTCGAACGTGAAATTTGGACTGCGAATGCGGGTAAGGAAGCTGGCGAGCTTCCTCCTGCTTGCTCCGAGGAGATGTGCCGTGAGCCGCACTTCAGTCGGAACCGAAACAGGGTTGAACGAAAGTTGGTGCAGTTCGTGTTCATATGGTCTATCGTGGAGGTCAATAATTGTTTTGACAAAGCTTCATCCTACCTTCCTTTGAATGCGGCACGCAGCGCATCGTCGAATTGCCTGAGGATGTCCCGCACCTTGTCATCCCCGAGCATGTCCTCGCAGAAGTGCACAAACAAGTGCAGTTTGTTCATCTGACCGCTTTCAATCACAGCTATTACGCTATTCATGAGGTCCATGAGATTATCCGATCTAGCAGAGCGATAATCGAGAATTAGCAGGACACGCGCCGCACGATCCTGAACCACTGATTCAATGAGCGTGCTGTACAACTCTGTGCTGCTGAATGGTTGACTTGTGAGCTCCATAAGTAGCATCGATGTGTTTTTCATGAAATCTTCCATCGTCACCACATCCAGCGTCTTCACCGACTCCAAAAGCTTGTTACGAACACTTGGATGGAGCCCGGACGGCAGCCATGATCTGGAATGTGCGATATAATGTTGCTCAACCGATCCCTCCCGATGCGGATAGACGTAGAAAACCCCTGTTGCTTTCCCCTCCATAGTCCTCTCAGCCGAAAACACGCGCTCCCGGTAGAGATATTCAATCCTGCAGTACGGTTTAAGCAATAACTTTATTTAGTGGACCCACAAATTTCGCCCGTGAGGGCCGTCCGCGATAACAAGTACCAGATCATTGCGAGCGAGGTGGCCAACCGACAGCTGCTCGTCCAGGAGATTACCTATGAAGTCATTACAAAAAACGTGATGCGACTCTCACCTATACTCATTAGACCGCTAGGGTCTGATTCCGATGGTATGTCCACAATTTTGGAGGGGAATGTTGCTTCATTGTGGTAGAAACGGCATACCTGAAAACGCATGTAACGAATGTATCAATTATAAGGCACATTTTCCCCTCAATAATCACCATATATACACATACGCAATCAATATACAACTATAATAAATTCTCTTTCGCTTCGGAGCCCACATTCTAGGTTCCACAGCCATAATATCACGGATGCAGCCAATAGGAGACAAGATGCTAGAATACATCACACTAACATTCAGTTATATTCATGTATGGATAGATTCGGCAGTTTATATACAATCAGAATGATTCAAAGATGTAACAACGAACTCACATCGTCTAAAGTTACGGGGGAATCACGGCCTCTCATCTTGGCGTTAAGACGGACGAACTCTCCCTCAGCCCAGAAGGCACGTGCGATTCGTAGCCAGTGTCTGGCAATTAATAAATATTTACGGCACTGTTAGCAGTCGCTCGATATAGACGCATCACGCCAAAACGCCGTCCTCTCCCATCTGCTCCGGCACTATGTGCCGTGACGAGACTGCAATCGCAATGTGTATACAGTTGGTGTTATATTAGTGTCTTATGGTAACAGTCTTAACATATTGAGTTTTTCTTAAGTGATAATAACCGCCGACGGTTGGGTATTCTTAGAGAATTGGACACCAGCCTTCCAACGCCCGGCGGCGGCAACTTTAGGGCCCATATCTCTCGGTTTTTAAGCGCTGTGTATGTGTTAATGCATAATGTGCGACTGGTGTTGCTTTTGTTCGCGATTGTGTTCGGCAGCGGCGACGCCGGTGCATTGAATGCCCGTGTCTTTGCCTCGGTGAGAAGCTCTTACACAGGCAACGACGCTGCTCGAGTCCCGCACATTCGGAGTAACCATATCGCATTCGCGATTCCTGGCTTATCTCAAAGGTTAAACTCCAGCGCGAGTTGTGGAGTCTGCTGTACAACATCGTTGCAAGATGTTACGTGCCCAGAAGGCGTCGGTCAGACCGACGAATCTCGGAGAGTCGGCAATCGCATCACTATTCGCCGACATTGTCTCCACGCGGCACATAGCTCACACCAAGATAAAACAACCAATGAAGCAAGGAAGAGAAAATCGCGATCAATAAAACGGTCTGGAAGAAAACGGACTTTAGTAGAGGTCAGTAAAGAAGAGAACGTCCCTAGCGAGGGTCGCATTGGAGCTAAAAATGTGAAGTCTGTGGATATTAAAGGTAATGATGACATAAAAGATGTCGTTTCACGTGTCAAAAAGAACTTAAAAGTCGCTAAAGGGAAGGATGCAGTCGGTGTGGCGTCTGCCAGCCGTGGTGATACAACCAGCAGTAAAAAAAATACGAGAGATAGGCTTAGCACGGACAAGTTGACTACATCGCAAATTCACCTGATCGATTTTAACACGACGGGTGAGACGGATGCTGTAGAATCAGAGTGGTCTTATGACAGAGAAGTTGAACCTATTGATGTTGCTCCTGAAGTTCCTGAGTTGTCCCCAATTACGCAAGATGACTCAAAGTCAGAAGAAGGCGGTGCTTCGGCGATATCTAATCGCCGTTTGCATGTGCTGCACGCATTATTCTCCGATGAACATAGGATCAATGCACGTGACATTGTATCGGTGCTCTACCACCAGCTAGGCTCTCCAAATGTCGATCTGATTAATTTATACCGTAACATTGAAAGCGAAGGGGGGAACTCTTACAATGAACATCTTAAAAGTTCGAATGCGAACGAAGATACCGATGCTGAAGGTTCGGAGCAACATGCTTATAGTGGTAGAGGCGATAGCAGTGCTGTGAGCCAAAACTACGACTCAAATAATGTAACTCCACTGGATATTAGCCCTGATAGCGGCTATATAAAGCCACTTTTGGAATCTGAGTCGGTTGTCCGTGTTACTGTCGAGCAGAACCATGGCGAAGAGGCAACGGATGACGGAAGGGAACATAAAAATCGCAACACCCTTCACGCCACAACCGTCTCACTTACGCCATCTGAACTGCGTACACTGAAACATATAAATGCGTCAGCGAATCACGAAAAACTGAATTTGCTACGATCAATGGGACGCCACAAACGCATCTCGGCGATTTTCTTACCTGTCGGTGGCAATACTCATGATTCGCAGCATGACAATGCTGGAGATCATCAAAATCAGGGAGATACAAGTGGAATTAACATTGGATTTGGCTCATCGAACAAGCCTTTCAATGGAATGCATTCCGAGCTGAACAACGAGAAACCGCCTAAAGAAGAGGCTGACCGCGCTGTTGCCAACAGGAAATCTACGAAAACATTGGATACAGGCGTCGATAGCAATTTCAAAACGGAATTGGATGACACACTTTATGTGGATGCATATGATAGTTTGGGTAATAAATCATTGGGGTATACAGTCAACGATACAGAAGAGTCATACATGCCGATTGTGAATACGGCATTTGGATCCATGGATACACCTGCATCAGCCGAAGTGTCCAGCAACTTTCAAAACGTATCTGGAAAAGAGTATACGTTTTATCGTAGTACGGATGATTTGTCAGCAAACCTGACGTCCGATTACCACCACAGTTTTGATTCCTTGCTTCTATCGGTTCCCACGAAAACGAGAAAGCTGCATAAGAAAACGGGAGGAGATCAAATAGAAACGGACAAAGGCGGTGTTGCTGAGGGACAAAATGCAATCTTGGAACATGAAACCATACCAGACATCACATCGACTGGCGACGATTCAGTATTGAGCATCCCCGGAAACTCATGTAAGAACACTGAACAAACAAAGGAACAAGATGCGAGCGGCTTTAGTATACCTGTAAACATGTTTACACTCCGACGCGGGTTTTTGGCCTCGCTGTATAAGACTTACCTACGGCCCAGCCTCATCTCCACACTAGAGAGCGTGTTCAAGACGAAAATCGAAGAGCCGTGTGGTGCCATGGACTTCATCACGTTGGGTGTAGATGCCGAGAAACTTATAGGCAAAGCGGTAGGTGACATAGATCGCAACACGCTGCGACGGCATCTTCGCAATGTGGTGGTGCGATCGAATTTTTTGGAAAATGACATGAAAGACACCATATATTACGCGGGTGAAGCGACCGAACTGCCGCAGAAGGTTCGCCACAAATTGGCTATGATATTCAAATGGATAAAGGACGAAGTGTTTTTACGCAACAGCGTCGATTTGTTAACGACTTTGCTTGGCAGACCTCCGACGATAGGGGAGATGGCTTTCTCCCTGGGTCACGATGACGCCAAAAAACTCGAGATGAGCCTCAGTATTTTAACATCACACACAAAACAATCCTTCGAACCCCTTGCTAAATCAATGGGTGACATAGTTCTAATGAAGCTTGAATCGGAGAATGGCGTCCAGCGGAAGTCTACGCCGATGTCGCTGGAGCCCCTCGACCCACACATGTGGCAGACGCAGTCTACGGTTAAGGAAACGTTATGGCAAAGGATATGCTCGATCCACCTGAACACGTTGGCAACGCAGGGCGAGAAGGTTGTGGGTCAGCTTTATGGCATTTCCTGCAGCGCCGCCCGACACGACCTCCTCAAGGTAAAGCTTCCAGAGCACCTGCCGATCGGCAAATACCGTTTAGCCAAACGTGCTAAGGCGCTCTACGCCGATCTATTTATGCTGAAGAGTCGCATAGCTTCTGAAGTGCGGCGAGCATCCGAGCTAGGGATTCCGTTCAACAAGGACATTTACAAGGACGATCGCTTTGCACAGCGTGTCATTGAGCTGGAGGTAGCCAACGTCATCACAAAAGAAGGCACTGCCGACTTCAGTGCGAAATCTGCGAAGATTGCTAAACTTATCGAGGAAGAGATGAGTGCACGCCTCAATGTTTCTATGGATGCCATACAAGAGGCCTGGGACGCCGCCAAGACCCGCGAAATATCCGGACCCAAAATCGTGACATTCGCCGACAAGGTTAAGCATTTCAAGCGTAAACGCGGGATGTACGTTGGTCATCTGCAGGACTTCGATGATTTCGGCGAACCCGAGGACCCCGAAACCGCACCGTTGAAGCCCTGGACGATGGAATATAAGCGAGACAGCATCCTGCGCAAATCTTTGCGGATGGTTGCTGTGGAAGCTCTAGATGATCGTGCAGCGCGTTTTGTGTTCATGGCTTACTTAAACCTCTTCATTAACACTGTGTGGAACGCGGAGGATTTGACGAAGGCCCTGGGTATCTCCGGTCCCGACGTCCTAGACCTCGTTTTCTACGCTGCTAGGGCGCATTGCCAGGAATACGAATGTTGGCGCATAAAATTAAAGTTGCCGCCGTACGTGAACGAACTATCGGTGTGTCCCGAACTGGTCCCAAAGATCGAGCTGCCGATGGGCAAGATGCCACACCACATCGCATCCCCCAAGCACAGCAAAAGACCACGTGGCGCTCGTTTCTCCAGGCCCGTTCAACCCGCGATGAAAAACCGATACAAGCGTATGAGTAGCATAAAGCCCCGTATTGGTACCATGAAGGACTCCTTAGCGCAGTACCACAAAAACTTCTCAACGATGCAAAAGGTGCTGGAGCAGAGTCCGCTGTACTACCTGAGCGAGATCCCCGACACTGTCAAATTGGATCCTGCGTAACGCTGCTATTAACATTTGGTATAACGCCCAAATGGCAGACTAATATCATATATAAGTGGTAACAGGTTAACGTAGTACGCTGCATTGAATAATTGTTCTGTGAGGGCTCTACAATGCGCTGAGTATATACTGGTGTTGTGAGACTCCCACTCGGCACGCCTTTTCAACGAGAGTTGCGATAGATGGCACCTGAAAGCATGAACCTGCGGCGGTCATGCCTATGCAGCGCCCTTCTGGCGACACAGCCACGGTGAGGAAGCCGTCAGCGCAGGTTGCCTCCTCGTGTGTAACCGCCCAAACGTGGTAGTCGGCAATTTTTGCGACGGTAACACAGATTGGGAGCTGTAGCGCGATCTTCTGCAGATCCAGGTTGTGACCTTCAGCAAGCCTCACGCGGACGTTGGTCCCACGTAGAGAGCGCTCCAGCTCGTCTCGAATGAGCACTTGCACGTTGGGTATGCGAGCTGTACGCAACGCGGTAACCATTCCAATGCTGATGGCGTCGAGGAAGGCACCCCCTCGCTGCAGTATTGTGCTGTGCAGTCGCACTGCCCAGCAGAATTGCCCGCTGAGGATGCAGAGCAGCCGCCGGTCAAAACGCTGCCTTTGAAACTGCAACCATTCTAGAGTGCGCTCCCAGCGTTCGTCGCGCTTATGCGATACCTCAGCGTCCTCAAGGCTGAACGGCGACGCGAGGGTAATCTCTATGGTCCCTTCGTCGGGAGAATCCTTGGACGGCGCAGAAACGCTAAACTGCGAATTGTGAGTCGGGAGAATACGTGCGTGTCGACATACTTCATTGTGAGCAACCATACAAACGAATTATACAACGCTTCTGCCATTCAGAACGGTACAGAAATGGGCGAAGGTCGGCATCGTTGTTGCTATACACGAAAATGGACAACTAACAGGCACAAATGTACCACCTACGTATTCCACATTCGTATAAATGGCAGCAGAAGACAACACAGTCATAAAATGCCGCCAATTGGCGGGAAATGAACAGAAGGCCATAATACCATCAACAACCCACCGTTACCGTCGTTATGACGACCGTGTCGTCCAAAGTGACGCGGCAACTGCCATGCGCCACGTCCGAAACGTTAGATTCCACCGTTAACGTAGGTTCGGCATCCAGACGGCGACCGTCTAGGCGGCAGTTTGCCGCGAGCGCTTTGCGGATGAAGTCCATGGCTCAAAGCCCCGCAGCTCACCCAGAGCTGCCTGCAATGACTTCTAATCACCGCAGCAACCTTTAATCTATGCCGTCTTTTAGCATAGACTTGCGGTGAGGGTGAATGTCTATCGACACCCCGGGCGACACACCACCACAGGAATGGAAGCGGTGTTTTTAGGTATCGCAATAATTTTTGTAAATGTATAACAATCACCGATTATAAAGGTGCTTGTTTGTACATGTAGGCTATGAAGCGTGCCTGTGTGTGAAATATCTGTGATAGAATATACGACTTTCCGCCGACCGACACAACGGTAACAACATCGCCAGCTTCGGCGACGTCGTGGTCCGGAAGAACCCTTAACCCTTAGAGTGGAAATGGAGAGTGAATGAGGTTTGCAGGTGTATGGATCTTATGCCGCTCCTACTTTGTCTGGGCGTGAGAAATATTTAGTCCAATAGTGATTTCGGAGGCAGTTGCACATCTCAGGATTGACACTACGTTAAGGCCAGCAGCGTGCAACTACACGATTGTTTACACCGTAAAACCGTTATTGTTGTATATATCCGTGCGCTAAGCAAGCAGGATATGGTACGTAGACCTATTGCTGTCTATATTTCCGAAAAGTAACACTGTCCCAACTGTCAAATGATGGCGACCCCTACGCAGTATCAGGACGAAGTTAACGTCCAGAACTTGCGCACTATCGATGGAATCGGTTGCCATGACTTTTTCAAGCGCTTCTCACGGCCGCCGGTCGACGTGTCATCGCTTCGCGATATCATCATGTTCCAAACCGATGCGGACTATACGAGCCGTTTTGAAAGAGTCGACTCTGATGAGTGTTCTTCTGTCATGGACAGCAACAGAAGCCAGCCGAAGTTCGCGGAAGTGCCAGTGATCCGCCTTTACGGTGTGACACGGGATCAGCACAGCGTACTGGTAAACGTGCGCAAGTTCATGCCGTACTTCTACGTCGAAAAACCGCATAACTTCAGGGAGGAGCACATACCATTGTTGATGGACTTCTTCAACAAACACCTGATGGACCAGCCGGCCTTCAAGAAGACGTGCCGCTTTGTTGTAAACATCCAAGTGGTTCGCATTAAACCTCTGATGACCTATCAGCCCAACGGAGAGCGCGACTTTTTGAAGGTCACAACAGCGCTTCCGCGTATGGTCGCCGCACTCCGTAGCTTCTTGGAGTCGGGGGTGGCACTGCCTGTGATGGATCTGCCAGGCACTGGAAACACGATGCGCATTTCGTTCCCTCGTCAGGTCTGCGAGGCAAATCTCCCTTACGTTCTGAGGTTTTTGCTGGACGCAAACATCACAGGTGGATGTTGGCTGCAGCTGCCAGAGGGAACTTACACAGTGGACAAAAGCAAGAGCAGCCACTGCAGCATCGAGGTTACGACAGACTTCGAGAACCTGCGACCCATGCCGATAGAGGGCGAGTGGCAGTCAATAGGGCCAATCAGAACCCTATCGTTTGATATTGAGTGTGTCAAATTCACGGGACCTGGTTTCCCAAATGCCACCAGCGACCCCGTTATCCAAATCGCATCCGTTCTTCACACCCATGGCGATAAACTGGATACCGCGCAGAAGTTTGTGTTCACTCTGAACGAATGTGACGCTCTGCACGGTGCGCATGTGCTCTGCTTTGACCGCGAGGAGGATATGCTCTCGGCCTGGAAGCAGTTCTTTACTGCCGCCGACCCTGACTTCCTAACGGGGTACAACATCGTGAACTTCGACATTCCGTACCTGATCAACCGGGCGAATGCGCTGCATCTGGAAAAGTTCACGCAGCTGCCGCGCATTATACGCGCCAATACGAGTGTGCGCGACGTCATCCAGTCCAACAACATGCTTGGCACTTACGAGAACAAGGATATCAACATAGAGGGGCGCATCATTTTCGACGTCTACGACCTTGTGAGGCGCGACCACAAGCTCAAGTCGTACACCCTCAACTACGTCTCTTTCGAGTTCCTTAAGCAGCAGAAAGAGGACGTGCACCACTCCACGCTATCAAAGCTGCAGTTGGGCTCGGCCGCCGACAGGCGGCGTATCGCAAGCTACTGTCTGAAGGATGCTATACTCCCCCTACAGCTCATTGATAAGCTCTTGCTGATGTATAACTACGTCGAGATGGCAAGAGTCACCTTCACACCTATCAAGATGCTGATCAACCGAGGTCAACAGATTCGAGTTACCATGCAGATCTACAGTCAATGCAAGTTGATGGGGTACGCGGTGCCCGTCGTTAATGCGGCGCAAAGGGCATGGTCAAATGAAGGCACTTACGAAGGTGGAACTGTCCTTGACCCGCAGAAGGGGTACCACAGAAACCCTATTGCGGTGCTCGATTTCCAGTCGCTATACCCCTCGATCATGATAGCGCACAACCTGTGCTACTCCACCATCGTACCTCCTTCCGAAATCGCCAGGTATTCGCCGGACGACCTCACGTCAGTGCCGGGGCATCCGGGGCTGCATTTCATAAAGGCGCATGTGCGCAAGGGCATGCTTCCCTTGATTGTTGAAAAACTAATCGAGGCGCGTAAAAAGGCCAAGGAGGAAATGAAAACTTGTACGGATCCCATGTTGAAAAGTGTCCTCGACGGCAGGCAGTTGGCGCTGAAGATCACCACAAACTCCGTGTACGGATACACTGGCGCCTCCAACAGTGGATTCCTCCCATGTGTAGAAGTAGCTACGGCTATCACGTCATTCGGTCGTTTCATGATCGTCAACACCAAGGAGAAGGTTGAAAAGTACTTCACGGTAGCCAACGGCTATGAGGCCGACGCCAAGGTCGTCTACGGTGATACCGATTCCGTCATGATCAACTTCGGGTGCAAAGACATACAGCGAGCCATTGACCTTGGTGTAGAAGCGGCCACCAAGGTTACAAGTGAGGCTGTGAAACCAATCACACTCGTTTTCGAGAAAGTGTACCTGCCGCTGCTGCTGCTGGCCAAGAAGCGTTACGCCGGCCTCTACTACACAAATGCTAAGACGTACGACAAAATCGACTGCAAGGGTATCGAAACCGTGAGGCGTGATTTCTGTCTCCTGGTGCAACAGATGATGGAAAAAATCCTACACATGCTGCTGGTCGACCTTGACCTGAAAGGTGCCATCCAGTTCGTCAAGAGCAAGATCAGCCAGCTGCTGCGCAATGAGATCGACATAAGCCTTCTGGTTGTCACCAAGTCACTTGGAAAGGTCGACTACGACGCACGGTTGCCGCATGTCGAGCTTGCCAAAAAATTACGCAACCGAGACCCCGGCAAGGCGCCAACGGTCGGGGACCGTGTAAGCTACCTCATTGTCAAAGGCACTAAGGGACAGCCTCAATTCGACCGCGCAGAAGAGCCGTTATACGTCGTTGAGAACAACATTCCAGTGGATACTCAGCACTATTTGGACGCGATCAAATCGACCCTTTTGCGTATATTCGAGGTTATCATGCCTAACCCAGAATCGCTCTTCAGTGGGGAACATACTCGCTACATTACGATGAGCTCCACGTGCGACAGTGCGCTCTCCATGTTCATGAAGAAGGTCGAACGCTGCCTGGGTTGCAAAAGCGTGATCAAGGTTCCACCCTTCTGCGACCACTGCAGCAAGACCAAGCAGCAGCAGGTGAGTCATTCACGAAATGGCTTTACACGTGCGAATGTTGTGTTTTTACGTCTTTCTTGTGGAAATGCATTTTTTAAAGGAAAAGCTTTGGCTTAAGATTGCCAAAAGCGTGGCCAATATAGTGGTTTCGAGTGTTTCGTAACAATACATTCGACCCTGATTTTTGTGCCAAACAATGCACCAATGCGCCACCCGGCTGTGGCGTTATTGTAAAACGTGGCATAAGCAGTCGTTCCGGCAGTGTCGTTAGAAAAGATTATTGCACCACGCGTAACGCATTTCACGTTTAAGTGTAGTCATGTTGCACGTGTGAAATGTCGAATGAATGCGTATATAGCTGTATATATGCCTTTTTTTTATGTCACACCGTTCTAAAATTACGCAGGTGATGCTGCAGAAGTTAGAAGAACGCCGACAGAAGGAGGCCGACTACTTCGACCTGTGGTCGCAGTGTCAACGCTGCCAAGGCAGCCTGCACAACGAGGTCATCTGCGACAATCGCGATTGCCCGATCTTCTACAAAAGGGTTAGAACCGGCAAGGTGCTCACGGCGCTTGAGAACACGTTCCAGACGCTGCATCTGGAGTACACGTGAGACTATAGCTGGGCTGCAGACAGCGTGCCTTCAACCTTTGCCCGGCTAAGATGCTGATACATCAACAGCTGCGACGTGCGGAAGCGGTACACAGGTATTTGCTTTGCGTCTGCCTCCAGCAGTTTCAAACGTGGGGTCGCCCGTGTCTCGAGGTCCAGCTTTGCCCGTTTCTCGCGTATCAGGGAGGCAGACTCCTCCATCAGCGACAGTAGCTTGCTGGCGAAACTGCGGAAACTTGGCTCGATCTGAATCTTATTACGCCATACGTTAATGCATACTTACCCTGCTGTTTTTCATATACCGGTGCAAGAAGGCCGTGACCGGAACAATGAACTCGGGGAAACTCGGGTGCAGAGATACTAGTCCCACGTGGTCTGTTAACAGGAGCGACACGTGTCTGTACAGCATGCGATAAGTCTCGCTGGCGTGCAGCTGCTTCTTCGTGAGCCGCAACCGGACCATGATGTCATCAACGTTGTCCAGCAACTTGCGTGATTCTACTGCCTCGTGCCGACGAAGCTTGTTGATGTCCTTCGTGCGCAGTTGTTCTAGCAGGTGGAATATGCATGAAACAATCGGCACGAAACGCTCCAACCCGTCCGCCAGTTGGTTTTGCGCCGTTAACATATGCAAGATGAATGGCATGTAGCCGATCTGTGGCAGCTTCACTTTAACGGCGCCAGTGATCACGGTAACCAGGGGGTACACCAGAGCCTCGAGGCGATCACGGCACCTAACCAATACGGTAACCCAGACATTAACCGCCTCTACGAATCCCCAGGTGTATACAGGTAGCACAATACTGTGGCTGCTCGAGTCCTTCGCCGGGGCGCGTTCACGCTTCTTACGATCATTCGCAGCCATCCATTCGCGGCGAACGTTTACTCCCAGGTCTCTTATGCCCTTGAAAGCAAACGTGTACAAGTTGGCAGCTGGGGCGCCACTGTACAGCTCGGCCAAACAGTTTTGGCTCAGCTTGAAAAGACCGAAATTCTTAAGTGTCCTTTCTATGCTTGACGCTGAAATCTGCGTTCTGTAACTGCGGTTCAGCAAAAAGTTTATGCTGCTGTTGCAAAACGCACGAGCCTGCTGTGACGACAACCGCTCGACCTTTAACCCCGTCACCGGCGACTGCGAAATCTGGATGCGGTGGTAATTGCTCTCCAATACGCAAGATAAGTACCGTCGAAGCACTTGGAAGGCGTGTATGCGAACCTTTTGTTCTTTATGGTGTGTCAGCAGCGAACACGCTAGCTTTACTACCTCCTTATGCAGACTCTTGAGGGTCACCACCCAGGGCATCACCGCCTCACTGCCTATCACATTTAACGCGCAGCGGCAAAGGTCAACGTCTTCGAACCTGTATGCCAGCTGCAGCAATGCGGAAGATAAGAATCTGCGGAACAATCGAATCACATCAACGATCCTCTCGTTGGTGAACGAGAGCTCGGTCGCACGTACATATTTATCCATAATCGAACATACTTCAAGTACCACATAGTTGTAAACCTCGGAATTGGATGGTGCATAGCGATTTGGAACGTCCGTTAACATGGAAGATAAGCCACGGCTAGCCATCATGCCACGACGTGCTTGGCGGCGTCCTTTGCCCTTGTTGTCCCCTTTCGCCTTGCCGCCAGTCTCATTACCCGATTCGGCTGATGATAACCCTTGATGAGCAGAACGACGTACAAAAGACCCGTAAACCACTATAAGGCGGCGTACCGCGCCGTCATTATGCTTTTGGGCCTGCTTCACTAACTGCTCCGCCATCTCAATTGAGACGGCGCGGCATCCCTCCTCCAGGTCGTCACCCAATTCGGAATCGGAGTCTTCCGCGTCGGAAAAGTCTATATTTTCTGACTCCGCATCACTGTCCGAATCCTCGTCGCTCACGTCGTCCATATCGTAGTCAGAGACATCGGAAGACTCAGAGTCATCGCCCAAAGCACCATCGGAACCACTGTCCGATCCCTCGTCTGATCCAGAATCGCCGCCTTCCAAGTCGTCTGGATCTTCCATACCATATTCCATCTCATCGTCATTATCCTCCACGTCGCTGTCGTTAGTCAAGGCTGCCGCTGTGGCCTTTTTCTTGCCGCGGTAACCGCCAGACACGCGATCCTTCTTACGCGGCGCAACAGTCTTGCCTTTAACTTGGCTCCGTTTGCGCGATTTTACGATATTTGTTTCCATAACTACCGATGGGTTTGCCCCGTTGACAAATAATTGTTGTGGTCTTGCAAGTGATACCCAGTTGGTATTGTGGAGGTTTATTGAGATATTAAAATATCTACTGCACTGAGTTGAGTGTGGCAAACAGCTGCGATAAGGATTCCAACAGAAGACCTCCCAATATAATGGAGATGTCGCGCACCAGATTAGAAGGATGTGCAACCGACCAAGTTGATGTGCGGCGGCCATAAGGGTTGTAAACATAGTTCTATGTGCATCGTTATTGGTGTACTTCGGCGGTGCCCATTATAGCCGCAGTCAAATTCCGAGCCAGACGCGCCTCGGAGTCTCTGCTGGTTAAGCAGTTACGCCAGTCCAACGCCATTTCGCGCCATATGCTACCCAGATACGGCTCTTTGCCGTGCTTGCAGGGTATGACATCGGCCGCAGAATCCGGTAACAGATGAATAATAAGCTCGCGACCGAACGTTATCGGAATCCGACGACCGCCGCCGCGGTGGCCCAGTGTCCACAGGCAGTGAGAGTGCACAAAGCCTCTGTTTGTCTCGTTGTCCCGACCCACCGCCTGGAGGTAGAAATACGACCGCTCTATGTCGTCCAGCTTGCCCTCAAGGCAGGCAATTGACGTCGCATCCTCAGGGTCTAGTGGCTCTACTCGGGTGCCGCAAAAGTGCTCCGAGCTGTTCACGTAATTGAAAGCGTCCATGGCGCGGTCGAGGGGTACTGGAACCACCTGTATTTGCGTGTGCATCGCACAAGGGTTTTGCATCGGCATATAACGCTCAAATGCGATGGCGCCTGAACCGCTTTTTAGACACTGGTCGAACAGGCAGTCGATGAGCCTCTGCATATCTTCCAAAACGGAACGAGAAGCGGCAGCTGCGCTCGGGTAATGATATATGGGCGTCACGATGCTGTGCAGTGGTGTGAGAGGCCCTTTGGCGATTGCGATATAGCTCTGCAACACGTAACAAACAATTTCTCGAAACCCACGTTATCCGATATAAATGCCACCATGTGGTCCTCGCAGGCCGAATTCGACAGGCAAAACCAGCAGGCATCGCTGCCTCGGCTAGGTGATGTGCGCTTGGCGACGGTTGGCACCGCTGAAGGGAAATCGCCCTGCCACAGAGTTATCTTCAACGTGCAACCGCCGCATTCCAACTTCTCGTCGGCGCGAACGGCGGAGGCAGCCTCTTCAGGGCGCTTGAACAACACAAACCTATGGCACGTGACAAGTGTAATGGAATACCTACGCTTCGGCAGGGGAACGCGCACTTTCGCCTAGCACGACCTGACAACGACGGACACGGCCGAAATGGGACATCACCTGCTTTAACGACGATTCGTCGATCTCAGCTGGCATATTGTAGACACGTACAATGCATCCATTAGCGGAGGACGAAGAATCACCCATTCCGGCTGCCTCTTCCGAGGCCGGGGCCGGCTCCGGAGCTCGGTCGGAAGACATGGGCAAATCAGGGTACACCGGTGTCCATAGGACAATTTGCTATATACAAAATCAGTAAATAGGTTAATGCGACATGTTTAACCGACGGATGTCCCCCCCTCATACCCTTAACGCAACGCGGACACCAGCGTGCACATAAATTCACAGGCAGACGCACAATCCGCCGACAGCCAACCAGCTTCCACCAGAGAGTTCAGCTTGCCATTAGTAGCCTTCAAAGGCTTCAAATTTAGCTGACGTAATATTGGCGGAATCCATTAACTGAAACATACCTTACGACAGACGAAGGCGAACACGTTCACAAAATGCGGCTGACGCTGCAGCAGAATGGTACAGCACAGCGCAATACGGTGCCATAGCAGACCTGAACTCTCATCCACTGCGGAATATTCCGCAGTTGTCCGGGGATTCGCATACGCAAACGACATCGCGACGCATTCCTGAGTCAAAATGTACAGCACCACGATTTACAACCCACCATAATGATCAACGTAGCACAGCCGTTCATCCATTCGCGTACATGGCTCTGGTTAACCCGGAGGAGGCATACCGCAGCGGTGGCAAGCGCAGCTTCACATAGAATCGGGGACCAATCGGCTTGCAAAACACTGGCGCTTTTCAACGAATTTTCCAGGGCGTCTTGAAGAACACCTAAGTCGAGAAAATCGTCTTCAGCCCGCACCGTTGGCGATTCCAATTTTGGATGGAAGCGACGTAATACCGACAGGAAGTGGTACTGCATGAACTGAAGAACCCGGCAAACCCTCTCAGCCGAACCATCAATTGCAGATGGGTCGATTGGAATGGGCATAGATACATCTAGTGGAATGCGCGGGCTGAAGTGGACGTTCCCTTGATCAAGTATGGTCTCCTGAAAACCACGCAACTTAAGAGGCGTGAACGGTGGTATTGCATCGGCGGCATCCAAAGCAAGAAAGGCCGAACAGTCGTTGACACTTTCTACAAACATGCGCTCCAAAAGCCTGTAACACATGGATAGCGTGCGCCTCTCTTCACCATCCGTAGCACCCGTAGAGTTACCACCCATCACTGCGGCCCACGCTAACGACATGGCAGCAAGGCAGGATGGCATCAGCGCCTTTATACCGTCAAAATCGACTGCATCCAAATAATCAAACGAAGGAAGCAACCACGCAAAGTCTTCTGCAGATATGGCTGACAATATCTTGGACAATTTACTCAGATACTACACACGAATGAGCGACACTATAAGGACCACCCACCAGGCTCCTAAGGTGCATAGGCTCCAGAGTCATCCAACACCCTATCAGACGACAGCAGCACGTCAGCAGTGAATCAGCCTTCTTACGGTTGTTGTCGGAAATTTCGTCGAAGAACTCAAATACCGTAGTCATAGTGCGGTGGATGACGGCGAAGAGCTCCTGAAACCATGTTAAAAGGAAAATGTGAACTAACATGACACGCAGGCATTATCGACTCGTTCTCTCCGATGCAGACAATAATTGCCTCCAATAGGCGAAAAGATGCATTCACGTCAGTGCTAACCGATCCCAGCCTGAGAAAGTCATGCAACGTTAGGTGAATCTCGATCTCACAACGGCTCACAAGTGCATATAATCGTTTTTGTAACTGGGTGATGCCACCATGGTCGCCCTGGTATGATGATATTGCAACAAAACCGTGACGTTCGATCATCTGCCCCAAAAAGCAGCTCGCCAGAGCAATCCCAGATTTGTGTGAACTCTGCTCCAGAATGGTAGATGCAACCTGTGAGACACGAATTTGCACGGAGGGTCCAAATAAAGCCGAATGTGACGATTTGCACAAGTCGAAAAGGACCGCCATAACGTCGAAGTTGCCGCTAGATAGGCACTGCTGAAATAATTCATCGAATTCGGTAGAAGGTATCAATTCCAGCACAGACTTAAGCGATAATACGTTGATGGAAATGGCTTCCTGTGGCGTGCTTCCTTGTTTGGATGACAATTCTCCCAAAACTGATTTTCCAACCGTTAACAGAAGCGCTCCAATGCAGTGATCATCGTCATCGCATTCCTCATGCTCAGCAGATGCGGCTGTAACGTCCTCTAAATGGGCGGCAGCCAAAGCATCCAGGTCTCGTTCAATGTGTTCGACCTCGCTTGCAGCTTCCTTGAATTCGCGACTCTCAACAAGCTCGCACAAACGACATACAGCAGTGACTGAACAAGATGAGAACAAACATATACAATGTATACCCACCGTTTGTTGGATGACTTGGCATTCCATCATCACCGACAAGGTCGAACATATCCTTGGATAGGTCGTCAACGACATCCGACAAGTCCGGAGCGTCCATGTTAATGGCGTGGAACGCTGGGAGGCCCAGCGCCGTCGATATCGCGTGGAAGAATGAAAGGCAATCTGAAATGAGACGCGCCTTTAAAACCTCTACGCTGGAAGCGCTTTGCTTTATCAGGGCGCTCGTTGTCGAATCGATCTCGAAACCCTTGTCCACCAAAAACGAAAGCAACACGCCCACATGGGGAGTCAAGGTCGACAAATGCCTCGCTGTCGATTTGTTAGATAGCAAAGACATGATTAGAGTCAACGCGGAACTGGCGATGACTGGTGATGAGCGCAGCATCAACGCCAAGAACTCCGGGTCAAGGGCCATAACAAGTCTCTCAGCATCTACCTAACAAGCAGTTGCAGAAAATGTACAATGCCAAACGAACCTTTGATGTTCCATAGCTTTTCTCGAACGAAAGGCAATAAGTTGAAAGAATGAACTTCAACTTTTGGTTCGGAGCCGTATGTAGGCGATACATCAGGTGCGATAGGCTCCTACATATGGTCACGTTTGACCTGCGATATGAGACGCATGCCTCCCACTGGTCTTCAGTGGACGATGGTTTGTGAGAGCCTGCCATATTGGGCGAGGGGAATACAGCAGATCACAGAACACTTAAACGGACCGATTGCCTCAAAGCCGTGAAATAATTATCCAGTATCCCAAAGTAAGAATGCAAAATCGAGTTTTTTAACACGTTTTGTAAAGGGTTTTAACATTACAGAGGTTTAGTTTAAGAACCTAGACATGATCCGCGAGAGGAAAGACTGCTCTTTCGCATAGTTCTCCACCACGCTGCTTCCAGCAACGAAACCGCGAGACTCCTTCCTATCCTCACGTGGACGCACCAATGAGTCTCCAGTCACAATATTCTCTGACAAGTTGGCAGTTGAAGCATCAGGTTTGATGTCGCAATCACGGAAACCAAAGTTACTCAACGGCTCTTCCACAAGCAACTTGTTCTCGATTCGGCACTTCATATACTCCGCAGCCAACGAACGACACTCAAACGCGTTGCCCTTTAGCGCACGAACACATTTCACGTAACGGTCGCTGATGGTCTTGCATGCACCGTCGTGATCCAATGGGAAGGACCCACGGTCGGGAGGTGTGACCGTGAGCCGTGGCGCCTGGCCGACAGTCATCAATCAACGAATCAAAGTATCAACAAGCCGCCTTTTAGTGCTATCAATGTGCAAAAGGTTGTTGATGGAGAAAGGATAAGGGGGAAACAGCCTGACGCACCATCGGCGCAACGCCGCAAACCGATAGAAATTACAATAGTGCGGAACCCAGAGAAACGAAAAATGGTCTCCCGTGACGAACATATACTATTCTATATAGGTGATGAAAATTGTAAAGATGTTCACCCAAATTGCACAGCCTCGATGAGTTGCCAAAGCAACGTTGTTATACGAGCCTGCATAAAGGAACCTTCTCTAAAAATAAAAATGATGTTTGGCGCAGAATCCTCACTTCTTCCCGCTATATTGATCAACGAAGTTTTACTTGAAACAACGAAAACGCAAAAAACGATAACTCTGCTAACGAATACGCGCTTGATGGACGGTGAAATGCTCAGACGTAAGCAAAAGGATACGGCGCGAAAGTAAGCAGATACTTTACACACTACACTTGTATATATGTATATGCCAGTTCCAAAAAATGAAAGGGGCGTAGTCTGCCCTCCTGTAGCATACGAGACCAATCCTTCCACACACTAGCGCCGTATATAAAACTCAAACACCACGAAGAAGTCATTACATTCTAAGATAAAATAAAATCCATTTTCGCGGAACCATATATGGAGGTTGCTTCGAATCGCTGAGAGAGATTGTCGAATCTTTAAACCGTGACCTCAGGTTTCCTATGCGCCAACCTCCACGGCTGTTCAGCAAGTCTAACTTCGGCGCTACACTATCAACACCGTCGATCAACGGTAATATGTGATGTGTATCGCTGGGCTATATTAGAAGTGAGGAAACATACGTAAGGAGTTCAAGCTGAAAGGGCCAGCAAGGTGTCTCTTTCAAGCAATACCTACGCTCAAGGTATAAAACTTTGTAAGAACCTGCCGCAGTGCAAGGTACGCTAACTCCTCCGCTCGGACTTAGAAAACTAACGGCTCGCCGAAATGTATTTCTACGCCCCCTTCAAAAAATTGCTGCGTTGTCTAGCGGTCATCTTACTCCTCAGGGGCGCTTCCGCGCCCGCAGCCGCAGAACCTGAACATGAGGACGCGTTCGATTTCGGTATGTCCAGAACTAAATGATTCTGAATATGTACAGATGAGTTCATCAAACGGCTTAAGGATGCAGCGCACTACTTCACCGATTGCACAATCGACCAACTAGCGCAGTACTGCACCACTGAAACGGCGCTCAACTTTGAATGTTTCCGTACTATTGGCAGGTGCATACCCGAAACCCTGAGAAAGGTGTCCATGTTTGGTGAAGAGAAACCTGCCGATGAAGAGGAACCAATCTCCCAATCAGATGAATTGTAAAAGCAGCATACCATTCATGATGTTGATGAGTTTGGTTCGGTGGTATGACTCATAATTTAATACACAACAGGTCCCAGCAGTACGAACGATGCAACTAAAGGGTAACAACCAACCAATGCGACGGAACACGCGAAAGGCCTCCAACCATATATTCAGGCGCGTATAATGGTGATGTCCACAGCTCTTGGGTGAACTATCAGTGCCGTGAATTATGGCATTTGTTGCGCACAATGTACAACATCGCTGCATAAGCACAGGTGCCTTCAAACTGCTGAATGAGTGAATGAAAACGTATCCAACTCAGAATATGCATGGAGTAACGAGTTTAATTTGCTGAGCAAGTAAACATGGATTCTGTAAGGCGTGGGTGGATATTCCAAACAAACGAAAAGGTCACCATACTGCAGACAGATGATCGCTGCGTGACATTTTTCAAAAATACGCGGAATTTTAAAATCGACGTTCATGAAGCAGCTCAAGCCGATAAACGGTCGGCTGTGAGAGGTGAAAACGAGTACCCTGGCGCGCTGGTGTCTGATTGTTTCGGGATTCTTGGCATTGTCACCTTCACCGAGGGGCCATACCTCGTAGTAGTCACCGAGGCGGGAAAATGTGGGACCATGCTCAAAGAACACGATGTCTACTCCATCGAGGGGAAGGCGTTGGTGCCACTGTTCCACCCATGCTTAGAAACGGACATCGAAACCTACTATTGCAATCTGTTCAATCAGTTCGATATCTCAAACAACTTCTATTTCAGCTACACGTATAACGTTGCGAATTCACTTCAATGCAACGCAATGTACGCAAGATGTACACGAGAAGATGAGGAGTGGTTAAGTTTCGACGCGGTTTGCGCCACCCAAAAGTACAGGTACAATTTCGTTCATGCAAAAAATTTCGCCGAGCACTTTGGCCACGACGCTGCCGGGTTGTGTTTGAGGGTGATTCATGGGTTTTTCGGCCAAACCAATGTATGCCTTTCCGGACGAACGCTTGCAGTACACCTGATCGCCAGACGTTCACGGTTCTACGCAGGAACGCGATACAAAAAGCGAGGTATCAGTCCCGACGGTCACGTAGCAAACGACGTAGAAACGGAACAAATACTGGAAGATGTCACCTGCACTGCCTCTGTTTTCTCTTTTTTACAGGTGCGTGGATCGGCGCCAACCTTCTGGGCACAGGACACGAATAAGACCATCATGAAAAAGCCTCCGCTGATCTACCCACAAAATGATCCTACATTCACTGCTCAGAAAAAGCACGTGTCGGAATTATTGTCTATATATGGAGCGCCTATTATCATGCTAAATCTGCTTTCCGACGACCCGAGTACAGAGGAAGGAAAGCTCTCTGCCCAATTCGAATCCGCTATATCGGCAATAAATTCCGAACTTCCCCGCATCATTAGAGTGCAATATGTACATCGCAATATACGAAGCGCGCTGGAAAAGGGAAACATACGCCAAATGATCGCCGAAGTTGTCGAACACGCCGTGGCCGAAGTGGGATTCTTTCACGACCGTCAGGGCAATGTACTGAACGCGCAGGTTGGGGTGCTTAGAACGAACTGTCTTGATTGTCTTGATCGAACTGGAGTAATGACACTGGAACTTGGGCTGCTCGTATTCCAACGGCAGCTGGCTTTATTGGGCATCCATGTGCAAACCGCTGAAGGACTGTGTGATTATGAAATGCACAACTTCACGGATGAAACCCCGTCCAACAAATTTAATATAGGAGTTGCGCAAGATCTCGAGCCCGTTGTGGGTCTTTTCAAGAGCATGTTCGAGAGATTGGGAGATGCCTTGGCCATGCAGTACGCTGGGTCAAAAACGCTGCGCAAGTACGAAGGTCCACGAGGAGCAATAAGTAAATCATTACAGCTATTCACCACGTTGAAGAGGCGTTTTTCGAGTCATTTTTCGGATTCAGACCGACAGACGCTGTCAAACATTTTCTTAGGGGTATTGCGACCTGACAGGCACCCGCCGCCGTGGGTAGTGGACGTTGACAAATATGTACACCGTGGAAAATTCGTATGTGAGTATGAAAACGTTGAATGGTGGGTAGTGCCTCTAATGTGTTTCTTGAGAAGAGTAAGGAAGCTCCAGGGCAATGTTTGCCGATTGTGGTTCGACCTGTTCAATGCAAGCGGAGAATACCGCCCGTGGGCCATGTTTGCGCAACTAGTGGCATCGTTCCGACGCAACAAGGATGAAGGCGTCTGTTGTTACTTTGGAGCATATCAGTCGGATAAAAGTAAAGAAGATGCATGTCTCGTTGAAACTGCTGTATGCCGCAATTTCTCCATCATTCCAGTCGGATCTAACGGCGCGGGAAGCAGCTCGGAAAATGTAGTATACACAGAATTTGATACACATTTGCCGGTTAGTGTGACACACATCATAAGAGAGGTTGGTGATCAGGATGAATTGAGCAGCGCCATGCCATCCGCTCGTGGAGCCTCAACAAAAACTCTAATGGTAAAAGTGAAATCACCATGCGACTGTGCATTAAACTCTATTCTGGACGCCAGCAAACGCAACGTGCATAGAATGAACTCCTTTTTGCAACCGTGGAGGATACAGCCACAAAATCGCGCTGAGGTGGCCAGCGATGTAGCAACGATACGTTGCCGTATGTCTGACCTGGAGCGTTATGCGAATTTCGTGAAGCTTTGACGTTGCGTTTGTACAACGTGGGATACGAAACAAATGGAGGACGGCGGCAGTAAGCTACGTTGGCATTATTTACCGTGCAACTATCAACGGGCCAGAGATGCGTTTTTAAAACGCTGTCGCACACATTGCGACAGCGAACAACTATAACTGTTTACCTAGGCTTAATTTCTCGTTCCCCTATGTTCCCCTCAGTACACGTAACGTCGCCCTGCCTAGAAGGGCGTATGTATCGCCGCATGTCACACAGACACTGTGCAATACGGTCGGCAGTTATCTCCGATTTCCCCAGCGCGGATATGAACGTGTTTAGGCGGGCCTCCACCTCCTGAATGTGGCCGATGTACCCTTCCGGTCCCAATTGCGGTGATAACACGCGCGGGTACGCCCCCGCAACCGTTAGCAAGCTGACCGATTTGAAGATACACGACACCAAAATTTCCCCAGGGGTGTAGTCCAAACAAATCCGCGTTTTGTAGCAATCTAGCACCAAAAGGCCGACTAGATTATCCATCTTTAGAGCCAAGTCTTGCAAATCAGACAAGTCATTAGCAATTGCGATAAGGAACTTCCGTACGTAGGACGGAATCAACTGAGAATCATATAACAGACACATAGCAAGAAACATACCTTGTGAGGAAGCGGCACGGGGCCCACGTGGTAATCTAGAGCGTGAAGTAAATGGTTTTCGTGTTCTATTAACTGCGACTTCAGCTTCAAGATTTCCTATACATAAGTGAACGGGTAATGAACCAAACTAACTTTGCCCTCATCCTGTAACATCCAGCGAGATACAGAAGGCGGTGCCGAGCTATTTTTGCTCTGTGCAACGTACACCTTGTACAACACTGATGTAAACTCAAAAATCTTGCCACTTGATTTAGACACGCGCACATCGTCCTCGCGATACTTCCAAGCGAGTAAAACGCATGATGCAGCAATCAGAAACTGTTCGTGGCGTTCCATTTTCGGGGGAGGTGCTGCGAACGGTTGCGCAGATGAACGCCAGCGATCGCTGGCGTTCCTGTACATCTGGAGGTAAACCAGCGAGGTCAGCACAACTGCATAAGGCTGATTCAAAACCCTGCACAAGGTCACAATGGTATCTGTGGCCTCATGTGCACAGTTCGCTTCCTCGGAGTCATTGGATGTCGATCTTACCGGCAAAAAATGCGATACGAGATGAAACCGTGATCGCAAATTTAAGCGCATCCTCTCGCGCAGTACAGAGGACGCAGAAGTCGCGGCAGTCTCGGAAGACAACTCGGTATTTATGTCAGAGGCCGAATAAGTCAAATTATCTTCTTTTGAGGATCTGTTAGACGTCTTCTTACGCTTAGAAGCCCTCGAGCGCTCCGCTCCTCCTTGAAGTCTGCCGGCAACATTTCTCATTCTTCAGGTTCTTCAATTTTCTAATTATGAGGAACTTAAACGCCGATTGTCCTAAAACATCGTCAATCAGGAGACTTCGACGATGCCCGCGAAGGAAGTATTGGGGTAGACAATGTCCTGTAGTAAAGTGAGAAACTCGTCCCGCTCTGTATAAATAAATACACGAATTGACGTCATAATGAGCCTCAAAAGCATTCTAAGGCGAACATGGCTCCGGTGATGAACAGATGCAACGCGGCAAACAACGCGCACGACGCTTGGTTTACAAATTTCATGGTGTACAGACGACCGTTTTTAGCCTCGCATGTGCAAACTGCAGGTACCATCGGGCCATTGTTAGACAGCAGAGCCGTATAAACGGTAACATTAGGCTGGGATGCCGATCGGTACTGCCTTAAAATCGCATTTCCAAGTAAGCTGTCCAACCCTATTACATCACCCTGATGCATCCACTTTGACGGACATGACCACGGGAGTGAGGTACCATCGCAAACGTATACCAGTGCTGTGGGTTTTTCACTTAAAGGAACCTCGCACATGTAAGGGTTGGACGCAGTTCCGGTGAAAGGTGGCGCTGAGGCCTCCGTAAGGCTGGAGAAGTTGCAACCAGCCATGTTGATATTATCTCCAACGTGTGCAATGGCGTTGAGACCATTTGCAGCATCGGATTTTGCGGAGTGATGCGGAACCGCAGACAGTAGCATCAGGCGAGTGCACAACAACGCAAGTAACGCTTTCATCGCCGCAAAATTATCTTTTACCGACAACGTACCAATTAGGTACTCTTAAAGCAAGTCCATATGGATGAAGGATTCTGCTGGTCGCCGCGAATAACTCACTCTGTCACAAGGCGCACAGCTGTGTACAATGCCGGCCTCAATGGCACGTCGCTCAATGGACTGTCTACTATTATGCATGCCGAAAATGGCTCGTCGTTGGTTAATATTTGGCTCTTCGTAGCGCGAATGATGTGCGTCGGTTTTCTGCTCTAGGGCTTAGATGAACACGTAGCTCTGACGCATTTCTGCAATTGAGTCTAGCAATGGCACCGCCCATAGGTGTTTCGGTGCGTCAGAATTGAACGTAAACATTATGTGAAAATGCATCGAAAATATCGCGGCGGCTGCCCGTTTGAGAGATCATTTTAGACACCCCCTGCATTCGGAAGATGCACAACATTGCTTTACATCATTTAATTCACCAATGTACGGCGAAATGTTAAATGACGCAATTTTTCATTTGTTTAATAATCTCCCAAACTTGCGCATTCAGCCAACAACCCATTATTCAGCCTCCTTCCCACCTGGCTGGTGTTCCACAACTGGCTACGTAAGACTCGGGATCAGTTTCGGTGCTGAGGTATAATGACTAGCACTAAAGATGCATATAGTGCACGAATTATCTCTAAAATAGGCCGTGTCCATCCAAGGGCGGGTGATTTAACAGATCGTTTGCAGCGTTGATTGATCCAGTCGTAGCTGCCTTATCTCAGTCAGCATTCCTGGGTTTTCCAGACATGCAGAATGGTGACCGTAACTTCCGTCCTGTGTCTATTAGGCTGTGTTTGTTGGTTTTAGGGGAGGGAAATCGTAGGGAAGCAGACTACCAATGCCTCAATGTCCAAATTTTTTTATAGGATGCGTATATACTTTTACCAATATTAAAACATAGGACCTGCTATCTGATACGTCCACTTCAATTTGTGGCTTCCTGTTGTACTTTTACCAGGGAAAATTCCTCGATGGGTTTATGTCTAGCTGCAGCTATGGGGTTAGCTCTGCCCTTCCTCATCACAATTAGTAGTTCTAAACTTTTTGTTATTTTACATGACCGTGAATCGTATGGTGGCTGAAACAATTTTATGTTGCAAGTTCTGCCCATCTATACTATGACTTAAAATGCAAAATCATGGCAGAATTCAGCATCATGAGGTACCTGCTGCGATTTTTTGCAATACTTCTATGTTACGCTACACGTCTCGATGCATCTCGTTGTAATTTCAACTACCCACATGGATTACTCAGCAGTAACGCGTTCGTCGCGTGCCACATAGATGTCGAAACATCGTGCAACGCAACTGTGATATGCCCTCGCCATGTAAATGATGCCGAGTATATATGGTATCCTCGCCCAGCTTCGGATGAACGCGGTCGAACCAACACATATGTGGGTGAAAATGGCAGGTTACGTTCCGTTCCGCTTTCGGACGTAATACGCACTGAAGACCGAAAACCATTTATCTGGTTGGAATCGGGCGTTTCGCGAACGGATATTAAGTTCGAAAAGCCGTCTAATGAGTTGGTTGCGATTACAGAACGCCGCCTGATATTCATCTGTGGGCCTCGAGATTTGGCTTTGAGTGATGGCCTGCAGCGTCACATTTACCATTACAGTGTCAACCAACCAGATACGCTTCCCTGGACTACTCCCAATCCGTTGACTGATGAAATAACCGAGATGGGGCACAGTTTGGGCGTGTTTTCTTGAACCGAGGAACTGTGCATCTACCTCTTCAGGGTTGTGGTACTCGTCCCTCAGCACTCTTCGCTCCAGAAAATGAGGTTGTGGACCTTGTCTCTGGCACCCGTTCATGTGTGGCAGATCCTGTGTCAGAATCACGCATCGGATTTCTTTGCGAAGGTAGAATTGAGCCCAATGATTGCATGAGATCGTTCTTGAGCAATGGTGGCAAGATTGTTACTGCACACGAACCAAATTATCATTGGGATTTACAGAACGGTAGGCACTGGGTAGTGGCGAAATACTTCTCTGGCTTAGCTTTATCGCCGTTCAGTGGAGAATGCGTATGTATAGATTCCGAAACAGGTCATGTGACGGCAAGCATAGAAATTCGTCCAAAAACCAACTATGTTTGTGACATTTCCAGCATGCTCGAACGCCGCCGTGCGAATCCTATCAACGGCCCTTGGTGTTCGGTGGTTCTCCATCCCGGCAGCACCTTGACCATACGGTTCCCAACAGCGGATGTCCATTCGGCGTCTAACGATGCAACTCAACTGCTGCCTACTGATCAATTCGAAGCTGAATTCCTGCCGAAAGATTTGACCACACTGCGGCAACTTAAAACAACGTATGACGTTGAGCTTTACGAAGAAATCTCGTACAACGAAGCACTTGTAGGCGACGCCCTCGAGATGGATGTTTCCCAAATGGCCCAGGGTGAGGTAAAACTGAAGTACCATGAGGGCAAACCTCTCGCGTTGAAGGGGGGTCACAACTCGTTTTTGTATCAGTGGGGACTGAAATCCACGAATGAGGATGTTCCAGATAAGCTACGCGCCATCGTCAAACTGTCCCTTGCGTTGACGCATCACTACCACATCATTGGTAGTGACCGAGGTCTACGGAGTGTGTTTGGATCATCAGTGAGCAAACAGTATAATCCAACCAAAACCATGGAAAGTGGAATGGGGAATGTTTATGGAGGCGGATATGATCTGATAGGGGACAATCGGAAGGCCAGTATATACTGCAGGACTGATGAGGAGCTGTTGCCAAACGACTGCGAATCTACAGCATACGATCTCCACGCAAACCGTATTGTGCCATTTCCAGGAACGGTCTATAATGTGACTCCATACCCCATTCGAGGATTTCAGATTTATGACATGGGCATACAAAAAAGTCCTATCAGTTATGCTTGTGTCTGTGTTGACCAACGTGGAAAAGAAACATCGAGGCTTGTTTTGGAGGCCAATAATGAAGTACAACAGACGTACAAAGTAAGGCGTAAAGAGACGTCTCACAGATTACTCCCATACATATCGTTGCCTTGGCGTAAGGTCGCATTGATACTTGAAGGACCCACATCAACAAGATTCATTATGCTGCAGCACACATCAAAAAAAATCGTTAAGCTACAGGTGGGCACAACGTTGTCCATGACTTGTGCTTTTGATCCCAACGTTCAGACGTCGGCAAGCAACGGGCTAATATCAACGACATGGCTGCCGAAGATTCCCAACGAATTTCATTATACTGTAATCCATACACCACATGGACGTGAACTTATTCGGAGATCGCACAAAGATGCCATTGTTGGTACGCCGAATGCCTTAGAAGTAAGTTACCAAGGTAACACAACCAAATCTGCATATAACCAATTGAGGATCACGTCATCTAGAGGTGCCGTGCTCATATCCAAGGATCCAGCCCACGCGCATTATGTGCCCATGAGGTTTCTCTGCGGTAAGACGTCCGAATCATCAGGCATGCCCATCATCACTGATGACAAACCGACGTCAGACATATCTGCACCGTTCATTCCCAATACCATAGAATCGTCTACACGATACACATGGAAGATCGTTAAAGTTGCTGTCGAGACCACGGACCCGTACATGCAAGGCTGCGGCGTTACCCAAGTGTCAGCTGAATTGTTCAAGCCGGAGACGCCACAACTCTACGACGCTGAAGGGCAGTCTCAGTTCGGTTGCACTATTGACATTCAGGCTGCTAAGGAAGCTGCGTTCTACTGCCCGGCGCCGTATGTCCTGGACCCACCCAATTGCTTCAGCCAGGTCTATGTCGATGGCGAAGTAAAGAGCATGAGCGAACTCAGCAAATCGTTAATGGCATCTCGATCCAACCACTTCGTCATTTTGCGTTTATACAGTTCGCTCATAGGACCCGAGGAGACACTGCACCAGACGCCGCCATTGGAATGCCGCTGCGTCACCATCAAGGGTGTCGTTCTGTCGACCATCCAGATCGAGAACTATTACACCAAGTGGTAAATAACTGAGAGACGCTAATATATTGATGAATTGTACTTATTAATTTGCTTTCATTGTTGATGTTGGTGCCTATGGTGGTTTGGGTATACCCGTGTTAGCGTGTTTCGGCTGCAACGTCATGATTGCGGTTGTCAATTCGGCAATTTATCCTGATATCATTATAGCTGTGTAACTTGTGTGAATGGCTATATGCCCGTTTAATTGTACTGAATATAATTAAGTGTCACCGCACATTTGCAGTGCCTTTCTCATAGCCGGAACGGAGAATGTGTGAAATATGCATTTTCATTAACGGTCATAAGTTAGAACATTGGTGATGGCTTTAACACGCAACAGTGGATATTACCTGTTACGTAGCGGTGAGCTACATTGACTTCACTAATGTTGATGAGCTGCTACCTTGTCGGTGTCGGGCAATGTTGAATGATCGATGGGGAGGCATACAGGGACGGCTTCATCTGCTCCGTATATGTTTACAGATCACATAATGAGATGATATGCAAGGATAAAGTGATTCATACTGATACTTGCGAAGTGCGGGTTTCTAGGTGCCACCGAGCTCAGTCACATGGGTTTGCAGCTTGATGGGATGGATTAGGTAAAAGAATCGAAGGCCTAAGAGTAGTGTGTTCGGTATTAGGAAGACAACCAAGATGTAAGAAACGGTGTTAATACCAGAGGAGAATAAATAATATTCAAGAACTCGCGGATCAATAGGAGGTCAAACCGCAAAAAGCGCAATGCAAGGCTTGACGCCGAAACCCGTAAGGAGATGCTAACTTTACGATCACATGAAAAAGCGTCTACTAAATGGAATTGCTAGCAGTGATTGAGAGGGTTCGGTAATCAACTAAGAAGAGAAGTGTTGTTGGGTGGATGACCCGCTGCGCCTAATGGCTGGTAGGCCCTACTCAATATGGGTATGTTGGTAGCATTGAGGAACATGTTGAAGGCATTTTGGATGTTTATAACAAAGGCGACGACCGTGCTTCCCAATCACCAAATGACCTCGGCGTCACCGGGGACATTGGTACCCTGACCGCATCCGACCCCGCCTCCCGCCTCTGCCAGATGCGAGACGTCTACCCCACCCACCACCATCCCTATTTACCTACTCCACCCATCCTTTAGGCACCCATTCACCCGGCGTCTGGGTCACTGCCTTAACAGGAATGGCGCTCACCAGCTAGTGGAACGGATGGCCACGCAACTTGCCCCCAAATGAATTGTGCAATGAGCATGTTTATTACATTACCTTCTAGTTGCCATCAGTAGGTGTGATACGTGAGTGGTTACTGGAAGGAAGCGTAGCGAATGATTGAAGCGTACATAGATGTTGAGGTTGTTTTCATGAATATTTTACCGCCGTATTTCTTCTACATAGACACGGTTAAAGAGGGTGCTAGTGCCGCCACCTTGATGTGACGGTTCCCGCGTCGCTAAAGCTCCTTATAACGGTCATCCGTCCTTGGAGTCATGTGAGTCTTCGGGCGCAGGCTGAGGTGTACCATGGCGAGTGTCTGGCTTATCGTATGCTCTGCAGATCGCTGTCCTCTTCGTCATCCGTATAGTCTTCATCATCCGTGTAGTCTTCACTATCTGTTTCGTTACGACGCTTACTAACCGTACCAAACTTAAGAAGCTTGTTACGGGTGTTACGAACAACGACACTAATGACGATACCGGTGACAAGACCACGGATAATGTCACCCACGATACTACCTGCTGAGCGTTTTATTATTAAAAGGCCTTTAACACCGTTACCCTGCTGCGAATTTCTTCGTATAGTATCCAAAGTCTTGGGTCCATGAGTTATGACAATGTAAACAAGGAACAAAAAACCCATGCAAGGTGACGTCAGCGCACTAATCGTCCACTTTCGCGACTCATCCATACGTTTTCTCCTGTGATTTCCACCATCCTTGTCCCCGCCCTTAGGTGGGCGCCTTGGCAGATTAGCTGGCCTTTTGTCTCCCACAAACGCTCTCATCTTGCGCACAGCTCTTTTGAAACAGATCTTGGCGAATAGTGGCTGTGAAAACCACACTACCAGACGTATCTCGTATTCGCGCCACCGCTACTAAAGCAGATATCTCCCCCGTTTCAGCTTTTATAGAACTCAGACAACAAAGGCCCCGCACAGCATTGGACAACTTAAGCAAGTGGCGGTAGCTGTTGAGGTACGTATTAGCTTATTCGCCGCAGTGGAGACACAGAACAATATGCTATTCTAAATGTACGCTGTGTAACGTTTGGAATACAGAATGCTGTTCAGCAGCACCTGTTCAAGGTGCATTGCACAGTGGGTAACCACGTGTACACCACAGTCCAGTGTGCCTACTACATAAGCGATGTTACGCTCACAACATAGTTGATTTCATTATCTTCCTGATAAGTGGTATAAACGGCAACTCGCACGGGCCGAAGTCGCAATTTGTGAATAGCGGCGCGAGGATTCGATTACATAGCATGCATAGTTGACACAACGAACGCCACTGCCGTCTCAGAGGTTGCAAATATGCGTCTTGAATTCGCGCGGTGATAAGTTTGCCAGGCGATTGTCCGAGAGTGCAGTGTCTGTTGCCATTTTCAGAAGGCGTAACAACGTGGCGCATAGAACGTTGACATTCGAAAGCGGCGGAGTGACTGGTTCTCCAACGAGTGCAACCCTACGATCTTACGCTGCATGTTCTAACATTGAAGTGTTTGATGCCACAGTGTGACGTCTAATCAAGACTTCCGGCGGTTTCTCACGCGGAGTGTTCGGAGCTCCATCTCCCAGGTTCCCACTACAATCACTACAATCGGAAGCGGAATTGCAGCCGAATATGTTGCAAATCATTGGTCGGGTTGGTAGTATATCGTCTCTAAAATGTCTTCAACTCTTGCCTTCAAGACCGCCGTAACGAAGTCCCTTATTCGAGCTCGTTGCTTTACCTCTGGGACGCCCATTCCGTGGATCCAACTACCTATGACGATGAACCAATGCAATACAATCGATAGATCATCCCACATCTGTCGTCAACCGTCTAATCCGTCGTTTTGAAACTCGGTTTAGGCATCGCCACATGGCTGGCACAGCAAGCTCCGAAATGGCACCCGGCATTGTACTATGAGTGCTTTCAAGGCATACTCCCAATTAAAATGGCAAAATGTAGATTGTGTGGTGTTAGTCGGTGAACTATTTCTCATATTGTTGAAAACTTCGTCGCTGAACTGGTGCCGATGCCCCGGTGTTCTCAGTGCTGTTGGTACGCAGCATATCATTTCGAAAGCCGATTTCATTGGAAATATCGTGTTAGGACTACACTCTATATAGGCAAAATGATTCAATCATCTGCGAACCAATTTTGTCATATCAGGGTTTTTCTTGATGCCCCTGTGGTTACCCACCCGCAGCTGCCGATTTAGTGTTAAACATGGTGGCAGGCTTGGCACAGATCAGTGTAACTATCACGTTAAGTTCGTCTGTCAGGGCAGTGTAGTAAGAGCTGACGCCCCAAAGTGAGTTGTACTTTAATTATGCCGGCCTTGGATTTTGTAAGTGACGCAGAGGCGAAATGGAGAGTGTGGCAAATGAACTAAACTCGGGTTAGGTGGGATATCAACTTAGTGCTATGATTAAATATTGCAGATGTAGCAATGATGGCATCACGCGCTTTAATGAACTACGTAGATAAACCTCTGTTGAATACCTTCAACTGATGTATGGTCAGGCTATGTCGAGGTGGTGGATCACCTCATAGGCCAGTGAAGGATGTTGCTGATTGAGTATGTGGCTTGGCAACGAATGCCACCGGGACTCTCCGACGTGATGGTGTAGTTAGGTATCATCTATGGTCAACATGGTGGTAAGCCTTGAAGTCGTAACTCCGGACTGTACGCCAGTAGACACTTAGTGGGGTGCCCCAAAAACTTAAGTATCCAGTTATTTACTACCCCGAGCATCTTGCATCGCGCTTGAGCACAGTGGCAGTGTGAGTGGTATATTGACATTCTTCTTGGATCAAACGAGTGAGTGTAATGTGATTCAAATTTTGCTGGCACACTAACATATCAATGCACGTGTCAGCTGTTTATATTAATAGTGTCAGAGTTGAAAGCTTCGGAAACACGCTTACGGGAGCGCAATTGGACGCCAGTCTGGATGTGTATGTCTTCGTAAAGAGGAGTTTTTGAGCCTAACGTGCATTGCTCACTAGTTTGCGAGATGGCTTCTCAAAGGGATGAGCGTGAGACGGAGGTGCCTGCAGGAGGGGATGAAAAAAATCCGCCAAAGCGTATTTGTACAGGTGGAAACAAAGATGGCGAAAAGGACATGCAAAAAACAATTGAGTTAAAGCGCCTGGAAATGTCGACAAGGAAGAATCGCGAGTTACTTAATGACTTCCTTGCCGTGATGCTGTCATATAGGAAATGGGACTTGGCTAGTCCACCAGAGAAATCGCCTTCAGGTACTGGTAGTGACGGAGCAGATGATAATCGATCCGCCAATGACTCCAAGGATGAATGCCCTTTCTCATGAACTTCAGTGCCGCGGGAGTGGCTACGTCAAGGTGGCAGCGTAGGCTCTTCTTGTGACCGACTCTGGCTAAAGGAAGTAGTGTGGGACTACGTTCATGAACACTACCGTAACGTGTGCGCGCTCAGCCCATACGCTCTACGCTTCCTTCCAGTGACCGATCACGTAGCACACCTACTAACTGGCAACTCTAAGGTAATGTGGCAGGAGTGCATTCCACAATTTATTTTGGGGAAATTGCGGGTGACCACCCAGACCGGCAGCGCCGGAGTGCCATGCTAGGTTGGGCAGTGATCCAGCCACCTAGGGCGTGTACGGGATGCGAATGATCGTTTGGGCACGCAGAGTGTGTGAAGTGGGTGTCAATGAGTGACATCCTATGATTCTTTAGCATCATACGCCAGAGCCGTAGCTATCTCAGGCATTTGTTAGCCCATTAGTAGCGTGGCAGCTGGATGCGGTGGGAAGGTGGTGACGTAAGCCGGCGGCATCACGCTCCGTTGATATTCAAATTGGCTTACATTGGAATAATGAAACGCTGTATGGGAATGGTGGCAATTTCAGTTCAGGAATCCCGACGTTCTTGACGACGGCGAGATCCGGGATTCTCTTATTCTGTCTGGGATGCAGCTTCGATGACACCACGTTTGTATAACAGATTTGAAGACTAAAACTGTATCATTAGTACATAGACCAGAGCATTAGTTGAAACCCAACGTATCTCACGGACAAACCTACACACGGTGACCCCAAACACGGGCGTGTGCCAGATTCCGCAGCATGCCGTAATAACAGCCGAGGACAAAAGCATTTTGCAAAAGAGTGGATTTATAAGTTGTGATGTGCAGCTGCTATGAGCCTAGAGGCGCTCGAAAAAGCGCAACCTCCAACAGATCATCATGGTACAAAAGTTGCCAAAGTAAACCCGCTCAAAAGAGCGAAGCGAAAGTTGCGCCATCCACTTAGGGCAAAACAGGTTGTACTAATTACTAAAGATGGTACAGCGACTGTTCGAATTTCTTGTCATGTGAATGCTCTGTTAATGGCAATCAGGCCCTGCAAGACGCCATGGGTTCTGCAAAACACTACTATCAACCCGTAGTAGCATTTTAAGTTTCTTTGCTCGCTGCAGAATGTACTAACATTTCCAGGTTCACTAAGTGCCATTTTTGTACGAATGTGCATAGACAACGACTCGCGTGCTGTGTACTGCATGTGACGTCAATCGTATGGACCTGGCTGCGATACTGCATCTTGGCACTCATCGCGTTTCCGAAAGTCGCCTATTTGTTATATAGACGGGTTTGTGGATTGCAATATGTCGCGTGTGTATTAGAAGTCAAGGACAATCGCGGGGCAAGAATCCTGCGGTAAAACGTGGCCGGAGTTACCTCTGCCGATCATAACGCGGCAGTTTAAAGGTTCGGCTCGAAACAAGACCCAACATCCACATGTTTATCAGTTGCTGATTAATAACCATTCTGAGCAAAATGGTATACAGTTCGTTGACTGAGGTTCCTCACAACCTCAAGGAGGGTATTGACTGGTTGATAGCGCTGAGGGGAACTGATGCGGAAAAGAACTTGAAGGCTATGGGCAAAGCGCTTTACGGTTTGCTCGCAGACAAGCCTGTTGGCTTTACGGAGGTGCCAGCTCTCGAGGAAGTGAAACGTATTTCTAAGGAGTTTCTGGAGCAAAAGGAGCTTAAGTGCCAGCCATTCGTTGAAGACCTGCTGAAAAGATACACGACACCCTTGAGAAAACTTCTCAAAAGGCTCCCTGCGATCACTGATAGTGTCGAGGAAAGCGATTATAAAAACGTCGTGGAGACCCGGGGTATCAAACCTAAAGACATCGCGAAGTACATAAGTGAAATTGTGCATAATTGTGAGAACTTATTGAATGACATAACAAAGCCTCACCGGTATGCGACTGCTTACAGCCCAGAAGCGACGTGGGATGCATCATGCGAAAAAGACCCGGAAGCTTGCGCAGTGATCCTCGTGGGGATTGCGCCTATGTTATACGCAGGCCTACGTTCTTTGCGGGCTGCGGGAAATGTTGCAACTTGGAACTCGTCATTGACTAATAAGGAGGAGCGTGTGGGAGAGGTATTGAAAGCTGTGGGTTACAAAGAGACGGAATGCCGCTCTAGCATGAGTGGTCCAGATATCCGCAAGGCGTTGAGCGGTATAAACTATCGAGTGTTGCAAATAATCTATGACATCGCTGGATTTTGGGCTTTCTATAAGTCTGATAAAATAGTGGAGTCGAATGTTGAGCAACGTGCAGGAGTTAAACCTGGAAGAACTAAAATATCTACAAAAGCCGTAGAAACTACAGAACTCGTGGAACAATCAGTAGATGCCGTGGAGCCCATGGAACCTGCGGAAGCCTATGAATTCGTGGATCCCATGGAACCTGCGGAAGCCTATGAATTCGTGGATCCCATGGAACCTGCGGAAGCCTATGAATTCGTGGATCCCATGGAACCTGCGGAAGCCTATGAATTCGTGGATCCCATGGAACCTGCGGAAGCCTATGAATTCGCGGAACCCATGGAACCTGCGGAAGGCTTTGAATTCGCGGAGCCTGTGGAACAACCTGACGACGCCCCTAAATCTAGAAGAGCTAGGAAGTCGAGAAAGTCAAGGAGATCTAGGAGGGCTAAGAAATCTCAATCATCCACAGATCTTCCGGAAGCCATAGAGGCTGTGGAAGAGTCTGTAGGATTGTACGATGGTTTAGAAGGTGTAGAATTTGCGGATGAGGAGCAATCTGAAGATTCCGTAGAACTCTCGGAGCCTGTGGAACAACCTGACGACGCCCCTAAATCTAGAAGAGCTAGGAAGTCGAGAAAGTCAAGGAGATCTAGGAGGGCTAAGAAATCTCAATCATCCACAGATCTTCCGGAAGCCATAGAGGCTGTGGAAGAGTCTGTAGGATTGTACGATGGTTTAGAAGGTGTAGAATTTGCGGATGAGGAGCAATCTGAAGATTCCGTAGAACTCTCGGAGCCTGTGGAACAACCTGACGACGCCCCTAAATCTAGAAGAGCTAGGAAGTCGAGAAAGTCAAGGAGATCTAGGAGGGCTAAGAAATCTCAATCATCCACAGATCTTCCGGAAGCCATAGAGGCTGTGGAAGAGTCTGTAGGATTGTACGATGGTTTAGAAGGTGTAGAATTTGCGGATGAGGAGCAATCTGAAGATTCCGTAGAACTCTCGGAGCCTGTGGAACAACCTGACGACGCCCCTAAATCTAGAAGAGCTAGGAAGTCGAGAAAGTCAAGGAGATCTAGGAGGGCTAAGAAATCTCAATCATCCACAGATCTTCCGGAAGCCATAGAGGCTGTGGAAGAGTCTGTAGGATTGTACGATGGTTTAGAAGGTGTAGAATTTGCGGATGAGGAGCAATCTGAAGATTCCGTAGAACTCTCGGAGCCTGTGGAACAACCTGACGACGCCCCTAAATCTAGAAGAGCTAGGAAGTCGAGAAAGTCAAGGAGATCTAGGAGGGCTAAGAAATCTCAATCATCCACAGATCTTCCGGAAGCCATAGAGGCTGTGGAAGAGTCTGTAGGATTGTACGATGGTTTAGAAGGTGTAGAATTTGCGGATGAGGAGCAATCTGAAGATTCCGTAGAACTCTCGGAGCCTGTGGAACAACCTGACGACGCCCCTAAATCTAGAAGAGCTAGGAAGTCGAGAAAGTCAAGGAGATCTAGGAGGGCTAAGAAATCTCAATCATCCACAGATCTTCCGGAAGCCATAGAGGCTGTGGAAGAGTCTGTAGGATTGTACGATGGTTTAGAAGGTGTAGAATTTGCGGATGAGGAGCAATCTGAAGATTCCGTAGAACTCTCGGAGCCTGTGGAACAACCTGACGACGCCCCTAAATCTAGAAGAGCTAGGAAGTCGAGAAAGTCAAGGAGATCTAGGAGGGCTAAGAAATCTCAATCATCCACAGATCTTCCGGAAGCCATAGAAACTGTACAAGCTAAGACGGATGTAGAAGCTAAAGAAGCTGTAAAGACAAAAGAAGCTGTAGAAACAAACATAGCTAAAAAGTCGCTAAAGGCTAGAAAAGTTACAGAAGCTGCAAAGGCTAAGAAAAAGTAAATATGATGCCATATCATATTAACAATAGCGGATTCTGACTCCAGACCTCAAGTGATTGGGCATCACTGGAATTTTCAAGAAATGTTTCACATTTTGGAAATGTATCCATCACCGGTCTTGTGTACACTATTCACCCATACTAATGCTGCATCAGAGTGAGAACAAACACGGTTTTAACTTTATAATCGCATTCATAACACAAGTTAGTGTGCTGTTGTTTATACTTAACACGCTTCGATGTCCGTGTACGACAGACGTGTGCAGAACTGCATCTCATGAATCACAGTTGACACTCCTATACGCTTCCTCAGTGTGCGATCGATGTAGTTTGGCGTAGCGTGGTAGCATAGTGGTTGAACGAATGCGGAGCACCTGCTAATTGCAGGGCGTGTAGACGCATATACACCGTCTCACATAACACAATTTTTAAAAATGGCAGCAACTGTCCTGAATATACATCCTATTGTTTTGCCCCCAAAACGTATGTCCCGTCCATTGTTGAGGGTTGTGCGATTGCGGACGTTGTAATTCGCCTGCTTGTCATGCCCTTTAAAGTGGCTCTAGACGGCAGAACCCAGCGTCCAAGGTGTGTACACTGCGCCGACACCAGTGGTATGCACGGACGCAAGTGGTGGAACAATCACTGTAAGTATATCGGGCATCTTCGTCTTGCCTGCTTCCGGAAAAATCACGGACATCGGTTTACATATGATATGTGCTGCATTTTACTAATCGACCGCAAATAGCCTTGTTGGGGAAAGGACTCCCAAGGAGCTGGGCATTGTCAGAGTAACGTGAATACGTTTGCTGATAACCGTAAATCCCTCTGCTTATGCCGGTAATGGAACAAGGGCTTAGTAATAATTAGACTACTGGCACAATTGAGTATTATGAAGATGAAGTTTATACAACGAGTTCTCTTTACGGGGCTCATGCGACTTTCAACCTATAATCGACCGTCTAAGAAATTCGCCTTTGGCAGTGTTTATATCAATGCTATCTCCCGGCTTAATGTACGATGGCACGAGCACTACCATCCCATTCTCCAGCGTTGCTGCATAATTTCCTGGGTTCACATCTGTTACCTTGTACTGTATTTGATGAGGCACTAATAAACCGATAATTTGTCCCCTCCATCTAGATAGTGTAACCTTTAACTCTGGCTTAAGGTACTTCAATTTCTCTAGTGATGAACTCTTTGCGACTCGTATTTCCAAATTTTCACTTTGGAACTGGTGTTCTCCGGATCGTTCGTCTACTCCCTTGTAAATACAGGACACCTTATTTGGTGTTACGACGCTCAATTTCGTCCCATCTGCGAACGAATGCGATATTTCCTTATTGTTTATCAAATTCCGCATTTTTACTTTGTAATGCCCTCTAGATCTGGCCTGCGATACGTGCTGCGACGTTAGAATTAGGTGAACATCACCCCTGTGAAGGACAAAATTCGAAGCACGAATTTTGTTTATATGTGTGGGCTCTTCGACGTCAATTTCTTCTGTATCATCCTCAACATCTTCTTCCAGATCGGCAGTGCCAGTTCTAACAGCAGGTTCCGGACGTATGCGCAAATCTTTGACAGGGCCCAAGCGCCTGGTTTCCGTTCGTTTGGAGAGACTGCTTAATGGTACCTTACTTAATAGTTGTTTTATAAGTTTTTCGTACCCTCCTTTGAGTATGGAATCTCTGGCTTTTCTTTTTTCACGCGACGTAAGTTCTGAGATGTCAACATGTTTATTGGGTTTAGACGTCTCTGTGTTGTTCCTATAATGCGATCGCATTTCTGGCATGCAATGACACGCTCTTGTTTTGCAAACCACATTAGGTAGACTGCATTGATAAAAAACCTCGAAGTTTGTGGAAGATGGTGAATGCATCCAGCTACAGCTTCCCACACTGTGACCTGAAATCTTTTGGATCCACAATATAGCATATGCAACAGAACAATGAATACATTGTTTAATATACAAGCGTTTATGGCATTGTCTTAAATATAAGCGCCAACAAACGTTCATAAAAGCAGGCTACGTATCGTACCGAAGAATGAGTGGTGTCAGACGGGGTAGTAGCATTGCCGATATTTACCACAATACAAACAAAATCAAGCATTAGATGTGGTTGCTCATGATCGTCTAAAATAAAACCTCCAACGCGTACCTGGGAACGAGAAGGCTGTCACGTTGACGTTCAGCAAAATCCCGCCTTGCAATAAACCAATCAAAAATGAGACAATCAGCATATTGTAGCATAAGAAACATCATGGCAAGCAGCTGATACCTTGTTATTAACCTTAAATTGCTGTCTTATCTGTTTTTTGTGCCGTGTCGGTTGCAGAAATAGGACCTCGAAACAATAGGACGCCAATATTTTTGGTGAATAGTGAACGTGCCTTGTCGGTTCAAACAAAGAATAATAATTTTACAATTCACCTGGTAATATTATTGGTTTGGCTCGTTGAGCTTTACGTTGATGTGTTGCAGCCTCCGGACGGCAATGCGATGTGTATTTTACTAATTGGCATTCTTCCTTACGGTTATATGGTAAAACATGGAGATGTAGGCGCAAAACCAATTAATTGTATAGGTCAGAACATTAAGAAGGCGCAATGGTATGATTGTGGCACGCTAACAACGGCACGAGCGTAGCAGCTGAGGTTATGCTTCACTATCTCATGCGCAACATATCAAGATGGCTTGGAACTTCACAGCTACCACAACACAGACATTTTTGCTGATTAGACATGTCACAGATAAGTCTGTATGTGCTAGGGCCCGACGGTCAAGTCTCAGCAGCATACGTGCGCTTTTGCGCCTTCCTCCCTGACTTCACCTCCTGGAACGTTTTCCGTACGCCGTAATGCTGTTTGTAAGCCCGCCAAAAGCAGTCGTGTTAGTTTTGGGGATACACCTAAGTGGAAGCTCTATGGTGTACGCTGTAGACTTCGCTGCTCTGGTTGTGATAAGTCCCGCAATATGCACGCATTTGTCAAAGATGGGATACAGCTTCCTCTTGGTTTTTAAGTCCACGTTCCTCAGGGTAGTGAAATTATAACTGTAGCTGCCACCTGCCAGATAAATGGACAGCCACATTATGTGGCACATGAGCTTCTGTAACCCCTTAGAATTTATGAGAAAATCGTTTGAAGGCGCTCTTTCATAAAATGAGGTTAATATCCATGTCGCCATTTCATCGGGAATCCTGAAGCTAGTATTTGTGCCATAATGTCGACTTACCGGTGTGCCGTTCCCAGAAAGTCCCGTAGATTCCTGGCTCCAGAAAATTGTTTTTCGTAATTCTTTAGCAACGTCACTAGCGCGTTGAGCACCGTAAGGCCCTTCGCAGCTTTGGTTTTTTCTAAACCAAAACTGCCGTTCTTGTACCCTTCGAAACATTTCTTGCATAAGTCCAACGCTGTGCTCGTCATGTTGAGTTGCCTCGCGTTGACTTCAGGATGTTGGGGAAGCGACAACATATTCAAGAAAGGCTCTCCTGACAAATTGGGGTCTTCCATAAGATCTTCACCGATGATTTGGTCTACACTGGTCAAATACAGAAGATCCGCAGCTTCGGCTCGGTGCGTCGGTAGTAGCTCGAGCCTCATCTTAGTCTCAACATCCCTGTCTACGTATAGTATCGGCTCCTTTATTTGTGGGCCTCCTTTTAGTCCGTCGTCAATTCTTTTGGCCTCCAGAATGGATGTGACTGTCTGTTGGAATCCTCTGTTGTTGATAGACTTAAGGTCCATGTAAATGCTATTTCTCAAATCGCGATAGTGCTCATTGAACACAGTGAGGACCTTTGCGATATATGTGGACACAAGTTGCGGCACGATTTCTGTGACATCCGATGTCCCCTGTAGATTCTCTTTGGTTTTGCGCAAGTGAGCGGCAAACTCGCTGCACACGTTCCTGAGAATTGTTGCCGTGTCAGCGATGCCATGTTCAGTCAAAAGCCTAATATGATCTTTGACACGCTGCATATCAATTTCAGTTAAAAGCCCTCCGGAGAAATAATTCCAGTCCTGCCAGAGGCACCCCCATTCGATGTTTGATATTGCCTGACTTACATATGGCACACCAATCCAATCCTACCTTTGAAATCGCATCAGTAGAGCTGCGCCACATTGCTGCTGTACCGCTCTGAACATATTCGTAGCGCATTAGTTTTTGGACCATTCTCGATAGCATGCGCCCTTGTGAAACCTCCGAGGTAAATAGCGAGGAACACTGTACGTGATTAGATTTATAACCCTCATAACATACCGCCTCGCGCTGTTGTGACACAATACTTGGGACTATTCTGGCGGTGTAATTGTTGCATTTAAAGGTTCTGATGCTCTCCTTCCCTATGAATGCGATGTGCTCGGTCCTGCATGGTGTGAATGCAACCGCCTTTAGACGTCACTTACGTAGAAACAAGCGGTGATGAGTGATGTCTCAGAACTGTTTCGTTTATCAACAGTGCGTTCTTGCCGTTATTATTGCATTTTGTATCTCTAGCCAGCAGTGCAAAAGGGGCAGAGCCGGATTTGCTCTGTTTACTTTGTTGCAGCAGTCGATCTGCAAGGTTTGGCTTCTGTTTGGAAAAGGTTCTCCTCAGGCAATTTTGAGAAATCAAACCCAATACGGGCGCTCTGCCCTTATTATCCTTCGAGTAGTACGTGTGAAGGGGGGGATACATCCCACCGACGTAGTGCGTCACACCATTCTCTCTCACAGAAGGATTTGGGGGAATTCCGTGCTCATAGTACGGCTCAAACGCATTAAAGCCAATATCCATACGTGCCTGACCAGTTATACCGAATATGTGTTGCATATGCAGGTTTCTTGGGATTTTCGCATTATCGTCATCGGTGCTTATCCCCACGTGTTGCGTTTTCTTCACTGCACCGTTGTCCGAAAGCACAGTGAGGCCTTGATTGCCGTATCGGTTCTTATACGACGTTATGTACGTGTTCATCACCTCCTGATCGTCATCGGGGGCGCTGGCATCGCTTGACGATTCCACAACATCATCCTGAAGTACATTCAGCTCGTAGAATCCGTCATCAAAATCATCGAACACAGCCCCATCATTGCGATCTGCGAAGCAGGAACGCCTGTTTTGATCCACTATATGGCCTGTATTAAAGTATTTTCACGCAAGCATCGTATGCAACTCACATAGGTTTGCAGAAACGCTGTTCTCTTGGAATTGCTGCTTCTTGATAGCCTCTGAGACGAATGCCAATGACCTTTTATTGTCAAAGTTAGTGTTCTCGTGGCTTGTAGACTGCTCCTTACTGCGTTTTATGAGAGTCAGGGTGTCAAGCAGAATGCTGCAGGCTCCTCTCAACACTGCTGTGTCCACCGCGGCCCCTTCGGAAAATATTTGCCTAACGAGCTGGCCGGCATCGTTCACTGGTGTGACATCTTCCGCCGTAACGGTAGCGATGTTAACAAAATCTTGCCTTATGAGATTTCCGCGTTCCTTACACTGCTGTATGGCCGCTGTTTTCAAAACACGTTCGCATTCTTTATAGCGATCCATGACGTAAAAGTCGAAGAGTCATATTATTACACACTGCGTCATTTCCTCGCCTGTCCCATTTGGCCCATTTTTCGGTGCGGGCAAACTACTCTTAGCACAGACAAGTTGAAACTGCGGCTAACAAACGCATATATGACGCAGTGGTGCGCAACAAAGGTTATATGAGCTAATAATTAAATTTTGTAAGCAATTAAAGGCCCCCTCGCTAACTTTTTACACCTTAAGTTAGTTGCGCGTGTGGCTACACAGCTATATTAGTACTGCCTATTTGCCTTCCACAATTTGTACCGGTTCGTCTTTTTCCAGAAGTAATACATATCCACTATATCTTGAACCGTTTTCGTTGGTATGTTTCGCTGAATTTCGTAGAATTCTTTACCGTGCTTGAACATGCCTAGTTCAAAAAGAACGATCTCTTTGGGGCCCCAAAGATCCAACATCTGTGCTTGCCTTAGCTCCGACGTGAGCATTGCGAATGACACCCTGAATCTAAGGTCCAGCTTCGAACATTGGAACTCGAAAGGGTCATCGCTACCACCGTTGTCGGGAAGGTTATCCGATGTGTTGGCGTTGCCGTGATTGTTCTTTGGGATACATGGGCGCGGTTCGACTGCCGGTGAAAACGATCCACTGGCGCTTCGTTTGATTGCCAATGCCTCATCATCACTGGATTCGTCTTGTTCAGTGGTATCTGCCATTTTGTTTTCTTCAGAATCCTGCTTCTGTCTGACGCACAAAGGCTTTCCACAGTACATACGTTCACTCATATCCAAATATTCTTCAAAAAGCAGCATCTTAGAGCTTTCAGCCCCGTCATTGATGACAGTGACATCTTCCTTTGTAGACTCCGGTAATGGAAGTTCCTTAGCCTGCAATGTGTCGGGTTCAGCCTCGTCAGCTGCTTCTTTGACGCGCCTGAGACTACGCACCTTGCCACTACTTTTCGTCCCTTCGGTTTTTGCAGTTGTTTTAGTTGCATATTTGCGTTTAATTTTGGTCGCCACTTTCTTCGCAGGCGTGGTGGGAGTGCTGGGCAGGTAGTCGAGATCCCCCACGCCCTCTTTGAGGACCGCGTTACCGTTTTCCTTGTTTTTCCCATTCTTATGTACAGACACATCGTCATTAACGTCTTGCGTTTTGTCTGTGTCAATTGGCTTGTTCTCTACTTCCATGATTGACATGGCGATTGCCTTTTGTAGTTGTTCTTCGTATGTGTCGCCGGAGAGATGGTCATCATTGGAATAGGGAGTTGCCGCATTATGCGACCGTATTCTGGCACTAGTCCTCTTTGGGACAGGTGTAACCACCGGCCCCGCACTCCCTGCCATGGCACTTTTGACCCTTTCCTTCTTAGGGGTTGGAGAAGCATGCATAGACGTGTCTCGGACGAGTTTAGGCCTTCCTCTCTTACGCTTTACAGGCAAAATATTATCAGTCGTCGGAATCTCAGCTTTCACAACTGTGTTCACCTCGACCTTGCTCTCCCCTGGAGTGTGTGTTTGTTGCGTGTCTGGTACTTTCACTGCAACGTGGCCAGGATTCGCGTAAACGTCACTATGTGTGGCTTTAATTTCGTTATTTGTATCCACACATTCCCCCACAGAAAGTTCTGCAACTTTGGCCTCCTCGGCCAACCGCAGCGAAGCAGCACGCCTTGTAGAAATACGCGGCGAGAAAGGCCTAACACGAACCGACGTTGCTGCAGCCTCATGTGCAGTGGAATCAACAGTCACAGAGTCGTTCGTTTGTAGTTTTATGGACCCATTTAGTGGCTTTCGTTTGTAACTGTACCTCAGCTGCATTTTATCGTCCGCTTCGTTTGAGGGTTTTGGATCCGCGAGAACATCAGCCCACCTTGACGCCGCTCTTCTCGTACTTCTATGAGCAGTAACAATATTATTATGCGCCACACTCGCATTTTCTCTGTCTACCTCGGGTGTGCTGTTGACCTTATTGCTGACATGACCATTATCTCGCGTTGTCGTTGGCATACTCGCCGGCTTCGGCCGCATGTTATATTCGCCGTACTCATGGCTATATACGGCCCTCCTTGCATAGATATACGTTTTGTCGTACTGCTTCGCATAGGAATCTTCCAAATCATAACTTCGGTATCGTCTGCTGTACTCTCGCTTAGCAGTATCACGGTGTGCCCTCTCTTGAGTGCTATAGTAACCGTTACCGGTCGTATGACGACCTGATCTGTCCTGGATATGCTCCGATGGTTCGCTTTGTGCAAAGGAAACAAAATGATCCCGCAATCTGCTCGGCCTACGTGTGGCCGCGTATTCGCGACTGAGTTCCATTTTGAAAACCTTTCTCTTCAAGCCAAGTCTTTTCTCATATACTATGACTACATTACCCTATGAGAGGTGGTTAAGTTACTAGGGCGTTCAACAACGTAATCGTGTTTATGCGACTGTCGTGGCGTCGCGTCCGATCGATGTTGGTGTTACCTCTGCGATCGAATGGCGACACGGAAACGCGACACATAGTGCAGATGCTAGAAATATGCTGTATGTACCCTTAAACTTTGTGCTACCGATGGAATATTGCACCATATTGCTGTCCTGCATTCCTCACTGTCGCTTGAACAAAAGTGAACAGTTTGCTTCTGCGCATTCGTCCAACCGAATATGTACAACAACGGGATACTAATAGTTGTAAACTGTAACATTGACGGAGCTAGCTGCGTTCTGTAGTGCCGTTCGCAGAAGTTAAATTGTGTGTCGACATCATTGTTTTATAAATAATTGACCCCTGTTAAGAGTGACCAAATTTGACGTTGTATGGGTTGTATTATACACATCTACAGTCTGTTGCGTTGTGCAACAAACGGTAGATTACGGGAAGTCACCTTGTGGACAGATAAATTCTCCACCGAAAGGGGCGTGCTCGGCCATGCCGAAGTAGTGGCCGTCACTAGCCTTACATAGAACACAAAAAACACTCGCCATTTATGCGTTGGTAATTCGTTTAGTTGCAGGCTTCAAATTAGCGGAAGCGGTTCGTTCCAGGCCACACAAATGATTGACGGTGTATCGCTTTAGCACCGCTCGGTTACTTCCAAACTGCCGGATTCGGTAACCACATTATATTTCATGTAATATCGCGGTGATTTACCCGCGGTAAATAGGTGCCTATTACCATGGTTTGGTACCGTCTATTCGGCCGTCTGCCGAAACAGCTTCACGTTTCTCCTCCGCTATGCGGGACATCGCACATATCGCATCGCCATTTTGCTAAAATATCAGATGCCAAGGCCCTGGAAATGATGGACGGGCATGGTGTAATGGGCTCTTACGCGAAGGCCCTGTACCTCGCAGCCAAGGATGCTAGTTGCGTTGACAGCGTGATGGGTGACTTAAGCAATCTGCACGATGCAATGAGCACCTGCGACGAGTTCGCTGTATTCATCAGCAACCCTTGTTTACGTTCTACCACCAAGGTTGCATTTCTTCGTGACGACCTGAAGACGCTAGGTTTGCCGGCGATGCAGAAAGAGACTTTGAACTGTCTGGAGGCGCTTTTCACGCAACGCCGCTCTGGTGATTTTCCCGAGTTGGTAAAGTTGTTCGAGACCCTCTACATGGCCACTAAAGGCCAAGTGAAGTGCTATGCGCATTCCGCGTTTGAGTTAAGCCCCAGACACAAGAGCGCTCTTGAGAACGCGCTGAAGAAGCGTCTCGGCGGTTCATCGCAGCCATCTGTCATGTACAAGGTCAGTCCCAGTTTGATGGGCGGTTTGGTAGTGCGTATCGGTGATCAGGTGATAGACGCTTCCGTTAGCACGAAGCTTGATCGTATGCATTCGAGGCTATCATCTAGTCCGTAATCATGGACGTGTAAAGATGGGTGGGATTGACACATGCGTAAGGGCTTGGATGCGATACTTCATTATGGGTTTAACGGTGCAGGTGGCTGTTTGATAACGGTGTAGTTTCCCTTACAGCGGCACCAAACAGTCTGCTTTTGCAGTTTGAGCAATTCGCATTGACAGTAACGATGTGCTGATGCAATATGGAACGATTGTACGATTGTTTTCGAATTTTGTCCCTGTTGCAAGAACGGAGCTATTATTGACGTCAGGTTATGTTTTAAAGCTTGGGTATAATCCGCCAGGGGGTAATGACACAGCATAAGGGTTGTTGAGAGCGTTTTGTATCACTTGAACGATGGTCCTCCGTGGGCATGCACTCCCGTGTAGCCGCCCTTATCGTCATACAAACGCACCGGCAGGGTTTCTGTCCCCGCGTATACGGGAGGACCCGCTTTCTCGACTAATGCCGTTGGATCGATCTCTAGGGCTTGCGCCGCTGAATTTATTGCTGCGCAGAAGTTGTCGAAGTCCAACGTGCGTGCGCCCTGCTAACGGTGACCTTTGACAGTCTTGACGCGTACCTTGGTTCTATGTTTGACGAAGATGACATCTACATCGTTGGCGGTGAACTTGGAGTCCAGCAGACCTGCCTGTTTGAATAATTTGACGAACATTCTGCTTTCAAGCTGCCCGGTTGCTTTGTTCGCATAATTGTGGAATGCGGTTCTTAGGTCTTCGGTATCCATAGTGATGTAAAGATTTTATCTAAATTTGCGGCATTACTACATGCGTTACGCGGTACACCAGTGGAAGCTACAGCTGTGAGATTTCAGCGTTGCGATGAGTCTGCATTTAAAATCAAGGCGTTGATGAGGCTGAGACGTGGTTGAGAACGTGTCTACGTACTTCCTTTAAGCTTGTAAGGCGACACTGGGAGACATAATAGACTCAGCTTATCTAGACACACACATGTGATGTCGCTAATACCCCTGTAATGCTGCTTTCGTGCGCATTTTGGCGTCATCCGTGTTGACCCCGTGGCGACATCCCAGCCGAAACAGCATTGTGTACCCCCTACTTTCGGTGCCTATTACAAAGAATTATAATTTTATAACTAAGTATAACTTTGACCCTTCGTCGGTTCTAATTCTACGGCTTTTGACACATATGCTCACGTCTGTGTAAGCCGTGGTTCCCTGCCTGAACATCATACCGTCGGCGGCTCCTCAAGTTTGGCGGATTCTTATTTGATGCGACTATAATGGGCACGCCGAGTGTCGCTTATGATGGTCTCGTCACCTATGTTGACAACAGGAAGGTGCCAGCTGCCAAATATGTCGTAAGTGATACCTGGTTTTTCGCTCTGTAGTTGTGATAACTCCGGCACTATTGTTTTGATGTCACAGCCACTACTAGCCAAGGCAGCTTCTGTTTGTTTGATGTGTCTCACTCTTTTTTCAGGCCGACATAGAGAAGCTGGTAGGAGACCGTGACCCCGCCGTTGTGACGGAGAGCGGAAAAGAACTTCTAGCGTGAGTTTGCAGCGCCGTGTTGCCTTGTTTACGTTAATGTAGGAAGTACCGATTTTTGGAGAAAAGCATGGTGACAAAGCTTACCGCGCTTCACAACAAGGTACCGGAGCTTAAAGATGCATTGACTATCATCGAGCAAATCGAGAAGCGGGGGGTACGTTATCAATAACAGCGTTCGTGGGATGTGACGTTTGTACAGTCCGACGATGGAGGTGACATTTACACGTACTTCAAGGTGTCAGATACGCTTTACTCCGAAGCTCGTATATCGTCTACTAAGACAATTTTCCTGTGGCTGGGGGTAGGTTTCGTTATTAATGAAGCGAACTATTGCAGGCTAACACAATGGTCGAGTACCCTGTGGATGAGGCTATTGCTTTGCTTAAAGACCAGCTCAACGTGGCTTTGGAGAGCATCGAAGATATCGTATGTTTTCCTCTTATTTGTGATCAATTCTCGTTAGAAAAAGGATCTATCCTGGATTCGCAACCAAATAACCAGCACGGAGGTGACGGTTGCCCGTCTGCATAACTACGGCGTGATGAGAAAAAATGCCGCCACCGCAAAGGCAGGGTCATAGTCACGACTAACTTTGCGGATGCAAGACTAGGCCACGAAAATGACCAACACCTCAACTTCAATTATCAGAAGTGGTTTGCCGAATGCTGAAACGGTTCATGATTTGACCTTGCGTGCGCATAATATGAGTACCAGCAACGACATTTAGGCATCCGGTGACAGGGCAAAAATCACATCATTACAGGCCTTGTGAACGCATATAAATGCATAAAACTCACACCAAACGACGTAAATCTATCAAACAAATAGGGGGTGTTGTTAATTTAAATTAAAACTAGTATCCTCGATTTTTCGTACTTTAGTGGGTGGGGCTTATAGGTGCCCACCCGGATTACGTGCTGCAAACATAACGACGGCTGCACGAATCTTCCAACTTCAGTCGACTGTGCTCGTACAGGATCACTTCTATAGTGAATCTGGTTATCGATGCCATCAGCGACAGTTGCTGTCAACAGCCGTGATGATGAGATGTACGTTCTGCCGTCTGCGGAATTAAGTTATCAAATGTTCACATTTGCTTGACGTCGATGAAGTAGTTTACCTATACGGTGACTGCGGTATTGAACGAATCTGAACGGCACCCACCAGACACAAACACGCCTAATTGGCAATAGCTATTATACGATGTTAACTATGGCTGCCCGCCGCACCTTGGCGGGGCGGGTGTACGGCCTGTCAAAAATTTTGCGATTATTGCTTGATGGTGCACCTCCGGCAACCGCGCAGTGGCCCTACCGTTCGGTGACTGGCCCACGGCGCGTATTCCGTTTTTTTGCCACGGGCAGGAGCTTCTGCTCCGGCGAGTCCACATCGTTTAGGTTAGCTAGTAGGAGTCAAATTAGAGAAACGTTCTGCGCCGCCCCCTTCGTTCCCGCTTATGTGTCGGCTCGATGAGTACGGCCTCTATGGTCGCCCTTGAGCTGGGACTTGCCGTAGCGCGCACATACGATACAATGGCCTCAGTTTAGGGGGTGGTCGATTTTGCTCACTTAAGGCGAAGTTAAATCGCAAAAGTATCTTGTTGAAGTTTGTTGGTAAATTTTTCATCGGCTTCGTGATTGGCTCCTAGAATAGTCCCTGCCTCCGTCGCTGCAACACAATGCGGTGAATAAGGGACAGCTAAAACGTACGAACGCTTGGGACTGTCGTGGATAGGTCCTCTATTCTCCACTCGCAGTCTGCAGAACTATTAAATCGTAGGCATTTCATACGCACCTTGGGGAAGGTCTTTCCATAGACCTGGACACGCGCCTGTCCCTTTCGCGTGACCTGTATCTTTCTCGCGACCTTGAAATTGAACGCCTGCGGCGTCTGTCGTACGACAGCGATCGGCGGCGCCTATCTCTCGAGTACGACCGGTCGCGGCTCCTGCGTCTCCTCCGCTCACGGTTTCTCTGCAAGGTTGTCAGCTCCGTCTTACCGCAAGTGACCGCTGGGGCTTGTTCTTCCGTTTGCGTTCGAATCATAGCCTCCGTGCGGCGCGGTTTGCGACTAGACCGCCGTGACTCGGCGCCTTGGCTTACCATCTGGAAGGGGTCGGATCTTCCATGCTTCGCGACGAAGACCTCGATTTTGTTGCCGTCTAGTTCGTATCCGAACATCTCGCGCATGGCCTCATCGGCATCGGAATGCGAAAAAAATTCGACGAATCCAAATCCGCGGGGCTTTCTCGTGTAGTAGTCGAGCGGCAGGTACACGTCACGGATTTCGCCGAACTTGGAAAATGCAGAACGCAATTGCTCGGGCGAAGTTTCGTACTTCAGGTTCCTGACGAGCAGCGACGCGTGCCGTCTATCGTGGCGTTCACGGCTACCCATGGTGAACCGATTTCGCCTGGAATCACAGCAGAAATGCTGCTTGCTGAACGGCGGCGACAATTATAACCGAAGAATAAATTTTATTTCCTCGTAAAATTGCGCTCTACTGTTTGTTACAAGTGGATATGGCGTCGACGTGGTCGGTTCCCCATTTGCTGTAGTACGGCTTCCACGCTACCGCGGCACGGTGACGCGCCAAACATCCGCCTAGAGGTTTCGCCGACACATCACAGCCGTTTTATCGATAAACTCTCTGCGCAGTGCGCAAATGCGGTCTTCGCATATATAACGACCAATCGCTCGTGTCATCTGTAGGGCGCGGATGATTCGCACCAATTTTTGCGGTGATTCTAATGTGAATAGCCGTTTCGACGGGATTTTTTGCGTGTCTGGCTCTGGTTCCGTTGGAAGCTGATAGCTCTTTCGTGACGTGTGTGTGGAAAAAATCTGGCTCCATCTCGGGCCGGCAGCCACTGGGATCGTCGTTCCATTACGATAGAGAAATATTGGCATTGACTTGTAAACAAATGCTCCACCTACGTTTGCATTCTGTGCATCATGCGTTGGCACCTTGAGCCCAACATGGGCATCCACGACGCGGCGTCTCTATGGCGCCTGGCACGTCACTTCTTACTCTGCATTTTCATTTCGTAGCACACGCAATATATTTCGCCAAAATGGAGAGCGGTATCAAGGTTCCCCAGGAGACCATCCAGGCCTTCAACCAGATGAAGCTGAAGAAGGCCTGCAAGTACATGATCCTCGCCATCAAGGGCGATGTCGTGACCGTTGCCGGTCAGGGTTCTGGTGACGTCGAGGAGCTTTACTCCAGTCTGCCCGCTGACGACTGCGCCTTCGTTCTCTACGACACCGGTATGTGTGCTCGCAATATGTGTATCATTTCACAGGCCGCTACGTTGTCCTCTTCATGTACGCCGCGCCTAACGCTCCTACCAACTCGCGCACCATCTACTCCACCACCAAGCAGACCGTCGAGAAGGCCCTCGAGGGATCCAAGGTGTACAAGCACCTCGTCGAGGAGAAGGACGAAGTTATTGAGGCTCTCAAATGCTAGACACTTATGACATGTATACGTAATTATCTTTTCGTTGGAAACGGGTCGAAAAAGGCTTCCAGTTCGTCTATGTTGTCGTGCATCGCTGGTTTTAGCGGCGATTCCTTGGAAGTAGTTATCCGATGTTCTTGACTTGGCGCCCACAGTTGCTGCGGGGGTTGATACCGCTGGCCTGGCATGTTCAAGGGCGCAGGCGGCTGTCTGAATCCCCCAGTTTGCGCCGCACTGGACGCTAAAGTCATGGGCTGCGGAGCTTGTTGTTGCTTGTGTGTCGCGGTCTTGTTCACCCCTGCCCATTGGCTGTCGAAACTCTCGTTGCCACCTGCAAACCAGTGTAAAGTGCTGAGCACGTGTATCATACCTTCCGCAACGTGATCCTTTAGGGAGTCCAGGATGGAGTGGATCGTGTCGAAGCCCATCCGCCTCACCTGTGGCTCGCTGTCAAGCAGAGTGTTACACGCCAGTGGCAGCAGAATTTCAACCTTCTGCTTCGTTCCAAAGAAGCCATGTGATGCGGAAATTGACTGCGTCAACATACAGCCGACATGCGTTGGTGCCTACCTCTAGTGTTGCCAGCTTTGATTTAAGGAACGAATCGCTTAGTCCAAGGCGCCACACCTGCGGTACAACTTTTTCAACCAGTTCGTGTTGTACAAAGGGGATGATTTTCGCGAAACATATGATGGTGTTCACCCTGATCGTAGGCTCGCAGTCCTCGACACACTTGAAAAGCAGCATCGCCGCATTTTGTTGTTGGCGTTTCTTAATCTTCTTCATGACGTACACCATTGCCTTCACCGTTTCGTCCCGGATTTGCGACGCTGTGTCACCAAACCCTATGAGCATAGGTTCGAGGAGGTCATCTGACACCTGGTTTTCGTCGAGCATCGGGTCAAGATCAGGCATCAGTCGCAGTAGGCTGTACCTGCGCAAGTTTGGTCTCAAGGATGCGTTGGTTTACCTGATGGCTCTGTCGTTTTCTTTGAATAACTTTGAGATGTGAGGGTACACCTTGACCTTGAATTCGTCTAGCAGCATGGACTTGCATATCGTGATCACAGATTCCAGGATACTCGGTATCAGCGACCTGTGCAAAAACATAACCTTCAGTATCTCCGGCAGTAGCTGTTTACACTGCAGCGTAATGAATATAAAAGCTTCCCCAAACCTACAGCAATATCGTTCGGTATGCGCGTGAGCTTTGTGGGTAGCTGCGAAAAGAACGCGGACATCTGCTCTTCATTCTTTATGTGAAATTCCATGGCAAACGACATTGCGGATATGCCCTCATTTTCAGTGAAATAGGGATGCGTCTTCAGCACCTCCTCTAGATCAACGTCGTGGTCCGGTGACATGAGCTTGTCGATAAGCCCGTGGAGGTTGGCCGGTGCGTAGCGTTTCAGTGAATACAGGTCGCGATCATGTCTTGACAGGGTGCAGAGATCGATCTGTCCCGCTATAAGCGTGTGGACCCAGCACATGAGCGCTCCGAGCCCCCATCTGCATTGACATTAGCTTTAGTTTCGTTGCAGAGTATGCTGTCGCCGTTGAATGTCCACTTACTGGTCTATTTGCCTCACGCTTGCGCACGCATTTGTAAGCGTCGGCATGCGCCACCCATTGCTCCACGAGGCGTGCCACTTTAGCTCCGCCAGGACCCGGTGTATGGATGTGTCATTGTCCACAGTGCACTCGAAGGATGTGAGGCACCAAGAACCTAGAAATTATTGTGTTTGTTCGCGGAACATATGACAACGTACCGTCGTCCCGCACCACAACGCCGGTGGGAGACACAAGGCAGTGCGTCTTATTGCACTTGGTGTGAAGAAAATTAAGCGCTGATATGATCTGAGCCAACCCCAACGCGGGGTCCGTTGACACTGCTGCGTCAATGTTAGACTAAACCATAAACATCACTAACTCGCTTGCGACAGGGGATAGCAGCGCTCCGTTGCGATGGTGATGCCCGTGTCAGTTTGCTTTACCTTGAGCAGCTTTAGGACGTTTGGGTGCAGAATTAGTTTGATGGTACGAAGGTGACGCTCCGCAAACTCCTGTTCTAGGTTTTGACCTGCGATGTCATGATACGCCGTGAAATTGACATACCCGTCGCATTGCGGTTCTTGGCTGTATACTTGAAGAGGGTCGCAGGAGCCCCTCCCGCCTTAGCTGAGCCATGATACCATACGTAGCTCTGTATGTGCCCAAATGGAGTTTCCACAGGCTCCTCCTCCGCATACCCAAACCCTGAGGATGCGAAGCTGATTGGGCTCTTGCCTGCCAGATACTTCAGCATCCTCCCCTTTAAGGTTAGGAAACTGTCGTCAAGTTACACAGAATCTACCGCATTGGCGAATGTGTTGCGTCACATTCGTTTTAGGCCGACCGTGAGGAGTGCCGTCCCTGTGCACGGTATATACGTCGGTGAAATGGTATCCAGCTACGTTAACTGATACAAACACTAACACCAAAATTAGATTGGACTATTCGTCACATCGGCATTGGATATTGTACGCCTTTCCACCAGTAGCGCGGCAGTGGTTACGCCAGCCTCAAGGCGGTGACTTTTAAGTGCCAGCTCCAACCAAATTCACGCCTCTAACCGCGTTTGTGCAGATGTATAATCGCTATGTTGCGCTGTGGCTATGATATACGCGGCGAAATGGAATGTGTCACTGGGTGACATCCCGCAGTGCGGTGAAGTAAGCCGCGCGCTCCGGCAGCCGTGATTCCAACGGTGAGAACGGCAGAATCGCATACCCACGCAGATTTTTAATTCTTTTCAGTGTACTGTGTGTCGTATTGCTACGTTGCAATGGCCTAATGGCCTAGGTTTCACCAACGGCATCCTCGTTCGTTGCCGCCCTACACGGCGCCATCATTCCGTCGGCTCGGACTCTTACGATCAATATAATTCAGCAAAGCACTGATACTATATTTAATCGCGTAAATATGGCAAAGGGTACGTTTTTTCCGAGACATGGAGGGGTTTTCCCCGTGTTGTAACACCTTGTTTTCACGTCGGACGCGTCCGAGCTGTATTGCCTGCGTTTCATCGTATATACAGACAAGCTCAAGAAGAAGGCCCTGCAGCCTATTACCAGGGACTACACCATCCACCTTCACAAGATGGTTCATCGCGCTACTTTCAAGAGAAAGGCGCCTACTGCCATCAAGAAGATTAAGGAGTTTGCCGCCAAGGCCATGAAGACCACGGTGCGTTATTCGACTTGTTACATATTCATATGACGTAGGATGTGCGCATTGACAACACGCTCAACCGCTACATCTGGTCGAACGGTATTCGCAACCTCCCGCGCCGTGTGCGTGTCCGCATTTCTCGCAAGCGCAACGACGATGACGACGCCAAGGAGCCCATGTTCACTCTTGTGCAACACGTGCCAGTTGAGGACTTCACTGCTCTGCAGACGGAAGTTGTCGCTAACGAATGAACCCGCGTTATAGATTAATTTCTTATGCTGCGTTTCGTCCCGGTATGTCTATGGGTATGAGTGATTCTTGGAGGTCTGTTGCTTACAGATAGGCACATCAGCTTCGGAATCATGTGCAACAACAGGCTTTTCATGGTGTCATTGAAGACGCCGGTTTTATCGCGTGCTACTGCGCCGGACCAGGGTTGGTGGCCTGGGGGCTGACTGATCTCAAAGCAACGAATCTTATCTCAACGTGTGGCTATGCGTCTGAATTTTTGAATGTTTTAAAGCTGCATTGCAGATATTTACAACGGCCTGGTTGTTGCCCTATTAATATTACATTTTGTCATTAGGATCTTCGCCATCACTTTGGACCAGCGTATCGCCGACAGGAAGACCTCGCTTCAATCGTTTTCGAAGCCCACGTTTGCGGCTGAACAAAGCGGGCAGATTGTCGTGGTGCTCGCTAAGTAAGGTGTAAAATGCGCGATCTGCTTCGGTCCACAACAGAGTCGTTTTGCACTGCTGCATGTTGCGGCCGGCTCTACCGGACCTGTGGATGTAATCGATCACGTTCGTGGGAAAGTCGAACTGCACCACTGTAGAGACGTGTGGGATGTCGATTCCACGCGCCAGCACATCCGTACAAATGATTATCTTGTTTCCACGTTGCTTGTCGATTACAGCAAGTTGCGTTTCTACGTCCACGCCCCGATTGATTAAACCGACGTCCATATTCCTATGTGCCTTCTTTAAACTGTCAAAGAGCTCTTCGGATGATTTTACAGTCCCGCAGAAGACTAGCGCTCGTTGTTGTGGTTTCATCTGCCGGAGTATCTCCAGCAACTTCTCCACCTTCTGATCATAGTCACTGCAGTAGACGAAATCAGGCTCTATGTTCGTTGGCAATGCATGCACACGATCCGTTCTTAGCACGTTGAGGTTCTTGAATAAACGCTCTATAGAGTTTTTGGTGCTTAGCCTGCCAGCGGTGGAAACCGTGGCTGCGGCCAGTATGGTTTTCACCCGTTTGTTTGCCAGTGACAAGAACCGTCGAAGGCATGCTTCGTTAGTCTGTTCCACCAACTGGTCGGCTTCGTCAAGCACCAGGTATGCGATATTTTTGAAAATGTCAACCTTGAAGTTCAGGTTGTACACGTGGAACTTGGAGAGGAGCTTTTGTGGCGTCCCAATCACCACGTCGGGCATCTCCTGCGTCTCTATGTTATCCACCATATCAACGCGTAGCCCTGTTCCCCTGTTTAATATGAATAACGGCCTATAATGACGCACCGCACAAGTTCAGACAGCACCTGGTGGACTTGGTGCACCAGTAGTGAGTTTGGGAGCATGATAACGGTTCTTGGGTTTAAAATCAACGTTTTCTGCACCGACCTATGAACTATCTAGCTAATAGTTTCATACCTGAGTTGTCATTAGGTGCAACAACGGCAATGTGTATGCCAGCGTCTTCCCAGACGCTGTTTCGGCAGAGAGGAGCACGTTGGAGGAATCATCTTGAAGTATGACCTTCCAACCTTCCTCTTGTATGTATCGTGGTTCTACTATGCCTGATGCCTGATAGTTGCTCTGGAAAGCTCATCATACCATTTTCTGCGAGATTAGCCTCGATAACTCTTCCCAATTCCTAACACAACGGTTCACCATTTCGAGCGTTTCACCTACTTTAAACTTAAACGCGCTATCAGAGGCGTTTGTGGAGCCGTTGGCGGCCCGGATTCCGCAAAGCGCCCGGCGGAATCCCGCACGTGTCGCGTGCGGAAGGACAAAGCTGCTTACACAGGCTACTAGTGAAATTTGTGCGGCCCATGTAAGAGCTAATGGCTGCATTAGAGTTTTTGAGTGTTTAGACCGCAGCTGTGTCTACACGTTGATGCGGTCGGCGCTGTATTTGTGCCCAATAAGTGAGCTCATCGCCTTGAGGGATTCACTGCCCAGCAAGAACTTCGATATAAGTCCGTTGACGACTGCATTAGTGACGTTGAGAGCGAGGAATAGTACCTGCATATTGTCTGGGCTAATATGCTCTCCACGAACCCTGAATTTAGTAGAGAGGACGTTGTGACCACCCTGGCCGCTGAAGGGATGACCGTTTGCGCTCGTCGTGAGGACCCGCAACACCGGGAAAATCGTTTGCCGTGACACTTCATCCGTGCAATTTATGCGGAACAGACATGTGAACTTGGAAGGTCCCGAGAACAACAGGAGCGTCAGTATTCCGTTGATTCCTAGCCACGTCCTGCAAATTGGTAGATATTGTATCGGCAAACATACAGTGTAAAGTAGGTGTTCCTGAACACAGACTCCCTGAATATACCACCGAAACTAAATACGAGGGCAGCGTTGGCCACCTGGTAGCAGAGCCAGAGGCAGACCGTTGGCGCTTCGAAATTGTCTGACCTGCACCACAGTGACGGCATCCACCTTGGTCACTTACAGCATCCACCAGCTAGCAACGTTCATTTTGCTATTGTATTCCAAGCTTGTCGGCGTGCCTGGGCAAATTATTGATCTTTTATCATTATACTTGCCTGTATACGCGTAGAGCTTAAAAAGCAACAGGAGGAATATGACGTTAGTTCCAAACATAAGACCTATGGAGCTTAAAGACAGGGGACCCAGTAGGCTAGACGTTGGAGATCTGATTCGAAGCTTGTCGTTAGGCCTAATGTGTAATGAAATGTATGGTGTCTGATTCAGTACCTGGACAGAGCCATGGTGTGGCTCAGGCTGAGGAGGATAGCATTTTCCAAGAGAAGGTAACCCCATTCGGGCATCACGCCGCGGCACATTTTAAACAAGAATACTTTCACCAATGCTATCATGAGTCCGAACAGAAGCATGAACTTGAAGCACGCTAGCGACGTCACCAGGGAGCCTCTGCCTTCCCTGCGTTGAAAATGCATACAGGTGATAATTCTTTTGCTCACCTTATCAGAGTTATCACCGACTGCAGTGTGTTGTTCTTCGAGGTGAATGGCGCAACCATAGACGCAGTTCCCTAAAATACGTAAGGTTATTCGGTAAGCGAGACATACATTTGTGAGAGAGACTCCAGCATGAGACGCTTGAAGCGCCAGGCAGTCGTTTGTGCCGTCGCCACACATTCCAGTTATTATGCCGAGCCTTTTGAATGCATTGATGACACGGACTTTTTGGTGAGGATTCAGTCGTGCAAAAATGCGTACCCTCAAAAGGAACTGCTCGAACAGGTTCTCGTTGGCGGTCTTGTTCGTCGTCCACCGATCGTAAACTTTCAGGATGTTTTCCCAATCATCCTCTATACGGTCAAACGCGTCACCAGTGATGGACAGGTTGTCACAATCAGTTCCAAAGTAAAGTGTTTCCTCGTCGATTGCATTTTGCGGGAAATGCCACACCAGGTTGTCATCAATTAGTTCGGCGTTGGGCCCAGGTGCGCAAGCCTCGCCAAACATCCCCAACGACTTTGCGACGAATTGCGATGCCGGCACATTATCTCCGGTCAATATAACAGGGCGCACTTTGGCTTCTTGAAGTTTGGCCACTACCGACGCACTCTCCGCGCGCACGGAGTTGTTGAATACAAGCAGACCCCCCATAGTGAGTTTCGATTCTATCGATTCACGCTTTGCGATAATTTCATCCTCTGGGATGATTTTGTATCCTATGCCAAGAACATAGCTGCCGGATTCCGACTGCCTCTTGGCTAGCCTGTCGAGCTCCACAAAGCTACCTGTTGAACACGCCACCACATTTTCGTAAGCGCCTTTCACAAATACGAAGATGCTGCCTTTGTCGGAGTCTTTGGATTTCACGGAAACAACAATGGATGACAACTTCTTCTGGTAATGGAAGTCAAAGGTTCGCAGGACTTCTAATACGAGGTCACGGTTACTTGGACACCTTATGTACCGTCTTGTGTTACCGTCCGAGTCGATGAATTGCTCCACCATACATCCAGTTGCGTGGAACATACTGCAATAGAGTTAGCGAGAATATGAGGGAGAATTAACTTACGATTTGTCCACCTGGTTGCCTAGGTGTTCACTGTCGCCATCATGCGGAAATAGGGAGTGGCACGTAGCCATTGCCAGGGTTAAAATTTGACGCTTGGTCTCCTCATCCTTCCTTGTCGATAACTGAACCGTGTTCTGGATGCCGTTGATGGTGTTCATAACGTCTTCCGGCGACAGCGAGACTGTCTTCTTTTTGTTTCTAGAAGTCATCATGAGGCCATCAAACACAAGGGCGTTGTTGGTCAGTGTTCCTGTTTTGTCGAAGCACATGACCCTCAATTTGCCGAATATTGCGATTCTTGATGGCGCAATGCAGCAAATGGAGTCCGATTGCGCCAGGCGCTCGCAAGCACGGCTTTGCCCTATGGACATCACGGCACTGGCCCACACCGGCGCAACCTGCGATAGTGTGCCCAAGCAGTAGAATAGTGAAATCATATTCCAGCCCAGGAATCGTATCTGGTACGAAGAGCACACTAATGCGTATATGAAGGTGAGTATGAAGACCATGGGCAGCTGCGTGTCGTACTTCAACCGGAACTGGTTGGGGAATAGGACCCCCTTCATCTGCTTTCCCTTTGTCGTGTATACACCTGTGGCTATAACTACAGCCACCGCGGAGGCAGCTATTTCTTCGTTTCCGACAACTGAAATTATCCGCGTACCAGCTTTGAGAAGGTGCTCGGTGACGCCCTTCTCAAACAATTGCTTTTTGCCTGCGCCGTCCATTGAAAGGTTGAAATCGAATGTAGACAGCGAATATCCGTACTGGTCAACGCTGAGCCTGCACTTGCGCAACGGTATCGACTCGCCGGTGATGGAACTCTCATCTACTATAACATCTCCCCTAAGCATCACCATATCGCTCGGTACCTCCCAATCTGACTGTACCCTTACGATATCCCCTACGGCAAGGTCCGATGCGTGCACCGTCTTAGTCATGTTTTCCCGTAGAACGGTGACTGTTGTATTAGATGCGGCAGTGGCGAGACGGTGGAGATCATTCTGTTGATCGTTGATAATTTTCACCTTCTTCACAATAGTGTACAATACCATGAAACCCCAGATCGGTGCGGTGATGATGCTCTTCCAGTAGATGCTTTTGATTGTGAGGTACAATTGCAAGAAAAAGACCGGATCAGAGATTTCGCGATAGAGCAGCATCGAGAACGACAGCGACTGGACTGGGATGATGTTTTTCCCTATAGTCAGCGTGCGCCTGAAAGACTCAGCCTCAGTCAGTCCTCCCTTATCCAACAAGTCGGTGAGGTTGGTGTTTCTAAGATAGGCCGAGACCGTGGCGGTGGCATCTACAAATATGCCGAGCTCCGAGTTGTACGTGTACTTCACGCACTGGTAATGGAAGTATCGTTCGTTTTCGGAATCGATAACCTTCACGTATATGTGTGCCGCTGCATCCTTGTACTTGTCGAGTGTAGCCTTGAGCACGCTGTCCGGTATGTTGAGGTTGAGCTTCATAAAAGCCGCCACGCTGCAGCACCAGTCTACCATCGACCTCAAGACATCCTGTTCGCTGGGGTTGCTTGTATTTGCATTGTCTATGATTAGCACATATTCACATGAGTGTAGTGGCGCAGGGACCATGAACATGCGCTTGCCGATGTAGGTATTGCGGACGACGAAATAGGTGAAGAGTGTCAGAAAACCAATAAACCAGGAAACCACAAACGGTTTCGCGCGTATCTCCCAGTGTGCTACGCCGTCTACAAGCGGGATGCACATTTCGTTGCATGTGAGTGCAAGCACTGCTACCTGGCAAATGGCGGTGTACATGAACATGCACTTGATGAGGAATTTCCCTGGTGCGGTGTGCGAATATCCCTCTTGGTTTAGTGTACCCTTGTATTCTTCAGGGTCAACCACAGTCGACGGAGAAGCCTGCCCTATAACCTCATAACCGCTGTTGGTGTCACGCGGCTTCAAGGCGAGAATTATGTGCCTGATAAAAATTATATATGCCAAATGACGGTTTGCTTACCAAATTATCAATAGGGACAACAGAGACAGAGCGAACATATTGAAGGTCGTTAACTCAGAAGCGCTTATAAACACCGTGTCGCTCCGACACCACCGTGAGTTTGACTGTGGTTCGTCTTTATTCGGAGGCTTGTCGTCGCCTGGCGGCCCCTTACTCTCCGAAGGTGGCACATTTTCATTGTCTTTCACATCGGGCTGCGGCTCCTTGTCGTCATGTCGCAAGATTCCAGCTGTGCTTAACCCCTGGTAATCAATGCCGTGGAGCAGGGCGCTCGATCGGAGCATTTGCGCCTTCCTGCCTTTTTTGCGATGTAAATACTCGTTGAATTCCGGTTGGTGAGCATATACAGGCATTTCTGCTTTGGAATCCTGCTTATCGGCGATGGAATCCCGTAATAAGATTCCATCCTTCCGCTCTGCACACAGTACCGCGGCAGAACAGAAGAGGACAAGCGTCCAACCTGCCACAGGATACACCATATTGTATCGTCACAGGTGTATCGAAGATGGGCTTATCTATGCCATTATATACTTTTAACGTTAGTCAGCCATAGGGTAGCGAATGTTGTTGGGGACAACCTTCTGTTATTATTCGCCAATTACATGGCTGCCAGAGCGCATAATATACACACAACTATATCGTGATTAATAAAGATGAGATTGAATTCCTAGAGCGGTGTCTACGTCGCCCTTGAGGCCGATAAGCGGCGAAGCCTACCGTTCATCGGATGACGGATATCTTGCGAGACAATGTCTATCATATCATGCGTATTGCGCCTTTCACATAGCGCAAACAAAGAACTTGATGTGCAGGGTCAAGAGTCCGATAGTGAACCATTCGCTCCCGCCATTGTTTCGATGACTGATCTCGCATCTTTACCCAAAGAATAATCTTCAGTGAAACGCAACATGGCTGCTACATCTATCGTGTCGATATGAATATGATTGCGATCCAAATCTGATGGGACTTTGCATTTGGCTATCAGTCTTCTTGCCAAGCCTATCGTACTTGGCGTAGTGTACTTCGCAGCGTTGATCGCCTCCAGCAGCCATATTACACAACGTAGATTCACCTCTTCATTCGTCTCCAATCGTTCTTCCGCAGCAGCGACCAAAAGGTCCCACAGTGACATGGATAGGGGCATATCCGATCGGGCCAGCGAACGTAACGTGAAGAACTCCTGCTCCACTGCATCCATGTGGTATCCCATGCGGAAGCCTAAAGTTAGCGGTTTTACCCTTTCTTTCGCATATAGTTCAGCAGTGGCGGACAGTTTTGTCAAAAACAGCTTTGGTAGCTGTTTTCTTCCTATGCGATAAAGCCGGTGTGCCTGAGATGCCCGTGTGCTACCCAGCGCTCTTCTGTGCGACCACGTTTCCAGATACCGAGCGGTGGCTGCACTGGATAGCAGCGCAATGTGGCTCATTTGCGTGGACAGTTGTTCCGGCGAAAAATCTCTGAATCGCTCTGCCAGCAACTCCATGGTGTCGTCATTCAGCTGACCGCTGAGCGGCAACCTTGCGGCGAACATAGTTGAAATATCACCGAGCTCTGTTAGAGATGCCCCGTCTATCGCTTCTCTGAGTTGCAGAGCCACGGCGCTGCATAGTTTCTTACCAGGTGGCATATCCCGGATTCGTACCCGCAGCGGTTTAGGATCCACTACCTTCCCGAGCTTTCTCGTCGTGAATATTTCACGTTTCTCCGGGTCTACGTCAGTTGTATCACGTGATGTGTGTCTCTCCCTTCGACCGGAAGGCATTCGTCGCGTCTTCATAAGTTTATCTTGCCACTGTCAACACATTACGTTACATCAATGTCAGTTCACGTACCATCACCATTGTCGCCTTGTCAGATATTGGTAACCAGTTGATAGCATCAAAGCAGTTGTTTGGAATATCCAAAGCACTTTTAATAATAGGGGAATCATCTCCATTCCATGGTTTCTTCATTACCGGATTATAGTAGCCAGACTCAACGAGGGACATGCAGTTACTCAACAGATCCCTCTCAAAATATCCAACTCTCAAGCAAAGTTGTAACGCGAGAAACGCCTCCTGTTTTCACATAAGCGATGTGTATATAAAATACGAAAGCAGGGATAGATTCGGTAAAGGCACAGGTCATAAAACAGAATGCTGACATGGCACCCATGTCTATGCAACACTGGTAATTGCTTGTGAAGCACCTACCTGTTTAGACAGCGTTGCTCCCCGAAGCGATCCCAGTTGCTTACTGATTGAGGCAGCCGTTTCTGGACCATTTCCGGCTTTTGATGCGTTAAGTTCGTATGCCTTGATGATGGCCGAGGAGGCGTGATGTACCCTGCGCAATAGCATCCCAGTCGCCCATCTGTAACTGATATGGAGAGAGTATCTGACAGCAGAAGTCTCAGAAAGTAGCCGTGATCTCAGCATCGGACTTCGGCAGACGGTATCCCTGCGATCCAGAGGGCGCACGGCGCACTGAGGAACTCGGCGTGTGTATGATTCTGCGGTGATTGGGGCGGTATGACGTATACACATACACTTCAATTCCACTGCAACTTAGTTGCAATGTACTAACACCAACGATCTCGGAATATCAACTCATGATGTCTGGATTCTCCAGATCTCCGCGCTGCACTTGACTGTCTACAGCGCGGGCGCAACACATCGATGTCGCAGCTCGCGGTGCCGTCGGCTGATCATGCTCTGGTCGCCGAGCTTCTATCTAACTCCGTCGCGGTGGACGCCCGCGTACGGGAGGAGGCTTATGCGCGCATTGTAGAACTCGAATCACGACCGACCTTCCTTGCCACCCTCATTGATGTGGCGTACCTTGGTGACGCACAGATATCGAAACTTGCGTTCATATGCGCTAAAAATGCGCTGGCAAGGCTGCGCGGCTTCGCCGCCATTCGGGCGGCCAGCGGTATTGACGTTGATTCAATGGATCCCGCCTTAAATATCCTCATGGCAAAGCTTCTCTCAGTTTTTGAGGCGCATTTGAAAGATGAAACAAAGGTTATTGGGAAGGATTTTGCATTGTTGGTACGCAAGGTATGTAGGAAGTATTACCCGCAGAATTGGATGCCCATGCATGACCTCTTGGTCAGGGGTGTGGAGGCGGCACTCTCTGATCCAGTCACCTCGACTCGTACCTTCAATTGTGTCTTCCTGCTGTATCATATATTCAAGGAAAAGTCTACACTGCGCCTTATGAGAGACCGGAACGATGTAGCTCAATTAGCTGAGGTGTTGTATCCTTTAGTTTCCAGACTCTGGGTCAAGCACTGGTTGGAGAGGTGGTCGTCGGGTTCACTTGATGCGCTTAAGTTTGCTTCGAACGTTTCAAACGCTGATATGGAACTTAGTCGCTACCTAGACAGCCTGGTCATCGCACTTTACACCCGTGGGTTGAGGAATGTCTACCAGAGGACCGAATTGCTGGAGCTGCTCAAGCTAATATTTGTAAAAATGAAGTTGCACATGTTCCTGCTGCAAAGCGATATCAGTTCCAAAGAAAAACTTCAGAAGAATTCACGTCGGCTGTTGCGTGGTGTGACGGAGATGCTGGACAAGGAGCCTATGGTTTTCGCTTTCGTTGACCCATCCGTTGCGCTTAACCCAATATTTGATTACCTTGCGGTGGGAACCATAGTGCCAGTCATATCACAATGTATGGAAGTGTTGTGCGCTGCATTCAAGTCGCCTATCGTGAACAACGATCGGTACATGAATCAGTTTTACGCTGTGCACGGTGAAAGCGACGGGCTACGGGCATCACGTAAACCCAGGGAGGCGCAGTTCGTCGTGTGCGCCACATTCGACGAGATGAAATCACAATGCGAAATGGCGGCATCGTGCACAAGGGGGAGTTCTGTAACAAGCTCTTTTAAAAAGACTCTCAGCCCAATCAAAGGATCCTACAATGCTATTGGGACTATTGCCGAACACATGTCTCGTCAGGCCACTTTCTTTTTTTGGGAGTGCATTTACCAGCGTGGAGGTCTGTTGCAGTTGCTGGACTTTTTGAGGGATAAATATTTGACATTGGATGCCGAAGCTATTGCAGAATGGAGCGAGGAGATCGTGCCCTTGGATTCACCTCCACAAAGTCTGGCGCAGCCCGTAATAGAGGCAATGAAGGTGACTGGTCTACCTATTCTGAACTGGATAGCAGAATCCATCGTAGGCATTGATTGCAGAAGCAACTTTTCCAAGCTAGACTCCTACCTGATTCTATACAGTATAGCCTACCCCAGTCTCGCCAATTATCACACGAGCAAACACTATTTGACGATCTTGGGGGCTTTCAAAAAGGCTTTATCTGAGTTTGATTCGACTATGGCGAAGCTGCTCATATACAGGTGTAGCGGCATAGTGAATGCATGGGCTGAGCGGATAAACCTTTTTGAGGAGCAAACCAAAAGCGAGCTTATGCACTACCTGGTTTCCTGTTTGTGCTTTGAGGGTGACTCTGTCGCCGCAGTTAATTTACGTGCGCAACATGTGGTGCCCTTCCACTGCCTTTACAGCAAGACAATTGACGAGCCATTTTGGGACTTCCTGCGACAAGACAGCGATGTCCAGAGGATCATGGCAAGCCTTGTTCATATTGCCAAGATAAACGCTCCCGTCATTCAGCACCGATCGATAGACTTGTTGTGCAAGATGTGCCTCGAATATGATACTGAGGTGAACAATTTCGGTCATCAACTGTCTGATGTGTTGGCGGTGTTGTCCGATGGACCCGGTGACCTGCAACTTTCTGCGTCTCTCCTGCAAACTTCTCTCGGTTTTCTAAACTCCATACATTGGCGGCGCTATTACGTAGAAGAGTCTTACATTAATGGTCATCTTCTTCGGTTTCTTTTCCATTTGCTGTTCCGCACGGTGGTAGTGGGTTCAGGCACAAACGACCAAGCAACGCAGTCCTGCCAACGCCTACTACAACTGTGCAAATATGCCGAGCTGGAGGAAGACGTATTGATGCTGTGGATATGCTTGCTGCGTGTATTACCCCGAAAGGTCGACACAGCGGACCATGAGCTGCTTAATAATGCTCTGAGCTTGTTTCCGCTCCTTATAGCCTACCTCACCGACCGTCATCACGGAGAACAACCTGGCGAAATGCGAGTTTCCGTTGCATCACCTATGGCTGTTGATGTAGTTACCGAATATCTCGCGGTGGTGTTAGACCTAAGCAAGTCTCGTCTGTCGAGTGCAGGTTCGGCGACGGGAATGGTTGATCCATCCGGAGGTATATACGAGAGGTCGGGCGAAGTATGGTTTCAGTTAACAGGCAGTACAAGCTGTTCCGTCGCATTTAGTGTGTCTCAGCTGCAGAGTCTGTGCGTTGAGGCTCTAAAACGACCTGATGGTGACCCTCTGAGTCAGTGCGGGTTACGATTGCTCAGCATGCTGACGTGTGGGTTCGGGAGATTTTGTGTGTCGTCTGCCAATCTGCTGATGCACATGCACGATGTACTTTTGAATTTTTTCGTTACACTCAATGAAGCTGCAATTTTGCCGGAAAATGCGCCACAGGAGTATCAGCGTTTGGGGGCGGTGTGTCTCAAAAACGGTTCTGGCATGGATTCAACATGTAAATGGCAAGTAGCAACGGTATCAAGCGATGTGCTAAACAATGTGTCATCCGTTATCCCCATAATATGCCGCTGGGGATTTGATGCGCCAGCCTCGTTCAGCGAAGCTCTCATACGGGTCTTGGGGAGTGGCCGGTTTTCTAACATGGATGCCATTCTCTTGTCACTTCTACAGGTTTCCAAGAAATTGGTAAACAACGCTTATTTGAGGCTGGGGGCACTCATATGCTGCTGTTTAATTGTGAGCACGGTCGCCAGCCATTACTCCGGCCTAAACCTTTTCGTGCTGCACGGAGAAGGGCATGGCCACGACGGCAATCCTGAAACCGAGAAAGAGGGATTTTCTAACAATCCGCACCCTGACCTACAAGGCGTCTACCTTCCGTGCTATTTGCTTCGCTTGGTGCATCCGATAGCTCCACTGTATTTAGAGGCCAAAAGAGCCTTTTGCTTCTCCACAACGAAGGCGTCGCTCATGGAGGGGGGCCCAACTTATGTGTTGCCGCCTTCCAAACGTCTCCATATTTTTACCAATGCATCCTCAACCTACCAGTCTACAAACTTCCCGATTATTGATTTGTCACCTCAGGAGCTCTTTTTAGGTATGTTTTTGCAAAATGCTTACGTGATGCCGCATTCGTGCACAGTTTGATTGGTACAACTAATTGTTTGATGCTTGTGATGTCTGCATTTTCACAACGTGGGATTTGAAGTGCCATTGAGACCGCTGCATGACGTTTTGCGTTTTATTTCCCACTCGTGATACTACAATGATGTGAATGAGTGACCATCTGAAGGCTATATACAAGTGCCGCTATGACTATTTTTGTTTACAGTGGTAGTCATTTCATATTTCCGAGTGGGTGACCTGGTCCACTAATACCGGCCTTTATCGAGCATGTGGCGTAAACACGCTGTGGAATGTCAATGTGATTGTGCTTTTGATGGTTATGAGATGTTTATACCGCCAAGGTGTAGCCTGCTCGACGGTGAGCGGGGCAACTGCATTGGTCCACACCCGTTGTGTATTCGTTTGTCTACAGCATTTCACACACATTCAGGTGCCCTGAAGTCCACCGTAAGCTGCATTGTAAGCCTGTCGCAAACGTTGGGTGATAGGGGCGTGCAGAGAAGCGCGGAACTTATGTTCGCCGACGGCGCTCGCCTACACGCAAAGCTGCGCGAGGTACTAGAAGGCTGTACCAGTGGCGCAAATTGACATTATATATATTCAATATATCGTGAACGATTCATATAACTGTGTCGGTGTATACACCTCGCGTGGATACGGTCCCCTCAGATCGCAATGCTAGCCGGAGCCTATGGGTGTGTTGGCTACTAAATAGCGTACAATGCCCGGCGCCAAATCCGACCGAACACACAGTCCAACAGCAACGTGTAACAAATTCTACTATAGCGTCCATACAAGGGTGTGTATGTGTCTCGTCACGCCTACACCACTGCGTCGAGAGGGTAGCCTCACAAACAAATAACTCGTGCATCTGAGGCAGCCTCAGGCATTATCCGAAGCATATACCGGTTCTACCGGGATATTACTTTGTATGTGTGCGTGCATTTACGGCGGTCCAAGACTAGCGGTTGAACACACCGCGCCTCCGATCGCGAAAACACGGTTGATGTGATGAAGGGCCTCGGCGTCTTCTCACCGTTCGCCGCCACGTCGCGCTGCATCCTCACTGCGCCTTGCTACGATGATGCGTGCGGCGGCGGGAGTCCACGACCTGACGCGAACCAGAGCTCCCTGTCTCTGATAGGTTTCGAGATCAAGGAGCGTGCAGAGCGACCCAGCAGCGCGTTCGACCTTTCTTTCGACGCCAACAACAACTTCAATGGCTTCGCGAATGAGAACCCTTTCGGTGGCTCAATCAACGAATTCGGATCCTACGACAGCGGACGCTACGGCGCAGGCATCGCCGACTTCACGACCTATCACACTGCGGACATTGAAGGCCTTGATGGCAAATTGACGTCTCTGACATGGATGGAATGCTCGGGAGAGAACGGTATTGTTGGTGTTGGTGCCACATCTGGTGACCTCATCCTCTTGGATGGCACTACAATCGTGGAGGGTGATGCGCCCCGCGTCATATCCAAGACACGCGCTTGCAACACGCCACTTAGACGCCTCAGTTACAATGCGAAGACCAACATGTTGGGTATCGCTGGAATCGATGGTCAAATATCTGTCTGCGACCTTGGTAATTCTGTGGAACCAAAGGTGCTCGATGTGAGCTATGGAAAGTGGCACGTCGGACTCGTAACGGGGCTGAGCTGGAATAAGCGACTCGGCCACATCCTTGCCACATCTGGGGCTGCTGTAGGACCCTCGGGTGCCATGTCCCCTTCGGACTCAAGTGGTCTTGTGGTTTGGGATCTGAAGGCACGCAAGCCGGCCTCTAGCTTCCGGGATCCATCTGGGCGCATGCAGCCCATTGCTGTCGAGTGGATGTCCGAGCACATGACCCAATTGATTGTTGGATATGGTGACGACAAATCCCCGGCTTTGCAACTTTGGGACCTGCGTAACTGCACCGTTCCTTTGAAGGAGGTACGGGGTCACACCATGGGTCTTACGAGTCTTTCCATCTGCCCCCATGACGCTAATTTGCTGCTTACTAGCGGCAGGGATGACCACACTTGCTGCTGGACTTTGGACTCTGTAAATGGACCCTTCCATCCGCTAGGCAACATGCAGACCGGCGCCCTGAGCCACCACAGGCGCATTCAGTGGCATCCGACGGCACCAGGCTTCTTCCTTGCTCAGGACACTGACGACGATCTTTCTGTGCACAGCGCCATGTGCATGTCGCAGACTGAGTCGTACATGCCAGCCTGGACTCGGCGTACCTGCGGTGTAATATCAGGCTTCGCGTCTTCGGTTACGACTTGGACTTCTGCTGGTGTGGTGAACGAGTACAAGCTAGGTAGCGAATTGGATGATGACACAGCGAAGGCCTTGGAGGACTCTCTCGAATTGTTCTGCGAACTTGCTAACACGGATAACTTCGGGGCTATTTGCAAGGACCGTGCGGCCTCTGTCACCGACGAGTTTGACAAGCTCACTTGGGAGATCATGGGAGCCTTGCACAGCGGTGAGCCTGCTGCACTCGTTAACACCCTCGGTTACAAACTTCCTGAGCCAAAAGATGAGGCGGTAACCCAGGACCAATTCGCTGAGCAAAACGATGCTCCGCAGCCCCAGCTGGATGAAAAACTCGATGGTTTCGGAGGTGAACCCTTGAATGAGGAGGACGGTGAAGCATTTTTCAGCTCGTTGGCGAACAAAGAGAGCTCACTAACAGAAGAGCCCCTAGCGCAATCCCTTTCCATTGATGGGCATGAATCTGAACCTCCTATGTCCGATGAAGCTCCTTCGACACCAACTGGCAGTTACCTATCGTGGGGTGAAGCCGAATTGTGTTCACGTGTGATTGTTGGTGACTACGAAGCTGCCGCGCAATTGTGCCTGGACAAGGGCAAGCTAACGGAGGCTCTCTTCCTGGCTTATGCCGGAGGACTGGATTTGTGGCTCAAGGTATCTGATGCGATAACTGAAAAGGCACAGGATCCTCTTTTGCGTGCGTTGCACCTGGTGATGAAAGGTGATGTTCGAGCAATGGTTATGCAATGCCCGCTTGACAAGTGGCGTGAGGTGTTGGTTTACGTCATAACTAATATGATGGGTGACCGTGACGCATACAGAGACCTATGTAACGTGCTTGGGCACAGGCTCTATGAATCATTCAAGGAGGGCAACAAGAAAGACCTTCTACCCGCTTCCATCATGTTCATGTGCAGCGGTGACGTTTCACGCGTTATTGACTGCTGGAAGCACCTCGAGACAGGAAAGAACAACATAGAGTTAGTTGCGAAGAGTGCAGTCAGGGCGGCCGCGCTATGGATTTCAGTGGCTGACGACATCTCCAAAGATCACCTGGGCCGTAGTGCAACCATGCTTGCCGAGGCATTTGTGGAGTGTGGTGATGTAGACAAAGCCGTTAAGTGCCTCTCGTTGCCATTCGTAGCCAGGAATCCACATGCAACGGAACTTCTAAGTCGCATAAGGGGTACTGGACACCCTGGTGAGTTCAAAGAAGCGCCGGTTCAGCGTCGTGACCCTGCACCGGTGGCTCCTGCTCAGACTCAAGTTCCAGCGAAAAGTGCAGTGCGCGGCCCTACGGAATTCGGAACCGCGCCAGCAGCTGTTGCAAACGCTGTCTATCCGGGAATGCCCGTGCCGTGGCCGCTGCCCACTGCAACTCAGCAAATGGGCTCCAGCACACGCAGCACGGAAGATGCAAACCGCCGCATCATCGCCACATCGGCTGCCGTGCAACCTCAAGGTGAACGCATGGTGTCCACTGATCTCCAATTTGTCACCACTGTGCTGAGCAATTTAATTGCCCAAGGCGATACCTCCCGTGCTGCGCAGGATAATCGCCGTCGCATTGCAGACCTCATGACGTCACTCTCGAATGGAGAGCACTCCGCCGAAGCGAACGGTCTTATCTTAAATATGTGCCGTGCCATCCACGCGGGTGATCGCATCAACGCGAACATCATACTTTCAACCATCAGCACCAAGCTCTGGAGCACCGCCAACAAAAATTGGATCATGTGTCTGAAGCGCATTGTGCCGAAGTAACACATCGTTTGACTGTTATCTCTGCCTCGGGAATTAGCATATTTAGCTGAAGTTTTATACTATCTGCAATCTCCCAAACCTCTATTTTGATACCGTTAATTAATTACTTGTAATTCTACACTACTAATACTAATAGACTGCTAATGGTGTCTTGCCGCAGTATCTCAGTTAGAGACTGTCGGGGTTTGTATAATGGATTTTCTGTCGTGCTGGCCCATATTTTACCATATGAATTTGGTCCATTCAACACTGCCAACAAGCGGCACTGCGTTTTTTCCTGAGGCTATTCTCGTGCCAGTCGATTTGGAAGATGGTATCAGCTATGTAGTCCTGTCGGCAGAGCACGGATTTAGCAATATTTCCTCGAAAGAAGATGGGGCCTCCTAGGCAAGCCGGAGGGCGCACAATGATCTCACTCTTGGCGTTGAGAGAGCGGTTTAAAGAATGATTCGAGTCAAACCCCAGTTCCTGCGGGGTGACGGTGCAAGCTCGAGTATGTCGGAAGTCTGGGTGTTGCGTCGTGCGCACGTACTGACAATTAGGCCCATGATATCCATAGAATAGAACACGGTCTTTAGGTAGATCCTGATATATGAGCTTGGCGACTCTACTGTTCTGCCGTCCATATAAGCCATCCGCCTCCAAAATTTCAAATGGCTGCCTTGAGGTAGTTGCAAACAAATTGTACATGGGTAGGTTCGGAACTGAGAAATCGTCTTGATTTATACCTAACTCTTCGTTTCCTAAAGCTTCCCAGAAACCATCCCCAACGGTTGCCGAATTGGGGTAGACTTCATGAAAGCTCCCCAATCTGTGCTCGGCTATGACCTGCAGGCTGCAGTGTCTGTTACAGTGGCTTTCCGAATGTCGCGGTTTGCATTCATGACAATCAGATTTGTGCCTATATATTGGGAAACTGGGTGTGCACCTATTGTTGAAATCCATTGCTTCGGTTCGTGCCCTGCCATCCGTAACGTTTGCGTCCAAGGCAGCATCCGTACCATTGATCTGTTGAGACTCTTGTGAGTCCAGCGGGATGGATCCTCCATTGTGACGTTCCTCTATTGTGTTTTGCATTGTCGAATTGTCACAATTAGGATTGGTAGCGTTATGAGATTCCTGGGACGGTCCGGTATCGTGCCTATTACTGGCAATACCTGAGGTAGGTTTCCTATGATCTTCAGCGATCTCATCATCCTCACTAACTGTTTCATCAGCATGATCATTTTTACTTATTTTATCCTTTTTCAAGCTTTTATTAACTGAATCCTCGTCAAAACCCATGCTTGTGTTGCAGGCCTTTCTGGTGCTACTGTGAGCACTTCCATCCTTTGATCCTGTTTTTTCTTGATCGTAATCCTCAATATCAGACACCTGTTTGGAACCGTATTTTGCAAGACGATCCTTATTATGTTTATTATAGTCAGGGGTAGATTCACCGTCGAGCTTAGATTCAGAGGAACTGCGAATATATTTCATTCTGATTTGACATTTCTGGGGCGTATTTGCACAGTCGAGCAACAGCTCAGCGTCTTCAAATCCATGGAACTGTGCGGAGATATCCAACTCTTCTACACCGCCACCTAATATTTGTTGTAATATTGTGGCTTCGCAATTTGAGCTTTCCACATATCCAGCTTCGGTACCAAATGGCTGATCCATGAAAAATGGCTCCGTCCATGGTGCTTCAATGCTCTGATCCCTGCTTGTATACTGTGACAACCTGCCATATACGTTGATATTCTCGCCCATTGCACTCTGGGTTCCGACGGAAGAGGACGCATCCCCATTAGATGCTGTACTACCAGGCGGGGTAGAGGCAACTTTGGGCAGAGCTATGACGGCCTGGTTGTCATACGGCATTTTATATTCATCCGCTTCTATACATTTTTGTGCACCTGTGGATGTTTTTTCGTCGGCGTTATGCGTTGTATCCAAGTGAGGTGAGGGCGTATTACCATCTTGCGGTATGCATTGGTCAACAATATATGCAGGTCTAATGGCATCCTTCGATGAGCTCCCAATCTTTCGTATAGTTCCATTTTTATTCGATGTAGTGCTAGCCTTATCTATATTATTTTCCAATGAGTTGGGTTGTTCACATTCCACGGCAGATACGCTATATTCAAGGGAATCAATATGATCATACATTTCCACCTTGAGTGATACATCTTTAATTTGTTCACCAATCTCTAAAATTCCAGTCACATTGTGCTTCGAAATGCCAACTAAAGTTTTATTCCCAAGTTTTTGGACCTGCCCAATGTTATCCAGGGTCGCAATACCAGCGAATGGTGCAGATTCTTCCCGTACAAGTACCGTCTGCATTTCTCCATCACCCATTTTGATTCACAAGTAACTGTTTAAAATGCTTGAACGAGGTAGTGTCTCCGTGAAGATGAGTTTTGACGGTTATACAATTTTCTTCTCCTATTCGGTCTTTCTTAGAGAAGCTTAAACCTCAAAAAAAATCTGCCTTTTTATATTTGACGTCCAAATCAAGTCATCATAGACGATGCAATGCTAACGTGCAGCTTTTCTGACAGGGTTATACACTTCAATCCTTGACGGTGATACCTGGAATGGCTTATACCTCTTATCCGCACATCAAAACTTGCAAATCTGTCTGTATCAAGACGAACAGCCTTTACAAGCTTGTATCGAGTTAGTCGGTATGCAAATGGCTTCTAGGTCCTTCTGCTTTGCTTAGACCCCCCACCCTCTGACTATGAAGTAATATAAACGCTATATTAAAAAAACGAAACATTAAAGTTAATACAGCTAGGAACAAGTCCGTCCATTTTGTGCGTTCGAATACATTATTTGGCGAATATTTGCGGACAACAATGTGTGAAGATGAGAATTATAATGAGTTCGACATGCAGTATCGCAGGGGGAACACGTTGCGCACTGTTTACGTGAGGAGACCAGTATGCATGTTTTGCATAACGAGCCCATTCAGGCTCATTCGATGCTCTCCGCATCCAAAATTTTCAATCTGTAGCATCGGGGTGTTTAAGCTTAGTCCTCCGGGTTCGAGTGCATACACAGCATGTCACAGCAAGCCAATCATAAGTCGATTCATCAAGCAGGGTGTGGGCGTGAGGTTCGTCATCGTGCCCCGGTATTTCTGGGTCGCAGGAAGTGGCATCACGTACACTTGCGTTCCTCGGCACGTTCCTGTGCCATTCTTTGTGACACTCCGCCGCGTAAACTGCATTTATTCCAGGCAGCGTTACCGTGTTACATCCCTTGCAGAAGTTTATCTTGAATGACGGGTCAAGTCTTATTACATGTTTATTTGCGATTTCCCTGAGTTCACGGATGTAAGCACGGCTGATGTTAGGATAATCTTTGGCCATCACTACCGCTGCGTTTAACAGGTACATAACACGTTTAACGTGTACATTTTTTGCAAATGCTGCCTTAGCAGCCTCGCACTTGTCCTTGCCTTTAGCAGGCGTTACATCCTTCTGCTTTGGCAATGGGTCCATTGCCTAGTACATTTCACGGTAAAAGACATTGACAACATTCCTGTCGAACATTCTTGCATTTTAAACCCATATTTGCTTACACAGTATGCTGTGACGGCCTTTGGGAATCTCGATGTTGCGTGTGTAGAATCCCCACGGTTGCCCTCATCTCGCCTCCCTTTCACGCAAAAGTGGCGTATACAGGGATTTTATATGCTATAGAATCTTTTGGCTGCATTGGATTCAGTTGTTGGCAACGAAGGTTGCGCCGTTTCACCTTTCTTGAGCATTACTTGGCGCCTACGCAATGGTCGACTCCCGTATCTGCGCTTTTGTTGTTGCTTTGGGCGTTTTGTCATGCAGCTGTGCCGCAGGCGTGCCTATTGGAAGCGCTCTTAACAGTGTCTTCTTGCACATCAACAATGTGTAAGCCCTGTTGTCTATAGCCTACAATGTTGCAGCTCCGTGGACTGTTCTGAGGATCTGGGTCGTCGGATGCCGTATAATGACGCCTTACTTGAGTAGGAAACCCATGCACCTTTGTTGACGCTGATGCTAACAGGTGCGCACACGACGTCCACTGCTGCGTTGTCGTTGTAGAAGAGGTTGACGCACACTCGGAAGCTCCAGGCATGTCTCGTCTCTGCGCTTCGTGCGATCTGCTGAACGCGCGTTCTGTGAAGGACGCTAGGGTATGGTGCCTATATGCTCTGCTTTGACCAGATTTGCAGGTTTCGATAAAGGGTCACCAGAGTTTGTCCTGCATCCAAAGCCAACATCTCGTTCAGTCTTGTCCAGCCTTTCCAAGGATTTCGACGTAATGCTTAACAAGCAAGGTAGTTCTATGATTGATTGCTTTATATTGGAATCAGGTGTATGCGAACGAGAACAACTTTTGGGAGAACTCTCCCCTGTGCTCTCTTCCACCACCGCTGCCCGTTTGTTTTACTTCGTGCCTCCGACATGAGTCCTCAGGCGAGTGTGAACGCACAGACTGCGACTACTTTACGGTGCGTTCTTATATGTATAAATTTAATGTCTTTGCAGATGGCTACATTAGAAGGGTGAGTTGTCATACGTCCCGCTTCATCGGCGATAGCATCGAAGACCTCCCCGGTACGGTAAACAAAGCCTGGTTCTGCTCTGGTGACGCGAAAACCGTGCCAGCAGATGGCTTCATTACGGCCGTCCGTAAACGTCGCAACTACGAGCTGTGATTCTGCGGCCTTCATTGCGACCGCCACAGTAGCGGAGCCAACGGGGCGGTGCCCCTGCAGAAGCGCTTCGCGATCATTCATCTTCGTCGTCATCGAATTCAGAGTCGTCGGGATCGTCGTACCCTTCGATGAACACGCGCTTTTTGCAAGAGAAGCTGAATTCGTGCATACTAACCAGGTTGCGCAGCAACATGGGCAAACAATCGCCGAACACCTAATAACTTTTAAATTTTGTCTTTCACACTTACAGCTGTTCGTTCGAATAAGTCTTCTTCTTCCACGAGTGTGAACTTGAACATCGCCTTTGTTATGAAGTTTCCCAGGATGAAGCCGATTGAGTCGAGCTTCGTTCTGTGATGTATGTGTAACCTGTTGTTGATGCATCTGACGAAAGCGACCATAGTGATCTTCCCCGGAGGACCTTCCAGGCATTCAACTATTGTTAATATGAGGTCTTTGTTGGCGGTTGGCTTGTCGAGGAGTTCTACCAGCGCCTCTGGGCCGGGACCCTGTTCAACGGCCCCTGCACACGTCAACAAGGCCAACCCTAATAGCCATATGCGCACCATTATTTATTGCTGTGTTATGGCCGCGGCTGTAACTACAGCCCGGCGTGCGTGAGGGGGGTCACGTCATGTGCGAGCGCACGACGCGTAGGCGACGGCTAGCATAATATGGTACTAGACCCTCCTTCCAATCTCATCTCGTGGCGGCAGTGCGTTACCCCTTGAGAGACATCTTACGAGTTGCGGAATACATGACCCGATACACTGCACAAGTATGAATAGCTGTAATTGTAGGATGTGTACGCATTGTTGAAGTCACCCTCAACATTTCACGGCATACGCCACTAAGCGATTCAACTACGGTACACACTAGCGTCTTACCTCGTAGACTTTGGCGTAATACTTGCTGCGGTACTCAGTTTTCGATAATTCCGCGGAACAGTTTACGCCTGTGCAGATGACATATTCTCCTACACATTTGCTGAAGGCTGGCGGCGGGCTCAAATTCCCACTCAGCAAAATATCACTAGCGCAGTTTATCAGTTCGACTGGAGTCATGTCGCCATCCCGCAGGCAGAATTCCAGCGTCCCTGCTATGCGTTTGCGACCTGCGATCTCTGGGTCATCCTCGTCCTCATCTTCCTCCTCTTCTGCTTCATCGGAGTCATCTTCAGCCTCTAGGATGTCCTCATTTTCTTCCTCTTCGTCTGAAACCTCATCTGCAGTGTCATTTACCGCCACTGTTTCGCCGATGGCGTTTTCCGGTGTCGCGGGTACGCCTTCCACATCACCGGCACCGGAATAGGAGAATAACATTGATATCAACGCCACAACTATTGTTGTTGCGAACTTCATTTTTTACATGTTGGAAAAAAATGACATTTACAGCATATATACACCAGCCTTCTTTTCCTCGATAGGGGGTGCGTCAACATACAAGGGCAATACGCATTAACAAATCCACAGATTCCGTTACATGTAGCAAATACCGTCCAAAACAAACAGTTTAGTGCTTTAACAACAACTAAAATTTTTAGCGGCATGACCCGGTGTGTACACATTGCCCCGCAATTGCGGCCAATGCGAACGTTAGCTGCTTTCAAAGGCCACAAAAGGTGCTTTTTGCTTACAAACGTTAATATAAAAGGTCTAGGGCAAATTATTAAGCGTTTGGTTGGCGTCAGGTTGGTGGCGATTCTCGAACGTAACTTAATCTCAACCTCTTTCGCGATGCTTCACCTGTTACGTATTTGAAGGTGTGTGCCAGGGTCTCGTAAAAACACAGTTTTGCCGTAAAATCGCACTCACATCTCACCAATGCTCCCTACCGTATAACGCCCCGGCAGCATTTTTTAAAAACATGATCACATTACCCGCCCTGTTTACTAGTCCTTTGACGTGCTTTCGGTCGTATAGGACGAATATTGATGTGGACCCTTTTTCAGGCAGTTGATAAAATTCGGCATGGGTTTTCCAACGCACTGCATTAGTGTTAACCATGACGTTGCAAAACCTACTGTTAAACAGTTGACATTGTAGTGACCGAAACAATCGGCCGCACAGTCTGCTGCCACCGACAAGACGTAGTCGAATGCGCAAAGCTGATACTTGTGATCCTGCAGCACCTTTTGCACATGAAGAGAGTCGATGAAGCACGGTACTAGCGTGACTCCACTCTCATCTCTACAGCGTGCGAATGCTTTTTTAATGAGGTCCTCGCTGTAGTCGTATTCATCCTTAAGCACATCTATGGTGTCGGCGATAATTGATGCTTCCTTGGTACGCAGCTCGTCGAGGAGAACACGAATGTTTTCGATGCTTGCAGCAGGCTGTAGCAGGGCAAACAGCGCCAAGAATACGAACTTTAGCCTATCCATCTATGCCTACTATGCAGCGCATAAACATAGGTATGCAGTCTCCGACACAGCTAGTGCAGTCGAAGATATCCGAGTTTACAGCCTCACGGCCTGTACACATCGAATAACACGGGGCAAGCGCGCAACTTGCGGCCTTACATAGGCAGCGTGGTAGCGGTCCAGAGAACGGAGAGCGTTCTAGAGTGGCGTACGCAGCTTGAAAGAAATCCTCCCTCTTCCCGATATTCTCCGACACAACCTTTTTCGCTATCGCAGCGCCGCCTTTTTTACTGTTTTCAGAAAGTTTTGTGAAGAACTCCAATGCAGTCGCAAAACGGTCACGGTTCTTTGAATCCGGACGCTTAGGTAGCGCCTCTTCCTCCGCAGCAGAGCACAGCAACGGCAGCAGCAGAATAATGGAAAAAAGACTGCGACGCATTATTTGTGATGTTCAATATTATTGTGCGACTAGCCGCCACAAGCAGGCGAACGCTTGTAGTTGGTTCCATGGGGGCAAAAAGCCGTCTTGGGGCATCAGCTCAACGGCCATACGCAGCCATTTCTTCGCACACAGTCGCATCTTCGGCACTAGTGTGTAGCAGATGGCACACTTTGAGTTTCGTTTGTGCGACGGATTTCGCGAAGAGGCGGCAATGTCTTTCCAATTGTGTATCCCCTGCCGCCTTCAGGGCGTTGCCGCTGAGCGCGAATCCCGTTCCTTCGGCAAATACTAGGCCGTTATGCAGCCTAGTCTGAAGCTGTTGCAATATAGCGCAGTCGTGTATGGTTATCTGTCAAATGTGTATGCAAAATCATGTTTAAACTCACCCTGCTGCTGGTGGTATTGAAGTTGTACACCTTGTGAGCTTCGTCATATCCAGCATACTGCAGGTGCAGACACGCTATGAATAGCGCCTCTTTCTTTCGTGTTGGCTTTTCGGGTGCTCTTGCAACAGTGATTCTTTGTGATAACAAACGTCGACGTATTCGATCCAGTTTGCCACATGCATTTTCGTGGGTGCCGCTGTGTGTAGGAAGCAGCACTGCTCGCTCCGAAACTTTTATAACTGCTAGCTGAAAACGCGTCGTCAGAACGAAGAATCTGAACGCCCGTGTATCTCTCCCCATGTTTATAATTTCTCCTGCCTCAATTACAACCCCTGTCAGGCTGCACACCTGGTCTATAAAGAGTTCGCCGCTCTGCTTTGCCGTCTGTTCGCTGCCTTGTTGCAGGGTGTCGAAGAACTCTTGTTCACTGTGCACGCTTATCGATAGAGCAGGTTCTCCTAAAATGAGAGTATGAAAAATCGACTTTGCACCACCCTTGCCCGTGTCGTTGTCTGCGCCACTCGCAGCGCCATTTTTTATTCCCTTTTGAAACTCAGCCACTGTCTTGCGTATTTGCTGCAGGGGTGTATCGCGCTCCTTTATATCCAAACGGCTCTGCGTGCTTGTTTCGAAGAAAAGGTAGTTACCAATATGTGCGCTGGATTCAGTTAATGTGTTGTACCTCCGCGCTTCTCCACTGTTTTTCACAGTTAGGCTGCTGAGAGTAAGCCTTGTAGTTGGCTTTATCATGCCCATTATAGTCTCATCGATCTGCAGTTATTATAGCTACGACCAGATTGTGACCTACGTTTCTCAGAGTAAGTAAGGCGCATGACTTAACAAGCGCCTTTTCGAACCTTTTAGGATCCTGCTGGTAGTCCTTGATCCGGAGCAGAATAATTGTATCAATAACCGCCAGTGTGTGGTGTACATAAACACTTTCGATCGTTACCGGCGGCTTGTATACTGGATCGGCAAACAACGAATTGAAATCCCATTCGCTGAGGGTCGCCACTTTCGCAGCATTAGTACCTGTTTCTTTGTAGAAGATCTTGAATACTGGCGGCATGACACCCAAAACGGTCACATCTAACTGCGCCACCCTTCCGGCACCAGCCTTAAGTTCTGTCGGGTATGAAGGGACATTCCATTAGAACTCACCTCTGACATGTGCATTACTGTGTCTATTTTGTAGCCCTAGTGGTTTTTTGGGTGCAGGGCTTATTGCATTCAGGTTAATCTGGACAACTGCAGACCCCTCACTTCGTGAGGTGTCTGTACCGATCGAGATGCCGTGTAGCTGCAACTTGCTGCCGGGTAGTATACGCTGCGTTTTGAGAAGTTGCCTCACGTAGCAGTCTGCTGCATTCGCAGCGATAACAGATTCTCCATCAGTAATATAAACCTTATCGCCGTATACGTCCTCCACCCGGATCACAACTGGCGAATTTGTGGGCGCATCGCCTACGAAATCTGATTAGTTCAAATGCAGTAACATACCGTGCAGGATGCGCATAAGTATAGACTCATTGCCGCCGTATTCCTTGTTGAATGATTTGATGATTTGTGTAAGTACGGCTAGAACGTTGGGCAGCTGCACCTTCCGCAACGCATCCTTCAAGTTGCCACTCTTGCGCATACATCGACAGATGGACTTCCGGAACTTCCTGCATTGTGCGGTAGTGAAAAGACAGTACTTCCCTCTCAGCCATTCGTCGTCGAAGCGCATGCGTTCCATGCTGGGTTCCACACACTGGTCCATCATTTGCTTGAAACATTTCTGTATTTCGTTCAAACCTCCAACGGTAATGGAAGCATCGCACGGCGAATACATGATGAACGTAAATTTCTCGCTGTTCGAATAGGTCACTGTGAGGGGATTCCCATATATGTTCCACAACCTGGAGAGCATGGCGGGCGAGACGCTAGAACCATCGTGGTTGGTGAGGACGCAATTGCGGCACCACATATCGAGCAAGCTGACCGATTTCGTCCGTGGTGGAAGCAAGGATTTGAAATCGGTGTTTATACAGGGCGCATCTCGTTTGATAGATGATGACCTGGTGAGTGTGTCCGTGCTCTGCTTGATAACTTTTGGGTTCATCTCCTCTTTCAATTTATCCGTATGTGGTGCCACAGCGGGCGTTGGATTTGGTCGCTGTGTCTGCTCGTTCAACGTGGTTTTAGGACGTTTTGGCCTTGTTCTGATACTCAGGTCTTTCATTGTGTTTATCTGTGCGATTTCTGTGGAGGCGGTATCAGGTTGCTTTATCTCTGAGGCATTTTGTGTCGGCAGAGAAGCGTCCGTTGCGGAAGGCTCTGAAGCATCAAGTCCTAGCAAGCTTTTGATCCTTGCGATGTCTTCAGGTTTTGCGGTGGGGCATGGTTTGCCCGAGGCCATAGTGAACCCGGATGATCCTTTGTTCTCCGTGACAGTTGTGGGAACGCTAAATGTTGGTGAAGCATCCCGCACTTCATTCGTCGCTTCATCATTACGTTCCGCAGTATCGTCAGATTTCGGCTGGTCGAAAGATCCAAACTTGCTGCTTTGGGTGGTGCCAGGACGTATTGTGCTCAAGGAAGCACGTCTTGGGGGTATGGCAGCAGATCCCTCATCCGCGAACAACCAGTGTGACAAAATTTTGTCTTCTCCCGCTTTCTTTACCCCATCGTCTGGGGGTACGCCAGCAGTTTCTATGCACTGCACGCCGTCTTTTATCGACCCGTCCTCCTTGACCGCTGTGGCCGGGAAGAATAGCGATTTCGCCTCTTCTTGGGGTGGGACAGATTCCGGTTCACATGTCACAGGCTCCTCCTCAGCGTCTGCGTTTCTAGCACGCTTAGCGGGTGCTGTTTGCTTCGCTCCTTTTTTACCTTTTCTCGTCTTCATGGTTGCGTAATGTGCAATACTGGTTGACGTACTTTTTCTTCGATCTACGTTGCCTTCCTAATGCTTCTACATGCATAACAGCTTCAGCGAGTATCAGTAATATATGTCTTTGTCAGTAGAAGAAGCCCAGCTTCAGTTCTGGTTAGCCGTGCATCCATAGGACGTGTGACAAATGTGTCGCATTTGTGTCCGCAATCTGGGCACTATACAACAGCTTCTTTGCTCAGAAGCATCTACCTTGTGTTTATCAAACAGAATTCTCTGCTTATATAAGGTGTGTGGGAGGTGTGTTCCCCTTCCCGATAGGTAGCATCACGGATGCTAGCAGTATCTGCACGTCGCATACACCAGAACTTTGCAGCCTTGCAATGATTTAATGCCTATTTCACAATAATTTAATTAGTTAGCTGCGAATCGCTGGTCTAACGCTTTAGCTAGTGACGCGATGTATTGCAGCGGCTGTTGCGTGTTATGGATGTTGTTGTTAACGGCGGTATTTTTCGCTGCTATGCATTTCACCCTCACGTCTAGTGGTCATGGATACTATGTGGTGTTATTTATCCAGCCTTCTGATGAATATGGTGGCATTTTTCTTTATATAACACCGCGTCATATTCTGGCCCGGGCCACCTCCCATGCCATCCTGCCCATTTAATAGACGTCATCACGAAAGTTCCAGATGCATCTAGATCTATATGTGCTTAAATATAGTTTGGACTTTTCAAATCTAAGTCCTGGATAGCCTTCACTACATTCTGGCGCACTACGCCAAAGGTCTATTGCGATTGTAATTCACCTTCAACATCGGACAGACATTTCACCCCAACAGCAAGGGGTGCGACAGTTTACGCGTCGTCAAAACATTTGTCTTTCATACGGTTCACCTCTATTGCGATTTCACATAAGCTCCTCGAGGTCGTCAGCTTGCTGCCGCTCTCTGTATTTATCCTCCACCAACGTGGACTTTTCGACGTTCTGCGAGCGTTTTGGCTTTGCTTCCATGGCTTGATCAGTTTTCATATCGACGTCTTCCTGTTCGGGTTCGTCCGTTTCATTTTGTGTGACGCTACTGACGGGATCTTGCAGTATTCTCTGAACGTCACCAAACTGCACAGTAGCATCACCAGTGTGGGTGTAAAATTCCACTGCAGATTCTACGTCAATCTCATGTGCTATGCTGGCGTGTCCTCTGAGGCTTTGGAAATTGAGAAACGCCTTGTTGCATCCGTTAGACGTGCAAATGTGTAGAGCATCGTTTGGGTGTATGAGCTGAAGTGTTTCACTTCGTGCGTTGCACCTGATAACTCATGGCATTGACACTGACTGGACTTACACGGGACATTTGTCGCGCGAAGGGTTGCGTAATACGCAGTTGCTGCAGATCACGTGATAGCAGGGTGCCTGAATGCTATAAGCATCAAGACTAGTTGACGTACATGTCTATACTTATCCACGAAAGGGGTCCCGCAGCTGCAGAAAAGACTCGAAGCTAGCATCACACTGCGTGAAGAGCAGTCTTCACGCTGATATTCGAGCATTGTGTCGAGTGGCAACGCGAGTTATTGGCTGTTGCGTTCCCCACTGATTGTACCTTCCTTGCTCGTGTCGTGCGGTTGTCTCTATCCTATATTTTTCGCGCACATCGGTTACGATGGATTTCAGCTACGTGCGCGATTATATGTCTCAGCATGGAGGCTGGGACTTTGCTAATTGCGCACGCAACGCGCGCATCCAGGACTCGGTGAAGGGTATGTTTGACACGCTATCGTCCATATTTCGCAGGTTTCAAGGTGCTCAAAACTGGTACCACCATTTGCGGCGTGTTGGTGAAGGAAGGCGTCGTCCTTGCGGCCGATACCCGTGCTACTGCCGGTCCCATAGTTGCGGACAAGAATTGTTCGAAGCTCCACCGTATATCGGACTCAATCTACTGCGCCGGTGCGGGCACGGCGGCCGACCTGGAACACACAACTCTGTGGCTGGAAAACAACATTGAGTTGATGCGTTTGAACTTGAAGCAGCGGCCTAAGGTGCAGATGTGCGTGTCGATGTTAGTGCACGAGCTGTTTAAGTACCAGGGATACAAGCAATGTGCCCTCATTTTGGGTGGATACGACGCCCTGGGTCCTCATCTTTTCAGCATTTCGCCTCGCGGTTCGTCTGATTCATTGCCGTTTTGCACCATGGGTTCTGGTTCACTGAATGCCATGAGTGTGCTTGAAGAAGGTACGTTTTAAATCGTTAACGTTCGTTCTTTTTCCCAACATGTGGTTCTATTTGGAGCCTTGTCGATTACGATGTGGCTACGTTTGTGAGGGGGGAACGTCAGATGCGGAATCTCGCCATATACCAGCACCCTTGATTTGCTGGATGATTTTTCCGTGTGTTCCGTGTCGCCACTTAACGCGCATTATGTATATCTGCAAGCGACGTGGTATGGGTGTTCATGGTTTTTTGTGGTTATAACGTTCCCCAATTTTGCGTAGGCTATCGCGACGGCATGACGATTGCTGAGGCAGTCGCTCTGGCTACCAAGGCCATAAGCGCTGGTATTTTGAACGACCTGGGATCAGGTGGCAATGTTGATGTGTGCGTTATTGACAGACATGGCGCTAAACACACGCGTGCCCATGCCGTGGTTGGTTCCCGCACGTATGCTCCTGTTCCTCGATCCATTCCTTTGGGTGCAACGGCCGTGCTCCGGGAGAAAATCTTGAGAATAAAGGATCAAATCATCGTAGAAGACATCGAAGTAGACTAGGCAGCTCGCTATTTTGTGGTAGCATAAACAGATTCACCGATATGCTCCCCATAAGATTTTTGGCAGGCGTCCTTAGTCGCCATGGGGTGATAGAACACTGTTATAATCATGGTAGGAATGCTAAGATCCGACGGACGGTCGTATCTCGACCTGCGCCCGATATGTGTAGAGCTGAATCCCCTTCGTAGTGGTCCGTCGTGTCGGCTAACCGTTGCTGGCTCTGCGGACGGTAGCGGCGATGAAGGCGATCCAACCTCGGTACAGGCCGTGATATATTTTTTGGCCGATAATCGCAACCGTAATACGGTTGGTGCATATCATAGGCCGACATTTGAGGTCTACGTGCGTCCTCCTCGAGGTCCGTCCTTGTTAACACATCCTTCCACGATTTTTAGGGCCTGTCAAGGGATACATCCGCGGCATCGAATGTTTGCTTCTAAAAACATTGCAGAATCTAGTGGATGTGTCGTCGTTAGGCAAAGTGCTGGTATCCGTTCGGATGCAGGTGTTGTCGGAAGGCAGCGGTTTGCTATCCATGTGTCTTAACGCGTTAGTGACGTGTGCGCTAATAGCAGGGCTAAAATTGCACGAGATCCCTCAAGCCGTGCAGTTCGGAATACTGGTTCGAAACGGTTCTGCTGGATTCATCGCTGATCCTACCCCTGAAGAACTCGATAAAAAATGCAGCGTAGGCGTTACGATACTTTGTGCGCCTCAAACTGGTATGTTTATGCTTTGGAAGCCAATGTGTAATACATGTGTAAACAGGTCGTATCTTTTTGACGACTGTTGACCACGGCCGTGGTGGATACGAAGAATTCCTACAGGAGAGGCTGGAAGAAGCGGCAAAGCAGCTTGCACAACACCGCTTAGCCGATATAAACAACCGGTATCAGGAGGCATTTGGTCCGGCGTCTGTTTCGTTTGAGGCGAATGGGTCGTAGCATGCCGTTGCCAGTGTCCCAGAATCTACGGGGTAAGAAGATGAATTCCCTTCCACTATATTTTCTGCAGATTCTTAACTAATTACAACAGTTATTATAGATCCTACAGCTCTGCCGATAGTGCGATTTGTCGTATGCCTTTTGGGTGGTTTGTATCAATGAGACCACCTTAGAGATGCTTTAGGCACCCCTGACAGGGGGTTCCACACAACATGTAGTTTTAATGTACTCTTGTTCGACCATTTTTAGAATTTGAAATATTTATGTCATGTATCATCTGGGGCACGACGTAGCTAAAATGTTGACGAAAGGAACGCAAACTGCACTCCTGTTTACGGTGTACCTTTAGATGGATTCCTGCCATATTATTGCTGCGGGATACAAATCGTGTGCTAATAGTGTTACAACGCACCAGTCCACAAAGAATAATCACTGCGCACCGACAGAGAAATACCACCACCGTTCTGGAAATCGGGATCACCAGCCAAGGAAACATGGTGGATATGGAGATGCTGAGACAGTACCAGAATCAGGCAGATATGAATGGCAGGGCGTACAACCAACTGAATACATTAAAGGCAGAACCTGCATTATGATGTGAAAAGGGATTTTGACACAGTATGCTCACAACTATCTGCATAACCATGCTAACAAGACCGGATGGCCGCTATCATGGATGACACCTGTAGTGTAAGATAACTCGACATGGATCCCGCAACCGACACCAGCAGCGTGAAGCACTAGCCTGGTAAACGCAAAAATCGGTCCTTGCTATTGGCAACCACATATAACACTAGACAAATCAAAACAAAAATAATAGCAACTTTGTCAACTCAATTTTGAGACAATATGATACAACATCATTTTATACCAACATTGTCACAGTATTTCTATCGCACTTGGGCAGGCTTTTAACTGTCGGAAAGACTTGGTGAGGTGTCATCGTCACACTCCCAGGAGGGTTGCGCCGGTATCACGGAACAGTGTGATGACTCCGAACCCCTTCTAGGAACGTTGAATTTGTATATATCACGTAGACTGGAGCAACCACCACTTTGATCCGGAGCCTCCGTGATGTTATTGCTACTTTGGAGCGTCCTCATATTTGTGAGGTGTACCATAAGGTACGTTACGATTTCCTCCGGTTTTGTAAGGTAAGGGAAGTCCCCGCCGTCTTTCATATGAGCTATCTTGGCATCCTGGTATCTGTAGATTGAATGTGCCTCTACACTCCACCTACGCCTCAAGGATGTCTTCGGTAAGTTCGTCAGGTATATTGTTGTTGTTCGTCTCGATGAGGAGGATCTTGTTTGGCGGCATTCTTCGTGAGCAGAAGTCATCGACGTAATCAGTAGACATTTGAAGCCTGTTGGTGCATTGAGAGAGTTATTTATGAGGGGCACTAACGATATTCTGCTACCCAGGTCGCATGCAGTAAGCTGGTTGAGTTCGCTTGCCATGAACTCGCGCGCCAATTGTTCACCCATTGGCAATTTTTCTCCAGGATGTCTGTTGGTTTGGGGGCATATGTAAGATTCCACGAAAATGTTTCTTAGTACCATATGGGGAAGCATGGTGTACAGCTTTCCATATATTCCTCGGAAGTACGGAGAGCTGCTGAAGCAATCGGTTCTGCACATATATAGGCACAATGGATTATATGAAGACATAGTGACACGACGCCACATACCTTGTGTGGCATGGGCGGATGGTGAACACAAACGCCAAACCTAACACACTGCCAGGGGATGTGGCAGTGAATAGCGGATAACAAGCTGTATCTATCGGAACAGAACGTATTATAAAACATGAGATGGTGCTTACCTGCGATAGGAATTGCATAGCGCCATGGAGCATATGCTTTCCGGGTATTTCTCGACGAAAAGCTGCAGGAGGTATCCTCCAAGATCGCTTGCAAATACTAGGGGTTTGGACAACTTGAGGTATTCGAAAAAGTGTAGAAGTCCGGCAATCCACTCGTCCGGAGAGTAGTATTCCGGATACTGTGCGGAGATGCATCGTACTCCCTGTTGTCGAATAAGATTGCATTTTGTTGTCTAATTTGTTGCGATACATGTAGAAATATGGTTTATCATGTATGCATGAGTCAACAAACACACACTAATACGTGCAAAATCTCATGCGTGACGTGATAAAATTCGTAGTTCATACACATCTGCCACCCTGGATGTCTAAATGTAGTTCGGAAATATTGAACCTAATGCTACACATCGAAGTATATAGAACTCATTTAGATGCAGGAGTGACTCACAGCTTCTGAGAGCTTCTCTATAACGTAGAAGTAGCATCCTGCCGTCCCGCATATACCGTGGAGGAAGACCACGCATGGCAGTTCCTCAAACGACACATCAGCTTTCTTTGGCTTCTTTACAGGTGCACCTTCGTAGTACGTCCAGTAGAGCTCGCTAATTGGGTCAAACACACGCTTTACTGGGTTCTCCAGTTTGAAGCGCGCGTAATCGCTCTGGATCGACTTTAGAGACGATAGACACTCCACCACTATATTTAAATAATCTGGTATTACGGTTTTCTCTTACCTGGAGAGCACACATCACCTTTGTCCATTATTCAGGGTGGTCACTTGGTGGTGGCTACCCATCTACGTGGCATGCTGAGTTAGGGGGCTTGCACAGCTACGATCCTCTCCCACCGGTGTTAACAATGCCTAGTTTTCACTAAAAATGTCAAACTTCGTAGAGGTGGAGAAGTATGTGCGCAATTTGCGTGATTACTTCGACAAACGCCCGGAGGAATCCACCGCTTCAGAAAAGTACCTCCTGGTATATACCGCTTTTTTGCAGATAAAGGAACACGTAAGTAGGTGTGTACTCTGTAAGTGATCGTCTTCGTTCAGATTCCGAGATTGGCAACTCATAAGGCGCTTTCGTGCATTCAAGCCTCTTCCAGGCGTCACCACTGCAGCTCAGGCGGAAGCTTTTAACGGAGCTCGCGCCGCATAGAAGGAAAATCAAGAGTATAAATAAGAAGTTCGCCGGCATCATACAGCTAGAGGCGTTCTGCAAGAGCGAATTCGTGTGGATCGAGCAGCAGAAGGCGACCGAGTCAAAGAAAAAAGAGGAACGAAAGGAAGCGGCGGACCATGGCAACAACGCTGAGTGTTCAGAGAACCAGGGCAAGAAATTCGAGGTTGCAGAGAACCAAGGCGATAACGTTGAGTCTGAGGAGAACAAGGACGATAACGTTGTAGACGGACCACACGCTAGGCAGTCTACTGTAGAAAAGCCAAAGGAATCAATGGTGGGTTGAATGCTATTCATGTGTGTTCACGCTCTAAATTGCATTGCACGAATGGTCGGTGCAGTCATGACTACTAGTGTTGCGCACAAAGATCTGTCGGGGGATGATGGATGGCGCACATCTTTCGCTCTGTTGAATTGCGCCTGGCTAGTGTTTGGTATTGGGATCATACTTAAAATGAAAAGTGAGAAAAGTTCTGATGCTGCAAGCACGAAACAACTAAATGGCGCCGCTGGGTATGAGCAAAACAAACATACTTCACTGCAAGGACCTGAGAACGTATTTTTTAGGCGTTTGACAGCAGGTATGGATATAGTTGCCTTATTAATCTCAGAAGCCTTTATGTTCGCATTTTGGCATATGGTGATATACCTTCGAGATTTGGGAATATCTAACGCCACAGTAAAAGTTGCAATTACGGTTACATTAATCGGCACTGCTGTATGATGTAGTGCTGGTGGTGTAATTATAAAAAATGTTGCGGGTGTGTGGGAAGGTTATGCTGAACCCGTTTGTGGAATCGCATTGATGGTCGTTCGAATAATTGTGTGCCTATTGTTCTTTTTAGGTCCAGAGCCAAATGGTCGTTTGCGGTGGTACCATTACGTAGAGTTGGCAACACTTGGTGCAACATTAGTTTCGATTAGCGGTGTGGATACAGCCATGAAGAAGGCAATCGAAGATTATTGTCAGGTATCCGAATCTGAACTGTTTCGAACCATATCGGGCATCGGAAGTGGTAGTATCTTCTTCATGAGGTCTGCATGTTTGTTTAAGCCGATTCGCCACGTTGACTCTGGGGGATTTTACGAAGCCTATGATGTATATATTAAAAAATAAAATACCGAAAGCCTGAGGGGGTCCTGATGCGAGACATGTTACTATCCGCAATAACTGATATTGTTTGCTATATTCAGTTGTGTGCTACGTATCCGCAACATAAGAGGGAAGTTAAAGAGGAAAATGAGAAAAGGGCTAAAGGTACAGAGGTACTGTCACAAACAAGATGACTGGTTGATGTACTCGTACCATTGGAAGACAAATATGTAACGGTGATGAGTATTGAGTATTTAGGAACATTCATATACCGGCAGTGATCAGCGATGTTGAGACTATTAATACCGAGACCATATTTTAATACCTTCCCGTCGATTGCGATTGATGTGTGAAATTGTAGCGAGAGTCTCTGTAAACGCATCTATAGCCAAAATTGCGTTTATTATCTGTAATATAAATGTATATGTGGGTGGCTGAGTGAAAATAACTTGCTACTCTATGCACTTGACAAAATGAAGTTGAAAACCAGCAGAAACCTATGCTGTGTAACAAGAAAAGGATGAAATCTGCCTCATTGAGAAAACCTGGGACAGCATTTGCAAACTCCATCATTACCATCCGCTGGACATCCACAGTGCGTGTCTCCGCCGTACATCTCCTCAGCTCGACTTAGTCAAACAGCCCGCACAGCAATGAACAACTTGCAGGACGTAGGCAGTGTCACTCTAGTTATTGAACGCATTTGATCTTGTAATTAATGTTACAGATGACTTGATCTCTCGCTATTGGCCGATGTTAAGGTCGCCTCGGTTGGTTGGGAGGCCAGAGCCTACCTTTCAAGTATCGCACCACCGGGATACCGCGTTACCGCGCGTAAGCAGTGGCCTACTCGTAACCAAGCCGTGTGTGCATCTGACTTCATTGCGGTACGACATCTAAATCGGCAGCCGTGAGTGCACATCCTGAACCTTGCCGGACGCATGTCCCCGAAATCCTTAACTTCCTCAAGGGTCAATGCGTTGCGGTAATGGCCCTCATCGTTAAACATCCGCTTAATACCAAGACTCTAACACACTCTCTTTGCTATATCCATTAATCACATGTAATATCTTCCTTCATCCCCTCGCTAATTTGCATCTTTACTCCGCAGAGCGGGTGCATGGCTGCACCTCAAACTCCGTTACCGCAATCTCACAAAGCTCACCCGTCGCCAACCATGAGACTATCCAGCATGCACAATAACATATATTATCATCATTATAACCTCCAGTTTGCGGCATGGGCCTCGTAGGTGTCCGTTACCTCGCCTCACCTTAATCGGCATGACCGTTAACGGAGGTAGCCAATCTAGGCTTATATGCGGAATTGATAAAAACATGTAATGCCATAATTGCTACGTCCGCATTTTTTTAATCTTAGGGTAAGGTTGGCAACTCACGTAACATTACTGCAGTTCATCTGCCACGCTATCCATCCCCCCCGTGCACCGCTCATCCCAGAGGAAATGCGCGTACTCTTTGGCTGCATCCTACTCTTGGGCATCATTTCTCACTACACTAGCTTTACTTGAGAACCTAAGGTTGCACTTACATTGATTGCCTGGCAAACTTACCACCGTATCTACTGCTACATCGATGGTGGGGGGCGGGGGGCAACATAGGCGTAAAGGCAAATTGTAGTGTGGCTGGATTATTTCATCCGACCTTTGCACGTAGGTAACATATCTAAGGCAATTATATCTCTGAAACCAGCGCGCTGCGTGATTATGTGAGCGCAATATTTCGCTGCTTTTACCAGCTGGACTGAGCATACCCCTATATGGGGACTCACTCACAGATGTACATTGCAACAACATGACTCATGCTTTAGCAATTGATAACAGACGGCAACGAATCATTCATGCTGGAGTGAGGAATGCGTTTCAAACTTTGTACGTGATAATGCCTGCTGCATATCTGTTCAAACCTTCCCGCCGTCATTACTGTTGTGGATCCGTAATTGGAAAATGATATCGCGGCATAACGCAGTTGAGGGTAACGGATGCTACCACATTCTGAATATGCCAATAATGGCAATGGCGGTGGTTTTGTAGAGGCGTAGCAACGATGCTCCACTTATGACCATCAGACCCCGATTAAGGAAGCTTATTGCAACCCTGTAAATAGCAACGTTCACAACAACGATACACCAGGAAATGCCTGTTTTGCCAATGCTTCCGACATTTTTGAGACCCATCGACCACTTGTTCTGCGGCGATTGCGTCGGCCGAAACCGGTTGGTGATGTGAGACGTACGGGTAGAATGGGGGAGCCCACGCCAACATAATGAGCACATAGGGAATGCGATAGGTAGACATGCCGTCGCATATAGGTTGCGCAAGTTAGGTACTCAATTGGATTGCAATACCGTTGGGTGCATGACTCGAGGCATCTGACAGGCGGGTGGCAGGAATGGGTCTAGCGGCATTGTAAGACCTTCACGATTGGGAACATATGTACCATGTGTCATCATCAATAGACTGCTTAAATTAATTCGGAACTTTAAAACCTCCAGGACATTTGCCCATCTATCTGCGGGATGCAATTGGCAACGTGGAGATGACCCCGCTGGGCGTGGTATCTGTGCGGTGCTTAACGACTTTCGGTAGTATCCTTGGCAATGAGTCACATGACGGTTGTCTGAGACGGTTTGGCGGTTGTACTGTTCGAGGCTCAGGTTACGTGTTTCATGTCTGTGCAGGTTGATGATAGGGGAGGTGCGGGAAGATGAGTGGAGCTACGTGTATATGTAGAATAACCTCTCAATGTAGTAGCGATCAGTGTATATGCTGTATCTTATGTTGTGATGGGTGTAAGAGTGGAGACGGTGAAGGTTGCTCTCCGTGTACATCTAGATACAGTGGTCGCATCATACGTTCTATAGACTGTGACCCTAAGAACTGTAAAATCGTGTGTAAACCAGATTGTAATTGTGATTGTTGTGAAAGTGCACGCCGTGTCAACGGTGCCACCACATCCATAGTCGCTTCCGTCATCATCATCACAATCATCCTCATCGTCGTATGCGTTATGAGTTTCTACCGCATTCGGCCGTTTCACAAGGTCCGCGATTGTTTCGTCCGCAAGTGAACGTCTTGTATCGCATTCTATAATCACGGTCGGCATTTTCATAATTGCACTTATCGCACAGTTCTGGACATTACCGGCACAACGCCGATGTAATAACGTCTTATTTAAATTTTTCAACATCGCGCATCGGCTGGTGGCCGTTGAACGCGTTCGTGAGTTAGATCGTAGTAGCGTATTAGTTAAAAGAACAGGATATACACCTCCCAATGTAGTACTCACATCCGCTCCCACCTGCGCATACCATCATCACACCGCATAGCCGCCCAGTCGCTCCTCGCCGCTGTTTCAGTCATGGTAGCCAACAACCCGGTACAATTCCTTGAAGCACCAAAATGTTACTAGCATCCTACATTTATGTCTCGCTTGTTGCACTGTGCCACAAACGTCTGATGATCTGATGAGGTACGCCGACCGGCGATGCCTCCTACGTTGTATCCTTCGCGCCCGTGAATATAGGTATAAAAGGCTTTCCAATTGCCACAAATGCAGTCTTTATGCCACATATTCATAGCATTATCCACCTCCACTCATACAGTTTTTAGTATGCGTTACGCTACTCTCCTAACTCCAGTGGTCGCCAGCCGTCCTTCAGCGCCAACACTGTTTTCATCTTCAACAAATGTCGACGACAAACTCAGCTGTTTTATAGTAGGTTTTGCGACGGTAATAAGCCCCTACTCACCAAACATAACCTATAATGTCGCTGCTACAACTTTTCATCCATCACCATCTGATAAAAGCTCTGTGTTCATGCTTTTAAGACCCCCGCCAAAGAAGGCACTGAAAGCACCAACAAACAGCACTGGCCAAGCCAATGAAAAGCACAAAATACACTTTTACAGCCTGAATTCGTGGATCGAAACCGCGGAGAGTATCCGCAAGGCGGCGTGGAGCAAAGCGGAAGAGGCTTACAGTAAGTTGGACGTTCATGCTGATTTGAGTAGGAATGTTGAGAAAATTGTTAAAACAAAAGATGACAATGTAAGAGTTCATAAAGGCCTGAATGGTCTTCACGGTAATATGGATGATTTGAATCAGCAGGTCAGGACAGTGCTTACCGGGGCGATTCAGAGTGCTCAGTGCATGATGCTTTGAAAGATAATAGTCCGAATGTTGGCCTGAAACTGGGTGAAATTGATAATGCTAGACAGAAAATTGAGCAGGCAAATAAGAGTCTCGGAAATGAAGTTGACAACTTAGGTAGTTGGAAGCAGGCGGCCGGGAGTGTTATTACCAAGGCCAACGAGAAGTGTGATGAGATACTTAAGAAAGTTAAGACAGATAAAAGTGGCCAAAAAGGTCCGATTTTTAAGGAAGCTGAAACATTTAAAGAGAAGGGGAAAGAACTTTTGAACGTTGCGCAGAAGGCTAAGACAGAAGTTGAGAAGAATGTCGAGAATGCGTTGAAGGCTGTTGTGCAAATGGACGGAGATCTTAAGATGGATTTGTATAAGGTGAGAGAGGAGATTAAGACACAGATTGGGAGTGCGCTTAAGAGTATTAATGTTCTGACGTTGGATGAATTAGTTAAAGGGGATATGAAGACGTTGAAGGAGAGGATTAGTGATGTGACTAAAGATGTAGGTAAGGATACAAAAAGTAGTGGGCTTCTACAAAATGAGTTGTTCAAGCTTGATGAGGCAAGAAATACCTTTAATCAGAATACTGTTACCCCAATTCAGAATGCAGAAAAAGGCCTTGAAGTTAAGTTTAAGGAGCAGATCCAGGAGAAGCTTAGCGCTGCGGTCAGTGAAGTTGACAGGGCGATTCAGACGCTTGGCGGGAAGTTTAGTCAGAATGATAAAAAACTTCAACCGATTTTCGAGCATATTAAAAAGCAGGTTGCGGAGATTAAGGGGAATGGAGGCGAATGGGATAACAGAGGTACATGGAAAACCCCTGGCTCCGGCCTAGATGGTATTAGAACAAAAGTGCAGAAATATGTTGATGCCTTCAGCGGTTGGCAATTTGGAAGCAGAATTACAGGCTGGACTGAGGACATATTAAAGCATAACGGCGTGGTGAGGCCGATGATTGGTAGGAATTTGCGTATGATCACGAAGGTGAGAAGGAAGGATTCACGAACGTCTCACACAAGATTAAGGAACAGCTTGAAATCGATGCAGACACAGCCGGCCAAGAGGTTCAACAAAGAAACAATGGCGCGGGCGGCGACATAGTAAAAAACATTTCAGCCGTGCAGGCCGGTTGCGAACATTTTGCCGATAAGCTTGATGAGAGGATGAAAAACAGTTTAAGTGATACAGTCGAGGGCGTAAGAAGGCAGCTGTTTGAACATAGTCTCAGAGCCAAAATATGCGTCTGCGAGAGCGTGGCTGCAAAAACTGCAAAAATTGCAGCGACGAATTTTGTAAGAAGAACTCAGTCCTCGCCGCCATACTCTGTGCCCTCTCCGCAACAGTGAGACAGGTGGGCAACGAGCTGAATTCCGTGCTGCTCGAGCCCCCAGACACAAATATCGCATCCATCCTGGACACTATCACGCCTATTGCCAGTGATCTCAGCGACAAGCTCACCCAGGCGACTGAGAAATCCGGGTCGCCTCCCGTCTCCCAAGGCCAACCCCAAAGCCCCGCCCAAGCCGTGGACACTGCGATCGGCGGAGTGAGGAATTTCGTGGAAGGAAAAAATGGTAATAATCTTACTAAAATATTTAATGATAGCGTCATAAACAATCTTAAGACTCAAGTTGGCTTACTTCCCACCGCCGTTGAAGCGTTCGACGGTGTAGCTAAAGCACAGATCAAGGCTGCGGCCAAGGCGGCGATTACAGCGGCGGCTGAGCAGATTAGCGATGCCCGTGGTACAATTGAGCTTGGCGGTAAAAATAACCTCATGGATACTTTCAACAAGCAGTTTACTACCATCAAAAGCAGTCTCGAAGGAAACATTAAAAAGGAAGTTGATGACCACATTGGTCAGGATGATCAGACAGGTGGTCAAGGTGGTGATCAAAAAGTTGAACTTGAGAAAGGAAAATTTCCGCATTATGAGAAACACGTTACACAACCTGTAGAGTTAGACAAAACACTAACTGGCAAGGCAGATGATGGTCATCTTCCAGCGGCGATCGGGGACATCAAGACTGTGGGTCTGGCAGCGCTTGAAAAACCTGAAATCAAAAATATGAATAATGAAACCTTCACCGGTCCGTTCGACAAAGTTACGAATGAGCTTGAAGCGATAAAGGAATTGGTTGAGAAGGGGTGCCGAAGTCTCCCTGAAGGCGTCTGATAGGCATAAAGCTTCCTTGTATTGGTGAGCGAGGAAACCCATATTGCGCAGTGAGTTTTGCATTTGTGTTAGATTGTGTGAAAATAGCGGCGGTGCTTAAAATTGGCATGTGTCTTGTTTCTGTGTCTATGTGTCCTGTAGTGTAGTGTCCTAGTGTAGCTGTGGTCTTGTGGTGTTCGGCGGTGTTGTAAATTAAGCGTCGGCAATTGTCTGGTAAGATATCCTTCAAAATGGTGCGCCAACCAAAGAAGCTGACGGACTGTCCGGAAAATCTCCGGGAGTCCATCGACTGGTTGATCCAGGTTAAGCATGGAAATGGTGGTGGTCAAGATGGTCTTGAGGAGTTGGCAAAGGCTTTGCAAAAGTTGATTGAGGACGCTATTCAAAAGGCTGAAACGAGTCTGGATGATAGGAAAAAGGAACTTGATTGCTATACCGATTTCCAGCATTGTAAGAATCTTAAAGAGAAAATTGAAAAAGAGAATGATGAATCTAAAAAATCTAGGCTCCAATCCCAGTATAAAGACCATTATGGTGAAGTACATGGCTCTGAGTCTAAAAGAAAGAATGCGTTGGATGATCTTGAGAAGCGGCAGAATCAGGTTAAAGAACTTGGTGATAAACTTACGATATTTACTGAAAAAGATAAAAATACTAATGCATGTAAAGATTTGCTAGAAAATCTCACTGACGGTTTAGAAAAGTTTCTAGGTTACAATAAAGATTCCAAAGGCTACGATGGCACGGGCATCGTGTACTCCGATCTTGACAGGCTCTGCGACGGGGTGATGTCTTTCCTTCATGGTGTTCTCAGTGGAGTGAAGGATGATGATGTTGTGGTTCTATATTGATTTTTTCAAGCGCTTTTTTATTTTTATTTTCCCCCCTCATCCTTATCACAAAACCCCCTCTAATTGAAATCCTGTAGTGTCTAAATAAGATATCCTATTTCTTTCTTCAACGTCCCTCTAAGCCTGTCAAGCTCCGAGGTGATCTGGTCGACGCCACCGCCGATTTCAGTGGGTTGGGAGGACAACGTAGTTTGTTGACCTTGAAGTGCATCTTGGATGTTTTTAAGACCTTTATTACCTTTTTTGTCAACTATCCAATATTTACTGCCAAGTCCATTGTTCTGCAAATCGTTCAGTGTCTCAATGACATCGTCGCCTGGCTTGGAGCCTTGCAACTCACCTCGAAGGGTAGTGAGTTCTGCCTTAATTGCTGAGTTGGCTTTACCAATTGCGTCGGGATGCTGTTGAAACGGCTTTTCTTGCAGCTCATTGATCGTTCTTTGAATTCTCTGAAGGCCTACATTCATACCTTGGCCAATCCTAACTTTCAGCCATTGCAACCTGTCTATGACGTCGAATGGATTGAAGACATTGTTCATGTCTATTCTGACATTTGCAAGTTCAACCTGAATTTTTCTTATTGCTTTATCGATAATTTTCGTCTGCACGGGCAATTCATCATTTTCTTTCTGAAGGTTATTCTCGATTTTTCCAAGGCCACTGAGAGATTGACCTTTACCGTTCTGCCAATCTTCTTTTTCAAGGCCTTTATTCTGTAGCTCTGTCAACGTCAAAATAACATCCTCACCGTTCTCTTTCTTCAACTTCTCTCTAAGGTCTTTAAGCTGCGTCCTAATTTCTTGGACGGCTTTCTCAATTGCAGCGGGTTGTTGTTTAAACGTCCCTGTTTGCAGGCCGTCAATCGCCTTTTTGATTGCCTCAAGGCCTTGGACAGTTTGGTAACTTGACCCGTCGACTGTAAAAGTGTAACTTCCAGGGTTTGTAAGTAATTTACTAAGCTCTGTCAGCAATGTTTTAGCGCCTTTTTTAGACATGTGAGCAATGTCAAATAAAACCATACCGTCCTCACCATCAACCAATTTCTTGATCTCGTCAAGCTCTGTCTTAATTGCTTTAAACGGACCGGTGAATGTCTCATTATCTATTTTTTCTGTGGGTTTATCACCGATATGCTTTTCAAGCGCTGCCAGACCCACAGTCTTGATGTCCCCGATCGCCGCTGGAAGATGACCATCATCTGCCTTGCCAGTTAGTGTTTTGTCTAACTCTACAGGTTGTGTAACGTGTTTCTCATAATGCGGAAATTTTCCTTTCTCAAGTTCAACTTTTTGATCACCACCTTGACCACCTGTCTGATCATCCTGACCAATGTGGTCATCAACTTCCTTTTTAATGTTTCCTTCGAGACTGCTTTTGATGGTAGTAAACTGCTTGTTGAAAGTATCCATGAGGTTATTTTTACCGCCAAGCTCAATTGTACCACGGGCATCGCTAATCTGCTCAGCCGCCGCTGTAATCGCCGCCTTGGCCGCAGCCTTGATCTGTGCTTTAGCTACACCGTCGAACGCTTCAACGGCGGTGGGAAGTAAGCCAACTTGAGTCTTAAGATTGTTTATGACGCTATCATTAAATATTTTAGTAAGATTATTACCATTTTTTCCTTCCACGAAATTCCTCACTCCGCCGATCGCAGTGTCCACGGCTTGGGCGGGGGGGTTGGCCTTGGGAGACGGGAGGCGACCCGGATTTCTCAGTCGCCTGGGTGAGCTTGTCGCTGAGATCACTGGCAATAGGCGTGATAGTGTCCAGGATGGATGCGATATTTGTGTCTGGGGGCTCGAGCAGCACGGAATTCAGCTCGTTGCCCACCTGTCTCACTGTTGCGGAGAGGGCACAGAGTATGGCGGCGAGGACTGAGTTCTTCTTACAAAATTCGTCGCTGCAATTTTTGCAGTTTTTGCAGCCCACGCTCTCGCAGACGCATATTTTGGCTCTGAGACTATGTTCAAACAGCTGCCTTCTTACGCCCTCGACTGTATCACTTAAACTGTTTTTCATCCTCTCATCAAGCTTATCGGCAAAATGTTCGCAACCGGCCTGCACGGCTGAAATGTTTTTTACTATGTCGCCGCCCGCGCCATTGTTTCTTTGTTGAACCTCTTGGCCGGCTGTGTCTGCATCGATTTCAAGCTGTTCCTTAATCTTGTGTGAGACGTTCGTGAATCCTTCCTTCTCACCTTCGTGATCATACGCAAATTTCCTACCAATCATCGGCCTCACCACGCCGTTATGCTTTAATATGTCCTCAGTCCAGCCTGTAATTCTGCTTCCAAATTGCCAACCGCTGAAGGCATCAACATATTTCTGCACTTTTGTTCTAATACCATCTAGGCCGGAGCCAGGGGTTTTCCATGTACCTCTGTTATCCCATTCGCCTCCATTCCCCTTAATCTCCGCAACCTGCTTTTTAATATGCTCGAAAATCGGTTGAAGTTTTTTATCATTCTGACTAAACTTCCCGCCAAGCGTCTGAATCGCCCTGTCAACTTCACTGACCGCAGCGCTAAGCTTCTCCTGGATCTGCTCCTTAAACTTAACTTCAAGGCCTTTTTCTGCATTCTGAATTGGGGTAACAGTATTCTGATTAAAGGTATTTCTTGCCTCATCAAGCTTGAACAACTCATTTTGTAGAAGCCCACTACTTTTTGTATCCTTACCTACATCTTTAGTCACATCACTAATCCTCTCCTTCAACGTCTTCATATCCCCTTTAACTAATTCATCCAACGTCAGAACATTAATACTCTTAAGCGCACTCCCAATCTGTGTCTTAATCTCCTCTCTCACCTTATACAAATCCATCTTAAGATCTCCGTCCATTTGCACAACAGCCGTCAACGCCTTAGTGACATTCAAATCAACTTGCTGCTTAGCCTTACGAGTCTTGTCCGTCACACCGCAACGCACTACCAAGCCAACCTAACGTGTGACTAAAAATATCTAATGCAATCGACGAGTCGAGATGCCCATTGGTGAAAATACCTAGTCCTAGATCACTAGAGAAGCGTGTCTGTCATCCATTAGTGTCACTGCAGTGTGAAACTGTTGTTGGCCATCAACGTAGGCAGGTGACTACTGCTGTGCACGGTGAGCCACTCGGTCGTCTGTTAGGTGGGTGGTTTCCATGTTAGCTATCACGTGAGTTGCTAGGCAATGAATGCCGCCGGGACCTTTCGACGTGATTGGCAGTGTGAGGCCTATTTGAATTGCGTTTATGGTCAACATCGTTGTAGGCCCTGATGTCGTCACCCCGGTCTACCCCAGTAGCCACTTAGTGGGGTGCCGGCAAACTTAGTTACACAGATGTCTATCACCCCGAATGCCTTGCACCGCGCGTGAGCAGTGGCAGTATGAGTGGAGCATATGCATTCTCGGATCGAATTCAAAAGTATGTAATTTGAGTCAAATTGTGCTGGCACACTAGCATATGAATGCACGTGTAAGCTGTCTATATTAATGGTGTGTAGAAGGTGGAAGATTTTGAAGCGCAGTTACGATACCACACCTGGACGGTAGTATGGCAGTGTACTTCTATTTGAAGAGGAGGTTATGATATCAAGGCACGCTGCTAATTATTTTGCGAGATGGCTTCTCAAGTGGATAGGCGCACGATGAAAACGTCTACGGGAGCTCCGGCGGTGTGTGTTTATACGGCTGGGGACATCCGTAGTGAAGGAAAGACACCACAGGCGTCGGCAGATGAGAATAAGAAGAAGATCGAGGAATTGCGGCGGTTTATTACGTTGCTTAGATGGATTTGCATGTTTATCTTTGCGTATTTCATCATACTCGGCATATCCTTGTTCACAGATTCGGGAGCTCTACCAGGAAGTTCGTCTTTCGGGAAAGGCACAGGCGCTACTATCACCGATTATGTCATCGGTGGTGTCATCTTTGGCTTTATTGGTGCTGTCGTCGAGTCAGTATTCGTTTGTTGTGTTCGTTGGCGTCTTTAATAAGAGCATAATGAATGCAATGCGTAAACTGCGATAGCAGATGACAAATCAGACGCTCGCCTTGCTACCTCTCCGTTGTCGCCTCAAGACGCGAATGACTCCAAAGAAGAATAACCGTTTTGAAGATCTTTAATGCAGCGGAAATTGTTGCGTCAAGGTGGTAGCGTGGGCACTCCCTGTGTCACAGCCCGGCCGAAAGTGTTGCCGCTGTAATACGTTAATGAAATGTATCTTAACAGCTGTCTGCCCTCAACCCACGCTCCACGCTTCTTTCCAGTAACAACTCACGTAGGGCACATAAATGGCAACTAGAAGCTAATATAGCAAACGCACATTGCTTGATTTATTTTGGGGCACAATGTGGATGGTAATTTATGTCAGTAGCTGATTTGCGCCTTCCTGGGTGAAATGCAGAATTGTTTTCCAGGACAGTTTGGAATGTCAGTTACTAGGCAGGCGGCTTATCAATGAGTTAATCTAGGACGTCCGAAGTGACGACCAAGGGACAGCTTTGGCTGTAATATACTACTTGTACGCCATCGTAATATTTCAAAGCTAGACGCTTCGCTGCAGATTGACTAATATAGCAACATTCAGCGTATACCATATTGCCTGAAAGTAACCTACGACAATGACATGCGTGCTGCATGTCACGTTACTTGTGTAGATCTGGATGCGAGCCGCTGTTATGCCATCACTGCGACTTCATCACTTGCCTATTGTGTGTAGACTGGGGTTCATGTTTTGATAAGGGGTCTACATATTAGAAGGCCACAGCGCTGTTGTTGATCTGCTATTAAGACACAGCTATTTGCACATCGGCTTGTAAATATACTGTAAATTCCAACGATTTTACAATCGCATAGCTTAACAACTCATTACAAAATGGTGTACAATTCGTTGACTGAGGCTCCTCGCAACCTCAAGGAGGGCATTGACTGGTTTATGGCACTGAGGGGAACTGATGCTGAAAAGAACTATAGGGCGATGGGTGCCGCACTTTACGATTTTTTCGAAGACAAGCCGGTTGGAAAGATGGAGCTGCCAGCTCTCGAGAAAATAAAAAGCATTTCTAAAGAGTTCATGGAGCAACCGGAGCTTAAGGACCGGTCATACGTAAAAGACCTGCTGGGAAGGTACACAAAGCCTATGACCAGAATATGGTACCCAATTGTTCGCAGCCATGTTAAAACCGTCAAAAGCAATTATAGGAACTTCGTGAAGTACAAGCGCCTAACACCTGAAGACATGGCAGCCAGGGTATCCCGTGTTGGGTCTAGTTGTGAGGGCTTTCTGAAGGGTATCAAAGCCCCCGACCTGTATAAGTCTGCTTACAGCTCAGAAGCTTCGTGGGAGGCATCATGCGCAAAGGACCCGGAAGCCTGCGCAATTGTTCTCGTAGGGATTGCGCCGATGCTGCACACGGGCATAACATCTTTGTGGGATGCCAGCAATCCTCCGCTCTTTGGATGTGGAACCCATAAAGTGGAAGAGCAGTTGAGAAAGGTATTAAAAGCCCTGGGTTACGTAGAGTCAGAGTGCTGCACAAGCCTGAGCCGTTTTAATGTCCGCCAGGCGTTGCTAAATATGCATCATTATGTGTTGGATACAATCTACGACTTCGCTGCATATTGGGCTTTCTATTGAGTGAGAATCACTGGCTAGCTGTAAGAAGAGATACGCACAAAAAGATTCTCTTCGGGGCTCCACAGTGGATTGCTGTCAACGAATTCTCACGAAACATATACGACTGTATAAATCTAATTATAGAAAACGTCGTGGATACAATTTCCATCCACTGCACTGGTACCGTCATATTACTCCGAACATAGTTCTTGGCGTCCCATGAATCGTATCCAGCACGGAGGTTGGCATAGCTTGGCATCATGCCCGTGACCGAAATGCAGAGCGCCTGCCAAGTGCAAGGCATATTGACCTCTGTTGATTATATCATATAACGCGACCTTTAATCGTAGTTACATTTGTACGATCATTTTGTTAGTTAGCCCCATAGATGCAAACATGATTGTGCTGTACATTTCTGTGGATTGTGCATCTACGGAGATATCGTATACTTCTGCCTGCAAAGTCTAAATATAGGGCTCTATGGTGCAGCGACAAAGACATCTCGGCCATGTTGCCATCATCGGCGGACACGAGAAGGAATTGTAGCATGGGACTTTATTAACCTGCGTATCCTGTATTATCCCGAGTGGTTGGTGGATTGCGTCGTACAGGGGCATCTATAGGCTACATTGACGTAAACATTAACATTGTAATCCCTCACTGCATGTCGCCTCAGTTAATGGTAGTTCACTAATAACATGGTCTACAGATGTTGCTGGGTAAGCAGTGTGAAGTTGGAACTATTTTGGGGGATATCGGAGGGCCAAGTGGCATGTGATGCTCATCACAACTGCGGTATGGCATGGCAATACATACGGAGCTCGTAGGGCTTGAAGATATGTCAGTTGATGGATCCCGGACCAAGCCTGCACCAGCCGTAAGCGTGTGACGCTCTAGATACATGAGTATGCAATTTGTATAACATCAGTTGACAAAGAATACTGTAGCCTTAAGACAAGTTGTTCGCTGCGGTTTAGGGTTGGTTAGAATGGGTCGGGTCAATTGAGACATATACCCCGCTATTGGCGGCATCGCCTTTGTGCTCGCCATCATTGGTTGTATTTTCTTTTGTTTCCAGAACATATTAGTGTGCACGATTTGTCGTGGCTTCCCTCTCTTCTGGGAACCGTTCAAGCATCTACCCCAGCAATCTCTCATAGCCTCACCTTGCCTGCATAGCGTTACTGCTGACATGCGGCACCGCAATGGGTTCGGCTGAGTGGGTAGATCGGCCTTAGTCATACTTAGCTAGTTTTCACAGCATCAATCCGGAAACGGAAGGTATAGTAAAGGCGTATATTTAACTCTCCACTGAAACCATAAACTGTTCACATGGCCTCAGGAAGACTCCGCTTGCAGCTGCGATGTTGATGCTTTCTCCCGCAAATAAGTACACCCCCGGAAGGGGAAGGAGCACGTCAAAACCTACGCACTTACTACATTTAGGTGGTATGGCTGGGACCTTTGCTGTCAGTGTTCCTACGTAAAACCACTTGTGGTGGCATTCTGCAGGCAGGTTTGGTATGGCCTCCAACTGCATTGGTGGGATTGTCTCGTCTGTGGGATTTTCAAAGACGAATTCTACGCGGGCAAGCATGGGCGCCCTTTCGTACTTCATATCACGTATCTCAGAACGCACTTTAACCAGTACGCGAGCGCTCGAGTCTATGTTGATGTTTGAAGTTACAACGCCAAACGCATGTCCGCATTCCCACCGAAGTATAAGTTTAGAATCCTCTGCATTGAAGGGTATTACCGATGACAGCTGAGAACCCTTCCTCAGTCCGATGATATCAAAAGTTTGCATGTATGTTGGAGACCTCACACGGGTCTTCAGTGGCTGCCCAGATGTGTCATAGAAACTCAATGACTTAACATCCTGTTTTGAATTATTGGCCACATGGCACCGGATAATTTTAGGCAGGCTATGATCGAAGTCGTAACATACATTAATACCACGCTCTGTTGCATAGAATCTCCAAAATGCAACGTGACCTTCCGATTTATGTTTGCTGGACGTCGTTTTAAGACGCCCCTGTATACAGAGCACGTCCAGCACGTCGATTACACGAGGAACTACCAACATGAAAATCGAAAGTGTACCATTCGGCGATATCAACATTTCTGAGTCACTTCGAAGTGTAACTTGATATGCTTTATGCCCACTTATAGATCCTAGGTTACATCTAGCCATGTCTTCCCAAACTATACGAACGTCGCAGCTTTCAGCAGAGTAGGCAATGGGACGATTCGTCATGTGACATCGTCCACTACTCTTCACGTTTAGTGTGAGAGAATCAATTGCTAAATCGCCGAGATTCTTGATGGCTAATTCGGTGATCACATATTCACCGTCAATGGCATCATCCATGGTAAGGTATCCATCCTCAAACATATATTTACCCCCATGCCCAGGTTCACACATGAATTGCTTCACGATATCGAAATGTTCACTATCTTCATCTAACGTTCTGGCGTTTGAAGGAAGCCGTGTCACTTTGGACAAGGCGACTCCGACCTCGGGGTGGTAATCGCGCACTGAAAGCGAGAGCCCAGCATGAGGTAAACGACCTTTGAGGTACGTTTCTAGTGCATCAGCTTCTTTGTAATCCAAAGGTGCACCCTTAGTTTTACGTTGCCCGCAGAGGTATAGTGGCACCCAACAAGAAACGCATCCAAAAAGTTTCCACCCTAAACCTGTGACTCGAAAAACTCCAGGCTTTGTTACCTTGAATTTCAAATACACGTGTCGCCTTTCACCTTCTGACAAATAAACAAAATTGTCCTTAGGTTTTGCTTGCGTTACCTCTGCTTGCCCGGCAAGCACGCTAACGACGGTGGCCTTCTCCCACCATTTTTCGTCAGCCCCATTTATAAGCAGATGGAAATCATCACAATGAATGCCAATGTGAAGCGGATTCACTAGTTCGAGTTTAATAACACTTTCCTCCCCTGATTGGTAATTTGTTGCGGATTTTGTTCTCTGCTTTGGAAGAGTGTACCCAGAATCAGGATCTACACGGTACGATATATTGCCATAATCACTGATAAACTCGTAATACGGTTTCCAAGCATCGTTGGCTTCCGCTTTCTTCTTTACTTCTTTGTTAATCGCTGCTTCTTGTTCCTCAAAATCGTCTGCTGTGTTGTAAGATGTCTCACGGATATCTCCCCCAGCACAGTACAACGCAGAGGTACGTAGAAGTCCACAATTCTGCCCTGGGACCCCTTCACTGTTGCGCAATAACACCACCGGTACGCGCACAAGATAAGGTAGACTTTCACCTAGGGGGCATCCATCGTCTAGGCCGTACACCAGAGCGGGATAAGGACCGTAAGCACACGATACTATCGCTTTTGAATTTTTGTTCTTGATGGTTTCTTCACCGTGATCGGCTACAGAGAGTTTCATGAGTCTTCTGAGATGAGTCATTTCACGTTCGCCGCTGTACCAAGGAGATTTTAGGAAATCTTCATCGTAGTTCTTCATGTATTTGTGACAATTTACCATTTCACATCTATCAGCGAGGCCATTTAGGGCATCTATACAGTATAATGGATCGTATCGACTTAAGGTGCCATATAGAAAGTCAGACGCCAAACCCCAACCTTTCTTTTGGTATATGGGTACTGCTAGCATGTAGCAACGCTTAGTAAGGTTTAATAACCCCGACTGCAAGTAGAGATGACCCGCCATTACAAGATGGAACATTTTCTTCCTTATCTTTTCGGTGAAAAAAGTGCAGAGTTCGAGTGATAGCGCTGCTCTTGCATAGTCACCATTGCTCTTGAGGTCCATGGTTGCACTGATAGCTCCAAGCCTTCTTGCCTCCAAATCACCTCCTACAGTCGCCATCAAGACCGCCGTCAATAAAGCATCCCATTTTGCCCCGTATTTCTGGAAAATGGAGATGGCCTTATCGAAGTCGGCTATGGCCTTATCTGCAGTTAGTACATTGCCTGCACTATCTTCAGCCTTATCGTTATGCGATATTGATGCATTGTTTATAGCTTTCATGTGCAGCACAGCGCTATACACGAATGCAACACCCTGGATTTCCTGTTCAGTTCCACGGCAAATCTCGTCTATGCAACCCGTTGGCTCAGCCGATTGCAACTCACTATTCATCATTAATAGCAGAGATTTCGTGTCACTCGCATCCGTATTGGACGGTTTACCTTTTACCGTTTTTGAGGGCACATGCGGGTCATTCGTTCCATCTTTCAATTGACTGTCGGCAGTGCGCATTTCAGACAAATAGAGGTCAGCAATCTTCGATATGAACGCTACAAAGCCGTCGTCAGCTATACAACTTCGTAATGGCGCCTCATCACTATTTACAACGTAGTGATTGATATCGTCCTGGTACATGCTCTTGAAGCGGTCAATAAATTCGTCCGCATTCCTTTCTCCCATCACTACCATGCATCTGAATGTGGTTGATTCTGAGCCCTTCAGAATGTTTATCACGTTCTCCGCATTTTCTGCCGATGAGCAAAACGCTATTATACCTCTTTCGTCAGGGTGGATATCCAATGTTTTATTGCGAGCACATCGCGTTATTTTTGCAAGGGTGAAAGCCCATTGAACAAACCACGGGGGATATCCATCGAAATCTATGTCTTGATCACAGAAATCTGGAGTATTATCCGCTATCGCGTTGAGCAAGTGCGTGTCGAGATCTCCCTCCCCGAGAGTTTCTTCGCAGTTGAATTCGAGTTTTGCTGCCTCCCCAACGCTTGTATCCCTGTCTAACGCATCTTCTATGACCTGTGTGCAAGATTTGAAGCCACCAGCAGTTATTGCTTCCCGAGCGGCATCGGTGGCCCTGACGAGTATACAAGAGCCATGGTATCGCCTCCAAAGGCGTTCAAAAAGAGCCGCCCGGCTACACACCGGCACGACCATCTGTAAAATTTATATGTGTAGCGTCAGCACAAAATGCGTGTGGTCGCTTGTGCCCCGCGGCACCCGCCTTTGTTCACTTTATAAAATGTGTAAAATTTTTTACTTGAGTTCAAAGTTCATCGTTGACGGGTTTACCCTCCTCATCGAGATCGATTTCTTCTAGGTCCATGTCTTCGGGTATTTCGGTGGTCTCGTCCTCGGCCTCAGGGGTGTACGGAATATCATCAATGGTCGCGGAGGTATCGACGTTGAGTTGCCCCGACAGGTAAGTGTACGCTGTGTGCGTCAACGTGGAGGGATTCTCGATCGCGAATCCACCGGCCAGCTTCGCCGCGTTGTAGAGCAGCTTCATGGAATCGATCACGCTGGAGTCGACGGTATCGTTCTTACATCTCTTAAGCAGTTCTATCATGATCGGGTGGTCTCCATTGATCTCCAAAATGCGAGAACGCATGCCCGATCCGAACGGGTCGACATCGCCATCCTTCTTGTTTACGACATAAGATTTGACGATTTTCTCCATGTTTGGCGACATTCCCCACTCAGTGACAACCACAATGCATGGATCATCAGTCAGTCTGTGTGAGAGTTGCACTTCGTAGATTTCACTTATATTCTCCTTTAGCACCTTAATTAACGGGGCGTACTTCTTCAAAGTTAGCTCATCCTTTTCTACCTCTTCCGGGGTGCGTTCAAAGTCGACGTCGCCTTTTTGCACGGACTTGAATGATTTGCCCTCATACTCGTACAGCTGGTTAATGCATGACTCATCCATAGTGTCGGTGAGATATATGACATCAATGCCACGCTTATGGAATCCTTGTAGATGGGGGCTGTTGTATATGGCATTGTACGAATCGCCGCTGGCGTAGTAAATGGCCTTCTGCGTCTCGGGCATTTCTTCTACGTATTGATCGAGCGTGATTTCGTTCGTCTTGTGCTTGGAAGTCTGGTACATGAGCAATTTCGCAATCTTCTTTCTGTTTGAGGCATCATCGTAGCACGCGACCTTGAGCGACCCTCGGAAGTTTTGGTAGAATTTATCAAACGTCGTTTTTGTTGTCAGCTTTTTCGTTAGTTCCGCTTTCTTTTCCTCATCCGTTTCTGCGTCAATCTCTTCCTGCAACTTCTTCTTGCTGTCAATGCTTTCTTTCATGAGATTTTGTAAGGTGGATAGCACTGATCTGACAATCTTCTTGCCGATGATTTTAATCATCTTGCTGTGTTGCAGGTGTTCGCGAGACACATTAAGAGGGAAGTTGTCACTGTCAACGACACCGCAAATCGAGTAAAGATACCTGGGAAGGAAATCAGGGAGTCCGTCGGAGACGAGCACCCTCCTCGCGTAAATCTTAACTTGGTGTCCCACGTCATCGGTGTCGAAGTAGGAGCTCTTAGGGCGTTCGGGAATGAATAGAAGTGACCTGAATTCCACGTCACCTTCAGCGACAAAGTGTATGTGAGCGAGAGGCTTTGAACGCGAGCCGCTGATAGCCTGGTAAAATGCCGTGTACTCTTCATCGGTGATCTCGGATTTTTCCCTTGCCCATATTGGTTTTACATCGTTGACATGTTTCCACACGGCTTCTTTCGAATCCTTGTCCACGGTAAGGACGTAGATGGGGAACCTAACAAACTGGCTGTGTTTCTTTACTAATTCTTCGATCTTTGCAGCTTCAAGATACTCCGTGGCATCCTCTTTGAGGAACAGTGTGATTTGCGTACCGTGCTCACCAAGCGTATTGCCCTTTGGATCTTCGTAGAGCTCGTACTTTGTGTCAGCTGATGATTTCCAGACGTACTGTTTGTCGTTCCAATGCTTCGTCTGTACGACAACGCTGTCCGCAACAAGGAAGACAGAGTAGAAACCCACACCGAATTGTCCAATGAGGTTCGCATCATTTTCACCCTTCGATATCGCATCCACAAAGTTGGCCGTACCAGACTTGGCAATGGTTCCGAGATTGTTAATCAGTTCGTGCTTCGTCATACCGACACCAGTGTCGAGAATGGTGAGAGTTCTCTTGGAAGCCGACGTTCTTATTCTTATTGCCAATTCATCGCCTGAATCGCCGCGGTTTTCTCGGAGTTCTAGAATTTTGTATTTTTCTAGAGCATCAGCAGAGTTTGAGATGAGCTCCCTAAGGAACACTTCCTTCTTAGAGTAAAGTGAGTTTACGATGATATCCATAACTCTGGCGAAATCGGCCTGGTACGTGTGGCTTTCCCCGTATTTGGCGGCGCTCGACATTTCTTCGTCGGATAAACTGACTGTGTCCTCAGGTTCGGTAATAACTACCTCGCTGTCGGCGGTGGCATCTGATGTGCCTTCCTCAGTAGTTTCGATATGGATTTTGGGCTGCATATCATCGCTGCCGTACTCTGTGGTTTCGATGATGGATTCAACATTGTTCTCCTCATTAGCGAAAACCACAGGGTTTTGAAAATTGTTGACGGCAGCGATTGCCACGATGCAGTGGAGCATGACAAGAACCGACCGCCTCATTTTTACGATCAGTCATTAAAATTTCGTGATCGTTCTCAATGTTTTGGCGACGGAATTTTCCCGTGTCTTCCAGGATGTGCAGTGTGCAAGGGACGTATATAGCAGAACGCAATATATTTTGTTGCGGCTATATATCTTTGGCGTCTCCTTATACACGTCGACGTGTCCTACAGGCAATTATGGCTTGGAACACATAGGTGGCTTCCACCTTTGCTAATTGCTAGCTACACCACGACTCGGATCACGGACAAATACGTGTTCATGATTAACACATTTTAGAATAGAGACTCACTTACGTAGACTTGACAATTTTATTGAATTGCAGTTTGTAGCGTCGCTAGTGACAGCAACCTTTGTTGTAAACAATAACAGAATGATTGCCCCGCTTCTTAGTCGGGCGTTTTCGCAGGGATGCAGATTCGTGGGTGTTCATGCTGCTACATTTTCCTCTTGAATTCATAATGAGCTATTTCGCGGTTTGTAAAGTGCTGCCAACATCCTGTCTATATGTGCGTCGGTGTAGTATGATGTCGTGCGTTTGTTTGGATAAAATCCTTATTTTACTGTTACACACCCATACATTTTTTTCTAAGATGAGGTGTTATGTGCAATTTTCAATTCCCAGATGCTGTGTACCCGTTTTTTCGCCCGAAGGTGTGACGGACATGTGCAGCTTAAACGGCAAGTGTAATATCAGTGCTATGTAAAACGCGTCGCAAGATTCTGCATCCATATTTGACCTTTAGCGTTATGAGACGCGTATCCACGGCATACTTGTTACACATTGATAAGTTCGGATGTAAATACGGCCTATGCATCGCAATCTACTAATACAAACCAATAGTTATAAACAACTTTCAAACTTCCAGACAGTATTATCGAATACATGATCGACGGTACATGTCTACGTGATGACGCCTTTTTTTATGGTATGTAACGGAATGCAACATTTGGCCCGCCAAATTGAGCATTTCTAGTGGTCAATTTCAGCTGCCACTCTTTCGTATAGGTGTGTACTAGCATTTTGCTGCAAAAGAATATAGCGTAGTGTTCGTAGCTATGCGGTTATTGCCAACCTCCCGTTGACGGAAGGTGGCGTTAACGTTCTCCCGTGATGCCGTCATCGCAATGCAAGCCTTCTTCGTTGCTAAACAGCACGAATATTTACGATTGTGCTTAATATTAAGGCTCTAAGACCATACGGTTGATATGTATTTCCGAATGCGTTGATGTGACGGCTCAAGCCCAGAAGAGCCTCCCGTGTACGGAAAAATGCCGCCTACGTACATATTGAGCGTGGAAGCCCTTTCGAGTTCCGCAGTACACAGTTGCTATATGTATCTGTATTGACGCTTCACCGTGATACACCTGGCGAAATATAGCAATCGCTCGTGAAGCCTCAGGATCTTAATCGAACTCTTGATGTGTAGTCGCGTAATGACCTTCTATCTAGCCCATATAGATAGAAAGCGCTACGGTTGGTAAGATGGGCAACGTTATAGGTGTAGACTGCAGTTACGCATCAAAGAATCTAATAGACCGAATCTTCATCACTGTTGGCTGTGACTCCGATGAAGAATGCAGGCATGCCGACGAATTTGTAGCCAGGAACAGCTTTGTTTCCCTTCATATTGCAGACAACAAGGTTGCTAGGAGTGACTCTCGAGAATACCGCTTCCTATCGGTTCCCGCCACTCACGCAGATGCTACGGCACATTTGGCATCGCGCTATCGAAGAAATATAAGAAGGGTGACCATATGCGGCAATGTCTCCGCATCACTGCTGCATACGTTGGAGTCACTTTTTCCGGATGCAATCATTACTGAACGTGAGCACGAAGCATGTTTACACTTTGGAGCGTCGCTTTTTGTTTCATCTCCTGGGGGCGTCGTAGCGGTGAACGGTGATCCACCATCGCCGAAGCCTTTCGACATAACCGCAACGAATGGGCATATGCATGCCGCAGTTCACTCCGGAGCGTCATACAAAATCATCCCATCAAAGGACTCACACAAGAACCATGTTTGGCATTCCGTTATCGGGTTCTCGGCAGTGACGCATTTGTACAACATGTTTATCTCTCGCTACGGCCTCAGCGAGAATTCTGTGCGCACTGAAATGACTGAGATTGCTGAATTAGCCGTACACGGAACTAGCAACTCATGTGACATGCTAGTACGCAACGCTTATGGTGGTGGCTGTGCTGATATCGGCCTCTCTGGGGACACGTTGGCTGCGTCCTTCGGCATGCTCCACAAAGATCCAAGCCTATGGGAATGCGCCAACGAGGATGGGTCAGAGTGTATGCACGTTGGTTCAGATGGTGATGAGACGGATGATGGACAATCGAACGGCTCTGGTGTGCGAGCAGATACAGCGCCGTCGGAATGCTGTGCTCTTCCCGTGGCATCTGAGGTCACGAACAAGCCGTTGTCACCTTATCCGAGACATGTAAGTGCTTCACGGCGCGATTTGACGTTCCTTGTAGGTTCCTAAGAAGGAAGATGTCGCTCATAGTCTGGTCAAGATGCTAATTATCAGTGTTACGAACCACGCCATTCTGCATGCCCAACTAAATGGAATTGATACGTAAGTGCGATGCTCAAATGTATTAAACAGCGCAGGGTGATATTTTCCGGCATTATTTTCGAAAACGATTCGCTGTGCGGATTAGCAAAGCCATACGTGGACCGCTGGTCGAAGGGATCCATGGAGATGCTTGTGTGTCGGTAAGTGACGCTGTTATTTTTCACCTATATACACATTGCAGTAATTCGACATTTTTAGCATCTACCGGTGCAGTTGAGTTGTCAGATGCGCTGGATAGTTGATACAATAAAACGATAACCGCGCGTACGCGATTCCATAATGGGTGTGGATTCCCTTGCTTACCTCATATGAAGTGCTCAATACGAGCCAATAATTGTTTAGAAACGAAAGTTAGCGCAATATAGCAGCATATACATTTTGTCTAATGCGTTATTGTAGCATAATATGTGGACCCGTCAGGTGTCCAACGTGACGCTGGTGTACCAGGCCACGGTGTATGCCTCTAGGAATCGTTTGTCCTTATGCCGATATTTAAATCGTCGTTGTCTCGCATCAAGAAGCCAAGATCGTGCTGAAGAAGTCGTTAGAAGCGTTGAGCAGCTTGTAGGTGATCTGTTCCGTTCGCTCGTGATGTTTTCATGCAAAATTACAACCTTCTGCAGTGCCTGGAGCAGCGACATTGTGCAACAACCGCACAACGTGCAAGTTCAACGTTTCAAAATGGATCGAACGATATGTCAGACCTTCAGATGATCAGGGTTCGCACAACGTCACACTGTTCACGTAGTGTTCCAGGGTATGAACGCCTTTGCCAACTTGGGTTTCGTCAATCAAACGTTGCTGGTCGTGCTGAATGAAAGGTAACAATGCTTTTTGTGTATGTACTATGTGTAGGATACGGGAAATATGCAACAATGCCTCTCCGATGCGAATCGCCCATATGCTTACGCTTTTGAAGCGCATGCATGTAACTCATCCAGCCGTACGTTTTCTGCAGCAACTCTTGCACAAAAACATCAGGCAATAGACCCTGTAATTGTTGCGGTGAAACGATGCCTGCACAATTATGTGTCGGAACTGCCGGATATCGTTCTTAATTGCAGCCACGTTGGATGTGATGACGCAGACCTGGTCGAGATGTTTCGTTCTCAGACCCTGCTGCACTATGACACATTGGGAGCGCAGTCAATAAGGTATAATAATGGTGCATTGCTGCTTTATTTCAGATCAGGTGTGCCGAGGCCCTTTCCCGATTCAGGACCGATTCGTGTGTTGTGCTCGACCGCGTGATGGATACATATCTCTCGAAGTTAAAGGTGCTAGATTAAGGCAGAATGTTTTATACGTTTCAGGAACTTACGTTGAAACAACGCATACATCTGTTATCGGCTATTTGCCGTGGCAGCAAAGAAGATGCGTCCGCCGCAATAACGTGGGTGTGATTTGGGTAACATCATGCTATATAGGGATTCCTTGATCTCCAGTATTTCGTTAGGGCCACAGACACCCGATGATATAACTAGATTGCTGTTGTTGCAAGGCACATCAGGGTAGGCTATTTAATGTGCATTGAGTAAAGATTCGGTTCTTAGGGTAGCGGTGGTGCGGGTGTTAGACACGTTAATGGACTCTATCGAGTTGATGTTGGATGATCAGAAATACGTCACCAACACGTTACCCTACCACATCTATATGATTTGTGTATTAGGAAGAGCTGGGCATCGCAGCACTGTGACATTCATGGAGCGTTCGTTAAGAAATCCGATTACGCTCCTATCTCCATCGTCGGCATGCCAGTTGCTGTTTGCCATATCTCTCATCATTAGGTACTTTTATACACGTCGTATGCACCTATTTACGCCCCAGGGAAAGCGGTGAGCAAGTGGCGGAGGATCATTTGGGCAGCCTTTTACGGCACATGAACTCCTGTTACAAAAGACTATCGCTTAGCCAGCAGGAGGAGTTGCATGAGGCTCTGCTCGTTGCGCAAAAGTATGAAGAACTACCCGACGGACTTTCTCATTTCGTTGCGTCTAAGATTCCGTCGCGGCTGCCGACTATGTGCAGAGGAGAAACCGATCTGCAGTTAGACGCCATAGAAGGTGTTAGCTACGTGTTTATCGACCAACAAGACGTTTCACGCACAGCGCTTGTATGTGTCGGGGAGTCGGAGGCTCTAACCGTGCTGGACGGTGTACCGTCGGTGTCTGTGAGTCCACGCGCGCAACAATACTTCCGCACACTGGAGTTGCTCTTTTCAAAGAAGCATTCACATGGATGTGTACCGTCGATTGCCTACAATGTGTCGACAAATCTCTCACACAAGCTGGTGTTTTAACTACTGAACTTGGCTGTGTCTGGCCCAACTCAACCCGCAGCGAGCCTTAGTTTCAGACATTTTATCGTGTCGCTACTCCGTGCACGACGTTTAATATGTAGCAACTGAATTCAATGGCGTCGGTGTGTTTCTAATATATTGCGCATTTGGTGCCGAAGTCAATTGTCGCCTGTGTAACACAGGCAATTACGGCGAGCTTTGGGTGGCATTTGTGCCTCAATTATCAAAGCGGTATCGCAGCCCAGCTCATAAGGTGGTTCCAGGTGTTTGTGCTCATTCGTTTGCAAAATGAAGAGGGACGCAGCTGCGGTCACCGACAGTTCACGCACTGAACCAACGTCGGATGTGCGGTCTCCTCCTGCAGAAAAGAAGCCCAAGGGAAGTCTGCTACATATGCTGATGCATGAAAACCACTTCATCGAGAGCATTTTGTCTAACAGCCGGAAAACATTTAGCAAAATGAATCCAACTCCAGGGGCGAGCACTGCCAACAGACAAAAGGGCGCAGTGGTTACTTGTCAACCTTCTAATTTGAAAGGCACCGCGAAGCCATACCAGCTAGAGGGTCTTCGTTGGCTGGTAGGTCTATATGACCGGAATATGAATGGTATTCTGGCTGATGAAATGGGTTTGGGCAAAACGTTTCAAACCATCAGCCTAATGGCGTATTTGAAAGAAAGCCGCGGCATAAATGGACTGCACCTCGTTTTAGCGCCAAAGTCCACAATTGGTAACTGGATTAATGAGATTAATCGCTTTTGCCCCGAGATCAGAGCGCTGAAATTTATTGGTAATAAAGAAGAGCGTAACCATATGGTGATGAATGAACTTGATCCGACAAAGTATGACGTCATCGTCACATCATACGAGACTTGTTGCAAGACTAAGAACGCACTGTCTAAACTTCGCTTTCACTACATCTTTATCGATGAGGCACATCGCATTAAAAACGAGGAGTCGAAGCTGAGTGAAGTCGTTCGTCTCTTCCAAACGGAATACCGTTTGCTGATCACTGGTACGCCACTGCAGAACAACCTTAAGGAGTTATGGGCACTGCTTAACTTTCTATTCCCCGAGGTATTTTCGTCGGCAGAGGAGTTTGAGATGGAGTTTGACCTTGTCGGCCCAAAGGAACTATCACAGGAGGAACGTGAAGCACGTAACCTTAATATAATTGCGCGTCTTCACGAAATATTACGGCCATTCATGTTGCGTCGATCTAAGAAGGACGTGCTGACTGACATGCCGCCGAAAAACGAGCTGCTTCTTATGATTCCCCTGAGCGCCATGCAAAAGAGGTTATACAAGGAATTGCTGCGCAGGAACGTTCCAGAGCTAGGAGCTGAGGATAACCATGGATCGGTCGTGAAGGTTCAACTATTGAACTTGGCTATGCAGCTGCGTAAGGCGTGCAATCACCCATACCTATTCGAGGGATGGGAGGATCGTGAAGCGGACCCATTCGGTGAGCACCTCGTGGAGAACGCAGGCAAGCTGAATGTGGTTGACAAATTATTGAATCGGCTTCTAAAGGCTAATTCACGCGTGCTGATATTCTCATTAATGGCTCGTATGCTGGACATTTTAGAAGATTATTGTCGTATGCGAGGCTACCAGTACTTTCGTATCGACGGTAACACTTCCGGTGAAGATCGTGACAATCAAATTTCGTCGTTCAATGATCCTAATAGCGAGGTCAGCATTTTCTTGCTTTCAACTCGCGCTGGAGGTCTCGGAATTAACCTTGCCACGGCAGACGTTGTAATTTTGTACGACAGTGATTGGAATCCTCAGGTGGATCTACAGGCGATAGACCGAGCGCACCGCATCGGCCAGATGAAGCCTGTACACGTGTATCGTTTGGTTCATGAGTATACGATTGAGGAGAAGGTCATTGAGAGGGCGACAATAAAGTTGCAATTGGATTCTGCAGTCATCCAGAGCGGAAGGTTGGGTCAGAAGGAACTGCTGGAGATGGTCCAATTCGGCGCTGGACACATTTTTAAGGCAGGAGACGAAGACATAACGGAAGCCGACCTGGACGCAATCTTAAGCAAGGGGCAAGAGCGCGCCAATTTGTTGAACGACAAGTTGAAGGCGCACACTAGAAAGGCATTACTTGACTTCTCCACAACTACTACCACACAGCAACTCTACGAGTACGATGCTCCCGAGAGCGAGATGCAGAAACTAGATCAACAGGCTTGGGATGAGCTGACTGCCCTGCGTTTCCAGGATGAGAATGCGAGCGAAGGTGAGGTTCGCCGCCGTATGCGCATGACAGCGGCGCGAATGACTGAGTCTGATAACCGAGCTTCCGCTAGGTATACGAAGAATATGCAGCTTCAGGTGTGTTTTGTTCATTATTCTTATATTTGCGAATTAGGACTGGCAATTCTTCAACAAGGAGGAGCTGACGAAACTCGAGCAGCTTGAACTAGAGAAGGGTGACTTGGATGACGAACAGCGCGCAAATCGCGACCGGTTGCTCGAACAGGGTTTTGGCGATTGGACCAAAAAACACTTCAGTGCATTCGTAAAGTAGGTTCACCCAGACAAACACAATATTGCTGCAGAGCTAACGCGAAATACAGCCGTTACGACACAGATTCCATTGCCTCGTGCATTAAGGGCAAAAGTCGTGACGAAGTTGCAAGATACAGCAAGGTGTTCTGGGAGCGTTATACAGATATCGCTGACTGGGAGAAATACATAAAGCGTATAGAGCAGGGGGAAGAGGTGCTTTTGAAGCGTAATCAATTGCATCAGGTATGTCATACTTTCAGTGAGAATCATAGTGCTCAGATGGTGCTCACCAAGCAACGTTTATTGTCCAATCCCTGGGTTGGTACTGACGTGCTTTTTGCTGCGCACCGCGGTAAATGCCCTTTTACCGAAGAAGAAGATCGATGGATGATGAACGTCATTGCGTTACTGGGTAAAACGGCTCACTTTTCTTATCCATAATTGCAGGTTACGACATGTGGGACGACCTGTCTGAGCTTTCCAGATTGGATCCTCGCTGGCAGTTTGACACTTTCTTCCGCACACGTCTACCGAACGAGTTTGCCAAGCGTGCAGACTATATCATAAAGCACATCGCCAAAGAGGTAGGTGTTTTTAGCAATGTCTACATTCGACGCTACAGACCGCACGTGCGGGTGGTCCAGAGCGCCCAAGGCGCCGCCGAGCGAAGAACCAAGCCTCAGAAGCAGTATTATGAAGGGTGATGATGGCGATTGGGTTTTGGTTACCGGAAAATCTTCTCAGCGTCGCGCGAATGTGCGCATCCCCCGCAGAATAAATTTAGAGGAGTCCGTCTGGCGCGCTGCCCGTGATCGCGTTATTAGGGAGGTACATGAGGCTTGGAAAGATGCGCAACCGTTTTTGAAAAATGTGCTGCAAATTTTGCATTCCCATTTGGGCTCACAGGCGACCACACGCATCGTGGCTCTGGGACTGGGCTCACCAACGGCGCTAACGTTGCCCCTGATTCGTTCCTGTTGTTGTCAGCTTGCAGTTTGCCTCATTGTGCGCCAAGCTTTAAACACCGATCGAATGGACGTCTTCGATCCGATAATGGACGTGAATGACATGGAAGCTTGCCGGTCGTTGCTGCATGAATTCAAGCCTGATCTCCCCGGCCTGCATTCTCTATGTAACTCCCGCCATCAAATCTACCAGGAGGACTCTGGTGTGGCAGCCAGCACGCCACAGGTACTGCTCTGGATGCCTCACTGCGAAGCGGCGCTCTACAAGGCTGTGTTGCTAGCCATAGAAGCGGGGGCAGACCCCCTTGCGGCAGCCAAGGAACTGTGCGGAGCCGATGTCGCGGAACCGCACATGCGCTACGACCTTTCTAACGTTGTACTCGTAGGTAACTCACTAAAAGACTACGGAGGCGACATGGCAATGCCTCAACACATCGTAGATCGCGCTGTAGAATCGGCTCTACCAGTGTTCGACCCGTTTCCGCAGGCTTTCAGCGGGACTTATGTTACAAAATTCAAATAGTAGTGACATTTTTAGCTATTTAAGCGTATAAATCGTCGTCCTCCTCGATGACGTCCATAGTCGCCTCCATTTCATCTTCTTCCGGCCAGTCGATATCGATTTCGTCTCCACCGGCGCCCCTTGTCTTGTAGAGTGGGTCAAATTTGTTGCGGAAGTTGTCGAACTTGGAAAGGTCAGTGGAAGTCACCGAATGCCGTGCGTTGGCTAATCCCTCTTGGAAGTGTTTCCGTTGGATTTCATACTTGAACTCCGTGGCACCTTCCTCTGCAGTGCTGCCATGTTTCTCCTCGTGCGCAATTGCCTCCCTGATGGCCGAACGCGCCGCAATCTGGCACATCTCCGCAAGGTCAGCGCCAGAGAACCCCGCAGTCTTCTGCGCGAGGTATGTTATTGGCACGTTACTGGCAACGGGAGACTTGCGAAGCACGGAATTGAGGATGGAAACCCTGGCCGGAAGGTCGGGAAGAGGAATGTAAATAAGCTGGTCGAGCCTACCGGGCCTCAAAAGAGCTTCATCAAGCAAGTTGGGCCTGTTGGTAGCGCCGATGAAAAAAATGTTCTTCTTCGCTGACACACCGTCGATTTCTGTGAGCAGCTGGTTCATCACACGCTCTGCAGCATTGGTACCTTCTCCCGCACCGCTGCCTCTGGCCGTGCCGATAGAATCCAGTTCGTCAAAGAATACAACACACGGCGCAGAGGTCCTGGCCTTGTCGAACACTTCACGGACGTTTGCCTCGGATTCACCGAACCACATCGTCAGTAACTCAGGGCCCTTGACGGAAATGAAGTTTGCGCTGCACTCGGAAGCCACAGCCTTCGCCAACAAAGTCTTACCACAACCGGGTGGACCGTAAAACAACACTCCCCGTGAAGGTGACATGCCGAATTTCTCGAATTTCTCGGGGTGTTCTATGGGGTAGAGAATCATTTCTCTCAATGCGTTCTTCACGGATTCCAGCCCTCCTATATCGTCCCATTTGATATTCGGTATTTCCACCACCGTCTCACGAAGCGAGGACGGGTTGCAGGTGGCGATGGCCGCATTGAAGTGCTCCTGCGTTACAGCCATCGAATCCAATATAGCAGTGTCTATTGTGTCCTCCTCAAGGTCAATGGCTCCCATTTTCTCCCTGATGCATCCGAGCGCCGCTTCAGTGCAAAGTTGCGCAAGGTCAGCACCCACAAAACCGTGAGAATTGGCTGCAAGCTCTTCCAACTTGACTTCGGGGGCGAGTTTCATATTTCTGGTGTGGATTTTCAGAATTTCGAGTCTTCCGGCATCATCGGGTACACCTATGTCAATCTCCTTGTCGAATCTACCGAACCTTCTAAGCGCAGGGTCGATGGAGTTTTGTCTGTTCGTCGCAGCTATGACCACAACCTGTCCTCGTCCTTTCAAACCATCCATAAGTGTGAGTAATTGTGAAACAACCCTCCTTTCTACTTCACCATTCGTCTTCTCTCTTTTGGGAGCAATTGAATCCACCTCATCGATAAAAATGATGGCAGGTGCATTCTTCTCGGCCTCGGCGAAGGCCCGTCGGAGGTTGGACTCCGCCTCTCCAGCCATCTTACTCATGACCTCTGGCCCATTGATAAGGAAAAAGAATGCCCCAGTCTCGTTCGCCACTGCCCGTGCAATAAGCGTCTTTCCGGATCCTGCAAAATGATGAAATGCGACAATCTAGGCCATCTTACCTGGAGGTCCATAGAGCAGCACCCCCCTTGGTGGCTTCACACCAAGAGTTTTAAACAGTCCAGGGTGCCTAAGCGGTAGCTCGATCATCTCCCTAATCTGCGCCATCTGCCTCCGGCATCCTCCAATGTCGTCGTAGCCGACATCGTCGAGCTTCTCCTCCTCGTCCCTCTTAATCGGATCGCCCTCGTGATAGATGATAGTGTCTGGAGCCACAATACAGTAGTCCCCAGGGTCCACCTCCACCACTTTGAATTCAACGGCCTTGAAAGCGCCCCTCACAAGGAAAAGGTCGCCTTTTTTCACAGGCCGATAGGTCTCCAAAAAGTAGGGCTTGAGATAGACATCGAAAAGTGCCTCCTTGGAAAGTCCCTCCACAGTGTCATCCAGAGGAAGAACTTGAATCTTTTTACCGTATGGCACATCTGAGCAGGGTACTATCCTGATAAAATCACCGAGCATAACTCTGAGGTTCTTTCGCACTATTTTGTTCAGACGCGCTTTCCCCTCGTCTAGGTCCTTGTCAGCCAAAACGATACAAACGGTTGTGTGCCTTTTCTTTCCCTTCAACATGACCGTGTCGCCTCTGAACAGCCCAAGTTCCTCTATGCGGTTGGGGTGGAGGGCTACAACCGAATTGTCGTCATTCGTTGCTTCCTCTACGAGCAACCTATTCAGGTATTTGCGCTTGGCTCCATCGACTGCTCCCTCATCAGCTACCACTTCGTGGTCGCCCGGCTCGTTCTCTACTGCTTTCGCCATCTTGCAGCGCCCCTAGCTCCTCCCTACGGCCGAATGGAAGGAAAGTCAGAAATGGGTATCTATACTAGAATTACTGACACAATCACACGGAAATGAAGACGACAGCCATACAGGGTGACTGCCAGAAGCCAGCTTCGGTACAACTGGCGTTTGGGCTGGAAACGTCAAAATAAGTTATGCCAGCCAGTGCCATTAAACACTAGAGCAATGTGTTACCAACGCAGCAGCTAGATACACCATATAATTGTTCTCACCTCGAAGTCTGAAGTAGGCCCTAATCGAAGGCGCGGGAGCTCGGCGAATCAGCGAGTTCAACACCTGTGTAAATCTGCCGTCGAACATAGACGGCGTGCTCAATCAGCACCAATATTGGGATTCTGTGAGTACAAAATTGCAACGAAATTATCTTTTTAAAATAGTAATGACGGTACAAGCGTGTCGCAGGCGCGGTGGCCCCGCTGTGTGGACGCAACCTTCGACGGAATTCCCCATAATAATAGAATGAACAACCTCATATGCTGCTCTTTTCTTGCCTTTTTTGAGGTGCAAGGTTACCGGTGGACGTAGTCAATTGGTTTCCCGCCGACGCTTCTACCGTTGTCTATGCTGACTAGGTGTGTATTCGACTGTTAGCAACTACGTCCCGCCTTTCACTCATGATTGCTTTCACAAGAACATCTATAGTGTTAGATTTGGCTGTTTATCGCTGAAAATTGTAAATGTGCCACGCCCATTAAGTTTATTCACATATACAGTTATGCACTGTTACCTATCGAAGCCCTTTGGCAACTAATTCAGTCCATTCTAAGCGTTCCACGATTAAATGGAGTATGCAAAAGAGTTCGCTGTCGTATGGCACTTATGTGTATCTAACGTTGAAGCAAAAAATCATTGCAAGTGGTGAGGTGAGCAGCAAATTGATGCTACAAATGGCCAAGGCTAAAAATGATAGAAGGGTCATCCACCGGATATATATTTATCTGTTAAAGTCGAGGCTCAGGTTTAGTACGGATGTGGAGCCGCGGCGCGCTACCACACATCCCCGCCCCTTGCAGGGCATTGAATCGCACGGGGCTGCCGCCATTTACGCCCCAATCAACACCATTTGGCCATTCTATGGCAATATATTTTTCGGATAGGGGGTAACTCTGATTTACCTCTACCATCCAACACTATTATTGCGCAGCCTCGTTCAACGAGAGGAGCCCATTCGGCGTAGCTGCATACCAATTTGAGACTCCCGTCGTTACACATCCGCTTTCAGGGATTTGTGATGCGTATTTGTCTAACAAGAGTTAGGATACTGCCGTAAGAAACCTGTTTGCACCGCATTTCTACCCTTGGCCTATGTGTCATACTCTCGGGGGAAGCATTTTACTAATGTATAGCGAATAAGAAGCACTGTTCGACGTCTAAGTGCCCTTCATCGCAATGGCTACCTGTAGAAGCTTCTTTTTTCGTTTCAAGGGCTTGTGCACGCGTAGGAAGGAGGCAGCGTTGGTGAGGGAGCCTACCGTAGCTGTGCCAATTGAGGAAGTGCCGCCGCCACAGCCTACTGAGGCTCCAAGTTCCGAGACAACTGGAGAGGCTTCTGTATCATCGATCGATGTGCCGCTGTTGCCCATCAATAATGTTTTGTCTCCCTCCTCAATCGCTACAACTCGCGAACCGGATGCCGAGGAGTTTGAGATTAAAAATGACACACCACTGGTCACTGAGGATGTGTACGACCCTCTTATCATGAGTTTCTCCCCAAGGGTTTCTCGCCGTCGCAATGACGCAGCAAAGGGTGATACGTGCAACAGCCCCAGCAAAGCTGTAAGTTCGTTCTCGGAGACCGAAGCCCTTTCCACAAGTTGCGGACATGCTGCTGAACAGGGGGTTTTCTGGTATGGAATAACGCTACTCAGCGATGTTGGCAATAAACCTGTGGCGGACCATGCCCAGAAAACCGACGCTCCGGTTTTAGATGAGCACATCTCAACTGACATGTCTGCGGACTGCAGTCCGTCGAAGCTGAAAAAATGTCGATCTAGTCTACGATACTACGATCTCATGGGCCACCGTATCAGTGAAGATTGGACGAATCTAAATTCGCGTGTTTACGACGCATTGTTGCAATATTTCACCGGTTCGGATCCTACATCCGGTCACAAGATTTCTAAACAGTGGTCGGACAATGTCAAATTGTTAATGGGAAAGAAGACGGCGAAGATCGTGGCTGCATTTAAGGTCGCCTACCAGGGGCAATTGGATTTTGAGTCTTCGTACATGATTTGTCAATCAGTATTCACTGCTCAGAAGAGCATGCGGATCGACCTCATCATCCGGGCACGTGTCATGTCTTGGTCTGTGAATTCGAAGAACACGCTGCAGTATACGTATACTTACATTCCGCGGAGTGCGTGTGATGATTTGGGCGCTCGGCAACCAACGTATGCCAACAGGTTTGTCTTTGAATGTTTGAGACGCAATTCCCGGCGCACGGTGTCCTTCATGCGTGACGTATCTTCGGTGCATGGGGATGACCTGCACGTGGCTACGGCAGAGTCGGTCAGCCAGGTTTGTGAGGGCGATTCAATTGAAATTCCGGTTGTGCTGATGAATGCACTAGGCAACACCAATGTAGATAGTATAAAGTTTTTGCCTATTCATCGGGAGGCAGCGGAGGGTGACCCTGCCTCGTCACTTGACAGGATGCATCGCGAGTGGTACACGGTTGGACCGAATTCGCACTATCTACAGCAGCTATTCCCGGCCGATATCGTGGCGTACAATCTAGTTCAGCCCGAAAAGCTACAACCCGAGCTAGAGCATCAACTGACGCAAGTTGCGGGGATAGATGTGATCACCTCGCGTTCCAGGTTTATAGCGGCCAAGCCAGGTACGTTAATCGTTGCGTTGAGAACATTGGTCTCAGGACACATTACGGAGGCGCAAAGCTTCATTGGGCACACTATGGAGGTCATAGATGCGCGCCAACCAGTAGTGTGCATGCTGCAGCGTGCCGGCATACAATGTGATCGCTTGTGCCATGTACAGCTTCGAGTGGTATGTTTCCGTTCGCCGTCTGTCATGCAGTTTCAGGGCGACAAGGTTCGATTTTACACAACAAAGGGATGAGGCAGTGAACAGAGAGTGCACTTTGCCGAGACAGGGCTACACATGTGTGGAATGTCGGTTATGCCATAAAGATTGCGAACACATCATCAACGGAAGCATTATGGCGTTGACATCGATGCTCACTATGGCTAACCTGTTGTTGAAGGGTGTGCTTGTAAACCTTCCTAATGTTTAAGTTTAGTGGTTTTTAGTTCTGCCTTTTGTCAACTATGGGGACCCATCCATCACGCGGTGTCGCTCCCTATCTCACGGCTAAAATTTTACATCGCGGCACAAACTTAATTTGTTGCCGGGTGTATAATCCCCAATTGTATGATGGATGACGATGTGGCATCCGGGCGCGGTGACCAGCTGAACAAGCAGCAATGGATTTGGGTGGTTGAGGACGAACTTGGCTCGTTGATCTGGGTGACTCTAAGAGACGAAACGTATTACGTAGGTATTTTTAAAAGTTTTGATCAATACGGGAACATCGTCCTCACCGATACCGTCAGGAAGGTCATCGTTCACTCGCAGCGAGTTTTCAGCGATGTGTACTGCGGTAAGTCCGCCATCTGGGCATATATGTGATTGCTACCCAACTATTGTACAAGAATCTTATGCTTAAACAGGTAATGTGATAATACGCGGCGAGAGTATTGCGTATTTCTGCGGCCTTGACGCGCCAAGCTATCTGGATACCTTCAAATACGACAGGACATTCGATCACAGTCGACTTCTACGAGTCGCACGGAAACGTGACATGAGGGTGTCACCCCATCCGATGCTACCGGGACTGAAGTACGTGGAGCTCGACGAAGCGCTGGCCCTGTTGAAGGAGGAACAGGAGCGGTTTCCGACCAAGCAAAATATACTCAACGACATGCTTGGGAACGATACGTTTGCGTAGCGCATACGTACGTGTTAAATGACCTTCCCGGGTACACGACTATTAAAGCATCATACAGTCGTACCGCCGATTGTAGCGCGTCCCGAGTACGCCGTATTCTCTCTACCTCGGAGCTGCTTCGAGTTGTCTTTATCGTGCAAGAATTGTTGCCGATTGCAAAGAGTAGTCATTTACACGGCTCGGAAAAAATTGGGTTTGACGCCCCTGAGCAGCTCAGCGAGCGTGTGCTGTCGCTGAAGACCGGCTCGAAAACATTTCAGACAACGGAATATGTTCGATCACTATTTGGTATGCTCTTTAACATTAATGTTTTGCTCTAGTAGTTCTAATGCTATCTGTGTAGCGGCAGGAGGAGCCCGGGCTAGGGTTAAGCTGTTTGGATAATCGCACCGAAGAAACCGTCTAATCGTAGACAATCCTCATCCGTATGTCTGGCGATGAATGAATTCGAGTTGCCTGTTTAAAGTATCAGCTGTGTTCTCCTAATTCCGCATCGTGAGACCATGGCGAACACGTTGTTCCGCGGTGAGCTGTTCCTTACAGCATCGGAGCTGGAATCATTCCTTCAGGTAGGTATACCACTAATTTAAACTCGATTCTAAACTAGAATGTGCATCGTTTTATTATTTCACAGAGGTTGAAAGAGCTCTGGGATGCAACGTCAAAGGATGATGCAACGGTAGACGTCCCATGGCAATTGGCGCCAATAGATGCCGCAATAGCACGTGGTCACAATCATTTGCTCACAGAAGCAGTTGACATGAATGCTCCTTTGCCCGTAGGTGGTGCTTTGTAGACGTTTATGATTGAGCAGCCCAAGCGTGAACGCTCGAACAACATCCAATCGAGAAAGTGAGTCCATTCAATCATTCCTTTCCTCATAACAGCAACAGAAATGTCACCAGACGCACTTTGGCTACGGATGTCCCGGGCCACTCTACTATCGATGACGACATCGATTCGCTTTTCAAGGAGATAATGGATGAGGGCTTCGACGAAATGGAAGAGCCGTTTGAATCGCATAAATCCACATTTCCGCAACAGGAGGAGACGGTCGATTACGAAGACACCTCCCCCATTTTCCCACTGTTGCATCCTGATGATACTGTGTTAACCAGCATGCCCACATGGCTACAAAAGTTACACCAGGTCATTGCAGCGTTGTGTCATACGAAAAGCGGTAGCCTTTTTGCAACTCCTGTAGATGTGGCTGCCGAAGGTACACGCGAAAAAGCCGAAGACGAATCATCACCAGCGCCACCGGTAAAAGGCGTGACGTTGCAAATAGTTCTTGAGAAAGTACTGCAAAATGCGTACGCGTCGAGCACTGAAGCATTTGCCGAGATATACACGATGCTCCTTACAATGTTTAAGGTACAAGTTCCCGGCACCATCCCTTGGATGTCAACTCACGATGCGTGCTGCAAGCTGGAAAAACTTAGACGTGATTCCAGTCTCATTGACTCCGAGAAGGCCCACGTATCATTCGGAGGCAAACACCTCCCGGCGGCCACTCCGGTGACGTTACCGCGGCAGCTACCTGCAAGCCTCGACTTTGTCGCAGAAATGCAGCCAGTATCGGGCCAGGAGAAGGCGCAATTCCGGGACACCCTCATGGCACTTCCTGCGGACTCTCATCTCGAGCTATTTATCGCATTTGAACATTTGGCTGTTTGGAAAAATTTGGGCAACGGTGAGATCGAGCTGGACGACGAAGCGACTAACTCGAATGTGTTCAGGTATGTGAGGTTTTTAATTGGCACATCGCTTCAGGGAGATGATGCGCTGGGCACAGCAACGGTACGTCAATCGTGATGGCGAACAGCAACTAAGTGTATAACAAATCTCAACTCTTATTAAGCGTTGTCTATAGACACATCTCTGCAGTCGAATAACTTCCAACGGTCGTCATGAATCGCACACGTTACGCGACTCCTAGCGTAGTGAGGGTAGTCGACGTCGTGTGACGAATATATGCATTGAAGAAATCCCCAAAGTCCCCAATATACATTGGCAGCGATGAAAAATGGCTGTATTTCCATGTATAACATGTCAACATCGGAGTCTGTGGCCGTGTCTCCGAGATAATGAGCAAGAAACCGTCGTTGCTCCACTTCATCCGGTATATCTTCCCAATTGCATTCGATGCCACAGTGCTCAATAAAGTGGTTTGCAATGTCGAAACCACGCTCCATAAAGCACGCATATTCGAAGTCCAGAAAAGTGGCTTCTTCTGTGTGTGTCAATATATATAGTTATGATCGAAAAAACTCACCCGGTCCGTTTATTATCACGTTTGCATTCAAAAGGTCACAGTGGCACAAAACAACGGGTGACCTTGCACTGTCGCAGTATGTTTGCATTCTTTTGATGTGCTGTAGTTTTGTGTTTGGATGGATGCTAATGGAGGGACTTACTTCTTTGAGTTCAGTGAGGCTGAACTTCCCCGAGATTATCGGCTCCAGCTGCCCTATGTTGGCCATGCAACTGTGAATATTTCGTTCGCGACCCTCGTTAAACCTACAGGTCATAAAACTTCCAGACGCTTGGCCACAGCGCGGATTCGAATTTCACTTCTCCATCCGCCGAGACGTGTGGATGCAGCTGCAGATACAGCTCACGCTGGCCTGGCAAGGTATGCAACCGGTGTAGTTGCCGTGCGATCAGATGGCTGTACTTGTAGCTGTGGAAATCAGCGTCAGACACCGCTTCGCCCGGAAGCCACTCCTCAATCTGACCTCCCTCGAAGTGAGCATACACGTGCTTAGCGAACCCCTGTAGACAAAGGTGATTTTGGATTATACGCTCGCGAGAACGGTCAATGAATTCATCGGTCTTGTGTCCAAATATCCGTACTGCCACGTGATTCCCATTCCTCGTGTTCGTCACTTTATGCAGAAGGTTTGTTAAACCGCCAATTATTTCATCCACAACCAGGTAGTCGAAGTCGGAAGCTTTTAATTCGCCCTTCAAATCCAGACCGCTCACATCGATGCCCAGCTGCACATTGGCCAGTCGCACACAGTAGATAACGATTTCATCATGCGTAAGATGTACTTCGACATCGCGAACTCCGTCGATGTTTGTAATGATGTCGACCACGTCAGAGGTCCTTATCATTGCTTTTGATGATGTTAAATCTACCATATTTGCAATAATGGTAGTTATATGAGTTAATTTAGAATAAACATAAGTTGCTGTATGTAATGAAGAGGACGATGCGGCTGAGGCGAGTACTGCCGACTGTTGAAGCGCCAACCTTGTACGACAGCCAAGACAAAAATTTGGGTAGATGGATGCTTATTATACGTAATCAAATAATGGTCCCCATCGTCCCGTCATTCAAAATAATAATGTCGTATTGTAAGATTATAATCCGTTGTGTTGGGTCAAGCACTCGTAGTATAAGGACGATAGCAACGCACTGACAGTCACAATTAAGCGCTTGTTTTACGGATGTGTGACATATCCTGCAATCTAATATTCCATTGTATTTTGGGGACAGTCTGGTGGTACACATTGTACGAAAAGTATTGTGTTGAAGTTGCATGGAATCTTCATAATAAATCGATCACATTATATAGTTTCTATCTAAAGAACATGTCTAGTTATCTATATAAACTAAAAAATGGGCAGTTTCAACCAGCTAGGGAATCTATGCCAATGTTGGTGGACTGAGTAGCAACGGCACACGCTACACACGGCCCTCGCACACTTGCCACCCATACTGGGCAAGCTCATTTTGCTATTCGATATCGAATAGGTTATGCTTATTAACAATGAAGCAATTACGTAGGCCTATGGCGGATATCGTGGAGCGGCCCAAGTACAGGGGCCGTCATTGCAGTCTGCCAACTCGAGCAATAATGGTAACACAGACCATTTAACCAATAATATTCACTAAACATCAGGGGCATTATTATGCGCTTCTGTTAATACATTGTAGTGTTGGTACACGGTTGTGCTGAGAAAGTATTGCTTTCCGATATACGACATCAAGCACTGGCCGCTTCAAGGTCCGTCAAAAACCTTTCGATCCTGTTAATAGAATAATGAGCAAAATCCGTGTGTATGGAAGAGTAAACGCATTGCAACAGTGCCCAAAGGCCCCAATACATATTGGGGATAATAAGGAATGGCTGAATTTCCTTAAACAATGCATCTATCTGCTCGTCTGCAGAAGCTTCACCTAAGTAAAATCGTATAAAATCGCGCTGTACATCCTCAGACGGCATCATTTTCGAATCAGAATCGTATGCCGCAAACTCCGAAAAGTGGTTTGCAATGTCGAAACCACGCTCCATGAAGCACGAATATTCATAATCCAAAAATATGACATTTTCTGAGTGTATAAGCATAGAGTGGAAATTACACCCACCTGATTCGATTACTATGTTGCCTTTTGAGAGATCTCCATGGCACAAAACAACGGGTGACCTTGCACTGTCGCAGTATGTTTGCATTCTTTTGATGTGCTGTAGTTTTGTGTTTGGATGGATGCTAATGGAGGGACTTACTTCTTTGAGTTCAGTGAGGCTGAACTTCCCCGAGATTATCGGCTCCAGCTGCCCTATGTTGGCCATGCAACTGTGAATATTTCGTTCGCGACCCTCGTTAAACCTACAGGTCATAAAACTTCCAGACGCTTGGCCACAGCGCGGATTCGAATTTCACTTCTCCATCCGCCGAGACGTGTGGATGCAGCTGCAGATACAGCTCACGCTGGCCTGGCAAGGTATGCAACCGGTGTAGTTGCCGTGCGATCAGATGGCTGTACTTGTAGCTGTGGAAATCAGCGTCAGACACCGCTTCGCCCGGAAGCCACTCCTCAATCTGACCTCCCTCGAAGTGAGCATACACGTGCTTAGCGAACCCCTGTAGACAAAGGTGATTTTGGATTATACGCTCGCGAGAACGGTCAATGAATTCATCGGTCTTGTGTCCAAATATCCGTACTGCCACGTGATTCCCATTCCTCGTGTTCGTCACTTTATGCAGAAGGTTTGTTAAACCGCCAATTATTTCATCCACAACCAGGTAGTCGAAGTCGGAAGCTTTTAATTCGCCCTTCAAATCCAGACCGCTCACATCGATGCCCAGCTGCACATTGGCCAGTCGCACACAGTAGATAACGATTTCATCATGCGTAAGATGTACTTCGACATCGCGAACTCCGTCGATGTTTGTAATGATGTCGACCACGTCAGAGGTCCTTATCATTGCTTTTGATGATGTTAAATCTACCATATTTGCAATAATGGTAGTTATATGAGTTAATTTAGAATAAACATAAGTTGCTGTATGTAATGAAGAGGACGATGCGGCTGAGGCGAGTACTGCCGACTGTTGAAGCGCCAACCTTGTACGACAGCCAAGACAAAAATTTGGGTAGATGGATGCTTATTATACGTAATCAAATAATGGTCCCCATCGTCCCGTCATTCAAAATAATAATGTCGTATTGTAAGATTATAATCCGTTGTGTTGGGTCAAGCACTCGTAGTATAAGGACGATAGCAACGCACTGACAGTCACAATTAAGCGCTTGTTTTACGGATGTGTGACATATCCTGCAATCTAATATTCCATTGTATTTTGGGGACAGTCTGGTGGTACACATTGTACGAAAAGTATTGTGTTGAAGTTGCATGGAATCTTCATAATAAATCGATCACATTATATAGTTTCTATCTAAAGAACATGTCTAGTTATCTATATAAACTAAAAAATGGGCAGTTTCAACCAGCTAGGGAATCTATGCCAATGTTGGTGGACTGAGTAGCAACGGCACACGCTACACACGGCCCTCGCACACTTGCCACCCATACTGGGCAAGCTCATTTTGCTATTCGATATCGAATAGGTTATGCTTATTAACAATGAAGCAATTACGTAGGCCTATGGCGGATATCGTGGAGCGGCCCAAGTACAGGGGCCGTCATTGCAGTCTGCCAACTCGAGCAATAATGGTAACACAGACCATTTAACCAATAATATTCACTAAACATCAGGGGCATTATTATGCGCTTCTGTTAATACATTGTAGTGTTGGTACACGGTTGTGCTGAGAAAGTATTGCTTTCCGATATACGACATCAAGCACTGGCCGCTTCAAGGTCCGTCAAAAACCTTTCGATCCTGTTAATAGAATAATGAGCAAAATCCGTGTGTATGGAAGAGTAAACGCATTGCAACAGTGCCCAAAGGCCCCAATACATATTGGGGATAATAAGGAATGGCTGAATTTCCTTAAACAATGCATCTATCTGCTCGTCTGCAGAAGCTTCACCTAAGTAAAATCGTATAAAATCGCGCTGTACATCCTCAGACGGCATCATTTTCGAATCAGAATCGTATGCCGCAAACTCCGAAAAGTGGTTTGCAATGTCGAAACCACGCTCCATGAAGCACGAATATTCATAATCCAAAAATATGACATTTTCTGAGTGTATAAGCATAGAGTGGAAATTACACCCACCTGATTCGATTACTATGTTGCCTTTTGAGAGATCTCCATGGCACAAAACAACGGGTGACCTTGCACTGTCGCAGTATGTTTGCATTCTTTTGATGTGCTGTAGTTTTGTGTTTGGATGGATGCTAATGGAGGGACTTACTTCTTTGAGTTCAGTGAGGCTGAACTTCCCCGAGATTATCGGCTCCAGCTGCCCTATGTTGGCCATGCAACTGTGAATATTTCGTTCGCGACCCTCGTTAAACCTACAGGTCATAAAACTTCCAGACGCTTGGCCACAGCGCGGATTCGAATTTCACTTCTCCATCCGCCGAGACGTGTGGATGCAGCTGCAGATACAGCTCACGCTGGCCTGGCAAGGTATGCAACCGGTGTAGTTGCCGTGCGATCAGATGGCTGTACTTGTAGCTGTGGAAATCAGCGTCAGACACCGCTTCGCCCGGAAGCCACTCCTCAATCTGACCTCCCTCGAAGTGAGCATACACGTGCTTAGCGAACCCCTGTAGACAAAGGTGATTTTGGATTATACGCTCGCGAGAACGGTCAATGAATTCATCGGTCTTGTGTCCAAATATCCGTACTGCCACGTGATTCCCATTCCTCGTGTTCGTCACCTTATATAAAATGTTCGTGAAGCCGCCAGTGATTGCATCCACAACCAGGTAGTCGAAGTCGGAAGCTTTTAATTCGCCCTTCAAATCCAGACCGCTCACATCGATGCCCAGCTGCACATTGGCCAGTCGCACACAGTGGACAACGATATCGTCATTCGTCGTGGGATATGGTTGACACACCTGCTCAAGTGAAACGGCTTGTTCAGACATGTTTGCCATTTCTATAACGGTTTTCATTGAATCGCCTCTAGGAGTAGGTGACTCACAGTGAACAGTTGTCTGCATACAATTTGTTCAAAGATGTCTTTCTCATTACTACATATTATATACAAACACTTCAGTGCTATTTTGGAGCTATGGATCATAAGTAAGCACGCATATACAAATACAATCCAACCGTACCTTAACAACATTTGCTTGCTTTCTCGTGGAATAGCAATTTTCCTGTTTCTATCAATTTTATTCGATGCCCAACAACTTTTTATAAATGTGTATCGTTTGTACTGTAGGGTGTTGTCGTTGTATACATGGGTGTGTAACCACCAGTGTGTACGTTTGGGAGACGCCTGACTGATGAACAAAGTATACGCAATAAAATGCGTCATTTTTTGTTATTAGGCATCTAGTGGCCGTCAAATGAGCTCACTTATTCATGCTACCAGGTAGACACGACTCGGCTATTATACTTGGTCCCATTTACCAATACACATAAATTATACAGCTGTTTTATGTTGTATATTTCTTCATTAAGACATCTTAAGGGCTGTCCATATTATTCACAGAGCTCCTGGTCTCCTATTTGGAATGTCATTTGGCGTCGGTATTAGATGCCGCCTACCGCTTCTGAATCATCGGAAACGGCCGAGAGTAGTTTGATCTTGAATGGACTGCTCGTTGTGAAATCCGGAGTGTACGTTGGAGATTTGGATTCAGCCTCTCTTAACATGAGGCGCAGTGCCCGCTGAGCGGAACGTGCCAAAAAACAACGCACCAACGTACTTGCATTATCTCTGTAGCCAGCAACTCCGACGCAGATAAGCGGAATCTCATATCGTGGAACATCATAGACCTGAAGAGCGCGTTTAGCTCCGAGGAATACGTGCTCGGGAGGTCGGGTATCTGAAAAAAATTATGCACACGTGATGTGATCTCACCGGCGTGCTTTTTATATGCCTCACAAGCTGTTGCATGCCGCCGACACCGTCGAATGGAGTTTTGAAGGTTGAAAGCTCGTATGTCAGACATCCGAGTGCCCATATGTCTGATGGCCAGCTGTACTCCTGCCCCTGCGCACATATTAAAGCCGTGCTGTACTGCTTCTTTGTGAACACATGTGATTACGCAGTTGCAAAGAATGCCTGCGGAGTAACTCAATGACCTTTTGAAAGATGCTCTCCGACAAACATGCACCCGCAATTAGATATTCTGCGGTGATGGTGCTGTTGCCTGACTTACATTTATAAGCTCTGGACTGAAATAGTAAGGAGTCCCAATGACCGTCTTTGTGTGATCCGCAGTTGCGCTTAGAATCTTTGAAACCCCGAAATCACATAGCTTTAGTGACTTGTCGGAGTCTATGAGTACGTTCAACGATTTCAAGTCTGATTGGCATTGAAACATTGTTGTCATATTCCCGTACCGCGATGCAAAATGTGGCGTTTGTGGAGGTACTTCAGAGCTGATAGTAGCTGACCAAGCCATTTCAAAATGCGCTCCTCACGAATGGGTTCATTGTGCTTCCGTTTTTGAGCGATATAGCGGTGGAGATCACCGCCTGTTACGCATATACATTGTAAATAACCACATGATACCTTTGCAGTAATGAGTTAGTATATAGAGAACATTCCCCTCGAGGTAGCTCCCCAGGTACTTGACAATAAAAGGATGGTTTATATTAGCAATAAGCTGTGGCATTGTGATAAAATCTCATTCAAACTCAATTGCCTTGATTTCATTCATGCACAATTTCCGCTCCACCTCTGAGAGAGAGGTAACGTCGATCCGCTTGCGTACGACGCTGGGACAGGTGCTTAAGCCTCTATTGCTCTATCAAATACCTATTATCGAATGCGTCAATTAGCAGGCTCGTAGTCCCATATGCGCCTTTCCCAAGTTGCCTAATCTCCTTGAAGTGCTGATTTACCGCCTCCCTAGTTAGCGGCTGCACGCTGTCACAGGCGCAGGATGTGGTCACCTACGAGGTTGTAGGGAAGTGTAACAACGCTTGCACTCATGGGAGCCGTTAGGTTTGAACCTTGAATGCTAGCCTGTGTACACCGCATTTCAGCTGCTTCGGGGCAATTAGAAGGTTTCTTTAGTGAAACAAGTCTGCAGAATATGCAGGTAGCATCCCATGCAGATATAGATATGGGCGGCGTGGAAATGCTAGTTCGCAATGCTAAATTTTACGGAAGACTATAATTATGTAAGACGTGTTTTAAGGGTGCGTTATGCACGCTGACGACGCAGATTCACCGTGGCACATGTTTTGCGGGTATCATATGTGCCCAAAATTCAAAAAAGCAGTGGTATATCCGACATGTCTCCATAACGACCACGTAATCTATAATTGTCCGTAGAATGGGTGGAGTGCTTCCTTTCCTTTGTGCTGTGTATATCGCAGATGTCACCGTTGCCCAAATCGCAGCCCGAGTTCTCCAGACAGTAGAAGGGCTGTCCACACGGGCTTGGCACATCACCAGCATCACTTATAGTAGAAAGCGCGCGCAAATCAAAGGGTCTGCGCTTTATATTCCTTGTCTTGCGCGTTACAATGCCTTGGGTAAAAGTCTCGTGATCCTGAATCGTCGATGATCCCCACTTTTTATCCAAAACGAGCTGATTTAGTTGTAGTTTTACTTTTTGGACCTCTTCTATCCGGGTTTTATCTTCATTTTGTGGCTGAAATGGGTCCAAAAGGTCGCCCAATAATTGTAACAAGTCAGAATTTATACGGTAAACCCTGTCACGAGGCGAAAATTCTCGCCTAGGTCTGTAGATGCATTTGTACGAATGCCGTGCCGTCTCTTTGTTGGCATACGGACGCAGCACCAGCTCGTAATTTAACCACTCTTTAGAATTGTCTACATTTTCCATGGGCGTGTCTGATTCCATTGGTGAAGTGGGTTGTGTCTCAAAGGACGACGATTGCTGTGTTATATCATTTAAAGATCGATGTAAATCCTGGAATGGTACATGAAGGTTCTCGTTCATAGGTACGATAGGTACGTCTACATCGCCATTCTCTCTGGAACTCGATAGGATGCCCTCCAGGCCGTCTTCCTGAGTAAGTGGACTATCAGCAGAAACCTCACTTCCCTGCAACTCATTGATCGATTCGGATCCATGGCTGCCAAATATTTCTTGAGGTAACGGTACATTCTCCGCGTCGAGGTAACTCCACGCATCAGTAACCCCGTGCAACTTTGTCACAGCCTTGGCGCTGGTCTTGAAATTCGCCCACATCGCTATTGCACGCCTAAACTGGTCCAGCGATTGCTTTTCGTCTGTGATACCTCCGGAAGAGAACCTCTGCATGCCGGTCGCCGCAGCATTATCGTCTGGTTTTGCTACATGGGCAGGCTGCTTGATGGTAGTCAGCTGTTTCCTCACTACCTGGAACTCTGTTGCCACATCTCCCGATTGTATACTAGCTACTGAACGAATGCTCTCCGGATTGTAGGGAATTAGTTGACCAAGAGTATCCCATTCCAACGCCACGCGGTTAAAAGCGCCATAACTGATCTCAGGGATGGTCAGCAATCTGTCTTCCAGCTTATCGTCGCACACCTTCGTGGCACCTACGCGTTTGGGCGTCGTAACAGCAGCCTCCTGTTCATCCCTGCTCTGGCAAGCACCCATAACGAAATATCATGGGAATGTAGACAGTGTGCAACCAGCAAGGCTATAACGCAATAGCTTGTTAATACGGCACTAGGCGTGCAAATAAACAATCAATTGATGAATTTCGTAGTGCAGTTTTCGAAATTTAGGCCCATGAAACGCGATGTGTCGCTGAAAGCGCAGATAAATGAACGCGTTGCCAACGGTAGGTAATGGCGAATACACTCACCTGCGATACACTACTACTGCACATCCTATATACATTCCATTTATGTACAGAAAGCATGAGACTTATGCGTGTAGGGTGTGTACGGCATCACCTTCTATTGCCTCCCAACGTACTCCGACGCCCACAAGCAGACGGAAAACCACCATGTATTACGATTCTATGTAGGCGCAAAATCTCGATTATTGTGTCAGTTTTAGCTGTGTTGCAATTGCGCGCGGGGCAGCCTTCGGCTCAAGGGGCAGGTAACGCGGGTTGTCGGCGTTTCCTTCGTCTTGCCTGCCCAAGTTACTACTGCCCTCAGACGGCGCATCACTTCGTGTATATGGACCGCCCCGAAACAACGCCTGTAACATCGACATGTGCCTACCCTTTAATGGCTCATCACAAACTCGATTTCTAATCGTGAAATCTACAAGATGCAGCCATTACCGGGCCACCGATGCAACGCAAGCCAATAACGCATCGCGCACTTATAACCTCTGGCCCCATGGGTGATAGAGATATTACCATCCGATGTTTAGAAGCTTGACATCCGGTAACGCCGCAAAATTCAACGTGGCGGCCGATTAATTGCGCCAGCAGTACCTACAAGTCGACAAAGGTACTCTTGTGGTAACGGCAAAAGCACAAAACCACAGTGAACGATCTTGAGCACGACATCTTCAAATGCAGGCCGAGTATCATGTTGAGCAGATAGAGGCCTCAAGACGCCTGTTGGAGGACGCGCATCGCCTCCTGTATCTTGTCTTTCAGCTGCTGCTCATTGTCCAACAAGGCCATGAGTTCCTGGTTGTCCATCTCCAGCATCATTCCGGTGATTTTCCCAGCCAAGTCGGGGTTTTCGCGGGCAACAATAGGGAACAAGCGCTCGCCAATCATTTGCTTGTGCATGGCTGCGCCGTCAATGGCCGGCTGTGATGGGGGAGGCGGCGAGGCGGGGGATCCATTCGGCATCTCTGTACGGTTGCGAGCTTGAGCAGTAAATTTAAATCCGCTCAGAGGCACCTGCTTCACGGGAGCACGACGTCCCTGCGGTAGCGCGTGTGGGGAAGCGGCGCCTCGGCCGTGGACGATGGGTACAGGCGCCATCATGCGCATACCACGCGGGCCCACACTCATCGGTTGTGAGGGCATCGACGGGCGGAATCCTACCTGATTGTAGTACACATGTGGAGGCATGTCCGGCGGGTATAGCGGCATATAACCTGGGCGATCTCCATACTGCATCAACTCGTTCTGCCGACTGCGTTGTTGCATACGGCTAGCACGTTGCTCGCGCTTCTCGGCAAGACCAACATACAGCGGCTTGTTCTTCACAAGCTTCAAATGCATGCCCGCAACGGCCTTCGTAGCCTCGTCAGGGCGCGAGAAGCAGACGAAACCGAAGCCGCGACTAACACCGTTAGGGTCACGCATAACCTTCGAAGAAGTCACTGTTCCATACTGTTTGAAAAGGTCGCGAAGGGCAGCATCGTCGATGGCGTCATCAAGGTTTTTAAGGTAAAGGTTGACTCCCAAAAACTTGTTACGATGGTCCTGAGCACTCGAGTCATATTGGGCCTTCAGCATGGCGTAGCGCCTCGCTTTGCCCATGTGCTGGCACACCATAAGAGGCTCTTCCATACCTTCGAGTTTCACACCATTCTGGGCCTCCATAGCAGCCTTTGCCATAGAGGTGTCAGAATAATTGACAAAGGCGAAACGCCGTCCCTTGTCGTCGGTCTTCAAAAGCATGCTAGTTATTTCACCATATTTGCTGAAAGTCTCGCGCAAATCATCCTCCGTCCATGTGTCGGGGAAATTGCGCACGTATAGGTTTGTGAACACATCACACAGCGTTGATTCGCGTTCGTAACGGTGCACAAAGGGAGCGACACTAACCTGGCTGTTGCCTATAAGCATGCCATTCACCTTCTCTATGGCTTCTTTTGCGCTCTCCTCGGTGGTGTAATGTACGAATCCATAACCCTTGGAATTGCCAAGTGCATCCATGGCCACTTTGCAGGACAATATGGTGCCGAAGTGGCTGAAGGTGTCGTACAGCGCCTTGGTGTCAATGGCTTTGTCCAGGTTCTTCACAAAGATGTTACCTGTGCCACTTTTGCGCAAGCTGGGGTCCCTGTCGCTCCACATAATACGTGCAGGATGGCCCTTGATGTCGATATAATTTAAGCACTCCAGCGCAGTCTCAGCATCCTGTACATTGTAGTAGTTCACGTAAGCATAGCCCAAACTTTTCCGTGTCACGCTGTCACGGCAAACACGTATAGAAGCCACAGGACCAACTCCGTTGAAAACCTCGTACAACATCGCTTCCGTCACCTCGGGGAGGAGGTCGCCCACGTAAAGACTGGCAGAGTTGAACGAACTTCGTCCGCTTGGACCCTGAAAGACGCCCACAGGCATCACCCCGTTGATTGGCCTAGGGGCCACTGGAATTGGTTTTGTGGAAGCCATCCTACCCTAAAAGGTATCGCGATAAACCTGCCAAATAGAGGTTGAAAAAACAAACCACACAGCAGCGGTCCAAATAACGGACCTTTGCAAAGAAAATTTCAGATAGACACAGATCCTCCGAATAACGGAAGAGCGCAATATGGAAGATCCAAAAGAGGATACTGCACCACTGGAAGAATGGCTGCGCAGAAATGAGGCGATAAGTATTGCTGCAAGCTACACGAGCCACAGCTTTTAACTGGTATGGCAGACGTTTTCCAATTTTTGCCCTTTTCGTGACGCGTTACCCGCGGAACAGAAGACCGTTTGATCAGCTGTAAAACGGAAGCTTCACTACACCGGAGGCAACCCGATCGCGCCACAGGGTCCACCGAACGCGCGACGATACACTCGGCAATTCTTGCACGTAACCACTAAAATTTCGCGCCCCGGAGTATCTTGTTTCTGCCTATGTAGCGCTAGGTGATTATATGGAGGTGCCATATTGGGGGTGGGGAAAATGTCGGGCAGCAATCTCACAGATGTGCGCGACGCTGTTAACATACGTGCCTAAGCGAGATGCCGAGATAAGACATAACACACAGGGCACCAAATATTACAGATTATTTTCGGTGTAATTATGCCGATTAGAATCTGCTTCTTTAGCGGGGCGTCTAGTGGCGCGTAACGCCATCTGGTATAGTCAGTCCTTCTTACCGCGCCCTCATCATGTATGTTAAGCTGATGTGTAGAGTAGATTTCAAATGATTGCTCAGGAATAGCTGCAAACCGGATAAGGCGGACAATCTTGAGTATTGTCTGCGCAACCTTGTCGCCCTGGATGCTACGCCTGTAAGCCCGGACAGTTGCGAGGCTGCAACGTGAGTTCACGATTCTAAATGGCAAATGGCACACAGGCTGCTAGAACTCTCTAGGGACAACACGCAGCTTCTAATTAATCGCATTTTTTCACTACCTAGGATCTCCACGCCGGATGGTGTGTTCGCATCGCTGCCCAAAGATGATGCGATCACCATGCCACGTATGTACCCGCTACCCAAACCCAAACCGAAGACAAGGTGGCAGCTTTTCGCGGGTGAGTCACGACGATGTTTACTTGTATAACAACGTGCAGAGGCACGCGGTATAAAGAAGCACAAGCGCTCTCGCAAGGTGTTCGACAAGACAACCAACGATTGGGTTCCCAGATGGGGATATAAGTCCATAAAGAAAGGGCCAGCGGCAAACCCTCCCATTGTGGAAGTCGGGGATGCGGATTGTTAGTTTTAGCTTTATGCGAGCGTTGAAACATATCTTGCAGATGCCCAGGGTGTCGACCCATTCGAAAATGCGAAGCGGAGCAAGAATGTCCAAAAAACACGGCAGAAACTAAGAGAGTTGCGAAACAAGTCGGAGGCGAATGCGCTCGTGAAAACACAAAGCACACTCCAACGGGCGAAATTGTCTACACGCAGCTTTGGCGAGTTCGACAAAAAGTCCGAGAGTGTCGGCGGCAAGCCTCGCATAAAGCGCAAAGTTGCAACGGTTTCGCTCGTTGAGGAGCGCAAAAGTTACTTGGCAAGCATCAAGAAACTGAATATTGGCAAATAGACTGTCCGCGTCAAATATTCTGGGATGCTGCCTTCTATCGCAGTGGAATTAAGCACCATATTTGGAACTCATTATCACCTTCAATATAATGGTGTTGTTGTTACTGACGCTGTAATGTCGTGATGTGTTATAGTAGTGTGGTCGCCGTTGTGCATCGACTCTGGCGCCTTCCACCACGCGGCACTATTCGTCACCAAACATCGCTCCTGTAATACGCGATGGGTACACACATCAAACATAGGTTATGTCGCACAGCGATTGCAGCTGTTGGGTCCACGTTCACTACCGCGTTGGCGCCACCGCGTTACACCACCTTGAAGACTTTAGGACGTGGCTACGCGAACGCTAGATTGGCAACGCCTAATGCGTTCTACTGCAGTTCGCACTTGAGGCGATTTAGTTCAAAGGGTTCGGAGTCGCCAAAAGAGTCACAGCCGGAAAAAGAGGAACATAATCAAGCCGATCAAACAAATCACGAAAACGCGGGGGCTGAAGATTCACCTGTCAATCTAGAAGAGGTAGGACATAAACTAATGTCTGTCATTCGCGCAGCAGGTGGAAGAACTTCAGATTAAGCTAGAGGAAGTAACTGAAAAATTAAAGGAGTTGCAGCTCAAGTACCGCATAAGCCTAGATAACTGTGAACAAATTGAAAAAATTGCTGCGAAAAAGCTTCACAATGCCAAACTATATGCAATAACCCAGTTTGCTAAGGATATGCTGGACGTGGCAGATGCGTTCGAACTGGCGTTCAAGTCACTGGGAACTCAAAAGGATGCAGGATTGAACGCCGAATTCATCGAAGGAATCCGACTCACTGAATCACAACTGCACAAGACGTTCGAGAAACACGGCATTAAACGCTTCGAAAGTCTAGAACAAAAGTTCAACCCTGAGGTGCACGAAGCCGTGTTTGAGATTCCGGAGGAAAGTGTCGACAGGAATACGATCCTTCAAGTTATTTTCAACGGGTACACGATAAACGATCGCATTCTAAGGGCTGCTAAGGTCGGAGTGTCACGTAAGTAACATATCTGCACGGATATGTTGCCGACATCAGCACCTCATGGTACGCACGTTCACTGGGTGCCATATAACTGCGTTATAAACGTAAAACTTTCCCATGAAGAATTCGTAGTCAATTGGTTCTACAATTGTAGCAGTATTTTAACTTGTCTTGCGCGTAGCGGTCACTGCACCTCTACGACATTTGCTAAGACTCTTGCTGTTCCAGTGCAATACCAATGTCAAACAATCATGTCGAACTTCTGTGGATAGCTCATTTCGTGAGGTTTGCCATCGTTGAACGACTGAGTATAATCGCGACCCGTCCCGACGAGGCGACGCTGTTTGGCATACAGCCAAGGATCCACGCCCACACGATCTACGTCGTCCACGGAGTGCTCCGTTAGAATGGTTACTTTTGCACCAGGATATACAACGTTCAGAAGGTACGACAAGTATGCTTTTGTGCCATATTTCTCTTTCAAAGGTCCGCAGTACTTGAATGCAAAATGACCGCCCTTGGCGCCAAGGAGCTCCAACACGCCAGAACCGTTGTCATTAAAAGTACTGTAAACAGTTTTTATCTTTCCAAACTCATTAACATCGATATCAACATGTCCACACGCGCTCTCGACTGGCGTGTAAACGTCCTGGGTGCGACCTAAACCTTCCTCGGGGTAAAATGGCAGCAAACCTGAAAAAGGTACAAACATCCTGAACACGTGATTATCTATAAGAGTCGATTCACATACTGATTCTGCGCAAGACGGTTGGCGTATTCGTACGTCAATGAGAGGTTCACCTTGGTAGGGCCCCTTTCGAAGGCCTGATTTATTTTACGACGGCTTCGGCGATCAGGACCATCATCGACTATCGGGTAACACCATATCATGCGAAGGTTGGATGTTCGACGGTGGCGACCAACAAGGAAACGAAGGGACACAAAACTCGACACACGCTGGTCACGGAACAGTGGCCTTCCGTGAACCGAAGTCAATGAGTTGGGATTCCACGCGCGATAGCAAAAGGCAGTTACCGTAGCACACAATGCTAAAGTTGAAATATGAATAATAAAAACGCCGCAATTCGGTTGCATCAGATAAAAGACATATGCCGGGTCCCCTTAAAAAGTGCGACGGATGGGGTGTTACAGCCGACAAATCGTACAAAAACGCACCAGCCGTACGATGTACGTGATATGTAAAATCGCACCGCTCTATATATATACCGAACACAACCGCTTCTCTCCGTAAAAGTAACGTTGAGAGAAACGGCTCAAAGCAAGAGGCAGCACTGGCCAACAAGACCCAAAACCAGAACAGGCCGCGCTAACTATTTGTATCTGTGGTCAAAGTAGTGGAAGAATCGGTATTCAACATGAAGCTCGTACGCTTCCTCATAAAACTCGCCAACGAATCCGTTACCGTCGAGCTCAAGAATGGAACTGTTCTGACAGGTACCGTAATGGGCGTGGACATCTCTATGAATACACATCTGAAAAATGTAAAAATTGTCAACAAGGATAGCGGATCGGGGACTGAGCCGAACTTCGTTCTACTGGATCACCTAACCGTGAGGGGAAACAACATCAGATACTTCATCCTTTCTGACAGCCTTCCACTAGACACGCTGCTTATTGACGATGCCCCAAAGCAGAAACCAAGCAGAGTTCGACCAGCAATAGGACGAGGGCGAGGGCGCGGTCGCGGTGGGACTGGCCGGATGAGGGGACGATACACCGGAGGACGAAGATAAATCTTCCCTGCCAGACATGCCAATGAAACTAAAACTGGCACTTAATTGTATGACTTTATCGCCAATGCTGAATGTGCGAAGATGTTGATACGAAGAATCTCCTAGCGCGCGTTCCGTAGGGGTGTGTAGCCTACCAACGTCGGTGTGCCACAAATTCCCGGTAGTATATCACTATTTTCACAATCAGCGGCGTGTTGTTTTTGATCATTATGGTAAACGTTGCCGGCAAGAAGTAGGGCCTATTGGTACTACTACCTGAGTCTATCGAAGAACCCACGATTTCTCTTCCATTTCAAATACCTTCTGCCGTAAGGCGACAAAAGTAAAACTGTTAAGAATCTTGTGTCTAAATAGACGTTGAATATGAGATCAGGGAGATTGGCTGACTTCGTAGCAACCGGCTTATGCCGCACGTACGCGGTTCTGCGCGGCCTTCCACCGTCGTCCCATCGCATTTCGCAGCCAGCACATGCTTACACGGCAACCCATTGTAGCAGAAGATTCAGCTCTGATTCATTCGTACAGTCGGTCATAAATCAGGTCAAGCGTGACCTGGAGAAAGACGAAAAACTACAGGAAGCCATAAAGTCACTTGAAGAAGCCAAAATCACGCAGAAAGTGAACCGTTTTGGAGAAATGTTAAACAGATCTAAAGATATATGTGGTCATTATGTAAGTAGGGTTTCTGAAACGAGCAGCAAGTCGAGAGCAGTTCAGCTCGCCATAACCTCAGGTGGGTGATAAAAACCAGTTGTCAATAATATGCAGCAAAAAATGTTGTTTCTGGTATAAACAAGGTGGCAGAAATGATACACGATGAACAAAGGGAAGCAAAGGAACTGCGAGCCAAGTGGAAACAAAGGGTTGTCAAACAGAGGTGGGTAACGCAGAACAGCAAAACGCGATTATGCCGCATGCAACCAACTTAAAGCGCATCAGACAAAATTCTGACTTAAACAACACTCAAGAAGCAACGCTAGGGTTGCACGGTGACCGGAAACTGGATGGTGAAGAAAATTGCGTAGAGGACGCACTTGTGTTGTCTAAGGAGTCTGCATGGGAACGCTTTGGGAGCCGTCTACGCGATATGCCTTTCCTCACAAACTTCTTCGGTGAGTGGGCATAAATGTGATTATAAGCTAGCAGAAAATCCTTTGTTTGAGCAGCTATTCGGAAAGTCGACTTTAGCGACAGCCATCAGAGATATGAAGCAGCTAGACCCATACTTCAACATTCCAGAACTCATGGAACTTGTGGAGCACGTTGTTGCCCCGCATATAGTTCAATGCTATCTTACTGGTGATGACGAGTCTCTGAAAATGGTACGCCATTAGCACTTCCCAACGAATTGCGCAGCATTGTGGAGATGTTGCCTTCAACGTACTAAGCGCCTCCATACGGGAGAGATCCCTGCAAAAGCTGGAACTTGATCATAACATCCTTATTTTAAAAGATGTGGAACTGAAGGGTAACTCGTATTTCGGTTCGTCACAATGACTTCAGGTGGCGTTACAATGCCTGGCAATGATCCGTGGTTCATTTTCAATTTCACTACCCAACAAATCAACTGTCTTAGAGATCGCAATGGAAACGTAGTTGCAGGTATGGCTCAATGACTTTAAAACATTGGTGAAACAGGTGCAATTGACGATATTAGAGAAGTTGTATATTCAATGGCTCTGTCGAGGCACCCAGACTTGTCGCAAGATGCTCTAGAATATCCATACATGGTTTGTGCCTTCTATGTGCAATACGAGCATGCGTATAGGTGCACGAAATGGCGATTGTTGGCAACAGACCGTGCTGGTAGCTATTGAGTAGCTGGAACACTAGCATTCCTACAATCTACTTTAATTCGGGCAAATTCCACATACTTATTTTGTTGCTCATATTCCATCTGACGTTCAAATTGTTGGCGAGGCGTTGGAGTCATACGCCGATTAATAGCCACAGACACAACCTCGATGATACCTGCAGTACATTGAGTGCAAGGCAATTGTAATGGCGATGTACTACAAAACGCTATATCAAATCAGACCATATCTTATATTGCATTCATGCATGCTTATTCTACTATATAATCAAAATACCATGAACATATATTTCTTTCTAACGACAGGTTCATAACTCACTCAGCAACAACCCTCCGATCACTGCATTGCGCGCAGCATGACCCATGCCACCTCGCAATGCCAACGTGCCACCAGTTGCAAACCCACTTGCGATAGCATTCCAATGATCTTCTTTTCCCCGCAGGTACTGGAAGGTGCAATCATAGGTAGAGAAAGTACCTCCCCAAACGGCGAAGTTACCGCCAAGAACCGGAGAGCGAGCACGAGCGCTGTAAAAGGCGTTCTGTAATATGACACCTCTAGGTGAATTGCGAGCTCCTTTCACAAAGTGCCAGAGGAATCCACCTACACATCCCATACCGAAAGCACCGCCCATATCTTCCACAATCCGATCGGGGCACGGTTCACGGGAAACATCTCGACCTTCCATGATTAATAGAGTATATCAAGATTTATAGTTTACGGCTAATCGATGGTTAGTCGAAGGCATACGATGGTATCCCACAGTCCAATCCACGCCTAGGGTACACTACGACGACCCTGGACTAGTCCGGGTTCCTTAAGGAATATCACATAATGTTATGAGCCGAATTCTAAATTGATTTTTATTCCAGTAGAATAGGGGCTTTTACCATGTTTGGCAATCACACAATTTGTTACGAAATGAAGATAGATGTCTATGTTTGCAATGGATGGAGAGTCATCTTTTTCACGGTTATTCATATCTAGACATGTCTCTACCTGCTATATAGTGAATTAAAACGTGGGTATCTATTGATGTGTATGCCATTGAAGGGATGTCTGACTCAAATTCTGAGGACGCTGCTGCAGAGCCGAGGTCCAAACTCATAGAATTGATTGAGCACTATTCTTCTACCGATTCGGATACCAGGTGCTGCGATCTTAGAAATCATATTCTAGTGGCAGTAGTGAATTCGAGACACCTAGAATTCGTTGAGATAGTGGTACGCACTTACAATAATGTATGTTTATACATCAATGCAACTAACATACGTCAGGAAAACGATCCTCTGCGCAAAAGAAACATCTCTCGCCTGCTTTATGATGTTATTTCGCGTACGGAAAACCTATTTTCAGCAGAATGCCTAATGCCACTCCTGAAAAAATGTTTGACGGTAACAGTATGTACAAACTTTGCAATATTGGCAATTCGCGCCCTATTAGAGCGTCATGTCAAAATAGAAGATGGCGCCGTATATGTTCTGAATATTATAGAACCCGTGTATGATGCTCTAGTCGAACAAAATATAGCATCAATGGCGCAGCAGCCGCGCATGGATTTTTTATGGATAACTCATTTTATGCTACAACTCTGCAGGTCTATAAATCGCAGCTTTCAACAGAACTTTGTAACACGCTTCTGCAGCGCAGTGTTTGGAGAAAAGGATCCTCGGAATTTGTTGGTACTTTTCGATCTTGTTGCGAAATTGTGCGAAGACGATCTGACCGATCATGATGTGGACCTTCTGGCTAAACTCTGCACACCTTACTACCCAATACAGTTCCTACCTCCGAAAAACGATCGAATAGGCATCACACCATTGGAACTAAAACAACGACTCCTGCGAGTGTTCAAGGCATGCAGCAAATTCGGACCGCACGCCGTGGAGGTGCTAATAGATTGCCTTTATTCCGGTTATGGTACAGAAGATGAACACACCGTTGTTTTGGGTGATACATTGTGGTTCATCAAAGAGTGCGCACCTATATACGGGGTCCAATGCTATTCTGCTAACCTTGAATCCTTCGTAGAAGTGCTCATTTCGGAATTTTTTACGGACACAGCTCCCATTGAAAAAGATAATAATAGATGTCTGGACGATATACTTGGGGGGTTGATTGTGGACACTAATTTAGATGAATTGGAATACCCCCTTTTCGCCGTAACGGAGGCAAATAAATTGGGGAAACTGTATTATGAGGGTTGGAAGTATGTATCGAAGCAATTAAAAATATTCGGTTATATTATAAAGGTATATATGGATGTTGTAGATGTTTATACGTGCAAAGAGGTAGTAATCAAGCTGTTACGCGTACTGAAAAATAACTTCACTGCCGACAACAGCGGAATCGCAGATGCCAATGGATACGCCGCATACTTTTTGGATATGCTCTGTGGTATGCCAAAGTACCATGATCTTCTACTTGAGTACGTTTTCGTGCCTTTGTGCAATGATATCATTGTGATGTTTGCCGAGTTTAAAAAGGGGCTAAGCTCGGAGGAATCTTTATGCAAACAATTGGCGCTTATGCTCCCTGTTATTACAAACACTTTGTTTGCAAAGCTTGTGTCGAACTGTATTCTACCCATTCCAACCATTTTCGCCAAACAAATCATAGTTGGTGCGCTATGCTCTTTACAGTTGAATGACAATGCAATATTCGGTCGAGGGTTAAAGCTTCTAACATTGGCAGTGTCAGCATCTAAGTCTTCAATGTTGGACCATGTTTTAAAGTACTGCTTGAAAGAGTCACAACTGTTCAGTAAGAAACGCGTGTGCCGTGATGGAATGGGCGCACGACTTTATGCAGATGCTTTGTTAGCAATGTTGAAATCCCATTATGAGCACTGCAATCCTATAGTAGAACAGATTAGATTGATGATGGATTGTATACTGAGCAGCAGTGATATTGAAGAGTGCCTTCTGACATACTTTTGCAACGATATAGATCTGTCACATGAAATGGCCGAGATGTGCGCGATTACGTTAAATAAAAGCACTGATATGGCGCTGGTTAGGAAAATATTTACCGCATATTGCAGATGCCTTAGATACGTCTGCCAAAATCCGGAATCGAAGATAGGGCACATTACCTTCGTCTTTTCTCTCGCAATTACGGCGAACAGAAAGACGCTATGTACGTTAATGAAGGAAGAGTTCTCATTCAATCAATTATTAGGATACTACAAAATGTTCTCCGAGAAAGAGGGATGTGGAAATTTATCTCAAAGTGTTTTGAAGCTAACCACTTTTATAATACCTCAATATATGTCTATGACATTAGATCACTCGAATGCAGATATCGCAAGGCAACTTTGTGAAGACGGGTTGATATTTTTGTTGCCACTATTGTTCAATCATATAACCAATGATGCTGTGAGCGTGATAATAGAACATGCAAAGCGTGATGAAATCAAAATTATGGAGTTGGAATCCATAGGTTGGCTGCTGAAGAGTTGGGTTAAGCAGGATTGTAATAAAAGTGAGGCGTTAAGTCTTTTTTTTGAATCATCGAGGGATCATCTCACTGATCAGAATGCCATTGAAAATTCAGGATGTGCCACAAATGCAGAAGAAATCTCGAATATAAGGTGCAGGATTTTATTGTCGGCAGGATTGCCGCCAATCATACTTTCATATCTCTTGGAAGACGTATCATACCAAACGCTGGTGTCACGTGATATGAAGTCACATCTGTTGTCGGTTCCGTCCAGCGTAATCAGTGCCGCAGTCTCGCGAATGTATCCCTTCCAAATGGAACATATGTCGGCAACACTGGAGTACCTTGGATATAACCCTGCAAGCTTGATTGGCACATCAACCACATATTCAGATGTGTTCTTTGTTGACGGCACGGAGGTGGCCCTGGTGCCTCCCATTACTAGGATGCAGTACAAAATCTTGAGGGCTTACTACTGCAACTCACGCACACCAGATGCAAGTGTGGCAAACTACCTCATCAATGTTTTGAGCGAATCGAGAGACAACCTAGCCTATGCCGTTGCAATAACTTCGGTTGCTCTGAGGTTAGAACACTCCGAATTACTGTACGGTAATGCAGAAATCGCGCAGTATATAATGCAGCAGTATGTTTCACAGTGGCCTAAGTTGGATGCGGTTAAAAATAAAAGAGCGGTCGTTCAAAAAGAAACAGTGGTCGAGAACAGCACCCATACGAATTTAAATACTCCATATGAAAACTGGCTACAGTGCGAATTCTTGTTCCTGTCTCAATGTTTACTGTTGAAAGTAATTTGCCTATTGGAGCAATCTCGTAACAATAGTTCAGAAGTCAGACATAACTTCGACTACTTCTGGCCGCATAGCAATGGAGACCCTGCGAATCTTGCTAAACGGTCTAAATTCGAGCCGTCGTACAGTCAATGGGAGCAACTGGCAGAAGTAGCCGCATCGGTGGCTATTGGATCGAGTCTTCCGGTATGCCGCGTATTTGGAATACTGTTAGTACATTGCATAGTCAAGTCTGCACCGAAAACTATATCAGCGAGCAGTTGTAGATCAGTACGTTTCAGTATATGCCTAATGAGCAAAATGTGTAGGTTATGAAGCGTATGTCCGAGTGTCTGGGCGACCAGTGTCAGAGAGCACGAGCGGTGGCTATAACATGCCGACATAAGTGGTTACAGAAATAATCATATAACTTAAAATGCATAAACATCCTCATAAGACTGCATTCTTGCTACGTTGCAAGACGCTTTTTGCTTCAAAAGGTGTTGGAACAGCGGCGCTTTTTTAATGTGATGCAGATGACGAAGGAGCCGTAGACATGCTATCCGAACAGCCTACTGAACGGCATGCGTTCGTTACTTACCTCAAAAGGTGGGACGAGTGTTTGAGGTTTCCCCGTGATTCTGTGGAGCTGTCCGCACGGAAGTTAAACCCAGTTGAACTCCAACTGCAAGCTATTTGCGACATATTGCACCACCAGAAAATGCGCTATCATGACAGAATACGTTATCAGCGCCCTTTTCCCATGCAACCGCCTTTTGTTGCATCTCTTGGTGCAGAACTTGCATCAGAGATGGAAGGGCTTATTTCTAGACACGACAACTACAGCGTTGAATCAAAGGGATTGTTATATTCCTTTGTGTCTGCTTTGTACCCTGGAATGCAGCAAGCAGAAAAGGTTCAGTCCTTGGAACGGGAAGCTTTCCAAACCCTCTCGCGGCACTGGGAAAGGCATGGCTACGTTCGACAAGAAGGAATTGCCAATATGTCTGATGATATCGTCATTAATAATCTGGAAATGAGTAATAGAAGTGAAACTATGCCCTACCTATTATCTCCGGAGGTACAAGACAGGCCAAAGTGGGACAGGTTGGTACCGCAGACAAACGCAAGAGAGGGCAGTCTCCAAGGTTTAAAACGAAATCACACGTTGTCTCTCACCACCTTAGATCGCATCTCTAGTCATCTCAAAACTTATGGTGCGTTCCTTACCGCTATATATCTGAGGGAAGTTTCAGGTGTTGCTGTGGTGCGCAATGCTATAGACAAACAAGACATACAAACCATACGTCACACCCTCCATCTGAATGGCTCAATGGCACGCGATTCCACGTATAAGATTGTGGAATCTGATCCCAATGTGCTCGTTTCAAAACACACGCGTGGTGAGCAAATGTTGAGCATATTATTACCAGCGTATAGGCCGCATTCACTGCCTACTGCAGGGGACATCTTTTGACCGCCAATTGGTTCCGTTACAGCAGTTTTGGATGCCTATAATCTACTATACACTTGGAAGACATTTCTATATATCGAACATTAATTTGATTTCCTCAGGTTAGTGCATACTGCCTATTCCACAGGTAATACAGACCCCATGAGCTACGTGGAACCATGGCATCGAAACAATCGCCAATATGGCATATGCGTTCTCCTGTCGTTGGACGATATTAATGAAAAAACGGGGCGTATGCAATTTCTTCCGGGAACACATATGAGCGGGTCGATTAACCCATATACTACCGGTTTGTGGGCCACTGAGTACACAATCATTATCGGGCAGGCAAAGCTGCAGTGGATCTAAAGATGGGGGATGTGCTCATATTTGACTCCAGACTTTTACATCGCAATACAAGTGAGTCTATCGCATCAACGTGGCTGTCTTCACATAACTTCAGTTAACGACAGTGCTAGGTGCCAGTCGTGCCTTCTATACTCGTATGACTACACATCTACGCCTCCTCCCGGTCAAGGTGTGAATATATGTGACACGGATGCAGGAATCACCGTTATGCAGGGGTTGCTAAGTTTGTGTTGGATAACTGGCGAGGCATCATCGTCGATGCGCTAGCCAGCAAATAGGCGGAATTTCGGGAATGTGCAGCGTGGCGTGTTTTTAACTCATAAAATGAGAGTATATTTTATGTGTCTCGTAGCGAGCTGCTGGCAACTTGCGTACTGCGTGAACGGTACGCAACGCATCGGACCAGGAAAGTTCAGATTCGACGATGAAATAGCGTATATAACGGATGACGATGCCGTACAAACAAAGTAATTTATGGCTTTAAACGTGAAACATAGGATTCAGAACCCAAATTCAGAGTGAGGAAGTGGGCGTGAAGAGGCAGGCACAATCACCGGAGGCGCATCAAATTTCACAAGACATTGGATCTAATAAACATACAGTTCTTGGTGGAGATGAAGTATACGATCGAACTCCGGTCAGGGATGAATCTACAGCAATAGGAGAACTCACGCAATCCGTTGGATACACGTTAGAATCGTACCCTAACCCTTTCACCGACCCACATTTATGCGTTCACACAACAAAGTAGGCGTTGCTACTCATGAATTTGCAAGTGTTTATCAGCGGAACTCACACCTTTCTTTGTGATCCCGATGGAATTTTGAGCGATGCGCAACAAGTGGAAACCAATGAAATGCTAAGCAAAGGAAACTGCGGCACGGTTAGTTGAGAAGGCATCTATACGATCTGTCGCAGGTTTTATTGGTGTTAGCTCGTAAAATATTGACGTCAGGAGGTGAAATAGCGGGAGGAGACACCTTTGCAAGCCGCCTTTTAAGGTTTGGTCACATATATGAGATGCATTCACATTCAGCAAATGGTGCACAACGGAGAAACAGTGTCTCATTATGCTTTATGTAAAGGTGAATTGCCACCGATTAAACTTGCGTAATGTGAGTGTAGGACCTTGGTGAACTAAACATTGCGACGAATGTTCGAGAATGGATTATACCAAAAGTTTGAAAATATTACACTCATATTGACTCAAATGCAGGAGGTTATCGAAACAGTTAAAAAGGCGTTCCTCGATGATCATTTAAACGTTTTCGGGGCGCTCAAAGTGGCAATACCCTTAGTGGAAGGACACATGGCACGCGATGGGGGATGTAGGTGACTCGCAGAGCAATATCATGATGTTCAGCCAAATTCTTTAGTTATTTATGTATAGGAGCTATTTTCTTGATTGTGTGTCTCTATGCGTCGCGTCGAAAAATTAAGACGTACTAGAGGGTACCGGTGGAGCACATCGACAGAGCTTCACACTTTTACGCATTGTAAATTATAATTTGTTCTACGAAATGCTGGCACGTTTTGCTAGGGTCACTCCCAGATTTGGGCGTGGATTCGTTTCCGCGGCGAAGGTCTCCTCAAAGGAAATGAACATGTGCACGGCGATCAATGATGCGCTACATATTGCTATGGCGGAGGACTCAACGTATGTAATTACATTTGAATCATATGTGGGTTGCTAATGATCTTGTATGTGTAGCCCCTTCCATAATTTTAAACGCAAAGTGCTGTCGGTCGTTTGGACTTCTCAGTGTATTGCAAGAGATAACGCTTGTCATTGTTAGCGTCATAAATATCTTACGTATAGTTGTTGTATGACTGTCTGCTAGTTCCCATCATATTGTTGCAGAACTACCGTTTTTGGAGAAGATGTAGCTTTCGGCGGTGTGTTCAGATGCTCAGTTGGTTTACTGGAGCGCTTTGGCGGTGACCGTGTTTTTAACGCCCCTATTTGTGAGCAGGTGGGTTCTGTGGTTATTGCTTGTCATATTTTGCGCAGGGTATAGTGGGATTCGGTATAGGCATGGCAGCCCTGGGGTCTAGGGCGATCGCAGAAATACAATTCGCCGATTACATTTTTCCGGCGTTCGACCAGATTGTCAATGAGGCTGCTAAATTTAGGTACAGATCAGGCGGTAGTTGGGATGTTGGAAAACTTACCATACGCTCTACTTGGGGAGCAGTTGGTCATGGAGGACTGTATCATTCGCAATCTCCGGAGTCCCAATTTGCGCATGCCGCTGGACTAAAGATTGTTGTTCCAAGAGGTGCATATCAAGCAAAAGGGCTGCTACTGAAATCTATAAGGGATAACAACCCTGTGATATTCTTCGAACCAAAAGCACTGTACAGAGCGGCAGTCGCAGACGTTCCCCTGGGAGACTACGAACTGGAGTTGTCGAAGGCTGATGTTGTGAGAGAGGGAAGCGATGTGACAATGGTTGGATATGGCAGTTCCGTTGGCCTGATGCTCAAGGCTGCCGACTTAGCCAAAGAGCAGTTGGGGATAGAAGTGGAAGTAATAGACCTGCAAACCGTACTCCCGTGGGACGTAGACACTATGGATAAGTCGGTGTCAAAGACTGGAAGATTGATCATCACACATGAGGCGCCAAAGACCCTGGGTATGGGATCTGAAATCGCATCAACCATGGCAGAGAGGCACTTTTTCAAGCTGGAAGCCCCAATAGAAAGAGTATGCGGATACGACACACCCTTTCCCCTTGCGTTCGAGAAGTTTTACCTGCCAGATCAATTCAAATTATTGGATGCCGTGAAGCGTGTGTGTCAAGTATGAGCTTCGTTTACGTGCACATGCATACCGACAATCATAGCATTTTGCTAACGGTATTGGACTAAACCAAGAGTGACGCCATCTTAACATGATATACTGCAGTTATTACCTTTTGGTCTATTATCCAACATTGGTTGGATAGGGCTCCACCGTAATGACGGTTGGAACTTCATTTTCCCAAATGGAAGCACTTAATGTTTTTCTTGTATGCGTCGGCCTCCGTGGCCAACCGTGCATACAAATCATCGAGACTAAGCGTTTCGTTGGCCTGGCTGTCCATAGATCGCATCGAAACCGTCCCCGTTTCAACCTCACGATCTCCAATGATCAGCATGTAGTTGTAGCGTTGGTCTTGGTTAGACTTTATCTTTTTGTTCATGGTGTTTGCGCTCCCATCTACGTAGCAATTATACCCTACAGCCCAGTTATATTGAACTCAATATCAAGACTTACCGAGGTGCAGCAATTTCTCATGTATGCTGTTAGCGTATGGCATGTGCTTATCGGAAATCGGTAAGATAGCCACCTGAGTTGGAGATAGCCAAAACGGCAATTTGCCCTTTAAATGCTCAATTACAATGGCAATAAAACGCTCTAGGGAACCAAAAATTGCCCGGTGAATGATAACAGGTCTGGAAAATCCACGCTTGCAATCCGTGCTCTCACCATCCTCCTTGTCACGATACCCCAAATTAAACCGTATAGGTAGGTTGAAATCAAGCTGTATGGTCCCACATTGGTGCTCTCTGTCGAGACAGTCCAATAAAATGACGTCAATTTTGGGGCCATAAAAAGCACCATCTCCTGGATTCAAGGTCCAGGGCCTACCACACCTTTCAAGTGCATCCCTAAGCCCGGATTCAGCTTTTTCCCAAAGTTCATCATCGCCCAATGCTTTCGGTGGTTTCGTCGATAATTTGAAACTGTATTTAAAATTAAAAAGCGAATAAACATCGTCAATAAACTGGAGAATAGACAGCACCTCCCCTGATATTTGCTCCGCTGTGCAGAAGATGTGAGCATCGTCCTGCTGGAACCGCCGAACCCGGGTTAGGCCACTGAGACTCCCTGTGAGCTCATTTCGATGGAGCACCCCGAAGTCGGCAAATCTCAATGGTAACTGTCTGTACGATGGGCTGAGATACCTAAACATCAGGCAATGCCCCGGACAATTCATACCCTTAATTCCCCATTCTGTTTCATCCACGTTGAACATGTACATGTTTTCCTTGTAGTTATCATAATGTCCAGATGTCTTCCATAGTTCACAAGAGTAAATATTTGGCGTAATGACTTCCTGGTAACCCCTTAATCGATAGTTCTCACGCATGAAGTCCACGAGACGATTGTAGATCTTTGCACCATTTGGTAACCAGAAACACGATCCGGGTGAGTGAATGTTATCGAAATGGAAAAGGTTAAGCTTTGTGCCTATAACCCTGTGGTCCCGATGTTTAGCTTCTTCTATGCGGCGTTCATAGGCTTTCAATTGTTCCTCCTTCGGAAACGATATACCATATACCCGTTGAAGTGTGTCTGCTGTGCTTTTAGAGAGCCAATAGCACGACGAAAATTTCGTGACAGCGAATGCCCTGGGTGAAACAGAAGAAGTAAAAGGCAAATGAGGTCCACGGCACAGATCAACAAAGTTCCCGCAACGATAACAAACCGTGTTGGACCCATCCGGTACCTTCCTACGTATGAGATCAACTTTGAAGGGATTGTGTTTCATGAGCTCCAGAGCCTCCTCCTTAGTACAGACAAGCCGTTGGAAGGGTGATTTTACCTTGGCCATTTTTGACACTTCATTGCGTATGTGTTCCATATCTTCTGGTTTAAAACTCTACAATCAACTTAAATGGACAATAACGTCTGCCTTACATTGTTGCCTATATAACAGTCGTAATAAAACCCCTTACTTAGAGCCGGTCCTATAGTTATGTACGCTCCATATAAGGTCTCTAGCGCGGAACCTGCCACAATGTTTGACTCGATTAAAGCTTTAAAACCAACCGAGCATGTGTGCCGAAGAGTGCCAAAAGACATGTTGCCCCTTGGGGGAATCAAAACTATGGAATCGTAGCCTGCAGTCACCTTCGAGTGGTCTGAACAAATCCCACATAATCCACTCCTCTTGTTGCTCATCATCATTCTCAATGTCTGCAACCGTGTCCACTATTGGCTCAAGGGGAAGGACCTGATAAATATGGATATTTACTTGACCGAGGAGTTATACTAACCTCGGATACAATGATTCCCTTGGAATCGGCCTTGTTCAGCCGGTTAAGAACATCAGCCGGGCATGTTACCCACGACCTGCCATTGATAGTTTCATCTTGTTTTCCTGGGACCTCCAACTTAACACTAATGTCACGCTTATCTAATTCTGCATGTCAATGATTAATATGGGCTCGTTTTATTTACCGTCGATACGCTTTTTCTGACGCTCGTACAAGGTGTCAAATGCAATCAGCCTGGTCTGGATAAAATCAGGATCCTTCCTCAGCTGGAATGAGGATACATCCTTTATAATTCGGCTACAATCAGGCCCTTCTGAGGGCAATATAGCGTTCATATTCTCCTCCATTGAAGAAACACGGAATAAACCGACTTTAAATTTAGTCACATCAGTTGACGATTGGAATGCACTATTGCGTGGTATCACTATGGACTGTATTTAATAAACAATGGAAATTTACCACTCTGTCCCCGCCGACGCAAAATTGTAGTCTGGAACTCGGAAGATACGGCATGAGAAAACCGTGGCGTGCAACGTAACATCCACAAACTGTTAAACTGTCTTCCTCCTCGGCAGCGGTGTGTATCTGTTGAAGGAGTGCAAAAAAGAACGTATAATAACCAAATAAGCCGTCGCATATATGATATGCACACCGCGGCGGCGCGGCGTGAAGCACCATAAATCAAACACGCTTAGATTAGTACGAAGTCATCTTCAACTGCACTACGCATTACGTCATAACCAGAAACTGCGCTAAGGGTTCTGTTGAGACCAGATATATCGCCTAGAATTGAAGGGTTTATTACTACCTGTGTAAACATATACAGCAGTAACCTTGAACGAACCTGATGCAAGAAATCAAAAGGGTTCGATTTCAGCCGTTTAAATACAGCATCCGAACAACACACACACCTTCTAGATGCTTCGACATAAAATTTGTTTACATACATATCTGCACTTTTTATGGTTTCATGTGCAACTGTCATACCTGACAAACTCATGTGTATTGCATGTGGAACGCCACCAATGCAGCTATTTCCGCTGTGTGGCGCCTCAAAACGTCTGGGATGCTGCGTTAGAGATATGAAAAGCTCGACGGCAGCTGCTGCGCACATGGCGACTGATGCCGGCTTGACTAATGTGCATGTTTCATCAATGGGCCTGCAGAACAAGGAATACTTCGTAAATGATAGAATTGGAAAGAACGCCAAATGTCTACATTTCTGTTCATATACGCAGTATCCTCAAGAACGAAAAGGGCAGGTTTATGCAGACACCACAGATGTTTTCGTGTATTCTCCATTGGCAAACGGCAAAAGAAATATATGTTGTAATTCACCCATGGGGGTTGGAATCGAACGCAAAGGGCCTGGTGCACTCACCTGCTGGATATAGTGTCATCGGGCCACTGCACATCGCTGCAGAAGTAGCATCCACCGTCAAAATCGCCGTAGCCGTGTCTAATAACCATGAAAGTGTCAAATGTGAGGCCAGTAGAAATGACTAAAGGGGCACGCCTGTTTTCGATCAATTCTGCATTCGAATGACTTCCGTCCACAGCACCTGATTCCATCTCCGAAGAGTAATATCTACGAGCGGCTCCAATTAAGGACGGTAGCCATCGTGACTCCTTGGAATCAGTCGCAAGAAAAACTGCATCACATTTCAGCATAATATTAGTGAGGCTGGTGTAGGAAATGCGCAATTCCTCTTCAGATATAAAATGGCCTACAAAAACGCGTATTTGAGAGCTAAGAACAGAAAAACTCACCAGGCATGGGAACAAGCATGTTCACTGGAATTGCGTTGGCATCTGGGCGAATTCGCTTTATCTCGTGGCATGCCATTGTGGCTTTATATGCCTGATCAGTGGAATCACTTACATTAAATAGACACTGTCGCGTAGCATTTGTCACTTTCGCATGGTCAATGACGACAAAGTTTCTGGTGCCCCATGCCAAAAATTGCCTAATAATATGACAACCAAGTGCTCCGGCCCCTATTATACAAATGTTTGTCCCGGTAATATTGGCTGGAGATAGCTGTGGTATTACCTTCCACTTCATCATTTGCAAATGCAACTCAGCATCGATTCGGTGCCTACTGTTGGAATCAATACGATCCCAAAATTTATATGTGTTCTCGTATATATTTCCATCATTGAGAACGTTAGCAGGCCCTATATGATAGCCATAACTTACGTTTATCTTTCCAACGGATTCTCTCGATCCCTCGATGACAACCTCATATAGCACAGCAATCGAACAACTGTCCTTGACTACAGACTTAGTTGATGTGTGAAGGTCAATCAACATGAAACGTATTGGTTTTCCGTATAATTTCAATAAGTGGCATAGCGCTAACATAGCACTGGACCAATGCCTAGGTAATGACCCAACCGGAGACAGATTGCCGAAACCGCAAAACGTGACATCGTTTAAAGGGCAAGTAGTTCCGTCTAACGCAATCGTGCATCCATCCATAACATGGACATTAGACATGTTCGAAACCACCAACTTCCCGTCATAGCGAGTAAATGCGAAAAAGCCATATGGCACGGGAGATGCACAGAAAGAGTTTGTCAGTGCCGCTATATCATCAAATCTTACTTGTTTGGATGGTGCTCCTTTCACAACTGCAAATCTGCCGGAAGCCTCTACCACAACGTGGCTTGAAATGGAGTGGTGATCTGCCGGCTTTACAGCGGGGCTTGAAATCGCATAGTAACATACACAAGCCTTGATATCCATGTAAACGATTATGACAAAACGTCTCAATTTTCCAATTCCGCTGAAACTACCCGAAGAACGCCACAGGCCATAATCAACCCGCACGCCTAGGATGCACAAACCTTCGTCATCAGCAACAATGGTGCCACAAACTCTCTCCACTTGCGATTGAAGATCAATAGCTCTAAATTCAGACAGAGATGGTAGAGTTATCAATGTACCAGGTACAAGAGCGCAGTAGCAATTAGGTGATTTATGCGCCTTCGCCGTACGGCGGGAACGAAGTTGAGATCTTTCGACAGCATAACGTGTTGCAGTGCTAGACAAAGAGACATTACAATCTTCAAAGCGGCAACACGCGTTGTCAAAGGAGCCCCTATCTAGCCAAAGCGCTCCGTCCACCGCCGCAAAGGCGTGGATTTGCAGTTCCGAACGCAGGCAACGATAATCATCGATGATTCGCCTGCGCAATTCAACGAAAAAGGACGTATCTAAGTTATACACTTGCGATGAGAAGGACAGAGTCTCGATGTTTGACATTACTGTGTAACTTCATTCGTCTACATAGTCAGGTGTGTGCCGGAGGAGAAGACGCAAAAGTTGAGACTCGGTGCGTGGAGCCTCGCTACCGATAGATAAACATCCAAATTGATTCAGTTGATTAAGAACGCTCTCGTGTAAACCTGCGTAAGATGTGATCTCGTGGAAGCGATCATCTGCCCCTTCGGCTGCGAGGGCTCTTAGACGCGAGCCTCCGTCCGACATTGCAGTACTGCTAAAAAGGACTGTATAGAAGTCACGTGACCATCTCAAATACGACAGACAAAGTCTGAGCTTAGGCATGGAATCGAGCTTCGCTCCAAATTTCAGGACCTCAAGGATAACCAGAACTACATGACTTAATACCGACCCGCTTTTGCTAACATCCTCTTTCACCGTATCAAGAGCTGAATCCACTTTTGAATTCAAGTTGACGCCTTTCTCATATATTTCACTGATTTCCCGCTGTAGAACGAGGTTTTTTATGCGCAAAGATCTGAACTCGGCCTCTAGTTGACGAACGTCTTCAAAGGGAACACGATCCTCCTGATCGTATAACCTTATTAGGTCGGCTATGCCAACAAAATCTGCGTCTGATAATTTCGTAGTCTTGCGAAAGTTTAACAAAAATCCCCAATCAGATTTCAGCTTATTAAAATCCTTAGAGACGACAAATGCCTTGACACTATCGAGAACCTTGCGACACCTCTTCTCGTAGTTCAACCATAACTCTACCCCTGATCGTATAGGCTCAAGGCATTCCGTAAGGTCGATTATTTCGGAGAGAGGTTCTGCATGTTGAAGCAATAACAAGCAATCGGTGGCAACACTTGGATTGCGAGAATTTGTCTCTAACATGACTTCAATTTTGTGAAGTCGTTTCTGCAGCCTCTTTAATGATTGACATAACGGTTCTATGCTCCTAAAGATGGGGAGCGTAAGCTCTAGCTGATGGTATGCAGAACATATTTCTTCGAAAGTGCGTGCATCACATTTTACACCAACAACCGACCCTGAATCAATAGCTGACTGAGAAGAAGCCTCTTTCTTAGCCAACAAACCGCTGTATGTTACTTCGTTTGATAGCATTTGGTAAAAGGAGAATCTAGATATGCGCTCCATCCATTGCTCGACATCATGACACTTTTTCTTTAGAGTACCATATAACCGGTGATCCCTCAAAACGTCAGGAACATTGTCGATCAGACTTTTGGCCAGCGAATATCTGACCTGCCGTTGGCAAGCCTTGCTAGCGCTGTGCAGCCACACGGATTCCTGTAAACGCCTACGCAATTCATCCAATCTGGGTAGCCTAACTAACCCCTTCTCACATATCGATACAAGTGATTCACACTCAGACAGATCTAAATCTAATACAGATGTTTCCATAAGGCTGCGCAATGATACGAGGTTACGGAAAATGCTTTGGAGAGCAACGACCTCAGGTACCAAGAAACGACAACCTCTCGACTCCTGAACCAACGATTCAACCTCCTCAAGACTAACTGTGCGGTCGGTACTAGAAGACAGGGTGGTCATGGTCATTCGAACTTTAGCTCCAAATGCTTCGCACATCTTGATATCATTGTCAATTTCTGTGGCAAGATCGACTCTGACCAGACCTCCACTCAGCTCTTGGAACTCTTCCATCAAACCGCGAGCCTCTTCGATTGTTATACGCTGCGATGTTGCAGCCTGCGCACTAGCTCGCCAATCGTCTATATAAGAAACTGTACTAGATAAAACTGATGCCATGTCTCGCAGCGCGCATTCGTCAAATTTTTGCCCAGTTTTATACAGTTGCACAACTTCCTCTTTGAAACCAATAGAAGACGTGCCGTTAGATTCCCCATCGCGTCCTGGCATCACTTTCAATAAAATGGGCAACATGCGATTCAACCATGGAGATTTTGGCACGCTATCTGGTAAACCGGAAGACGCACTCTTGGCTCTTCTACGCTTGCCATTATTTAACGAAGAAACAATATCTTTACCGCCTTCCGTCTCGACATTTTTCAAATTCTGAAGGCAGGTGCAAGTTCTCATTATAAAGTAACCCACCCTATCGCCCGAAACTTTCTTATTTAAGACCAATTCGGGAGACAAATAGTTGAAATCTGTTTTGTATTTTAGATATAAGGCGTTACAATAGACTTCGTTAGCGGAGACTTGAGGGTCGCCACTAGTGTCGCTTGAATGCACTCTAGAATATCTGGCCTCACGTTTCAGCGGCTCCCTACGGCGAAAGATCGGCGGAACTAGAGCCTGCCGAGTCAGCACATCCGTCCTCACCTTCTTGCCTTTATGCATATATATCGGTGGTAACTTTACTGCTGAGTCAGAATCCATGTCTCAAAAAGATTATAAAGGTGTTGCATTAGGCGAAACACTGCTGCCAGACGACATTATACGATTCAATCGTAAGTATACACTTTTCATACTTTAACTGAGCATGGCTATATAAATCTAAAAGCTAGAATCATAAATTTATGCCTTTATAGATCATTCATGTAGGTATGAAATTCCGTAGTGGAAAAACCCTTTGAAAGGTGACAATAAGTACGTAATAAGTGTAATTTTGCGACAAACGATTTCTCGCCAAAACGCCACGATGAGTTACTAAAGAATGTGTGTGGATTCCTGAAGGCGCACGCTGCCACGGGAGGTGCGCCAACTTTTACTGAGAGATTCTCAGTTCTGTGTATATTTTTGCACAACGTTTGTTGTGATTTTTGCCGTTTAGTAAAGATATTGCGTTAATCATTAAGCATCATGCAAACAACACCTGACTAAAGAATAGCGATTACGCACGTCATAAGCAACAACCACCTTGCCAAACTACACACATCATACGTAACATGTCACGCCTTCTACATCACCATGATCTATCGGTTGCATACATTGGCGCGGCGCCAACTATCGTTAAGCGTGGTGACAAAATACGAAATTAAAAGAGAATTGTTGAGGCCTAAGACAGCTACGCGTACTACTGTAATCAAAGTGATGAAAATAGATCGCGAATCGTACAAAATTAGATGCGATTTGGGGTAAGTCTATGCCTAGTACTGCTTAGTAGAGAGACGCAAACTTATGCAAAAGGTAATAAATTAAAAAATTAGAAGTCAGCTGCAATGCAAGTTTGCCAAATTCAAAGCTCCTCGCTTCTCTCGGGGTTATTAACAAGATTTTTAACCTCCACCTTAACCTGAGAAGGGTTTACGCGAATCCCTGTCGGATCATACTTAGTCACGCCATCTATTTGGCATCCTTTAAGACCATTTGATATACTGAAGAGCTTCGCCAGCTTAGAACGGTCATCCTCAAGCATCGCAAATACGATGACGTCATTCGCCTTTACCTCCACTGCTAAATAGAGTTGCGGACTTGTGACGATCTTACTCTTCACCACTACAGCATCTCCACTGTTCATCTGGTAAAAGCGCGACTCGCCATTTTCTTTGTTAATTTCCATGGAGAAGCATTTACCTATATCAATACGGCTTCCATCAACAAAGTTGTTGGCAACTACACTGATTATCTTGTCATTCTCGATGGCAACAATTTTAACACATTTGTAATAGGTATCTAAATAGTACCCGTCGTCACATACATAACTTTTTTCCGTGGTGCTAGTTTGCAAGCACTTACGATGGGTCTCAGCATTTTCTTTCGTATCAGTGCAAATGTTTTGCGGCTTGCAAATCACGCCATCACCGGGGCATCCCTGCTTGCATTTGCAACGCTTGAGAAGTTCTCCTGAGTCCTGACGGCACTCCGCATATGGTGATGGGCAATCGAGATCGGTTTCACAATATTTGAAGCATTGAACGTATGGATTTCCGAAGTAACCAGACATGCAAGTGCAGGCGCGCGTGTTATTGCTAACCGTATAGCATCCGGAGAAGTCCGCACATTTACCAAGAGTCGCGTCAAACTCTGGGCCACACTTGGTGGTCCCAATAGGGCATCGTTGAATATATGAGCTTACAATGTACCTACCTGACTTCATTGATTTGCACACCTTGCCAACGCCATTCTTCTCAATCAATGTATCAGCTTGACCAACGTCAAATGGGTCCGCCGTAAGCTTGCCATTCTCCTCGTACATAGATATGGCGCGATAAATATATCCACTCACGGACTTGTGGAGCAACAAAAATAAACCGCAGATCAACCTTGGAAATAGCATTTTGACAACTTTGCACTGTATTCACCGAGAGCACCTCAACACAGATTAAATACCAGCGCGTCGCAGCACGAACAGCCCTACGAGGTCGAAATTGCGGCTGCCAGATTTACTCTCTGATAGATTGGCCGATAAACACAAAACGTGCTCCCTCAACCTCACGCGGTTCGAGGAGCATCCACGGTATGACCAAGAAGGGGTGTAAGAGGACAGCGGCAGATGCAATAAAGTGCGTATTATATCTGCATACCTCAATGGCAAAGCGAATGAAATAAATGTGTAAAGCGCTTCCCAGGTTATCGACCAAGCACCCTCAAGCTCATTTGCCTGCCTGCTCACATACGGCGGCTCACGCAACGGTGCCCTAGGGGCATTCGTCCTACCGGCTCAATAACAGCCGTCAGTTTTGCTTCTAGTTTAGCGACGGGTTATTCGCGCCTTCCTGGCGCCTCCTCGTGCCGCAAGCGCTACAATAGATGCCCTGTGTACCGTTACGTATAGCGCTTCGCATTCTTTAGTTTCGTTTTACTCCGTTTCTGCGACAAATCAACCCCGCTTTTCGGTCTCTTGTGTGGGTGTTGCCCGATTTCGTTATTCTCTGCGATGTGTTCCGAGTCAAACATGCGGGGGGTCACTTCGTGTTTACAACTGTCTGTACAGCTCTCTAGGAAATCGCCGACCTCTGTGTGTGATGCGTCTGGTACTTCAAGTCTGAAGCGTATGTATGCGTCCTTAAAATCTCCGTTGAATGTATATGTCTTGTTAGACTGGTGAATATAAAATATAGCGGTTATCCGTTCGAGGCGTTTAAGTAGTTGTAAGTCATGCGTCACCAGCACTACACCGCCCTTTGTGTATACATGGTTGAGAATTGATGCCAGATTTCTTTGCATATACAAGTCGAGATGGTTGCTAGGCTCGTCCAATAGCAGGAAGTTAGAATCGCGCAAAAATTGCAGAGCTAACACTAAGCGAGCGCGTTCACCGAATGATAGATCCCGCACTCTAACATCCATGAGATCCTTCAAATAGAAATTCGACAGGTATTCTGTCAATTGCTGTGTGGCGGACATGTCCAGGGCTGCGTAATTCATTGCCAGTGTGGCAACTGTTGACACTGCCGTCAGGACGTCACTGCAATTTTGTGAGAAATAGTTGACGTTTGTGTTCTCTTTGGCCTCACAACGACCGTCCGCAACGTTGAAGTGTGATCGACGATTGAGCAATACATTCACATCAGGAATACCCATGTTAGCGGCATTGGCAGCGGCGTTGAGAAGCGTCAGTAGCGTGGACTTGCCTGATCCATTATTACCTAAAACTACAACTCGGTCGCAATTGTGAATTTGCAGTGATACGTTACAAAGCAGCGCCTCTCCCCCACTGCGTAACGTGACATCTTTTAGGCTGAATGCCGGCTTGTCCGGATATACAAATGTACCGCGCTTGACCAATGTGAGACGTGACAAATGAGCCACATCAAAATGGCTATCGTGCAAAAGCAATGCTCGTTCGTATGCGTCGCTATATGTGCTTTTCTCAGCACCCTTGACCTTACGCAGCAACTCCTCGGTGTCTTCTAACAAACGTCGTTTCTGCGATAACCAAACCTTTTTCTGGCTCTTCGATCCTTTGTGGCAGTCAACTTTCTCATTATATTCATGTTTTAATTTCTTCCAACCTGACTGCAGGTTGCTCAAACGCGACATCCGACTTTGCAGATTTTTGGATCCCCTATCTAGAAATTTGTCGAAGTCGCCCTCATACACCTTCAAAGTACCATCTCCAGGTGCCTGAAGAATTGATGTGCATAATGTACTGAGAAATGATGCACTATGACTAACGATTAACACTGAAAGGCCCGTTGTTTCGGTAAGATGACGAAGAATTTTTGACAAGAAGGTTACAGATGCGGCATCCAAATTATTGGTAGGTTCATCTAGAAAAAGCAATTGAGGGCCATGAATCAGCCGTTTCAATAGTTCGAGGCGCATCTTGAAACCTCCACTTAGCTCGCCCACTCTCAACGACAGCACCTCTCGCATGCCAAACATGTCTATAAGGTGTGATGTCATAATGCTCACGTCCCTATTTTTTTTGTGGACAGTTTCACTATCGTTGTTGTACACAGTTAATACGCGTTTTGCCCATTCGGCGTTCAATTTGTCGACCCCTGGGCTGCTACCTCGCAACGCTACACTGCCACTCAGATCTGTGCACCCCGCAATATCGTTCAAACTTGTTAAATTCTTTTCAATATCTCGCAAAATTGCGATACGTGTGTTGTGTATGATGTTTGTATTTGCGATCGCCTCTTTAACAAACATGGAATCATCAAGCTGTGTAACACAATTCTGCTGCATATATGCCACCAAATTGGTAAAATATGAATCCGAGGTGAATATGTTTTGACCATCTAAAAATTCCGTGTACTCATCAGATATAACCAACTCATCTAGTTGCAGATGTGACAATTCGTTTAGGCTGTGCTTTCTAATTCTCAGGTAGTAGAGTAATTGATAGATTCGCAAATGGTCCGACTCAGCATTAATTTGTTCTGTGGATGTGATTTTTACGCCTACAGATGAGGATACACCTCCAGAATTTGTGTCACATCCGGTTATCTTGTTGTAAAGAGCGTCCAACAAACTGCTTTTCCCAGTGCCATTATTCCCCACAATACCAACGCACTCTCCTCTACCTATGCGAAATCGCACGTTATCGAACAAAACGCAATCACCAGCCCATATTGTCAGGTCACTAACATCCAACAACGGTGTTCTGTCTTTTGAGCTACCAAAATGCGTGGAAACTCTGTCCTCAAACGCCGGTGTATGCAACGATAATTTTTGCTTGGATCTTGTAATCCCCGAGTCTTTTTTTCTCTGAATTTCGTGAATTGAAAATAGTCCATGGTTATAACTACGGGGAAATATTGATCCTAAATGATAACTTAGAGCAGGTAACCACGTTGATATATAGGCGGGTGTCTGCTTCCGGTTAGATGACGCAATTGAATTGTATGACCTAATTTTGCTCAAAAACGCTCCACCACGGTGTGGTGTCTTTGCTTTAAACAACGGTTCACATGAACGTATGTAATACACTAGTACGAAGAGCAAATATGTAAAGATGGAAAATAACATGTGAAGGTTGCGCTGCGCTATATAGGCCTACAACAGCTGTCGCATTTTCATCTGTCTTCTATGCAACAATTCAATATGTTAAAGTGTACTGTCTCAAATGCCATTCGTTAAACTCCCGGATTTTGTGGTGTACCGCGTTGTTTTGTAGTCGAGCCACAACATAATTATAAACGAACTCATAAAAGCTAAGTCGAGGCGGACCACAGACACCTAAATGTATGCCTTTCTAAAATTTAGAGCGGCGAAAGCCTCTAATTTGTGGAACCGCATAGCTGAACCGTTCCAAACCAAAGCAGTGTGTTCACGCACACTTTATACTGGTAAAGTACGTTTTGTGAATCTTTAGATCATAAAGGTGGAAATCATTGTAGTTTTATACGTGTAAACTTGAAATGATATGCGTTAGCAGGTTTCGGCGTTGGGAAGGACTGGTCTCGCTTCCGCGACCAAACCTCAAGCTCACCGTGAATGGTCTAGCTTCCGCCAAAATGGACGCCTAATCCCATCAGGTAACGTGACCGACAACAGGTATCGTTACGATGTTGCAACTTTGACGAAATTGCCAAATTCGTACACCGATGATATTAACAACGTTGGTGTATCCAAAGCCTTCGGATCTGCGCCGCTGTTGACTCATTATGTAGAGCCATTCTCCGTAATGCAGTTCGCAACAAAATATGTCTTGAGTTATCGGTTTTTCTTCATTTATATGGCGCGGACCACATTCCAGGTATTTCACTCATGAGCGAATCTAACCTTCCGTAGGCAGTCAGACCGCTGCTTGCTTTCTGCGTATTCGGCGAAATTATGAAACTGGTACTCGCAAACATAAGCGGTGGAGTCCCGGCCTTTCTGTTCTCTTTTGTGCTGGCATTTGAAGTTTTGTACTTCTTCCTACAGTGCTACATCTCCTACACTTTTCTCACCATGTTCTTCACTGTCATGTTCTAATAATCGAGATGATCAAATGCAAGGTTGAGGAAGATATATGTCATATTGACGGATTAAGGATACGAACAGGTGTTATGGGAAAATTAAGGCTTTGTGAGGACGCAGTGTTAACGTCAAATAACTTGTCCTATTCTTACGGTGGATCCATGAACCAAATTCCCCTGTCGAACATCACCCAGTGTGAGTTAAAGAGACGCGGATTGCAACGTGGTATCAAAATTACATGTACTGACTCTTTTTTTTTTCTCACATGTGATGGTGATGTTAGCACCTTATACCAAGAATTGACGAAAGCCCTAATGTTGCACGATAAAAGTAATGTAATGCGACGATCTGAAGGTCTAGGTGGGATTTCTCGGGTTGTAAACATGAAAAATGAGATAGTAGAAGGGGCAAATTCGCTTAGAATAAATGCAATGACCGATCTAGCCTTGCTTAAAAAAAAGTCGCAAAAAATTCGCTCTATGGCACACCATATACAAAGTGGGCATCGTAGCCTCTCAAAAACATTTGAGGCCCTAAATCTACGTATCTTCGAAGACTCTCCGAAACTCGCAGGCTCCGATGTCGAAGAAATTATACTGCGTGTAATGGAGAACGATGATTTTATCCTACTGCAGGATCTCTTTTGTGCAGTCAACCGTATGAGGCTCTGCAAACTATTAACTCCGGGTGATGTGCGGTCTCATGTAGAGCGCATGCAAGAGAAGGGAATCTGTAAGATGGTCGATATATACGGCGTGGAAACCATTTTCACTAACACTTCTGCATGTTTCTTGAATACAGTTGCACGGGCGGTTGCAGAGGCTCCCATAACACCTTATCAGCTTGCGGAGACCCGTAAAATAACCCTTCTTCAAGCGGAATACCAACTACTGTATGCTGAACTGGAAGGTGTAGTAACACGCGACGACGAAACGTACCGTGTTACGTACTATCATAACCCATTTTTGCAACAAACACGCGTTACATAGGTACATCTGAATTAACTTTGCGGTTTCTGTTCATCGCATGATAATAACAGATTTATTTGGGGTTGACCTAGCGTCTAACAGGTCTGGCGGCTGTAAATTATGATCGCCAGCAATCACAAAATGAATCCATCATCTGTTCCAACGTGACAGTTATGTGGTCGGGTTTTAAGGTCGGATTCCAGACATTCCGTTTTGTCCGTGTCAGGCCTTAGTTTGTCCATATGCGTTTTAATCTGATTTAGCTGGTAGGTCTTGCGACGTATCACTATTTCGTTTTCCTTTATATACTGCTCCATTTCGATGTCCTCGCCATTCTACGATGCGAATCTATGAACAGAGTCTTTGCTGCTTACCACCAATAAGGAACGCATGTATGCGTTCGACTCTCCTGTGTATTATTAAGTGGGTGATATAACGAACTTAACGCAGTTTAGCTATTGCCCTCTCAATCGTCTTTGCAACATCCTCACAAAGCGATATGTCTTTAGGTAGATTCAAATTCCAATCAGACGTCAACTGTAATTCAAGCTCTTCATTACGTTGCCTATTAATGTATATTTCTACCATCATACATATATTCCCGATTAGTTGGTTGTTCTCGGTCCATTTAAGATAGTCGCAACAACATCTATTTCTAAACGGTGACGGGTAGTACCTGGCACTGCAATTGGGTCAAGTAATTGTGGTTCCGCACACCTTAATCCACACATCACATTAAAATATTTTCCTGAGAGAAGTGTCAATCATTTCTACAGCGCGGTGTCGCGAAATGGCGAAACTTTATCACTCCATCTCAAGAGAACGAAAATACTGGGATAAAAAGCTTTGCGCTTCACCAGAGGAGTGGAACTCCAGAATTCAACGCTCTACAACCGTATACGTGGGCAATCTCGCTTTTACTACACCAGAAGAACGCATCCACGAGGTAATGTCACGCAGCTTACATATTCATCTAGTGTCGCTACTCGTATTTTTTCATATATGTCTCAGATATTTTCACATGCCGGGCGTATCAATCGCATAGTTTTGGGTCTGAACAGCATCGAAAAAAACCCGTGTGGTTTCGCATTTGTGGTATATGACACCGTCGCCGCTGCAAAGCGGTCCATAGGGCTGTTCAAGGGTTCCATAATAGACGGGCGAATAATAAGGGTAGATGCCGACACGGGAGATAACATAGATACTGATCGCAAACTCGCACGGGGAATAAACGGATATCAGTGGCGTGACGTTTTTCGCAAAGAGTTCGATACCAACCGCGGTGGCCAGGGGCTTGGCATCGAAGCTTCTGCCCGTGCCTTTCAAGATTTTGTTGTACCAACCCCTCCAACTAGTGCTCTAGGAGCTCGTAATATGGACTCCATTAATGCGACTGATCCTAGGAAAAAGAGGACTCTATGAAAACTCCCTTACCTTATCCACGTTGAGAGTTAGATAAATCACGATGTGATAGGGCCGTGCGCTGGCTTTTGAATCTTGAAATCGTAACTTGTATTTGATAGTGAATTTTCGATACATATGTGCCTGCCATGTAGGTCATGGTGCCGGTGGCAATGGCAGATCTGAAACCTGACATTAGTGTGGCTACCACAGCTACAGATACCATCAGGTCCTCATCCTCAAGCATATACACTCAGGAAAAGGTCTAAATACGACATAAATGACTGTCTGCATGTGTGACCTTAGAGTAGGTCGCGCACCGCATTTCTATTATTGGACAGCGTTGTCAAAGTATACCCGATGTCTAAAAATCGAAAATAAGGAGACGCCACTCAAGGGCTGGTGGAACGTTGTTAATTCATAGTATATTTGCACTGAAAATATGGGTTTGCTAAAACGATATTGGAGATAGGATGGCTGGCAAAACAGTTGCTTTTCGCGACAGCATACAGAACTGTGGGGACAAAACATGTACCATCCCTGTATTAAGCGGAAGCATACGTAGGAATTCATGGGTATCAGTGATAACTATGCTTAACATTGCTATCGAAAACTACATGGAAAGCAACACAACAGGGGGATATCCATTACGCTAATCGCAAACCACCATGCAGCTAAGGACTGCTGCAACAATATTACCTACAAGTCAACGGAATAATCAAGCTGGCACAAAATCGTTTTGGGGAAATGGTGTAATACTGCGCAGTACGGAATACTTAAAACAGCTACCGTTAACCTTCATCAGCAGATACAACAGTAGCAGCACCTTGCAGAAACCGCTGATATCTAACAGGGAGATGACGGATTAAAAGATGTGTTGGCCATCAACAGATACGCCATGAGCGTGGTCAGCTTCCGCATCGGTTTCATCCCCGTGGACATCAGATATTTGGGACAAGATTGACCCGGCGGCATCCTTTTAGTAAATTAGATTCCTGGGTATAATACGACAATCACAGTGGTATCCGTATAATGGGTTATCGTTTGGATAGGACTGAGATAGGCAAGAAGCGGATATAAGAACAATTTGCCGAGGACATCAGAGCTCTCAATCAGAACAAGGAACTCAAGGTGGCGCCCCACGCAATGACGCTCAGAGGTATTGTGGCGAAAGAGGATAAGGAACACGGGCGGAATATGGGCGCTCGGGATCGCACGGCATCCCGAGGTTAACGCGTGGTTTTTAAAATACTTGAGTTTATGATGGGGGAAGGTGAAGCCAAGAGATGACGATGGCTGTCAAAGGCGCTCCTACCCCGACGGGATGGATGCCATCATGTAATAGGCCAAACACGATCGGCAATATGACGGTGTGTAGCCCGCAGTCAAGATCGGCAGTGTGAGGGGAGTGATGTCCTAGTAAACACTAAAAGCGGCCGGTACCATACTTAGCCAGCGACAGTAAACTAAACGTGTAGTAAGAGGGTATTAGTTTCACAGTGCTAAATATGCTTTTTTATGAATGATTCCAGTTCACCTTTAAGCAAACTGTAATCCTTTAGACCACGCTTTATCTCAAAACTCATGATAGGAACCTGAAAAAGTGCGCACTTGTTGAAACAATACCAACCTCTTTGAGGGCATTCATTACGCTTGTACGCATGTCGTCATATTCCACTAATCTCCTTTGAATCACGTCGGGAGTGTCATCGGCTCTCCTTTTAAGACTATGACAACCGGGACACTGTTAAGGCTATATTGATTTATTGCACACCTATTCAACAAACCTTTAAAAGATCATCCTTACACGGCAACACAGCCTCCATATAATAACCACCGGAGTCTATGGAACACGTATTGTAGCTTCTGTTGCACGCTTCGCAGTGCTGCGAACTATATGACAAACGGAACAAACCAACCCTTCTACCCAACAAGCGTTCTGTCAATACGCCGCGATCTATCGATAAATATATACCTAGGAGACGTAATCCTGAAGATTTTGCGATACATTTAAGGAACTCGGCCTGAGTAGGGGTCCTAGGTACGCCATCTAGTATCGCACCCTTTGAGTGCTGGGATAACTCAGCTCTGTTGGTAAATTCAACTAATGCGCGTTGCATATACCTCAAAACGTCGCATATTATCCCGTCATCAACATGCAAGCCATTTGACACAGCTCTCTGTATGCTAGTTCCCAGTGCACTCCGTAATCGGATTTGTTTCCGCAACAAATCGCCTGTACTTTTGATAATAAAACTATGTTGACAAACCAATCGCTATATGAGCAAGACCACATTCAGATGCTAAGTGCCTTCCGAAAGTGCCTTTGCCTGTGCCTGGAGCACCCAAGAGGAGAAGTAAAAGTCGATGGACTCCCCGGAATTGTGTTCGGGTCATAGGTTACGCTTCGTGGAACATTTGCGGACGGATTTTGCGTGAGAATGTGTAAAGCTTGGTATGCCCCGCGTACGACAACACCGATACAGTGAAGCCATCGATGCAGTTTATTTCCAACATCGATGTGGTTGAACACGCGATGGGGCGGAGTTGTGATTCGCGTAAAAGTCCGTAAGCAACGATGCCCAATAGCTTATAATTTTGCTGACCATTCCACCAAATTTTTAGCGCTTATTTGTGTGTGGTGTAGAACGGTTTGTATGTTAAGAGCCTAGTTTGACTGAAACACACGATCGGCGTCACGTGAACAGAAGATAAGTTGTTGTTCGTAACTCCCTGTTGTTACAATGGTACGTCTCGATGCGTTTAAATTATGTGGATTGTATTTGCGATCTCTAACTCTCAATGTAGGAAAAAATCAAAGTCTTCGAGCTTAGGAGCAAGACAGACGCAGAGCTGCTCAAGCAACTTGAGGAATTAAAACAAGAATACGCATCTATGCGTGTTCAAAAAGTCACCGTTACGTCGACTTCGAAACTTTCTCAAATCGGTATCATCAGGAAGGCTATTGCCAAAGTACTCACAGTCTACAACCAGCGTAAGCGGGAAGAGGCTAGAAAGCAATACAGCAAACTCTCCAAGATGCCACTAAATCTCAGGCCTAAACTGACGAGAGCCAAGAGGAGAGCTCTTACAGCAAAGCAGCTCTATCTGAAAACCCTGAAACAACGCAAGAGGTGTGAGAATATTCCCAAGCGGAAGTACGCTTTGTTGCCCTAAATAGATACACAATGCTCAATTATAATGGGTTAATAGAGCTTTTTTTACTCTTATGCTCCTATGTTCATTTTTTAGCACGGCCTTCCTGTCGCGTTGTCGCCGAGGCGCGGGCCTTGGCATCCGCGTATACTGGCATCATTGTGGCCACGATGCGATGGGATAAATCCCATATTTTCAGATGGTCAAGCGTTCCGCAGGTTCCTTCGCAGGATTGAATAATCCCAAAGTCAGCGGTACAACGGAGGGGGTGTTTCATAGGTGTTTGAAAAATGTTGACATCCTGGTTAGCGATGACGAACAAACAGTTTCGTTCTTTAAAAGGCGATGCGCCTCAGTCATAATGACAAGTCATATGACAGAAAATCTGAAAACGCCACTCATACCAGACAACTTCGATCTAGAGCATCCTGAATCTCAACGTGAAATTAGAGACAGTTTCGACCTCAATAGTTGTATATGCGATGAGATATCATATCTTAAAACGCTTGATATATTCCGGAATGTGAAGAGCGTTGCCATCGTAGGCAGTTTAACTTTTTTCTCTACGCTTCATCTTGAAAAATTACTCGTTCAGTCAGGTACTGTCAACAGCCACCGCTAATGTAGCGCTAACGTTGTGAATTTCAATTTGTTACGCCTACTGATTACGCATCAGGTATTAAGGTCGCATCAAATTCTACAGCGGCAAACTGTATAATACTAGGCTGGTGGATTCAGACTGGAGTTGTAGACAATATTGATAAAAGTACACGAATTATAACTGAAGAGGATTTTCTAGATGCTTTAACCGTAACCGTCAAAGAAAGATGTAGACACATTAAGCTTCAGAGGCCCGCAAGTTTACTGGAGAAACGAATCGGCAGGAGAACCCTGCTGAAAGATTCACTGCTCCCTACACGTATAAGCCACATATTAGGGCACAAGGATGCATTCAATAGATTCCACGAGTTTCTACTGGCGGCTGTGTCCCGTGAATCTGATAAAGACAACACCAATCTGAAGGGGGGAAACGTGTGTGTCATCATCTACCCCCCCGGGTCCGGAATCAGGATCGGAATAGAACTCATATGCAATGCAATGGGCTATTGGTGCTTGTATACTGACCTAGGTATTGCCGCTGATAAGTTAACGAAGCCCAAGGGAATAAAGCCCATAAACATTTACTGCAGAGAAGTCTTAGACATACTAACTGTGGAACAAATAGTTGAAGAAAACAAAATGGCGATTGTCATGATAGAAGACATCGAGTCCAAATATATTACAGTCGGTCGTCCGTGCTCTGGTGATTCGGTGAGGGCGAGAGGAACTGCAAGAATTAATGTCCCAAGCTGGGTTAAAAGCTACGCGGTGTGTATACCTATTTGCCCCACTACCGACCTGGCGTGCCGTGCACTTGTGCGCTCCATACTTTGTGATGTCTTTAAAAAGAAATTCATCAACGACTTCTACGTGGAATACTTTATAGAAGGTGGCAGGACCAAAAGCGGATATGTGGATCTGGAGAGGGTTATTAACAGCATAGACTTCTATCGCACATCCACCTCGCAGATTGATGATATCCAACTACAGAAAGAAAGTGTCGAGAAATACCCATATAGGGGAGCTTCGGATGTCAGTCAGAGGTACGCAAGCAGTCTACAAATTGTGGAAACCGGGTATTATTTTATTTGCCGGACGCATGGAATGGACAACACCGACATTGATGCCCCTTTGCATTGCGTTATTAAGGAAGACGATACCAATCTTGAATCTTCTGTTAGGTTTGATGCGGCAGACAAAAGTACCACGCGTATCGAAATGAATAAACTACTTGGGAACGTAAAAAGTTTAGAAAAACAGTTCAGGAAGGATCATTTGGAATTAATCAAGCTGCGCAGGAAACTAGCAACAGCTAATATCGCACCATGCGAAAGCTATGGTCCACCAAACCCGTGTCTTGTTTGAGTCAGCCACCACGGCATGTCAGGGTGACAATCCACACACATCACATTAATGACAACGTATTCGCTTGACGCGTATTCAAATCTGTCTCGTATATTAGAATGCGGGTGTGTATGTTTATATGTGGTTACGAAAGTGACACCACGTAAACGAATGGTGTAGTTGTGGGCCCCAGTTAGTCGGAGCCCACACAGTCCAAGTAAAGATTATCCGCTGTGATTGCATCTGAAGCTTCGAATCGTGTTGCGTCGCAATTTGTGCTTCTAATTTGAGGTGCCACCTAATCATCATGGTGTCATCTCTCTCATCAAAGCTCGGCCTTGCCGACATCACTGACAAGGTGAGGGATGTTGGCACACACTTAAGTTTAAATAAAAATACACGCTTACCATGAAACAATCTCACACAAACTTGCAGTTGCCGGGGTCGCGCATTCTGCTTCGAGTGGATTTTAACGTGCCCATAAAGGATGGATCCGTTCGAGACTGCACGCGAATTAAAGCAACCATACCTACCATCCAGTTCCTATTAAATCATGGCGTACATTCAATTGTCCTGATGTCTCACTTGGGGAGGCCTAATGGAGAACGCGTGGAAAAGTATTCGTTACGCCCTGTGGCCGCAGAATTATCAAAAGCTCTTGACAACCGTAAGGTAGATTTCTTGGATGACTGTGTTGGCCCTGCGGTTGAGAAGTTTTGTCAAGAAGCCCCTTTCGGTACCATAGCGCTACTTGAAAATCTGAGATTCCATGCTGCCGAGGAGGGTGTGAAAGACAAGGTTAATGTTGATGGCAAGGAGATTGAAGACTTCCGCAACAGTCTAAGTAAACTTGGCGATATATATGTAAATGATGCGTTCGGTACCGCCCATAGAGCCCACAGCTCCATGGTGGGTATCGATACGCCGTTGAAGGTCGCAGGCCTACTAATGAAGAAGGAACTAGACTATTTTGCAAAAGTTCTGGAAACACCGCGTAGGCCTTTCTTGAGTATTCTAGGTGGTGCGAAGGTCTCTGATAAGATTCAACTAATAGAATCGCTTTTGGAAAAGGTTGATGTGATCTTCATCGGTGGCGGCATGGCCTACACTTTCAAAAAAGTGCTTCATGACATGCCCATAGGAAAATCGTTGTACGATGCTCCAGGTGCTGCCATAGTCCCGGATATCATGGCTAAGGCAAAAGAGAGGGGTGTGAAGGTCTACTTTCCAGTTGATTACAAGGCGGCCGCAAATTTCTCGAATGACGCGCCATTCAAACTGGTCACCGATGAGGAAGGCATCCCCGATGGCTGGGAGGGTTTGGACTGCGGGCCAAAGACAACTGAACTTCTCAAAAGTATAGTTGACGGGTGTCAGACAATTGTTTGGAATGGTCCACTAGGTGTATTCGAGTTTTCCAACTTCGCGGAAGGTTCTGTTTCTGCGTTGGATATAGTGGGGGAGGCGACAAAGAGAGGAACCATAACGGTGATTGGTGGCGGTGACACCGCTTCCTTGGCGGAACAAACTGGGAGGTCACATTTATTCAGCCACATGTCTACCGGAGGGGGTGCATCCTTAGAGTTATTGGAGGGTAAGATTCTACCTGGTGTAGCTGCTCTCTCCACCAAATAATTCCCTGTGTGCTCGCCAGAGTCGAGGGGAAAGAATGGTAACTGCACGTGCGCGGGAACACTAGTATCATCTCTAGGATCTTACACGTACCAACCCTATTCTAGGTAGTTTGAACCAAATAATTAGGGCCCGGTCGCTCTGTTCCTAACGAGACCTTTACATTTAATCTGGATTTTCTACGTGTATGCCCAATGCGCGGCTGTACCCGTTGCCCGTCGATTTTGGCGGGGTTGCCGGCGGTGTGCATCTTAATATCACGCATCTGACAGTTGCTGCCAATACCGCGTTTGTTGTGTGGAATTCAGCGCTCATACGCGCGCCGCGAGACAGAACTTATCGTGAATCTCACACGCAGTTGTAGGCACTTTTGTCGTTAGACAGTTTGAATTCACGAATGAATTTATATATATATGTATACTGGCCACCCAGGTGCGTCTGTTGTATGTAACGAGGAGTAGTCTAGGCTGATCCCCCATAGGTGTTAGCATATGGCACAGGGTATGTGTAGATGATTCATTGGCTTGGTGCGCACGTTTTAATATAAAAATCCACAGGTAAATATGAAGCAGCCGTTGATTTTCACTGGCAATTGGAATAAGCAGCTAGTCAACGACATTTGTATGCTTGCTGGATTGCCTCTCGGAAAAGCCAATGTGTCCACATTCTCCGATGGTGAAATCAATGTGGACCTACAGGAACAACTGCGCAGTGCCAATGTGGTACTTATTCAATCCACATCGCCCCCCGCTAACAATCTGATGGAGCTATTGTTCATGATTGCCGCTGCCAGCAGATCCGGTGCCAAACATATCACGGCAATTATACCGTACTTTGGGTATTCAAGGCATGATAGGAGAACCTCAAATGGATCGAACATATCGGCGGTGAGTTTTATGCCTGGCCTACGTAAAACCCTGTTGTGTGTAGCATTCCATCCGTTCTGTGAGTATTAGTAAAGCGTATGACGTCGAATAATATCCTGATGCAGAGTGATGTGGCGCGGATGTTGGAGCTGGTTGGTGTTAATCGCGTAATATCGTTCGACCTCCATAGCGCAATGTGCCAAGGATTCTTTGGCCCAAGGGTGCAGGTGGATAACATAAATGTTCACCGTCTTTTCTTAGAACACATGAAGGGATTAGAGAAGGTGGCGATAGTTTCAGCCGACGCAGGCGCGTATTCCAGATCAGTTAATTTCCTTAACATGTTCGCAAACGCCTACCCGTCTTGCGACATCTCTTCGGCCATGATATTCAAACAACGAGTAGCAGCCAACCAAGTCGCCGATGCAAAACTTTGTGGCACAGTGGATGGACGAACTGCAATCATTGTAGATGATATAGTCGATACGGCGGGGACGCTCTGCAAGGCGGCAGAGCTTTTGATAGCTAATGGGGCCGCCAGTGTAGTCGCGGTGATCACTCACGGCATATTCTCCGGAAGCGCGCTGCAAAAAATTAGGTCCTCCTGCATTAAGAGGATTATCACCACTGACAGTATTCGTCATCACGAGACGATCCTTCGTGAGCCCAAAATACAGATAGTTTCTCTCTGCCCAGAGATCGCAAATATTATCGCAAACCTTTGAAAGGCAGCAGACTCATTAGACACAGGTGTCGATAAGTCCGTACTTATGTCGTATGTGACGTATGAGGCGGGTTGGTTTTTCAGAGTGCGTGAAAGGCTGCACTCCATCAATTATTGCTTCATCGGGTACCGAACCTACTGCCGGTTCTTAGAGCAATTTACAATGTGCGAGAGACACCACGTGCACTTTTGGTTCAAAACTCTGCCATAATTGTTGGCAGAATTACTACGGTGTCCTCATGGTGACATGCCGAATGCTTTGACGTATGCTAAAAATGTTCCGCCGTTGTCATGGTCAAGTCCACGCCTTCCATCGTGCTCATCGTAAAAGTAACACACTCCTGCTCTGTGCTGCCGTGGGATGATGGGTGCCCGCCGCGGGTGTTTCAGAATCGAGCTTTCACTGGGCGTCCCGACGCAAACTTATATACAGAACTGCAATTATATTTTGAGTGCCAATGCTTTAATTACCGTTATTGCCGCGAACGAAAGAATCACCGTAACATTTCACAACTTTGCCGTCGCACAACTCCTTAGTGTTTTCCATGGCCAAATTCATGCGGTCATCTAAACTCGAAAGAATACCTGTGGATAATATTAAGTGGTATACTATTGGCCGTTGTCTTTTACTGGAAATCACGTACCGCAGAAATTCGTTCCATCGTTCAACTTAACGAGAACGGGCTGGCGCGCAATGTTAGCGATATAGGAACTTGGAGTATAAGGTTCCATTTTATTCTTAACACAAATTTTTAAGTGCTTTGTGGTGTCTTTGCAGCGGAGCCAAGTATTCGCGGCCCTACATTCACATGGCCGCGCAACAGCTGTTGCGGCGTCTTGCGTCCCTGTTAATGGTAAGATGCCGCATACAACGTATTGTGGTGTGTAAAATGTCACATACCTCATAAGTCTCGCCGTAGATTGGGTCATGTCCTGGCTTTTCGCGATGAGTTCATCCAGGTTGCCTTGCCTATGGATTAGCTTGTCCAGAGTGTCCATCACAATCTGTTTAGTCTGTAATAATATGTTGCCCTCTCTTGTATTAACATTACCTCGTCCAGTTTGGATTGAGCATCAACCAGGACATCACGCTTGCCCTTATATTGAGACATCAACGAGCGTAGAGCTGGGCATTTCAGTGAATCGCCCATATTGTCACGATACACATCGCCATTAATCTGTATGCGATTAGTCTAATGCAGTCTTTCATCGATCAAACATGCTGAAAGATGTGTCAAATAACATTTTGTGCGACCCAAAAGTGCCTAAAAATATTTTCATACCTTGTAAACATGCATAGCCTCCTGAAGAAACTGTAAAGCTTGATATCTGGTGCAAAACTTGTTAACTGCAACCACAAAAACTAGTTGGTTTGGCGGAGGGTCGCTTGTTGCTTTAACATAAAACATGCCCATGTTGTTCTCCATGTCAACACACTTCGATTGATCGGGAAACGCCTCTTGAGCTGTGGTCCTGTAATCATATGATATCCTTTTTCTTTGCTATACACGCCACTGTGGTAAATATCCAACAGTTTTAATAGTAATGACAGGTGCCACGCAAGAGCGTATACTTTAAGACGTGCTATATGCAGGCTTTAAAAAGAGCATGGGTTATGTATAGCACTGCTTGTACCTACCTAGAGACCAAATCGGTCACTTCGCGCGATATTTTGGCCATATACATCGGGAGAGGTGAGAAATCGTACTCCGCGGTAAGCCTGCACGCCTCATTCTGTGCATAGTGCCGCATGACAACCACTGCGTAAATATGGCAACCATCCTTGTCATTTGAGGGTTTCTCTGCTTGCTTTGATTCCGACTGTGTCAAACCACTGAACGAATTCACTACGCTGCCAAACCAATCAGACATTTTTATAAATACTTCAAAGGTAAACGCTCTGTATAGCTATCTTACTACGTCTTATATCAAAATCCCGCTTGCAGCTGACACGTCACATTACATCCAGTCGTTGACTCTTGCAAAGCGATATGTATAACGTATGACACCAACAGTCAACGCATCAAAATGTTTTATCTTGATTGCTTATTTTAATCGTGGCACTAGCTGTTATCCTATCTTACACACCATGGCAATACGGCAAACACCCGCAGTGTGTCGGTGCCATTTGATACTACAGTGGATGCTTTACTCGCCAGTCAGAATTCATTTTTAATCTAACCGGTGACACATGTGCATATTTATGCATTTGTAATCAACCATGTTCCTAGCCTCCCTCGGTAGGCACCTTCTATACATTGTCCTTACACACTCGCCTCGTGAAGAAAATTATGGAATTTAAAATGTCACCATACACAGGTGGTCCGTACCGAACTCCAGACGGGCCACTGCTAAGCGCGTGGATTTTTAATGTTAGTACCTTCGTGCACTTACATCTTAAAGCATACACCGACATACAGACAACTGAGCTCAACTACAGTGAACTGAACAAGTGGAATCTAGACAGCTCTGTTCTGGGGTTTTACGAGGACCTGTTGAAAGATAAGGTGGAGACAAAGGGGAATATATATCATGTTTTGCAGCCCAAAACTGTGGTCACCTCCCATGACCGAGGTTCCAAACCCTCAGAAATTACATCCATACGAGCTAACAGGAGACGACCAACGTACTCTGCAAAATGCCTTAAGGCTGCAACGGATGAAGAATCCATGGGGTCATCGAGTGACACCAGCGACGAAACGGTACGGCAACGGTTCATTTTAAAACCCCTGCATAAAAGCTAATTACGCGTTAGGCAACCGCGAAGGACATACGTCAGAACAAGATTCTACAATACAGGAAGGCTTTGACTAAAATTGTGAAGGTGAAAACTGCAATTTTTCACGAAAAGGTTCGAGTTACGTGTAGTAAGGACGGAAAATGTATACAATGGTACAAGGTGAAAGCCTCAGAAGATGATGAAAACAAAAGGCAACTCATTGGCACTCTTCCTGTTTCCAAAATAACAAACTTCAAGACGAAAGTCGACAACCTGAGGTACCTGGAAATTTCAGCAGGTAACAACTGTTACCTGTTCATGTTTAAAACGAGGGAGGAAAGAGAACAGTGGCAGAGTGACTTTGACAGCTTTGTCAAGTTTATGAACATGATATGAAACCATAACGTACGGTTTAACAACAAATGTTTTGTACTGTATCTGCATTTATGTCGTCTGAATACCGCAATCAGCGCTTGATCTGCACGGTTTTAAAAGAAAATTGGAGGCGGTGCATCACGTTGTTGTGACTCCCTTAAGTGTACATTACTCAATTGCTGCAGATTGTGCCTGTTCTTGGCTACAAGGTGCCATTTGCCAACATCTAAAGTGACAAACATTCTATTGTCTATCTATATGTCGAATCCGACGTCGCACGGCTTTTTTCTTCCGCTAATGACATTCTAATTTGCTTGATCTTGTCAATCACTTCCTCCTTGGACTCAAAAGTACAGGCCAAGTACTTTTCGTTTTTCAACCATATTTGGTAGTCTTGAGAGTATAAATCAGGTGGCCATCGTGTATGGAATAGATCATAACGTTTTACTTGCGCCCACCTCACTGTCCGTTTGAATAACTCAGGCATGAATTCAGTGTCCCAGCGCTTGAACAATATAGCATTAATGAGCTCTAACCTGTTACGTTCGCCCTCCCACATTTTTAATTGCCGTCGCACATTTTCCGGCACTCGCATTGCCAATGCAGACAGATTGGCATCTTCATGTTGGCTCTTTGATTCAAAAAATCGTATGATCTGCTCGGCAGTAATGCCGCTTTTGAAAGCAGCCTGAACGCTTGACCGCGTCAAAACGCCAATCACTAGATTGGGTGTCCTTGCCTGTAATTCGCATATGTGACTTAAAACGCTTATTTGTAAGGCGTTTGCCGTATATACATAGACCTTGAAATTGCTTTGCACGACTATTTTGCTGTCTGTGGCTCCACAAATGGACATAGATAGCCTTGGCGTACGGTTGACGTCCGACTCATTCCTGCCAACCAAAAATGTAAGGTCAAATACGTAAAAATATCCTTTGGTTGAATCCACATATAATATGCCCATCTCCGTCAGAAGCTTTACCAACCTCTGCTGTGTTTTTGTTAGACTAACAATACTAAATATATCACCAAATTTGGCTTGTGAAAGTGACAAAAGGAAATCTATGGATTCCGTAATTGTCGTTATTGCCAATTCCACTCTCTCCCCAGTTGCTTTATCAGTACCAGTGATATCACTATATTCCCTGGTGTCCAAATCTAACTTTGTAGGCTTAGACCCAGTCATACTCGTTAAATATCCTCCTTCGATTTGTTGTAAGTGTCCCACCAATAGAATTATCAACTGGCCGTGGACACCCTTCAACAACCAGCTTAATGCCTGCCGGCTCATGCCTACGTCCGCACCGTGAACCTTGTTTTTCCTATTATCTTCTGCTATCATGTTGAATCTTTGGAAAATTTTTAACAGATCCATAGACACCATGCTTCCACGTTTACTGAGTGCTGCTAGCTGGTGTTCCAAGGACTTGATCTTTTTGTTTAACAAAGAATTTTTTACACTGGGGTCCTTCGACTTCTCTAACTTTTTTAACTTTTTCGCAATTTTGTTTGCCCTCAGAGTATGTCGTCGCACTTGGCTTGACACTAAAAATAGAACAAGGAAATCTAGACGTTCTTTCGAATGCTTTACAAGCGTTGCAAATGATGGTTTTTTCTTTGAATCGTTTTGTACGGTGTTGCTTATATTGCCCAACAGCTGCAATCCGCTGTCGAAATCGGTTGAAGTGTCGTAGATTTCCGCCAGCAGCGATGTCTTAAAGTCCTTATGTAATTCATACTGGTGCTTCCCTTCCTTTGTTCGATTATCAGATATCTGGATTATGTGATACGACTGCAATAAGGATAAAGCCTTTCGCAAATCTGTAAACGAATTCGGATTCATCCACAATCTCAATGCACGCTCTGAAACAGCCTGCCTAATGTTTAATAGTCTCAAAATTATTAGCCGCTCCAGCTCACCCAGGCTGCGTAAAATGGCGCGCAATGGAGCTCGCCTCCTAAAAAGGCGCCTCCAAACAGGCTCGCCTAAAAGGCGAAGGTAGTTAAAGAAACGTTCTTCCATGAATAGGTTAGACCGGAACAAATCATTCCATATTTTTCAGCAAACACCTACATACGCTCCCATAGGACCGTGTAACTTTTAAAAATCTAGACGGCTTATTATTGTGTAAAGGACTATAATGTTTCATTAGAGTTAACTAGAGCAGGTTGCCACCACGCTACTTTTACACACGCCGACGAGATCATTGCTTTCCGGGGGTTGAAGCAAGCGAAGTACGGAGGTCCTGTAGTTAACCAGTGAATTATAGGCAATGTATGGCTACCTTCATGGCCCAATAAACTGCACACAGCTTGCCCTTTGAAGTTCCAGATGGAGAGACTCCCATTGGTGCGTCCTTCCACAAGTATAACTTTTTAATCGTAGCTCTAACCACATAACAAATACTTGCCATCTGATGAGATGGAGGGATAACAGAACAACTTCTGCTCTTTGGCAATAGTGGGTTCATCGCCGTAGCAACACGCAAAGGCAGCTGATCCGGTGACAGCGTTTACACATAACAGTCTCGTGTAGTTGGTTCCCAACACCAAGGAACGACCATTTGGATTGAAATCAACACTCTTCTGGGTTGTAATTACAGACGTGAGCCGGTACTAACCACAACTTCCTCGAACTTGAGAAGCACTTTCCCGAGGTCGAATGTGGCGAATGGCACCTAGAATATGCGTGAAGACGTTAACAACGTTTTTATTCATCTAAGTTCTGCATACCTGGTACTTAGACATGTCATACAGGGAGAGACATTTTCTGTTGGGGGTCGAATCACAAATAGCAAAAGTCAATCCTAAGGGGTCGAACGCTCCAATCATGCTTGCACCATTGTATGATGCCTATAAATTCATATCAAAATTATACTCAAATATTAAACTTACGAGAGGTGAAGAATTGTCATATGTGTATAACAAACAGGTATCGCATGTACTTATTAACATCAAATCACGGGATGGGTGTGGCGATATGGCGCGGCCTCTACGAGCGCTAAGAAACTTTGAGTGGTAACATAGATATAACATACGGTGACGTCAATGGGAAACTCTTAACATAACGGTTTTCCAGTGTATCCCATAGTTTCACTGAAGCTGGCGATGATATAGGGAATTCATGGAAACCCCGTACTAACCGGCAGGTGTATCCCTGGAAGAACTGCATACTATCTGCCGGGGTCCTTCGTGAGTAAATCTGACAGCAGAAACCCCATGCTTCTTGCTTTGAAGTACATTGGTCAACCTAATTCATTGTGTATTGAAGCTTTAAAAGTACACTTGAATGCACAGCCCGCATTAACTCAACATACCCAGCTTTGTTGACCGAATATAAATAAACCGTTCTATCTTGTGATGATGTGACCATAAATTCACCGGAAGAATCCCAATCCATGCCATTAGTTACGGAAAAACGATCCTTGAATGCCAATGTAACAGCAAAGCTGCACCTCGAAATGTAGCGAGTCTATTACCACAAACCTATTAATGATCGAATCATCTAGCTTTGTTTTCTGAGACAAGTCCTCCATTCCGTAATTATGAATGTGTTCCTATACGCCATTGCTTGACCTGTCAATGCTTGTAATAACGCGTCTTCATTCGTACCTTGTACGGCCAATATTTCATATCACCATACAGTACGCTTGTGATTCTTATTAGCTGAGTAATCACAATACACTTGAAATCTGCTACAATACCTTTAAACAAAGGAGGGCGTCTTGCTCTAGAATGACGTGTGAAAGCCCACAGATGATAGATACCAATGAACCGTGCTGCGATTCATATCAAGAACTTACGCATGGCAGTTACCTTCAGGATCGTCTCTGTCTCATCAAATGAGCTCACGAAAGTATGAGCGAATTTTATTTGCAGGACCCTCCCTGACCCGTCGTTGAAGTCAAAAAGCTCCTTGTCATAGTCTACACTAAATCAACATTGGATGCGATCTTTCAGAGTATTCGAACCTCAAGATAGTTCCACATAACCATATGGAGTGAATCTGCTTCCCATATATGTTGTAAGTTACGTCGAATAGGGAATCTCGGAAATGTATATCAATGAAGTCCACGTCAGTGGCATGTAAAGGCGCAACAAAGCCCATGTATTTTTTTAATGTATGTTTTACTAAATTTAGTTGTGGAGGCTGCTACGGTTGCGGCGCCACAGGCTTCCTAGTGTGTACACGAGTGTAAGAAGTAGGGTCCAAAAAACGACAGGACGCGTAACTAACGGCCTATCCGCGGTGTTGTATTCGGTAACATTTGCCTCCAAAAATGACACTACAATGTATCACACGTCGAAGTCTTTACTTACCTCTCGCATTACTTTTCGCAGTGTGCTCCCTGCAAAGGAGCGGCGAACCTATCTTACAGTAGCTTGTTGTGTCATCATTGTCTACCATCCCCCATCTCTCAGTGCAGTCAAAGTAGTACCCATCCCGGAACCTAATCTGTATGAACCTTCCTAGGTACTGGGTCTTCAACTGTGGAATGTCCTGAAAACACACAATGAATACCAAATAGGCTACATTTCAATGTTTTGTGCAATGTGTATGGATGCATATATATATATATATATAATGGCATATCATTGGGGCCTATTCGTATACGGGGAACTTGGACCATCAACTTCCATCACTACGCATGTGTAATGCACAATCTTGTTATATTTGTGCGTACACTCTCAACTATTCCGCATAAGCGCCGGAACAAGAGCTCATTTGCATTTATACGATTTCAATGTTTTTAATCCACGTCAACGTAAATAATCACCAACCCACCTTATGTAAAATATTGTTGTCTTCATTGTGTACCAGGGATTTTTTGCAATACTCTCTGAATTGTGTTATCCAACTATTCATGGTAATTCGTGCTTCCTCGGATGAACACATAACCGAATCTTCGGTTGGGCAAGCACACGTACGGACTACGGCCTGAGTGGACTCGTCCCGCGGTATGATTGAAATCAAACATTGAGGCACATTGGGCTGATTTAAATCAGAACATTTTGTTAGTTCACATGTCCTCCTATCTACAACAAACTCCCTTACGCCATTGTTATAAGTTATCTTGAATCTCTCCTGCGTACCACTGTTGCACTTCTCAGAACAACCTCCCCAAGATGACCTAAAATGCTTTGAGCAAGACAATGTGTCTAATTCATATAGATGTATAGTGGTATGAGAATAAAAATGTTGTTATAATCATTAGGATAAATACATACCACTCAGTGCTGGCTCTCGAATGGTCTCGCATTGAACATAAAACGGCATCAACAGAATTGCACATATGTTTCCTCTTGATGGGCACATTGTCTAACAATCCCGCTTGTAGTAAAATTCCCTTCGAATTTATAATATTGAGGTGTTTGGTTGCTAGCTTTAGTCGATCGTACCTTGTTGTGAACTTTGATTGAGTAAGCAGTTTACGCAACTGATAAGTCCATATTTCAAGATCGTTAAGCGCTTGGTGGCGCGAACAAGGGGGTAATTTGTTGGGGCACCGGCAACTGGACGTCTGCTCGTCGTAACCATAATTTTCAACGTCGCCTATTGGAATTGGGGTGCATACGTCCGCAAATTGAAGATCAAAAGGGTTCCACCCATCTTGCGATGTAAGCTTACGCAATTTTTCAAATCGTAACCTTTGCAGCAACGTGAAGAGTGCATTGTATTCGTGGTGAATGTTTGCCACAGCGAATTCGTAGTCTTCAGTACTAATCTCCGCGAGTAAACCACTTCTATCAGGTAGTCGTATCCCAGAAGGTTGCGGTGCAAGAGCTGTCAAATCATTAGTGTAGGTTTTATCAGCACTTGCAACGGCATTTGGGGGCGCCTTAGGTGTAAGGGAAGACATTGGCCGTATGTCGTCAACTAAAAATCTTGAGATACAAATAAGAAAATGGACTTCCTGCACAGCAGGTTGTCATTAATTCTATGATTCATTACTCGGTGTATGTGTATAACAAATAATAAATCAAAGTAATCCAATGAGGTTATAACTAAAGGTTGAAATCGCACACACGGACACCTAACACTCTAAGCTATTTCATGCCATTAATTACACTTTTATCACTCTAATAACAGTTGAATATGTCGTGCAGTGTTTGGATTACGCTATACGATAATGACTGTGATTCGTGAGCAAACGCTGACGGCAGTGCTCAGGTTCCAATGCTGTAGAAACACCCGGTAAGAGCTATATACAAATATCGTCTGTGGATATTTACTAGCGTTATTATATGTTGGCGGTTTAAGTTTAAACTAGTTGTCTTGACTAGCCCAGGGCATCGACACCCAAAATCCGTGCTCCATTGACATCAACACAATACTTAAATGCCTATGCTCCAGGGTCATTATGCGTGCCTCGAGCCTTCGATGTTGGTAGGTGTCGTATGCCGAGTGTGCTGTGTAACGGGTGTATGTACATTGTTTTACTACATTACCTTTAACTTTGTTTTGGCTTTGTTTAGTGTGCTATGTGGCTTGGGGCCGATTTTCGTGTTTACCAAGCAAGCGACTTACGCTGCTGGTGTCGGTTGTGAGGTCCACACGGTGTCTGTCTAATATACTAAAATGAAAGTGTATTACGTTGCAACAACACACGTCCAAACTGCTCCATCAATACGATTCCGTACACGTTAAAAACTGGGTTTGGCCTCATCTGACACACGGTAGTGGATGACGAGTGTACACAAAAAAATGGTTTTAATTACACTTCATAAATTAGAAATGTTTCGTTAGGGTCCATTGACGGCTGCTGAATGGGGAATTGGAGTCATGATCTGTTGTTTCGAACTACTTGTACAGCTCAACTGTGATCGCTTATCATTAGGATGCCCAAAATCCAGCGATGTCATGGATTATTTGCAACACTCGATCATTTATACCACCCAACGCCTTGCGGATATCTGAACCACTCATGCTAGCGCGGCATTCCGTCTCTTTGTAACCCACAGCTTTCAATACCTCTTCCACACGCTCCTTGGCCTTGGAATACGGCTCGTCTTCAAGCGCGTCTGCGCTCGCAACCTGCAAAGAACGTAGGCCTGTGTATAGCATTGGTGCAATACCCACGAGGATCACTGCGCAAGCTTCCGGGTCTTTGGCACATGATGAATCCCAAGTCGCTTCTGGACTGTAAGCAGTCGCATACCGGTGAGGCTTTGTTATGTCATTCAATAAGTTCTCACAATTATGCACAATTTCACTTATGTACTTTGCGATGTCTTTAGGTTTGATACCCCGGGTCTCCACGACGTTTTTATAATCGCTTTCCTCGACACTATCAGTGATCGCAGGGAGCCTTTTGAGAAGTTTTCTCAAGGGTGTCGTGTATCTTTTCAGCAGGTCTTCAACGAATGGCTGGCACTTAAGCTCCTTTTGCTCCAGAAACTCCTTAGAAATACGTTTCACTTCCTCGAGAGCTGGCACCTCCGTAAAGCCAACAGGCTTGTCTGCGAGCAAACCGTAAAGCGCTTTACCCATAGCACCCAAGTTCTTTTCCGCATCAGTTCCCCTCAGCGCTATCAACCAGTCAATACCCTCCTTGAGGTTACTGGGAACGTCAGTCAACCAATTGTGTAACATTTTGTGAAGGTTCGTTATATTAAGTGACTGACATGAATCTGAGGATTTGGGGTCGATTTTAGGGCGTTTTCCAAACAGCTGCATTGTAAATGCGGAGAAAGACAACACGAGTGCTGTTGACAGCTACAACAGTTCCGACCATTACCGCACGGCGAGTTTCATGGTCGATTATTCAAATCCGAGGTCTTTAATAACCTTTAATAGTCAAGAAACTAATTCAGTGACGATTGAGGTCGCATCATCAACTCTTCAAACCTATTCTGCGGCTGTTCTCTACCATCGTAAGCGTCTGAATCATCTTCTTCGATACTATACATACGCACGACACCTTCGCAGAGAAGATAGCCACGGGGACGATTGCGAGGACAGTAGCGACGAAATGCATGATAACTTCATAGACGAAACCGGCAATTAGAAGAACTCTGCTGACATCAACGAACAGTGACATTCCCTGTAGACCACTCACATCCATGTGCTCAAAAACCACCGGCAAGAAAAAAAGAATGAGTGAAAACACACATAAACTTTTTGGTAAATTGCCCGACGGCTTCTGCGACCCCTGTCTATCCTTGTCCGCACCGGTAGAAGTAGACGCTGCCAGATTGGTTGGCCGTTTCTCTCCAACGCACGAGTTCATCTTTAGCTCATCCCTTTGAGAACCCATCTCGCGAAATAATCAGCAACGCAAGTTAGCTGGACAGTGCTTCTTCAAGTAGAGATACACATCCAGACTGGCGACCAGGTGTGCTCTTGTGAGCGTGATTCCGAAGGTTTCACGTTTTACACACCGTAGATATCCACGGCTATGACATTTACCGACTAGTTAGAGTGTGCCAGCATATTTGGAATCACATTACAGTCGCCTTCGTTTGTTCTGAAAAGAATGTCAAGACTCCACTTACACTGTTACTGTGCTCAAGCGCGCTGCGGGTATTTCGGGGTGATAGATATCTGGGTGCCTAACTAAGTTTGCGGGGCGCCCCACGAAGTAGGTGCAGGGGCCTAGGCCGGGGGTACGGCTTCAATGCTCACTACAATGTTGGCCATAGACGCAACTCAACTGTGGCTTTCTCTTATAAAAGACCGACTATTCACAGAATGTCGCACATATGCGCATAATTTCACATTCTACAGCCACCCACTCACCTGGCGGATGACCAACACCCCTCCCAAGCTGGCGACCCGGGTGACCACGGACTCAGTTTCAGTCCTCTGCGACTATCGGACGATGCCGCTGACTATCACAACTCAGCAATTGCAATACTAGATGAACATACGAAACTATATTGCACAATATGTTACAGTTTACGTCCAGTCCGTGAGGCCATCTTAAGTACTTCGCGGAACTATTGGCCGCCGTGGGTGCTCTACCCGACGACTTCTCACTTCATTATTATTACAGCACTTGGTAAAGTTACACATAAAATAGCTTCCATGGGTCACATATCATGTATAAGCGTTATGTAAACATAGAACAATGCAATCTGACGTTACGCCTCACACCTAAGCCCGATGAGGTCGGAGCCCTCGTATATATGCGTGGTGCCTAACGTGATTTGTTCACTTTTGGTATAAACTCCATCTTCAACACCTTACATTCTTTCATGATATTAAACATTCTACTTAATCGGCCAGTTGTTTTGTTCGCACCAATCCAATCGGTCTGCGGGCTATGTCGCTTGGTCCGGCGACGCCCCTAAGGTAAACTTTGCTACTAACGACATGACTCAATCCAACACCACGGAACAGGTGACGTAATGCGGTCGGAACAATTAATGATGGTGTGAAGCCATCCCCTATGCCTCACCATCGATCGGCTAGCGGCGCCACGCACCTACACGGTAGATTTGCATATCACGATTAGTGGAGTGATCGAAGTTCCCCACTAAACGCCAAGCATCATCCATGGTTAAGTGTTAAGGGCATTACCGAATGCTGAACTTCTGAGCGTGGATGGAAAAGGCGAAATCACTCATGTCCCATTCCATCATTACGAGGTACCCACCAAAGGTGTTCTGAGACGGAATTCCACGCCACACCATTAATTTGGGCCTTTTCCACTTAAACAAGCTATACACAACTATTATAACACCGGATAAAGCTGATGAGCTGGTAACCGCAAGTACGACGACCTGCCCGAAAGCCATGCCAACACGGTAGAGGTGGATACACCACTTATCATGAACAAGGAGAACAATTGTCTCATTGACCAGTTAATTATCACATCTGAGCTACTCATAACTTCAAGTAGTAGTTCTCGATCTGGATGGTGGAGAGGATGATACCCTTGACGGTGACGCAATTATACTCCAGCAGTTGCGTCTGGCACGGCATCTGACGGCATCTGCGGAAATTGTGATACTACTTCATCTGTAGATTGTAGCCCTCCCAGCACCCCTCCCGCCGGCAGCAGCCACGGGCGCCCCGAGGTGGCGGGGGTGGAGTCACCGAAATCGCGGCTACCGCGGGAACCACCAACGTTACCACACCCATATGACGGTATTGTGACACTGGCTGTGACCGTGTGCTTCGTAACTCCGTATCTCTGGTAGCCGTCTCCCAGCCACCAGCCGTGCCGCTGCCGCGGGTACCGGGAGGGGTCAAGGGCCATCCAGGAACCAGGGCCCCGAGGCTCATAGAGTGGCCAGGCCATGTCAGTAGGTGTGCCTGGGTACATTTCCCGCGGTAATGGGTGACGGACGCCTACCTCCCCCGAGGCGCCTCCTCCGGCAGCGGCCGTCACAGGGCGGCAGCGGGGACACGGGGTCACTGAGATCACGCTTCCAGGCGACTTCGGCTGACAACATGGTCACGTTACGTCACCTAATGACTTCCGTGAAGGCGCCGTACCCGGTTGCTCAAATGACGTCACCCGTCCCCTGCCGTCGCAGTAGCGGTGGTGGCGGGGCCTGTACAGCCCTAGAGTAAAATGTGGAACCAGGCACTACCACGGCAGCAGTTGCGTCTGGCACATCCTCTGACGGCATCTGCCAATACTGTGATGCCACATCTTCCGCAGATTGTAGTCCGCCTATCACCCCTCCCGCCGGCAGCAGCCACGGGCGCCCCGAGGTGGCGGGGGTGGAGTCACCGAAATCGCGGCTACCGCGGGAACCACCAACGTTACCACACCCGTAGGACGGTGTTGTGACACTGGCTGTGACCGTGTGCTTCGTAACTCCGTATCTCTGGTAGCCGTCTCCCAGCCACCAGCCGTGCCGCTGCCGCGGGTACCGGGAGGGGTCAAGGGCCATCCAGGAACCAGGGCCCCGAGGCTCATACAGTGGTCAGACCGCGTTAGTGGGTGTGCCTGGGTACGTTTCCTGCGGTTAGCGGTGTTGGTAGTCTAGGTCCCCCGAGGCGCCTCCTCCAGCGACGGGCGTCACAGGGCGGCAGCGGGGACACGGGGTCACTGAGATCACGCTTCCAGGCGACTTCGGCTGATGATGTAGTCACAGTACGTCGTCTGATGACTGTCCTGAAGGCGCCGTACCCGGTTGCTCAAATGACGTCACCCGTCCCCTGCCGTCGCAGTAGCGGTGGTGGCGCCGGGAGGCTGGCCGACTGACTCTGGGAGGTGGAGGCTTGTGCCTGCCAAAGTAGCGTTAGGCGGCGTAACTTACACTGTAGATGACCCGGCGACTCCCGGAACTGCCGTTCCCTGCCTCAGCCTCACGGCCACTGGGGGCTCGGTTGCCGGGCTGTCGCAGTAGCGGCGGTGAGGAGGCTTCAAAGTGAGGTGGAGTGGAACGACGTACCAGGCAGTACCACGGCAGCAGTTGCGTCTGGCGCATCCTCTGACGCCATCTGCCGAAATTGTGATGCTACTTCATCTGCATATTGTTACCCTCCCTTTCCTTCCTCCCACAGGAGGCAGCCACGGCGCCCCGAGGTGGCGGGGGTGGAGTCACGGAAATCGCGGCTACGGTGGGAACTGGCAACGTTACCATACCCATGTGACGGTGTTGTGACACTGGCCGTGACCGTGTGCTTCGTAACCCTGTATCTCTGGTAGCCGTCTCCCAGCCACCAGCCGTGCCGCTGCCGCGGGTACCGGGAGGGTGAGGGAGCCGTCCGGGTACCAGGGCCCCGAGGCTCATACAGTGGTCAGACCGCGTTAGTGGGTGTGCCTGGGTACGTTTCCTGCGGTTAGCGGTGTTGGTAGTCTAGGTCCCCCGAGGCGCCTCCTCCAGCGACGGGCTGTCACAGGGCGGCAGCGGGGACACGGGGTAACTGTCATCACGCTTCCAGGCGACTTCGGCTGACAACATGGTCACGTTACGTCACCTTATGACTGTCCTGAAGGCGCCGTACCCGGTTGCTCATATGGCGTAACCCGTCCCCTGCCGTCGCAGTAGCGGTGGTGGCGGGGCCTGTACAGCCCTAGAGTAAAATGTGGAACCAGGCACTACCACGGCAGCAGTTGCGTCTGGCACATCCTCTGACGGCATCTGCCAATACTGTGATGCCACATCTTCCGCAGATTGTAGTCCGCCTATCACCCCTCCCGCCGGCAGCAGCCGCAGTGCCCCGAGGTGGCGGGGGTGGCATGGCAGAAATCGCGGGTAGTGGTAACTGACAACGTTACTACACCCATATGACGGTGTTGTGACACTGGCTTTGACCGTGTGCTTCGTAACTCCGTATCCCTGGTAGCCGTCCTCCGCCCTGCATCGGTGCCGCTGCCGCGGGTACCGGGAGGGTGGGATGGCCATCCAGGAACCAGGGCCCCGAGGCTCATACAGTAGCCAGACCACGTTGGTGGGTGTGCCTGGGTACATTTCCCGCGGTTAGCGGTGGTGGTAGTCTAGGTCCCCCGAGGCGCCTCCTCCAGCGACGGGCTGTCACAGGGCGGCAGCGGGGACACGGGGTCACTGAGATCACGCTTCCAGGCGACTTCGGCTGATGATGTAGTCACAGTACGTCGTCTGATGACTGTCCTGAAGGCGCCGTACCCGGTTGCTCAAATGACGTCACCCGTCCCCTGCCGTCGCAGTAGCGGTGGTGGCGCCGGGAGGCTGGCCGACTGACTCTGGGAGGTGGAGGCTTGTGCCTGCCAAAGTAGCGTTAGGCGGCGTAACTTACACTGTAGATGACCCGGCGACTCCCGGAACTGCCGTTCCCTGCCTCAGCCTCACGGCCACTGGGGGCTCGGTTGCTCTGCAAGGCCGCGGCGGTGGAGGCGGGGCTTGGAGTGAAGCAGAGTGGAATGTATAACCAGGGCGTACCCAGGCAGCAGTTGCGTCTGGCACATCCTCTGACGCCATCTGCCGAAATTGTGATGCTACTTCATCTGCATATTGTTACCCTCCCTTTCCTTCCTCCCACAGGAGGCAGCCACGGCGCCCCGAGGTGGCGGGGGTGGAGTCACGGAAATCGCGGCTACGGTGGGAACTGGCAACGTTACCATACCCATGTGACGGTGTTGTGACACTGGCCGTGACCGTGTGCTTCGTAACCCTGTATCTCTGGTAGCCGTCTCCCAGCCACCAGCCGTGCCGCTGCCGCGGGTACCGGGAGGGTGAGGGAGCCGTCCGGGTACCAGGGCCCCGAGGCTCATAGAGTGGCCAGGCCATGTCAGTAGGTGTGCCTGGGTACATTTCCCGCGGTTAGCGGTGGTGGTAGTCTAGGTCCCCCGAGGCGCCTCCTCCAGCGGCGGGCGTC